GCCCAAAAAACGCTTTTGAATTCTTCTGGACATAGTAGTCTTGTGTACTCCAAATTCAGAAGCAATCTCAACTTGATTGATATTATGGTAAGCCTCGAAAAACGCGAATTTGAGCGTGAGAATTTTACGGAAGATAGGGGCTGGACCGGGGCTCTGTCAGCATCCCACGCGAGGGTGTTCGCTGGACCGGGGTTCGTTGAGCACCCAGCCGGAGGGGTCGACCGGGGTTCTGAGAGCTCGGCTACGAACACCCTCTGGGGGAATAGTCAGGGGTCCTGAGCGTGCCTTTGACAAGACTCCGTCATGAGAAGAGCGGAGAAGCTTCCTGGAAAGCACGGGCGCGGACTCGTAACTTGCCCTGAGTGCATTCTTCTACGAACGCCCACCTGCCACAGCTAATAGAGACGCAGCTAAGATAGGCTAAGATTACCTTTTCCGACGGACTGGGTTCATCCGTGCTACTGCATGACCTAGCATGACCTCACAGAGCCCCCCTAGATCGTAGACCAAGATAGACGCCGCGACGGTGTGCTTCGTTTGCCTCGAGGCCGGGAATGACAGACGGGTCACTATCGTTGGCCTACAAAAGTAGCTTCGATAGTAAGTTAGGGGCAACGCGTCGAAGCCGAAGCTAGTGACGTTCCGGAAAAGCCGATGCAAATGCGGAGTACAGTCAGGTGAAATAATGAGCAGAACAAGGGTAACAACCTTACTACCTTCGTCGACGTCCCAGCTGCGGGTCGTGCTCGCGGTCAACTCGCTGGTGGTCCGTCCCGTTCGCATCGGGATCAGCGAAACTAATTTCTGGTAAGCGTTCGTGCGCCTGCAGCAAATGGTCCCCGTCGATGCCGTTGGCCACTGGCATGCACTGCCCATCCAACCCTGAGCGATCTCCATGTAAATGACCATCGAACAAGTGCTGAGAGCCGGATAGACGATCGCGAGAGCTCGTCAGTCGTGCACGCATGCACAAGGGATGCATGCCTCTTGCGTGCGCAGCGTGCCTCCAGGTGCCTCCTGCAAAGACTTGGCTCTCTAGATAAGCCCAAGTGTCAAAGTGTCTTCGCGGCCCAATCGCAATTCAAAGTCAAATTTGAGACAGTCTGTCGACGATATCTTGACACAGGCGAACATCTAGCGAGAGAGTCAACTTCTGCGAGCATATGCGTCAATAAAAGCGACCGACCATGAAATTTTCGAAAGAGCCAGCCAGCTCTCTGACGGTCCACTCATATTATCGCCCAAAAAAGGTCAAATCCAGCCCTACCTCGCAATATTGCCCGACGTGATGGGCCCAAACCCCTGCGCGACGGGACGCGGTGCCACCGTTGCCAGTCTGCCAGCCAAGGGTGTGTGGAGAGTTCACCATTCACGCACCCAATCGCACACACTTGCCGCAGGTGCCAGCGCATCAGCCGCGCTCGACCTGCCAGAGCCCGCCCCGGATATGCTCGCCCGGAGGTCCCCAGCGCCCTGGCGCTGTCACCCCGTGTGCCAGCGTAGCCGTCAGCAGGCTGTCAGAGCATGTCGTCTGGTGTCATGGCCAGAGCCACCGAGAGACCCCGAGATCCTTCTTCCCGAGCCCATGCAGGTCTACGCGCCCGAAAAGAAGGAAACGGATCGCTATCGCCCTGTTCTCGTCCCCTGCGCTCGGTGGTTGTACTGCCCCCAGAGCGACAGACTGCGACAGAGCGACATTCGGGAAATCCAATCCAGGCGTGCGTTACTACTGCGTTACTCGTACACTGTTACAGTGCGGCGCAGGCATTCGAGCCTCGAGCTGACCATCGTGTCTTCTTGCCCCGGTCAGTGCCGCTGCCCTCGCTGACAATACAATGGGTCTAGAAGCCACCGCGAGTTGTATGCAGTACAGCGCACCTCAGTAGACGTCAGGGCGGAGACGCGCCCGGTCGTCCGTTGGTCCGTGTCGATCCTTGATATCAAGTGTTGATCCCCCGCCGTCGCTAGACCGTTGCAAAGTTGTTGATATGTTTAACTTTCGAAACAAAGTCAGGCAACTGGGAGTAACAGCGTGGGGCTTTACCAGGGTCGACCTCGCCGGTGTTATTCAGGTAAGGTGCACGGTGTAGGTGTCAAGCATGGTTTGGAGCAACATGCGGTTTCAACCTTGTCTGCGCTTAGAGTGAATGACTTACACTTTTGGTCGTAGTCCGAATGAAAACCCTCGATATTTCACCGTCTTAATGTCAAGCTACAAGTTCCGCGGCTTGCTTCGCAATCACTCAAGACGAGAAGTTTTACAATCCTTCAAATTCCGTTTAAGCACGTACATAGACGTAACTAATAAGTAGATCTATAGCATCACAACAAAAAAGGTGGAATAAGGAGCGCGAATGACTAAGAACTAGTACTAAAAGACCAAAAAGACACAGCAGAAAAGAAAATGCCTGAAGTCTGGGATATATCAAGACACAAAAAGGGGCAAGTAAGGTACAAGTACAACGGGATATCGGTATTTTGTGCGTCGTGGTTGGAGATGATCTGGTCGCCGAGCTTTGAAGTACAATTATGGGGAGGCTGTCGCTCGGTCCAGGGTATCTATAAGGCTGCGGCGAGTGATGATTAATGTATGTACGGGGTTTTGACGCGGCGACGGTGGCGGGTATGCAAGGGGTATGCAGAAGACACAATAAATAAAAACCGCGCGCACCGTGGCGCCCTCGCCGCGTTTTGATTAATAAATAGGCGGCGGGCCACGAACGAGAGCGTCGGCGTGCGCTGTCGATGTCGTGATTATGATAAATAAGCGGGGTAGTTGGTTAACCAAGTCCATGAAGGGGTAAGGAGCGTGTATTCAAAGCTTGAGAGCGGATTTATGACGAGGGGGCCTCAGGAACGGAAATGACATGCTGAGCGGGGGCTGGGCTGGACATCATCTGGGGAGATGAGCCCTGAACCAGTGGCGACCCGACGAGACCCGGCGAATGCATCTGTGGCGAAAGCGACGACATAGCACCTCCCTCGGGAGACAACTCGAACTGGACGCGCTTCTCCAATGGGAGGCTACCGCGGCGGTAGATATCACCCTGGAGCTGAGGGTTTGGCGGGTACATGCCATTCTGGCTGTAAGCGTCGAAACCAAACGCCGGAGCAGTGGCGGCCTTGTGTGGCCGAGGCTGCTGCGACTGGAGAGAAGCAATGTCCGATAGAGGCGCGTTCGGCAACCGAATTCCGCCGTCACGTGGCTGTGCGTCACCAGCCACGGGCGGAGATTGAGATGTCCGCGGAATAGAGAAAGAAGCTGCCGACGGCGAGTTGAAGCCAGAGGATGGTGTCGAGGAGATAGATCCTGGAGTCGCTGGTTGCGAAGAATAGATGGAGACTGAAGAAATGGATTAGCCATCTGCAATGCAGAATAGTAAGTGCGGGGGATCTCACCAGAGTCATCCCAGTCCGAGGAACCACCGTTGCCACTGGAGGCGTTGGAGGAGACGGAGCTACGGCGCGAAAGGCCGAACTCGCGAGGCTCCTTCTTGACCTGAGCAGGCTTCTTCTTCTCCCCTGCAGGGGCACCAGGAACCTTGCTACGACCACCCTTGCCACCAGCGCGGAGCTCATCGAAACGAAGGGGACGAGGGCGCAAGTGGGTGCGCTCATAGAGGCCGCACTTGTTGCACACGATCTTGCCCGGGTTCAGGGTCGAGCGGCGCCACGAGGGCGGCTCAGTGGTGTGGCAGTTGAAGCAGCGGCGGCGGAGATACTGAGTCTCCTTGGAAGCCGCGTCGTCGGTGTGCTGAATTTGGTGCGAACCGGGCTGTACGGGGGCGGGGAGGAAAGAAGGGTGTACCTGCTGGTGGTGGTGGTGGTGGTGGAGGGGGTGGACAGGGTAGCCGAGCTGCGAGGGAACGATGGGAGTAGGATCCTCGAGCTTGATTGCCTGAGGATCCTGCGAGAGCGGATCGGGATCAGCGGAGAGCGGGTCCGAGAAGATGGTGGGGTATTGCTGGTCGTAGAAATGGGACTGCCCGTGGAGCTGCGCCTGCGGATGCTGCTGACCGAGATCGTGGCGAACGTAGGGGAAGGTGGCGCGGCGGACCATACCATGGTCTGTACGCATCTGGTGCTGCTGGTGGGACCATTCGTTGTAGTGGGCCTGGTCGTCGATGTAGTTGACATCGGCGGTTTGGTAGGCGTCGTGCTCGTACAGCTCTTGGAGGAGGGACCCGCGACCAGCGTTGTAGGGAATGGGTGGCTGACCCCAGGGGTCGTTTTGGATCATGGGGGAGTCGTACTGCTCGTCGTATCCGAGGTGAGGGAGGGTATGCTCGATGTGCTTCGCGAAAGGGAGAGGGGGGAGGAGATCGTGGGCGTTCGGGGAGGGGGTGCGGGGGGTGGAGGAGGAGTCAGAGTAGGAGGAAGCAGCGTCTGGGTAGGCGTATGCGTCGTACTGGATGGCGTCCATGGGTAAGTGTTTTCGGACAATGCGACAGCAACAGACTACGCGCTGGCTGAGGAAATTGGACCAGGAGGAGTGCTAAATTATAAGAAAGAAACACTCTGCCCCATATCAGGAAGGCTCTTCCAAATGTAGCTAGCATCCCTTCTTCCCAGATGCAACCTCATCGGCTACTACTTTTGAAATTCCCTAAAGCCTTGTACCACTCCCTTGGGTCGTCGGAACATCCCGCCCAAAACAAGATTCTTCCGGTCCCAGCCAGATCTCCCGATCCTCCGTCCCGCCCTCTTATCGCACGCTCACAACACCACCAAACATTTCCAAGCACAGTGACATAACAGCATGCACCCTCCGTATTACGTCCCTCGCTTCCCACGGCACAGCTTCAGTCCTTGTGGCACCCGACGCACTTCCTCCAGCCAAACAATGCCGAGTTGCCGTACCGCCCGTGCCTAGCACCCCATTCCAAGCACTCCACTCACACGCCTCCGACTCGAGAGCATCCCTCCATCGCACCATGCACCCCGGCAACGTCCTCCGCTTCCGCCTCTCCCAGAGAATGCCCGCCCTCCCCGTCCCCCACTCAGCTGGGTGAGAACACACGCATGGCATGGCCAACGCCCGCCCTCCAGTATCTTCTTTAATTATCCTGGGTCAATGGAGTCCATCTCGGCTCCCATCCTTATCGACTGAATCCAGCCTCGCTCTCGCCTTGCAAGTATTCAAAGGAGTACTCCTCTTCACTGATCATCTGCCTTCAGAGCATACTCCTACCACACCCATGATCGCGGGCCCCACGGCATCGCCCTCATCGTCTTCTCCGTTCCTAAAATCCGGCGTGCACTGCTCTCAGTCTGTTTTTAGTCCTCTCTCTTTTCTGCAGGCGCACTTACCTTCCGCTTGAGTTGCCGGCCAGCTTCGACGGGCGCAAATGTTTTCCCGTAGCTTGGCAAGTTATGAATACATCCTCCTTCCCACTTCAGCTTGAATCTTGTTGGGCGCGAGTCCTCGATGTAGCATCAAGAAACTCAATGTCTCCTTCGTCCACTGCTCCCCCCTGTGTGTGATCCTTCGTGGCTGCGTGGGCGTAGCCAATGCGCCACCATCTCTACATCTTGCTCGGTGTTCCAGCCGTGCTTCTTCGCCTGGCCCAAATCCACAGACCCCTGGCTAGTCTTCAGGGGATGCTGACACTCAGCGCTTATGGTCAGCACCGCCCTGCTCAGCATTCGTTCTCGCTAGGGCGACAGTGCACAAAGCATTTGGGTATCGTTCGCTGTCACCCTCCGTTGTCGTCCCTCGCTACCGTTGCTTATGCTAAAGCAAGGATATCTATTTTGTTGAAATTCTTGTACACTTATGCCATCGAATGACATTGACTTCTCTTAAACCTCTCACAGCATGTTAATAATTTCTCCTGGAAGCTTCCAAATCTCATTGTGACCTCGTACAGCACAACTTTTCGGGTCCGCCGCTCTGAACATCTTGGATTGGACACGGCATTTCTGCAAGAAACCCGCTACGGGCGGAAGGCATGCGTATGACATGCCTGTTACCTCAGTTGAACATTGTTGAAGTGTGCGACTCTCCGTGCGAAGCTTTCCCCACAAGAACTTCCATTCAATGACCCGTGAATATGACCATTGCAATAAGAAGGCAAATGGTAATCCATGTACATGATTCGCACGAAGCCTTCGAACGCCAGCACGAGCACGTCGGACTGTCCGAATGGCGCGGCCCCGAGAACGCGAGAGTCAGGTGTGGCTCTTCCGTTTTGCCGCTAGCACGCGCCTTCAGGGCAAACAACTAGCTATAGCTTATACTGATAGTGGTGGCTCCCGGTCGACGCGCCGCCGCCGTCTCTGCCAAGCAGCAGCCGAACACCCGAGGCGCACAAAGCCAAGACGGATGTGTTACTCTGTTCACAATAACATTAGCCTTTTCGATCCGTGGCATGTAAACTTTTTGCTGCATAGCGTTCCTAACGTTCGTTCATGTCCGACGTCCGATCTCCCTCGACGATTTCTGGCAAACATCTCGAGTCATTAATATTAACTGTAAGCTCACTAGCGTCCTTGGCCTGCATTGAAAAAGCTCAGAAGGCGCGCTCGCGTGGCGTGGGCTGCCGTGAGCTTCCATTCTGTTTAATGGTTTTCAGGCCCGAGGATATGTTATCGACGTCATCGTGTGTGTGGCATACTACATACTCTGTCTACCTGGTGGCTCGAATCCGACAGTGGGGTCGAGGCTGTACCGTAGCTGGACACAACACCATGGCCCCACCGCTGATGACAGAGCTGGAGGCTCATAGGAGCTCGTCCTCCCGAGACTGACCCGAACAACGCGGTCAGGAGATCGTTGTCTCCCCACCGCATCGCCGCCCTTCTCTATGACTCCATTGTCGCGCAGTTTCCTCCGTAGAAGGCTGTCAACTGCCTCGGGAACCGGGTTCCTGCACAGGGCAGACGCAGTCCAAAAGACTGGCTCACGGCCCCAACCCCCTCGCTTATACGTGAACATTATTCTTGTATTCAGCTGTGCTCCTACAGTTAAGTGACAACAACTGGCAAATAGTCATGCAATTACTTCGCAATGGCTTCGAGTGCACCGCAACAAATCGACAGCCACATCATCAACGACAATTTTCGGCGGCGACCATGCCCGGCTCGGGTACCCAATGTACACAATGTCAGCGCACGACATGTCTCTCTCTCACCGAATGTACCCGCCATTTCAGGACATATCGATGACGCTATTGCTTCCCCAGGCCCCAGACCTGCCGCGTGCTGCCCATGCTTTTGTCTTCGTCACCACACGTCCCACCCACTGTGGTCCACTCGCTCAATCTCCGAACCCGATACTCGACTGACCTGGGGACGCGAGATCTACAATCGTGCGGGCCAATAATAAAGCTTGAAGCCTGAAGGAGCCGCGACGACGGGTGTCACACACTGAGTGCGCCGCAGGTTCGGTGCGCGCCCTCCAAGCTCGGCGAGATAACGCGAGGTACCTATAGGGGCGGACGGACACGCGTGAGAGCCCCGCAGTGCGCACGTACCGTCGGTTGTTCGCATTGCACTGGGGGATCTGCACGCGTATGCATGGCCATGGGCGGATGTGCGCGATCGCTTGCGGCTTTCAAAGGGTCGGCCTCGCGAATGTGATGGAGGCCGCGGACTCGATTTACCTCCACGAGATGATGATGGGCATGGCAATGGGCTTGGATGGACAGTTGTACAAGTAAGGTACGTCCCTAGCCCATACTTTGCGCGCTTCAGACGTGCTTTCTCCCTCGAGGTGCCACGCTCCGTGTGCACCTGCGTGCCCGAACGGAAGGCCTGGCGCTCGGGGAGGCCATCGTAAGATACACTGAATTAATGTGTGAATTAGCGCTCTTTGTGTGCGGCGCGCAGCATATCCCATTGGCATGGAACCTGGTGAACCTCCTGCCAGAGTGAGCCGACCGTGCGAGCGTGCTTGTGACGTCCACGTCCACCACAACTGGAAGCGCTTTCATTTCGGTTCAATAATAGTTCGATTTATTAGTACGTGCTTCGATCTGGATCATCTAGGTTGGCGGTGGGGAAGTTGCTTACTCAATGCGTGTTGTGTTGTGTTTTCATTTACACGACCATGGGATGGGTGCAGCTGGACTCATCGACGGTAGGTGTCCGGATGAAATCCCATCACTGCGTCATCCATGCATCGCTTCATCGTCATGGCAAGGCGGGTGAATATGAAAGAGCACTGCTCGAAGCCATTCTCCGAAGGCGTCGTCAATTGCTATGCTAGATTGCCCCCGCATTGGTACCGAATGTGAAGACAGCCAAAATAGAGCCTAAGTTTCAAAACCTGTTTGCCTGCTGGGGTTACAGTCAGCTATTAGCTTCTACTTACAGCTATACAAGCTCCTCGGCGGGGCTCAACCCATTTGGACCCCGCTATACAGTTAACTTATGATAGTACTCACCTTGACAGCTTTAGGCCCAGCCTTCAGCCACGCACCCAGTGGACAGCGAGCACCGTTATCCTGTGGACATGGGTCCAAATTTAACCCAATCGACATCATCTCGGCGACGTCCAAAAGGCGTACACGCGAGAAGGCGTAATCTCAAACCGCCAAAATCTTTTGCTGAGGACCTCGAGCGACGCAGATAAGACCGTGGCCGTGGCGAAGATAGCACATGCACCGGTGCTGCGATGTCCAGGATCAGCCATCAGCTTGAAACGCTGTGTCAACCAACCGCGGCGCGGTTCTTGCCGTGCCACTGACCGCTCGAGAGGGCAGTCGCAGCCCAGTGGCCCAATCGGAGGCAGCCCCCCGGAATCGAAGTCACCGGGAGAAGCACGCCGAAAGGGCAAGAACGCACCAGCGATGCCCCGCAAGCCCCTCTTGCATATTGCATTTCCGTCCCGTTTCCGCACTCAAGCACGCCCGACGAATAGCTCCGTGTCGCGACGGGCGATTCCAACGCAGCTCGTATGTAGAAGACCCGACCAGTGTTGCAAAACGAGCAGTATTGGACGGTATTGAGTTCAGAAAGTCAATAGCAGTCAATCGTACCTGTCACTTCGCCCAGGATATCGCCGGCTGTGGAGGTGGTGGGATGGCTGATGCCAATGCGGCGAAACGGAGATCAATAGAGCTGGGTACCTTCCTGTGCAAATCGGCGAGTTGATTAAACCCCTGCAAAGCTCCTGATAGTAGACGGTCTTCAGCCCAGAGATGACAGCCTGAAACCAACAATGATGACAGCCTCAGTTGTTTACACTCAAGGCGATTGCCCCACCGGCGGCCTGGAGATTTGGGACTAAGGCAGGATAGATCCAGGCAAGTTCCTGAAGCTACAGGTGCCTCCTATTCAATACCTTTTCTTGCATCCTGGGTGCGGCTGGCAAGCTACGCTCCGCTCGAGCACGGAGGTTGAGTCAGACGCCTGAGTAGATTACGCCGAGTAATGTTCGAGCTGGAACATTAATTTAGAGAGCCCGAACCACTGAGGATCGCAGGAGCCTCTGAGGCTGGTGTCTATACAAAGAAATCCTTCGATCACCTACTGTCCAAAGATACGGCTCGCCGAATCCACCGCACTTCTCTATGCGAAGGGTAAACATATCTGCATTCCTAAGTCAGGCCCAGCATACAATCGAGAAACTTGGCCGCTGCCTGCGCTACGGTCGGTGTCTGAGACATTGAACTTAGGCCAGGTACCATGTGCGTCATAGAGGTTGCACGTCTGCGAGCGCTGACGCCCTTGGGGAGAAGAGAAGCCCAAGATGAACGTGTGTACCTGGGCCTCGCCAAAAGCGAAATGGGGGAGAGCACTGGTCTGCACCAATACTATCTCGAAACATAGTCATCGCGCGATCGGTACAATAGAGCTATTCTTACCAATCGGAAAGTAGCGAGGCGTGGGCCAACGAACTGGCCAGTCTACCAGATGGAGGTCAAGTGAGTCCGGTGAGCAGCATGGTCACCGCTTGCACTGGAGAATCTATGACGGGGGAGATTTGCAGATTACTGGGACCGTGCATCTACCTCATTTTCGAGGCTTGTGTCTACGGAACCGAGTACCCAGCGGCCGTGTGCGTGTGCATACGATGAACACTTTGTCGTCTTGTCTATCTTGAACCGGGTTTGATTCGTAGCCGTGATACGCAATGATACTCCTAATCGCGGAGCACTAATTTCTACGAGGTCGGAAGAGCGAGAGACACATTCCAGAATAGCACGCTGACAGCATGTACCCAGACTCTCGTGCTTCTGTTTCTGCTTCTTTGCGGACTTCCGAGGCAAGGGGTATGGGGTGGATCCAGCCATTTGAACTCGTTAGAGTCACGATGAATGACCAAGACACCTGACGCACCTGTATGTCCCTGAATACGTCAAGGATACGTTCTCCGAGTCGGTGGTGGCCGTGCCCACTTCTAGTGCACGTCGGGGAGCCCAAGTTGGTCTTCTGGCGCTCCGATGGAGTCCGCAGCGTCGTCAGTACACGATAGAATAGGCGTGAACAGGTCCGTGGTTCGCGGTCGGCCCTTCCTCTCTGTCCCTGGCCACTCTTCCAACTTGGGGTTCAATTGCGTATGCGTGCTTCTCGGCTGAGCGTCTGTGGCATGCTGGGGCGTAAGTTTAGTCGTCAAGCTTCCTGGCCTCGGAAGAGCCCGTAGACCGGCCGTGGGGTGGGTGCCCGAGCGAATGTCACGGTGAAGAGTTAATTTTACGGAACGTGTTTGAGCTGCGGGTGAGGTTTGTCCGTGCATGGTCCGAACTTCTCGGTTCCCTCCGCTCAACGCACGCGATGACGAGACGCGCGACGCGACATGCATCGTGGCTCCAAGATCGAGAACGCGTCTATGCCAAAACGCGTTCGATTTCTCGACCTCCACTTGGAAAACGGCGCTCAATCCTGCATCATGGACAGCGACCCTGCATTTTTCACTTCCTCGACGTTTCACCTTTTCTACCTAAATGGCTAAGCCGAACATTCATCCGGTCCTACCTAACAGCGTGAACACACGAAACCCGTGTGTTCACTTACGAATGACAGCTCATACAGCAAGTATCTTCCCCAAACCTCCCGCATATACTCATCTTGTGCATTTACTGTGGCGTTTAATGGCAACGCATCGTTGTTAGCTTTGAATCCCCGAGGACGTCAAAAGGTTAGGTCTGAAACGCGGTTAGACAACCCATGCACTACCACAGTTAAGGCACCATGCACACACAAAAATACGTACTACCGGCGGTGTTAATTCTCAGCCGTTCGATCGAGTGGTCACGGTCCTCTGGCGCGTTTACGGCACTGACAAGGGGGAAGCCCACGGATGGGCCACAATGACGGTACCCTGACGCACATGCGCGCTACTTTCGTGCAGATGCCGCTCAACTTGAAGTGGGCGAGACGCGTCTCTTCGTTTGTCCTGTCACCCACGCACACACGATGTACAAACGATGCTATTTCTGCCTGCTTAGCGCTCAGTCTTTAATGGTACTCACGCTTATCTGCGCCTCTCGTAATCTCGCTTAACCTCTACCTCACCCTCCTCATTCGTCCGAAAGGGATGGAGCGCCCGAAGACTACACCCAAGATGAAGATACAACTCTCCGCTAGCACGCTCATCCAATGTGGTGTCATAAGAAATACAGGCACATTGTTTTTGGCGGCTCATCGCACCGGGATCGGAGAGCGGTAAACTCGTACCATTCTTTTGCCTGCTGCTTCTATCTGGTTCAATGGTCGAACTAAGTAAAGTCTAATTGTATTTCACGCGCTTGAACGAAACCTTTTTCCTCGTCATGCTTCTTTGTTCTAGCAGGCGCGGCGGCGTCGCTTCTTCTCCCGACCCGCTCATGCTGCGCACAGTAGGCCACATGCTTGCCGACAGGACCGCCGCAACGAACCCCGAATATTCCTTGCCTCTCTGAGCGCAGTGCAATCCTGAGGAAGCCCGCATTTGCAAAGTCGCACTCGGGCTCCCACCCTATCAGAGGCAGGTCGCGGCGTCCTGCGCACGGACAGGCACATCTCCACACGGACCTTGAGCATCTCTTGCCCCGTCTTGGCTGTAGCTTTCCTCCTGCCTTTTCGCGCTGCTAGCACCTGTCTCTCTTTTCTCAGAACGGCCTACTGGCGGGAAAGTATTTAGGCGCACACCCGCTCAGGGCAACCTGCAGCGGTCCGAAGAGAGGCGCTACCTCAGGCGCAAAGACGAGACACCGACATTTGCTCCGAGGAACACCGTCATCTCCCCATTCGCCACCTATTCAGACGGGTCAGATGCTCGCTTGTTGGCGTTGTTTGGCCATATGGGCAAGACAATAGGTTCCGACCATGGTGACGACGCGACGCACTGCCCGCGCCTCCAGCTGAGCCTGTTACATTCTCGACCTACTGTATACCACAGACTCGGTGGGAGATGAAAGCGTGGAATAGGTGCTCTGAAACGTTGCGTTGCAAGATTACGGAGTGCGAATCCAGGATCTTCGGGTGCGGATTCAAAGCATAGCATCGTTGCTAATCCTAGCTTCGCAGAGATCTAAAATACAGTACATCTGGTTCGAGGCGAAGAGCTACTCGGTGATGCGACGAGCTTCTTACTGTAAAGTTCTGTGCATAGGAAAGGTGTGCAGTGCCGTATATGTCCCTATCAACCCTACTTACCCCAAGGCACCAGGCAGCAAGGTGGGTCGAGCTTATGCTCCTCACTGTACAGATGCATCTCACCCATACTGTAGATATGATACGTTTGTGTAGCGTGGGCGTAACAAGATCCACCAGCACCATGGAAGCTGCACTGACATGGAAGCACCTTCGACGATTTGAGCCACACCAAACGATCGACGGATATCGGGGATAGCCCAATATTTTCCCGGACGTTTGTGGTTCATTTCGTTCGCCATACACGTACTGGCGGGAGCGGCGCATAGCCTGGCGAGAAGTACGCCGGGTGCATAAAATGCAGCGGATGTGCGGAGCGCGCGACTGGCGATCGAGATAGGCTCGCGAGTCGTAGATTCACAACAGTCAGACCCGGTGTCTCGGAGCTCTTGTGCGCAAGAGTGGCTCCATTTCTTTTCGAGCAAGCTTGGACACGGAGCGTGGCTCGCACCCACGCCCATTATCATGCCCGAGAGGCCCAGACAGGGCGCACTGTTGGGGTGACTCCCCGTCGGGAGGTGGCGTTCAAGTTGCCTTTTGTTCCTTGCTGAGCAATTCGGCTTGCCATTGACAAGAGGCGCCCGAGAACTCAGTCCCAGTTTTGCAAGAATGGTGGCGCTGTCAACTTGGTTCGTTAACACTAGGTTCGTCCACCCCAGAATTGTGGTTTAGACGGACGCACTGCTTGAGAAAAAATAATCACGGCTTATTCCTCAAGTGCTCACTGCTGAAACGCATTCCGCTGCCTTACATCGCGCAGTAACTCGGTGATTATTGTCTGGCCAAATCGCAGGCGCTGGTGGGGACTTGGTGGGGCTCATCGGTGGGTAATCGATGATCCCACGTGGCGGCCACCGAGACAGTCAAAGAGACATTCAAGCATCTGCATTGAAGTCGGAGCACTGGCAAGTGGCAACGCAGCGGTCAGGCAACGGGACCAACGTTTTTACACACACACGAATAGAGTGTTTGTGGGGAGCTTATTGGAGATCGAGGGACGTCGACATGTTTCCTTGCCACCCTGCTCAGCTCATGCCTTGCTATGTACCTCTTTTCCTGGCTGCACTGAGCCACCGGCATTCCGTGCACAAAATTACGCGCAGTGAGCATGTGGGTCGAGCCAGGTCCCAGTATCCAATCGCCAGTGGTAACGCCATTGAGAGACTCGTAGGCAATAGAAGCCCCCATAGGCCCTCATAGACTCTCCATCGACGCTACTTTTGACAGGTAAGATTGACACACTCGCAGTCACAACGTGCACTGCAAAGTGCAAAGCCGCAATTATTACGTGCGGGGTGCACATGGGGAGACGCTGGTAGACGTGGGTTCCTTCCGAATCATTACCGCCTTCGATCACCATCGCATACGTCATCTTCCTGCGCGGCGCACCCGCCGTCGGCTTGCACCATAACAGCTAATAGCTGACATGTTTGCTCACAAGAACGGCACGCCGACCATGCGCGCCTGCGGGCGGATCCTGTATACCCCTGGCGCGCTCTTGCAGTCTCCGGGCAGAAAAAGAAAACAATCGCCGGAGGGGCGTCACACGCTCCTGAAACATAGCAATTGAGCTCCCAAACCAGATGAGGATCGAGTGAGAGGCCGGAGTCACATTGGCAAATAGAATGCGACAACAATGCCGAGGATCTTGGCCACGCAGACGTCCTTGTATCATTTGCCTTCAGCTATAAATCGTCCAAATGCTAGCTAGAAAGTACATATGGTTATGAGACTACAGATATTAAGCCTCAGGGTACCGTTTACACGGTCGCATTGGAAGAGGTCAAACTAGGACACTCCAGGGCTAAAAGGTAGGAAAACGGCATAAAGCGCTTCGGCTATCTTCAAGCGCCCACCTTGGGGTGCTGCGAGATGATCGCACTGCGGTATACAAGAAGTGTGATTGAGGTTTTGGTCCGCCGGTGGACGCGTGGTGACGCCAAAGAAAACGAAGAGCAACGTGTTAGGCAACAGTAAGGACAGTTTAGTAACATCATATGAAGTTAGCCGGCGGGTCATCGAGGCTGTCCTTCTTGATGAGAATCGAGGCTGGAGGTGGAATGGGAGTAGACGAGTCAACATTGGACACTTCTTTGCTGAAAGAAGAGAGGGGGGGTGGCCAAAGGCGAGTTTCAGTGGGAGAAGACTTGCAGGATCCTCATAACGGTAGCCACAGCTTCAGTGCTCCTGCGGTCCTGCGCAGATCTTCTCCCTTCCAAGCTTTCCGTCCTGGATTGGTAGGTTTGAAACCTTTCTTATTGCATTCGCCGCAAAGCCAACACCCGGAACGGGTTTAGTGAGATAGAGCCTAGGAAGGTGGAACCATCACCTGCCGTAGGTCGTACTCGAGGAGACCGAGTTTGCGCGTAAGCAGCTGGTTGACGCGTTGAGTAAACACGATCTTCTTTTCTGAAAGGCCGGCAATATGGTTTGCTGTATCTTACGGATATCTCCAATCGGCAGTAGCGGAGAAGGCTTGCCTTTGGTCGCATCAGCCTCAATCCTCAACGAGTGTGATGGTCTCTTTCGTGACCTCTTGTTGCATGTCTGCAGGAGAGGGTTGGCAGCGCTAACCTGGCCTGGCGACATAGACGCGATCGAGCTCACCTTGAACACGTCGATCCTTCGTGTACATCTCCTGCAAGATGAACCGTTCTTCACTGGGAACATTATCTATGCCTAACCTGTCTCTGTGGCTGTTTCAAAACCTACCTCCGATCAAACCTAACTCCTTCAACTTACCGGTGATATACTCGGGTATAATGTTTGCAGCTTTCTCCAGAACCTAAACAGATGGCGTACCTGTGGTCAAAACAGAGTTCGTCGTAACTCTGTTCAGTCTGTAGCACACAAATCTCCTCCTGGGTTGTGAGTCGAACGCGGTCAGTGTGGTTGCTGCTGTTCTTTCAAGAGAGTCGATAGCATTGAGATCTTGAGAACCTGTTTTAGGTATTCGACCTCCGTTTCCATCTTCGACAAGCCTGTTGAAACTCCGATCCCGCTCCGCTCGGGGCCCCTGTTGTGGCCCAAGTCTTCACCTCGGCCTCTAACATAAAAGACACTTCGTATAAGCCTCACAAATATCCTGTTTCCAGCGTTTTCATAATACTACTAGACTGCAACCTGCTTCACATCTCCAACAGCCAAGCCCCACTCGCATCTCTAACGCCTCTCGAGTCTTGTCGTCAAATCTGTTCATACTGCTCCCTCATTGGCAACCTTCCGTGGCACCTCTTCTTATCAGGCTGAGCCCTAACTGAAGACGAGAGAGCAGCAGAAACGGAAGCGCTACTCCGCGCGAGCCCATCGGATGCCACCTGCGTTCTCGTCTCACTTGGCGAGCGCTGGTATCTTTGATTTCTCACCGAGGTAAATTTAGACCCAGGGGCATCTTCCCACTGGCAGAAGCTGGGCTCCGAGTTAGACCGGTACCAAGGACAATGTTACGTTAGAAGAAGGCCGTGTAGGTATTCTAGTTTCCAGCTTCTTGTGTTTATTTTCCAGGTCACTTGCGACAGATTGCAGACGCAACAATTTAGCAGTCAGCATTTTGCATTCTGGGCCTTACGGCGTCGTGGCACTACTTCGTGGAATGTTAATAACATACTATGCGCGGTCTCATGGCGCATCGCTATCGCCGTGCACATCTCCGCCGTTCTGTGTTTTGCTTCTGGGGCTTCAACGCCACATCCGGCGGGCGTCTGCACTGCAACGTATGCCTCTATCCCATCTTGATTCATGTCTGAGCCACTGTCTTGTAATTAAAGGATCTCTTATCTGTGGGTTACGCTGAACACCGCCATTTACAAAGTCACACTCTTCGAGGCTCATCTGCTTCCGCCCGTGGTTTCGCCTTCGGAAAGCCAATCTGTGGGGCCTTCTCTTCTCGCCATCATCGCATAGGCGTAAATATAACTCGGACATTGCCTTGACTACAGGAACACTTGACGCGACCATGGTGTGAACGTTATCGAGCTATGATTTCAGTGGGTCCTGATTTAATTATGGATGACGTCTGTCTGCAGGGTCCACGGAGTAATCGGATCCGGTAGAACCGTCTTAGGCTCTTTGAGAGTTTCCGGCATCATGACAGACACTACGCTTACCTTGCAATATATATGCCATACTCTCAACAAACAAAAGGCTCTACCTATACGCGTCGTACTGACAGGTTAATCGGCTGGTTCTCAACCTGTAGCGATCATCAAAGCACTGCTGCACTCGACTGTACAGATTTAGGAAGGCATCGACCTGGTGTACTGGAAAGAAGGTTCTACACAGGTTTGGTAGAACGTAAATATCTCCCAAACCAACGGTGAGTGCATAGCTATGAATGTCACGAGTTTCTGTATGCTGATCTCCGTGCTAACGTGCTCCAAACACCAACTACTCCGCAATCAAAAGGTGTGGATCATGGGTCTCATGGGAGCGCCTCTCACCCGACTACTATCTAGGTCGCCATCCACGGTTATCTCTTACTGTAACTGGTCCACATCTCTAAACCTTCATCGAAAAGCAATACCAACAAAACAGCCACTTAGATCAGAGGGAACGCCGATGTTCATAGCATGAGCTCACAGCCGGACTGATATGCAGAGCACATAGATTGGCCTGAGCTGGCTATTTCCATAGTCTTGTGACGCGTACATGGACCAAACTGCCACGCCATTTTACTTATCCGTGTGAGCCTGTGATCGCACGAACAAGTGCTTCGTAGTGTTTATGGGGGCAATAGAGTAGTAATATCTGCTTATCGGGTAGGATCTAGTACAGTGAAGAGCTAGCATGCAAGTAACCCATAGAGCTACGCCCTATCCTACTTGCCACACCAGTATTAGAATTACCATTCATTATAGCATGAGAGTCTTTCTCGCGCGAAGCTGCGAGGCTATGACAGAAGGTGTTCGAGGCAGTCATGAGATTTCATGTCCGGCCAGGAACGCGGGCCGCCAGGCCGCACTGGTCATCCCACAACTTGTTCTCATGTTCTTCTCGTCTGCTCGGTTGCGACACGACAGTGTGTATGGAAGAGAACGGACCGCCAATGTACAGACGAATCCAAGTTTGGCCTTCTGCGCTGGTGGAACGTAGGCGTCTGTTGTGATATTTTCCGTCTTGTACGAGAACGTGCTGGTGGCTCTCGGTAACTAGCGTAGGATCTAGCTGTAGCTTCGCGAAATTAGGATCCGTGTTTGTCGACTCGTAGTTGCGCACCACAACCTTTCCAGGAACTGTCCCATCCGCACCATATAGCATCGTGCCTTGTTACGATCTTACATATGAACGCGACGCACATATGTGCTGAGAGGGTTACCCTGACCACAAACGGTGCATCGCTCGCAAGCCGGGCCTCTCTCGCACCATAGCATAGGTGTTGTGCAAGCTACAGGTCTTGACAAAGATGGGGTATAGATCTCGAAGTCTGTGCGTCCCATGCAAAAACTAAGAAGATACGTGGGAAAGCCGCGCATGAAGTACGGAGAGATCCAGGCCCGAGCCAAAAATGATCGAGAAACAAACCACATCTCGGCAGCCAAGTAACATGGCCTCGTTTCCGAGGGCATGATGGTAATGCGAGTGTCGCAACGCCAAATGTCATATTTAGACATCGACTTCCATGTTCACGCTGACTAGCGTACTCAGGATGCTTAGGAAAGCTCCAGGAAGTAGCACGTTGAGCCGCCGGTGACGATAGAGCGCTCGAAGAAGACATCCTAAGCCATTAGACAATGTTGACTTCGCGAAAAGAATGTGCTCGCATGAGAATGAAGGCGTCATGTATGTTAGCCCGCCATACGAGTGTACAAAGCCGCTGTGAACATGGGCGAAGCCTTAGATAGGTCGTATAGTGTCCAGATCCATGGGACCAGGAGCAGAAGAGCGTGTATTACACCGCGGGTTTTGTCGGATTGTATCTCTTAGCCCGGCCAATAGTCAGTTGAGATTCACCCCAGAAAGTGTTCAAGCTAAGCCTCGGTCCGTTCGAAGCGGACCATGTCGCGCAGTCAAGCTTCAAGAGCTTTCAAGAGCTGGTACTATGAACGGGCTACGCCTGAGAGCAGTGTAAGAATCTGTCTATGTTGAGAGTTATGAAACGTAGGCCAGCAGTTTTTCACATCTGAGGACATGAATGTGCTACACCCACTCACCCGTTTTACATCTGAATCTCACAACTACCGCATCCGAGACATCACCGGCTTTGGACGTTCAAGTTGAATGTGTTGCCGGCCGACGGCGACGGAAGAAAGACGGTGATGTGCAGCTCCTGGGAGCCATACCTTGACCATTCTCGCGAGACTTACGTCAATCAACTTCCAAAAGACGATTGCTGTGGAGAGACCGAAACCTTGAGTCACCGAGGGTTTGATAACGAAGAGAAACAAAGTAAACCAAAAGTAAACAGCCAATAAACAGCTTCAACGATGTTTTCACGATGGCCAGAGCACAGCCACCGCAACGTCACCGGCACTCGACGCGTCTTCCGGCGTCACGTCCACACTCTCCGAACTTCCAAGGCGTCATCAGGCTAAGCCATTCCAGCCGGTCTACAGACGTCCGCCTTCGGTCCTGCTATTCTCTTTTAGACGAACGGCTCATGTCCTTCGAGAATGCTCCTGTCACCAAAGGTACCTACTTGTCCTTTCAGTCAGGATGCTCGTGGTAAACTCAAGAAACCTGTGTCCTAGGGCTGATGATGGCATGGGCCTTTACCTCCCTTGTCGGTGGTGTCTTTGATGTGAAGCATTACCTTAATGTTCAAGTGCGTGTACGCTCTGAACCGTCTCTTATGTCACGGAACTCATGGAGGTTCCTAGCTTGTACCGCATATATCGCGCCACCACCAGGTATGCCGCAGCTTCGACTGGACCCTGAAGAACGTAGGTAACTAATCGTGTTCTTTCCTATCTAGTACTGGCGGCTGGTAGCGCAGAATGCAGCGTTTGCAAATTCCAGCGACCTCCTCGTGGCTGAGTTCCTGTTGTTCAATGCTGGCATCCACGTAGAACGGATGTTTGGCACTTGCAAGTTCGCGGTGAGAGGGATTGTGTCCGTCAGTGCGAAAGTTGTACTGATGATAGGGCTATCTCCCACAATCTGCAGTCCTTTGCTGTGGTGACTATGCTCATGTCGACGCTCATGGAATTCCTTGGCCTCTTGATCTTCCACCATGTCGGCCTCAACTTCATCCCGGGAGGACCCATACCCTTAATCTTTGCAATAATATACCAATGGTTCAGACTCGTACCCTCAGCGTATGAATTCAGGATATTCGGCGTAGCCCTCAGCAATAAGATATATACTTACGTCCTCGTGGCCCAGGTAAACCAGCCGGCTGTCGACCCACACGCATACAATAACTCACTGAAGATCCCCTCTCACCCTAGATCGCTTTCGGCAATCTACCAGGCTCATTAGCTGCCAGCCTCGTCGGCCTGGTCGCAGGCGTCATCTACCGTTCCGACATGGTCAACCTTAAGCACTGGCGCGTGTCACCCGCCGTCGCGCGGTTTTCTAGGAAATTCATCCTCCCTCTCCTCGGATCGATGCGTCCGCCGCGGCGCCTCACCCGTGCTGTCCCCGCCGCGCGTGTATCTCCTCAGTCGACGGACAGCTCGTTCGTAAATGAAGAAGTCATCACGACAGCTAGGCCTGCGCCGCCGCCCACGACCCGCAATCGAGGCTCAGGAGAAGGTTCTGTCGTTCGAGGATGGGTCAATGAGCTGACAGGGCGAGGCGATAACGCCGCGGCCGAGACGCATGTGCCCAACGAGAGCGAGATTTCACAGTTGACAAGCATGTTCCCAGACATTCAACGAGATGTCATCGTCGCGGCCCTGCAAAGGAGGTGCGGCTTTCTCCATGTGTATCTTTCGACAGTTGACTGATTGTAAGAACTCAACATCTGTTTGTACCTATGGATGCAGCCCAAACGTCGAGCTTGCTGTGGAGATGTTACTAAGGTCATCCGGATAGCTTTGCCTTACACCGCCGAAGCTCATCCTGCGCACAATGAGCGCACTTGCGAAGTATCAACACACTATTGTACACCGGAGTGTCTTGATGGCTGTATTGCAATGATCAGGGCATATCTCTCAAATTTCACTATTGTTTGTTACTCCATCATGTCAAGCTGCCGACTCAGGTTCATCTCCCTCGAATGCTTCCCCTTCATCGTCCTCGGTCGTGAAGGCGGTCATAGGGACCGCGTACAGGCGGATCACGGACTAGAAACAAGATCAGCACTCGTAGCAGATCTTAATTTGTCTAGTTAATCTCACCTTGTTGGGATCCTTCACCAATACATACTTGCCTTCAGGCATCTTCATACAGAGATCGGTGACAGTGCGAACAATACCCCATCCGTTTGCGAAGGACACATTCAGTTGGGCAGCGAAGTCGGTCGGGCGCAACGAAGCAGTGCTGAGGATCACATGTCTCGAGTTGTCCCTAGGGTTAACTCGAGAGATATAACTGGAAGATATGTCAATACATAACGGTATCGGTGGAGAGAAGCGCATAGCGTGCAAATGCAACATGCGTTAAGCGACGCGTCACGAGAAAACACTTACCCCAGTTTCATGAGCTCAGCCCCTGCCAGCACACTCTGCACCGTCCACTTGGCGAGCTTGCAGCTATTGTTCTTCATCTCCGTAGCAACGACAGCTCCTCTTTGTGAATCAAGCTTGGAACGCCAGTCTGGCGCTCCGCCTGCACCTTGTGCACGCGAATCGAACTCATTAAGCGCACGAATCGTAATCAGGCCGTGGCCATCTTGGGGATTTCCTGGGCCCGGAACGTAGGCATCGACCTCAGTTCGAACGCAAAGCTTAATGTCTTCGTCTTCTGTAATGCCGAGATCGAACACACGATAACGATAACCGCAAGAAGCAAGTGGTTCTGTTTCCCCGGGACCATGGAAGGGGTTTGGATGAGCGAAGTCGACCGGTGGCGGGGCAGAGCTCTCGACCACCGACTGGAAACCAAAGTTCTGACTGATGTATGTCGCCTCAAGTGACAAGTCAGTAGCAGAGTTAATCGAGGGCGTATCAGGAGCAGTCTGCTTGTCTTGAGGGTTGTTGGGGTTGGAAGGTGTGGGGTCTTGAGGTGGGTCGGCCGCATTCTCGTTAACCGTGACATGGTCGAACATACCACCGTCGCGCTTATCGAGGAACAAGTTGTCCCCCTCGCGAATAATGACGATGTCCCAAGGGTAGACTGATCTTGGGGCAGTCATCAGCACACTGAGGATAACATCAGTGGTGTACACCTTTGCGGTGTTTTTGGCAGCGAGCTGAAGAGATATGGTCAGTACACTGGTTTTCAGCTTCCATCCTCCCTTCGTACCTGCTGGATGACAGGGTCATCAGAGGTCGTCGTGTTGTACTTGAGGCGATCGAAGCTCTGCAACGGCTTCTCGGTCTTGGTCGTTATCCGGTCGTAGGACTTGTCGTACGGGAAAATACGCCCGTAGTTACCACTGCAATCGCGTTAATGTACCAAATTGCAACATTCGTTTAGATAGGCTTACAGATCCTCGGGTTCGTCAACGTCAAGACGAAGCTTAGCCAAGCGATGGAACTCGATCTCTTCAAGCATCTGCCATGACGGCGAGATCGCCACCGACGACTCACGAGTGCGGTTATTCTGCAAAGTTCAAGATCAGCCTTCGAGTAGATCAGATTGACACCCGTAGATCATACCTTCTCCCAGTCCCTCATGCCTCTCCTTCCGCCCCTCTGGCCACCGCTCCTGGGTGCAGTATTGTAGCCACCGCGCGATCCACCCCTGGAAGTACCACGGCTAGCAAACGAACTATTACCGCGCGCAGATCCTCTGCCTCTCGCGAAACCACCCCCACGACGGGGTGGTGCGGCCTTGTTGTCGACGACAGAGAAGCTCGACTCGTCCTCGATGTGGAAATACGAGAAAGCGCTCGCGGTGCCGCTCCCGAAGGCCTGCGCGCCGTCCCTGCGACCACGGCCGGCGCCGCCGCGAGTGTTTGTGGCCGCGAGAGGACCGGTGTTGGTCTGTCTGCCGTCGCTGGTAAGATCATTCCAGTCGGCGAATCTGCCAAGCTTGTCGGATTTGGAGTAGGGAGCATAAGGAATGTCTTTGAACTTGAGCTGCTCTGGGACGTTAGAAGACGACGGACCCCAGCCGCCGTCAGGGTTGTCGTGAATTTTGGGGAGGGAGAAGGAGGCCATGGTGTATGCAGGGGTGACCGGTGACCGTTGTGTGCTAGATAATCGCGGCGAGATTTTTGAGTTTAGCGGCGCATCAGTCCGTGGGAACCCAGACTCGCTGTCCCTCATTGTCAACCATGAAGTAGGTATGATCGTTAAACACACAACTCGTTCACATAAGCCAACTTATCGCCTTTTAACTCCAGTGTTGTACGCGAAATAAATAGAATAAATGAACAGGAGCTGAAACTGGGTGTAAGTGGCTCATGGCACGACGAGTACAAAGGTACGCATTGTTGTAGCTGTCTCCCCGAGCACCACTAATTTAGCACCTCCCAAGACTCTGCATACATCTATGTTGGCGGTCTTCACTTTGACTTGACAGAGGGAGACGTCATCACCATATTCTCTCAGTAAGCAATCCCATTTCCCCAACTAAACGTTCATCTGAACATGGTATTGAAGATATGGCGAGGTCATGGATGTGAACCTGCCTCGCGACAAACACACCGGAAAGACGAAAGGTTTCGGCTTTTTGATGTACGAAGATCAGCGTTCCACAATTTTAGCTGTGGACAATCTTAACGGCGCCAACGTTCTGGACAAGACGCTTCGTGTGGACCACGTCAAGGATTACAAGCAACCTAAGGAGAAAGGCGATGATGGAGAATGGCATGAACGAGATGAGCAGAGCATGAACGCGAAACCTGAGATAACCATGGGTGAGTATCCACGTTCCATCCTATCGTATTCAAAGCTAATAATTTTTAGAAGATGGCCCTGCTTCAGACTCTGACGCGTCTTCCACACACTCCATCGATCCAGAGGATCCCATGCGAGACTTCCTCATCGCCCAACGACGAGAAGAGAAGGCGAAGAAGGCGAAGAAGACAAAGTCTAAAGACAAGCACAAGGACGAAACACCAGAGGAGCGTCGGGCACGTAAGGAGCGCAAGCGCGAAAAGAAGGCCAGGAAGGAGAAGAACAAGTCTCAGGGCATCAAGGGCGTAGAGGACCTCCTCAAGTCGCTTGGGTCTGGTCCATTTGGCGACCACGACCGTACCCGGTCCCCCGACAGCGACGGACGTAGAGGCGGCCGCGACAGGTCTCCACGCCCTCGGTCGCGAAGTCGGCCACCGCCCTCTGGGAGGAGCGCGCGTTCTCGAAGCCGGACACCCGTTGGCCGCCATGCCGATAAACGCATGCGAAGTCCCACCTCGGAACGCTCTAGAGACCGCGAGTATTCTGGGCGACGCTACAACCGTGAGGAGCCACGACGCGGCGGTTCTGACTACGACTACCACAAGACCAGGAGAGATTAAACCTCGACTGCTAGTTCATCCTGCGGATTTGTTGTTTGACTTGTTGGTACCGTGTTCCGCTCCTTCAAATAATTGTCCCGACACTACGATGCCGAAGAAGCATGATCTATTCTTTATAGTTGACCCGCGACACTTGTCCGGATGGAGTCTTTTCTCAACATAATACAGACGCCTCCTTTTGCGAGGCTATCACAGCTTTTCACTTGATGCCCGAAACTACATAAATCCATCCTGACAGGTGTGGGAGGTCAACTTCTTCGACTTCATTGCTTGCCTCCAAGGTACTTACCAGAAGACCCTAGAGCAATTAACAGACACCTATCCAACACTCACGAGCGCTCGATGACGCGGTCATCGTGGAAGACGTTTCATGGCAAATGCCCAATGCGCTGCAAGTAGCGACACACGATACAAGCGTGGAGTATTCACATGCCACGCCCTGATCGAGAGAGCGAGCCGCCTTCTTTCCTTTCGTCATATAAATGAGCTAAATCGACAGGAAGAATTCTTCGCGGCGGATCGCGAGCTGTTCTGAGGCACGAGGGACAAAGCTAACCGAGCGGTGAGAAGGTGTGCGGGGGCGAGGAGGCGACAGAAGCCCCATGTGGATCTGGAGACATCTGGGGACTCGAGCAGACTGCCTATCAGCGGTGCAAAATTAGCAACATTCACTTCCCGTATGTTGACGGGCCCGTTCCTGTGGGTGAAGGAACAAGCGCGCGACCCAGGACGCCGGCGTGGTGCGCCCAACGTACAGACGTTGGCCGAACGAGGAAGGCCAGGTCCACCAGAGTTCGTCAGGTTCTCGAGTACGCGCGGACGTGTGAACGCGTTAACAAACAGGCGCGCAACCCTGCATCTTTCCAGTTCCTTTCGAGATGCGTTAATCTCTGCAAGTACATCCGATCGGACCCGGTGCGGGCGGACGGTTCAGACTGCCCGCAGGAATGTCATGCAGTGTTTTCTCTCGGATCGAAAGTTTCTCACAGTCGGTGCATCATGAGGAGAAAGCTTATCTTGTGCTCCTGACAATGCCGATGAACGCATTGTCGTCAGGGCGCCGGGACGGAAGTATTCGAGGATATGTACTCAGGCTTTCTTTTTCCTCTTAGGGTTTAGTTAGGACAGGGCCCCGGAAGCTCCCCTCAAGGTTGGTCCGCTATAGTATATTTTGATTACCATATATGGTAAGGAGGTTTGTCCGGCACAATAGTATATTTTACGCTGGAGGGGCTGATGTTTGTCCGACATAGTATATTTTTGACCCGTGAGAACAGATATGTTTGTCCGACATAGTATATTTCTTGGCCCCTGATGGGTCGATGTTTGTCCGGTATAGTATATTTCCCATATGAGTAAAAGTTGCTGGTTGTCGATCTGCAATGCCGAAAGACACTGCAAGCCACATCGAGTTGTAGGACAGTGCCATAGCAAATGTGATGGTTGTCTACTTGTACCTCAGGCCCTGCTCAGAAAGGAGTTTGCGTTCGAGAGTTTGGGCGAGCGCGACAAGAGTGCGATCTTGCTTAACCTGCTTCGGCAGGTGCTCTAAACCTCTCCCCAAGGTAAAGCACGGCGAGTAGTTGTAGTTGTAAAGCGCATATTACTTGTACATTGTTTCACACTGCCTCGAAATTCTCCGATAATGATCTTAGCAAGATAAGCTAGCACACATCAAATTTTCGTGGACACATTAATATTGGCTCTGGAATCTGGGTAGCCTTACTTTCCTATAGCTTGAATGTTCATATGTACGTGCATGCCTCCACTGCAATATACCATCTTGGACCTGAGGCATTATTAGTGACAATCATAGTTGTCTCTCTCTCAGAGTCGACACCAAGTCAACACCTCCAGTTAGTACTATATGGTGGGATAAGTATTCTAATATAGCCAGTGCTCGTCCGGCAGCTTCCAGAGCCTTTGTTCTCAGGTACTATATTGATACGGTCATGCATGAAGAGCTGCAGTTTACCTTACCATAATCTTCCTGATACCCTTGTATGTTGGTCCGCCATAATATATTTTCGTGAGAACTTGTGCATATGTTGGTCCGACATAGTATACTATCCCACGACATAGGGGCTATGTTTGTCCGGAATAGTATAATATCGTGGGAATTCATAGTATATTTTGACCCCAAATCGACCATTTTGGCCGGACAAACCTTGAGGGGAGCTTCCGGGGCCCTGTTAGGACTGAGGTCCAGCTGGAAGTGCCCACAATGCTCCGAGCGCCAAGGAGTTGGGCGCGTACGTACGCGTCGAATGCTGAATCAACATTCGCGAAGCTCGGTTAGCGAACTCGTGGACCGTGATGGGCCGGTGGCGCAGCGACAACCATATGGTCCAAGGTGCAGATTAAACGTTCGGAGGAAAATTCTCGTTCTCTTTGCTTAGCTTAGCTTCTGAAGGCTTCTTAGCTGACGAAGCACGGACGAATTTTCTGCATTACAAAGGTGATTGGCCACCGCAGTTCGATATGACGCAAAGAAGCACAGAATAACATCCCACTCAATGTGCACACAGATCTACCTCATGCAATATGAACATTCAAGGAAGTTTTATGTAGAAGACAGTTTGAACTCATTCGCGTGAACTTTCTATCAGACAAACGAGCAGCATGACTATTACCTGTTTCGAGCGATATGCACGAAAAACATGTGGATTGATTGTTGGGACGTATGAAACACGGCATTGGCATGAACAGCTGATTCAGTGACCTGCTTCGAAGGTATGTACAAAAAAATTTCGACTGCCTTTGAAGATCTGCGAAGCTCGGACATTGGCAGGAACAAAAAGAGACGAAAGGTCGAATATTAATCTTAGCGATACACATGGTTACACATACACGAAACACTAGACTGCAGTGCTGCAGTCGCACGAGATTACAAAATTTACACCGCAAGTTAAAATGACAAAAACCAGCATCTGAACAGGCCAGCGCATCGCTCCACTGTGACCCTGCATTGTCTGAAACTGGAGGGGATACACGAGACAGCATGTGCGTCGAGTTGCAACGGCTGCTGAAACGTCCCCGTAACATGGAAGAAGGTAGAGAGGCTATTTCATGCCCATTCATCCGTCCACACCGCGGACGCGCTCCACATATGCCTGCGCAGGCGATAACAGCGGACTCGAGGGCCGAGTCGTCTGCTGCGAGTGCGGGTACGAAAGTGGATGCGGGTGTTGCTGGTGCGGGTACTGGTGCTGATAGTACTGGTGCGGTAGCTCCACGTCGCGGCGTTGCTGCTGGTGAAACGTATACGACGGCTGCCTCCTCAGTAGCTTCGCCCTCCCGTTCTCGGCCCTATGCTCGGGCGACGTCTCCGCCTGGCTGGTCCAATTATTCGTGGTATTACTGCTACCACCCAGCCCGAACCGGCGGAGGAGCGTGCGGCTCGCCCAGGCGACGGAGCGCGCGGCCATCCGGCCTGCGATCCACTGTGCGATGCCCATGCCGGGGACTAGGCCGATGACGTCCTTAACGTCCCAGATGTCGCGGTGGTACGTGATGCGGCCCTGTTCGTTGAAGGAGAGTTTGGTGTGAATGTGCAGCTGGAAATGGAGGGGGCTGGGTATCGCCAGTGAGGTTCCTGGGACCGGCAAGGATGGATCGGACGGGTAGTGACCGTATACCGATACGTGCAGTGGGCGATTCAGCAGCGGCGACTCTGGAGTGGGGATGCGGGGCGCAGAGGAAGCTCCGGAGTGGGGTGTAGGTGGTTGGTGTGATGGTAATGGTCGAGGCCCGAACGATCCGGTATGTAGACCAGGGAGAAGGAGGATGTTGAGCGTATGCTCAACTGTGTTGTTACGATGCCCATCTATTCAAGCATGAGCAGTTCATCACCTGCCAACTTAGAAGAACGGGATTGCATACCGACATTCTCGCTTTCACTTATCTCGCCCACTTCGGACCAGACGCGAAGGCCCCTGAACCACGGATCACCAGAGCCATCACCTTCCGGCGGTCGAAGACGAAGCAGGATGTACAGCATCGCCAGGGGTTTCGGTATATCCACCGAGGACAGCCGACGTGTCAGGTTATAGATGTCAGATATGATCGAGCGAGACGTCGCCGTCAGCAGTGGATTCTCGTATCTTTTGAGACAGACACAACATAAGTTAGGTGTATGATACGGAAACAAAGCTCACAAGCACTTACACTAAATAACGCCAGGTCAAGCTACATTTGAAAAAGCACAGACAGATAAAACATACCAGCATTGGGTTCGTAGAAGGATTCGGCGTCTAAGAAGCTCGAGGCAGGCGAGTTTCCGTACATATACTCGCATATGTCGAGCGCAGTGCCTTGCCTTGACAGTACCGACAATTCACTGGATCTCGCAGGCCCGTCGACCAACCGCACTTGGTCCATAGAAAGCATGGAAGCATTCCGAGACTCCGTGCTTGCATACTTGGAAGGAAACTGGACTGTCGAGCCCATTGCTTCTTGGTCTTGCTCTACTTCGATGTGTTGACCCTGACAATAGTGATGCAGGGCTATTGAATGGGTATGGATCGCGTGAGAGGGAAAATGGACAAGATGGAGAGCATGTTTACCCAAGGCGCGGGCGTGCCACCGCTCCAGGGTACGAGCTCTGTGTGTTCCGGTCCGGGGTCGCACGCGTCGCATTTACCCAGCTCAAATGGTCGCAGCTCAGTACTAGGCCGTGATTTCCCCTGCACGAATCACTATCCTTTTTACTTCTATAACTACACGATCCTAAAGTAATCATGCGATAGGGAGGTGAGCAAGCAAGCGTAAGATCCTACAAAACAACCATAGGAGACAAAGGACATATTCACATCTCCCAAAGCTCAATCTTGACCTCGCCTGCTGGTCTCTGTCCCAGTACCTCTACACACTCCGCCACCTGGCACCAAAATTCAATGTGCGCCTCTGACATCATCCGGATCGTCACCAGCCGAGGAAAGAGCCACTCGAGCAGGGGTGCAAACCATTCCACACCCGGTGTCCTGCTACCTCCCGCCGGAATCCGGAACAATGCCTTATTGATGTGTTCGTTGCGGGTCGCATTCGACCCACGCGCATCCTCGAGGACTACCTCGCGGTAAACGGTCATCACGTCGGCGTTCTTGACGAGTATTTCGGTGTCGAGGACGCGCAGGTGCTTGCAGCACCGAAGGAGCTCGGCAAGCTCCGTGATTCGTAAGGGCTGGCGCACGCGCCGAACGCTGAGGAATTCGACCAGTGGCCAGCTTTTGGCGAGGTCGAGCAGCTCTAAGCCCTTGAAAAAGACGTGGTTGGTGTACGAGTTGCAGGAGAACGATGTGAGCTGTGTGAAAGCAGTTAGCGGTCGGAGGCTCGGATAGGCGCCAGTTTTGAGATAGTCGGTATCGTCGCCGCGCTGATCATTCATGAGGATATCGAGAGAGCTGAGAGATGCGGGGGAGACAGAGGTGGCGAGTGAGTTGGCAAAGGCAAATATGGCCGGGTCAGAGGGACAATCCACCCTAGCTATGACAGAAAGTGCCGTGACCGATGCGAGATCATTCTGGTTGGGACCTTCCTTGTCTGATACCTTGAACAACAAGTCCAGTGCCTTACCGCATGTGGAATAACGGTCTGCTCGGATGTTCAGGCGGTTGACCGCCGGCATCCCGAAGGTGTCATCCTCAATTATCCACTTCGATTGAGCATACACGTCGATCGACAGAGAATTCAACCTTGGCAAGTGAGCAATGCGTGAGAGCATCTCAGGGCTCATAAGGCCACAATCCGCATCCCGGAGGTGCTTCCACGCGCACACAGCTTTTGTGACCGGAACCGAAGGCTCGATACTTCGAGAGCCGGTCGCAGGACGTTTAAAGTTGGGGTTAATCGCCTTGAACGTCTCCAGTAAGGGGCAGCGATTGACCAAGGATGGCATACGCTTGAGTACTGTGAAGGCGTCGCCACGTACTTCAAAGTAGCGCAGAGACGGGCTGCAGAATATGTCGTCGAAGAGGACGGCAGTCCCATCCGCCCAGCACATCAGGTCGCGAAAGCTCCGTAGGTTCGGGAAGAGACACGGGACCGGACATTGCTTCAGGTAACGCCGCACCTCTGCAGACGCTCGTACTTCGCAGCCTGGGAGCTCGGTTATGCTTTTGACTCGGGCGCAGCGTTTGATCAGAAAATCCCATTCGCTTGGACTAAGAGGTCGGTTGAATGACTAGAGGCTGGTGATTGAGGTTCACAAGGTTCAATAGCAGAATGGTGAGCTCACCAAGACATGTTGTGTTCTCGGACCAAGGTTGCTGACGTGCTGCCACCTCCACAGGTCCGAAGGCAAGCAGGTGAGAAAGCGATATAAGCAAACAATGTGTGTATAGAGGACATCGACGGCAAGATGGTGGAAAGTTCTGCAGACCCTCGCGAGCCTTGCCGTTGTCGCCTTGCTGTCAGCATCAGCAAGGTAAAAAATGTCGAGAAGAATATCTGAGATGGACAAGCAACGATGCATCGTTGAGACGTGATAAATTATATGGGCCTGTTTGATATAGCCAGTAGAAGAAAGACAAGGGCCCTGTGTTTGGAAGATCACCACGTATTCACCCCCGGAGAAGAACGCCAACACCAATGTCGTGGTGAGTCGCGAACGAGCGCTCGGATAGGGGCAAGAGTGAACGTGGGAATCATTGCAGACTCTCGGGCCGCCTTACCCACCCAAAAACGATCTCTTTAACACACAACACGTCCTCCAAGAGATGTAGAACGGCAAATAATTTGCTGCAATGGAGATCTGTGCAGCTCAAAATCTGACGAAACGGTTGGATTGCGACTGGTACATACATGCAAGCAAGGTGACAAGCAGGCGTCGTGAACCATCCAACCCAACATTTGGGTTCGGGCTTCGGGCATGCAGCGTAGGGGCTAATATTAGCGCCTCAAGTATGATATGTGAGGATTACTAAGTCGTTTAATAATACGTCATGTTACCGTGTCTAACTCTCAAGTTAGGACCTCGATACAACCTCGATAACTACTGTACGAGCAGAACAACTTTGTTTGCTTTGCATCCGTCCGACTCAACTGGATCTACATTCGAACTAAAGCCAGGATCTCTCTCTTCCACGTAATCCGTCTTTAGACACTTGCTCGTTGGTATACTTCGTCTTGACAAACAGTTCTCCACATCCAATATCATCCTCGCACAAATGCCATCGTACGAAGTCGAACATATCTGTCCCCTGAACGAATCCCAAAGGGACGAGATTGCGGCCGCCATCACCCAGATTCACTGCAACGTCTTCTCAGCGACTCGCCTATTTGTGAATGTGCGATTTACGGACGTATCAAACCATCACACGTATGTTGCAGGTAGAAAGGTCAGCAGAAAACCATCTCCTAATTTGCATAGCTCTTTCTAAAAGCTGGCTGTTTTTCTGCTTGTGCGCCGGAAGGCCAAGACCAATCGCATCCTCGCCAACATTCGCTGGGGCCCGGCGCGAAAATCCAGCCAATCCGACGACCTCTGCAATGGCATTTTAACCGAGTGGAAGAAGATTGTTGGCAGTGAAGGCGATAAATCGCTGGATACGATATTCGTTCTCGGCAGCCTCATAGGCGGCTTCGAGCGTGGCTTCCTCAAACCCCAAGTAGGGTGCGACCAGGAATGGGCAGCTCAGAATTTGCAAGCTTTCAAGAAGTTGGCTGAGGCGGGTGACCAAGACTTTCAAGAATTGGTGGATGCCATTGAGGGAGAGCACGCATTCCGTTAAGTTCAAGTTCATGTAGTATTTGGGCTAGATACGAGAGTCAGGCATTCAGGGTACTAAGGTGCTAAGCGTTGGTCTGCGTCATCGTATGGTATTCAATATTCATCCATGTATGACCTGCCTTGGCCGAATAAATGCTTGTAGGGCTTCCCAATGCATTCGGAATGTGCTTTGAGTATCATGGACTCGGAAAATATGTTGACGGTTTGCGACGCGATTGAGTTGATGAGAGTGTGTCTGTTTCAACCCAAACAAGTTGAATCCCCACAAGCACGGATGGCGATCGACTATCAATAATACAAGTTTCAAACTGAAACACAGTTGGGGGAAAGCATAAAAGTATACTATATGGCAACTCAAGTACTCGTAGTGCCGCCATCTTCGAACTCCTTCCACCGTGACCTTGAAGTCACTGAGTTAACCAGCTTCAAAAAGCTCTTCTGGTAGGTCTTGAGCTGCGGTAGTGGAGATCAGGGATTCCGTTGTCCCTCGCTAATTCATGGTTGGTACAGCTTGGTTGTGCTGCGCGATGCTGCGTTTGCGGAATGTCCCAGGTCTTGGCGAATAACCAGCTACCAACCAGCTACGGATGGCCGAATCAGGGGCGTGAGTTGCCTAATACACAGGCGCGGAGTCCAACTCAACTCGCGGTATTCGCTCGGCAACCCTAAAAGGGTACCGAGAGGCTCGCCACTTCGAAGTGGCGATGAACGACCCATTACTCTTTTCGGCCCGGTTCATATGGACCACACAACATGTCTACCGTTATTCGTTCAATGATACACCTGATCCCCACGTTAGAGCTGATACAGTGGCAGGATATGAGAAAATGCTATGCAACGGGACGGCATGGCTGGCTGGGCCGCAGCCACTCAGAATGTCATATATATAACTGTCTATGCCATGCAGATCATCATCCACGCCCTTTCTGTGCTCTGTTTTCACCGCTTGTAATTAATGTCCAGAATGGCGACCCTCGCTTTCTACCAGAGGAAGAATATCCTACCATCTATGCTCTTCACACTTGCTCTGCTGTCTCAGTGCGTCAATGCTGGTCAGTACATTTCATCTGTTTTCTTCGACATTAGATCTAATGTAAAAACCGGAATAGACAGCTCGAACTCGACCACATCAAGCGATGGTCCCACTTTGGTTTCGCTGGTTTATCGTGAGTCGTTAAAGAAGGATTTACTACGAAGATTATGTAAAGACCGCTGACATGACTAACTAGACTACAACCCGAGCAAGCCCGTTGCAGTCGTCGCTGGGGCTCTCTATGCAATTGCTGCCATCCTGCTCTTCGTGCGGCTCTATCGAGCTCGAAGTTGGTGGGGTCTCTGTCTTCCTATTGCCGCTGCTGGTGAGTGCCTCGGTTAAGGTTACTAAGGACCAGGCTCACTTTGACCCCCGTATGCAGTGATGTCTATCGGCTTCTTCCTGCGCGTCCCGATGGCTCTGAACCCCAACAGTCTCGGAATATTCTTGATGCAAGATTTGTTCATCATCCTCTCACCAGCCGCGTTCCTGGCGTTCAACTACATGCTGTACGGCCGACTTCTCACTCGCTGTATCGACCCAAAGCACTCGTGGATCCGGCCTCAGAGAGTCGCCCGCATATTCTTGATAAGTGATTTTCTGACGTTTAACATTCAGGTACGTCATCTTTCTACTATTCCATTGTAGACTCAAAGATACTGACCTTTTGCTCTTTGTCCCAGGGTGATGGAGGTGGGCTTCAGGGGTCTAGAAACTCGACTTTGAAGACAGTTGGCGGCCTCATCCTACTAGTTGGTCTCATTCTGCAAACACTCTCATTTGCCTTCTTTATCGTCCTCGTTATTCATGCGCATAGGAGTCTGCAAAAAGAGAATATCAAAGTATCAGACCACCGCTGGGGAACGTTGTTCAAGCTGATCTATTTTTCGTCGTTCTTTTTCCTGGTAAGCCCCCTATACCTAGTAATCCGTCGTCTGTTTTGGCTGAGGGTAAATCAACCTGCCTCATTCCAGCTGCGCTGTGTGTATCGCACCATTGAGTATGGACAAGCCCAAGGTGGCACCGGATATTTACAGGATCACGAAGGTACGCATAATTTGTTCTCGTGCGCCATATTTGTTGCTCATTCCCTCCGTGTCCAGTCTTTTTCTATGTCCTCGATTCACTGGCCTTGCTCGTCGGCATATCTGCTTACATTGGCTTCTGGCCAGATAATTATCTGCCTCAGGAGGTTCCGACATCGTCTTCCCAGGTTCTGCTGAGAGAAATCGCCTGAAAGTCCATGTTATACCCCCAGAATTTGGACAGATTTGATCAATAACTCTGAAGCTCGGACTTGCACATGTTACCTCTGTTCTTGCTTATTTAGATTTATATTGCACAGAGAATATAATATTATGCGCCACTATAGGGTTTCTGGTGGACATTGTCATGTTGAGAGATAGTTTATGTTAGTGCCATGTAGGGACTACGCACATTGCATTCGAGGTATTTGTATCCTTCATTTAGATCAGCAAGCGGAAAATTGAAGTACATATGTCCCATGATTGTATAAGGCAGCCAACCTGGTCTAGTATCATAGTGTGATGATCAACCACAACCGTTCATCAAAAGGCTCGAAAATATCACTCGATGCGGAAGCTGCCATCAACGTGCTATACTGCATCTGACATCATCAATTAGCGGCTATGCGATCTAGGGTATTTGTGGATAGTCAGACAAATCATATAGCTACAGTACTAGTGTACGATACAATGCGGTGGGTTTCGCAATACAACTTCAAAGATGAGATTTGATGGGGCTGCCGCGGGGTGGAGGAACGCTAATCTTGTTGTGCACGCCGGAAAAGTACAGCCTCTCTTTGTGTTTGTCCCACACCTAATTATCAATAAATTCATGAGACGAGAAAGTGAGTTAAGGACGTAAGTGTGTGATTACCTCGACACGTCCAGATTTAAGTTTATCTTCAGCGGTGATCGAAGTTGCAATTACCCGGAGCGTTGTTCCTCTGTGACATGCATGAGTGTTTGCTAAATTGAAAATAGATTGACCTACATCCGAGGTGCGTTATGATAGACGATGTTCATCGCCTGCGAGACGCCAGATCCATCAACTCCTTTTGCAACACCAAGTGCAATCAGTGGCATTGCAGCGCCACTGCTCTAAATGGTCAGACATCCTAGGCGAGAGGCAAACAGCCAGACGGGACTTACACATCAACCATGTACGCTCCACACGCGCCGTGGACAATGCCATAGACATTGCACATCTCCTCGGTAACGTCTGCCTCGAGTATGACGCGAGCCTCTAGAGCACCGGATGCTCCGTGGTACACATCAATGCTTGTCAGCCGTAGATGACGACCAGTGGAAGAGCCAAATGTCCCAATGGGTCCAATGAAGAAGAAGAAGATCTTGGCATTGAGCTGCTTGTCTGCGTCGGATATGTTTCCACAAATGCCAGTGACATCAGCAGTTGGAAGAGACTTATAGAAAGCTAAGGGATCTTCCCGGGTCTTCGTTGAAGATGTGGGTTGCATCACGATCGATGAGTGAGTAGAATGGGATGTAGTGGAGGTTATGTAGGATTCAGCTGGGAAGCTGAGCGATTTAACCAGCAGCCGGATTGAGATGGATCACCCATAGTATCCACGGTAAAATATGGAGCAGAGCTGTGTGTATAGCCCAACCCCGACACTCGGGGAGTGCTGATAGAGCATGATCTAGCATGATCCAAGGGCCTCTAAGAAATGATCTTGAACCGATTCACAAGAGTGACATGCTTTGTGCCAGCTCAGAGGTTCCGGCGGTTAGCCACGATCTGCCAGGACGCAACCTGACGCAACGTGGCGACGATCGAAAGCCACGAGGATGATCGAGAGCCACAGGCACTATGCGGGGTAGAAGGGGGTAGATGTCGATTCGTGTACCAGTCGAACGGCACAAACACGTACCTACATTGGTGTTGAAGGCTCCAGTATTCGACAACATAAAACTTGCAGAGGTTTGTCACTGTGTGCCTGGTTCGACCGAATCATGGTGGAGGTAGGTACAGGAGTGGCTGGGGGATCTTCGATCGCAATCGGGTATTAATAGTAGACAGCTTCCGCTCGATGAACGGGCCGTCTTGAGCCGGATGCCGACATTGACAGCGCGAAAAAGTTAGCAGACGTCGCTGGTGCCAGCGCTCGCGATCCCGACTGGGTCACTTCCAACATGTCGATAAACACCCCACGCAAGAAAGCAAGACTCCCAGTCAATGGAGACCGTCCGAACGGGAAAACACTTGCCAGCCAGGACCTACAGCGTCAGCGCGAGCAGCTTCCGATAGCTAAGGGTATGCACCAGATCACCGGTCTGATGTTTCTAGCGACTAAACCCTGACCGTCTGTTCGGAATCCTCTGTTTCGCAGGTAGAGATGCCCTCGTCGACGAGATCCGACGGAATGATGTGACGATTCTACTCGGAGAGACAGGATCTGGGAAGACCACTCGTGCGTTGTTCACGTCCGGGATCTTTGGATTGCTCACTCTATCGTTTCAAGCACAGAAATACCGCAATATATCATCGATTCTGGGATTGCAGGCGGTGGTGTTGTTGCTGTCACACAACCCCGGAGAGTTGCAGCTACCTCCCTGGCTGCTCGCGTCGCTGCGGAGCAGGACGTTCAGCTCGGCGATCTAGTCGGCTATTCCGTTCGGTTCGATGAGGTGGCGTCTCCCAGTACACGTATCAAGTATCTTTCGGATGGTATGCTCGTTCGCGAGCTCCTCTCGGACCCGATTCTCTCGAGATACAGCGTCATCATTGTTGACGAGGCGCACGAACGAACACTACGGACAGACTTCTTAGTTGCCAATCTGAAGGCAATATTGGCAAAGCGAAACGGAGGTGGAGGAACTCACACAGTCACAAACGGTCAGAGTGATGCCAAAGGAAAGGGGAAGAAGAGAGCTGTGGAGAACCCGCTCAAGGTGATCATCATGAGTGCTACCCTCGACGCGGAGAAGTTTAGCAGGTTCTTCAACAAGTGCGTATTACCTCCCTGCAACCTACTTCGCCCTAACGTAGACGCTGGTGCAGTGCTAAGGTGCTCTACGTGAAGGGTCGCCAGCATCCCGTGCAGACGTTCCACACGTCAGTAAGCCAGATAGACTACGTCGATGCTGCTCTACGGACATTCTTCCAGATACATATCGACAAAGGTCCTGGGGACGTCCTCATATTTCTTCCAGGCCAGGAGGATATTGAGAGCCTTGAAAAGTCGATACAGTCCTACACGCGCCGTTTACCTGAAAACTGTTTGAATGTATGCTCTTTCATCTTGTCTATCAGGCATGCGTCTGATAATTCCACAAAGGTCCTCGTATATCCTATGTTTGCTGCTCTCCCACCAGCACAGCAGGCAAAAATATTCTCTTCGACCCCCAGCGGGTCACGGAAATGTATTCTTGCCACGAATATCGCGGAGACCTCTATCACGATACCCGGCATAAGGTATGTCATCGATACAGGGAAATGCAAGGAAAAGCGATATCTATCTCGGGATACTGGAGGGGGTATTGTAACTTCTTCACGTAACAGGATTCATATGCTCATTACGGATGTAGGATTTGACACTTTACTCACTCAAGACATCACCAAATCTTCCGCCATGCAACGAGCGGGTCGTGCAGGTCGTGAGGTACGCTCAACGCATTTTTGCCCTTAAGCTTTCACCAACCGTGGCGTTCAGGGACCTGGATTTTGTTTCAGATTATACACCGAAGATGCCTTCAACGCAATGGCTGCATCCGCAGAGCCTGAGATTCGAAGGTGTAGTCTTACACAGAGTGTACTAGAGCTCAAATGCCTCGACTATGACCTGGAGACCGTTGAGTTTATGGATATGCCAGAATCTGAAGCCAGCAAGTTTTTCTCTATTTCTCGCCATGTTCCCGAGCCTGACAGATGATGTAGTATTTTCAGCCTTGAAGACCCTCTTCCTCCTCGGGGCCCTGGACCGAACCAAGGCCCTCACGCACCTAGGACGCTCCATGGCCGCACTTCCACTGGAGCCGTATCTTGCGCGGATCGTGCTCGCCTCCAAAGCACACGCATGCACTGCACCTGTGCTTGACATCGTCTCCATCCTCTCAGCCAGCTCGAAACTTTTCGTCGACGTGAGTGAAGCGCGCGACGCAGCCGCCGAGGCCCGGCGCAAGTTCCGGCACCCAAGCGGAGACCACCTTACGCTTCGCAATGCGCTCAAGGCGTACGAGGATCTGTTGGAAGGCGGTAAAGACGACATGGATGTTGACGATGCTCGTGATGGGATGGAGGTTGTGCAAAGCAGCAACCATGGACAGGGGCAGGACGGGAAGAAGGGAAGCAAGGCGAGCAAGGCCGCCCGACGGGAGTGGTGTCGCGCCAATTTTCTGAATGAGAAGACGCTTATGGAGGCGATGAAGATTCGAACGCAGCTGCGAGGGAACTGCGAGCGGCTCGGGCTCGACTGGCGCACGGAGCCTGCGGGCGCATCGGGCGAGGAAGCCGTGCTCAGGTGTTTTGTTGCTGGGCTGCAACAGCAAGCGGCGTTTTTGCAGCCGGACGGGACGTATAAGCAGGTTGTTGGGCAGTCGGTGGGTATCTTCTCAAGTTTTTTGGCGTGGTGGGCTGGGTTGATGAGCTCGGGTTACAGATTGTCAAGATACATCCGGGCTCGACGCTTGGTGACCGGAAGGCGCCGGCCATAATTTATGATGAACTAGTACGTCCTTAGCCGTCGGCGGTGAACAGCGAAAGTCCAACGGTTTCACAGATCTATACGAGCCAAATCTATGCTCGTGGTGTCTCGTCTGTTCCCAGAAGCTTTTTCTCCGGTATGACATCCTCGACGTACGGCACAACATAGACGTTGCCGATGTCGTAATGAGGGCCTAAACGTTTTGGGTATTTGACTCAGCTTGTGAACGCCGAGCCCCTCCAAGATTAGGACGATAGCAAGGTACCACATGCGGGTGCGCTGATCTATGGCTAAAGCCCACAGCCTCTTGGCTGCGTCGCGATCGCCTCTTGTGAGTTTACTCATCTCTTGCACGCCTAGCTTTTCTGGAAGCACACGCTCTCTTTCCACCTGTTGGTTCGATCAAGTTACATAACGTAGCCAGGCCGTAATAGCGGTACAGTTATTTGTAACCAGTCGAATTATGTGGCCAGATGATTGAAATTACACCTGCACAGCCAGTGGCGCCTACTCTTCATTGAGAAATTAGCATATGGAAGTGGTCTTCGGGTGGAAGTCTCCCTCGGCCTAGGAAGTGAGCACAATTTAAGATCGAGCGACCGAATCCATGGTACACGGTGAGATTACAGCTAATTGGGAAATTTTGGACATCCCGCGTTGATATATAGTAGAACCTTACAATGACTGAATATCAGCCAATGCAACGGCATTATCAAATCTGACGTCAACCAAGACCCTGCTGGTCCCTAGAGCTTCGCAGGTTCGCCATTCCTGGGCGTTGAAGCGACCATCTTAGTGTGCGTTCCCGAGGCAACGAGCCTATTGCTGGTGACGTTCCACACCTGGATTACGAGAACGTTTGCGTTAGCATGTGGGTGAGGTTGCGAGGTAACGCCGCTGAAGGAGTCCACACACCTCGCAGTTGGCCGATAGCGCTTGCTTGTTCATCACTGTGGTGGTACTTACGATACGGAGTTTCTCTCCTCTATATAAAAGTCAGCAACAGGCAATAATTAGTCATATTTGAGGCACTTACAGGAGGGCTGGAGAGTGATAGGAGATGTTTATGGCTTGCGATACTCCCATTTCTGGGACACCGTTCTTGGCGAGGCCCATGAGGAATATGGGCATTGTAGAACAGCTGGTGTAACGTCATGAATTGGTAAAGGTGGTAAATTGCTCAAATACGCACTTGTCAATGAGTTGGCCGATACAGGCCCCGTGCAGTATTCTGCCTGCATTCAACATATCTGGAGAAACGAGCACCTGGATCGTCCAGCCGCCGCCATCCAATGAGATATGATATTGGCTTACCTTCCTCCACTGTGACCTCATAAACAACGCGTCCCTCGTCCTTCTTAGGTTCCTCCGCCTTGGGGTTGATGGATACCTCCGTCAAGACAGGCCGGTCCGCGATCCTGGGCTCGTAGCCCTTCATGCCTTTGACATGTGCGGTTTGCTGCTTCCGCCGTTGGTGTGTGGCGTATAGCAATACCTGCTTGAGCATCAGCGGCGCATTTCCCGTTATCTGGGAGGCCTGCTCCTCGTAGGGGCTTAGGTCAGGGACCTCGCTCGACATCTAAGAGGAGTGAGTGAATGGAACGTTGACCGGCTATGCATTCCGCAAGGAAGCCGGATGTGACAGGTCGCTGACAGGGGCAATCGCCGAAAAGAAATTTCTCACGCGATAACTGCGATGCAGGCACCGACGTCAAACTTGCTTTGTCCGTGACACGCAGCAAGGTCATCGTCGCACTTCTGCTTTGTCTCTCGCGTGGTCAGAGGTACAAAGACAGAAAACATCCGCAGAGTTTCTCCGTATGTTCTCAAGACTGATCTCCCTCTGCAGAAGCCTGGATACTTCGTCGAGCGCTAGAAATTTTTGACTAGTTGACGCCTATGGGTGCATATATAACCTCATTTAACCCTATCGTACAACCAATAGGTCAACTGATGATTGGCGAGCGCCGCATTCCCAGCATCATCGGGACCCTGACACCTCCTAGCCCTTCTTCGTCCTCGATACCTTGTACTTGTGCCTTCGGCACGTCAGTCCCTCTCCTGTTTTATCGATAATCTGACAGCTCGCTCCATGCTTCGTCGTTTTCGTGCTTCTGCTCATCCGCATCCGCAAGTTCGCGCGCCTGTTCCTTTTACTTGCATGTCAACGCCGTCGAGAGGCCGCCCCAGAAGAAACCAGCATTTCCTGATTTAGTTCGACGACGAGCTTCGCTTAGCCAATTAATACGTCGTCGAAAAGATGCAAAGTAAGGTTGACATGCAGTCGGATCCGTCGGTTTATAAAGGGCGACGCCTCAAGAGGGTTTCCGAACTCACTCCTTCCCCTTGTGTCCGCTGGCGGAGACGACGTTCATTATGTTTCCTCTCAACCAGCTATTCTCCGCTTTTTCTTTCTTCGGTGTTGTCTTTGCTGGGGTACCATTAATTTGGCATCTTCAAGGTGAGCTTCCCGAGCCTTATTTCCTTTCAGCGTCCTGACGGAATTGGTAGCATGGAATGCCGGGACGTGTATGTACATGATCTGGACAAGCCTCGGATGTGTTGTCGGGTTCGTCGACTCCATTGCCTGGAACGAAGATGCCTCGGACAAAGCCCCCGCGTGGTGTGACTTTGCCGCTCGTTTCTTGGTTGCTGGCAGCGTCGGGATCCCTGCTTCGGCATTTTGTATGAGCCGGAGGCTCTACTACCTCACCACGAGTCGCGATGCTTTAAGGTCGAGTGCGCAGGTTCGCTAACTTCAGAGCTGTGTTCTTTGAATTTTGGGCTCATGTGAACCCAGCGGCAACGCGACTTGGCAGTCGATATGTCGATCACCCTCCTTATTCCTCTGGCAGTCGCGGCAGCGGGTGGGTTTATCGCTTCGAGCTAAGGATGTTCCCTCAACTTCTGTCAACAGCATTCGCGGTTGAAGTTCACCGTTATGCAATTTTCGGATGCGCCAGGAGCGTGTTAGAGAACGAAGGGTGGGTGGAGGCTGCAAAGGAAAAGTGGGGCAAGCGGGGAGCGATAGAAATATGTCCCTCTCGTGGCGGTGGGGCGCACATAGGCGGCGCGAAGAAGGCGTGTTTCTCGACTGGAGAGGGACGCTCTGGAGAGGGACGTGGAACACGTACAGCCGGCGCGAAGGAGGCGAACTTCTCGAATGGAGATGGACGAGGAGAGCGTGGAGCGTCCCTGTAGCGTGGAGGAACACTGTCATCGGACATGAAGTGCTTTTCGAGATAGGCGAGGTAATCTGGGACCACGTCGCTATACCGAGGGGGCGGGGGCTGTTGTTCGGATGGTGGGCGGCGGATGTCGAAGAAGGGCAGAGAAACGCTTCGTAAAGAGCTCAAGGAGAAAAGGGAGATGCCCTCGCCGCCGTTGCTTAGAGTCCTGAGAAACCGTGTATCAGCAACTTGATGGACAGATTCAGACAGCATTGCTTACCCTGTCTTGGGTGAGAACGTTACCGAAAACCATATTGACAGCCCGTCAGCAACGATGCTCCCAATCTCCCGGAACACCTCCTGCGCCTTCCGGTAGAACTTCAAAGCCCTTCGATCAAACCCAAAGCACGTAAACATAATGAAAGCGCATATGGGATAGATCCACCGAGCCAACTCCAGCAATATCCGCTCCGCAGGGAAGCTTCGCCATTGGGCCGCAGAGTATGTTGGAATATCACCAACAACTACGTATGAAACCATGTCGCCGCTAGAGCTGATGACGATATTGGAGAGCCCCAGAGGGATGGTGCAGAGGATGACCAAGGAAATCCACGCCATAAGGCACCAATACTGCCCAGTGGTCATGTGTTTACTGTCTCGGAGCGTCTCGTTGATAAACGAGTTTCGTCTCAGCGCGATACGAAGTGTCAGGCCTGTCCATGTCTCAGTGCCGTTGATGGACAAGGAGGACGGTAAGGCTTACAGACATAGATCGCTGATGCGATACCAAAAATAAAGGGCCACATGAACACGAGCAGATAAGAGGCTGGAGTGTTCGCGGTGATCGGGTAGCACCCAATTTGTTCAATGCCAGCTTACGATTCTCGTCTCTCTTCTCTCAGGGCGTATTTGCCGGCGCGTCTGGTGTCTCGCCCTCTTGTCCCGCGTGTCTCTAATTACTCGAGCGAGATTCCGGGTCTGGCTTGACTATGCTCACCGATGGACATTCTTTATTAAACGACTATCAACGTTTCAACGACTACATACCCCACTTTGCGTCGCTCATTTCTCACATTTTAGACATCGGACTATCTATATCACCGTCGTTTCAAGCTGCATAGAATCATCGCCCACGTATACTCTACCTGCTACTATTTACCCTCTTTCTTTCTTTTTCCTGTTTATCTTTGGTTTATCTTGGTTCGGATTCATCAGACATTGTAGCATAGAAACACCACTTTATATACCTCTTTCTTTATTTTTGTTTCGGGTTGCATTATGTATTTACTATCTCTTGCAAAAGTTAAGGACCTTTTGTTACGTACTGTACGTATTGGTTTCCAAAAATTCTTACCTACCTAATTTTATAGAATTCAAAAAAAGAGATGGGCTCGTCGGAGTGGAGCGCTTGAATTCGGGCGCAATAAGCCGATGTTACTTCGGACCCCGACGTAACGGAATCATGCCCAAGCTGAGAGTGGCACCCCTCGCCCAAGCTCTCAATCGAACCGTGATGACACCCTCGAAACAGTCCGAACATTCATACCATGTGCGCCGCCTCCTGAGTGTGCCTCCCTGCATAGGTCGAGGGCAAACTGGATCCTGAAGCTGGCGATCTGACCGACCTGATCTTAAACAGGCGCAATACGGCTACTTCATCGCGCATACCAGTCTACCAGACGTTGATAGGGCGCTAGCTCACCATGCAGTACGTGTTGTGCTGTTCAAGGAGCTCGAGTAAAGATGGGCTGAACCAGACATGACGGGATAAACCTGTCATATATAGCAAGTGGTAAGTGGCCAACTATATGGCTCCGCTTTCCCAGCTCGATCTCTAGCCCATGATCCGTGTAGCCTCCACGATTCGGTCTGATAGATAGGTCCCCCGATCGCTGGTCCAAGTTAACAGAAAAGGTCGAGAGGCTGAACTCGGAATCGGAGGAATCGGAAAAATACAAGGTCATCTTCCTCGGTAGACACGGAGAGGGTGTCCGTGAGTGCGAGACCGTTCTTTTGGCCATGGCTAGGTCGTAACAGGCCTCCCAGATAATGTCGCTGAAGCGAAGTATGGCTCCAAGGTAAGGGGGCAATTGCTTCTACGCGAGCTGCTCAATGGACCTTGGGTATGTGCAGGAGTGGAACCGGTACGTCATAGCTTCGACCAGCTTGCCACAGTCGCAGGGTGACCGTTTTCCAGGCATTGGGCAAGAAAAAATGGCGACGGGAAAATGACTTGGGGCCGTGAGTACTCGTTTGAGGTTATTTGAGCTCAAACAAATGGTTTCTAGCGGACCCCGAGCTGACCAGCCGCGGCGTCAGCCAGGCTGAACTCGTCAATAAGTATTGGAAAGACGAGAAAGAACGACAAGCGGGTCTTCCAGAACCCGAGATGCTTTACAGTAGCCCATTCACGCGCGCGTTGGACACATGCAAAATCAGCTTTGCGGACATACTAAGTCGCGGACAGAAGACGCTCGTTGTCGAGGTCTGATATTGCTTTCTGTGGTATAGCCAAGTTCTTATTCACGAATCCATATGCCAGAATATTCGTGAGCATAATGGGGTAAACACGTGCGATAAGCGTAGGACGCGCTCATATATCGACAAAAGGTTCCCTGAGTTTGATATCGAGGATGGGTTTACGGAAGAGGACGAGCTGTGGGAGAAAGATAGGCGTGAAACAGAGGAGGAGATGGAAGACAGGGCTAGGAAGGTGATGGACCTAGTTTTTGAGAGACCAGGCACTTGTGAGTACGACGCACGCAACGTTCTGGATGGTGGCTGAACGCGAGCAGTTGTCAGCATAACTGCTCATAGTGGTTGGGCGAGGGTTGCTCTGCGCGTGGTGAATCATGACGCTTATAAGCTAAGCACTGGCGGTAAGCATTCTGTCAGAAGGGTCCAAATTTACCGACTATTGTATAGGTGTTGTGACCATGCTTGTGAAACAGACGCGATCCGGGACGGCATGAACGTCTTTGGGGATTCGGTTACATTTCTTAAATCTCAACTGGGAGGTCCTATCGAGGCACAATATAATGTTCAATGGAAATTAGACACGTTGAATTCCAAGCAATGTAACTACACGGGTAGAATGACACCTAATCATACCTCGAGCCCCGGCGCCGCGGTGGGCTGCGTGACCTTGATAACGAAGGAGATCTCCTACCGCCTCCCCCACCACCACGACCTCCTCCGCGACCTCCTCCCCAGCCGCCGCGGTGAGGTGGAGACTCCCGTCTCGGCGGAGGGGGCCGTCTGTCCAAATCTCTCGCATCCCTCCCCCGGTCGAAGTCGCGATCGCGTCCAGCAAAGTCACGCCCGCGTCCTCGTGGCGCCGGTGGTGGAGCGTCAGAATTACCGCGCCAGTGTCCGCCACCACGGCCAACTGGAGCTGGAGCATGGACGGGACCACCCCAGCCGCTGTCTCCCGGCCGACCTCCTGCCCTCCATCCATTCGCGACCGGGGGCGGGGCACCAGCGCCTTTGATAGTTATCTCAGCGGGAGGCGCAGTACCCTTGGGAAGGAGAATGGCGATACAGAGGTAGTCGCCGGGCACGAAACGCAGCTCGTCGAGCGTACGCTCCTCGCGCTCACGGGTGGACAGGTTGCGTGCCTCGCCGTCGGTGTCCTCGACAAGGCGCGGGGCGGGGGCGTCGAGAGAACCGGGCTCGCCGAGGATGTCGCGCGAGTAGACTATGCCGAGGTCTTTTTGAACGAAGCGACCTTTGTTCGCTGCATCTGCGTACACGGCGCGGAAGGAGAAGCGCGCGAGAGGGTGGCGGAACTCGGCGGTCTGGCCGTTGGGAGCGTCGCGGAGGGTCGTTAGGAGTTCGCGAAGCGTGGCATCTTTCCTGCAGGGGGTTGATAATTTAGACATTATGTGAGCTGATAGAGATCTCCGTACCATGTAAAGAGTTGGGATTCGTCTGTCGTTGGAATTGTACCATCTTCGAACAAGTTGAGCTTATGGAACGTGCCGACTTTAACGAATGCGCGAATGAGGAACGGGGTCGTCTATAAAGCCAGGTTAGTTCACAAAGTCAGCCCTCAAGCTGAGCTGTTGCTCGCCTTCTCCCTCAAGACTATGGGTTGGCCTGACGCGGTTGTGTCCTCCATCTCGGCCATGGCGGAGCAATTCAAAGGTCTTCGGCGCCAATAATTTCTCGTAAGTTTCGTATGTAATTGCCAAAAGAGGTATGTTTCAAAATAAATAATCAGGAAATGTCCTCGCGACTTGTCATAAACTGCGGTATTATGTCTGCCGAAGGAGACTACTAGGAAATATCCAGTGGATGCTCCTCTGGACTTTGCGCTTCTGCTTCAGGCCGCCATAAACTCGAGCTCATACCAATAGTCAACACGCTATCATTAGCCAACACATTACCGGTTACCGTTCATCCGAGTTTGCCCCTCCCAAATCATGTCCTTTGCCCTTCTCAAGATCTATCCAAAAGTATCGTCGGCATGAGGTTGTTATCAGCACTCGGCTCAGGTGAGTCAGGTCATATTCTAGGAACTGTCCCAGGGGGAAACCTTACGCCCCAATCGTCCCGCAGGCTTCCCTGCAATACATATATGCGCGTTCAAACGGTTCCGACGTTATCAGCAACTTGACAACAACCATGCCACCTCGCTCAAGGACCGTCAAGGGTGTCAAGAGCGTCAGGTTTGCTGACACTCCCGAATCTGCATCGTTCCGACCAACCGGGACTGGAACGCTAGCTCGCCGCTTTGGCCTGCTGTTTGCCGCCATACTCACGCTCGTCGTCCTATCCGTCATCCGTATCAACCCCACGTCCTTATCGGCCAAGCTTGGCGAGGGCGAAAACATCGTGGATTATGATAGACCAGACGATGACTTGCAATTCTGCGCGTCCAGTGTACCCCGCGGTGCGCGTCCCCCGGCACCTGTCAACCCGTGGGCGCAGCTCAGCATGTACGAGCTCGTCGACGTGCAGTCCTGGCTCACCCAACCCGGGCTCGGCCTCAACCTCAGCTCTGTCGACGAGCTGCACCCGGCACTGAACTACATCTACATGATCAGCCCATACCCACCGTCTAAGGCCGATGCGCTTGCGTACCTCGAGGATCCCTCTGAGAATACCATCCCCGAGAGGCATGCCCGCGTCACTATTCATCACGGTGGAGTGGAATACCCAGTTATCAGGGATTATCTCTTGGGCCCGCTGCCTACCAATGAGAAAACGCGGTTGAGGCCGTTGGAGGACATATACCACAACGAGATCAAGTTCAATGCACGAGGGGTGGACGTTAAGGACTGGAACCTGGGAAACTTTATCAAGAAGGTCACCGAGCCTATCAAGGAGGCGATGCAGGTATGTGGACACTGTCTGGGTTAGACTGTCGATTTACTGTTTGGGTAGGTCCTCCTTGGTGGTGCCCCAAATGATGGGATTGTCCCTGCCGGAAGCGGACCGTTCAGCTTTGACGGATCGTTCAGGCGCATGTGGATGGGCTGGAAGAGGGATACATCAGGCTTCTTTATGCACCCGTTGAACCTTTTCCAATACGTTGACTTCAGTGGATCTGACCCCTCTCTGTGGAAGTTGTCGAAGGTATCTTGTTATTTATCGCAATTATCCGCTTTACCCAATTCTTACTTTCAGCTCGTTTATGATGGACAAGTTTTCTCCAACACCACCGAGTTCATGGATGCCTTTCACAATGGCGAGCTCAATCCCGTCCCCACTATTTCGCCAGAAGAATCAGATCTGTCGTGGAGCACGCGTGTTCGCAAGGGCCCTAAACGCGACCTCGATGATCTACCTGGTCCCCGTGCAGTCTCGTTCGGTGGCGTAAGGTTTAGGGTTGACCAAGCTACTCAATACGTCAGCTGGATGGGCTGGGGAATGTATCTTAGTTTTGACAGAGACATCGGCTTGAGCCTGTGGGATATCAGATTTAGAAACGAGAGGATCGTCTACGAGGTCTGTACTTCTGCACTATTTTCCAACCCATGCTGACTCTCAGATAGCTGGCTCCGCAGGACGCTCTAGCGCAATATGGTATGAGGTCCTGCCTTTCAATTGTGCTTCCTGTTTACCTTAAAATTCGTTTGCTCAGCTGGGAACGATCCATTTCAATCAACGACGGCTTGGCTTGATCGCTACTTTGGCATTGGTCTTGCCGTGCGGGACATGCTCCCTGGCTATGACTGCCCTCATGAAGCTGTGTTCTTGCCCGCAACTACTTATTCATCCGCCGGTATATTCTCTCGCCAGAAGGGCATCTGCGTGTTTGAGCAAGATAGTGGCCGGCCTATAACCAGACACCTGGGCTATGAGAAGAACGAATTTGGTGCAGTCAAAGGCTACGAGCTTGTCGTCAGAAGCATTGCGACGCTTGGCAAGTGAGCTCATTCTTTCCTTTAAAATTTCGACAGACGTTGACGGGTTCGTTTTAGTTATGATTACCGTAAGCACTTTATGTGACTGCGAGAATGAAATTTGCGTTGATTGTTTTCAATGTGCTATTCAAATCTCAGTGGTGAGTTGTTTCCAAATCTTCGGGTTTTTGTCGCGTTCAAGTCGTTGCTTATCATTTTAACAGTTCGATTATATCTTTCACCTGGATGGAACCATTGAAGTACGCGTCTCTGCGTCCGGTTATTTGCAAGCAGGCTATTACAACCCTGATGCCCTAGATTATGGAACTAGGATCTGGGAGACCACAAGTGCGTTCGTTGCTTTCCATTCAAAACACATTATCTCACATTCTCGTAGTGGGAAGCCTTCACGATCACGTCATCAATTTCAAGGTCGACCTCGATGTTGCGGGAACCTCGAATTCCTTCCAGAAGACCACGCTGAGCCAAGAAGAAATAGACCAGCCTTTCTACGACGAAGATTGGGGGAGCACCACTATCCAGCAGCGAATCGACCGGGAATTTATCGAGACCGAGGATGATGCTCGGGTCAAGTACCCAACGAATTTCCAGGGAGGATACTCGATAGTGAATCAGGAGGAGAAGAACAAGTGGGGTCACGCTCGAGGGTATTCCATTCACCCCGGTTATTCTCCTATCCACAGCGTGAGCAACCTTCCAATTTTCTTCGAGTATGAAAATTCAATGGATATACAGACTCTTGTTGGCTCCAAGCGCCTGCTGAAGAACGCGGATTGGGCACAATACAACCTCGCCGTCTCCCGTCGCAAGGAGACGGAACCATCGTCAAGCAGTATGTGGAATATGAATCTACCTGGCGCTCCGCCTGTGGACTTTGCTCAGTTCTTCGACGGCGAGAGCCTCTCTCAGGAAGACCTCGTAGCGTGGATCAACATAGGGATGCATCATTTGGTAAATTTACACGCCTACCCTTCTGGTCATCTGGCTTAAATTTCTATCTCCCTTTTCCACGTAGCCCCAAGCCGAAGACGCGCCCAGCACACGCACGAATACGGCAACATCAAGCTTCTTCCTCTCTCCGCTTAACTACTTTGACCACGACGTGTCGATCGAGTCCATGAACGCGATCCTACTCAACATGCCCACGGAGCCCGGCGCGCCGTTCACGTACGACGACTATGGCGTCAAGCCGCTGCAGTGCGTCCCGCCTGCGGTGCCGCCGTTCACCTATGAGGCGATGCAGATTTTCGATCTGGAGGGCAAGGAGGTCCCTGCGGCAAGCGTTGGGGAGCTGAGGAAGGCATCGGAGCTGTATCATCGTATTCAGGTGGAGCTTTAGAGGTCAACAATTGGGCACTTCTACATGACTATGAGCTGAGTTTGGATAGAGGATCTATGCGCGCTGTTGTTGGCTTAGACTTGCTATTGTGTATCATTTATGTGGAATTACTACAATGTATCAAAATTTATCGTGCAATGAGCCTACTTGCTAAATGACCGCAACATAGACCACAACATCAGGGGGATAGTTTCAACTGTTGACCTCCTCAACCTGACTGATTCGTTCCTTGGACTCATCCTTATGGGTATCTGGCGCTTGCTCTTGGTGTATCCCCTTTTCGATGTATTTCGTTTGCTCTTCGCGATGTTTTCCCTCGTAAACTGCAATGGTAAACGTCAGCGAATGTGACAAGAAGGAAGTTTTGTAAACGTACGGAAGGTAAGTTCTTCGATCGTGAGTTTGGACGTTTCGGGGAAGACGAAGTACACAAAGAGGACTTCAAAGGTGAGCCATATGCAGTAGCTGTGACCCGTATGAGTACAAAAGTGCTTAATGGAAAGCGAAGTTTTACCTGATGTAATACTTCCAACCTGGAGGTAGAAGTTTCTTTAGTACATGTTCTTTTTCCCGTGATGCTGACACATACCGGCGTTATTGATGCCTATAGGATTTACGAATTGATTGAAGAAACCGGCGGCGCGTCCCCACCATTGGAAGACCGTGATGCCTCGCGCTCGTACGTGGAACGGGAAGAGCTCGACCAAGAACGCTAAAACAGCGTGGTTGAGTAATTTAAACAAATGAATAATGGACCGGCACTCACTGTATGTCAAGGCATTGTACCCAATATTATACGCCGGGCTGTACATGTATATGAAGCTATGCAGAGTTAGCACGAACCAAATTTAAATGAGTCCGCAAGCAGATAGCACCCACGCAAGGACAGCTCGAGACGACGCTTTACTTCCTGTGCGACTATATTCTGCGCTCGAGATAGTCCATGCTGTGAAGACGAGGAGTAAAGATATCGTGCAGGCCTGCATTGATAATGTGGTCAGATTTAGTGTCCATTGGAAAGTGACATAAATTACCAGGTACATCATCCGCCGAGGGAACCGGGATACTGTCAGAGCGAGGAACGTAGCGTTTACTAAGCCCCACAAAGTCATGGAGAGGTTGATCAAATTCTTGGTACGGTTGTCCGTGATACCAATGTTCTCCAGAATGGGCGCCAAGAAGTAGCTGAAGGAGAAAATATGAGTCATAAGCACCATTCTGAGAGCGGCTAGAAACCTCACGATGTCAACCCATTTCCGCTCCACTGCGTGAATAGGCCGAGGAAAGAACAGATAATCAACCTCTTCCTCATCCCCGATGTGGCAACCATCTCCCTCCAGCTTATCCGCGCGCCCTCCAGTTCTAACTCGAGCGTCTTCTCAATTTGGGTATACTCCGCCTTTACGAACTCGGAATTCGCATCGCCCTCCGCATGATACTTGACGAGGATAGCCAAGGCTTCCTCGTTCCTTCCTTTCGATATGAGCCAACGCGGCGACTCCGGAAGAAACCATATGAAGGCGACCTGAAGGAAACTTGGAATTATTTGCAGTACAGACGGAATGCGCCAGGCCCAGTTATTTTTCATCGCAAATGTACCCAGCGTAACTCCAGCTGCGACGATGGAACCTAAGATAGCAAGGTTAGAGAGGTCAGCAGGGCAATGTATTTGTACCCACCAATGAAGTAACAAGAATTGAACAGAGATCCCATGATTGCTCTTTCTTTTGGATGGGACAATTCTGACGATCAAGATTCAGCCAAAACGCTCGCCGGAGCTGACTAGAAACCCGAACTTACCTCCAATCAACGACGTCGCCGCGACGATGGCAAACACTATACCAAGTCCTAGAATGAACCGTGCTATGATGAACATAGCAACTAACGTATTTACTGTTAGATCATAATTCAGGGTGCAAGAAGGAAGAAATGGCTTACGATTTTGAGCTGCAGCCTGAAGAACCGCCCCAATAATCTCAATAATGCTGCCAAATAAAATGGCATAACGACGTCCTAGTCTGTCGGTGATGAGTGGGACGACTGGGACGGCCACAATTGCTCCCAAGGAATACATCGCCGACATGAGACCTAAGAGCGCCGAATGCGGATTGTGAAAAACTGAGAATATGTTAGAATCCGTATAGACACATAGCACGAGACCCACAGTCGAGCCAGGCATCGACAGCCTGAAGGCCATTTAGCATAGATGCGTCAAACCTGGTTTGCATCAAACCAACAATATATGTCACTGCAACAGGTAAACTCACCCACTCGTCATCTCAACCGCAAGGCAGGTCGGAAGCATGGTTAAGTACAACAGCCTGAGGTTCCGCTTCCGGTACCATGGTGTCGTGTCTTGCTCAGCTAGACGCGAAACGAGATTGTCGTAAGGCAGCGTTTGAACATCTGGAGACTCCTTGAGCTCATCTCGACCGGATCCCATGGTCGGGAAATGGGAGGGCAATCCGGTGATGTATTCTTTGGTGTCTAATAAGCTGCCCTGTAGTTTGCTTTAGAGGTGAGATTCATCCAGGTATTCTCCGAGCCTTGCCAAGCCGAGGACAGTTTACGCGTAAAGCGATGAACCATTTGAGCATGGCCGTCGGACGGAAGCAACATGAGAGCCAAATTGTAGGATGGCTTGCCCCTGGCACATGTCCCATAAGCGCCATTAACCCATGAATATCCCTCTGATTCATCGGGGAGTTGCCGGAAGTCGAATAAAGAGACATCAGTCTGGACGTTGAACTTTGTTGCTAAAGCAAAAAAGGCATTAAGATCAGGTCATGCCCGTGGAAATGAACTCTGAACAGAATGAGACGCTCTAACCCAGAGAGTATGCATACAAACATCTTTGTCTCTCCCAGTAGTTTGCGCGGGTGAAGTCCGGAGTAGCTCTGATAATTTTACTTGGCATCCGGCGCTCCATAGTTCACGAGCATCAGAAGACCTCGGCATAGTCTGGTACATCGAGCCGCTTGGAGACTAGTACAGAAGCGACCTATTGAAAACATTCGAAGAGGTTATGAATGTTGCTTGAATATAGCCTCTTCGCGAGGAAGCTATAGATTACGGTCTGTCCTTGAGATTGTCGGCAGGCAGTATGGGGCCATTGAACATTACGCACGAGGCGTTGTTCCGCAAATTCGCATTTTCGGCGCTTGGTGTTGCGCGCCGGAGAAGTTCTATCCAACAGAGCTTGCAAGCAACTTGGCAAGAGGAAACAACAAACGGCGGGCGCTTCTTGCAGGCGCCAAATCAAACTTCGGGGAACAAGCACATCACGTGCCACGCTGCTCAGTCAGTTATCCGGATTTGGGAGCGATCCTATCTGTCTTTCGCGCTTCGACCTTGTCCAACTTCTCCTTGAGCCACTCGTTACTTACCAGCTCGCGCCTAATCATATTCACTCAACATGCTGATCAAGGTCAAGGTAAGCTCATGCACCGTCCAAGTTTCCAATCGGATCGACTGATCACTTTCTGAAGACCCTCACTGGCAAGGAGGTAAATGGCTGCAGCGAATGCAGTTTCGCAAAACTAACTGGAACATGACAGATTGAGCTCGACATTGACCCTGAAGATAAGGTGCGTGTCCTATAGTATGCACGGTGGCTCGCCGAAACTGACGCGTTGGCGCAGATTACGCGTATCAAGGAGAAGGTCGAGGAGCAGTCCGGTGTGCCGCCACAGCAGCAGAGGTTGATTTTCAGCGGGAGGCAAATGTGCGTGATCCCATTTTCTCGCCTTTCACTTAATCATTTAGACCTCGATATTCAGGCCGGATGATAAGAGCGCAAAGGACTTCAACATTACCGCTGGCGCAGTCCTGCATCTTGTTCTTGCTCTCCGTGGCGGCTGCTGAAGCCACCTATGGTTCTAGGACTCATCCGACCTGCCTGTATCCACTATCTACCAACTAGCACAAGACCATGAATCCAATGTACCACCCCGTCGTCCCCTTAGATCCAACTAATCTACTGCTCGTCTGCTGACCCCCCAGCTCAAAGAAAGCGGCATGTATGCGTTTACCGACACATCAGTCCGCGCCCCCGACAATGTCTGCGCCAGGCAACAACCATCTGAAGGTGATGCTCAGCCTCGTTCCTCGCTTGACCCATTCCGGCGCCTCCTGGCCATCCTCACTCTCAACTAGATCTTCCAGGTCCCTCTTGATCCCGTGCGTCCACTTATACCTCGCATCCCCTGACAGTATCACTAGACTGTCCTGCGGCAAGAACAAGCCATAATGATCGGGGCTTCCCTTCCCTTCGGCAATATTAACGCGTTCGAAATCCATGACGCAGCTACTCCCGAGGCTGACCCCCATGATTCCATCATCGAAGCGCCTCAGCAAATCAACATGGGGAGTGATCCCCTCGCCGGAGTTGTACAGGTTGATGATAGCCTGGCGGGCACGTGATGGTACATCAGGGGGTGGAAAAAGGAGGGTATGGAGATCGTGTGGGACGACCGGGTGCAGCAGGTCCCGTAAGGCATACAGCAGTGAGATCAGAAAAGGCGGGAGCCCGCTGCCCATGCTGCCGGTCGTCTCCGAGGTTGTACGGCCAAAAAGCATGACCTGGTTGACGTCCTTGTCGCGGAAGTAAGAATCCATGCATTGCTGCAGGACATTGTCGGCGAGTTCGGGTGGAAGTCGGATGGATGGAAGGTGCAGCCCCGGAATAGGTGGTGCCTTCCGCGAAGCGACTGGCAAATCGCGGGGCTCGTCGAATAGTGAGTCCATGTCGGAGTCGTCATCGTCGGGTTGCAAGTCTTCTGCTTTCCATTGGACATCTAGCTCAGGAAGAGGGGTACCAGTCATGGGTGAGGAGTGCCAAACTTTCGATGAATGCATCATGGCACGAAAGCTTTATGGACCTGACCGGTCACTGACGGAATGTTCAGTTGTAGAACTCCGCTGTCTCCGGCCAGTGCAGGGTTATTTTCAATCAGCCTGTAAGTACTTGGGCTGAACATGAATGCCAGCAGTGGGAAACCAGAGGAGAACCGTAAATTGAGCGTAAATCGTAGTACTAGTGGTGGGCTGCGCATGTCTAAGTCTGATGTAATGAATAAACGTGAGGCATCCATAAGGTTATCCAGTTTGAAAGATGAAAGCAAGTGTCGCGAGAATACGGAAGATCATAGCATCGAAAAAAGCAAAGCAAAGCAAAGCAACCAAAGTACCGCAACCGGAAGCTAGCCTTTAAAGACCAACCTCGCCTCGAAGCCTGTCCCTAACCCTGACCAGGGCTTTGCCAAGTTCATTGGCACCATCACCATCGTCACCCTCGCCCCAGAACGTGTTCACATCGTCAAAGATAATATCTGCGATACCTGTATCAAGTAGCAACGTCCGAAGAGTGTGATGTTGTTTGAATTTTTCATAAAGAACGTTTTCCATCTAGTCGCGAATCATCATCAGCAAGGTTTCCCATCATACTGTAATCTGCAGCACACTCACAATCCTGAGGAACATCGCGCCCCAATCCGGCCGGACGTGCTCCTGAAAGCTCGCCGATAACGGGTACATCTCCGTCACCTCTGTGGTCTTGCGGATGCGCTCCGCCAGATCCGGCCGATTGTTGATAAACTTCATCGCCTCGAGCAGGTGCAGCGCCGTCGGGTAAATCTTGTTCTTCCACATAACGCGGTGCGGCGAGTGATTCACGAACCCAGAGAATACGCCCTCGTGGTTGAACCGCACGGGCTCAGACGGCTCCATCTCGCTGCCACCGTCGGGCGGCGGCGGGAAGCTCATACCCGCGGTCTCGTGCGGCACAGCGCCCGAGGGCGGGACGACGATGGTGTGCATCGTGTTCGCGCGCCGGTGTGAGCCCTGCCGGCTGCTGCTCCGGCTCCCGTGCCCGCGCACCGAGTTGCTGAACGTGCGGAATAGCCCAGTTGCACCGCCGCCGCCACTACCACCACCACCACCACCACCACCACCACCTCCACCAAAAGCAAAAGGATCGCTGGCTTGCTGGTTCTTCTTCTTACGCTTGAATAGCCCGCCGAGGCGTGAGACCGAGCCGCCGCGGCCCCGGTCAGACGTGTCGATGTCCGTGTCGGAGAAATGCGCCTGGAGCATGCCGTCGATCTCGTGCGGCAGGCTCTGCAGCACGGCGCGGTACGGCGTCTTATTCCAGATGTCTGAGGGCGGACGGGGCAGGGGATTGTGCCGGCGCTGGGGGAAGAGAGGCGGCCCGCCCATCGTGCCGGGCATCATTGGTGGCGGAGGACCGTGCATACCGTGCATACCGTGAATGCCGTGCATACCTGACATGCCTGGCATACCAGCTGGCCCAGGCATACCGGGCATCCCGGGTATGACACCGGGTTGTGGCATATCAGGTGGGGGCGTTGGGTCTACCGGTTGTGGAGGCGGAGGAGGATGATTTGGTATAAAGCCTGGCGCCGCTCCTGCGTGACCTCCAGGGCCAGGTGTAGGCGGAATAAAGGGCTGACCCCCTGGGCCAGGCGTGGGCGTCAGGTTTGGTCTGTAAAAATCGGTGAATCGCGGACGCCCATCCGGCGCGTACGCGGGCATAGCTGGCGGCTGATACATGTGGTGCTGAGGCATAGGTGGCTGGGGCATTGGCATTCCTCGTGCGTTGGGGTCGCCGGGGATTACAGGAGCGTCATTGGGATTGGCGGGGATGTAGGGCTCTGGTTCGGGATCTGACTCTGACTCTGACTCCGACTCTGGCTCTGGCATCTGCATCTGTGGGGGAGGGGGCTGCGACGCGGGATCTGGTACGACTGGCTGCGGCGGAGGTGGTGGTGGTGGTGCAGCATTGGCAGGAGGCGCGTGCATGCGATTTGGTGGGGGAGCAGTGGCTCCGGGTATGACTGGTGCTGAGGCATTGTGTCGATGCTGGCCTATAGGATATCCTTGTGCCATTTGAAAGGGAGCAGGAGGGACCATGCCATACTGGATGGGAGGATAATACGGGTTCATCTGAGGATAGGGGACATATTGTGGGTCTGCGTGGGCTGAGCTTTTAAAATCTCAAGGAGAAGACAGGACCACATACAATATCGAGCAGGTGGATAACCTGGAGGTATGACAGGATACGACTCGGAGAAGGCTCTGTATGATTCGGAGAGGGCTTTCCGTTTGCCTCTGCGCTTCTCTGAGGGGTACAGGTATTCAACCGGCAGATCGGTATCGCTGGGATAATGCTGTCCTCGATATTTCGATGTCTTGTTGCCCATGGTATGTTACAGAGGCCCGAAAGACTTAACTCAGTTGTTTAAATCCAAAACGCAGCGGCACGAGGTCCGAAGATGTGTCGGGGTATGAGGTTTGGACAGAAAAACGTTGCACACTGACGCCGTTGCACGAGGCTCCGTGGGGATGCGACTTGTTGAAATCAACAGGCACTAGCACCTTTAGGGTATCTGCAAGAAGATGCGGGGGTATCACGACAAAGAGCGAGAGGAGAAGCGCGTCTGCGCATGAGGTCGAGAAACATGAACATGGACATGTCCGATCATTGACGTAACTCCGAGATGAACTTGGCGAGATGGTCGGAGTGTATCATCATGGCATTTAGGACATGGATTTCTGAGCAACTCAGCTACGCAGAATATCATTAGCCTTAGGGCCCTTGTTTCTCAACCGGCCGCCTGGCGAAATGGCATCGCGTCTGACTACGATAGTGTGATCAGGAGATTGCAGGTTCGACCCCTGCGGTGGTCATTTTTGCTCTTCATGCTACGCGTGCATCCTACGAAGCGGACATGCGTTGTATGTTTTTGGCCCAAGTTTACCTCATCGCCTTACACATTAAACACGGTGTTTGTTTCGCGACAATGATGATGCACCTCGCCGATGCTAGGTATCAGCTTTAAATGCGTCTCTACGCGGGCTGCTATCACTGGATCGGCATTAAAAGGTGTGTAATGTGACATGGTAAACCCGAACGCCTCAGGCAGAGTGCTTCCTCTTCTTGCCTTGCACGTTGCTCACTCCATTTTGCGCGCTGGCTTGACCCGCTACCTTTGCGACGGCTTGTCGGCGAACTTTCTCGGGCACCTTTTCCCAGTACAGATCTTCCTTCTTCCCTTGCATCAGCTCAAGCTCCAAGGGAGCATTGTCGTCGCCAGGCTCTGCTGCTCTCCCCTCGTCGTCCAGACCATGGGCCTGGACGACGCGGTTTTCTTGAAAGTATGCGACGAGTTGTGTTGCCGAGGACGGAGATGCAAGCCGAAGATAGCACTACAGCCGGTTAGCCGAGAGGCTTGGAAGGCAGCTTGGGGAAGACCTACGGAATCCATGCCCTTGCTGAAGTCGACATAATCGATACCATCTAGTTTCGAGCCCGAGTCTATTGAATGGAGTGCACGGGAGAGCAGTGTGCGGATTGTAGTCTTGTTTGTTCCACTGTGAAGTTTGCGTACGAAGACGAGACAGTCGACGGGGTAGGGCGAGGAGAGGGTGGTGGCCCTAGTAGGAGGTAGTCGGAAGGCAGGCTCGCCCGACTTCCCCGACTTGTCCAAGGCAGTTTTGCCGTTTGTACGGGGAGGTGGTACGTCGTTGGTTTGGTGGAGAATGTCATCGAAAGAATTGGAGGTTTCGTTTGATGAGACAGTTTGCTCTATGAGCGTTGCCTGATATGTGAGGTACTGCTCGTTCAGTTTATCCCACCTTTCTTTCGACAGCGTCCGCAACCCATATCGCACAGCATCTTTTTCGGAGGTGGGCATGTCGTCGGAGAGTCCACCTGCGCGCTGGCGCCAAGGCCATCGTGCCAGGAGGACTTCACAGTCCTTGAGGTGTGACAGCGTTACAAGCGCGAAGCCTTTGCACTTTGGTAAGTTGTGGGGTCCATCTAGGTGGTGTGGTGGAAGAGTTATGTGTTGGATCGATCCAGCGTCGTCCCTCAGCTGGCTGAGAAGAGCCTGCGTGAATCTCGCAATCCCAGGCACTGAGCGGTATGTTGGGGGAATATTCTCCTAAAGCAAGTTCACGTCAACACCAAAATACCTTTGCAAGATGGTGTGTATAGCTCACAATGTATACAATACGCGCATCCCACTCAGAATGAGAAAGCCTCGACCAAGACGCATCCCGCAACTCCTTCCAGTCCGTGCGCCGCACCTCGTAACCGCCAGCCTCCCTCTCGGCCCTTCGAGTGTAGCTGTTCCACGAAGCTGTTGGCAAAGCCACCATGCGCATGCGGACTTCGATCGACTCGGCCGCGTGCTGCCGGAGCGCCTTGATAATCATGGCTTCTGAGATGTCCTCCGTCAGCGCGTCACGTAGAGGGCGCCTGTTGACCAGATAGCTAAGAGGTAAAACTTGATAGGACCCATCAATCATGTACGGAGAAACGAGCGGGGAAGACACTCACAGCCGGCGTCTTCATCGCCATTGATGCATGTCTCGTCGAGGGCGCGGCGTAGGTCCGCATTGAGCCATATTGAGTAGTCAGATAGAGCGAGTAACACCAATGTTGATAGGTCTTCCGTATGTGGGAAAGCACGAGAAGTGGTGTTTTCTGGCATTTTGCCTTCGCCCCTGTCATTGTATGCCGTCACGGTGGGCTGGACGGTTGGTAGAGGAGCGGGTGCGCGTGAGCCAGATGGGCCAGCAACGGCGTTCGTATTCGACGCGCCGGATTTCTTCACGGAACGAGGCACGAATGCGAAAGGAGCAGACATCTTGTGGAAATCGTAGGAGGAGTTTCCTACGAAGAAATATGAGCAAGAGCCTCGGGAACAGCAACAATGACGCGGTGCTCCGGTTGCAAATTACAACTTTCATCCAGCTTGTCATAAGTGATGGCTCCAGCGGCTATCGTGCTCGCACAAAAACCAGCAAGGTTCCATCACAGCTGTCGAGTGTGCTAGTTTCGTCTTTACACCGCGTTTTGGTGGCACTGCCAAAGGCAGCCAGTTATTTGAAAAGAGACTCACCCTGCCAGTGGTGCGGCTTGGGCTACCACGAGTAGTAGGGATAATGACTTGGAAGTTGGAACACAGAAACTTTTTACTTCGCGTACGTAAAATGTGGATGCCGGTGTGGGACCGAATGGTGTTTGATGAGGCTTGTAGAACGCACTTTTGAGCGGAGTGCCTGTTGTGGTGGACGTCAAGACGCGACTGACGCGCACATTGGCGCGTGTGGGTCGTCCGGATCCTTTAGTGCTGCATTGCACAAAGTTTACTGAGATGCACACGGACGACGGGCACCTTGGTGCCTGTGTATACGCCCTATGGATCTCAACAGGAAGGATTCTGGATTTGTTCAAGGGAGCCGATAAGCCATAGCGTCCAGCCACAGGTATGAGTTGGGTATGAGCGCCTTGGTCTTCTGACCTCCCGATAAGCGTGTCCAGGTCCGGGGTGTAGAAGCCGAACCTCGCTGTTTATTGGCCCCACATCCATCCTCTGATTGACGACAGGGACGGGCGCACTGTGGGTAGCATCTAGTCCTACCTTGTCTCCCGTAAGCCTTTATAGATTGCGGAAGATAGTCGTAGGCAGCACCCACGTTTTTCACACTCCTGCCGCCATGTCCAGGGCGCCTGCTCCAGAGAATCCGGTTCTAGACGCTGAGGTCGTCGACGTGAAGGCGGACTCCAGCTCCTCTGGTTTGGATGTTGTGGTATCTCCGGACAAAGGGGAGGTCCCGCTCGCGGAGGTCAACGTAGAAGAACCTATTGTGACGAGTAAAGAACTCTGGAGCTACTATCGTGAGTTGCTTGACTCTGGTCTACGTAGCTATGGGCTCACAGCGCCGCCTTTCCAACAGTGTACTACAATGGCGATAACGTACGTACTTTGCCCCCCTGTCCAACTAAACGCTTATGGACCTTCGGACCACTGTAGGGCGTCGGACCGAACGGATACACCATGACGCTCTTTCAGTCCCTGGCGACGGCTGCAGGATTCGACCCAACACAAGGCCCCGGCTCGACTTGCACGTCCTCAGGCCCTTGTGTTCTCCCATGGGGAAACGGTACCAAGGCCGTCTCCAGCGTCGTTCTTGTCGCAAACGGCGTCTGTTTTGCTATCATGACAGCCATCTTCACTACCATCGGCTCCGCAGCGGACTACGGCACGTTTGGTCGCTGGCTTCTTCTCGCTGTCACTGTCATTTGCTGGGCGGCTCAGTATGCGACCATGGCGCTTACTTGTAAGTCCTCGTTCCATCCCGTGAATCCTGGGATGAGGAGCGCAGCTATATGCACCCAGACTGACTAACTTACTTTTGCCTATTAGCACCGGACCGGTGGCGTGCTGCTATGGCACTGTATATCATCGGCTTCGTGACATACGGAGCGACTCTGGTATTCTACGCAGCCGTCTTCCCGCGGCTTGCACGCAACACTCAGCACGCGCGCACTCTTCGAGAGAAATTCGAGTCAGGTGAAGTTTCACCGGAGGAGTACGAAGTCGAGGAAAGTCTTGAGAAGAACAGGATTAGCAACATTAGTACCGTAAGTGAATCCTTTTCACATTGTCATTCTAGCTTAAAGTCCTGACGGCAACACAGACACATAGTAACATTGGGTATATCATCACGTTGTGTCTGAATCTGTCGCTCTTGCTTCCTCTTGCGAATAACCCGCTCGTCGACAACTATGTGCTAGTCTTGTACGTATTTCTTGGCGCTGAATTTACGTAGAAATCACTGATTGTACGCCGGTAGAATCAACTCTTACTGGGTACTTTTGGGTGTCTGGTGGTGTATGTCGACTTCTATGTTGTGACTTCGGGATCCTCACACTCCTCAGTCATTTACCAGGAACCTCGCCCCGGCCCTCCATTACCCAAGGGAGAGTACTACATCACAGTTGGGTGGAAGCAGGTATGCCATCATCGTGTGCAACCCTCCCTCAGTGTATTGACCCCCATCAGATCTGGGCTGCGCTCAAAACTTACAAGGACCTCCCGTACACTTTCATCTACCTCGTGTCATTTTTCCTCCTTGCAGATGTACGCCACTTTCAATTGGCAGGCGACAGTAATGCTAACGACGCGTTCATTCGCAGGGTCTGAACACCACTGGGACGCTGGTGTCGATCTGCCAGAACGACAAGTTTAACTTCTCGTTCTTGCAGAACACATACCTGGGTCTTGCGCAGGCGATCACCTCCACAGCTAGCACGCTTGGATTCTGGTACATCCAGAAGTGGTGGAAGATCAGCACCAAGAAGATGGTAAGCGCCACTTCGAACGATGTGTGCTTCCGTGGTGGGCTAATTTGACTTTATGTTTTATGTAATATAGTTTGTCGTCACCAACGTCGTGACGATCTTGATCCCTCTATGGGGTATGATTGGTATCTGGACAGATAAACTCGGGTGAGTACAACAGCTTGACATCTTGAGTGAGCTGTGTTTACATAGTTTATTAGGTTCCATAACGTGTGGGAGTTCTGGTAATCAGCTTTTTATTCGCGCTGCTTCATGTTGCTGATTACCCGTTAACAGGGCTTACAACGTTGTATTCGGGATTTTCCAAGCCCCGTATTACGCTTTCTCTCAGACCATGATGGCGGAGCTCAGCCCTCCCGGCTTCGATAATATGGTAGGAACTTTTCGATTTATATCACTGGATCAGACCATTTACTTCTCTTTAGTTCTTTGGTCTGTTTGGTCTCTCGAACCGCGCTTCGTCCATGGTCGGACCCAACGTCATCCAAGCTATCATAGACAACACCGGCAACAACTGGCAGGGATTCCCGTTCCTCTTCGCGCTGTGCACTGCCGCATCGCTGGTCATCTGGTTCGGAGTAGACGTGAAGAAGGGTAGACGGGACGCTGTTAGGTGGGCAGCGGCTGCGAGGAGCTGAAGAGTAGTGTTAATGTCATATCTGTGAGATATCCCATGTTGGACTAATCTGGGGACAGTCATATTGATAATTTTGATATTATGAGGGGTTGTTTTTGTTTAGGGAATATTATTGGATAGTTTGGATGTTCGTCCCATTTCTGTGCTTCCTTATTCGTCGAAGACGTGGTGGGTGTGGACGTCTATTTCCTTCAACACCCGTGACTTTCGTACTTCCCCACTTCGCCGTGCAAGCCCAAGGCAGAGCTTGGCCTGGTTTATCGATATCCTCGTTGACTACTTCTCATGGTTCAGTACAGGTCGCATCCGGCCTCAGTTCGCATTCAGTCTCTCATCACCCATCTGCCATTTCTGCGGTGAGTTCACATGACTCGGGTGGGAATTCAATAGCAGCCACTTCTCTCGGTTTTACGGTCGTCTATACTGAGCAACATGTTGTCTCTCGGAGCTCTGTGGATCTCTCGGCACTAACCCTGAGCGCGATTATCAACGGCCTCCTGCTTATGGCCATGTATGCGAGGCTCGCCAACTTAACGTCACGGCTGGTGCTCTGACGGTATCATCCGTTGTCCCGGACGAAGGGCCAGAAATGATCCGTGTAATCTACACTCCTCTAAATGGTATCAGGCTCATGATCTCTGCTCTCGGTTGATTCTATAATCGTCTTCGATCAGGACTGACAACAGTGGGACCAACTTAACGCTGCTGAAGACAACTCCTGAGCCTGTCGATCACTGTGCCTTCATCACCGCTAGCATAAAGTCTTGAACGGCTTCAAATTACCCGAAGACACGTCGCCCGAAGTCAACCACCGACAGGTCCAGGTAAAGAAGAGTTCGCACCCTTTCACACCCCTAGTTTATAATATGTTTTCGCTTGTCTCTGAATTCCGAATTCACCTCTGCACCCCATGGCGCGGACGGAGATACCATGGTATTCCGCAGCACGTGTACCGACCGCAGGAGGTTCTGTTCTCACCAAAAACTGGGATAAAATGCTGTCAAGGGACCCACTAGATTCAGGCCGAACTTTCAAGGAACTTCCCCTCAGCAGTCGTCCAAGACCTTGTGTGTTGACTCAATATGCTAACTCTATCGCGACGTGGGATGTCTTCAACGCTGTCGCATACGTCCAAGGTCGTGAGGTCTTATGCCACTGCTCTTGATAGCAAGGACAAGTATAAGGTCGTCGTCGTAGGTGGAGGTGAGCTGGTAATTTTTTCTCCCGTAAACGACGACAATTTTTACAACTTAAACAGGCTCTGGCGGATTATCGGTCGCCAACCAGATTTATAACCGCTTCAAAGCTGCTGGAAAGACGTTAAACAACGACGACATCGCGATCATAGATGCTGCAGAGTTTCACTACTATCAGGTACGTTCGGGATCAATAAGGGCTTGATGCTTCTGGGCTGACATTTTCTGTCGACTAGCCGGGATGGTAAGTTGACGGTGTCATGGATCTGCAGGGTGATCATTGAGCTTATCTATCCAGGACCCTCGTTGGCTCAGGGCTTCGCCGGAAAACCGAGTTCAAAAGGTCACTCCAGTCCTTAATTCCAAGTCACTTGACGCGCATCCCCGAGAACGTGCAATCGTTCTCTCCTGAGCAGTCGGCCGTCAAGACCACGAGCGGCCGGACGCTCTCTTATGACGTACTTGTCGTAGCTTCTGGCATCAAGCCCAACTGGGATTCTATCGCTGGACTTCCAAGCGCACTTGCGGATCCTTCGTCCGGCGTCTCCTCCATCTACTCTTATGATACCTGCGACAAGGTCTGGAAGGATGTTGAGGCTCTCAAGTCTGGTCGAGCTCTGTTTACCCAGCCTGCAGGTGTCATCAAGTGCCCTGGTGGTACGTACTAGGAATCATACAAAAGCAACCGTGCCTCACCTATCTTATAGCCCCTCAGAAGATCATGTGGATGACCTGGGACAGGTACCAGAAAACCGGGCGTGGCAAGGACATTCAAGTCGACTACCGCACCGGCATGCCGACGATGTTCAGCGTGAAGAAGTACTCTGACGAGCTAAACAAACTCCGCATCGAACGTGGTGTCGGAGGCGAATTTCAGCAAAACCTCGTTTCTATAGATGCCGGCAACCGCAAAGCGACCTTCCAGAAGACCGACGGATCAAAAGTGGTGGAAGACTATACGCTTCTCCACGCTGTGCCTGTGATGGGTCCCATGGACTTCCTCAAGGGCTCTCCCATTGCTGACGCTGCTGGGTGGGTGGAGGTTGACCCCGCGACTTTGAGACATGTCAAGCCGGAGTATGGGAACATCTTTGCTCTCGGAGATTGTACGAATCTACCTACCGCCAGGACTGCCGCTGCTATCACGTCGCAAGCCCCCGTGCTGACCGAGAACCTATTTTCTGTTGTCGACACGGGCGACGTCAGCTCCGCCAAGTATGATGGATACTCCAGCTGTCCGGTAGACCTCGTATTACTTCCCGCTCTCGTTAAGATGCTAACATGTACTGCACGTAGCTCCTCACTGGATATGGCGAGCTGATGCTGTGCGAGTTTAAGTATCCCTTCGTACCTAAAGAGAGTTTTGCTCAGTATCTCGGAGATCAAACGAAGCGCAGGAGGTTAGTCTATCCTACAACTTCCTTTGCTACCTACAATTAACGTTGTTCCTTGATTTAGGATCTTCTATCATATGAAAAAGGTAAATTAAGCTACTTTCTCCAGAGACTTCTAGCGCTCACCGTCACGCTCAGGACCTCTTCCCTTGGGCCTACTGGAACAGGATGGTATGTCAGATGAAACTCACGCCATCAAGTTTTCACATTCTTTTCAGATCAAGGGTACCTGGTATGGCCCCAACGGTATTGTCCGCCCGAAATTCTCATGAAGAGCCGGAACCTACTGCATCGTGTACATGATGGCAGTTACATATGCCTACATGTATGATTGATATTCGTTGTATTGCTAATATAAAGTCCCAATCTCGCTTATTGGAGAACATCTGGGCATGGTTGATGATCAACCGTTAGATTGGTTGATCAATAAGCACATATTTTGAGCCGTCAGTCGACAACACACAATGACTTTACACTGGCAGCAGCACTTCATGGAACGACAAAGAGAGATCGACGGAGTGAACGATGCTTCTCTGTCGAAAAGATACTCTATCAAAGAGTAATTTGTACATTCTCCATTGTTGCATCACGCCGTTGTATCAGATGGTATATGAAAGCATCGGTATGTACATGGTTTCTACTCTTGATAACAATTCGTCCCTACTGCACTTTCGCAAACGCTTCCATGGCGTTCAAGTGTTTAATCCACCTGCCATCGTGCCAATTCTCTAGACTCTTGAGACCAGCACCGGGGATGATGGTCGTGACCCACCCCATGTATCCGGCCAAGATGCAATCAGCGTACGATGCGGTGTCTCCCAGCACGTACTTGCTATCGCCATTGGTGGCCAGCCAATCAGCTATCTTTCCAAGCCCCTCTTCGGCCTTCTTCCACCCTTCAGCACGCTTCGCGCCGACTGAGGCAAACTCTTCAAACTTCTTGTCAAAGATGACCTCTCTGGTGGATTTATAAAATTTGGCACTCGTCGGATTTAGTATGGAGGCGGAGAGTGAGATAAGGAGCAGCAAAATTGGATCTAGGGCGCCACAGACTTCAGCCTCAAAGGCGGCGGCGAGGGAATTTATGTTGGCAGGGAAGAGCGTGACGTTGTCCGGGTAGGCTTCATCGAGGTAAGCGGCGATGATGAGGGAGTCAGTCACGACTTTTCCATTGTTGGGGTCTTTGATCATAGGCAGCGTGTACAAAGGGCTGCCGTCGGGCTTTGTCCCAGTAGGAGCTCCGCCCAACTTGACGGCAAGTGGTTCGATGTCCGGGTATTCCACCCATTCCGTCTTGTAGGGCAAACACTTCATGTTCAGGGCATACCTGTCATATGCATCGGCTCATGTTCGTCTGGGAGGATTGAATGCTATGTACCTGATTTTCCAAGTGTTCGGTGACCAAGCATTGTTGGGCAGGGTGCTTGGGATGTCGTAGAAGACAATAGGAAGGGCCATCGCTGAATGCAAGGCTGTACCGCCAGCGGAAATGCTAAAACCAGGTACAAGGGGGCAGCGGAAAGGGTCACTTATATTGAGAGACAGCACCTCAGCTTTTGCACGATACTTTGTCAGCCACTACATGATTAAGTGGACGAAATTGGGGGTGAATTGCGTATACCACAAATGCTCAAGCGCTCAAGTTTGTCCCGTATTTCTGGAAGTCAATTTAGCAAGCGGGTCTTAGAAGGGATTTTCTTCGCCAATCTCTGGGAAATCAACTTGAACCTGAAGCTGTTAGTCATGCTCAATGCGCACCGGAGCCAATAATCAAGAGGAAAGAGAAGACACAGCGAATGGTGGATTGGCAACATCGGGAGCGATAAAGTATGCATCGTATTAGAGATCACCCCGAACCATGATGGACCCCAGGACAATAGGTGTTATTGCGCTAAGTGTATCATGATGTGAGAACCGAGCAAGGTAGCGTAGTTGCAGCGACCTCCAAGTCAAGCGTTGTGGCCACAAAGCACAGGCAGGCACAGGCATATAGGGCCACAATGCCAGACATGGCCATGGGTATGGAGCTCGTTCAGATCCATAGGAAGAGGGAGACGTCAGGCAACATAAGATGAAGATGAAAGCACGTATGTGACAAGCAGGCTCGAACAAGAAATTCGTTGCGCGACGCGCTAACGGTTGGAGCTCGGTGGCAGTGTCGTTTTCACTCATCCGCGCGTCCTCGATCACGCTCTCCAACTGCCCTCACGTCCGAGTACTCAGCAAAACACTATGTCCAAACGAAGCGCGTCACCGCCAGTTGGAGGTGCTCTCATCAAGAGGTCGCGTGGTGACACCCCACCCACGAACCAGATGGCAATTGCTATCTCGTCGGCTGGCGATGACAAGAAGGGTCTCATTCGGAGCGTGAAGCGGACGAGCAGTCTGGAGGCGCCTATTATCAGCTTGAGCGGGTCACACTCGGTACGTCGCACTTTACATCACTCTGTGAAACAATGAAACAAAAGGTACTGACAATATGCTAAGGCAGAGATTCTATGCTGTAGGTTCGATCCTACTGGCCAAAACATTGCTGCATGCTCAGCAGACCGAAGCGTCTGTGCGTTTACGTTTTCTTGGCCTAGCACGAGAGCAGCTGCTCACTTCACAATAGCATTATGGAGAACATATCCACCAAATACCAACTACGGACTCCTCTCAAGCCACCACAAAGCACCCATACTCGACCTGCAATGGTCCCTCTTTTCTCCACTCCTTTATACTGTTAGCGCCGACCACATGCTCACGTACACGGACCTCACGACAGGCCAAAAGGCCCGCCGCATCCGTGCCCACCGCGGCATTATCAACGCACTCGACCGGACAATGGCAGGCGGTGCAGGCATCGAGCTCATCGCGACCGCCTCTGACGACGGCACCGTGCGCGTATGGGAGGGCGGCGACGAGGCGAGCAAGCAGAGTGTGGCCGTCTTCGAGGTTGGCTGCCCGGCCACCTCGGTCTGCTGGAGCGCGGACGGGCAGAACCTGTACGTCGGTGCGCTCGACAACGAGATCCACGTGTATGACCTCAGGAAGAACGAGGAGGTGTACGCGCTCACGGGCCACACGGACACGCCCACGTCGCTCGCGCTCTCGCCGAACGGGTCGTATCTCCTCTCGCCGTCGCTCTCGTCGACCACTATCGTACATGACGTCCGGCCGTTCTCGCCTTCGCCGAACCGGGTACACAGAGTGCTGCATGGCGCGCCTGCTGGGTTCGAGAACACCCTCATCAAGGGCGCCTGGAGCAAAGACGACGGCGGACAGCGTGCCGCGGTTGGTGGGGCTGATCGTATGGTGTGTATTTGGGACGTTGAGAGTGGCCGAGTACTCTACAAGGTGCGAGTTTTGCGTCCAGGTAGTCGACCACTGACTGAAGAATCTTAGCTGCCTGGGCATAAAGGGACAGTCACTTCAGTGGATTTCCATCCAAAAGAGCCTGTTGGTACGTCACATCATATCCAGCTTTGTGAATTATATACTGAAGACCGCTGTAGTCCTCACGAGTAGCAAAGATGGCACGATGTTGTTGGGAGAGCTGGAGCCTTCGGTTTCGGTTTAGCATGTTTATTGCATCACTTGTAATAATCAAAGATAGACACTACATAACTCGTACTTGGGTGGTTTCTTGCTACTAAGGTGCGCTATGTGAGCTAGCCTAGAGAAGCCTTGTAAATTGCAAATGGGAAAAATTGGGCATGCATTTGGCAAAACAAATGACCACCGCAGGGGTCGAACCTGCAATCTCCTGATTCGTAGTCAGACGCGATGCCATTTCGCCAGGCGGCCGTTGAGGAAGATGCCTGCTAAGATGCCTATATAGTTTTGACAACGTTTAGGGAGGTCAAGTACGAGCCCAGTACGTGCGCCGTGCAGGCGCTCAAAATCTCATGTCAGGCATACTTTTTCCACACACCAAGTGAGGTACAGCATAGATTAAACCTTTCGGTTGATGCTTCTTGCGGATGACTGGTGAAGGTATGAACAATTGGTCTGTATCACGACCGGCTATGTCCCTTATGAGGACAAAACACGAAACGTAGTCAAAGTAGAGGGTTTGATTATCGATGCCCATACGATGTGGTTGCAAGAAAGACCAAAATGACCACCGCAGGGGTCGAACCTGCAATCTCCTGATCACACAATCGTAGTCAGACGCGATGCCATTTCGCCAGGCGGCCATAGAAGAGCGAGGGCTTTTGATAAGATATGAAATTTGACCTATATCTGACGTAAACCGAGGGAAAATCTTAGTAAATCACGCTCCATTGCAAGGTTTGGTCGGAGTTGGAAGTGAGCTCAGCGATCATCCGAGGGCCGGCGTCACGCGTGGGGGCGTGTTGAGCGTATGAAATGCCAGCAACCTCTTGTGCTTCTTCTCCGGTCTCCTCCACCTTTTGATTCAGGCTGATGTCAAGCCTGTCTCGCTCAAAGTTCTAGTTTGATCCACCCCACACTCTCTAGCCCACTTATCTTGTTCTCTGAGACGGCTTATCCTCTCTGATTGATTCCATATATCTTTCCCCCTAGTCGGTGATCCGTGATATGCTCAACAACAGTACCACATCGACCCCGCGTCCACGGCCTCCCGCAAAGGCCCGCAGGTCTATGTCCCAGTTCAAGGCGTCTCCTCCGCCCTCCTATGCCAGCTCCCTCGCAGGTGACGACATGGACCAACCCCGGCGGCTCCGGTCCATAAGCGCAGGTCCGTCGGAGGCCGACGAGGAGTTCTTTGCCTCGCAGGCAGTCGCTACAACTCAGCACTGGGGGAACGAGAAATCCCGCGAGGAGCTTTCTGGTTTGCTTCTGAAAGCGGACGAGCTCATCAAAGAGCGCGAGAACGGTACGCCTCGTTGCGAGGGGCATGTTCGCTTAGTACTTACCTAACACCAGAGCTTGACCGCACGACCGCCATGTACAAGACCTTGTATGAAAACAATGTTCACCTCAAGGACAAGCACAAGACTCTTCTGGCGCGTCTACCTCGCTCCCCCTCGCCGAGTATGTCTTCTGTTGGCTCGGGTACGCTATCCCCATCAGAATCAGATGCTCCGCTCCCCAATTCCCCGCATTTGTACTCCTCTACTTCCCGTCCGTCATCCTCTCACTTTGGCGTCCTCGGGGATCGCCCCGGACATCAGCGTCGGATCACCGTCTCCCCTTCCGACCTTGCGAAACTGTCTGACCAGAATGCCGAGCTCATTGCCAAAGTCGAGAAGCTGGAGTCCGATTCATCAACGAATGATCAGGCGGGTCGTAAGAAGCTTCGCAACTTGGAGCGCGAGATCCAAAATCTTCGACAAGAGCTCGATCAAACGCGTGTGCGGAGTGATGAGCTCGAGGAAAAGGCAAAACTCGCTGGCGAAGCGAAGGACCCTGACGAAATCTGGAAGCGAAGACAGGAGCGTGAAGAGCGGTTGAAGGACTTGAAGGGCAAAGCCGAGACTAAGGACGATAACGAAATACGAGACTTTGCACCTGGAGGAGGTACCTTCTCTTCCATTCGAACGATCAGACCATTTGGAGTCGCTCGGCGAAACATGGGTGATGCACGGCCGCGACATATGTCTGAAGTCCATCCCCGCCCGCCTCTGCCTCGCGATATGTCCCTACCGGCTCTGTTCAGGCGCGACTCCGACGTGACCTCATCGCCTCAAGGTCCCAAGTCCCGGTCGAAGGAAGAGTTTGCACTTGTATCGCAGCTCCTTCTCAAAATTCGCGAGTTGGAAGAAATGAATGCGATGATCAAGGAGCAGCAAGTGATGACAACTTCGCAGCTGGATGCCGTTGTACGGGACGCTGCGACTATCCGTCTTGCATATGAGACCTTGGGTGACCCAGACGAGCCTGGATGGAGCGCTGACAGCGGGCCTATCCTGCTCTCCGACGATGCTGAAGCCGATACTTCTGGCGAAGTCGAGGAGACCATTCGTTTCTCCAGCCTTCGGAGGTCCATTGATCAAGGCGCCTCTACTTTCGTGCTAGACAACGATTTGGACAGCTCTCTGCGCCACGCCATCATCCCCTCCTTCGTCCCCAAGCCACCCGACCCTAACATGCCACATCCACACTCGAAAGCTCGCAAGTCTGTGGTGGGCCTGTTTGACTCCTCTCCACGGCTTGCTGGTGGAGCCAGTGCTGGCACTCCGTCGCAAAAACCTCTCTCCCTTGCGATTCCTGTCCCCTTCCCAACTGCAGAGGAAAACTTTCATACTCCCTCTACATCTCCCACTCATTCCAACAAAGATTCCCCCATTCCTTCTACCTCATCCGAAGTCCTTCACAGTGGCTATGATCCCGAAGCCGTACGTCGGCCAACTCTTGAGAGCGAGCTCTCGATGAAACTTGAGGATTCGTGGTCGAACAAGCTTGACAGTTGGCATAACAGGTCGATGAGCCTGCGTAACCTGATAACTAGCCCGCCGTCTCCCACGGATAGTATACCTGGTGCCTTTACCTTGGAAGTGCAGCCTCCTACTAGCACCGCTGATATGTCGCTCAACGACGAGTCTCCTTTCTCTCCTTCCCCCATTGGCATCTCAAGCTCGATCACCAGCCCCGATATCCGTCTCGGACCCGGAGCTTGGCGAGGCCAAGTCGACTCTCCTCCGGGTCGCCCTGGCGAGACGGCGGCCGAAAAACAGCGCCGCAAGTCCATGACCATCCGCATGCGCGCTAACAACTGGAAGGAAGCGCGCTTCACGCACACCCTGCCCGCGCAGCGCCGCGGCGGCTCCCTCGACCTGCCTCTGGCCTCTCCTCTGAATCATCCGATCACACCCGTCCCCGAGCGCCTCGCCCTCGCGTTCGATGACGCCGTCGGCACGATTAGCCGCGCGAGCAGCGAGTCGACCAGTGCGCTTGAGCTCGTTCTAGAGTCTTCTGCCTCCGCTCTGACGGAAGATGATGAGGTCGACGGTGAGGGGCGCGCGCTCGTGCATGTGAAGTCCGGCAGGATGAGCACGTCGTCGGAGCATCGCGGGTTCGGATCTGTCATTCTCGAGCTCTGGCTCTGGCTCCAGTTCATCGTTATCATCGTCGTCTTTCTCTGGGCGATGGCACGCCGCGGGCCCAAGCGCGTGCTCGCCGATGCTGAGCGGAGGAAGATCCAGTCGGCCTAGGCTTGATAACACATCATCATCATCGTCTCGACCCTATCAATTGCAAGTGTTTGGCATTCATTTTTACGACACCATGGACCCGTCGAGGATTACAGGATAGCAAGGAAACACAAGCATCTCTCACTCTTTTCCCCCTTTCTCTATTTTATCTTAGCTTAGCTTTAGCTTAAAATTTAGAAGTAGTATTACATACATGTGTCTGGTTCACATAGGTTTTTATTGTACAGGATCTTCGATTTGTACGATGGCGTTATTCTACTTGAAGGAAGCTAGTAAAGCGAGCAATACCCTAATGCTTGTTGATAAATGGGCCTCTAGTGGTACTAAAATGTTTGCAGACACATTAGTGTCATGGGAAAAGACTCTTCGGAATGTTGCGGTATTAGGGTGCGAGACTCTTCCGAAGAGTCTTTTCCCATTAGCCAGGACGGATCCCTCCTCTGCGAGACGTTTTCCGCAGATATGAGTTGAAGAACTGGACCGACTGACCATAGATGCCACAGGCCTACAGCACCGCGGAATAACTAGCCCAACTTGTTACATATATTTCTCTTCGTCCATGTCGTCCCAGGGCCAGTGACCTATGATCTCCGCCCTTTCCTCCGCTGACTTGGCACGCGCCAATCCCTCCTCCTTCCTCTCCTTGAAAAACGTTACGGCATCCTCGTAGTCCTCAGTCGGCACCCAGCCCTCCTCCCCGAGACCGACCATGTTCTGCCATATCTCAAAAATCCTGTCTGCTCTTGCCTGTACTTCATTCAGCTTCCTCGTCTCCCGTACGTCCTCAGCGTCCAATTCGACTGGACATGACACGTCTCCCCCCGTAAGTGTCTTCCATCTCTCCGCTGCTTGTATTAGCGCAAGCTTCAGCTCGAAAGTCTCGCCCTCCCACGGGCTACCAGCGTGTTGGAAGAGACGGCCGCGGAGGGCGTACATGGGGTCGGTAAATGCAGCGTAGTGGGACTTGTTGCACTCCCCCATGCTCGTGACGTAGTGGTAATGGACGAGGCGGTCGCGGTAGACCTCCTCCGCTCTGGTTCGCCCGGGTCCATCTAACTTGTCGAAATCCTCTGGTAGCGACGGCGGCGTCATAGACTGCGAGACGGGATCATCGTAGTTCTGGAGGCGCTGGGGGACGCCGGCAAGGAGAAACATGGGCAGGATGGAGGCGTGTTGCCAGTCGAGTAGGCCGACGACTTGGCAGTCAGAGTCGGGCGACCTCGACACGACGATATTGCTCTGCTGGAGGTCTGGATGGCGGATGCAGAAAGAGAGTGGGGTCCCTAGGGACGAGTGACGACGCAATGAGGAGATAAAGGTTCAAGTTTTCGATGTGGGCCGACGGCAACTGTTCCTGGTACTGATAACCAGCCCTCCTCTCGCGCCGGACCGGCAAGAGCGGTTGGCCGAACTGCTTCAAGTAAGCAAGTTCCTTGCGGGCTCCTGCTACGAGAGCTGCTTCGGCACTTAGGTCTATAGTTATCGGTTGGTTCTAAGGGCGTAATGATGAAAAGGCAGAAAACGGCGTACAGGGTCCCCGGTTCACGTCGAGCTTTGACCTTCTCCCGTACCAGAGAGGCAGTCTCGTATCTGGACCGATGCAGAAACGCTCGTCCTCCAGCGGTATGTCCAGTCCCGTGGCAACCTTCTCCAAGTCTTTGGTGAAGTACAGGCTCCCGCCAGCGGGGAAAGACAGCGACATCATAGCCGACTCGAGCTGAGTGAGCTGGCGGACGACGGAGATGACTGCTTGTTCGCCTAGGCTAGGCCAGACGTCGCTGAGCTTGGAGCCTCGAACGAACTGCATGAAGATATACTCGGTTCCAGCGGCGTTGTCTGAGTCGGGCGAGTACCCGTATATCTTGGGAACAGGTAACCCAGAGGAACGCAGGAACTCTAGAGTGGCAACTTCGCTGGCGACAGCGTAGAATTTAGGGACGGTGATGGGGTACGGAACACGGGCGACCATTTGGAAGTTGTCACGTAGGGTGATGAGGAAGGTACGATTAAACCCACCCTCGGCGAGCTTCGACAAATTGACGACATTAGCAGGACTTTGATTAACGGACTCCGCTGCAAGTCGACATAGCCCGTCGACGTCGAAGGCGAGCCTCCGCTCTTTGTGGCGAAGAGCATCGTTATAACTGAACAAGGCATATCAGGGGTCAGAGATGTACGCTATAGAACAATACATACGTATGAGACTTACACCCAGTTCCCTGACGTGTATTCAAACAGGTCTTTATGAGAACTCGCGATAGAGAGGGCGCGATGTGGCACAAAACGTGTCGTGGTGGAGATGGAGCTCGAGAAGGAAGAGTATAACGGGCACAGTGAGACTGGAGCTTTTAGCACGTTGAAGATGAGCCTCGTTCTCCTGAGGTAGAGCATGCCAATGTACATCGACTATACCAAGTGGTTCCTTGGGTGGATTAGCCTAAAACATAGGTTAAAACGTTTGTATTGTTGATTTTAGTCATGAAATCGCTGTACCCTCTGGACCGTGTTTGAATAGAATCGATAGGCCATCTCTGAAGCCTTTAGGAGTCTACTTCAGAAGAGTCTCGCATCGTAATCGCAACACTCTTCCGAAGAGTCTTCTCCCATGATACTCAGGTGTTACAGGAGCCCCTGAGTATAACGGCCGCCTGGCGAAATGGCATCGCGTCTGACTACGAATCAGGAGATTGCAGGTTCGACCCCTGCGGTGGTCATAAATTATATTTTTGCTCATTTGCCCACCACACCTTAGGACTCAATTCTTCTAAGCTAACAAAATGCCTTGAGGTCCATGTACTTTCATAGTAATAATAATATGGTCTATCATGGTAGTATCGCAAAAGACTTCACGTTCGGAGAAACTCATCGGAGGTTGTGCTAAGACTTGCTTGAGGAAAAGCGGAAAGGTCGCCTTCCGAACTCAGGGCGCATTGACTCTCACCTACCTAAACCATGTCTTCTTCCTCAGCATCTTCATCTCCATCACCGTCACCGTCACCGTCACCGCCACCACCAAAGTCCAAGAAACGAAAACAACAGCCGATTGAAGAAGTTGAATCTTCTGATTCCAGTTCCGACTCTGAAGGAGGGGATGTTCCCGAAGCTGGAGACGATGCAGATGCCACCGTGACTGCACCATCTGAACGCGAATCGTCGCCCGAGGTGATCTCACACGCCGAGCGGCGCAAGCGCAAAAAGCAAGAAAAAAAGGCTGTCAAGGACAGCGCTGATGCTGATAGTCCCCGGGCCAAAAAACGCAAGGGCGAGGACGGGGCTGCCGTGCCTGCGTCCAAAAGCGACGCAAGCAATGGCAAACTGAAGCGACAGAACTCTGTCTGGGTTGGCAACATGTCGTTTCAGTCGACGCCGGACTCGCTGCGCGTTTTCTTTGACGGTGTCGGGGAGATCACGCGCATACATATGCCGATGAAGCCAGGGAAGGGGGAGAATATGGGGTGCGTGGTCGTCTACCAGCTGGCTATGCCTCTGCCAGCTATGCTAATGCTCGTGTCTCGCAAGATTCGCGTATGTCGATTTCAGCTCCCCTGACGCTAAAATCATCGCTATCGCTCTGTCTGAACGCCCGCTAGAGGGACGTAACCTCCTCATCAAAGACGGTACGCCCTACGTTGCCCAATACACCACCTACTAAATCCTTAGTTCACTCTTGATGCAGGCGGCGACTTCTCCGGTCGCCCCGCCCAGAAAACGGAGCCTCCACCAGGCGCCGAGGCGCCAGCCGCAGACGGCGCTGAGCCCACCGCCAATGGCATACCAGGCAAAAAGCAACAGACGGGGATGACAAAAACCGCGCAGAAGATCCTGCGCATACAAAAGCAGCCGCCAGCGCCCACGTTATTCTTGGGCAACCTCGGCTTCGAGACGACGGAAGAGAGCATTCGGAACTTGTTCGAGGCCCATCGGCACCCTTGGGGTTCTGGGAAGGGCAAGGGCAAGGACGACGATGACAGCGATGGCGACAGCGAGGCCGATGCGGGTACGGGTGCAGGCGAGGCGGCCGGTGCTGCGTGGATACGCAAGGTTCGCATGGGGACGTTTGAAGATAGCGGGAAGTGCAAAGGGTGCGTACGGTGCATGTGCCATGCTTTGCGATATCCATCTGATGTTTTTCTCCTTCTTTCAAAGTTTTGCATTCGTAGACTTCACAAGCAGCGAGCACGCCACCGCGGCGCTGGTCAACCCCCGGAATCACCGTCTCAACGGGCGCGAGCTTGTCGTTGAATATGCCTCTGCCGATGCAGTACGGAGAGGCGGAGGCGGAGGCGGAGGCGGAGGCGGAAGTGGGCCCAGGCAGGAGAGCAAAGGGAGACCGCAGAAGAAGGAACGCGAACAGCAGAGACAGGCTAATGGCAAATGGGCAGACCGCGCACCCCGCTCAAAACCAGCACAGCAGGAAGACGGTGAGGGGGACGGGGAGGGCGGGGAGGTAGACACAAGATCGTTCAAACGCGACCGTCCCCTCCATGCCAAGTCCTTTGACAGAGGCTCGCGGCCACAAAAACGCGCAAAGCCAGGAGCTGCGCTTGCAAAGGCTCCTCGGGAGACGGCGGCGATTCTGCCTAGTCAAGGGCAAAAAATTGTGTTTTAGGTATATCTACATAGGTAGTACGATGACAAGCAGAGTGGATGTGATAGCAGTTACTTCTAATTTTCTGTGGGTGCACAGTCCGAGGACTATTATGGCGCGTCTGCACCCATCTCTTCCTCATCCGACTCATCCTGGATCATGCCTACCTCGTACTCGCCGCACACATCCCACCGCGAGCCCTCGGCGGCGGCCGACACGTACTTGACGAAGCGCAGGACACCCTCATCTCGGAGAACGAGCAGCAATCGGTTGAAGCCGGGGTACGAAGTGAGGAGGGCTGCGCCTTCTTCATCTTCTTCGTCTTCCCCGTCTTCGTGTTCTTCTTCCTCCTCGTCTTCTACGTCCTCGTATTCGTCGTCGCCATCAGCACCGTCTCCGTCCTCGTCGGTATCCATCTTCGAGCCCGAGCCCTCGACGGGGGGTTCGACTTCACGTTCTTTGCCTTTGCCTTTGTCCTTTTCTTTCTCTTTTTCCTTCTCCTTTCCTTTCTCTTTGCTGGGTCCGGAGCGGTAGACAGCGGGGTCGTCTTCCTCCTCGTGGGGAGCCATGTAACACTAATACGTATAGAACATGTCAGCATTCTAATTCCCAACGCAGGAATATACAAAATAAAACGCACCTCCCATCCACCCCACTGCCCGCTCACCCATGCCTTAGGTGGGTCAATGGCCATGACTGCCTTGTTCTTCAAGTACTTTGACGTGCCCGACCCGGGCACGAACGGTGTCAGGCAGAGCACGGCGTCGAGCCTGGACTCGCCCTCCTCGCTCGTCGCAAGCGTGTAGTCGAGCCCGGGACGGAAGCGCCGCGCCGCGAGACTATGCCGCAGGGGGAGGAGGTGCGTCATCGCGCCGAGCCACGCGCGGAAGGCCTGGCTCGGGAATAGCTGGTCCTGCAGCGCGCGGAGGATGCTTTCTGCTTCTTCAGCTTGGTCCTCTTCAGGGTCTCTTTCTTTTGCTTTGCCCTTGCCGTTCCCGTTCTCGCTTGCGCTTGCGCTATTTCTGTTGGCGCTGTCGATCGCAGCGCGGGAGCGGAGCGTGCAGTAGCGCCACTTGTGTGGCGGCCCCTGCACTTCCCAGGCTCCGCCTGTGCCTGCTGTGTGCGGCGGGATCGTGCCGTTGCGCGTCTTGTCGTCGAGGCCGTCTATTTTGTCGCGCGCTTTCACACCGGTTTCGATTCTGTTCACGAGGTCCTCGTTGAGGAAGCTGTTGAATTCGATAGAGGACTCTTCGACGAAGTGGGCCATGAGCGTCTTCATTGTGCGGAGCTGGAGGTACACGGGGTTCATGAACCTCAAGAGGAAGTCGCGGTGTTCCTCCGAGAGCGGCGCTTCAGGATGCGGGGGGTCGGCAGCGTAGGAGCTGAACACGGTGGTAGAAGATGTCTGATACAGAATATCAGTAGCACGTCGAAAGACTAAAAACACGATACACGTACAAGCTGTTCACGCGAACTTTTGTGTTCCGTTGAAGAGGCGGGCTCGTGCCCCTCCTCGCCTTCCTGCGCGGCATGGAACCACCCACTGATGCTCAGCCTTGATCGCTCTTCACCGTCGATCACAACCTCCTCCACGGAATGAAAGCTCTTCCCTGGCTGTACCTCAAAGAAGATAAACTGGTTCCAGCTCGGCGGGATCGCCTTGGACGGGGCCGCCTCGGGCTCGGACACGCCCCCCTCGCCCACGCGCGTCGGATATAGCTCGAGCGCGCCGCCCCACTCCTTCTGCCACGCGGTCTCGCATGGGAGCGGCATGTAGAGGATGTACGAGACGCGGCGCGAGCCGATGACGTCGTCGTGGTTGAGTAGGTGGCATCCTTTCGTGTAGTTGTTCACAGACATGTCCTGCTTCGTGCCCGAGAGCGCGCCGCAGCCTGTGACGGACTGGATGAAGGCACGGAAGGCGGGGGAGTAAAGAGCGTCGCGGAGGAGGAGCAGGTTCGGGAGGACGGCAAGTTGCTCGGGAGTGATGAAGTTGAGCGAGGCGAGGTCGCCGGTCTGGTTCACCTACAGACACTGCGGTGTAAACTTGGGAGAGTTGAATCTTGCGACGCGTTGACGAACCTTGTAGATGTCCGTCTCCTTCTCGCTGAAGCTAAGCTCTTTCATACACTCGTCCTTGACCTTGCGAAGGAGATCGTCCTGGAACAGTGTCTCGATAACAGCATATTTGTAGGGTTCACTCGTGGTGTAGTCGTTCCGTAGCTTTTGAATGGATTCTGGTTCAAGTAAACCGTCATGAAACTGTTGTACCGGATCCGTCTTGAGTTTTTTGGCTTGCGAGTCGGCGGTTGGCGATGGAGATCGCTCATGGACTGCCATTTTGAACCTGTTCGCAGATGGTCAGCGCGAGCTAGGGGTAGCGTCTACTACAGTAAGCTCACCTGTGATGCTGTTGGTGAAGTTGAGGGACAGGAGATGAATTCAAGATATGGCGAGACGCTAGATGAAGCCCCTGGAAATTTCACAACACGCGCCTTCATGCGCCTCGGTACTATTTTTGGCACAGGGTGTCGCGTGTCGAGCTGGGAGAGTTTGAACTTTCGAGTTTACGATGTCCATTTTCCACCAGAACGCGAGAAAACTATGCAGAATGAGGCCTGAGGCCTCAAGGACAAAATAAGTTGGAGAACATTTATGCCAGCAGTGTTTCTAACCCGACATCGCCTACTACACTAAAATTTTGCTAATACGTATACCATTTCTTTCCATTGCTTCCTCCAAGTCATGCCAGAACGGTTCTTGATAACTTGCGGTCTTAATTTGGCGCAGGTTAGGAAACCAACGCGCCAGGATAGATGCGATAAGTTCAATGTCCATCTCCTTATCACAGCATGATAACCGCAAGCTCGACACGTGCTCGTTGCAAATCATCTTGTCTGGAGCCCTAGACATTGCAAGCACTTCATCCTTAAAGACGTTTACAGTCACGTCCGTCGATCCCAGATCCAAGACGGGGCAAGCTCCGGTGATTTCGCAGAGCTTCATCAGCGTCAGCTGCTCATGCGGAGCAATCCGAAGCTTCCTCATGAGAGGCCAATGTCGACAACAGTCCAGGAGCTGTGCATAATCAAGGCAAACATTGCATCCGATCTGGCAGTCGATAGCGACGAGGCGGGAAAAAGAGCACAGAGGAAGGAGGGCATCGTAGTCTAAGATAGAGACTGGGGTGTTCCAGCAGGTAATTGTGAAGGAAGACAAGTGCGCGTGGGACATGAGGCGCGAAACTGCGCTCGTAGTCTTGCGGACAGATTCGGCATAATGCCTGTAGACATCTGGCGCGCTGCATAGCACGAGCTCCAGGTGACTGACTCTGGCATCCACCTCGTCCATTTTTCCCGACTGTGGCAAGAACAAAGCTTTCAGCGCGAGGCGGCAGGTCTCGTAGGAGTCCGTACGAAGTATGAGAGTGTCGATGGATCGGAACCCGAAGCAGACGCGGTTAAGAATCCAGGACGATTCTCGCCCAACCTCGATGGAAAGCCTCGCGATGGCATCATGTCTTGCAAGATGCCCTAACGTCCGCTGGTCAACCGGGCCGCACTCCAAGCTACGCAGATGTGACCATCGACAGATTGTCGTGGAAACAGCTTCCGATGGGCTCCAAGACGTCATATGCGAAGGAGACATGCCAGACCGAAATCTTTTAAACACCTCGAGGAGCGGACATATCTCCGCGATGTTTGGGATCCTCTGAAAGAGGAAGTCCATGTCCCCGACCACCTCCAGGTGCAGGAGCGAACGGCCGAGTAAGACGTTGCAAAGCAGCGAGTGGGTGTCCAGGTTTGTCTGCAGCGTCAGCTTCTGCAACTTTGGGAACGGGTTGGGTCGAGGGCATTTGGCAAGCTCGTTGTACATGCGTTGTGTGGGCCAAACTGTGCCCAACGGGGAAGGTCCCTGGGATATGGTTCTGACTCGAGCTGCACGAGGAAGGAAGCTTTTCCAGTCATCGTCGGTCATTCTACGGCAAAACGACTGTTCAAGAAGAATCAGTGTTGGACTTTCGCTCCGCTACGAGTGCACCGAGTCTGCCCTACCAATGCAATGGGCCCATCGGGAATTTGGCTGTAAAGCGGCTTCAAGACCCACAGATCCGAGGGCAGGCAAGTGAGAAAGTGCTCAAAGGACTCAATGTCTGCGTAAATAGCATCTAGCGCGGGGTCTTCGAATGATCTACAGACTCTCGCGAGCCGCGGAAGAGAGGGTCTGTCTGAGGATTTGACGTACTCAAAGACGGACCTCAGGAGTTCCGGGATCGAAAGGCAGGGATGCATGGGGTCGACTGGGAGCAAGGTCTCGAGGATAAGATCTTAAGGCTTTATAGGCAGTTGGAGGTGATGGAGTGAGCCACGCGCCCATCATGTGCCATGAAAGGAGTGGCACAACTGTTGAAAGGTAATGTGTGTCAGCTCAAAGATCTAAACGCTAGTGATACTTCTAACCTTTGAAAGGCACTTTCAGCTTCATAACTTCCACATATATGTCATAAGCTAAGGGAATATTGCACTCAAGACCGCCAGCGTTCAGCGAGTAACCACTAGAATGTCTCGAATGCAGTCAGTGACTAGTGACTAGTGAAGCTTGAAGAGTCTAGTCAGCGGCGACAAAGTCCGGCTTTCCACCGAAAATTCGGTCGGCGTTTGCCGACCTCCCCTGGATTCAACATTCAAACAAATCGTTCAGAAAATTGGACCTTGGGGAAGTTGCATCCACAATGTCTGCAGCAACATTCTCAAGGCTTGGAGGGTGATGCTGCAGCCGTACTCAGAATACTAGATCACAAGGTAAGCACCTACCTCCACCCTGCGACTGTGATATATCGTCAGACCAGGGGACGTATTTCGCAATATGGCCCAACCGTGTCTCAGGCTTGCATAATTTAACCTCAGGAAGCTGGCGAACGCTGCGGCCGATACTAGTAGCGCCCATCCCTGACCAGAATGCTGCTCATGTCATCCATGGGCAAGACCAAGGAGACAGCCGAAACCTACTGCTCGGATATTTCGGCGTCTTCCTACACGATCCAGAAGCTCTTCTCCTAATCCTCAATCGGCCTCGCTTTCGACGAGCCTCATCGAAGCATGCATGAGACGTATGACGCGGACACTCGCCCGGGAGAACAGGCTACTTGACCGCAGGAACCCGAAACCCAGGTTCTGGAAGTGGCAAAGGGAACTGCAAAGGTCAGCTGCTTTCCACAACCCATTACTGTAGTTCCCTTCGCCGCGGTTTCAGCCGCAGGTTCTGTGCCAGTGCGTTGGCGATTGGCAGAAGGACTGGTCAAATCGTCCTATTGGCTGGTCGATCTAGTCACCTTTCATTTATTCTGCCGGACCGACAACTTGTCCTCCTTCATCGCTATAGTAAGCAAACGGCTACCTTGGATTAGGAGAAACTTGGCAGCTGCAAGTTTCCAGCAGTTGCTCGAGCTCGCCGTTCCGAGGGACGCGCAACGCGGTACTGATATCAAACAGGCTAGTGCTCTGTGTCACGCAAAATTAAGGGACAGCGGCAGTCCTACTACTAGGGCCACAGTGACCTAATAGCCCATTCCGGATACCTCATCTCCTCCAGAGCTCAGCGCCGTCTCAGAGCACCCCAGGACCGCCGCTCTTCTCGTCTGATAACCCGCACAGTACCCAGCTCAGCTGACCACCCGTTCTGAGAACGCGGCCTTAGCAGGCACGAAAAGAGTCGCATCCGGGTCTATGACATGACACTCTAGAGCCTGGAGCTTAGCTCCGCGGCGACGCAAGACGCCATCACGCATTACGGTGCGCTTCTCTCTCTATAGTGACATACTACCTGTAGCTGGCGAGGATCATCACACTAGTTTTTTTCTTGACGGGATTAATTCTACCCTCTTCTTCGGCAGCGACCGCATGCCCGCTGCACCCCAGTCTCACAGAGGCACCCCTTTCTTCGAGAAAGGATGATTATTCCATACATCCACATCATTTCCTCCCACCGAATCCAGGAAGCGCACCCCTCATGACCGCCGTTTAAAGGGAACCCGACGCAAAATGAAAAAAGGACATGGAGGGCGCTTTACGTGTTGAAGTGGGCACCAGCGTGAATCACGAGTTCATGAAGCTCAAGGCGTTTCTGCGAAGGCACGCATTAGTGCAAATATTCATTGGGAACGTCTAGAACGTCTATCGTGAAACAAGTGGGTAGCATGAAAGGTCGTCGTCGTCATCAGCCATATTTCACAAAAAGATTACAACAAGCGAAACGTATGTGTGGTATACAGTATACTCAAGCCTCCAAGCCATGCCATCCAGCCCAATACAAAAACACTCCAAAATAATTACGATTATGCGCCGTCCCGCATTTGCGTCGTGTCTTCTGAAAAGCGGGGGGAAAATCTAGGTCATGATCACATCATCAGATCTCACTTCATCGTCACGCGAGCCCCCAAATCCCCGCCTTGCGCACGCCCTCGACGAGCGCATCCACGTTGCCCAGCATCCCGCTCAAAATCTCCTTCTTCTCGTCCATCGTCCTAAACGGCAGTGTACCGCCACCACCGCCACCCCTCTGTTTATCCGAGTCGTCCTCGCCGATCCGCACGCGCCGCAGATCGCGCGCATCACGCACGTCGATGCTCGAGGCGCTGTCTGCCCGATCGCGCGAGCGCAGATCTAATTTCGACGAGCGGCTGCTTGTGCTGCTGCTAGCTGCCAGTGTGATGCTGCTGCTGCTAGCGCTGCTGCGCGACAGACTGCTCTCGTGCCGCCGCGGCGCGCCGGGGGTGCCATTGCCAAGCTGAGCGATAGCATGCGCCTTTTTCGGGCTCTGCGGCTCGTAGTCGACCTCGCGGCGGAGCATGAGCAGCGACTTGGTCTTGAGCGCGGGCGCTTTGCGCGGGGAGTCGCTGCCGCCTGCGCTGCCGCTATTGGGCTCCGGGGTGTTGCCGGCTCTGGGCGTTGCGTCCGCAGGCGAGGTGCGCCCGCCAAGGCGGGATCTGGACGACGACCGGATTTCGGAGACGGGCGTGGCGGGGCGCGATCGCTTGGTGGGGGAGGGCGCACGCGAGTTGGCAAGGCTCGTGTGCGTGCTCGAGGACCATCCGGACGAGGAGAAGGACGAGAGCGAGGCGTCCGAGCCCGTCGACGAGTGGGACGATTGGGACGAGTCGGACCCAGTGCGAGGGAAGATGCTCGACTTGGACTGCCGCGCAGGGAGCGGCAGATCGGGGTCGGTAGGTGTCGGCGAAGGAGGGGACGAGAACGAGTGAGGTGCCGCGGCCTCCTTGCTATTGGCGGGTGTCTCGTCCATCAGGTAGAAGTAAATGAACTCGAGACATTTCATTCTGATTTTGGCAGTCAGGTGTCTGAGACAAATACACCGCCCCGTGGGTGTGGGGAAGGAGGACGCACCTGACTTCTCGTGGCGTACCAGCGCGCTTGAGAATTTTGACCACGGCTTGAACCCCTTTTGCTTCTTCGAATATGCGGAGACTAGGCGGCGAATCTACGAGGACGCATAGGAGGGTATCGAGGACGACAGACGTCAAGGTTGGTGGCGAGGCATCTTTCCCCGACGCCGACGAGCTGCTAGATGCATCTAGTGCTGCAAAGGGTTGGATATATCGCGATGCAAGCAACAGATCAACAAATATCTGCACGCGTTCACATAAGCGTGTGCACTGCCCAACACATGGTAGCCATGAGGCAGGACGCACCTCCAATGCATAACGTCGTCCAAGGTAGTGCTTGCTCGCGCGATGATGCAAGACGATTCCTTGGATAATAGATAGTGACTGTGAAATCAATTGAGGCAGCCCATTTTCGTCGTGCTGGGTGTCTATTGGGCCGGTTCCGGGTCAGATTTGAAGCCTAAGTCCGTGCCCAATACAGCTTCTCACCGTCATTAGAAGCCTTTGAGGCCCAGATCTGCAGCTGGGGTATTGAGCTGGAGATCCACGTTAGTATCCGTGAAGGCACTACGTAGTCGTTCATTGAGCACGCGAGCAGTGACGGCTAGGGGGTCTGAAACCGTACCATTGCATTCGAATGTGTCTTGGAGGTCGAGAAAGTGCAGCAATGCGCCGGACGGGCCTGAAGGCAGACAGGCGATGGCGAGCTGATGCTCAATGTCTGCGATGGCGCGGGCCTTGCATGAGTTGGAGGTGCGGTTAGAGGCGATCTGTTGATTCAAGTCAGTATTGTCGATATACTTGCTCAGGTGGTATGACGTCGTACGTCGTCAAGAGCGTTCTGGAGGCTTGTATGCATGTTGAGGGCCCTTCCGTGGGTCATGATGAGGGAGGTGATAAGAGACGAATGAGTTCTGGGTGGTCTGGGGCTTAGTGGGGCTGAGTTAAATGTGTTTGGGTTATAGACGCCAGCTGCGTGTTCTAAGCCAAGTCGAGCCGGGCCCAGTTCAGTCACAGCACAGCCTCCTAACAAGTCAACTCATTTTGGTTCCGGCCTGTCATTGGTTCCGTGCGCATCCGAGGTCCGCAGCATTTGTGCCTCGATCCCGACAACGCTATCTTTAGCGTAAAAAGTGACACGTGCCACGTGCCAAGCTACTCCTTAATTACCTCATCTTCTCGGCCCGCTAGACCCGCGGGGATGACGGAGCGGAAGGGCGCAGGGGCTAATGATAGAGATTTCACTGTTCCAATCTCCCAAGGACGCTCAACCACTTGCCTATCAACCACCATGGCTCCCATTCGCACTGTAAGTAAACTCATTCTTCGAGCAAATACAATCTGACTTCTTCTAGCAATGGTCACGCCTCATCCGCTTCGTTGCGGCCGAGACAGCTCAAGTCCACTATGGACAGCCAGTTGACCCCCAGCTTGACGGTATGCCAACAGCACGGTCGCTAGTGTTACCCTGCTGACTCCCTTCAAGTCGGTCTTGCTTCATGGAACAAGCACACCATTAGGGCGTACGAGATTCTGGGCTCGCCGCTCGACCCGTCTGCTCAGGTCACGAACAATATCCTCACCGTCAAGGAGCTGCTGTCACCGCTCGCGCGCGAGGACCTCAAGACCGTTCGCTGCCTCGGTCTCAACTACTCCGACCACGCAGTGAGTACCGTGTCCTTACTCAACTTGAAGCCGTGACCCGACTCACGCCAACGTTCCACAGGCAGAGGCAAAGATGGCATTACCCGCGTGAGTACAATCTACCGCTTCCCACCGCACACACCCGCACACAGAGCTGACTACAACGCCTGTGCAGCGCACCGGTCCTCTTCTACAAGCCGCTCGGGTCCGTGATCGGACCTAATGCGCCCATATACATCCCCCGCGTCGCCCAGCCCGTCTCCGAGCATCTCTCCGACTACGAGGTCGAGCTGACCATCGTCATTGGCAAGGCGGCCAAGAACGTCTCGGAGGCAGACGCGCTCGACTACGTTCTGGGCTACACCGGCGCCAACGATGTGAGCCAGCTCGCCACTTTTCTTACTTTAGTTTTTGGGGTGGACAGTGGTACTGACCCCGCGTGGCTTCGTGAATGCATCTTGAACAGGTCTCGTTCCGCAAGCATCAGCTCACGACGTCGCAGTGGGGCTTCTCGAAGGGCTTCGGTGAGACACTTGACTTCTCGAATCGTCGACGCATACATCACCTATGATGCATTGCGTGGTCACGGTACTTCGTTACTCACGGGCGCAATCAACTTTAACTTAGATAACACCACCCCGCTTGGCCCCGTCCTCGTCTCGAACAACGCGATCCCGGACCCGCAGAAGCTCGCGCTGACGTGCACCGTCAACGGAAACGTCCTCCAGAACGGCACCACCGCGTGAGTCACCCTCCCTACCCGGGGCGTCCAATCTATGCCACCGCTCACGACTCTTGATTCCGTGCTGACTCGAAACGTTGCGGAATTTAGCGACCAGATCTTCAACGTCCGCCAGACCGTGTCCTTCCTCTCGCAAGGCACGACGCTCGAGCCGGGCTCGATCATCCTCACGGGCACACCCAAAGGCGTCGGCTTCGCGCGCAAGCCCGCCGTCTTCCTCAAGAACGGCGACGACTGCCGCGTCTGGATCGGCAACGGCGTCGGCACGCTCGTCAACCCCGTCGTTGAGATTAGAGATGGGCCGCAGGCCAAGTTGTAGAGTGATGCGTATGTAAACGCTCGCATTGTGTAGTGCTCAGATATACCAAAAATGATTGAAGTTAGCTAGATCGATTGCTTTGTGGATACGGAAACTTTGAATGATGATGCATATCTTGCAGTTATGTCTACATACAACAAATTGAAGCAGTCAGATGAGATGCGCATTGCAATGATTCATTTCCATTGTTCGATTCTGAATCAAGAAAGCCCTAGATGCCACCGAAGGCAATGAGCTTCACATTCATATACTCCTCAATACCATGGCCACCCTCGCGACCTGTCAAATCCATAAGCCACCCATCACCCCTCAAAAACAAGCATCACTAAAGACTCACCAAGCCCGCTCTCCTTAACACCCCCAAACGGAATCGAAGCCACACTAATCAACCCCGTATTCGTCCCGACCATCCCCACCTCCAGCGCCTCCGCAACGCGCCACACCCTTCCCACATCGCGGCTGAAAAAGTATCCCGCGAGCCCAACGTCCGTGCCGTTCGCGAGCGCGACGACCTCCTCCTCCGTCTCGAACCGCGTCAGCGCCGCGACGGGCCCGAACGTCTCCTCAGTGTTGACCAGCGCGCCCGCGGGCACGTCGCTCAGCACCGTCGGCGCCCAGAACGTGCCTGGCGACGGGAGGCGCTGTCCGCCGACGAGAACTTGCGCGCCGCCTTGGACGGCGTCGTCGACGTGCCGCTGCACTTTTTCGAGTGCGCGTTCGTGGATCAGCGGGCCGTGTGTGCTTTGTGTTGTAAGAGAGCGTCAGTGCGGTCGTATAGTGGATGAGAGAGGGTCACGCACGTCTTGTCGTCCATGCCGTTGCCGACCTTGAAGGCGGAGACCTTCTCCGCGAGGCGGGAGGCAAAGTCTGCGTAGACACCGGATTGGACGTAGATGCGGTTAGCGCAGACGCAAGTCTGCCCGGATCCGCGGAACTTGCAAGCGATAGCACCTGCTTCTCGTCAGCAACAACACTACCGTGAATGCGATCAAAAGCTAACCTTCCACGGCTTTGTCGATGTCCGCGTCGTCAAAGACAATAAACGGAGCGTTCCCACCAGCCTCGAGAGAAACCCTGTCAACGATGTCAATCGTCCGTATTACATTAAAACACTACCACAAGGAAAATCCGTACTTTTTGAGAGTCGAAGCAGACAGCCCATAGAGCAGCTTAGCCACGTTGGTGGAACCGGTGAACGAAACCTTCTTGACGATCTTGTTCTCGCACATCTCGCGGCCGACATCGGCGACGTTCTTCTGCGTCGTCACGACGTTGATCACGCCGTCTGGTACGCCAGCGCGCTTGGCGAGCTGTAGACAGGTTTCATTAGACTCTATTGGAAGAGGCAGTCAAGTCGGGACGACAAGCCTCGGTGATGGCCAATGCAGAGAAGGGGGTTTCCGGAGGCGGCTTGATGACCGCTGTGCAGCCTGCTGCGAGAGCCGCGCCGAGCTTGCGGGTGATCATGGCCGAGGGGAAGTTCCAGGGCGTCATGATAGAACTGTCCGTGTGATGTTAGCCCGGGTTGCGAAGATGTCGAAGGTTAGGAAACGTACACGACACCTAAGAAATGACAACGTGAGTAAGCCAATCGCCAGCTGAAGATAAGCGATAGCTAGAGGTGCTTACCGATGGGCTGTTTGATGGTCACATTACGGATGTTGGGGAACGGTGACGGGATGTGGTCTGGGAGACGCGTGAGCCCACGAAAGTGGCGAGGGATGGCGAAGAGGTACCTCCGTAGGTGCGAACCGCCTCCTCAGCTACGATGTGTTAATACGCGCTCAAGTTGTTCCAAGCTCCCGCATAGACGCACCAAACCACTAGAGACACGCAGCTCAATCAGTATTCTGACGCAATAACACCATAGGAGCGCTCACCTCGACGAACGATGAAGCGTATGTGTTCTCGCCCTACAGAAGCGTAAGAAGAGAGCAGGGCACAATATACTCGCATGCATACCTTCCCCTCAGCAAGAGGCTTGCCGTTCTCCAGCGTCTTTGCAGCGGCTTTGAGCGAGCAGCGGGTAACAAGCGATACAACAACCTACAATCATCTTGCCCAAGTCCTCGTGGTGCTCCTGCATGAGCGCGTAGAGCTTCATGAGGACGTCGTGTCGGTGCTAACTCCGAGTATGAGTATCTCATTCCTGACAACCCGACACGGGAGCGGGAACCATACCTTGGCGGTCGTCTTGCCCCAGGTCTTGAACGCCTCGGCGGCAGCGTTGATCGCCTCCTTGGTCTCTGCGACGCCCAGGTGCCTCTCATTATTGAGCATTTGTTGTCCGACCGACACATTGCGCGAGCAGCACACCCCGTTATACATGCTTGGCGATGTCAGGTAGGCACTGTTCTCCATCAAGGTAACTCTTCAGCCCCATCGCTTTTTACTTCAAACTAACACTGCACTAGACAACGACGATGACGGTGAAACTGCCGCTGGAAGTAGACTGGCCCACCTCCTTCAGATCCTAGTTCGTATCCTTGCACGTCCTCTATATCCTTTTCCTGACTATCTACATCTCTGCAGGAGCTATCAAACGTCTTGGTGATAGTTACCCGAATCTTTGGAGGCATTCATCTCGGACCCGATCGCTTCAAACACATAAACCAAGCTGCGCGAAACGCTCTCGAGCTTGGTGGCTTCTTGGACCAACCAGACGAGCCCAAAAAGCCCGCTGGTAAGGGGAAGAGAAGATGAGATAGCGTTGGGGTCTTTTGGATATCATATATATTTAGCACCTATGTCATAAGCTTGTAACGACGCAACTTATTACAGTGTTCCCAACTCTCCAAGGAACAGTCTGCAAGACATTTGAAAGTTCGGCGACCCGCGGATCCGGAATATGATGCCGCTGTCAGTTCCACGCGCAAGTGAAGCGCTTATAAGCGATGAAGTCATCAGTGCGGTCAGCTGGCACGCAACGCTTCAACACGGCTTGCTCTCAGCTCACACGTTTGCTCTGAGTAGTACTTATAGCAGCGCCATATGCTGCGCCTGTCGACCCCAACGGCGTCGTCGCCCATAGCGCTCAGCCTCAAGAGCATCAAGCTACACGGACCCAGTACTGCACGCGCGAGGACTAGCAGCATACGATTCGACTTTTGGGTCAGGATGGCGAGCACGAGTGTTAATGCCAAGGTGGTGAGTCCAGACCCTGTATTCGTGTTCAGACGGATGCGCTCTTCTCATGCTGGCTTATGTGCACTTCAGTGGGGTCTCAAGGACCCAGGCCTTGTCAAGATGCAGGGCTTCATCAACGGGAAGTGGGTGGACGCAAAGGACGGCGGGAAGATCAAGGTCACCAGTGAGTGCATGTTCCTTGGCGCACCCGGGCGTCCGAGTTCTCAGCTGGCGTTTCTATGCTTTCAGACCCGGCCACCGAGGAGGAGCTGGGCAGCGTCCCGGAGATAGAAAAGAATCAATATGAAGAAAGACAGCTGCAGAAATGATACCTACCTCGTCTGGACTCGTTATTCGACATGCCCGCCCAATAAAGATGCTCTTCCGATCGACAATGGGATCGGCAATGGTAAGCTGTATCCCGTCTGGCAGCCTCGCCTCGTCCGACGCAACCCTCGCACTCCGCACCTGCTCCTCTATCTCACCCACATCGTGCGCACGGGGCGCATCATTCGCAGCGGAAGCGTGTTCCCCCTCTCTCAGCAGCTCGCCCACCTTCTCCTGGTTCAGCTTCCCCTCGTACCACGCCGCGCACCGCTCGAGGACGTTCTGCAGCCCGTCAAACACGCACACGCTGTCCGCGCTCCATTCGACGCCGGTAGCGGACGAGTAAAACGTGCGTATGACCTCGCCAAAGAGACCGGCGTCGACGCCGAAGTTGCCGATCCATTTGGAGAGGAGCTGGAACTGGGGTGCGGACGCGGCGGGGTACGAGGGCGGCAGGGACACGAGTACGCGGATCGACGCTTCCTCGTCGTGGTCAGGCAGGCTGTGCAAGTATACGAGAACGTGAAGAGGCGCCGTCAGCAGGGAAAGGAAAGGCAATCACATATCCCGGGGCTGGGCACGGACTCACTCACTTGAGAACGACCACATAGCGCACGGTCTCCGACGGCCCAGCGTCCCTAAGCCCGTTAATGTGCGGCGGCGAGGCGCCGGGGCTGGGGTGGAAGGGGAGCACGGCGTTCTCTCCGTAGATCGACTGCAGGACTACATTTATCAGCCTCGAGGAGTCGTCTCCGAGAGCCCCGATGTGGGCGCACCGCTGATCTCCAACGCGACCGCCTCCCGCTCTTCCGTCAGCGAGGCCACCATGGCTCCAATTTCTTCGGCGTACTCCTGCGCCAGCATGTCGTCCATGGCGAATGACAGCGATATACAGATGCGCGGGGGACTCGGGAGGAGAAGGAGGTGAAAGGAGCTATCGTCCTGACATCTGCTTCCGTCTCGACATATTCCCGGAGATGAAGTCCGCCCACCGGCCCGCTGCACCTGGTCGTAGCAGCCTGACGATGCACTTTGCTTGTGTTGTTGACCACAAAAATGTCTGGAGCTCACAGAATCTAAGCGTGCTCTTTCATGAAGCACATGGATAATCCTGCTAGTGTTTCCCCACTGGCAGAACCACACCACCGATCTTCAACCCACAACCACAGTTCGGATGAGCGCAGCACTCTATTCGAGACTAGCTAAGCAAAGAAGATACGGGAGGATAAAAATGGAACAACGTATAATAAGGAGGGTGTAAGCAGCGGGTAGATGCAACAAGTGCTCCGCGTCGGCTAAGTGGTAAAAGATATGCGTACGTATGTCAGTATGATAATCATGAGCAGAAAGAGCATATATTAGATGCGGGAGAAGCAGACGTCAAGAAAATAAAAAGAAAAGAAGAAGCAAGTAAAAGTTGCGAGGGGGGAAAGCAGAAAAGACAAGGAGTGTGTGTGGTCGAGTCCATAGAACAGCTCGCACAATTCCACTAAAGCGAAACCTAAGATCAAAAAGAAAGAAAGAAGTAAAAGAAAAAAGAAAACACAAAAAATCACCCCAGCATCTACATCCTCCACGCCCCCACCCCCATCCCAACCGGCGCAGCCATAAACGGCCCCGCCTGCACCGTCCCGCCCCCAATCGAGCGCAACACCTCCCGCCGCTTCTCCTCCCACACCTTGAGCGCCTTGAGCAGCTGCACGACCTTGTCGCGCTTCCCCGAGCGCACGTCGTTGATGCTCACGCTCCCCATCTTCACGTCGTTGTCGAGCAAGAAATCGAACAGCCGGAACAGCCCGTCGAGCTTGTCGTCGTTCGGCCCCTTTGGGAACGCGCTGTCCGGCACGGGCGGCGAGCTCGGCTTCCCGACGACGGCTTCGGCGAGCCGCAGGAGCGCGAGCCCGTCGTATAGCTGTGTGCTTGGGTCCGTGACTTGTAGCGATTGGGGCAGCCACGCGTTCGCCCATTCGATCAGGCCCGGGTTCACGGAGAGGGTATGCGATGACTTTTATCATCATCAGCACGAGCGGCCAGCGCACCGAGGTTTAAAGAAAAGCGCACCTGTTCACTCGGAGTCGTCGACATCCGCCGCATCTCCCTCGACGGCCTCGGCGGTGCGTTGCTCCGCGTCGACGTCTTCCGCGTGACGGCCGTCATCGGCGTGAGCGGCTCGGCCTCCTCGCTCTGTGAAAAGATCGAGTTCACGCGCTCGCGTGACCTGCCCGACGGCACATTATCAACGGGAGTCGGCGTGCCTTCGCCGATGCCCATCAGGACCCTGGCGTCGCGCGTGGAGAGCTGGTTGGGATTCTCGCGCCGGAGCGCCTTCTGGGTCGCGGCGCGGGCCGAGGGCGACGGTGGACGAGGCGCCGGGTTCATGGTTTGTGCGACTGCGAGGGGTATAGTGGGGATGTTGACGGAGGACACGACAGGTCCTGTTTAGATGTGAGCACCAAACCCTGTGAAGACTATGACAAGCAACGTACTCGAGTAATCCCGACCAATCGTAGCCTTCATGATGGATTTCATCCACTCACGAATGACAAGCTGCTCCTCCGAGCTGAAGAAATGCGTCTTGTCCGTGTCATGCACAATCCGGAAACCATAACGCCCCGGGTCGATGTTCTCGTCCGCAATGACCCTATAGCCCACGATATTGATGTACCCCTTGATTTTCGTCTCCTAAAACCAACATCGATCAGAACACAAATAACTCAAAAGCAAGTAAAAGAAGATCCTCACCGCCTTCGCATTGCTCCGGAGCACATACAGATGCGTCCCCTTGATAACCAAATACCGCGTCTTCCACACATTATACGAATCCCCCTTCTTCCTCAACCACCCCTGATGATCCGGCGCCCCAATCTGCTCCAAAATGCTCCTGCCCGGCTTCACAGCGCCCGCCCCGCCGTTCGCAGCACCGCCCACAGAGGAAGCCCCATTCCCATTCCCATTCCCAGCGAGCCCCGGCGACCGCGGCCCGCCCGCGCTCTGCGGGGATCCCGAGCGCTTGCGCAGCACCTCGGGCCGCGCCCTGTCGCCGCCGCCGCCGACGCTGAGCAGATCCTTCTCGGAGCTCTTGGACCCCGTCTTCTCCTTGCGCTCCTTGCTCTGCTGGTTTGGGTGCGTGAAGCTGTGGAGGAGGTTCGAGCGCGAGCTCGTGCCGTCCGACGTCGTCGGGCGGCCCGACGACTTCTTGCCCCCGCCGCCGACCAGCCGCGAGATGCTGCGGCTCGATTTTTCGGGGCTTCCGTCTTCGAGCAGGCCGCTGTCCCATTGCACAGCAAATAATTAGATTACGGTGTGCAGCTATGGTGTTGAGCAAAGATGAGACGCACGAAGTGACGCGAGGCGGCGGCTTTCTGTTCCCCTTGCCGAGGCTCCCTGAGAAGTGCCCAAACATGCTCAGCCGTTCCGAGCCCTTGTTCCCGTCCATACTCGTCTTCTTCCGGTGCCGGCTCGAGATGCTCGCGTCGTCGAGCGACTGCCGCTTGCGCGGGCGCGGCGCGGGCGAGATCGACGGCGCGTCGTCCTTGCTACTATCCCTCTCCCTTTCCTTCTCCTTGTCCTTGTCCTTGTCCTTGTCCCGCTCCTTCTCCTTCGTCTTGGAATTCGTCGACGACGTAGACTCCATAGACCGCCCAAACAAGCGCCGACGCTGTTTCGCCGCGGTCGTAGCCGTCTCGCCCTGCAAATCCATCCTACCATCAGCGACAGAGAACAGAGAACAGATCGTTGCATTTCACGTACATCGCTCATCGCACCGCGGTCCTCGTCCGTAGACCCGACCTGCAACGCGCTCTCGCTAGGCGACGGCCCAAGCTGCCCCGGCACCCCGACCAAACCGAGCCCCAGCCCGCCCGGCCTGCTCATGCTGAAGCTCGACGCCCGCCCATACGCCGACTCGTTGTCCGTCGAGAGGAACGTCGCCGAGTTCGGCTGGCTCATGCTCTGCTGCTGCCCCTGCTGTTGCTGTTGCTGCTGCTGCTGCTGCTGCGCGAGAGCAGCAGCCATATGCGTAGGGTATATCGGGCTGTTCAAACTATGCTGCACCGAGCTATGATGCGAGTGCGAATACGGGCGCGACGACGGCTGCGAGAGCGACGACGGCGTCGCCGAGATGATCTGCGCGCCGCTCGCGGAGCGCTCGTCGTCGGGGAACACGATGGACGGCGGACGGCGCAGCTCCGCGATGGCGTTCGCGATGCGCATGCGCTTGCCGAGCGCGGGGATGCCGACCTCGGCTTTGAGCAGGTTGATGTCGAGCTCGAGGAGGACGTCGCCTGTGATTTCTTGTTCTGCGGGACGTGGCGCGATCGCGTTAGCACGGAGGAACGGGCGATGCCAGAAAATGAAAAACGCCCACCAATAAACTTGTCACAGATGTCCTGCCCGAAGCCCTTGTTCTTCAACCAATCCACGACGTCCTCGACGGACCACTCCGACGGAGGCGTCCTGGCTTTCCTGGTCCCGCTGTCGGCGGACACGATTGTGGACACCTCAGTAGCAGGCGTGCCGGTGGCGGGTGGCTGAGACTCCGAGTTTCTGGTGGACGATGCGACGCTGGTGTGTTTCGACGTCTGCTGCGGACTGGTGCCGGTGCGCAGCGACGACGGCGAAGGCGAGGGAAGCACATTATTGTTAGCCACAGGGGTCACTGGAGCAGCGGCGGGAGGAGTCGGCGTAACACGAGCAGCAGCCTCAGGGGGCGAGAGGGGCAGGGGTATCGCAGCAGGGGCAGCAGCAGCAGCAACAGGAACGGGGGCGGCGATTGCGTTCCGAACAGGCTCGATGGGAGACGTGGGCGTGGGGAGGGACGGCTCCTGGGGCTGGGGCGGGTCTTGCACAGGAGGCGTTGTGATCACCGGGGGCGGAGAGGGAAACGTCGTCTGCATAGCCGTCACCGTCGGCATCTGGGACTCGTCCGCAGGCGGCGCGGCGATAGCGATAGACTCGCCTGATCCCGACACCCCTGCCAACCGCGCCAGACCACTAAAGCTCCGCCGCTCGTCCTCTTCCTCGTCCTCCTCCGGAATATGCGGATGGTCGCGGTCCTGCATGATGGGCGACAGATGATCAAACGGCTCGTCCTCCTCCGCCTCGCTCTCATCGCTCATCTCCACCTCAATAGGCGGCGCCTTCGAGCGCGCCTCCGCCGCCGCCTGCGCCTGCTGCTGCTCCACAATAAGACGAGCATTCTCCGCGAGCTTGCTGCGGTGGTCGCGGTGCCAGGTGCTGTTGCCCTCGTGGTCCGTATCGTCGTCTGCGTCCGAGGGATCGGTGTCCCCGTCCCGCGTGCTCGCGAACGAGAAGCTGCGGGCGCCGTCCGTGTCCCGGTCGCGGTTCTGGCCGAGCTGCTCGAGCGCCTTCTGGACGTCGGTCATTGTCGCTCGCATCACTCCGACTTGGCTGCGTTGTTCCTCGACGGGATCGCCGAGGGCGACGCCGATGCGGGATGCGGCGTCGCTTCCGTGGTACATCGAGCCGGCCTCTGTTTCTTCTCGGAGGGTATGGAGGCCGTTGGTCGTGGTCGGTGGGGCAGGCGTTGACTCAGGAGGAGGTTGAACGGGTGCTTGCTGGGCTGAAGTAACAGAGGCAGGGAGAGGAGGCGGAGGCGGCGCAGTGTAATCCTTGGGGAAGAGGCCGACCTTTCCAGCTAAATTACGTCCCTAAACTCGGCAAATCGAGAGTTAGTTGAGTAATGAGAGGGGCACATTGGAAAGTAGGAATTTGTCAAATGCGATAGATGAAATGAGAGAGGGACTCACCTGCCACCACCCATCGCTGTACTGGTCGTCCTTCTCGATGATTTCGATGGGCTCCCCGGCACGAAAGGCGATCTCGTCCTCGTGCTCCGGGACGAAGTCATGCATCGCATAGACATACTCGGGCATGGCTTACGGCTGGTCGAGGCGGGTGGAAACAAGTACAAGAGGCGGAGTGGTCGACGTGAGTGAGTACAGTGTGGCGGGTTGTCGAGGACGCCGTGCCCTGAGGCGGGCTGTTTATGTTTTAGAGCGTTTGCTGGCTCGGGCGGTGTGATGATGCGGACACGAGGCCCCAAACTCGGCGCCTCCGACCGAACATGGGCCGACATTTCGGCTTCGTTATTATAATTATGTAAGCTGTCTTTATCGCCCACCATGATCAAGTAGGCGCTGACTCGAGGAGTTTTTTTTTTTTTAATTTATCACTGGCATTGCAGGGACTATAGTAAGAGATACAAAGTATGTGCGTAACTACGCTGATTCAGAACCACTAAGGGTTAAACTACGAGAAGTCGGAGGAGAAATGGCTTTAGCTGCATCATCGAAAGTAAACGCGGTCGCGTTGGTAGAGAGAAAAGTTAACAATGTTCCGTTGGGGTCTTTGCAATGCACAAGAGAAGAAAGAGAAAAGGAAGAAGGGCGTACGTAGGCTGGGCACTGGTTGAGGATATGCGTTCGGGTTTGAAAGGGATCATGGCATTTTGGGCAGTGGACGGGTTGCCCTGGGAAGAATTTCGCACGGAATTCTCCTGTTGGGGCGTGATTGAGAATGGCGCGCGAAGCTCTCGCGGCCAGAGAGGTGACTCGAGGAGTTGCTTGCGATGGTCTTCACCAATCAACTCGGTGCGTGCTCTGCTCCTGATCCGACTAATTTTAACCCCCGCGTCAGTCTTCGTAACCGGAAACGAAAACAAGTACAGGGAGGTCAAGCAGATCCTCGAGCCCCTGGGCTTCACCATCGTCAAGCCAGAGCACGACGTCGACGGCAAGTATAGCCTCACCCCATCTCAATTCATCCTCATAATCACTCCACAGTTCCTGAGCTCCAGGGCCCTAGTGAATTCATCGCTAAAGAAAAATGCCGTCGCGCTGCTGAGCAAGTACGTCGCTAAACTCAATTGTGTTACGCTTGATCTCATTTTCTGGCTTAGATCAACGGTCCCTGTATCACAGAGGATACATCTCTGAAATTCGACGCGTTAAGCACAGAAAAGTACGACCTCCCAGGGCCCTACATCAAGTACTTCGTCGAAAACATCAAACCACAAGGTATCCATCTCTCCCAAGCTGAAGCTTGTCGTGACACAACCCTCACAAATCCTGACCAAACACAGGCCTCCACGACCTCCTCAAAGGCTACGGCGACCCGCCCAACATGAAAGCATCCGCAATGTGCCTGTTCGCATACAGCACAGGCCCGGGAACCGAACCCCACATCTGCCGCGGCGCCGCAGAGGGCCACATCGTTCCCCCGCGCATGCGGAAGGAGGACGTCGAGGCGGGCAAGAAGCCTTTTGGATGGGACCCCATCTTCCAGCCCAACGATCAGGATCCAGAGCGGCCCGAGGAGGGAGGGGAGAAGCCTTTTCAAACGTGCGTGTCTGCTTCTGGGCTCTGGTGTGGCGTGTGCTAATGGGAAATGTTGGGCTCTAAAGGTACGGCGAGATGAACACGGTGTTTAAGAACAAGATCTCGCATCGCGCCAAGGCGCTTACTATTCTTCGAGCGAAATTGGAGGAGCTTCGGAACGCGCAGTGAACGCTTGCGTAAGACTGCGTGGAAAGCACATTTCGGTAGAGTTGGGGACATGGGGCCTCCCGATGAGTTCCCAAAGGTACTTACAGGTCAGGCCCAGCCTCGAAAGATCGGCAACTTATTCCATGCCCTACGGCTATTTTATTGATTTACAAGTACTACTAGGAGAACTTGTAACATATAGATCGCTCACCTGCATCCACGATATCGAAAAGGCGGCCTGCTCACTTTCGTTGTCCTTGTGACAAGTACCATAGCTGCCTACAGCTGCATCACGATGCTACTTGCGAGCGCTACCAGGCGCTTAGCACAGCCACGCCGAGCTGAACGCACGGGTTTCCGCAAGGCTTTCCGGTCTCCGGGTACTTTATGTTACGGGTGATGGCTACCAGCGTTGAACACGGCCACCATCCCACTACACATGCAGCCTGGGGTATCGGTCACTCCGGGTCTCTCTGAGGCCCTCCTGGAGACGTATGAGCGCGCTGCGCCAGGGAGCGTAGGCGGCAACGCGTCGGAGGAGACGAAAGGCAAGTTAGCCGGTGCAGTGCCGGATTGGCAAACGGTTGACCGTGTGCGGTGGTACTGACTTTGTTGCGGCATTTTGTGTGTAGAGGCGGTCGCTCAATGGCACCATACGCTCACGCATAACGGCTACGCTGCGTCGACTGGGAAGCGGTGCAAGCTCGTGGAGGTGTCGATACAGGGGAAGAGCGAGGAGCCGTCGCGGAAGGAGGCTAAGATTGTTGCGGAGGTGACTGCTACCGGCGGTACGTGTCCCATGTACTGCTCCATCCTGCGTCGGGAGCCCTGACCCGCGGTCGTGCCCGTCTAGACATGGTGAATGGGTATGGGACCGTGCATGGAGGGTGCATTATATTCCTGATCGACGTGTACGTCTCCACTTATCACAAATACTAACGTCTCTGACGCTCAATTGAACTAGGTTCTCGTCGCTGCCTGTGATTGCGATGAACTTTGACCAGACGAAGAACGGGGACGCGGGGCTGTCGTCGAGCATCAACACGATATACCACGCACCTGCTCCCGTGTACGTCCCCCCCACCGATTGACCAGTCAGCTGCAGTGCCCTCATGTGTATGATCTCCAGTGGTGCGACGTTGAGAATCGTCGCTTGGAGCACGACGGTTGGTGGACGGACGTTTAGCTCGCGGGCAGAGGTAAGCCGGTAGGTATGTTCACAGTTCATTTGCTGAACAGGTCTGTGTAGGTATGGGACGCCACTAATCGTCGACTTGTTGCGTCGGGAACGCATGTGAAGATGAAGGGGAGGATGGGACCCAGGTTGTGAGGTAGCTGTAGTATACCGGAGTGGTCGGCTATATGTGCCGGAGTACAGTAATGGCCATGTTGGACGGAGATAAGATAAGATTACAACTTTTTGCTATTCGCTGAGTCACCCGAATCCGATCGAACGTCCGCGTCAGATTTAGATTCCCTAGATCCTTGTCCGTATGCTCTTCCCTCCTCACTCTCCCCGGACACGCCGCCATGGCCTCCGGACTATCCGACATAGAAAAATCTTTGCTGATCGGGAGATGGCAGCTTCCAGAATCGGCCGCAGACGACTCGCCTGTTACGACACTCGCCAAGAACGTTGTCGACGGCGCCTTTCGCCCCGCTCTCACCTCCCCTCTCGCCCAGGCCACCTTCAAGGCTCAGTCAGAAGACCTCTCCGAGGAGCCTCTGTCGGCGCTTGTCGATTGGACACCACCGTCCGGGTTGAGCGAGCAAGACGCTGAATGTGCTCGGCTCGCACTGGCCGTGGCCTGTGCGCGCGCTTTCGTCCAGCCCAACTGGACAGGGCCGGATCTCGACGTAACACCCAAGGACATTATAGTTACGGACTCGTCAAAACCCATCGACGAAGAGGCGCTGAACAGCAAAGCAGTCGCCGAGCTCGCATCAGGCGGTGAACCCGCCTACCACCTCGCACAACACCCCCTGTTCCTCCGCCTCGCGCAAATCCTCCTCAGCCGGCCCTTTGAACATTGCCTTTCGGCGGCATGGTGGAGACTGCGGGTCACGATCATCCACCAGCAGCTCCTCGACGAGCCTGTCGCCGTCTCGCCGGACCTGCTCTCGTCGCTGGAGCCGCTCTTCACGGCCGTCGCGGGCGAGCCCGAGCTCGAGGGCAGGTTGTTGCTGGAGCAGGGCGTCTTGGAGCATATATATGGTCATGACAAGCTCGCGGCCGATTTCTTCGTGCGCGCTGCCCGTGCCACGGGCTTGCGGTACGAGCTTACAGGTGCTCTGGGCAAGCGGACAAAGTTCCAGGTGGCGGATCTGAGCCAGCTTGTTCTTCTCGCGGAAAGCACGCTAAAAGACAAATCCGCGGAAGGAGAAGAAGATGCGAAGAAAGACAAAGACGCGTCAACGGACTCAAATTCAAATTCTGGTGATTCTGCTACTGCCACTACCGCTGTACCAGACCAGCAAAATGGCGGAGGCCCGGTCATCCCAGAGACGCTCGCGCTGAACGACGACACCCTCCTCGAAAAAACCGAGTTCACATCCTCAGCGCCAAACAGCAGCGACAGCGCCGCCGGCGGGCCCTCGCCGCTCGCGCACCTCGACCCGGGCGCCCAGCCGGCGCTGCACCCGCTCGACCAGTGCATCTTCCTCGCGATGTGCCTCAACGTGCGCAACCAGTCGCCCTCGCACGGGCTCACGTCCGAGCAGATGTCGCCGTACGTGCAGCGCGTGCTCGCGCACCCGCGCAACTGGTCCGTGCACACGATGGCGCTGCTCCTGCGCGCGCGCCTCGAGAGCACGCGCACGCGCACGGTCGAGCGCGCGACGCTGCAGCTGCAGGCGCTCGTTGAGCAGATGCCGAGCGCGGACGCGCCGCTCGGCGAGCGGCTGGGGTATGTGCATGATATTTCGCTGCCGAGCAGGTGGGAGATGGAGCGCGAGCTTGCGGGAAGGTTTTTGTCGCTGGGCGTTGTCAAGTCCGCGCTGGAGATTTTTGAGCGGCTCGAGATGTGGGAGGAGGTGGTCAAGTGCTGGCAGGCGATGGAGCGGCGGGACAAGGGCATCGCGATCGTCCGTGATCTGCTCGAGGGGCGCAAGACGGAGGCGGAGCTGGTCACGGCGCGGGGGAAGACGCAGGTGTCGGCGGGGCGCAGGAGCAAGATGGACGCGGCGCGGGAGGCACAGCTGTGGTGTCTCCTCGGGGAGCTCGAGCCGGACAACGCGGTCGCGCACTACGAGCACGCGTGGGCGCTGTCCAAGGGGACTTCGGGCCGTGCGATGCGCTCGCTTGGCGGATATTATTTCGCGAGGCAGGAGTACGCGAAGGCGGTCCCGTGTCTCGAGCGTGCGGTCAAGATCAACCCTCTCCTCTCCCGCTCGTGGTTCACGCTCGGGTGCGCGTACATACGGCTGGAAAAATGGGAAGGCGGGAGAGACGCGTTCAGCCGCTGCGTCACGATCGACGATGAGGACGCCGAGAGCTGGAATAACCTCGCGAGCATGTACCTCCGCCTCGACGAGTCTGGGAAAAAGGCGGCGATCGCCGAGGACGAAGAAGCGGCTGTAAGCTCCACTCCACTCATCTTCTTTTTTCTGTGGGACATCTAACCTGAAGGGCTGCGTTGACTGTTGCAGGACTCTGATGCCGAGATCCCCGATGCGGATGCGGATGCACCCAAGGCGGTCCCATTTTCAAATAAGACGCTCGCGTTCCAGGCGCTCAAGCGCGGGCTCAAATACAAGTACGACTCGTGGCGGATGTGGACCAACTACATGGTCGTCGCGATGGACGTCGGCGAGCTCGCCGAGGCGTGCCGCGCGCAGGGGCGCATCGTCGAGCTCCGCGCTGCCAAGGACGGCGCCGCCTGCGTCGACGCGGACGTGCTCGAGCGCCTCGTCGACGCCGTTACGCGCGCGCCGCCCGACCCGGACGACGCGACCGAGGGCGGGGGCGCCGGCACCGACGCCGCGCGCAGAGCCGTGCGCAACCCGAACGAGGGACACGGTCTGCACCGCCGCGTCGCGGACCTGCTCGAGCGCACGATCCTCCCGCGCGTGGCGTCGCCGCGCGTGTTCCGCGCGCACGCGCGGCTGCTGACGTGGCAGGCGCGCTGGGAGGACGCGGTGAAGGCGTATCTGGACGCGTACCGCGGGGGCGCGGCGGGCGCGTTCGAGAGGGGCGAGACGGACGTGGGCCGGTGGCGCGAGGCGCTCGCGGAGGTGGAGGACGTTGTGGATGTGCTCCGGAATTTTGGCGCGCGGGTCGAGGGGTACAAGTGGTGGGTGCAGGCGCGGAGCATCGTCCGGACGTTTATGGGCCGGTCCAAGGACTTTGAGGACGAGCCGGAGTGGGTGCGGTTGACCGCGTTGCAGGAGGATTTGCGTGAGGCGCAGGATTAACCCGGGCCGTTGTGTGGATGCAACGATCAGGATTAGCCGGGGCTACTGTTGTCGGTGGTGTTCGGACATGAAAAGCTGGCGCGTGTGTAACACTGATATATCATGCTGGTGTATAGATCATAAAAAATGGGGCGAATGATGAAATCGGATTAAGGAAATCGTATGAATCGTATGGGGGGCGTGTGTATGGAATCCTACGGGTCGTAGCGGTACGGTGCAACTACATATACTAATCAGGAGTGAATACAGTGCTCGTGACCGGGTGTGAAGCTCTGAATGCGAGGGGCGATGAGGTGAGGATGTCAAGGTGCTATAAAGCCACGAAATACAAAGTGTATGCGTCATGAGGTCATTCGAGGTTCCAGCCAAGCTCGGACGCCATCCGGTTTAGCGCCAGAGTGGTCATGACCTCGGTGACGATGGGCATGCCAGCGGCCTTGACCGTCAGACGCGCGTGAAACATGTCCTCGGGCTGGCTGAGCTCCCAGGTGGCGACGGAGGTGCGTCCGTCCGAGCACTGCACGCATGCATTAATGTGTCACCGTCAGAAAATCAGAAACGTGCTGGCGTCTTGCGATACACACCTCCATCCTCTGTGGCGTGATTTTCCACTTGAGCTCTTTGCCGCTCTGAGACGTGAAGAAACGAGATCTAAAAATATGGACGGTCAGCGGGTGCTCCAAAAATCAATTGAGAACGGGAAGAAAGAAGAGAGACGACGTGCCCGCTGGAGTCTTTCTTCCGAAGAGAGCTGGTCATGGGCTGCTGCGCGCCGTTACCGTACACCATGTATCCCGGCATCCTCTCGGGCCCGAAGTAGAGGAAGGAGTTGTCCGGGCCCATGATCGTCGTGTGCTGTTGCCTCCATTCGGCCTCCCGCGCGATATGCATGACAACGTTCGGGGTGCCTTCGACCTATAAAAAAATCGGTAAGGATACCTGATGCGAGGTGTCAAGTGGGCGCGACGCTGACCGCTGCACTACACGGGAGAAACCCAATCGGATAAGCCGCATGATCGCGAGTGGGAGCGGAGGCATACTAAAAGAGAGACGTACATAGTGAAGGCGGGTCTGCCCTCGAGGTCCTCGAGCTTGTAGTCAAATGGGTCTGAGCCAAACTGAAGAAGAATGTAAGGGCCTGACATGGCACCGTAAAAATGAGCTGGTGGGGGGAGAAGCAAGAATGTCTGTCCATGACGCTGGCTGGGATTGCCTTAAGCATGAACAAGGACGACCGGAAACGGCAAGAGGGAGATGTATTCATCGCCACCGGAAGCCACGTGGCCACGTGGCCGGCGTGGAAGCACACTCCACGTGTTCGGCAAATCGCATGGTTTCCACGAGAGAATCGTCAGCCGCTCCGAGCTGTCTCTCCCGGCCGACAGATCTGGAGAAGGGTGGCCCATCAATTAACACCCTTCGATCCGACACCTGCGCTCTCATCTCCTTCCGTCTCCTTCCTCGGGACAAGGCGAACCCATGGGAACGGTAAGAGCGCATACTTTGCAATCGCGCGCCATCATGAGAAATTCATATCCTATTCCATGACAGACTGCACCGTTCATGACCCGATTGAACCCATGCCCTAGCTTACTGACAGAACCGAGGCTCCCAGATCAACACTCGTCCGATCCTAGCTTGTCGCGACACACGCAACAATGTGAGGACACCTCACGCTGCAGAAGGCATGCACGTACCGAATCTCTCGGTCCACTTCTGCCAGCCATCCAGAGCAAAATGGATCAAGTATACCGGTATGAGCGGTGATGATGCTCAGTCATAAACTTAAAGGAGAACGGCGCATGACGTGTAAGTGCCAATGAACCAGCAACAAGAACGCATGCATTCTCACCATGTACTATGCCTATAAATCAAAAAAGCGCGGTTAGCAGTGCTCATCTGCCCGTAATCCCCGCTGACACATGCACCGACGCACCATAGCTCAGTGTCCACACGAGTATGAATGTGAATATGTTGTCCTGGCCGGGCATCGTGAGCTCTGAGAGACCGCCCGTGAGATACTTGGCAGGTTTGCCCTTGCAGTTCACAGCGTAGATGACGAAGGACGTGGAGAGGATGGATGCGAGGAAGAGCGCGAAGCCGTGCCAGTTCTCGAGCCCCAGGATTCCCGCGACGGCGCCGGCGAAGCAAGAAGATATGAACTTGACTGAGCTCAAGGACTGGTTGTGAACGACATTCGGGGTGTATAGCAGCTGGGCATTCGCGTCCTGGGGAGACGCCATGGCGTGTTGGGAAGCTTGGTGGTCGTCGAAAGCACAGAGTTCAAGGGCGCGGACACCGCACGGCGCTGCCGCTCCTGCCGGAGTTTCCGTGGAAAAAACTCATATACATTTTCGAATAAGGCCCCAAACTTCAGCCAGATATTTATTTTTTATCCTTATCTTACCCCAAGAAGGATAGAAAGCACCAAAGGAAGGGGGATGTAAAACATTTGTCCTTACCCAAGGAACAATCTCCGAGTCAATATTTCTAGAACAGGAAGATCGCCAGGGAGCAAGGGGGAATCTAATCACATCTACTTTTTGCCTTGTTGTCTGCCTCCAGCTGGCCGTTTTTCCCTCCTCCTGGTCTCATTTCGCCCTCGTTCTTGCCCATGACTTCCAAGGCTTTCAAAGTCCCTGAGGAAAAGACAGTCAACGTCGGCGTTCTTGGGGCAACAGGGACCGTTGGACAGCGGTTCATTGTCCTCCTATCAAAACACTCTTTCTTCAAGGTCCACGCTCTCGGCGCCTCAGCTCGATCTGCAGGCAAGCCATACGCAAAAGCGACAGCATGGAAGCAGACCACCCCAATACCATCGACCGTGCGAGACATGGTCATCCAGGAATGCAAACCAGAACACTTCGCCGAATGTGCCATCGTGTTCTCCGGCCTGGACGCGGAGGTTGCTGGTGACATAGGTGCGCATTCATCTCACTTCGTCCAAGAGGACGCAACGTTTCGACGCGTTCAATGCTGACACGTTGTAGAATCCGCGTTTCGCACTGCGGACCTCGCTGTCTTCTCGAATTCTAAGAACTACCGCAAAGATCCCTACGTCCCGCTGATCGTCCCCCTCGTAAACGGGAACCACCTCTCCATGATCCCACAACAACGCTCGCTGCACAGCCCTCCGCTGAAGAAAGGCTTCATCGTCACAAATGCCAATTGCTCTACCACGGGGCTCATCATCCCCCTGGCTGCGCTGGAGAAAGCCTTCGGCCCCCTCGAGTCCTGTCTCGTGACCACGATGCAGGCCATCTCCGGCGGCGGCTACCCTGGCGTGCCCTCGCTCGACATCCTCGACAACGTCGTGCCCCACATCGGCGGCGAGGAGGAAAAGATGGAATGGGAGTCGCTCAAGATCCTCGGCGGCATCACGAAGAACGACGACGGCTCGCTGGCGTTCGACATGCGCCAGAAGAACCCGCTCCGCGTCTCCGCGTCGTGCACGCGCGTGCCCGTCGTCGACGGCCACACCATGACCGTCTCCGTGCGCTTCGCGCGCCGGCCCCCACCCAGCCCACAGCAGGTCCGCGAAGCGCTCGCGTCGTATACCCCGGAGGCGCAGTCGGTCGGCTGCCCGTCTGCGCCCGTGCATGCCATCTTCGTCCACGAGGAGCCGGACCGGCCGCAGCCGAGGCTCGACCGCTACTATCAAGATGGCGCGGGCGTCAACGTCGGCCGGGTGCGCCAATGTCAGGTGCTCGACATCAAGTTTGTTGTGCTCGCCAACAATGTGTCGATAGGAGCTGCGACGAGCAGTATCATTAATGCAGAATTGGCGATCTTGAAGGGCGTGGTTTCCGTGTAGATTGTTTACCATACAGGAGGAAATTTAGAGATTTACAGATCTTGACATTATGTTGGCGTCAGTGTATGAGTACGCATTCTTACCTCATTCCAAACGCAATAAAACATCTATAATCTACAACAGGCGGACGGTAGCGCGCGCGCGAGGCTGTACGATAATTTGAATAAAAAGATACATACGATAGCTTATAGAAGGATGTAAGCTTAAGTTGCGGGTTTATTAGAGAGCCATTACGGCGCGGTCCAGTTTACGTAGCCCTGGTCGAACGATCGCGGAGCTTCACAACGTTGTCGATCACGCCCATCAAGTTTCCAACCTTGTGCGCATTTTCATCGGGCAGCCATTCTCCGTTGTTGACGCACAGAATCTTCATCCGCTCGTGGTAGTTCAGATCCGCGAGCAGCTTTGGCGTGATGAGGAAGTACTGCCCGCTGTCTTCCTTGCAAGTGACCTCAACCATAGAGTTGTGCACTGCCCGCTCAGCACGTTGGTCCATGCCCTTGAGAACAAATGACGGGTCAGCAGGGCGTCACCTGGTTTACAGATTATGATATAATGCCGAACCTGGTTGATCTCGTCCACGAGGGAGAAGGGCGTACGCGCTTCCTCGGTCAGACTCATGAGGTAAAGAATCGTGGTCAATGAGCGTTCCTTCACGTGTTGGTCAGCCACTATTCCAGTATGCAGCAGATCGTATAGGACGTACTCCACCAGACTGCCTCTGGCCGGTCAGAAGCTGCAGCTTTTCCTTATCACGGAACTTGACGAGGATGTCGATGGCCCATTTGTCGTAATCTTCATGCCGATTGATTCGAATCTCGCCGGCGCAGCCAATTCCTGGGGAGTCACATCATAATTAGCCCTGAGGCGCTAATACAGCCTCACATTGCACCAAGTACTCACGATCGAAGGCGGCAGAAAACTTTTTGCCAATGCTTGCAACAAGCTCCTCGAGCGCTGGTTCCCACTTGTCCTGTGAAAGCAAGCAAGAAGCCTCAGTCAGTTGAACGCCTCACATACTACTTGCCTGAACCTACCCGGGCAGTCTTGATCTCACGCTCGAGACGCTGCGCAGCTTTCTCATGACTCTCGAGCATCTTCGTCATATTCTCAATCTGTGGTGTGGGGAGATTGAGTTGTGAGCTTAAATCCGGCCGCGTGGTCGGAACCCAGTTTGACAGACCTCCTGCTTCCTCCGTTCATATTGCTCCACGACACCTGGGTTCGTTTGCATGATCATTTCAAGGTTTGCCTCTTGAGTCTCGAGTTCTGCGCGAAGCTCGTTCACGGTCCGGGCGTGGACCGATCCATCCTAGAGTGTATCCAACCGAATGAGTACCAAATCCGGGGAACCAGTGAATGACCGAAATCGAGCACGATGTACGCACGTGTTCCATCCTCTCAAATTCATCCTGGAACTCTTGGTCCATGTCCCGGACGAGCTGCAAGCTGACGTCGCGCTTGTTCTTAGCATCTGTCTTCGCGCGATTATACGCTTTGTCGGCTGATTAAACGTGAATGTGAGCAGCGAATTTCGGCGATCTAGGGAAATAAATGACCTTCTTCAAACTCTGCCAACGCGCGTTGATAATGCTCGGCCTTCTGCTGGCACATTGCGTCAAGAGCATTCCTGTTCGCTCCTATCTGTAAGAATTCTATCCCACAGCGCGTGGCTGCGGTCTGGTCGGCAATAACCCCACGAATGAGAGTCTGGGCGCAAAGCGTCCATGCATGAGAGATCCGTTGAGAAAAAGTCAACCCCTGTGGCGCACCGAATATTCCTTCACCAGTTTGACACGTTTCTTCGACACATCGATGAGCTTCTGCTTCAGGCGATTCCTTTCGTCCTCGACGGAAGGAGCGTTTTCAAGATTCGCGATCTTGTTCCGATTCTGGTCTAACATGGCATAAGCGCAATATTCTAATATCCGCGAACGTTGGAAGCCCTCACCGATCTTGGCCTCGAGTGTGGCCAGGTGTTTCTTGGTCTCCTGAACTTTCCGTCTACGAGCCTCAAGGTCTTCCTGTTGACAGCCGTCAGCCAATACTAGACGGAAACTAAAGGTTTAAAGTGATTACCCAGTCTTTTCTGAACTTATTCGCATCACCTCTGATTTCACGCTCCTCGGCAGTCAACGTAGCTGACTCCTGTTCTAAAACTGTAAGCGCCCGCTCCGCTTGTTGGATGTCCTGCTCGAGCTTCCGCTTGACCTCCGGATCGACTATGGCGTAATCAGACTAAACTCTTCAAGACGACAACAGTAAACTTACTGCTGCTGTTCACAAGGTTTCTGGCCTGTCGGATGTCCCTGGTCTGATTCTGAGGCAGACGCCGGCCATAGCGTGAGCGTTGAACTCTGTTCATCACGTTGCCCGCGATAAAGTTGGCACCACCGCCCTCGCCATTTGGACCAAACCTAGATACGGCTTCCATGACTCGCCCAGTATCAATTTTGGACCCATTTAATCCGATAGCCTATCCAAAGATAAGGGTTGAGAAGTTACAAGAAAGATAGATAACGTACGGTCCGGTGAAGATCCATTTCGCGTTTGAAGAACCAAAGGAGACCATCCGGACACTCGATGTAGTTCAGGGCGTAATCACCAAAACCGAATTCTGCCAGCTGTTTAAGGGGTTAGCAAGGTTAAGGCGGGCCGAAAAACGGCGACGAACCTCTTCGGGAGTTAAAGGTGGAGGAACGAGGTTACGCTTTGGCCGGAACCAAACATTAATACGCGCGTTGGGCCTCAGACCTGCCTCGCTCGAATCGTTCAGGTAGTGGTTGAGAGTCTGATAGTCCTCCTCGCACTGGCATACAAATGTCTGGATATGCAGAATTAGCTATATTTCGTAGAAGGGGTCAAAAGGAGAACAAGCCTTGAGCTGATTAGCAGAAAAACACGCTTCAACAGCATTGATGTATCTCCCATCAGGTACGCTGCAGGATATCATAGGTGGCTCAAACACCTCCATCTTGAACTTCTCGTGGTTGTTCCGTAACCAGATGACAGCGTCGGCATGATCCTTGTCCCACTGGCCGAGTCTCTGCAGCTTACGGTGACGCTCATCTTCGAGTTTCTTGAACCTGAATTGAGGTAAAGTCAGAAAATGTGGTAACCCTGCCAAAATGCTCAGCACTCACTCATCCTGAGCACGTCCAATTATTGAGCGATGCTTTTCGGACTCATCGACGTTGACTTTCTGCCGGTCTTGCAAATTATCAAGACGTTTCTTGACTTCAGTGTTTTTCGCCGAGATTTCCCTCTGAATAAAGGTCAGCACGAGAACGCCAAACATAAATAGTGGTAACTTGCTTGCTGTTCCATAATGGCATTGGTATCCTCGAACTCAGGAGGATTGTCAAGCTCCGCTTGCCATCTAGTGCTTTGAGACTGAAGTTCTTTGATTTTCCTCAAACGCTCCTTTTCTTGCTTTTTGAGGCTGTCCATTTTGTTCTGAAGGTCATCGGCTTCATTTTCCTGTGACGTGCCGTGAGGACGAGATTATTTCTTTTAAAAAATACTACTAACCAGCTTATCCATGTGCGCCCACTTTCCTTTCATTTCGGTGAACTTTGCCTTGGTTGCATTCTTCTTCTTCTCCCGTGCCTTTTCCGCGTCTTTGTACTGGACGCCTAATTGTCTGAGGATAATAGTCGGGATTTGTCCGATGGTAAAACGAGACGCGCCTACTCGAGCAGGGCATGCGCAGGCGCATTCTTCTCCTTCAGCTTCTTCACCTTGACGTGAAGCTTTCGCTGCTTCTCTTTGGCTGTCATGTAAACAGCGCGTGCTTCGTGGTACTCGTTAACAGGGATGAGGATATTCAGCATGTTTATCTGCGAAAATGTCAACGCGAGCGACGCATATCCAGTTCAACCACAAACTTCTTTCTCGATGCGCATGCGCTCCTGATACCTCTGCACTTCGCGCTCTAATTGATTGTTCCGATCTTGCATAACTTTGAGCGTGTTCTGCTCGTCCGTCATTTTCTGCCTGACGCATTAGTTTTATGTATTTTAGTAAGTTCCGGCTCCTCACCTCTTGCAATTGTTTGTGCTCCTTTCCGGAGTTAATGAGAGTGTCGTGCCAGTTTGTCAGGCGGGAGTCACCAGCAGCTCGCTGAGTCTCCCGCAGGAGCTGCTGGGGAGACATATGCGCGAACTCCGACACCTTATCTTGGGGTAGAAACGAGCTTTGAATCATCGTTAACCTCCAATAATATGCGAAGTTGTATATGATTTACCAAAGGTTCCCGACTTGAACATTCAGCTGGGCGACTTTGGCCGTGACTTCCTTGCCAGAGGACGATTTACCGTTGAGAGTGAACGAAGAGGACTTCTTGTCCGCTGATAGATGGCGCCTAATGATGACGTTGCGTTGCTTTTTGGCTCCTTTCAGTTCGATCTCGATGTATCCTTCAGTCGCACCGTGCTTGACAAACGACTTGACATCTGTTGCGCGGCCCATGGTCTACAAGAGTAAGTAAGGTGATTAGGTGCTATATACATAAGCAAGTCACTCACACTTGCTGGCCAGTTCAGGCCCAAGCAAATTGCACATGCGATACTACTCTTTCCCGTACCATTGGGGCCAAGGATCATGTTCAGATAGGGACCAGGCCGGAACTCGGTCCAGTCGTATGTCAAGAAATTCTGTAGCTGTATGCGCACGATGGAGCCTGGAATGTAACTGGAAGACGTTAAGCTAGGTAAAGTTAAGGTATATATAACTTACCCGTCTTCATCGCGAGGAAGTGTTTGCACGCGAATCCTCTCCTGAGTTCTGTCCATAGAGTGAGCTCTTGACTCCCCGTCTTCGTTGACACGAGCCCGCTTGCGCCGCAGGGATCCCTCTCCATCCTCCTCTCCGCCCTCTTCATCCTCATCACCCTCTTCAGCATCAACGCCGTTGGCTTGGGAGTTAACATGGGAGTCCTCTGGTTCCTCCTCGTCTACGTTGCGACGCGACTTCTCCTTTTTGACCTTGGTTTTCTCGTCTTTAACTTTGACAGCCGCAAGACCAACGTTCTCTTTCAGTGACTCTGGATCATTTGCGCCAGATGCGCGCGTTTTACGCGTCATACCGGCGGTCGTGGGTCGTGATGATGTGAGACGAGGGATACGGCTCGAGGTTAGGGAAGGCGCGAGACGCGTAGCGCGTGGTAAATTTGTTTGCATTTATTTGCCCATGCTCCTGTCAAAACCTTGCGCCCACCATCACGCCCTTGTCGTAACCGTTATCATCTACAAAGCCCAAAGCTCTTTATATCGGACTAAGCACTCGCGTGCAGTGGGTTTATCTGGAGTTTGGAAATCGAAATGCCCGTTGATGCCGACGATAGGTTGGAAACGAGTGGCTTCAGGTCTGCAGGTCTCGAATCCTCCGTGTTTTACGTATAGCCCAAAACGCCGATCTCGTCGCCTCATATACCTTGAGCGCCCAAGCCCGCCATGTCTTTGCCACTTGACTTGAACATGGGCAAGCGCCGCCGCATTACTGCTCACGATCGAGTAACTCTCCAGCTCCATCCTAATGGCACACGAGTTCAGCAGCCAGGATCGCACGACGATCGCTCCCAGCGCGTTAAGGCTTTCTCTGCTGAGGACTTCAGGGGTAATAGGATGGCTGAGGACGCAGCTGGCCACGGACGAATCAAACAGACTAGAAGGCGTTCCAAAGCAGAGGGCGGCGGGGAACATCTGGACCTTGACGCTAGTATGGATGCTGGCGAAAGCTACAAAGATGATACGCTCGTTGCCGACGCTGATGACGAGGACCGCGACCTTGATCCTCGTACTGTAAAACGCCGGAAATTCTTGGAGGACCTGAGCTTTTTGTCTTCGCCTTCCTCGAGCTCGTCTGAGGACGGCCGAGATTTCTTGGATGAAATAATTTCTCCCGGATCATATTCACGACGTTTACCCCTCTCAGAGCCTTCACCTGTACGTGATAACAACCATTGGCGTCAACCCACGACTTTAACATGTTATGACATTTGTCAGGAGCTCTTGAAATGTATTCATCACCTAGCAAGCAGTTACTACGCTGAGCAGGGTTTACTATCGGAGCCCATAGCTCGGAAGTCAAGGAAACACAAGAAGGTAAATGGGGAACATCTGGCTAAGAATGCCTCGCTGGGACTAGCGACCCGAGATTCTTTGTATCACCTAGATGATACAACAGACGAAGAGACTGAAACAGAGGTCGAAGAAAACTCAGAGCAGGAAGATGACAGAAGCGAGGGCCCTGAAGCCGAAATATCAGACACAGCAGAGCGACAGAACATGTACAAGGCGTTTGATGGCTCAGCACTGTTGGCGATAGGTTTGCTGGCCGCTCCAACTGTGTTTTTCCCTTTCTGACGGCGTTTTAGCAATGATACTTCAGGAACACGTCTCGTCTTCCTTACTGCCCTTAAACTGGGAGCAAAACTCGATGAATGATGCGGAGGATACGGCGTGACCCTCGTGACGAAACGGCAACCAGTAAATTGCGTGGCATATTAGAATGAGTATATCAGCTATGGGTAGTCTACTGCTGAGGCTGCTCGGGTTGCTGGGGTCTGTTCTTAGGATCGAGCCTCTTTATATAATCTTCGGTCAAGGTGCCGTCTTCCCAGCGCTTCATGATGTTGGCCTTGTAAATGCCAGGGTTTGATCCTCCGAAGACCTTCAACCGGGCAAGTCTGCGGTCCTTCAACCTGTTCTTGGGCAACATGCCAGAGACAGCGTGGTAGAGAACCTGTAGGGGCGAAGACACCAGATAAATACAGAAGATGCGAACAATATGCGGAAACGCACGTCAGACGGTTTCGTCTCCATCACCTCCTTATACGGCCTCTCTTTCAGCCCACCAGGAAACCGTGTATGTCTTCGGTAAACGATTTCTTCGTCCTTCCGACCCGTGACTTGGATGTCCTTCACGTTCGTCACGACAACATAGTCACCACAATCCACTGTAAAAACCTTTGAGCTTGTTGGGCATACTCGATGAAACTTGCTACGTGCAGCTTTTGTCATATATTGGTTTATGCTTGCCCATAAGAACAATAGCTATCCGTTCCGCAAGCTTTCCGAGAACGCGTTCGGAAGCGTCAACATGGTGCCAAGCCCGGGCATAGGCGAGAGCGGTCTGTTGTCGGGGGGTTAAGGTGAGCACTTGGGTGATAGAGGACGCGAGCAAAGCACTCACGTTGCCTATTGACTGCGACATAACCTTGACCAGAAGAAACTAAAGAGTGTCGGCGAACAGCAGCGCGTGGGGGTGACGGCAAATCGTTTTATTGCTCCCGCGGTATCCTTCCAAAACCGGACGCGTCTCCTCTCTCCCGTGCGACCCGACTTCCGATCTTCAGAAATTTATCTGTCCGTGACGCAGACCTCGATGAGCTCAAGCATCGGCGAACCTTTCCTCCTCACTACGTCGGCTATACCGAACAAATGGAACGGTATCAAACCCCACATTTATACAAGCGGAGACAAGCAGTCGAGGAGACATATCACAGTAACGGCTGAGGGAGAGGGCATACATGTGTATGATGTACGTTGGCACTTTCCTATTACCCACGTTCTTAGGTTTAATGTAAATCAAGCTATCGTCCCTACATTCCGTCATATCCTACTCGCAAGGATCTCATACCACATTCTCTGGACCTGCCGTCACCGTTCACAGCACGAAGGACGACGCACGGATATGCACGACCTATGCTGTCATGAAAAGTGGCCCAAACATCCCAACATCGGACGCGGACAGGACGATATGGGTTATGAGCCAGGATCTGTCTGGCTCACTCCAAAAGCCCAAGACGAGAACTGTGATTGTATGTGCATCACCCACTTGTCATGGACGTCAGTGACCGGTTTGACACAAGGCTTCAGATCCCTCATCCCGTAGCCCACATCTCGCTGCTAGACAAATCGACTGGACACCTTCTCCTTCTCTCAAAGCGAGGTGACTTCAGCATATTGACACCGGAACTTGGTATCATTCGAACTTATGAAGTCTCCGACGATGGAGATCAGCCTGACGACGTTTTTGTGTTCCCAAAAGAAGCGTGCTCATTCTGCGAATTCGGAGAGCCTACCGACACTGTGGCCATAATTTTTTCGCGAAATTCTGACTCCATTCGCATTCGTGTTTTTGCAATTGGAGATGAAAATGGACTCTCTGAAGGCCGGATTCCCCTCTCAGGCTCTGCATCTTCAGGCGTCGTCTCATGCAGTGCTTCGGGAGTCGTTAGTTTCCTAAGTCAGCATTTATTCTGGCCCTCGCGATGTCCTTGCTGCACTAAATGTTTCCTCCAGGTGGCTCTGGCCATTGGAACGCCTATCAAATTTATGCATCTCCCGGCACTCCGCTTCAAATATCATCGATTGGAGAACCGCTGCAGTTGTCGCGAGTTACTGTCAAAAAATCCCAATCCGAAAAAGCACCTTTTAGCGAATGCGTTTCCATCCTCCCTATCAGCACCTCGCTCTTACTCTGCGCCTATCTATCCACTCCGCCCTCACCCGAAATTCTGATCCAATTATGGGACCTCCAGTACGGTGTTGTTGTCCAAAGTCACTCGTTGTCCATACCATCGTCACTGTCCTCGAGCGCCAAAGAAGGTTTACGGATACACCTTGGTGCTATGGAGGATAACAACGCTGTACTCACTTTGTCCCCTACTCAGTCCTCCAATAAGGCGTCGGAAAGATCGGCGGTCTACATCATACCCCTCGCGGCGGGGCTGAAGTCTAATCTTTCCAACGCGATGGGTCAAGCCGCTGTTTCTGCACAATGGCTGGTTCAACCGGAGGGGTCAGGACCACTTTCGGGGCTAGACGAGAGTCGTGTGCAGCTTCTTGCGAAGATGCAGACAGCAATGGTGAAGAGCAATCTCGCCCAGGTAGACGAAGCTTTCTTCAAGTGGGTCAAGGAGCAGTCGAAAGACGGCTCTTCTCCCCTCTTTGAGCACGAGTTTACGAAGCGCCTTGTCAATATCACCCTTGCTCCCGGTGATGAAAAGGCGAAGTATTCACCTCGGGTCATCCAGTTCCTTCTGGAGCGGTCACTTCTCACAGCCAGCATGGTGGAAGGAGGGTACCTGACGGCTCTGCGTCAACGTAATGACTGGGTTTGTGGTCACCTAACCGTCTCCCTCAGCCGGAGCTGACGCCACTTCGCAGGGATCCATTATCAGGTCCTTCGATTCCGTCGTCGATATGACCGAGGATGAAATCATGTTGCTCCTCAAAGAAGTGGTCGCCCATCGGCGGAATTCCAACCAGCCGGAAGCCATGAATATAGACTCGGCCCAATACGGCTCGATACCTCAGTTGGAGACGTACCTTTCGTCATGCGTGTCTTACCGAACGTCGCCACCAGTATTACGGACAGCGTTCCGGAAATACATTTCCGACGCCGAAGACATCGTTATTATATTGGAGGTCCTGGAGGGATGGATAATTGGAGGGACTCAAGAATATGCCAAAGCCCTGCTTAGCGGAGTAGCTAAGAACGCGAACTTGGAGCTTGGATCAGGCATTGCACCTCCGTACCACAACGTATGCTTTCTTCCCGCGAGTTTTGGGAGTACAATACTGATGCATCTACAGACTATCACCTTCCTACAAGTAATCTTCGATTCATCCTTCGTCGCACTCCTCCAGCATAGCCCCGCGCGTGAAACGATCCAGAATATTCTTTCGCATATACAGCCTGAGGTGGAGCTCTATGAACGCCTCGAGCACTTACGCGGAGCCCTGGAACCGTTCAGTAAGCTGCACGCACGGGCGGCGAAGGAGAAGGCGGAGGGTGCACCGAAGGAAACACCAGCAGAGTGGAAGGCAAGGAAAAAGCGGCAGACACAGCAGACCGCGATTGGGATTGGGCTGTATCGGTTGGAGGAGCTGGCTATATAGCGTTCGGCCGTTGTGGTACTACCGACGGTCTGGTGCGGCCTACATGTGACCATGCTTTATTAGTTGTATTTAGCCTCCATCTCTTCTGTTCAGCTCTGCCCTCATCCGTTGTTGCCACTCTTGGGCCTTAAACCTCCTTCATCGCTGTGACGCGTGCGCGCGAAGCGAGATGACATCTCCAGCGACGGTAGCTGTATTAACAGGTACATCTTCCGCTTTCTCTTCGCGCACCCAAGGTGATCTCAGGGGCTCGCAACAGTCAGCGACTCCATTAGCGCGCAAGGCGACGACAAGCAGGACAAGTCGGGCGAGCTTGCTCAAACGATTGCAACGAACAATGGCTTCCAAGTTGCCAGGAAGGAAGTTGTGTCTGATAACATAAACGAGATACGCGCACACGTCAAGCGATGGTCAAGCAGTGCTGACTCTGAACACGTCGATTGGATCATCACCACAGGAGGGACTGGCTTTGGAGTAAAGGACTGCACGCCCGAGGTACTTTGCATATCCATTTTGCACTTTGCTTGCTCATCAGCGTAATATATCTAAATGGCTATAGGCGATATCACCTCTGGTAGAGCGGGAGGCATCCGGCCTCGTCCACCTCATGTTAAGCACATCGGCAAGGCACACGCCTCTCGGGCTGCTCTCTAGACCCGTGGCTGGCACGATAGGTTCGACGCTTGTCACCACGCTTCCGGGAAGCCCAAAGGCCGTCAGCCAGATCCTCGAAGGGTTCTTCGAACAGGGGCTAATTCATCACGTCCTTGATCTACTACGCGGAGGATCGGGAAAGACGTTACACAGCCAGATGCAGGGTCAGGGTGAGTAGATAGGCCTATTATCACGCTTGTGTGTGCTAACAGAAAGATGAAGGAGGGAGTCATGGTCATCATCATCACAATCATGGCCACGGTCATGGCCACGGTCATGCACACCATCACGGACATGGTCATGTAGCCCCGAAACCACGTACGAACTTCTCGCATGATCCGAGTATGCCAGGTAGGCTGTTTCTTTATGGATTGACGTACGTCATGCTCATGGGACTCAAGCCACTGCGCGCCATCGTGTCTCCCCATATCCAATCATCAGCCTTGAGGACGCCTTGCAGCACATCTTCAATGAGACCGAAGGCCTGGGTACGGAGAAGGTCACTGTCGATGTGATGAACTCGAACGTGAGATGTTTCGAGGCTGCATCAGAAAGCAGTTCTGACGTATTCACCAGGGGAATGCGTCCTTGATTGGCTCGGTCCTCGCGGAGGACGTATATGCGCCCACCGAAGTCCCGTCGACGAAGACGACAAGCGTAGATGGTTACGCACTAAGATGTGAGCAGAATATTACATCGTTATCTCGACATAGTTGAACACTCCAGGTCAGCCACCGACCCTCCGGGTGTCTACAAAGTCCTGACCTCCAACACCCACCCTTTGAACAAAGAGCTCCCCCAAGGCACGGTGTTCCGGATCAACACCGGCGGGCCGCTGCCGGCAGGCACAGACACGGTGATCATGGTGGAAGATACCGAGATTGTCTCAACAATAAAAGACGCAGACGGAAAAGATGTCGAAGAGGACGAGATCAAGACCCTCGCGCAGGTCCCAGAGGCAGAGAACGTACGGCACCCGGGCTCGGACGTACGTAAGGGGGACCTTGTTTTGGCCAAGGGTGCAGTCATCACCAGTGTTGGAGGCGAGATCGGGACGCTTCACTTTGTTGGCCGGAAAGAGGTCGAGGTGTTCCGCAGGCCCGTCATCGGGGTGATGAGCACGGGCAACGAGATCGATGACCTCTTTAACCGGAATCCGGAAAAGAAAGAGGAGGGATGGCCTGAAATATGGGATACAAACCGGCCGTCATTGATGGCCACAGCCAGCGAGATGGGCTTTGCTGTTAAAGACTATGGCATCGTCCAGGACACGTACGAGGTTTCCCTTGTAGCCTTGAATCATCCTTACTGACGTTTGCTCAGCATAGACGCAGTCGTTAATGCGCTCAAATCAGCATTCAGCACGACTGATATAGTTATTACAACGGGAGGTACATCCATGGGTTCGACAGACCTTCTGAAGCCCGTCATCGAGCGCTACTTCGATGGAGCAATCCACTTTGGCCGCGTCGCTATCAAACCAGGAAAACCGACTACATTCGCGTCATGCACCTATGCTGATCGCAGAAAGTACATCTTTATGCTCCCTGGAAACCCTGCGTCTGCGCTGGTAACTTTCCATGTCTTCGTGGTTCCGGCTCTGCGCAAGATGTCGGGCTGGAGACATGACCAATGCCAACTGCCACGTATCCGTGTGAAGGTAAGGGCAGATACCCTGCCACCAGAAGTGATTGCTGAAAACTTGTACAGCTGCTTGACCCTATGCGCCTAGATCCACGGGTGGAATTCCATCGCGTGACCATCTCTGTCACTCGGAATGGCGAGTTCCTAGCAAGAAGTACGGGCGGCCAGCGATCAAGTCGAATGGCAAGTTTAAGCAGGGCGAATGGACTCGTGGTGCTGCCGCAGAAGACTGAGAACGGACCAACTGAACTTGCAAAGGGAGAAACCGCGGACGCCATCATTCTGGGAGAGTTGCAGACGGAGCCTAGCACATAACCTATGATTTCATCGGTTTTCCCTTGCTCTGAATTATGTGCGTATCAAGGATTGAACGACGATAGCATTATATACGTCAACGCACCAATGAAAGAATTTCGTTCTCCAACACTCTAACCTCGTCTTCTAGTCGTTGACGCTGCTTCTGTAGGAGCTGCCACCTTCTCTCTTCACGCTTATTCACGGTGGGTGCCGTCTCGTTCCGGGATCTCATGGCCTGAGCAGCCTCAACCTGTATTCCGTTGGAAAGGGAGATCCAGAGGAAATTAGTTTGTTAACGTACCTTGCTCCGTATCAACCCTTCTTTGCGATTGATCCCACTGAGACCTTTTCCAGCGCGGTCAATGAGTTCGCTAATCTGAGGCTCGATTTCGTCCGTCAGATCAGCCTTGTACTTGCGTACCGTCCCTTCGTCGATGAGTAGGAACACCTGATCATATTCGCTATCAGTTTCGCTCAACCAACGCATATATACCTGGACTCACCCGTTCACTCTCCAAGATCTTTGTCATTCGGGGCAGATCAAAAGTTCCGTTTCGTAGAAGCTGCTGAGCTTCATGCGTCTGCAGATCCACACGCAGCATTGAGTTACGATATTATACGTTGGACGCAACGAGCCGCACCTCTTCACAGATGTCCTCCATGGCCAACACGCATTCTCGCAGATTCGGTGAACATACAGCACCAGTATCCGAGCGATGAAGATCACCGCTCCCCGCGAATATAGACTCGCGCGGCTTCGGCAAAGCTGAAACTCGCGACATGACAAGTGGGAAGAACGTCGATCGGGAAGTTGTGTTTGATCACGACGCGTCGGGCGCCTCGACACGCCTGCGGACTTCGAACCCGATTCCATCTCCGCTCACGATAGGTATATAAAGCCCCTCAGAATTTTTGTGCAATCCTCAGGTGTCCATCCAACCGCCCGAAGCGCTAGCCCTTAGGCTCAGAAGTTAACACTTCTGATTGGCGTTACCCTCTTTCAGGTTGGAGGAGCGAGGCGTCCCTTCACGGGGGCGCTCACCAGACTGAGCGCCGACTCCAGCTCGCTCTCGCATGTCTTCCGTGGCTGAGTCTGCCTTCACGGGTATCGACTCGTCGCGCGAGGACGAGGGCTGATGTAGGAGGATGGCGCGGCGTCATATTCTGTAATCTTCCGTACCCGCTCTTCTTCATTTTTGGAGGAGAGTTGCTACTATGTGGCCTTGACGGTTGGGTGAAACCATGACGCATACAGCCCTTCCCCTGTCGATAAAATTTTTATGATGCAATGAGAATTATCTGATCTTGAACTTCATCCGTCCTTGACCTTGAATATTTGAATCTGAGAAACGTTTCATTCAGTGCTCAGCTGCGTCCTCAACGTTGTTTAGAATCATAGTGCTCCCAATAAATTAGAGGATAGAAGTGTCAGTAACAAAGGTACTATATCTCTAGCGTGTCACCGACTCTTCCTGCCATCATCGCTTCTCTCATCCTCATCGTCACCAACGTCGAAAATCGGCTCTTCCTCCTCAGTGGTTGCCCTCTCCTTGCCCTTCCTCTTCCGGTTTGACGGTTCATCGTCAAAACCATCGGTCCGCGACATCGTGAGAGGAATAGACTCCTCGGCAGGGTTAGTGTTCAGCTGTACTGGCCGACGCCGGAGACGGAACCAGATGCATCCTCCAACAGCGATAGCGATGAGCAAGAGAATGAGGACCGTTGATCCGGTGTTGTAGTACTCTGTAGCAATTCTCATCAGCACCTGTTGCTACTTCTGCGATGTCAGATCACTCACCATCCCAAAGCGCTTTCTTAGCCTCGTCATTGGGAGTCGCTCCCGAGCTCGAATTAGATACGGTATCAAAAGAAGGCTTGATCTCGTCGCCAATCGCACTCGGGATACGGGCGGAGCCGTCGAGGATTCTTGAGAAGTCGACGCCCATGAATCGCAGGATCATGTCATGTGCAACATCCGGGACGTCGTATGGCACCATGTGCGATGCATTGAACACCTGAATACATCGCAGTTAGGCACTTGAACGTAAAGCTGGTGTACGAAGCATATACCTTGGCGTACGTCAAATTTCGCGACGTTACCCATGTGCCTGCTGGCTGGTTATTTACGGTCCAAGTCTTCGTCGACACTTTCTGCATGGACGAACGCCGAGGTTGTCAGCCCTGGTAGATCAGAACGTAGAAAGCCCACTCACCCCGAGACCGGTTTCGCCATTCCAGCTCATGGCTTGGATCATGCTCTCAATGCCCATATAATTGCACACGAAGTCCTTGTCGCCAGCGAACAACAGCACGGGTATGCGCTCGATTACGCTGGGAAGCAGAGTGATGGAAGACGGGTCCGCAGCCTCGTTGAGGTTGCTGCCAATGCGCCCGAGACACTCGACCCAACTCTCAGACTTTGCAGAGGCGTGGAGTGCATCAACAACATCTTTACGCTGATAATTAAGCAATGTGAGGAACAAGTCAGAAGGATGGGAGAAACAGACGTACGTCAAGATACTTCGTCACGTCAGCGAGATCTGGTGGCCACTTGGTTCCGCAGTAGGGGTACTCGTCCTCGAGCCGGACGTCGTAGATATTCGTACACATCTCGACACCATCAACGCTGTGATGGCAGCGTCAACACGACTCGCCGAGCGAAGCTAACGAGAACACTTACTCCCGTGTGCCAGACTTGAGGACAGCATCGGTGAGAGCTTCGCAGTCGTTGAAGTGAATAGGCTCAGGACCAGACCATTTCCGGAACTCGTCTTGGCATTTATCTTGGACGTTGGCTGCGTTTTTGTAGATCTAGGTTGAAAAGGTTAGAGCTACGCGCCACACTTCGGAAAAAGAAAGGAATGTACCTCAGACTGTACATCTATCAAATTGTGCGCAACGGCATAGTCGAGATAGGCCGGATACTGTCTCCGAGCATCTATCCACCCATTACCGATAGCAGCTCCCCGCAAGGGCATGTTTATGTCGGATTTCAAGATGGCGTCAGCTTTGAGAAGGGTTTCATGAGAATTTTTAGGTTATAATTTTATTTTCTGGGCAGACCCACCGAAATATGGAATATATTGCCCCGCATAGCTTTCACCGCCGAGATAAGTCTGCGTAAGCCGTGAGCCGTGGTACGCACGATGAAGATGTGCTACTCACATCGACGGTTGCATATTCCGGGAACACTTTGTAGAAAGTACGCATGAACTGTATTACATGTTCTGATGCCTGCGCCAAAGAGTTGAAGCAAAGAGGTTATGAAGATTTGGTACAAGGAGAGCGTACCTCCGATAGCGACTTGACGTAGTGGTTGGTGCTTGTGTATGAAAGTCCGGTCCCGGCAGGTTGATCGACTGGAAAAGGTCAGCTCATGTCAGTATTTCCATGACGTAGGCGAAGCATCACGTACTATAGACCATAGTGGTGTATTCTTCCCAGCCTCCGTCCACAGTCTTCAGACCACCCTCCCCATCTACCCGCCACGGTCCTAACTCCATCATCAAGCCGTCAAATGAAGAGCACCCAGGCCCTCCCTAGCCAACGCGTGAGCTCAAGTGCGCAGTCCGCAATATGAAGCGCCTAGTACGTACATTGAACCAGAACATAAGCCTCTCCTTGTCGGTCGTCCTCCGCGCCTTGATCATGACGAAAAACAGATGTGCGAGAACATCCTTGCTGTCCGCTTCCGCGGCTCGCGGATCCGAAAGGATGTGGCCAGCGTAGATATGTAGGGGGTGTATCTCGTCCTGGTGCAGGCCCGGAAGACTAGGAACGTAGAACGATGCCGCAGAGGGTACTGTCAGGTTGAGATAAGAAGGTCAGAAGCGATACAGAGAAGATGCAGACAGAGAAGGTTCTCACTGTCCGTCGGCGCAGCCTGGACACGCGCCAGGAGTGGTAGCAGGAAGGTCCACGACAGTGCTCGGCCAGAGCCTCGGTGGCTCAACATTCTGAGCTCTTACGCTCGTTTGTTGAATACCGCTGAGGCTGGAGGTCTGGGAAGATGAGCGTGTGCCCTGGCACAGGGGGACTCGAGCAGATTGTGTTGCTGAAACTTTCGTTTCGACAGAAAGTGGGATGCGTTTCCCTCGGAGGCTATTGTGTCTGCATCGAGCGTAGGCTATCGATTCCTTTTTGGTAAAACCCCTTTTTGCGTACTTGACCTTTGACCACGTTCACAACCTCAATATCACTACAGGGACTAGCACACCTGGCTTATTCGAAGATTGCTTCATTCTTAACAGGTTTACTATATCAATATTCGTTACGTCTATTGCAAATCAGTGGTAAGACTCCTACTTGCGTCAGTCGCGCTTAATCTCCAGGCCATTTCGTCACTTGCAACTGAATTGAACGACGGGACTCGTTCCGTAAACCATGTCCTGATGCCTTTACCAATCTCAAGCATATCTAAGGCATCCAGGTGGTGAACCCAAGAGTTCCCAAGCTTCATCTTCAAGTTGCGCATGCTCTGCAACGCGCTCGGTAAGCACCCATCGACTACGAGGACGCGCGTTCTTGCAAGCGGCGCATTCTTCCTCGCTATTTGCCAGACATCTCTGTTACAGCAAAGTCTAGGCCCTACATAAGATCCTGACTCTTCTCATTTAGCATATATCACTTACGCCAGCACTCTCCAGCAACCAGGGCGTTCGAAACGTACAGGGATGTCCGGACTGGATGGTGAAACTTAACTAGCTGACCCCTATCTGCAGATCATCGATCAAGGATTGTACGATCAAGAATTCCACCAGAAGTTTCTACGCGTTGCTTTCTTGTGAACTCTCAACATCCTCTCAACGTAGAGGAACGGCACAAAAATAGCTCGAAGGTGGATCGATTCCATGCGCCCTCTGTGCAGGTTCCGCATGTCATCAATGAGGGTACCGGTGCTTTGCATTGCAAGATCACTCGTATGTCTAATATGAGCGCCTTCTGGTTCACAGGTTCTCAGCGCCAATGAATATTGTCCGTAGTCACACTGGCGCTGCCCTTCAGCCAAGCCTTCACCGTCCCTTCAGCCACTTTCTTAATACCATACTTCGCCATGCACATCGTGCACCGCTGACCATTTCCAATAGAAGAGTGCCTAAATGCATCGCAAACTTAACGTGAGGTAGCAGGGCTTTTCTCAGCGCCTCACACCTCGAGGCCCTCGCATGAATTGAAGCTCGGCGCTTGTGCTCTCGCACATACATATACTCAAATCGCCAACCATGAACGCTAACACTCAGGCCGGACGTATACCCCAGCTCAGCTCATCCTAAATCAAACTCTCGCTACTATAGCATGGCCCCCATTCTTCAAGTCCCAGTACAACACTCGAACTTCAAACTTGATGCGTCTGGTGTAGCAGGCTTCTTCGGTGGCGAGGAGGCCATCTCCGCCATGTCCACTGTGCATCTCTACAAAGGGCGCAAGTGGGTTGGTTGGTACAACATGCCGGGGAGTTACACCATTGGGAAGTATTATGGTCGTATCGCCAGCTCACGCTGGTGGGACGGTCTATTTCCGGGTCCGAACAACTCTCCTGCAAAGGCATTTGGCCTGGACGGGAAGAGGGGACCAAAGTATATTGGTAAGTTCCTCGAGATTATGATCACATTCCGGGATTTCTGATGTAACGGTACCCGGATGTAGGCATGTGCTCGGGTACCAAGTTGAGAGCTGCGCACCTTGCTCAGTTGTTCGTGGAAAAGTGCAAGGACAAGTGCTGGGAGGTAACCGACGTACCCGGCAGGCGCAAAACGACCCCGAACATAGTTTCCGTTGTTGAACTCAAGCATGAACCGACCAACATTGTGCCCATCGAGTCCGTTCAATCCGCTCTCCTCGCCATCATCCCTATCTTCTTTAGCTTCATGACATGTGTCTTGTGCACTCTCGCAGAAGATTGGTGGGCCGCTTCCCTAATCCTGCTCGGCATCGTTGCGGGCGGCGTATCCTGCTATGTCATCGGCTCTGGGAAACTCATTCTCGACTATCACAGTAGGCCCTCCGCGGGTGTGCCCCCGGGTGATGGTTTCTTACACACCACGGAGAGCAATGACATGACAGTAGTACTTGGCCCTGAAAACCTCGTCAATGTGCTTACCAAAGGGACGTTCAAAATCAAGCTGGATGGTGAACCGGAATATCGTCGCGTGGGGCTTGTCGCGTTGCTTCTCGAGACCCAGTTCTTCTTCCAACTCCTCTTCATTCCCCAAGCGACGCTGTTCGGACAGATCATGTTTGTCACCTCGCTTGCCGTGTCTTGGGTGTATACGTCCTACCTTTCCTCGAAGGAGAAAGACAAGATACAGGCCGACCTCCTCTGGGGCGCGCTGGGCAGACCAAAAGTCCGTCGGTACAACTTAGCAACGCGCGGCGATGCGGCGACGTTCATTGCCCTTGTTCTCAAAGCTGAAGATCCGGAGAAAGTGTTGGCAGAATTCTTGAAGAACGACACCAGGGTCTGGAACAAGTGGAGGAAGACTGTCTCGGACAGGATCAAGAGCGCGGACGGCCTCGAGTTTAGCCCTGCTGATTGGAACATCGGAGAGTTTAGCGAAGACGAGAGGAAATTGTACGAACTCCAGCTAATTTCTGCCAGGGACGGTTATCGCGGATATAGACAATATTGCAAACACCAGGAAACGGAGAGTGAGGGAAGCACAGCCCAGTCCTCGGAGGAGAGTGTGCCGGCGAGCATCATGACGACAAAGGTAAGGCCGATGTTAATGTCAATGTCGACGTTGGTCTCTCTGGGAAGACTATCCCTCAAGTCAGCCGGGACGAACGTGAGGGAGATTTGTGCAAGGCTTCTAGGGGTGTTGACCCCGCCGCGGAGACCGACCTCCACTCCCGGGCCGAGCCTTGATATGGGGGCGACCTCAGTTACGCCTCAGGCCTCAGGGCCAGACACGGAGACGAGGGAGTCATCCGACTCTGTAGCAGCTTAGTTGTCCTGAACATTGGATATCGCGCTTGGAGTATATATCTAATCGCTTCCGCAGTTGGCGGTTAGGTCGCACTCGAGAGGTAGAGGCGCCGCGGCTCCCGGACAGACCGGGAGCCCGGAAAACGGTCATAGATTGCGTGGTACTACAAGTACAAGAGATAAATGACCGAAAAACTAAGTAAATCGCGAACGGAAGAGCGTGTATGCCAAAAAAACAGGACGTAGCTATTCGAACGCGAGAAGGAGCCCGAGGGGGAAGGTGGGTGGGCACAAGAAAAAGCTGGCAGGAAGGAGGGTGAGCGACCGCTTGCCTGCTCGTGAAAACGGCACAGCTGGCTTACCTGGCAGGTAGGAGGGTGAGCGACCGGCGCCCATCTCCTAACCTGCCGTCTGGTTTATAACATGAGCTCGTGCGCACGGACCTGTGGCTCGATGCGAGCCACTCCATGACGCAGAGGAGCAGGTCATCTCCGTCATGAGGGGACTAGAGCTCGACCTCAGGGGCCAGGAATCCAGACTTTGGATGAATAAGCACTCGCCGTCGCGCGACGGCTTGTGCGAGCGCGTGCGTCGAGCACGCTAACACACGGCCGCGATTAGACTTGTGAAAACGAGTTTAAACCCGATTAAATTAAGATCTGTACTGTATCACAAATCCACCTGACTTTATGTGCGACCAAAGAGACCCAAGAACGATATAATGGACCCATGACATATCGCCGACTTGAATTCTCTTGATTAATTCTGCTTGAATGTATAGGACAATACTACACATAGCAGTACTTATCGAAGCGGACACAGTGGTGCTTCCAAAATTTCGAAAGGACTCTGGAGGTGTTCAGAAATTCCAACGAAAATCCCTGTGCGCTGCCTTCTCGCGATCCCTCCTCAGCTTTTCAACGTAGATGAACGTCACGAGAAACTGTTCCAGCAGAGTCCCACCGATCTCTTCCCCACGGGATATCTTCGCGTATTCGCGTTCGTCGAAGTCCAGGTAGCCGTACTGTGCCTCCTTGCCATGGAACAGCGCTGACTTGTACCTGTGGTATCGCGCGATGAGATTTTTCGACTTCTTCCCCTCGTTGACATAATATAGCTGCGGCATCGTCGATCCAATCAGTTTTTGAGTGATTCGGGAGGAGAGCACGTCAAAGTACCTTGCAAACATAAGCTCCTAAGATCCAGCAATATCTCCGTCCGTCGTATGCAGTGAACTCCCGAGTCCTATAATTGCCCCCCTGGTGAGACACGCGCGGTACACGTATGGGGATCGCGTAACCCACCTCTGAGTAACGCTCGTAGCATTCAGAAATTTATGCGTTTCCAGCTCCCGATGCCCGAGCCCATTCTCGCCTAGCCACCTGAGACGCGAGCTCGCGATCTTCTTCCACTCGATAGTCGCGAGCCGGACGAACCTGTCCTGCATGTCCACCTCGTTTGCCCAATGTAATCCGCGACCACGATCCGCAGCACTGCTCCCAGGCCCGCCCTCCGTATCGCTGTCCTCACCTCCGAAACACACTTCCACTTCCTCGAGGGACAACCCTCCAGGCGTACTAGGCGTCCGACTCCGTGCCCATGTCGCAGCATAACTCTTCGATCGCAAACTGCCCCTCCCCGTTTCCGACACAGACACGGACACCGGCCGCGGCACCGACGCGCTTGAAGGCACCCGTCGCCCAATTGCAAGCTGCCCGGGCCGTGCCCCAAGTCGTGCCTGGCCCCCCGCACCAGCACCAGCACCAGCCTGGATATCAGCCACATCAGCCACATCACCCAAAAGCTCCTCCTCCGCTCCATCATCCGCATCCACCTCCTCAGCAGGCTCCACGTCCTCCTCCGCCTCGCCAGGATCAATCCCCTCGCCGTACGTCACCGGCTCCGCGTTCGGCGTGATCTTCCAGATCGTGCTCCAGCCGGTCTGCCAGAGGAACCGGAACGGCGTGACGACCTTGTAGAGGACCTGCCCCGCCTCGTTCGTGACGATGCTGTTCCGCACATGGTCCGTGGAGAAGAAAAGTTTCATGGCGAGGAGAAAGCTCCACGCTGAAGCGCGCTCCACATGAATGAGAAACAAGCGCTTGGTCGTAAGCGAGAGGAACGCTGGCGAGGTCTCTTGGGAGTTTGTTGACCGAGACTTTACTCCCTTCTCGAATGAAGTGACTGTCACACACCACGCCGAAGCCACGCCGAAGCCACGTTCCTGAGAAGCAAATATGTCGTATTTAGGTCTTTGCCGGTGACACTCTTACGATGCTTCGCGTACTTCGTGCAGTAAGAGACAAAAATGCAGGCGATGAGTAGAATCAATAAGACACGAGCTGCTAATAGCTTGCAGATGCCGTAACATGCACATACCTTGATATCATATGCAGTGCGCTTGTTTAAATTATGCCAACTTTCGAGCGAATATACGTTCATCACGGTCATAGATTTAGAGCTTCTGTTCGCTTTATTTCTTCCGCTAGTCTATCGGCACGAGAAACTAGTTGACATCGCAGTACTGATAATAGAGAAATATGAGGAAGGTGTGAGGAAATGACGATGCAAAGATGAGAATGTTCAAAGAACGCGAGGCAACAACACCCGGGACGGGCTGGTCAACACATGCAAGAAAAGGTCATGAAGGGAGGTGACAGATCTACTCGTCAGCAGGTGCCTCAGCGGGCTCATCCTTCGTGTCTATGAAAGTTCATCAGTTTTGAGAACCTTGACGAAAACTGACCATCACTCACCAGTCTCCTGCATGTCTGACGTCCAGAGGGTAAGGTTGTCGCGGAGGAGCTGCATGATGAGGGTCGAGTCCTTGTAGCTCTCTTCCGAGAGGGTGTCGAGCTCAGCAATAGCATCGTCGAATGCTTGCTTGGCAAGGTGGCAGGCCCGGTCTGGGCTGTTGAGGATCTCGTAGTAGAAGACAGAGAAGTTGAGGGCGAGACCGAGACGGATGGGGTGGGTTGGTGGGAGCTCGGTCATGGCGACATCCGAAGCGTTCTTGTAAGCCTCGAGCGACTTGTCAGCGCTCTCCTTGCGCTTATCGCCAGTGGCGAACTCAGCGAGGTATCGGTGGTAGTCACCCATCCTGACAGTTGCATTAGACATGAGAACATCGCAAAAAAGAGCATGTGCGCATACATCTTGTGGTAGAAGACCTTCGACTCGCCCGAGGCAGCAGAAGGGATGAGGTGCTTGTCGAGGACGTCGAGGATGTCCTCGCAGATCTTGGCGAGCTCGCTCTCGATCTTTTCCCTGTAGCTTTTGATCATAGCGACCTGTGCCTCATTGCCCTTTGACTCCTCCTTCTGCTCGATGGAGGAGACGATCCGCCACGAGGCACGGCGGGCACCAATGACGTTCTTGTAGGCGACCGAGAGGAGGTTACGCTCCTCAACGGTGAGCTCCTGGTCGGACGAGGCGACGCGCTTCATGTTCTCAACCATCTCTGCACGCGACCGTTAGTGTTTCATCATAAAAAATTTGCGATAATCACTTACCCTCATAGCGTTCAGCCTGCTCAGCGAGCTTGGCAAGGTAGACAGAGTCCTCACGCGATTCCGGCATCTGGGAACAACGAGCACATCGTTAGCACACAGCTCGACGTCTTTAGGCACCTTCAACGCGTCGGCGACGCGTCAAAGCACTCACTATGAAAGTGATTTGAGGAGAGGGTGGGGGGTGGATAAAAGATTAGACTGGAAATGAGAGAGTGAGCAGAGTCGTTCGGCGCCGTTTTTGACGACGAGGACGTACGATTTGGGAGAGTGAAGGGGGAGATGGTGGTTGTTGATTGGAGAGAGCGAATGCCTAATAATGTTGAAAATTAAATGTTGAGCTGGGCAGAGGGTTCGGGTATGGGGCAGGGTACAGGGCATCCCCCAAATTAGTAGATATCGCACGCCACAGCGGTTCCCTCACACCCCCAATTTGGTCTCTTCCTTTAGCTTGCCGAACCCACAGCGCGGCAGAACCCAGCCCTGTGCGGTTTCTCACTCGTCTTCCGGCTCTTGGAGGACGCTTGGCCCACATCCATGATGACGGCTTGCAAATATAGCCCCGGTGTCGCCATCGCTGAGCTCACCGCTTTCATCATGTACTTATATGGGGCCTTCTTGCTTCCCCGCTCTCGAACAAGCAGCCCAAACGTTATTGAAGCAGAAGCCCGCCATTGACCCCGCTATCTCTGGCATTGGCATATCCATCATAAAGTTGACGCTGGTTAGATGCCAGGAGATGCCGTAGTTATCAGCTAGGGCCTGCTAGGACTGACTCGGCCACGTTCTGTGAGACATTCGGCCAGCTCCTTCACAGCTTGGCTATTGCTTTTCTGATGGTCTTTGCTGGCCAACAAACGGAGCACAGAATGACGCCTAGAAGCGGTGCGAGCTCATGTAACTGTTTGATGATCCAAAACGCCCAGCGTTATATTTGTAATCTTGTGTAATCGGATGCATGCAAGCTTGGTGTCAATCTTACGATCGCCTGCCTCTGATTTAGGCTATGTGGGATCATCGCTGTCCTACCTTGATTTAGAGCCAGGCGCGGTGGATGTAGCAGGCGATCCGCTCTGTCCTCCGCCTTCACGGATGCATGCCGATCGACATACTCAAATAGTTTCGAGTTCAGAAGCCCCACGTTGACGATCCTCGTTTACCGAAGGCAAACCTTTGAGTTTTACATCGTACGACATCCAAGTATGTGCATACGCAAAGGACACGTCGCGTTTTCTGCGTATCAATCTTCGGTCAGTTTCGGTACGAAACGCCGGGAATCTAGATCTCATCTCGTTCCGCAGCTGCTCGAACTCACCCATTCAGACCCATGACGTTGACACCGGTGGCATCCGTTCTCGGCTGTTGAAAACGAAGACTTCTTGACTTAGGTCAAAGGGTATCTCCCGAACCATATGCTCTCTCGTCTGCTGTTGTCAAAGGACGAGTGAATCATGCGTACTGGGCTTGAGGGTTGCCTGCATTAGGGCTACTGGCTTCGCCCCGCACATAGGTTTCGGCAGGTTCCTGTAGCTCGAGTCTGGGTTAGGGGTTGGTTGGGGGTCTTTGTGGCTTTTTCATTCTTTCATACCAACAGCTGCCCACGAGAGGCTTAGGGAGTCTCAGCGTGCATCGTATGCTTGCACTGGCAACAACACCATGTACTGGATGGTATTACAGGGCAACTTTTCACTTATTTGCTTGCCTCTTTGAGTCAGTTACGTCCAATCAGACGTTCCATTCCCGGGCCACGTGCACGTTCAAGTTGTTTGTTAGCTATCTATGAAAACCTATATAGTAGGTTTGCGCCAGAGCAACGTTATATGAACGTTCGTTCCTTCAATGATCCATTGCCCACGTTGAAAGAAGCTCGGGTTCTTCTGGTCAAACTGACGCTGCATAGATAAGCTACGATTTACTTAGCCACGAAGTAAACAGTCGCAATTGCCCCTGAGGAGGGTCACGGTGTGGTGACTACAACTACGCGTTGCGTTACAGGGTCAAAAGACGCGTCGCGTCACGCGTCGACACTTCCGCTTCTTTGTCTGCGCTCTTATTCACTTCCGTGCTTAACAGCTATCCACCAAATATGCCACCTAAACGCAAGTCGGACGCGGCTAACGGAGCTGCGGCCAAAAAAGCGCGTTCTGCCTGGGCTGCTACGGCCATCTTGGCTGCCGACATCGTCGGTCAGCCAACGGACTACCCCGTACCTGAAGATGAAGGCGATGTTCGCAAGATGCTTCTAGAATTAGCGCAATACGCACTGCATCTCGAACAAGAGGCAGCGGCCGCAGCCGCAGCGGGATCTCAGGCTGCGGCTTCCAAGGCGCTTACCCCGGAACAGCTCGCCGCGTCTGTGGAAAAGATACGCAAGGCTGCCGGCAGCGGGATCAAGAATCAGATGAAGGTCGGGCCTGTACCTCGCTGTTCCACTGTAATAGGCTTGCTCATAACTTGGTTCATGCAGTGGCGACCTTCTTGCAAGGGCGGCGGCGCGAAGTGGTCGTACGACGGGGTCTGCGTGGATCCGAACGTGTTTGGCGCCTTGCTCGGACTGGAAGGGCCGCCGAAATGGAAGATGCACAAGATGCCGATTGAGGAGTTTGAGAATCGGTTTGGATGCATTGAAGGGTCAGCTCGGTACGTTCCCGTATCCAGTGTCCATAGCTGATATCAGGATGCTGAGATTGCTACGGGCGATTCTAATCACAGGTACAGTCACTTGTGGTTGAATGGAAAGCATGTGAACATTCGTTGGGCTGCCGACGAGGGCACTTTCAAACTCAGTGGCACGTACGGTGATACTCGATAGATACTGGAACTTTGAGGTCTAGCTAACGCGACGACGACCACTCCGCCGCATATATGCGCGTTATCATAATACTAAAATTCGTTGTCCTTTGACAGCCTTCAGCTAATGTTTATCTTACACCCAGTTTGTTGTCCATACATGACAATCTTGTTCACTTTACTCAGATGTTAGAGCACTATCATGGTAATGGAATGCTACGTTACACTACTCCATAATTGCATGCGGATGAAGCCGAGCTACTGGGAAGCCTGCCAAGATGCGTACCAAACCGGCAAACCGTCAATCAAACCAGGCTTCTTGGGCACCCAGTCTACCAGCGTTCTGCCCAAGTAGGGACGCAGCATAGTCGTGGTCTGAATACCTTCAAACAATGCTGATAAAAATGAGGAGTAAATATGAAGCCAACGGTGACTTTTGTGGAAAAGAGAACAATACTTACGATTGGGCGGCTGGGCACCATACTTATATGGGCCCTTGGCACCGGAGACCTCGACCATCTTCTGCAACAAGTCGTCGACGGACTCGGACAGCGGGTTCGCCGCGTCAAAGATCTGGCCACCAAGCATCTGAGACTTCTCAGCGACGCGGAGATATAGGTCCGCAAGGTCGTCGAGGTGTACGACCGAGTATCGTCCTCCCGGCGTGCCGAACCACTCGACCTTGCCCTTGGACGCGCCCTCGAACAGTGGGGAGAAACAAGCACCCCCGGACCTGCCATAGACAATGGAAGGGCGGATGACGATCCCATTCAGCACGGTGTCACTGGTGACTTCTTTCTCCACTGGCACACGCCACGCAGAGAAGTTGATCGGGTTGGGCGTCGGTGTCGTGTCGGTGACGACTTCCTTGCGGTCGTCGCCGTGGACCCATGTACCGGAGGTCATGATGTAGGCGAGCTTAGGCCCGTCAGCGCGGGTGCGTAGGACCTCCTTCTTGACGGCCTGGAAGAGCGCCGTGCCGACGCCGAACATGCCGCCTTGAATATCGACGACAACGTCGAGAGTGGGAATGAGGTGGATCCAAGAGTCGACATCGGATATGTCGCCCAGTACGGGAGTAGCTGACAGGCGAGCGGCATTAGTCGAAATGCATGGGTTGCGAGCTGGTCACTTCGCAAACCTTCTTCCGCAGCGAGCTGTTTTGCTTTCTCTTGCGTCCTCGCAAGAGCAAATACGACATGGCCAGCGCGAACGAGCGCTTGGACGACGGGGATGCCGACATATCCGGTACCACTATAGGCAGAGCGAAATCAGTTGTATATTTCACAATGTGTAGTAATGAACCGCATACCCAATGACGAGAACGCGCATGTTTGTGGATAAAAGTCAAGTGTTGATGAAACAGCAGTGAGAGACGAGGAATATCAGATAAGACGAGCTCTGTGGCCACAGCATATCTTGCTCCTTTATATCGTCGAAAGTGTTTGCGTCAGACTGATTGTCCAACACGTAAAGCATGGCATGATGGGTAAGACAAGCCAGAGTGATGATTGCAGCAGAGGATCTGTGCCGAGCCTTGGCCGAGTCGCGCAGTAAGCGCATTGACGTAAGCCAATTTGGACGAGTTCAGAGTCTTGAGTAACGTGAACCCAACCTGAGCAGACTGTTACGGAGCAGTCTTTGCTTAGCAACTGCTATGTGATGTTTGTTTAAGCCTAATGTAGCTTGAGTCAGAGGTTATGACTTGATATTCTAGGGCAAGAGGTCAATGACGACGGGATGAATGGACAGTTGACAAAGCTGGAAGAAGTCCCAACCCTTGACCGAAGCCAAACCACAGGATACAGGAGTGCTGAGTTTGCGTTTGAACAAGGCTGAGTAAGTGTTTTTCACAGCGGTGTAATGAAGGAACTGTAAGCACATGTTGTCATGTAGCAGAGTGTCAGTATGCCACGAGTCCGTTGCGAGAGCGTTCTGAGTGAGCAGCACGTAGACACTGTGGAGAGCCGGCATTTCCCGAAATATCTTCCGCAATGCGAAGTTGGACCTACAAACGCACGGGCCCTTGCCTTGACGCGCGTTCGTCGTCTACGCCATGCATCACCATCAACGCTCTTCACGCTTGAGACCTCTACTTTGCCACTCACTAACATGTCGCAACGGGCAAGCTCACAGGCAGATTCAGACGATGGCCCCCTCCCCTTCACGTTTCACGATGGTGAAGATGACTCCGAGCCGCCAGTGGTTACATGCGTCGAGTATTCTCCCGACGGTCAATCTATCGCGACCGGCGCCCATGATAGCACGGTGCGCTTTTGGGACGCCAAGACCGGCCAGGAAACCAGAAGGCTGACGTCTGGCCATCCAGTCCTATGGATATCGTTCTCTCGTTCTGGGCGCCGGCTGGCTGCCATATGCTTAAGCTCGGACGCGGAACGCGCGCACGTGGTCGTCTGGGACATCAATCAGAATGAAGAGGATCCAGGAAGAGTCGAAACTAGCTACGAGAGTAATGGTAGCATTGATGGGAACGGGCACAGAGTCGCCTTCTCGCCGGACTGCAGTCTGGTTGCCGTCATGACTCCTCTCCGCGTCGCTGTACAAGAAGCAACATCGGGAAACCTAGTCGTGGACGTGATCAAAATCAGCGAAGGCGGTCGGCTTGCATCCCTTCTTGGCTTCTCGTCGGATGGCCGACGTCTCTTCTATGCATATCTTAGGGACAGTGTAGAAGTGCGCTGCTTTGACATAGAGCTACGACAACATTCCTCCTTCAGCTTGTCCCTGGCATATCCTTCGCTCTCTTTTCTTTACAGAATGCCGTACATCTGCTCTCCTGACGGCCGTGCTATCGCTGGTTCTATTCCGCAAAGTGGATTTCAGATTTGCGACACAGAAACCGGAGGCGTAATGCAAGCGGCACTCAGAGGGCATGTGGAAAACACGTCGAGTATCTGTTTCTCACAGGATGGGCAGTGGGTTATCGATGGTTCAGAAGCGGGTACAACATGCGTCTGGGACGTATCTACAGGAAAGAAGGTGGCGGGGCCATTCATCATGGAACATAGGGCGCATTACGATAGAGCTGTGACAGCGATCACCTGCTCTCCGTCGAAAGACCACCTTGTGTGCGTCGTGAATGAAAAAGAGGTCTATGTCTGGGACCTTCATACCTGCAAGATTGCGCTATCATCTGTACGTCCATCTTGTCACCCAAGGCTGTCTTTTGAAGATGTTTGCGCTTTTCAGATACCACAGAGGAAGGCTGAGTTACCACATCTATGTCATCCCGCCTATGGGGGTGGTGTTACAGCCATTCACGCGTTCCCAGATGGCCGTCGCTTCGTTAGCAGCACTTTCGATGACCACTACATACGAATATGGGACGTTCAAACAGGAAAACAAGTCAAGGAATTCTCATTTCCGGGTGGTTGCAATATCGCTCTCTCTGAGGATGGTTCGCTGCTAGCGGCTGGATCAACCAAACGCTTCGGATGTGTTACTCTGCTAGATGCAAACTCAGGCGAGGAGTACTCTCCTCCATTGTTGGGAGCTGGCAGCCAAACACAAAAACTCTTATTTTCTTCCGACAGCTCGGTGCTAGCTGTCATAATCAACGACGGGGGTCTGCGCCTGGTGCACGATGTGCTAGGTGACCGCGAGATCAACGTCATCGCTGTGAAAGACGTCATAGATGTTGCCTTCTCCCCCGACGGCATACATCTTGCTTACGTGACTCACACGGGAAATACCTTGCTTTGCAACGTTTGCGATGCCGCCACAACCACAGTCACTATTGAACCACAACGGCCAGGCCCAGAATCTGACCTCAACCTCACTTTCTTGCCGGATGGGAAGTCCCTTCTTCGGACAAGTGATCAGAACAAGGCAAGAATATGGGACATCACTACAGGTCAAAATGTCGTCAAATACACGCTCTCATCGCGATCGCAAGCCTTGAGTGCAGTTTCTCCTGACGGAAAGACATTTCTCTACGGCTGGGTGAAGAGCGAAGATGAGTTCAGGCTCGAAATGATCGATGTGGTTAGCGGAAAGCGGGTCTGGCTCATCACGGAGACTGTTTCTATCACTGCAATCGCATTTGTGCCAGCAGGAGATAAGGTAGTTGTCGGCTCTACGAACGGCACATTGCAGGTGCTTGAAACTAGCACGGGTCGAATACTCCTCCGACATATCGATGATCGTCGTTCATCCGTCGAGCTGGTGAGCGGTGCTCAATCGCTATCCACACACTCAAATGACTCGTCCTTCGTTTACTACAGCCGAACACCGCTCCTAAATTGCAAAGAGGGCGCGTTGGCCTTGCGGACTGGGACGATGACTCGATTATAAACGTACGTTTCTAAAAATTCTCAAGGTACACCCCAAGGTCAACTTGGCCCCCAGATGCCTGCAACCTCAACTGATGCCGCGCGAGGCAAATTACAAGGCAAACATCGAAATAAAAACGGCCAGGGGGCGCGCGGAGAGCGCCAGGATGCTGGCAATCACGGCCAACCGGCTGGGCTGGTTGCACGTCTTTCCTCACGCTTGTCATCAAACTCCCCCACCCCTGGGCACGCCGGTAGACACCAGCGTCTTTCACGGGCGTTTAGGCTTGTGAGCGTTGGACGTGCTAGAAATGTAAGCTGAAAAAATCGTTGTTAAGATGCACTTGCTAACACGTCGACAATGGAAAGTATGTGCTCGCGGCAGGCGAGCAAGGAAGCCGTTGCCAGGAGCGTCACCAACTGCATTCTGATGATGACTCAAGTAGCCCTTCGCCACCGGGATCGGACCACGCACGCTCGTCACCGACACGTATAGGCGAAAGTGAAAGCAGCATGTCGAGCAGTAACTGGTTTGTAGACTATGTGTGTTACTGCGTGTGTTTGCCTTGTCGTAGCCCACGCGGGGCCGTGCCTGAGTGAGCGAGATTTCCAGTAAGCAAGAATCATCGATACAATCAACTGTGAGTACTAATCACTTCGCACCATGAGAGACATTGTCCCGCTGACATAGGACGATAGTTCTACCAACTCGTTTTAAGCCGAACCATACGTAGTACTACACACTCTTGGGACAGTACTTTCGAGTTCACATACACCATCAAAGCCTCGTAACAGACCATTCTAACGCCTCAAGTTCCCCTGCCTTCGTCTGGTATGTCTTCACCCGAGCCTCCACCTTGACCGTCTCTTCCTTGCCGGCAAACACCTCCGCCCACATCGCCTGCCAGCTCTCGGGAGAATGACAGAACATCTGAGTGGCGGCGCCAAATTTCTTGAGCTGCTTCGTGCCCTTCTCCGCGGCTCCAGTGTGGATCCCGAAGATGAGGGAACCAGGGATGGGTGAGAGCAGGCCTGCGAGGGCGCGAGCGAGGTGGAGCTGCTGAGCCTCGTCAAAGATGTGGAAAAACATGCCGGCGTATGTGGCGGAGACGCGGCCGTGCAGCGGGTTGAGAGACTTGAGCGAGTTGAGGTCGGGCCGTGGGGAAGACGGAATTTCGTATGAGGGTGCAACGACCTCAAGCATCGTAGGGTCGAATGCGTCACATGCAAGATGGTGGACCGGGTACGTCGCCGGTGTCGTCTTGAAGAAATCATGCCCGTAGTCAAGCAATTCTGCAAAGGACAAGGTTCAGGTGTTTAAAGTGAGTGACTTGGGAGTGTCACCTCTCACCTGGCCTCAAGTCGGAAATGATCACATTTTGAGCTGGGAATCCATCAGCGATGGCACGCCTTGCGTCGAGACCGACTGTGGCAACTTCAATTAGCTACCAACACCGCAACGGAAAAAGAATAACGCTTACAGCAAGCTGCTATGTCCAAGAATATGGCATCTTCACGCTCGCGCCCGATCTTAACGAGCTGCTGGTAGGCCGGCAGTCTACCCATGAGGAAGCTATGAAGCCATCAAATCAGCCCAACGACAAAAGCACACTGCCCGGCGGCTAACTCACTCAAGGAACGTAAACAACCGAATGCACGGGTACGGCGCAAACTACGAAGCGACTCCTCAGCACAAAAGGGGGCTTCTCACAATTCACCTGACACCAACGCCCAGCGTCGCGGTCCGCTCACCTCGTACGCCTTGCGCTGTACACTGATAATATGTTTCTTGAGCTCCTCGTCATCCTCGATCCCCGTCTGTGCCTTGAAGAACGCGGCCTCGTCGGGCCTCAGCGAGAAGTAGTTGTTGTCCGGCGGCGGGATGCGCTGCATGCCGATCTGCCCCTCTGGCGCGGCGACGAGTCCGTGCTTCGCGTCCTTGGTCCACGTTTGCGCAACTTGGGCGGGTGCGATGACCTGGGTCGTAGTTGAGGCCAACGTCGACATTGTGGTGGTCGGTGGTGGCCAGCTGCTAGTCGACCCCATGTTTCTCGCCGCAGGTATTTATACTGATACCCAGCTGACCCCGTGGGCTGCTTGGCGCTTGTAGGAGGAGGAATTGGCGACCATGAATGGCTTTTCCTCTCGACACTTCGGGACAAGCTCCTCCCGGCAGGATTTGTTGCGCTTGGAGGATCATGCGATTCCAATTAAGTTGAGGATAGGAGGTCAGGTACGTCCCTCTGATCAAGGAATACGTGTACAGAGCTTGGCGCAGACGGCGAATGGTGAGTCTATCGTTACTCTGCGCTTTCTGTGAATCTACCCTAGACATCATAGTAGGAGAGCATTTTACTCACTGGATAGTTACTTTTCCACTTCATTTTGAACACATTTACATATCGACTTCAACAAAAGTTCCGTCCGACGGCTGATCAGCGTGAATCGCAGGTCTCCTCATTATAGCGCTGGCAACTCACGAAGCACCTGTATGTAGACTAGCCGGATGCAGGTTGAGTGATGCAGAGAGCTACGACACCTTACTTTGTCATACGTCCTCCCAACATCATAGCGCTCATCGATTGTTACACAAATCGGACATCGATCGATTAGCGTTTGTCCCGGCCAAGAGTGTAGTGGATCAATTGAAGTATTACTGGGTTGTGAAGAAGTCTGTAAACTGACGACAAAGAAGCATTACTTACAAACCTGGTGTGCACGACTCATGTCCATACAATAACGCTAGAGCTCACAGCTCTTGTCTTCTGCGCACGTCCAAGGTGCCAAGACCTTTCTTTCCCCTCTCTAGTTATTCAGTGCGACAGTCTTGAAAATTTCGAAGTCAGGCGTGCCGAGACCGGTGACTATAGTATTCCGTCAGTATCCATATAACCTCTTCAAGCAAGCGGAGTGAGAAAAAATGTACCAGGATCCCATCCCTCACTGGCATTGAATCCCTTGGTCCCGCACCCGGGGTTGTTGCCCACTGTGATATCGGTGAACACGCTCGCACCAGCCCCGTAAAGCAAGGGATTCTAAAATCCAAGCGCGGGCTTACCCGCCGCGGCGCGCGCGTCGTTGACTAGCGCGACGATGCCTGCGACCGTGGGGGTCGATGCGGACGTGCCCGAGACGGCGACGTGGTTGCTGCCGGGGACGATATCGAAGAGGACGCCCTGCGCGGCCACGTCCGGGTACGCACGGCCCGAGGCATGTCCTGGTACGGCGGGCGCGGGAAGACATTGGAGAAGCCGCCGCCTGAGAAGGACGCGGCGACTTCGGTGACGTTTTTGCGTCGCGCAGACGGTGGTCACGCTGTTTTGTGCGACAGGTCAGTGCGCGTGCGGGTGTACAGTGAATATGTGGGTGGGGGGACGTACTAGGGGCAGCTGGCGGGGAAGTCGGGCTGGAAAACGATGGCGTTCGTGCCGTTGTTGGATTGACACGTCGTCGCTACTGAGGGATCGTCGGAGCCGTTGCCGACACCGGCGTCGCCCGAGGCGAACAGCAGGGAGACACCACGAGAGCCGAGCGTCTGGAAGCCCTGGCAGACGCGCTTCGCGTAGTCGGCGGGCACGGTCTGCTCCTTGTCGGTATAGGAAGTCGAAATGACCGAAGGGAGAATCGTCTGGTTGAGGACGTAGTCCAGCCACTGGTAAAAGAGAGAAACGTTAGCACATAGTAGTGTGGTCAACTGTTCAAGATGAATGCGAGGCAGACGCACATCTAAGTAAGGCTCGTTGTCGTTTTGCTCGTCCCTGAATTCTAGGATGAACGGGGGCGAGCCACCAGTAGAGTAGAACGTGCCCTTCAGCGGCCGAGTAATACCGAACGCGTATTGCACGTCCAGGTTTGCCTCAAGACCACCAGTAAATTGTCCTTGAGGGTTCGTCCCGTTATTGATCAGCGTCACCGTGAAGTTGGCGCTGTCATTGCCGAGAAACTGCTGATAGTCCGCGAGGTTGGCGTACTCCTTGAGATAGCCCGTGACCCCAATGGTTGTGTTGGTCGACGGCTTGTAACCGACGAAGCTGTACAGCTGCTGGAGGCAGCCCAGCGTGATATTGCTGTGGCACAACGCGTCGACGTCCTGGCCTGCCAGACCCTTGACGGTGCCAGTCTCGAGCGTGGCGGTACGCTGCCGGAGAGGTGGACAGTGCTTCGCATGGGCTTGAGGCGCGCATAGTACATCGTCGTCGGCTGCACGAAGCTGATGTGCTCGTGCAGCAGCTCAGGCAGGCTGTATGCTGTCGTGCGGAGTACATTGTCTCCGGAGGTGCTGTGCGTATAGACATGAAATTCCTGAGTGCAGGGCGAAGAAGAATCAGTCAGATGCGCCCAGGAGGGTTAAGTGCGACAAGAATGCGCACCGTATCGAGCATGCTCTCAGCAATAGCAACGGGCACTCGGATAGTAACCACATCTCCAGCCGCCGAGTTGTGCAGGTGCTCCTCGCCGAGACCGTGCGTCGCGAGCCACTCCCGGACAATGTCGACTGAGCCCTGCTTGGGTGCCATTAATAAGCTCATGGGCCTGCTCCTTCGAGAGAAACTGGCCGTAGCGCTCGTGCGCCGGGTCGGATGCCTCGACGATGTGCTTCTCGAGCTCGTGCACACTCGGCTGGGCGAGGGCGATCTTGACCTGGATGAGTTGGTCCTGGGGCGCAGGTGCCTGCTGGACCCATCCTTGCGGAACGCCGTGGAGGCTGTCCTTGATCTTGATCTGGCAGTCACGGAAGGAGGGTGCGGGACTGGCGTAGACGAGACCGGCGGCAACGAGAACGAGCCAGACGGACCTCATAGTGTCGAATTGAGAGGTAGATGGCGGGTGGTAGGAATGGCTTGCTAGCTGGCATGATATATGCTCGAGGAACGCATATTATTCAACCTGTCTTGCTGGAAGAAGCCCAGGCCGATGTTAGTTTGATCCTTATGGAATCGAGCCATACTTACGATGTGACATGTCCGAATGGGCCGTCGCTGACTTGCAATGTTTGCTCCGAGTGTCGAAGAATCGGGAGACCCGTTGATATCACCGCGAGGACGTGAGGAGGCGTGAGGTCGCGTCGCGGTAGGTAATGCGCCCCTACGCCTGATCGATCCCCTTGTTTCTCACCACGGCCCTCATACTATGCTACTTCCAGCCCGGACTCTAGCATCAGCTCTAGAATCCCCGAGCACAAATTAGTCTCACAATACTAAGCATCCACGGCGAAATTATCCCGTGCTCTATCCTGGCAGCGTACAGCTAGGATGCTAAATCGTTGCATTTTTGTTCGCAACAAAGCTCGCTGACATCCTCAGGTCTTCGTCCCTTGTCCCTATCCATCAACCTCAGCGCCTAGTTCAAGAGAATGCCCGCCAAGAAGAGGACTAAGAGGCCCGGGACTAAGCTTGAAGACTTCTTGCTAACTTACCTCTTCATATGCTTCCTGGCATGTCAATGGACATAGCGCCCGATGTTGCGAGCTGTTGCGAGCTGAACCTATCAAGTATGCAATCCGAGGTTTTCGGACGTGAGCCACATAATGGGCTTCACAACTGCTCATCGCCACGAGAGACTACGAGCAAGTCAGGAAAGTGTCCAGAGACGAACAAGGGTACGAAGCGCGCCGGCATTTACCGAAACATTTTCCGTAGTGCGAAGTTGGACCTACAAACGCACGGGTCCCGTCTTGACGCGCGCTCGTCGTCTACGCCATGCACCACCATCATCGCTCTTCATACCTGCAGCCGTTACTCCACTATCGACCATGTCGCGCGCGACAAGCTCACAGACGGACTCAGACAAGGACCCTCTTCCCTTTACGTTCGATCGTGGAGATGACCCCGAGCCACCGGTGATTAGGTGCATCGAGTACTCTCCCGACGGCCAATCAATCGCAACTGGTGCTAGCGATAGTACAGTGCGCCTATGGGACGCCAAGACAGGCCAGCAAACACACAAGCTGCTGGCTGGTCATCCAGTCTTCTGGCTATCGTTCTCTCACTCGGGACACCGGCTGGCTGCCATATGCTTAAACACGGACGAGAAACGCGCGCACGTGGTCATCTGGGACATGAGCCAGGACAAACAGGAGTCAGAAAAACTCGAAACAACTTATGAGAGTGACGGTAGCATTGCTGAACACGGGTACAGGGTCGCCTTCTCGCCGGACGATGACTGGGTTGCCGTCATGACTCCTTCCCACGTTGTTGTACAGGAAACAACATCAGGAAAACCAGTCATGGACGTAGGCAAGGCAAGGAAGGATTATAGGTTTATGTCTGCTCTCAGCTTCTCGTCGGATGGCCGATTGCTCTTCTATGCATCCCTCCCCCAAAATGTTCGCGACAATGCATTGGTAGAGCTGCATTCCTTCAACATGGAGCTGCGCCAACACTTGCCCCTCGCACTATCGCTGGCTCTTCCATCCCACTCGTTTCTTTACAGGTTACCATACATTTGCTCTCCTAACGGTCGCGCCATCGCCGGGCCAATCCCGCAGAGCGGGTTTCAGATCTGCGATACACAGACAGGAAGCGTACTGCATGCCGCACTTCAAGGACATACGGAAAACACGTCGAGTATCTGCTTCTCACAGGATGGGGAATGGGTTATCGATGGTTCAGAGGCAAGCACAATATGCATATGGGATGTCTCAACGGGAACGAATGTGATGGCGCCATTGAAGGATGAGCGGCTTCAGCGCGTGACAGCGATCACCTGCTCGCCGTTGAAAGACCGCATTGCATGTGTTGCGAGTGACACAGAGATCCATGTCTGGGACGTTCGTACCCGACAGATTGTGCTACCACTTGTATGTGCACGTAATGGACTAAGGGTGCCTTCTGACTATGTTTATCTTGTCCAGGTTCGAGAGTCTGAAAGGCAGATGACACCCCGTTTACGTGACTTTGCCTACAGTGATCAAGTCAAAGACATCCACGTATTCCCAGATGGCCGTCACTTTGTTAGCAGTACCACCGCCTTCTACGACGCCCACATACATATATGGGACCTTCAAACAGGCAAGCAGACCAAGGCATTCTTCTTTCCGGGTGGTTGTGCCGTAGCCTTATGCGCAAATGGTTCTCTGCTGGCTGCTGGATCTACTAGACCCTTCGGATATGTTGCTCTGTTAGACGCAAACTCAGGCAAGGAATATTTCCCTCCACTAATAAGGGCTGGCAGCGGAGCGCGGAAGCTGTGCTTTTCTCCAGACAGTTCTGTGCTTGCTGTTGTATTCGACAATAGGACTCTTCACCTGGTGCACGATGTGCTAGGTGACCGCGTAATCAGTCAAATAGAGAACCAAGAAGTCGTGGATGTCGCATTTTCGCCAGACGGCAAGCAGTTTGCTTATGTGATCCACCTCTCGGGTCATATACTGCTTTGCGATGTTAGCACTATGGAAGTCGCTATTCAGCTACCCGGCCCAGGTTCGGAACTTCCGTGTAACCTCGCTTTCTTACCAGATGGGAAGTTTCTTCTCGAGACATACGGCCGGAACAAGGCAAGATTTTGGAATATCGGGACGGGGCAAACGGCTCTTGAGCACTCGCTTTCGCCGCAGTCGCGAGCCTTGACTGTAGTCTCTCCCGACGGGAATACATTCATCTGTAGCTGGGCGAAGGGAAAAGATGGATTCGGGCTTGAAAAGCTTGATATAACCAGCGGAAAGCGCCTTTGGAGCACGGCAAAGTTTACTTCCGGTGTTACTACAGCTACCTTTTCGCCGGCCGGGGACAAGGTAATTGTCGGGTTTGAGGACGGCACGTTGCAGGTGCTTGATGCTAGCTTGGGTCAGACACTCATCCTAAGCAGTGATGATCGCTCATCCATCGAGCTGGAGGTGAGCAAAGCTCTATTACTAGTATCCCTTCTCTTCTCAAGTGATCCTCTCGTTTCTCATACCCTACAGATGCCCTCTGCTCCTAATAGATCGCGAAGAATAGGCACTGGCCTCGCGGATTGGGATGATGACTCTATCATGAATGTAAGCTTTTACAGTTTCCCAGTGTACAGTCCGAGGCCAACACGACGACCAGATGCCTGCAACTTCGAGTAGAGCTGCGCGAATCGGATTGCAAGCAAGGAATGCGGTTAGGGATAACCAGCAGAGGCACAACGGGAAACGCAATGCCGTAGATGATCACCGAGGCTCTGGATTAGCAGCACGTCTTTCCGCCCGTCTTGCACCAAAACCCGCCAACCCTGGTCATGCCCATGGACAGGGTCGCCTTGCACACGCGTTCCAGCTGGTGAGCACCGGACGTGCCAAAAACGTATGTCTTACGGTTTGCTGCTGGACTCTCGTTGCTGACGGTGTTGAATACCGGAAGCGTGTGCTCGCAGCTGGCGAGCAAGGCGGTCACGAACACCGGGAGCGTCACCGATTGCACTCCGATGATGACTCCACAAGCCCTTCGCCGCCTGAATCAGACCGCGCACACTCTCCTCCTACGCGCACGGGCGAAAGCGACAGCAGCACGTCGAGCAGCAACTGGTTCGTTGACTACATGTGTTATTGTGTGTGTTTACCTTGTCGTGGCTCGCGCGGGGTAAATCCCGAGTAAGCGCTGTCGTTTTGGCGGTAGTTGTCTAGTTACAGCAGTAAGTCGAAACTATTATAGAGCCATGCTGTCGATACGGCCGTGACCCACCCAAATGGACCCTTGGTGGAGTTGCTGAGCGCCTCGCTCCTTTGAAGTCCTTTTGGTTTTGTTATCGAAGCATGTTTTCTTTGACGCAGCACATTCAATCGGTGTACCTGGTTAGACTTGGCGTATGCACGGATATGCGAGTTGCAGCGTATGGAGAATTCGCTGCGACAAAAGTTCGAAGTTGTGACAAGGGTGTAAATTAGCCCCTGTCTGCCTCGGCGCGAAAATGAAAAGATGTGGCCGTGCCAACGTGTTCGGGGGCGCTTTCCCGGTCACGGTTTCTTCTCCATCCGCTCACCATGCCCGACAACGTACCCGCTGCCCGAGCAGGGCAGCCTGCCGCCCAGCAGGAGGAGAGCGGCGCCCGGAAGTTCTTCGGTATCGTTCAGGTATGGCCTTTTCAGATACATAGACATGGGGAATTGTGTTCTGACAAAATGACGCAGCAAGTCTTCCTGGTGTGGGCCGTAACGCAAGTCGGTATGTACACTTTGCGTTCTCAATCAACGCCTAGCATATCATGACACATTCCTGTAACAGCAACCAAGTACATCGTCCCGAAATTCGCCCCTGCCCCCACATCCCAGCCCTCCTCCCCCGCATCCCCGTCTTCCCCAGTCGGCACAGACGCCGACCTGCCCGCGTACCAAGGCACCGAGCCCCCCGTCGCGGCCCCCGACATCCCGCAGGCGCAGGTGAACCCGTTCCTGCTCCCGCCGGAACAGGCGCGGCTCGCATGGGCGCTGCACCAGCCGGTCGACATGCACGTCTACCTCTCCACGTCGCCGAACGGGGACGTGTTCTCGCGCCAGTGGACGTCGGGCTGGCGCAAGGACGCGGACGCGGGGCTGCCGAGTTTTGTGTGGGAGAATATATCGTTTGGGGAGTGGAAGGAGGAGAGGGCGGTGGATCTGGAGGTGGAGCTGCCGGAGGTGGGTGTGGTTCTGGAGATGTGCGGGATTTTTGACTGATGCGAGGGGTTTTCTTCTTTCTTTTTGTGTGGGTAGAGTGTGCAGCGCAATGCGTCGTTGTGGGCGGATGTGTTCTTGACGATGCAGGGTGCCAGCCCGGACCCGCGCAGCGAGACGTTCAATCCTCATTCGGTTCACCACGTTCGGAAACGTCAGTGCGCTCGACTTGTGCTGCGAAATGTACTCTAACTGTCGTCGCTCTTCACAGTTCTTACTCGCTACCTGCCAAAGGCCAAGATTCGCAAGGAGAGGAGCCTTCTCGGCGGACCCAAGGGCGAGGAAGAGGAGGAGGAAGAGGTTTGTGGAATAGCTATCGCAATGCTCTCGTAAAGCTCATGCATTAAACGCAGGAGCCCCAGGACATCATCGTCTCGCACTGGTACTCGGTAAGCGCCCTCCTTGGAGGCCACTCGCGCGTGCGTGCTCACGACGCCATCTTAGAACCTAACCTTGGCTCTCATATCCGACGAAACAGTCGTGCCATACAAGCAGCTCCCGCCCGTCGTCCACCAACGTGCGCTCTCCCCTACTCCCTTCTTCCCATTGACCACAAACCCGCCCTACAGACGTCCACCTCGTCCCCGGCGCGCGCGACACGACCGGGAAGATCGGGTACTACAAGCCGATCATCTTCCCGAACGACTTCTGGCTGCTCAAGGCGAACATGATCGAGATCAACGGGACGACGCCGACCCTGCCGCTGCGCGTGACGTTCCAGCCGATGTCGTACTTCAAGTTCCAGCTGTTCGCGAGCATGACGCACGGGTTCGACGAGGCGGCGAAGCAGCAGGGCGGGGGCGCGAATGCGAATGCGGAGATGGATGAGATTAAAAGGATGCTGGTTGAGACGAATCCGTGGTTTTTGGGGTTGACGGGGCTGGTTAGCTTGTTGCATGTGCTGTGAGTTGGGTTTGGGTTTTGGGTTTGGGTTTGAGTTGGGGTGGTCCTGTGCTTATTGCGGTGTGCACGATAGGTTCGAGATGTTGGCGTTCAAATCGGATGTTTCGCATTGGCGCCAGCAGAAGGAGCTGGTGGGTGTGTCTGTCAGGTAAGCGAGCGCGTTTGTTTGTCTGGCGCTCAGCTGGCTAGTTCCTCAGAGTTAACCTTGTTGTCTCACAGGACGGTAAGCTCATGCGCTAGCGCGCGTTTGTCCGTGTCGTCATTGACACCCTTTTTTCGCGGGTTGTGCGGTGGCCTAGATCGTCACGAACGTCTTCGTGCAAGCCGTTGTGCTGCTCTACCTCATCGATAACAACACGGACACGAGCTGGATGATCCTGCTGGGCTCCGGGATGGGTGTCCTCATCGAGGCTTGGAAGGTGAGTCGGGTTAGGTTAGGTTTGCGGCGGCGGCGGCGCGGACGCTCGGAGGGGTGGTCGGTCACATGCTTACGGCCACTCGGACCAGATCACCAAGGCGGTTGACATCAGCATCGGCGCTGCGCCCCCGGGATCGACGCTGCCGTACAAGCTTGAAATCAAGGGTACGTGCAGCGGTTTTTTTCACATGAGCGGGGTGCTAGGGTTCTCATGCGGTACGGCAGATAAACACGTTCTCAGCGAGGATGAGAAGAAGACGCAGGAGTAAGCGCCTCTGATTTTCTAATATTATTTCACATTCTACTTTGATGCTAACAATGACGTTCGTAGGTACGACAAGCTGGCGTTCCGCTACGTCTCCTGGGTCGCGATACCGCTCCTGGCCGCCTACACCGTGTACTCGCTCATTTACGAGACGCATCGGGGCTGGTACAGCTTCGTGATCTCGACGTTGACTTCGTTTGTGTACATGTTTGGCTTTGTAAGTCCCCGTTGGTCCACGCTGGTCTCGCGCTAACCGGATTCGTTCGCTATTTAGGCGCAGCTCGTACCTCAGCTCATCATTAATTATAAGCTCAAGGTTCGTTCGCCCGCCCGATCTGACTTGTCATGTCATGTCAGACTAACCGCTGTCGTGCCACTGTGTGCCTCAGAGCGTCGCACATATGCCGATGAAGGCGATGATCTATAAGACGCTGTCGACGGTTATCGACGACCTGTTTGCGTGAGTGCCGGCTCGCTGATTTGATTCGTCTCTGCGGTTCAGGGTTCGCTAACGGATGATTGGGACAGGTTCTGCATTAAGATGCCGTTCCTACACCGACTCGCGTGCTTCCGTGACGACGTCGTGTTTCTTGTTTTCCTTTACCAGGTGCGTGGGCTCTGGAGTGCGGGGTTGTGGGCACATGCTGATCGTATGATGTCTGTTCTGTTTTGTTCTGTTCTGTTCTGTTACGGGTGGCGGATGGTGCGGCACGCCGGCGGATCTTGCTTCTGATTGTGGACTCGTGGGTGCTGTGGGGAATTGTGCAGCGCTGGATATACCGCATCGACCCGAAACGCGTGAACGAGTATGGTCAGGTGATGGCTGAAGATACGGCGAAGGCGGAGAAGGCGGGTGGCAACGGGGAGACGAAGAAGGACAAGTGATTGTTTGTCTGGGTGATACGTAGGTGTTCTGCTGTGGACGAGGCGGCGCAGGGGGTCAACAATAGGCTGCATCTCGGATTTCCATGGGCCTTATTTGTTCTCTGTTCTTCTGCGTGCGAGTGCTGGTACGCGCACTAAGTCCCAGGGCTTTGGTGTGCGAGCGCGGTGTTTCCGGAGATCGTCGTGTGTGGCATTGGGCATGTTCTGTAGAAGCTGTGTGCGTCATAGGGTATAATATATTTGGACCAGGGGCAGTCTATGTCATCATAGCCTGCGAGCCAGCCAAGGAATTGATGACGAGGGATCCGGAGACGGGCGCTTGTATGGGTGAACCCTCGGGACAGAGATGCTGTTCAGGGCAGGGTCAGGGTGAGTCAAGGGGTGCACAAAAATAAAGGGGTAAATAAAGGACAAAAGGGGGAATGATAACCCTAAAGCGAGTATATGCGGACACCGGGGCCGGTCGATTCACCCGTTGCTGCAATTACAACTAAACGCACGCTGACGTTTCTCTTCCTCCTGCCCCCATCACCACCATGCCGCAGGCTGCACAACCCACAACAACAGACGTAGGCTGGGCGTGCAGGTGTCTCAATGTCCAGATACACCACATACAGACAACCCGAGACCACCCACCTTTTCTCCTCGACAACGACCCATCCCAGTTCACCCCCATCTTTGTCGGTCAGGATGGCCCCCAGATCGTACGGTTCTTCCCTCAATCCCTGCTTCTACGCCGCTCATCGTTTGTCGCCCTGCTAGACCCACCCCCAAATGACTCTGCGATCGCGCAGGCTCGCACCACATACATCCGATGCCTCACGCGCCGTCCGCCTCACGACACTCACCTGTCTCCTCTGCCAGACGCTCGTATACCGCGTGCAACAAGTCGTTTCCCCTGAGCTGGACGCCACGGAGGGTCCATTACTGCCCTCCCACGAGTGGGTCGAGCAGGAGACGCTCAAGAGCAGTACAGGATGGATCGAGGTGCACAGGAGCTGTCTCGTAAGTCCGCTATCTCTCCTGCGATCTCCCATGCGCACCACGTTCCCCGCATTTATGCAAACCCCGGATTTCCTTGCCATTCATTCATCACTGTACCCCATCCCAAAACTCGCACCTCCATCGTGGCGTCGTATCACATGAATTCACGTTGTGAGGGGACCCAAACTGACCCTTTGTGTTGTATGTAGGACTCAACCGCTGTAGCGGCTGTAACGAAGGCCTCGACATATTCGTCTGTGTTCGGCGTCGGCATCTTGCCCGCTTCGAACACGTCCATACCCGAACAGGATACCCAGGACGGCGCCCTCCCCAGCAACCCCCCGAACCCAACCTCTCCTATCACCCCTCCCCCCTTCCTCGCAGACCTCAAACCGATATTCCCGCCTCCGCCATTTACGCCCTCGCACCCCGCATTCCAGCACCTCTCTGCCATTGCCAGACATAAGTCCGAAGCGCTCCGTGCGGAGACGGAGCGGTACCTCGCCGACGTGTTCACGGCAAAAGTCACCGAGCTCGAGAAGGCCGAGGACGAGCTCCGAGGAAGCGTCGAAGAGCTCTGGAAGAACTTTCACGCGGGCGTCCGGCAAGCCGAGCGCGAGTGGAACTCGAGCCCTGCCGGGGCTGCCGCGCTCCGAAGTAAGAGCGCGCTGCCGCGGAGCGGCGCTGGCTATAATGGCAATAGCAGTGGTGGTGGGAGTGGCGAGATGGGCGGTAATGACGTCGCCGTTGCTAGCCCGCCTGCGGCGCCGCTCGTGTCCGTCAAGGAGTTCGCGCCGCTGCCGAATGCGCCTGTGCCTGTGCGCGCGGCGTCGAGCGTATCGTCGCCGAAGATGAGCTCGCTGTCGGCGTCGCTGGTGACGTCCGGGTTCGTATATCCTGATGCACAGAAGAGCCAGCCGGGCTCGAGGTCGTCGCCACCTCGCCAACCTCAATCGCAGGTGCCATCGCAGGCGTCATCGCAAGGGCAATCGCAAGGGCCGCTCGCGTTCCCCACGGTCGCGCGCGACGACCCTTCGCGCCCGCCGTCACAGGCGTCTGTCGACCGCGTGCCGCTGGCGAACGAGGAGAACATTCTTCGGCCTTTCAGGCGGAGTATGGACGAGGCGAAGGATATGGCGACGAGTTTCCGGTATTTTACGATTCTCGAGCAGGATATGGCGCGCAAGAACGTACCGCAAGACAGTGGCGCTGGTCATGACTCTGGTACCAAGCGGGAGACTAAACAGGTGAATGGGGCGCAGGAGGGGGGCAAGGATAAGGACAAGAAGGTGGAAGAAAAGGAGCAGGATAAGTCAGACAAGTCTGCCCCTGTCGAACAGAAGGTGTCGCAAGAGTCTAAGGATACTAAGGCCAAGGATGGTAAGGAGAAGCGCAAGGTCAAGTTTGACGTTCAGACTGCCGACGCTGAGGAGAAGGAGCGAAAGCCCGCGCCCGCGCCGTCGACGCGGCATGTGAACGGTGAACGTAAGATAGATCACTTACCATCTACCCGAGGCGATATTCTGATAACCACTGCAGCAGAGATGATCTTCGACCTCGAGGACGAAGGCGAAGGCGCCGAGCACGCCCGCGAGCCCGACGCTAAAGCGGTGCTGCCCCTGCTCGAGCAGCCGAGCATACCGCCGCGCGCCCGCCACGCGAAGCAGTCCAGCGCGCCTAACGGCCTCCCGCCGCGCTTCTCGGCGCTCCGCCCGGCGTCGCTCCCCGCGTACTCGCCGCTGCACTCGCGCAGCGGGAGCGCGGATGCTGTGAACGTCCCCACGCTCGGGGACAACGATGCCCAGGCCCAGGCGCCGAAGACGAAGAGTGCTGTGGCGAGCGTGGCGGCGAAGGAGGCGATGGAGCGCGCGGCGGTGCGGCAGGCGCGGGAGGCGGGGGTGACGACGCCGGAGGAGGAGGCGCTGTTGAAGCTTGTGGGCGCGGAGACGCCGTCGCACCGCGGGGCGTGGCGCACGGATAGTAAGGCGTGGAGGGTGTTTATGAACCGACTTGATACGGCTGGTGGGGGAGATAAGAAGGAGAAGGAGGGCGGGATTGGGTTGATACCCGAGGATGGGGACGGCGATGGGGAGGGGGAGGAGGAGGTGCAGCGTGTGCAGGGGGTGTGGGCGAGGGTGAATGAGAGCGATGATAGTGATTTGGATACGGAGGGTGAGTGCTCATGCGCTTTGAGAATGTGTGGTGTGCGAGAGGGCTAATGGTTTTTGTGTGTTGTAGCCTCGAATAGCGGCACGCACCCGCCTGGCATCCCAGCGTCGATGCCGATCGACATCGGGCCGCTGCATGGTAACGGTAACGGCAACGGCAGGCCCGCGCGCGAGCCGCTGTCGCTGGCTTCGTACCAGCCGAAGACGTCCATTCCCGAACGCGCCGCCGTTAATGGCAATGGAAACAGCAATGGCACCGGCGGGAAGATGTCAGTGCCCAAGCAAACGGTCCCTCTTAGTCCTGGGATCGGGCGCACGCCCTCGGCGAGGTCTGCGCGAAGGGCGTCGTACGCGGAGCGCGATCGCCAGCGGGCGATTGACCCCGGCGCGCTGGACTTTGCGGGGCAGGGGTACGAGGATGAAGACGATGAGGAGGATGACGAAGATGAGGGTGGGGACGAAGCTGAGGGCGGGGACGGGGGGAAGACGGGAGGAGAGACGGAGGCGCCGAGTAGGCAGCGGGCGCTCAAGATTTTGAAGGCGCGGAGTCGGCTGCCTGCTGAGGGGATGTGGCGCAGTTTGGCGTCGTAACCGCTGCGTTTTCGCTCGTCGGTTCTCAACAGCCGCCACCAATCATCAACTACCGACTATCAACTACCAGCGGCATTTCCCCCGTTTCCTCGACTCTCTCCCTCTCTCCTCGACTCTGATTCTTTTCTTGCTTTGGACACTGCGGCAGCCGGCTCGAGATTGAGCCGGCCAATCCTCCGTATACTCTAGGTTCTCCACCACTAATACCATCATCGCCTCTTCAATCCCCCAAGCTACGCCAATCTTGCATCGCACGCACTTGTCTTATCTTGCCATTGTCCTTGTCCCTGTCCTCGTCTTGTCGCATCGCCGAGCATCCATCTTTTCCATCGTCTGTAACGACAACACACATTCTTCCTTGCAGCCGCAAACCCACATGCCCCATCCATTGTTCGATCTACTCGCTAATATGCTACGCCTGAACGTCTTTATGTTTCGTGATAATTTGTTTGTATTCGGGTATCCCCAGCTGTCGCATCGCATCGCATAGCATTGCACGATATAGCTATCGCGTACCACGAACATACGATATACGCACCCTACACGCCGCACAACTGTACATTGTGATGTGTGTACCCATAGCACTTGCTTTCTTGGAGATGTTGTACCGTATCGCACCATACCGTACCTTGCCTGTGCTTCCGCGTCGAGACGGGCCCGAGATGAGCTCACTACTATTACATAGTACTACTGTACATAGTTCCGTTTTTTTTTTACCTAGCTGCGTACTTATTATTTGTGATTTCTGTTGTACTTGGTGGTTTGTTCTTTTTGTGTTGTTGTTGTTGTAATGTAGGGGTGTGGTAGTGTTGTAATTTATGGTTTTGGTGCTTTCGGTGTCAGGTTGCGATGAAGAGTTTGTGCGGACATATCGAGAATGAATTGAGCATATCGGACAGTTATAGGGCGTTGTTTTGTGGTACATACAGCTAAGCTAAGCTTGGTTTACAATAGATAGCACACAAAAGCCAGGTATTTAGTTGGTGAATAGATCTAGGCACCCGTCCCGCATTTTCATCCACTCCGACAAACCCGGAGTCTACTTCTTGTTTTTCCGTTTCGATGCGCCCTTGGACGGTGTCCCCGAGCGCGACTGCGATGTCCCAGTGCCGGTGCTCGTGCCAGCACCGGCGGGAGCAGCGGGCGGCGGCTCCTTGGCAGACACAGCCGTCGTCTTCTTATCTTTCGCCGTGACCGCCGTCGTCTTTCCCCCCTGCTTCTGCTCTCCCTTATTCTTCCCCGCGTCCGGCTTATGCAAAAAATTGATCACGACCGACACAACGCCGCCGCTGAGGATATACAGCACCCACTTGGGGAGCTTGTTGATGTAGCGGTACTGCGCGGCGAGCACGGTGGCGAGGTAGTCGAGCGCCCACTCGCGCTGGCCGCCCGGGCCGTAGATGGAGTGCCAGGGGTCGCGCGCGCGCCAGGACTCGTCTTTGAGGAGGTCGTAGAGCATTTCGGGGGTCAGCTTTTGTTGGCCGGCGCGGTAGAATCGGAGGGTGCGGCCGCGGTCTTTGAGGACGACGAGCCAGGGTGCGCTGTGTGGTTGTCACATATAACATAGAGTGGTTGGTTATTTGAGAGACGGGGTGAGGCAGGGGGTGACGTACGACCACATGTTCCATTTGGTCGTGATGGCGGTGACGTTGATGTAGTCGATGCGGCCGAAGCGGACGTGTGGGAGGTCGCCCGTGTCGAGCGTGAGGTTGTACGTCTTGTCGAACACGTCGTCGACGAACTTGGACACGCCCTCGGGCGAGCCGGCTGTCACGGTCCTGTTGAGCACACGACCAGATAAGCGTGCGTCCGAGGTGGGATTTGAAGAAAAGAAGAAGAAGAAGAAGAAGAAGAAGAACGCACACGACAAGGAACCACACGCGCTCCATCGCCTCCTCGTCGTCCATCTCCTCGTTCACGATCACCTCGTCGTAGTTCTCGTCCGTGATGAGCGGGATGCGCGCGTCCCACTCGACCGCGGGTGCGCCCGACAGGTTGAGGCCCAGCAGGCCCGAGAGCGCGGACACGGGCCCGTTCGTGACGAGCGTGTCGAGTAGGCCCTGTTTCGGTAGCTTGTGCCCTCCTCCTCCTTCCTGAGAAGCACCGCCCGCGCCTGTGGGTGGAACGACGGAAGCGCTCGCTGGACGGGCGGCTTGGAAGTCTGCGACGGAGGGCACGGGCTGACCTGGCGCCCAGCCTTGGGAGAAGTACTGGGCGTGCGCAAATCCAGCACAGGCGCAGAAGGCGGTGAGGAGACCCAGCGGGGTCATGGTGTGCGTTGAGGGAGGTGTGATAAGTAGTCGCACTCAGGGAGCAGACAAGGTCGGACTCGCGTACGTATCCCCGGAAGCCGAAATGTCCGGAGTCAATTAGCAGAGCACGTGATCTAGGTCGTTGTGTGCCTGAAGTTAAATTAGGGGTTTCGCCCCTTTCCTGGTTTCTGCTTCCACCAACGCTTCGTTTGGATGAGTAATGGTTATGACCTCATACATCCTCACCTTCCAACCAATCCCATCCGTGAACATTGCTAAGCTATCTTAGTCACTAACACACAAGCAAATGTACCGTATATATAAACGTCACCGCCTGCCGTCGTTCCTTACTCTTCCATCCTCCCCATCGACCGACGAAATCAAGAGCAACTATGGCCGACACCGTACCCAAGGAAATCACTCTTACTTCTGGTAAGCCAATCATGTAAATACATGGGAAGACTAACATCTGACGTACACATAGGCTACAAGATGCCCACTATCGGGCTCGGAGTGTACCAGAACATCCAATGTGCGCAGGCTGTCACGGCTGCACTCAAGCATGGCTACACGTACGTCGCACGCGCAGTTCGTCTATGGCTAGGACGCGTATCTAAGTCTGTTATTCCCCGCCACTATCCAGTCACGTCGACTCCGCTCGTCTATACAAGAACGAGACGCAGGTCGGCGTGGGCATCAAGGCTGCAGGCGCCGATCGCTCGAAGCTCTTCATCAGTAAGTCATGTCCATATCAACTCATCTACACAAGTTCTATCCCTCCCTCCCATACAATCGATAATGTATGTTGACTCACGCCCCACGCAGCCTCGAAGGCCTGGCAAAGCGACTTCGACGACACCGAGTCCGCAGTCGTTGATTCTCTCCAGAACCTCAAGTACGGCTTGGAGGGCACGCGGGAGCCGCTAGGCTCGTCAGACTACTACGACCTCTACCTTCTGCACAGTCCGCACGGCGGCAAGGAGCTGCGACTTAAAGCCTACAGAGGCTTATTGGAGGCGAAGAAGAAGGGTCTGGTTCGGACTGTCGGCGTCTCTAACTAGTGAGCAGCACCTCAGACGATCAGTCGCGTGGATGTTTGTTGATGACCGATTCTCCCGCCCAGCGGCCCGAAACATATCGAGGAAATCCGCGAGGCAGGTCTGGAGCTCCCGGCCGTGAACCAAGTTGAGGTGCATTTTGAGCTCTGCCTGGCGCTTTGCTAGGAACCCCCACTGAATACCAGGGCATTACGTAGCTGCACCCCCTCGACCAGCAGAAACCGATCGCGGAGTACTGCAAGAAGCACAACATCCTCGTTCAGGCGTACACCCCTCTTCTCCGGTTTAACTTCTCCGGGGACAAGGACGGTGTGATCCAGAGCGTCGCTGACAAGGTTCGTCGTTACTGCGCATCACTCGGTGTATGACCCCGAGGAAGATGAATCTGACGCTGGATTGGAATAAAAAGATCCAAAAAAGCGTCGCCCAAGTCTTGGTGCGGTGGTCCCTCCAGCACGGGTAAGTCTTTTCTTTACGTAGTGCATTCGTTCGAGCGAGCTCTCAATCGGCGCTAGCTTCGTCCCGCTCCCCAAATCGGAGCACGAGGAGCGCATCAAGGCGAACGCGCAGGTGTACGGATGGGCGATCCCCGCGGAGGAGATGGCGCGGCTGGACGCGCTCGACAAGGGCGACGACGGGGCGGTCACTTGGAACCCTATCCACATGGATTGAAGGCTGTCAGCTGTAGATCAGGAAGCTTACTGTTGATTAGGAGGGGAGGGTGGAGGGTGTATTGATAGATGTCGCCAAAGACCGTTTTTGTATGCTAGTGTTTGCTAGGGTATCAGAGTCGTTCTTGACCGTCGCAATCAACATGGTCCTCGTCGGCGGCGCCAGCAAAGTCGGCACCTTCAGTTCTTACCCATGTCTGCACCAGATATCATGGGGCACGATTCTTGATTTACTCACCTCTGCCCTTCATATCAGACCGCGCGCACTTGATCACAGTGACGTGCGTGGTAGTGGAGCTCCGATTCGTAGTCGATCAACAGAACTTTCCCACCCTTCTTTTGCTTTGACATATGCTTCCATTTCTTTCCACTGGCTTGGAGTATGATTCCCTTCTCCGACATATGATCCCAATTATCCATATTATGCTAGAGTTATGCTCCCGATTTTCTCTATTTCTGCGGCGTATGCGCTCATGCTCTTACGCTTCCTCTCGCTATGTTCTCAACCTGAGCTGCGTGCTGCAGGAGTCGCATGCTCTATGTCCGAGGACGCTGATGAAAGTAATGCAAAGTAGAAAAAGCTCCAATATGTAGAACACCCGAGAATTAGGCGGGATAACGCCTACTATGCTCCTCTTCTTGACTTGCTTTTCTGACGGCTTGTCCGCGTTTAATTCCCTTCTTCGTTTCTTCTTTAGTGACTCATTAACTTCTTTAGCCGTTTGCTCTTAGAATGCTTCCGTTTTTGGCAAATACGTCCTTTCTTTCCTTTGTCCCGAAAATTAAATGCTCATGCTCCTCTGTGCTAAGCGTGCGTTCATATGCTTTCTTGGCCTTTCCCTTTTATACGTAACTTCGGGATATGTCTACCATCTACTCTGCAATCTGAGTATATCAATCGTAGTACAACCTTGCTAGGCAGCACCCTAAGGAATTCTGAAATAAAGCCCTGGTACACGTTCCTGATTATCGCGTCGTTGAAGTTGAGTACCTCAGACTCAACGTGAGAACAGAGTCGACGGTATTCCATAAATACTAAACTTGGACGGGCCAGTACCCAGGATTATCTATCCTAATGAGCTTGAGAATGAATTCGGCAGAACGAGTCCAAGTGAACATACGAAATTTACGATTGGGCATTTCGAGAGCAACAACAAGCTAGAAAAATGTACGTTTCAAGCGAAACACTGATTCCTGGCCTATGACCGTTTCCGGTGGAACCCAGGCCATGCATCACACTCTAGCAACCATCCAAGTATCGTCGTAGCGCCTCGCACACCTCGTCTTTTGCATCCACCCACTCCAAAAAGTCCGCCTCCCTTTGAAATCTCTTCATAGAAGTGACGTCAAACGCGTCTCCAGCCCAGGGTCCGCGAGTGATGTCTTCGCAGTATTCGGGCATCGCGCACGAGGGATCGGATGACCAGCAGATGCGACCGACAAGTGCTTCGCCAAGGCTAAAAGGCTTGCGGCCGCGGAACCTCGGGTGGAGTTCCTTGTTGAGTGCGTCGATGGTATCAGCACGCACGTAGAGCTTCTTGGAGAGGTTTCGAAGGACTGTAGCCTTGACGGGCTTACACATTCTCCTGATGGCCGCCAATGGTGCGCCTTCGATACCTCGCCTTTCAAGCGGTCTTATATACGCGTATGTGATGTCAAAAAAGTCTGGAGACATAACCGCTGAGTGGTAGTGGTTTCCCGCAAAATCGTAGAGCGAGACGGGTCGTCCTTCGGAATATTCGTCCGGTACAGCGGCGCCTAGCTCGGCCCTTTCGGCCTCGGTGAGAATGCCTGTTGGGAGATCATCGTTTTGCATGTAGTCTCCGAGGCAAATGATGCGGGATCCTGCCCATGACACCATGTATTTAATGGACACTTCCAGAATGGAGGCGCATAGGTCCCAGCATCTATGGCATGTGGCCGCGAAACAGGCAAAGTCCTCGAGGGTTACAATGTCCTCCATGATAATCTGGTAAAGGATCTCATTGGGCAGCACGAGCAAGCTGCGCGCTGGCTTTCTGTCAATCTTGGTTAGCCAACTCCGAGGGACATCCCAGATGTCGATGAAACGCTGTTTTCGTAGGACGTACTCAATGGTGGTACTCTCCGCTCCCCTGGGCTGAATTATGGGCATCTTTGGAAGGGATCGGAGTCGACACAGACGCAGTGCTATACTCCTGTTTGTAATACCATCGCCGAAAAACTCGCCGAGTTTCAAGAGGGAGCCACTGGCACGCTCTCGCCTGTCGATGTTGAGAAACATCCAGTATTGACCCATGTCGGAGAATAGTCGATGATGAATGGAAAAATGATATGAAGGATCGATAGAAGGTAAACCTGATGGCCACAGAACAGGCCTCCGCCAAAATCAGCTTGGGGTTGGCAATGTCCTTGGGGAGGATACTAGAGCTCAGGCCCAGGCAGCTGCCAGTGGAGGTAGTGGTACGAATCGACAGAGAATCAACCCATGCTAGATTCAACTTAAGCCCTACAAGTTCCCGAACGTTCTAGGCATCGAGCCGCCTGCATGCCCAGCGCTTATCGATATGGCAAGGGCGGCCCGTCCTCCACCACGCATACGGACGCATTATTTACTATCTCGGATGTTGATCTAATGACAACGAGTCAATTGCAACGGTCCCACCTGAGAATGATTACTCAAATGAGTCGTCCTCATGCATATTTCTCTTACTCAAGTTGCCCTGTGCAGTGTGCGCTCTCTTCAACAAGATCCAGTTGTTCCGCTCATTTCTTCTCATGTTGGCTCCCTTTTCCGACACTCAGTTTTCCACATGTTTTCTTGCTCTTTCACTTTCATCCTATTTACGGAAGACACATAAATTATCCTTTGCAAAGTATTTAATTTAATGCATCACATACTCCGCGGCATAGATATGTGTATGAACTCGTCTTTACCTTCGTTCACTATGCCGAACACTGCATGCGAAACGCAGGCGATGCACGCACTGTAAGGACGGAGATACCTAAAACTCATGTACGTGGATCATGCCCGTACGTTAATGGTTTTCATGTATTATTCATGTCTTCGGAACATAGTAATAATGAAGATAATTCATGATAATCATGTACTCCCCCAAGCTTGAACAACTAACGTTTTTGCAGGATTCAATGTACTTTCTCATGACATAATTTTTGAGGTGATGTGGTGGGCTTGAACACGAAGCCAATAGTTTAAATGGCAAAATGTAGTGATTATTACACGAAAAAGTATGCAAAAATAACTGCATATGCGATGATATTCATGTAGTTTTATAGGCAGTGGCTAATCTACTCGATATATAGAACTACATCCGACATCCAGAGTCGCCTGCCTGCAGTCAAACCCAACGCACGATAGATAATTGCACGTATGACCACGCTCAGGATGAGCACCGAGATCAAAAAGGAAATCCTCATTCGAACAAACGTCAAGAAAAGCCTACCATAGTTTTGAATATAACCGGTGTATCTTCAATATTGTGGACGAATTTTTGATCGTACTCGCTTTTGCTTACCTAGGCACCCACGCCCTGGGAGGCGCAACGCCACCGGTCAATGATAAATGACAGCATGGCGTTTTGCCTCACGCCTCTTCAAGTTACCGGATAGGGTTTATACTGCAATGTAAAATGGAGGCGCGAAAGTGATAGCAACATATCGAGCAGCAGCTGTTTAGTAGACTGCATGTGTTATCAACGTGTATGTTAGCTTGCCGTGACTCCCGCGGGGAAATCCCCGAGTGAGCTCAGTCTTGTTGGCAGCGTTCGCCTAAACTACTACAGAACTTCAAAGCCTCGTAACAGACCACTCCAGCGCTTCGAACTCCCCCGCCCTCGTCTTGTACGTCTTCAGCTGAGCCTCCACCCTGACCGCCTCCTCCTTGCCAGCGAACACCTCCGCCCACATCGCCCGCCAGCTCTCGGGCGAATGGCAGAACATCTGCAGAGAGGCCCCATAGCCCTGGAACTGCTTCGTGCCCTTCTCCACGGCCCCGTTATGGACTCCAAAGATGAGCGAGCCAGGTACGGGCGAGAGGAGGCCCGCGAGCGCGCGGGCGAGGTGCAGCTGCTGGGCCTCGTTAAATAGGTGGAAGAACATGCCGGCGTATATGGCAGAAACGCGGCCGTGCAGCGGGTTGAGTGACGTGAGCGAGTTGAGATCGGGCCGCGGCGAAGACGTGTTCAACTCGTATGAAGGCGGGACGACCTCGAGCGTTGAGGGGTCGAACGCGTCGCATGCCAAGTGGTGCACCGGGTACGTCGCCGGCGTCGTCCTGAAGAACTTATGGCCGAAGTCAAGCAGCTCTGTAGAGGACAAGGTTCAGCTTTTGTGGTGAGTGGGTTAGGCCACATTTCACACCTGGCCTCAAGTCGGATATAATGACGTTTTGAGCGGGAAACCCGTCTGCGATCGCACGCCTTGCGTCCAGACCAACTTCAAGGCGGTTTCAGAGATATTCACAGTTAATGGACTGAAAACACTCACAGCAGGCTGCTATGTCCAGGAATATGGAATCCTCACGCTCCCGGCCGATTTCTACAAGTTGCTGGTAGGCTGGCAGCTTACCCATAATGAAGCTACAAAACCATCCATCAACCCGAAAACAAAGTCACACTGCCCGTTATCCAACTCACTCAAGAAACGTAAACAATAAAATGCACGGATACGGCGCAAACTGCGAACCAAACCTTTCAGCGCAAATCGACGGGGTCCCACCAGCTCACTCGCCTCGTACGCCTTGCGCTGTACGCCGATAATATGCCTCTTGAGCTCCTCGTCATCCTCGATCCCCGTCTGCGCCTTGAAGAACGCAGCCTCGTCTGGGCTCAGCGCGAAGTAGCCGTCGTCCGCCGGCGGGATTTGCTGCATTCCGATCTGCCCCTCAGGCGCGGCGACGAGGCCGCGCTTCGCGTCCTTGGTCCACGTTTGTGCGACTTGGGTCATCGTTGGTTGGTTGAGGGAGTTGACGCTGAGCTCGTGACAATCTGACTACTGGCAGGGGTGGCTAGCTGGCTATCGATCCTGTAGCTCGTCGACACCGCAGGTATTTATACTCACTCGTCATAAGGCCGCTTGACGCTGGAAGGAGGAGACTAAGAGAGCGGCCACCGACAGTACTTGTGCTCGACAACATCGGACGGCCTCTCAAGATTCGCGCAGCTCGGACGAGTTTGACGATTCCGCTTACTAGCCAGAATATAGGAATCTTCTTCTGAACAAGCACACACGCCGGGTGACGCACGGATGCTGCAAAGTCCAAGTCGAGCGCGGAGATACAGTAGACATTTACGGACCAACGATATCGCCCATTCGAAATCTAACCGTGAATGTTAAACTTGATAGAGCCAGTAGCGGGACCATCGATTCTCACCTGGCGCCGCTTCTTCCCCGGTTTACCTAGCACTAGTGCGTCTCTGTGACGCAAGGTCGGGCCGATGGGAGGACCACGTGAGTCGCGGGGCTCTTCGTCGCTGCTCGACGCGCTATAAGCAACTGCGATAGTCAAGTTAGCCTACTAGATGCGTGTTGCGCAGCACACCTGCCTTCATCCGATATCCAACCCTCTCGTCCCCGCCTCATAACCTTCAGCTGATCACAACAGTCTGAATCTGATAACAGGCGCGGACCCATCCCAAACATAGTGATAGCTTGAAAGCGTTACGCATTCGTAAATGTATTCGTAGACTGACAATGGAAAAAAAGCAGTACAACAACGCCGGTATGCAAAGTTTATGTCCGGTATAACAAAGGCTACTGCTCACGACCCTATACAGCAAGACTCTCCCACACGCGTTATGCAGTGCTAAGGTCTTCATGATTAAAACTTAGTTGTCAAGAGCGACAGTCTTGAGCTTGTCAAAGTCGGGCGTGCCGAGACCGGTGACTACACACATCTCATCAGCACAAAGACCCCACACCACACAAGAAGAAAATAGAACACACCAGGATCCCACCCCGTCCCAGCGCTGAACCCCTCCGTCCCGCACCCGGGGTTATTACCCGACGTAATATCGTTGAACGCGCCCGCACCCGCGCCGTACAACAACGGGTTCAAGAACCCCAGCGTCGCCTTGCCCGCCGCGACACGCGCGTCGTTCACGAGCGCAACGACACCCGCGAACGCGGGCGACGAGCACGACGTGCCGGACACGCCCGTGTGCGACCCGCCGAGCACGATGTCGAAGTTGACGCCCTGCGCGGACACGTCCGGGTACGCGCGCCCCGAGGCGTTGTACAGCCCCGCGTACGTGTCGCCGAGGCCCGTGAGGAACGCGCTCACCGCGTCGTCCTGGTACGACGGGCGCGCGAAGATGTTGGAGAAGCCGCCGCCTGAGAAGGACGCGGCGACTTCGGGGACGTTCTGTGTTGCGCCTACGGTGGTGACGCTGTCAAATAAGTAGTACGGTAAGTAGGTGTTCACGGGAGTTGAGCGTAATGCGCACTAGGGGCAGCTGGCGGGGAACGCGGGGAGGAACTTGATGGCGTTGGTGCCGTTGTTCGCGATGCACGTCGTCGACGAGGGGTCGGACGAGCCGTCACCGACACCACTGTCGCCCGAGGAGAACGTGACGGAGACGCCGCGCGAGCCGAGTGTCTGGAAGCCCTGGCAGACGCGCTGCGCGTAGTCGACGGGTACCGTCTGCTCGTCGTCGCCATACGACGTCGAGATGACCGAGGGCAGGCTGGTCTGGTTCAGAACGAAGTCAAGCCACTAGGAACAGGACAAACGTAAGCAACGGATTAGACTGAAGATCAAGACGGAAACGTACGTCAATGTACGGCTCGTTGCCGTTCGTAGGCTCGTTCTTGTCGGGGGTGAACGGCGGCGTGCCAGCGGTGGAGTAGAACGTGCCCGCAAGCGGCTGAGCGACACCGAACGCATACTGCACATCCAAGTTCGCCTCGCCGCCCGCCGCGCTCGGGTCCTGGTCGTTCTTGCCGCCGTTGACCAGCGTGGTCGTGAAGTTCGCGCTGTCATCGCCGAGGAACTGCTGGAAGTCCGCGTTGTTCGCGTACTCCTCGAGATAGCCCGTGACCGCGAGCGTCGTGTTGGTCGAGGGCTTGTAGTCGCCGAAGTTGTACAGCTGCTGTAGGCAGCTCAGCGTGATCTCGTCGTTGCACGACGCGTCGACGTCCTGCCCCGCGGCGCTCTTGACGGAGCCCGCCGCGAGCGTGGCCTTGACGCCGCCTGCAAAGTGCATGGTGCTGCGCATCGGCTTGAAGCGCGCGTACATCGTCGTCGGTTGCACGAAGCTGACGTGATCGTGGAGCAGCTCAGGGAGGCTGTACGCGGTTGTGCGGATCGCGCTGTCCCCAGAAGCGGCGTGCGTGTAAACGTGGAATTTCTGTTTTTCCGCGACGAAGAATCAGACGCGTGTCGTGTCGAGAAGGGCGCAGAATCACGAGGACGCGACACGTACCGTATCGAGCATGCTCTCAGCAACAGCAACGGGCACGCGAATTGTAACCATATCCCCAGCTGCCGAGTTGTACAAGTGCTCTTCGCCAAGGCCGTGCGTGGCGAGCCACTCCCGGACGATGTCGACTGAGCCCTGCTCGGGCGCCATGAGTTCGTGGGCCTCTTCCTTGGAGAGGAACTGGCCGTAGCGCTCGTGTGCCGGGTCGGATGCCTCGACGATGTGCTTCTCAAGCTCGTGTGCACTCGGCTGGGCGAGGGCGATCTTGAGCTGGATGAGCTGGTCCTGGGGCGCAGGTGCCTGCTGAACCCAACCCTGGGGAACACCGTGGAGACTGTCCTTGACCTTGTTCTCGCAGCCGCGGAAGGAGGGCGCGGCGGCGTAGGCCAGGGCAGCGGCGACGAGAGTGAGCCAGGCGGACCTCATGGTGTCGAGATGGGGAGAGGGAGGAGGAGGGTAGGGATGGAGGGCGACTTGTTAGCTGGCATGATATACGGTCGAGGACGTGTTGTCGTCTTGGCAAATGGAAGAAGCCCGGCACGAAAAGGCGCGAAAGAAGGTAATTTTGATCATTCCGGAATTGAAGCACACGAGACGAGAGACCGAGACGCCCATATGCAACGTTCGCTGAGTTGCAACGCTTGCTGGGACGTCCCATCAGCGTGGAGCCCCACAACGGTGTGCCACGCGTGCAGCCACGGCGAAACTGGTCCCGCGGTGGCAGCTCAATCAGTCCTCTTCCCTTTGACAACCTCCATCACTCGGGCAGCCTTTGTTTCAGCACGAGTACTCACTCACCTGAGCGCGGTGCTTTCAGGCCATCCTACTCTGAACCACAGCCCTCAGACCCTCCAGCCCGACCAAAGTCTGGTATCGCCATTTCAAACGCAAGGATATCACAGTACTCCGCGGCAAAACCAGGCGGTGCGCTGCCCTGGGCAGCATATGGCGATAAGGAAAAGGCGCATGCGCACCCGCGTCTCGAGCCGCTGCTGTCCGTCAAACGCGTGGACAATGGACATTCGAAGCTTGAGCTTGTGAATCTACTCGTGAGCGCATGTGACTATACATACAATCGCCGGAAGTCTGTCCAACGCGCTGTGGTCGACGTCTTGTGCAACGCCTTCCATGTCGCAAATCGCGTCATGTGCAAAACACTACGGCCGACACGCTGCGGTAGTGTGATCGTCCCGTTAGTGGCTCGAGTCAGATCAAATCACCATTCGTTCGAGGATCATTGTTACTGCAAATCCATGTCCGACGATCCGTTTCGGACATTTACGAGATTGTCGCAAATTGGCGCCCACAATGATACACTTGAAACAATCCGACTTCGGAAACATATCCAACTCCACCTCATCAACATCGCCCATCGCTCATAACCTCGTAACACACCACTCCAAGAACAAATTATTCCCGCTCCTACGAGGCCAATCCCCAAGCACCGCCTCCATTTTCACTGCACCCTTGGAGAACATCGCCCCATCCCACGTCGCAGCCCAACTCTCGGGCGATAATGGCGGAACGTACTTTATCGCGCTGAGAGCTGCTCGAGCGCGGACGTGCCCTTCTCGGGCTGGCCGCACTGCGACCCGAAGATCACCAAGCCTGAGCGTGGGTCCAGTAGGTCCACTATGCCACGCACGAGGCGCAGCTGTTCGGCTTCAGGGAAGAGGTGGAACTAGAATTTCCCGATGTGTAGTGCGGAGATGCGACTGTGGAATTGAGTGAGGTAAGGCTGGATAGCGAAGGCGAATGCACGCGGCCTGGTTCGGGCGGTGAAGGGCTCGTGGAGTCATCATCAGGTTGTAGTCTATGACGCTCCTAGTGGCGACTGCATTGCTCTCCTGCTGCCAATGGGCACCAGCTGCGACCGATTTGCTGTCGGGAGCTAGTACTCGATGCATGTAATCATCGATGGCTTGGAGTCATCTTCACCTCCGAACGTGATTGAACGGGAGAAGGTCCTGATCAGAATCCGTCTGTGAGGTTACCTGGTGCGACATGGTCGATAAAAGTGAATCAATAGCCTCAGGCGTAAAGAGCAATGATGGCGGTGCATGGCGTAGACGACGAACGCGCGTCAAGGCGAGGACCCGTGCGTTTGTAGGTCCAACTTCGTATCGTGGGAATGATTCGGCAAACGCCGGCTCCTCTTTGTACCTTCGCCGGTCACCCCTCAAGGCCTCAACTTAGCTTTCTTGCCTTTCTCACAGGCTTTGGCGACAACGAGAAGCTGCCCAGTTTATGACGCAGCCCAACCATGACGAAGCCTTGAAGCCTCATTGAATGGACAAAAAAGCATCATTCTCCCATAGAACAACTACCGAATACTTCCGACTCCGAACCTTCCACGATGATGGCAGGTCTGGGAGCTACTCAGGCAGAGCTGACTATGCTGCGAAGACCAATGACCTCCAATGACACACTCTTACGCTGTCAACGTCCGATACGAAACGGCCTGTAAGTGGTGTATAAGTAGTATGCTGTTTCCTGACACACAGTAGGACACGTTCGAGATCGCCATGGCTGTTTCTACCGCGCGCTCGGATGACCCCTACTTTGACGTGCCTAAAGAAAGCATTGGGATGCGCAACGTCCCCCCGCTCGACCCCGCCCTGTATCACCCCACCCCTGCAGCACACGCGTTCTTGAAGGAGCAACTGGGCTTGGAGGACAATGAGGTTCTGAAACAACACATCATGAAGATACAGCAAAAGGCCTATGCCGTATGTAGAAAAAGCCACTCGTGTGTTCGATTCAGCTCATTAAACATCTGACAGGTTGCGCCTTACCCTTGCATTCGACTTTTTGCATTCACCGAGTGAGTCGAGTTGCGGCTCAAACTACGGCTCGCACGTCTCACTCTCAGTAGGATTGATATAATCACCTACCCGGCGTACAAGGAGCTCTTGAGGATCGGTCATGAACGACTGGGTGCTATCTTCCTCGAAATGGCTAGTTGTTGTAAGTTCATACTATGGGATGTAACTCCTCAGGATCTTGCTTTTTGACACTTTCGAAGTCGGCCAGGAGGCAAGGAAGGTGGTTGCAGACGGGTTCCCTGTTGCACAAGTTGTTCTTTCGGATCTTCAAAGAGGTGCGACATTGTTGCTTCGCTCTATAAGCCAAACTGAGCTTAAGTGCTTTATCAGAGCTCATGGAACTAGGACATGAATTTTTCCAAACCAGTCCGTTGACGTTCCCAGCTCATATGGTTCCTGGTGATGCGTTTAGCCCGAGTATGCTTGAGATCAGGCCCCCTGCCTACGCACCCCCCAACACGCCGTATCCCGACCTCAACACACTTAGCTCTCTGAACCCACTAAGCGGCCACGTCTCGGCTATTCACGCTTCAAAGTTCTTCCATCTATTCGACGAGGCAAAGCAGAAGCACCTCGCCCGTGCTCTAGGCGGCCTCCTCTCACCCGAACCTGGCTCGATAATCTTTGGTGCGCACGTTAGCGCCAAGGAGAAGGGCGTCGTAAAGTTCGACGTGCTCAGCTCGTCGTTCGACATGTTTTGCCATTCACCCGAGAGCTGGGCTGAGTTGTGGGACGGAGATGTGTTCAGAAAGGGCACAGTCAGGGTTGACGCCAATATTCGGTGGTTCGAAACTACGGAAGGCGGGACTGACTACTTGGAGTGGGCTATTACGAGACTATGATACGTTCAGAGCTTGGTAGGGAAACGTGGTTCAGTGCTTGACGGCGGATGTCAACTTTTGGTAGAATACTAGTACTATTTGGAAACTAGGGTGAAGTCAAATTCATTCTTTCTATAGTCAAGTGCACTCTTGACTAACGTATCACATATTATTGTCAGTGAAATAGTCTCGTAAAATCAAAAGCGTTTCCTGGTAACGTACTAACGAGACACAAACATAAGCACCGCAAACCACGTCGTACACTACATATACATGCCCAATCACCTCCGAGTACCCCGTAATGGCCGTCCCACCAAGGCTGCAGCGCACCATGTCAATGAGTAATATATATTTTCTCGGTCACTCGGGTGCAGCCTCGCGTGAACTTCGACATGGCAAACATACACAAAAGCACATATAATCTACAAACCAATTGCCACTTGACATGCTGCTCTCGCTTCTGTCCTCACGGTTTCGAGGGGAAGGTGCGCGGTCCGATGCAGCCGGTGAAGGGCTGGTCGAGCTATCATCAGAATGGAGTTGGTGGCGCTCCTGGTGGCGACCGCCTTGCTCGCCTGCTGCGAGGACGAGCTATCGCCGACCGTTCGTGTTATCGGCTGTTACATTGTGGTGAAGAAGGAACCTCACTTACGTTTCTGGCGCGTCCAACATGCACGAGCTGGAACGCGCGTGAAATACGGTGCTCGCCCGATGAACTAGATTTAGTCCGGTTCGGTCTGAAGTGGGAGGAAAGGCGAGACAACAACCCTGAGTCCTGATCGTGTGCGGTGGATCCATGTCGTCCTTTGCGGACCTGCTGAGAGGCTGTGTCATGAGATCTCTGTCTTGGCCTTTGAGCGGAGTTGCCTAGAGTGGCGGGCAACTGAATGTGACATCAGTCATAAGGACTAAGCCGGAGGTTTACATAGACCCACGTTAAGGATTGAATCGTCATCCCAAGCGGCCAGCTGCCGTGAAGCTGCCGCGCGTGATCTTGTTGGGATCGCAGACGTCTGCGCAACACGAAGATATAGCCTGAACAGACGGTCACGGTCATGAAGTGAGATGTGCTTACACTTTCCAGCTCGAGAGACGACCCAGGGCGGCCATTCGAGTCATCTTTGGGGAGGAGCACCCGACCCGTACTGGCATCAAGCACCTGTAATGCCCCGTCTTCAAGCCCGACAACGAGCCTGTCTCCCGCCGGCACGAAAGCGACTGCCAGAGCCGAGAAAAAGCTCGCGGTGCGCCAGAGCTGTCTCCCGCTCGCGACGTCCAGCATCTCGAGGCCAAACTCAGCCTCGTTTTCTACCCAATCGCGCACCAATGTACGTCCATCCGGAGATATTATGCCCAAGTCGTACTTTGTCGCTGACACAGAGTAGCTCAAAACCTTTTCGCCTGTAGAAATGTCCCAGACTTTCACGTTGGAACCTTGGCAGGTATCAAGTATACGTCGGCCATCTGGGAAGAAAGACAGGGAACCCCTGTTAGCTGAGGACGCTGAGCCTGGAAGCTGGACGGTAAACCCCATCGTGAGGAGGTTATATATGAACACGTCTCCCATATTTCCGGCCGCGTAAGCAAGATGTGTTCCGTCTGGCGAGAAGGCGACATCAACGACTGCCTCCGTCGCCAAGCGCCTGGAATCCCGATCACCCAATACATCCTGCACCAGAAGGACGGCTTTGTCGAACATGACGGCAAGGGTGGAGCTGTCGGGAGATAAGACCAACTTTCGAGTCTTGGCGCCGGAGGGAATTAGGGTTGGAAGATGCTCTTCGCCCGTATCTACATCGAGGAGGGCAACACGCCCGATGCGTCGTGTAGATCCAGCTGCCAATAGCATGCCATCCGCAGAAAGTGCGACGTGACAACCGCCCTGAAACAATATTTGCTTGACCTGTTTTCCTGTCTGAACGTCCCATATGCGTATGTAGTCATCGTGGATAGCACTGCTAAGGAAGCGCTGGCCATCCGGGAAAACGTGTACAGTTGTAACACCACCATAGGCGGGGTGACGTAGATAAGGTAACGCGTCATCCTTGCGTATCTGCGATTTGTGAACACGATCAACTATCATTCTCAGATGGTGAAATACACATACAGATGAGAGCGCAGTTTGTTGAGCTTGAAGGTCCCAAACATGGACCTTACCTTCCGAGTCGACGCATGCAACACCGTCTTTCAGCGGAGAGCAGGCGATGGACGTCACAGCCCTATGCGATGTAAGTTTCAAGGGCCCCATCACCCTCTCTTTCGTTGAGGTATCCCATATGCACAGCGTACTCGCTGCTGAACCCTCAATAATCCATTTTCCGTCGCGCGAAAAACAGATACTCGATGTGTTTCCTGGATGCTCCTGAAATTCCCCGTGCAGTGCACTCCCCGTCTCTGTGTCCCAAATCTGAGACCCGCCCTCCGGGGCTGGTCCAGCAACAGTGCGGCAGTCAGGAGAGCAGACATACGGCAATCTGTAAGGAAACGAGGTTGACGGAAATGCCAGTGATAGGCTGAAGGACGTCTGCTGACGTCCTTCCATGTCAGAGCTGCGCACTTCTAAGAATGATGCATTGTCTTTGAGAGTCTCCTCGGAGTACGCATATAAGAGCTGTCGGCTATCGGACGAAAAACCGAGCACAGATGCAAACCGACTGTTGTCAGTCATTTTTGCTACATCCAGAACCAGCTCGCCTGATGTCGCGCTTTGCACGATGACACGCAGAGGAGTCATGACGGCAATCAGGCTGTCATCCGGCGAGAAAGCCACCCGGTAGCGAAATCCTTCGACACTACCATCGGTCTCGTAGCTCGTTTCTACTCTTCCCGGATCCTTTCCATCCTGGTGCATGTCCCAGACGACTACGCGAGCACATTCGTCATCCGAGCATACAGCAGCCAAATGACGCCCAGAGTGAGAGAACGACAGCCAGCGGACTGGATGACCAGACGTCAACTTCCTGGTATGTTGGCCTGATTTTGCATTCCAGACGTGAATTGCCCTGTCATCGCCCCCAGCTGCGAGCAGTTGACCATCGGGAGAGTACTCGATACACGAAGCCGCCGGCGAGTAGGAACCATATGCATCCTCGATGCTGAAGGGCGGAGGATCGCCGTCCGAGATTATCTGCGGTTTTGGTCTGCTGGACATGAGTGTGGATAACGGAAGAATGATCCTAGGCGTGAGTGGTGTTGATGGTGGTACATGGCGTAGACGACGACCGCGCGTCAAGGCGAAGGGCCCGTGCGTTTGTAGGTCCAACTTCGCATTCCCGAAAATAGTTCGGCAAATGCCGGCTGAATCCAATTTTGACTCTCAATCCCCTCGTAGGCTAGAGTTATCATGATGATAGTACGTTCTATCAAGTCACGGATTATTTGACAGGAACATAACTGCACATTTTTGTTGTGTTGGATGAGTTGTTGTCTCCGCTGCCGCCGCTGCAACTCATATTGGTTATATGCCGGATTCATGATACCATTTCTGCTCTCCGAGTCTAGATCATGGACAGCTGCCAAACAGGTAATGTACTACATCCTTGGGGCCTCAGAACGTTCATTTTTCGACATTGGGTCTCAAGGTTCCTAGCGGTACGGATCTTGGTTTCCTTCAACTTGCCTTCGGCACTCCTATTGCTAGATCTTGGATAGATTAATCGCGATGGTGGTTGCGGAGCCTATCGAATTTATGGAAGACTTGTTAGCTCCAGTAAGATATTTCATCATTCGTGAATCTTCGACTAACGCATTGCAGACAAGAACCTCGCTGAGACCCCAAGACCAATGTCAAATTGTTCTGATGTCAATTTCCGGTATAAAAAGGCCTATATATCGGGTCACCTCCGAGTCAGCTCTCACCATCGCTTCCTGCTTTGCTAACACGTCCCAGAACACCTCAATAGCAATAATGACTCTTCCTACTGCGCGCTCGGATGATCCATACTTCGAGGCTCCCAAGGGAAGTATCGGTATCCACAGTTTACCCCCATTGGATCCTGTTCTATACCGCCCCACATCTCAAGCGCGTGCGTTCTTGAAGGAGCAGCTGGGGTTGCAAGATGACGAAGCCTTGAAACAACACATTATGGTGGTACAGAAGAAGGCTTACAGCGTATGTAAACTAAATCCCTCGTGTGCACAATCTGGCTCATCGCAGTGCACGTACAGATCGCGCCTTACCCCTGCATCCGGACCTTCACTTTCACTGAGTGAGGCGAATCACGCCTCAGTCTACCAACCCTAACTTATCTTCTTGCAGGATCGATATCATTGCCAATCCAGCGTACAAGGAGCTCTTGAAGATCGGTCGTGAACGCAAGGATGCTATCTTTCTCGAAATGGGAAGCTGCTGTAAGTTCAATCAGATGTAACCTCTCGCAATCTTCTGACACTTGCACAGTCGGCCAGGAGGCAAGAAAAGCGGTCGCAGACGGATTTCCTGCCGCACAAGTGGTCCTCTCGGACATCAAAGGCGGTGAGACCTTGTGACCTCATCCTGCGATCGAAATGTCGCTTAAGAACAATTACCAGAGCTCATGGAGATGGGGCACGAATTATTCAAGACTAGCGCAGCCACGTTCCCAGCTCATATTGTCTCCGGTGATGCGCTCGACCCGAACATGCTCGAGGTTAATACCCCTATCTACGACGTTCCTGACATGCCCTATCCCGACCTCAGCGCGCTCGGCTCTCTGAACCCTCTGAGGGGCCATGTATCGGCGATCTACGCTTCGAAATTCTTCCATCTTTTCGACGAGGCGAAGCAGACCCATCTCGCCCGCGCTCTGGGTGGCCTCCTCTCTCCCGAGCCTGGCTCGGTAATCTTTGGTGCACACATTAGTGCCAAGGAGAAAGGACCCAGAGCGATCACTATGCTGAATACCACCGTTAGCGTGTTTTGTCATTCCCCTGAGAGCTGGACTGAGTTGTGGGATGGGAATGTGTACAAGAAGGGCACAGTCAGGGTTGATGCTAGTATTCAGTGGTTCGAGACGATGGATGGCTCTGTCGAGAGTTTGAAGTGGGCCGTTACGAGACTTTGATACATACAGTTCACTTGCGGTGTAGGTTTATCATGGAGAATCGATTACGCCACGAATTGTGCTGGGACCATTATATCCTGAAGCAGACACACAGGGCCGAGATTTGCTGAAATGCTGTAGATAGTTTATTGTGAGGTCAGGACTAATTTATCGCACTCTTTTCGGAGTCATCGCGTGCTCGTCAAGACTGCACCTCACCGCCGCTATCAATCCATATGTAATCCAGATAAATACACTACTACCAATTATCTATGAACGAGATGGAGCGCCCCTAAGGAGAGCAAATACAACAATAACGACACCGATCTGCACATTGACCATGTCGTACGCCAAGTACGCATGCCTGGGTCCCACCAAGAACACCACCAAGGCAGTTCCAGCAAACCCCCATCCTACCAGCGGACTGCAACACACTGCGTCAGTAAACCATACTCGATGCAATATAGGAAGCCAGTGGGTATAGCTCACCTTGGAAGCGAAAGCACCGACTTCCCACCCCAACACATATCCGACAGAACCAAGATAGGGAGAATCCGAAGGAAGTTGTGGTCCCCGTTGAACGGTGTCGTGTAGCCCGCGGTGAGCAGCGCTCGCACCCAGACCACAAGGATGGGCGCGACAAACGGGATGAGCCAGGTCATGAGGAGTAGAATGTGCTCGTTTTCATGATTCGTTGATGTTGAGTGTCTAAGTGATGGGGGAGGCGAGAAATTAGTATTTGAACGCAAGGGAGGTCTGATTGCATCGGAATCTTCGTCTTCGTTGGCGTTGGCGTTGGCGTTTACGTCTAGCAGTGGTATCGCACCGCCCATTGCATCTTGGCGGGCATCTCGGTCGGGGTTGTCGGCAGGATGGAGATCTTCTGGGGCGGTACAGATGGATAGCTGGATGATCCAGCAGCCCAAAAATGCGACTTGCCACGGGATGAGAAGGAAGATGAGCAGAAGGATAAACGTCATCGATGCGACAGTGCTCCTGCGCATTGGGCCAGATTCATGAGGCTGTGGATTGCTTCTGTGTAGATAGCGGTCAGTAAACCTCATCCCTGAGAAGCCAACAGCTCACACTGACCTCCCGCCTAACCGTCTCCTCACCCATCTTATCGGCATCAACACTAATGACAGCATCCACCAGCTAATAATCACAGCTCCCGTCGCAGTCATCACAATCAACGGCGCCAACGGCGCAAACAGCGGCTCTCCCCGCGTCCCGAGGTACAAGCTCGACGGGAGGGGAACCAACGCCAGCACGAACGACGCCAACAGCACCTTCGGCAACATCCCCTTCACAAACAACCCAAACTTCTCCTGCACGCTCGAGATCCCCTTACCATGCCGCCGCATGCGGCCCTCGCGCCACGCGCACAGCATGAGTAGACACACAACCCCGGTAGCCCAGCACACGAGCGTCGCCGGTAACCGCGTCGCCGCGCGCCCGGCGCTCGCCCACCAGTCGATCGCGATATCGAACGACAGGACCGATTCGCACCCGGGCTGGCTGGAGGAGTAGATCGTCATCGCGATTCCCTTGGACGGGGCGTCACGCACGGGCGGGACGTACGGGGCGGTGCTGTGCGTGTGCAGAGCTACGGACTTGGCATGCGTGAGTGGGAAATAATGTATCTCGGAAGAGTGGGAGGTGTATTGCAGGAGAGGGGCTAGGAGGGGTTCTGCGTTGAGTTGATGTAAGCGACGTCCGAGGAAGCAGGATGAGAGAACTTGCCGGAGCAAGAGGATTGAGCCTCTGCGTGTTGAGGGACTAAGCGGTATACCAAGATAGCGTCTACAGTGAGCTTGGGAAGGCGGATGGATGTTCGGAGTGCTGGCCGATCGCCGCTGGGGAACGTTATCGAGGCCTTGCCAAGGAGCAAGTCTGCATGCAAGATGAGAGATCGAGTACAACAGGCGAGACCTGGGCCATGCTTACCGAATGTCGAAATGTCGCTGACAACGAGCTCACTTCTTTCAAAGCCGCCTATGACCCAGCCGCCTTCGTGACCTTCAATATGTACACCCACCCATTCACCTTCCCCCAAATATGGCGGAACATCCACCTCAAAGAGGACAACGCCCTCACTCTCGTCTGAGCCCTCGTCCGGAACGGGGAAAGACTTCCCAGGAATGGGATGTGGGAGAAGCTTGAGTGTTGTGGGAGGTAAACTTTGACAGGCTGGTGGCGCTGCTGAATCCGCACTGTCTGACGGAGGCGCGCAGCGGAACACCGACGCCTTCAATGAGATAGCATGTTGTGGAGACACAGGCCCAACAGCACCCCGCGAGACATACAACACGAACTTGGAGCCGTCGCCATCCAGGGGCACGGGCAAAAGGTAATCGTGTATCCCTTGGGGTTTCTTCAACACGAGATGCATACCCTCCGGGAGCGCCTCGTACGACGACCTCTCGCCAAGCGCCATCCCCTCCGTCTGCCACCCCGCCGGTGGCAAATCATGCCCATCCCTCAGCCACCGATCTAGCACAACCGCCCTCTGCGCACCCGACCGCGCCTCGGCCAGCTCGAGCGCCGCGCGCGCGACACGCCACCGCACCTGGTGGCACCACACCATCTCGCGGTGCCCGACGCCCGTCCACGCGCCTTCCAGCGCGGACGTGAACACCGTCCGCCTATACAGCTCCAGCTCCGCTTTTTGCGCGATCGTCGCGCTCGGTAGGATGCACGACTCGGAATGGATCGTCGTGTCCGTCACGCCGCCGCAGATGGACAACACGGGCGTCGGGCTTTCCTGGAGAATCTGCAGGTTCTGTGCGTACAGCGCGTCCATGCGTGCGTCGAAGCTGGCGGGTGGGAGAGTGTGGGGCGTGGACATTGTGATAAGCGCAGAGATGTTGGATGAATCGAGGAGAGCGGTGGAGACGACTCCGCCCATGGAGTGGCCCATGAGGATGACCTGTGTGCCGGGCGGGTAGAGGGAGAGGATATAGGATATCGCAGCTGACGTGTATGATATCTGAGAATCCATCGTTGGTCCATGGAAAGCTGAGAGATCCTCGTTGAACTCGGCTACGTTTGAGGAAGACTGTCAGGGTTACGCAGGCGAAGCAAGGCGGAGCGGCGCACCAGCAAAGAAGTCCAGGGGCTTCGCGTGCTCCCTCCCAGAAAACTCCTCTGAAATCACATACGGCGAAGAGTAGTACTGTCTGGCGGCTGAGGAGGCTATCGACCGCACTTGGTGCGACGAGCCGGCGTTGCCTGGCACGAAAAGCACAGGAAGACCATGCACCTGATTTCACGGAGCGTGTATTCGCAGCGCCTGCAGCCTCAGCTATCATTTTGCAGAACGAACGCGATAGGACATTAAACGAACCTCATTCGGCTGCCACCCCACCTCGCGATACAGCCATAGCGAGTACCTGTTCGCCAGCGGAGTCCATGACTGGTCGAAACGCGTCTGGAGGATGTACGAGGGGGACATCCATGACATCCGACATCCCTGCGGCGAGACGACTTTGACAATATCGTTCGCCGCCGAGTATAAAAGACAAAGGAAAGTAAGAGAGGCCAAACCTAGGATGGCTGTCAGACTCCTGCTCATCGTTCCATACATCGTGTGCGTTGGCACCCGCAGCGACAAACACGCTCGGTAACTTCCGTTGGATAGCCCCTGTTCGTTGGCTTCGTTCCACTAGGTCGCTTCAAAGCTTAAAGTACAAACATCCTTCCCTTCGAAATACCTTTGTCTCCTAATGCTCCCATAATCCCCAAAACTATAACTTACCAAGACGAGCGCTCTGAAAACCTTTATCAGCGGGCCGGCAAGCTTGACAACGTCCCGACCTGCAGATGATTCGTGATCTCTTCAAGAGCGTATGATGTCGCTCAGGCTTGCCTCAAGACTGCTATGCATAGTTCGTCGCGATGGACACGGAGTCTGTCAAATTTACAGGAAATCGGTTAGCCCCAGCAAAATAATCTTTCACAACCTGTGGACCTTAGACTAACGCTGTGCGGACACTTACCAGTAGTTCGCTGAGAACCACAGCCTAAAGACCGATAAGTACTCCTAATGGCAATTGTCAGTATAAAAACGCCTATATGCTGGGTCGCCCCCAAGCCAACTCTCACCCTCACTTCCTACTTTTGCTGACGTGCGTCAGAGCTCCCAGGTAGCAATGTCTCTCTAGGCTACTACGCGCTCGGACGATCCATACTTTGCCGCTCCCAAGGGAAGTATTGGCGTACACGGCGTGGGGCCTCCGTTGGATCTCGCTCTGTGCTGGCTCTCATCTCAAGCACATGGCACGTTCTTGAGGGAGCTGCAAGACGATGAAGATACGAAACAACACATAATAGAGGTTCAGAGAAAAGTTTATCACGTATGTAAAGGAACTTAGAACTCGAACGCGTGTACAGTATAGCTGAAGTGGACATACAGATTGCGCTCTACCCCTGCATGCGGACATTCACTTTCACTGAGTGAGGCAAATCACGGCTCGACGCACCAATCATTAACTTATCTTACTGCAGGTATCTGTGTCTAGCTATCAACTATATGGTGTAGATCAAATGATGGCATAGCTTTGAAGGTACGCCGCACGAAAATCAGCATACTTCTTACGCCAACCCGGAGGAGATATGTCCCCCCACCTCACTTAGGTATAGTAGTCCCATGTGAGCTCCAGCGGGGCAAACATACGCAGTAGCACACGTAATCTACAAGCCAGTTGCTGCTTGACGTGCTACTGGCACTTTCACCTTCAACATGGGTGGAAGGCGGGAGGGCGCGGTTTGATCCAGACGGCGAAAGACTGGATGAGCTATCATCAGCTTCAGACTGGAGCCGGTGACGGTCCTGCGCGCGGTTACCGTGCCCTCCTGCTGCAAGCACACGCTGATCATATTTATGTTTGATTTTGACCCAATTTTGAGTAAAACACGATACTCACGTCTTTTGCTCGACCAACGCTCACGAGCTGGAACGCCCGTGATATTCCGCGACGTTCACCTGGCGGCTCGGATGTACTAGCCCGAGTTAGTCTAAGGCGAGAGGAAAACCGGGCTATGAGTCCTGCGCCCTGATTGATCTTGTCGGGGTCCTTCCTTCCTTTGCGAACGTGTTGTGGATGCGTGCCGTTATTATTAGCCTGAGCTTTCTTCTGAGTAGAGCGTCCTAGTGGAAGGGGTAGCTAAGGGGATCGTTAGTCTCGGAGGCTTGGAAAAGGTTATATGGTTGCCTAAACGCACATTCAAGATTGAATCATCGTCCCAATCGGCTAGACCCCTTGGCTGACGTGAAGCAGCCGTACGTGATCCCTATGAGACCGCGGAAAAAACTTGAGCAGAACCCAGGAAAAGAAACAGACTTCACGTACGTTTTCCGGCTCGATAGTCGAGTGGTCATCAGAGTCATCTCTAGGCGGAAGTATCCTTCCTGTATTGGCATCAAGCACCTGTAACCCCCCACTCTCAAGTCCGACAACAATCTTGTCTCCTGCCGGCACAAAAGCGACTGCTATGGCCGAAACAACTCCCGTGATGCGCCAGAGCCGTTTCCCGCTAGCCACATCCAGCATCTCGAGCCCGGAGTCAGCCATGCCTTCCACCCAGTCGCGGATGAATGATTGACCATCCGGAGATACTACACCCAAGCCATATTTCGTCGCTGACACGGGGTAGTTGAAAGCTTTCTCGCCCGTCGAAATGTCCCAGACCCTCACGTTGAATTCTTGGCAGGTGTCGAGCACGCGCCGGCCATCCGGGAAGAAAAAGAGGGACCCATCGTTCATTGAGCGTGCTGACCCTGGAAATCGGACAGTAACATCCGTCGTGAGGGTGTCACAAACGAAGACGTCTCCCGTATTTCCACCCGCGTAAGCAAAGTGTGTCCCGTCTGGCGAGAAAGCGACATCCATGACTCCATCCACCGCCAAACGCCTGAACTTCCGATCACCCAACACGTTGTACACCAGATGAACGGCTTCGTTGAGCACGATGGCAAGAGTGGAGCTGTCAGGAGAGAAGACTATCTTCTTGGTTATAACGTCGGAGGAGAATAGGGGAGACGGATACTCCTCGCCGGTGTTTGCGTTCAGGAGAGCGACACATCCAATGCGCCCCGTAGGTCCAGCTGCTAATAGTGTCCCATCTCCAGAAAGTGATGTGACACAGCCGCCCTGAAACAATATTTGCTTGACCTGTTTTCCTGTTTGCGTATCCCATATGCGAATGTAGTCATCACAGTGGGCACTGCTAATGAAGCGTCGGCCGTCCGGGAACACGTGCACAGTTCTGACACTACCACTGCGGTAGGGGTGTCGTAGAGGAGAAGGATGAACTTTCTCCTGTGGCGCCTGGAAAGTGCAGGCGTGATTAGATAACGCACGAACTGATAGGATGGACATACAGATGAGAGTACGACCTGCCGGGTATGAAGGTCCCAGAAGTGAATGTCTCCTTCCGAGTCGACGCATGCAACACTGTCTTTTGATGGAGAACAAGCAATCGCTATCAAGGGCACGAATGACCTGTGCTCCAGCGGTTCCATCACCCTCTCTCCCGTGGAGGCGTCCCATATGCACAGCGTACTCTCCAATGAGCCCTCGATAACCCACTTTCCGTCGCGCGAGAAACAGATACATGATGTATTTCCCGGATGCCTGTGAAGTGCCCCGTGCAGCGCATTCCCCATTTCTGTGTCCCAGATCTGGGATCCACCTGGCGAAATTGGTCCAGCAAGAGCACCGCCGTCAGGAGAGCAGATATACGGCAATCTATGAGGAAAGGAAGACGAGGGAAACGCCAGTGATAGACTGAAGGACGTCTGCTGATGTCCCTCCATGTCGGAGCTGCGCACTTCTAGTGATGCGTTGCCTGCGCGAGTCTCGTCGTAGTATGCATACAAGAGTCGTTGGCCATCGGACGTAAAGCCAAGAACAGATGCAAGCCGACAGCCGTCGCTCATCGTTGCTACATCCAAAACCAACTGCCCTGATGCCGCACTCTGCACGACGATACACAGAGGTGTCATAACGGCAATGAGACTGTCATCCGGGGAGAAAGCCACTCGGTAATGGCGTCCATCAACGCTGCCGTCGCTTTGGTAGCTCGTTTCAAGATACCCTTTGCGATCTGTTTCCTTTTCGTCGTGAACCACGTCCCAGATAACTACTTGGGCACGCTGGAGGTTGTACAATATGGAGCATATGGCGGCTAGCTGGCGTCCGGAGTGAGAGAACGACAGCCAGAGGGCTGGATGATTAGGCTTCAGCATCTGGATATGCGTGCCCGTCCCGGCGCTCCACAGATTTACGTCTGTATATTGGGACCCAGCCGCAAACATCTCGCCGTCTGGAGAGTAGTCTATGCAAGAGAAAACATTCTTGACGGGCAGAGGCTCCTCGCGCGAGTCCGCTTGTACATCATCGGACATAAGTGGGTGGTTCGACTTGTGGTGGAAGGCCGAGAGTGTACGAGCAAAGACAATAGGGATCCTGTAGGCGGATGACGATGGTGATAGTGCATGGTACTGGCAGGGGGAGCGCTTAAAGGTGGCCCGTGCACCTGTGGGTCCAACTTCGCACCGCAGAAAATAATTCGGCAAATGCCGGCTTGACGGTCGGCAGCCTCCATCCCTCTGAGCACGAGTCACTGACTCGAAACTCGCTAACATATTAGAATCATAACTCAGAGATGGACGAAATCACGAGGCATATATTGATTTTTGAAAAGGCCTCTCTATGGGATGGCTTGGGAACAACGACTCTGACCCAACAGACCGCCCAGCAACTTCACGTTTACGGCGTCGAAACGCAACGAGAAATTTCGACCAGAGATTATCAGCAGCATTGCAATTAAGCAGTAACACTACGGCTGGAGAAACACCGCTACAAAGGCTCTCCCACAAAGGACATCCGTGTAAACCAACACAGCACCCCATTCGCCAAGCACGGCTACCAGTCCCCATCGAACCCCACGAAACCTAAGAAAGAAAGAAAGAGAAAAAAACAAACAAAGCCATCAGCTCGCCACGCATGATCACCAAGAAGACCCCGCAACCCACCAGTAAGCAAAAACACATGAAAATACCGCTTCTTCTCCAGATTCGAGCACCAGTTCCACGCGCTCGTCAGCCGCCCGTCGATGCACGACCCCGCGTCAAAAAAGTTGTCCGCGCCCGAGCCGTCGAATCCGTGCCTGAAGAAGTCGCCCAGGATCTCGCGCGCGCACGCCTCGGGCGACCCGAACTCGTCCTCGATGTACGACCGCAGCGCGGGCACGTCGGCGAGCGCTGGGATCTGCGCGAGCGTGTTGCAGATGGGCAGGAGGATGCGGTAGATCTGCGAGTATTTGTCTGTGGGAGGATACACGATGTCGTGTGAATAGCCGCGCGCGCGAGCACGAGGATTGGTGCATGGATGGAGACTGACCGATGAACATGAGCGCGTTGGGCACGTTGTGGTCGCCCATGTGGATGGCGGAGGAGCCGACCCAGGAGCCGACGCTCTGCTGCGCCTTGTCGAGAATGGCATGCATCATGCGCGAGGTCTTCGGCGCGGCTTGTACGCGGTTCAGGCCCTGTCCAGTGTCGCGCAGGCGGTAAGGGACGTTCTCGGAGAGCAGATCCTGCTCGGCCAGCGACCACAGTCTGAACATATCTAACATTGTCAATCAGCAAACGAGCGGGGAGTTAGTGGCATTAGAGAAAACACCGCGACGCACCGTGCAGAATCTCCCTCCACAGCGTCAGACTCTGCAGCACATACGCATACTGCCGCGCATGGTCATGGCTCAGCCGCGCCCCGCCCTTCCCGCTCCTAATCGCCAAGCTCGCCTTCCCACTCGTCGCCTGCGTTGGATGAAAGTGCTCCTTCAGATACTCAATCATCCTCTCACACGGGTCGCGATTCGTCCTCAAAAACGCGTGGTTGTCCCCAATACTGTACAAACACTGCTTGACCTTCTCCTCGTCGAGCCCGTCGCGGGCGTAGCGCGCACCGAGCGTCTCGATCGCGCGCTCCTTGATGCGGATCTCTTTTTGGACGTCGCGCCGCGTGCGGCCCTCGGCGTAGATCTCGCGCGTCGCGGCGAGGATGAGGTCGTCCGTGAGCAGCGCGAGCGCGCCGTGCTCCTCGAGGACGCTGTACACCGTCTTGATCGGCTTCACGCACGAGAAGCTGAGCAGGTCCTTCACCTCGGGCGTTTGGCTGTCCTGCGTCGCACAGCGCGTGTGTCCGGGTCAGCAGCGATACTACACGCATGTGAGCGAGCGGGAAGCGGCGCGGCGCACCTGAAGAAGGTATATCAGCTTCCCATACGTCGTCCGCATCTTATCCGGGTTCATAATCTTGTGCCGCCTCCCCAGCTCGAATATCTGCTGATAAAACACATCGTTGCTCGCAAAATCGCGGTCCTGGAACAGCTCCTGCCCCGCCTTGTAGTCTGCGCTGAGCACCAACCCCGACAGGATCGCGCACAGCTCGCGGATCTGCTGCACGATCCGCTTGGCCTTGCTCAGCCCGAAGCCGAGGGTGTCGATCCGGTCCGTGTACTCGCTGACCTGCAGCGCGGCCTCGAGCAGGCGCAGGAACTTGCGCTCGGAGAGCGTTAACCGCAGGGGGATGTATTTCGCGCGCTCGAGGAACCAGTCGCCCGCTTTGCCAGCGTCTGCACCGGCCGAGGGCTGTGGGCTGAGAACGGCGGTGCTGGTGCTTGCGGCGGGTGGCTGGGATACCAGCATCTCGAGTTCCTCGTCCGAGTTCATCGCGATGTCTTCTCCATTCTGTACGCGATAGAGCAGAGTAGTAGAGCGGCACGGCAAAAACGCGATCAAGTCAGCCCTTCAGACAACAAGGAATGAGAAAGAACCAGCACCACACGCACCTCCTTATCCTCCCCTCCCCCAACCTCCGTCTTCGCCTTCTTGCGCGCAGGCTCCTCGTACTCGAGCGCCTTGGTCGCGTGCGCCTTGCGCGTTCCTTTCCTGTGCAGCGCCGCGAAGCACACCTCGCAGAACCTCTCCGCGCACGCCTCGCAGTGCAGCTGCGCGGGCTGATCTGTCCAAGCCAATCCAATCCCAAATCGCATGTCACGAATCGCACACAAAACCTCAGATCAACCACTGCCCCCAGCAAAAAGCAAAGACGAAACAAACGCACCCTCACACTCAACACAAAACCCCTCAGGCGCGACATGCTCCGTGCCCTCCTCGTCCCACCCCGCCGCCGGCACACTGCCGCTGGCATCGAGCTGCTCCTGGTACTTGGGGTGCTCGACCGTGTCGTGGTTCTCGCCTAGGATGTTCTGGAGCGAGAACGCCGACGCCGATGCCGATGCCGAAGCTGATACTGAAGTTGAAGCTGACGCGTCGCGCTGGGTGGCGGAATCGCCATCTAGACTTGCTGCTGCTGCGATGCTGGGCGACGAGCCTGCCATGGTCACGTCTATCTGTTGCAGCGGTCTATCCAAGAGAGACTTTTGTTTAAGAGAGAAGAGAGGGCTGATGTCGAGGAAAAGAAAGGGATGTTGTTTATCTGCGTGTGAGCGCGTTGGATAATTTAAATTGTATTACCCCGAGGATTGCGGCAGACGCGTGGCTCGATCCGATCGAGGTTCCGTTCCGAGCAGACCGCAAAAAGAAAGCCCCCGCTTAGACTTGCTCGCACCAGCTTGTCAACTAGACTCCGACTCGCAAAAAACCAGCGGTAAAAGGTGTATAACCGCCAACACTGGAACAGTACTTAGTCAAACAATATGTAAATAACGTACACTAAAAACCCGCGTGAAAGCCATAACTCGAGTCTATGCAAATGGTATATGCACCGTATCATGCACCTTGAAATGTCCGCGTCAACGTTCTCAAAGTCCGCGCCCTCACGACCCCACGCGCTTCACCGCCGGACTCCGCCACGCCTCCTCCACGTCCTCCTTCCGCGCGCCCATCCGGCGGCCAGTCCACTCGTCCTCGCCGACACGGTTCGCCCAGTCATCCACGTCGTCTTGCGCGGCCCTCCCAGCTTGGCCATTGGATCCCTCCTGCGCCATCAAAACGCCGGCGGCACCCGCCGAGCCAGGCGACAGACGCCCGACGTCCATCCGCACCACCGCAGACAGCCGCTTCGCCGCCGCCGCCGGATCACCCGTCGCAGGCGTAACAACATTCTCCGCCGGCGTATGTGCAATACACTCAAAGTCCAGCGCAGGCGGGGGCGCCTGCTTATACCGGTGTCGCGACGCCGGAGAGTGGTGACTTATCCTCGACGACGAAGACGACGACGAGACGCTGCCCTCGGGTGGGTATTCGTGCTGTGCGTCCGCGGCGGACACTTCCGTCTTGGAAGGGCGGGAGGAGATGGAGCGCGGGGTGGTGGGGCCGCTGGGGATGGACTTTGTATCGGATGCGGAGCCGACGACGGTCTTGAGATCGTCGCGCGAGGTGACGCGTGAGGTAGAAGCAGAGACAGGCGGGGGAGCCTCGAGATCGTGACGATGGTCGTATCCATGGTCGTCGTCGTCATCGTCATCGTCAGAGTGCGCGCGGAAGAGCGGCTCGCGGTCGCGCTCGTCGCTCGTGCGGCGGGACGTGGGGAGGGTGAGGTTCGTCGCGGAGGCTTTGACGATGGAGTCGATGAGCCAGAACTGGAGGATGTTCATCAAGATCGGGAAGAGGCCCATGACACTGCGTTCAAACAGCATGAAATTCTTGCAGTAAGAGTTAGAGTCTGAAAGGGTACGCACAAGATGACCTGGAACGTCTCGCCGGATCCAATCTCGGTCCAGCTCAGCAACCAGTCGCCGACCTTGGAGATACCGGGCCACACGGCGAAGAGGCCAATGACGCTCAGCTTCATCGCGGAGAGAGCAACGACGTAGACTGCGGCCTGGCGGAGCCAAAACGAGTAGGAAGGCGGATCACCGTACTTGCCGGACTCGAAGCCAGTAAGATGGAGCTTCTCGTTGAGGACATAGGCAAAGACATGGAGAAAGACATATATGAGCCCCACGCCTGCAAGCCAGAACCGGGGTCAGCCCACACAGTCAAACGGTGTGTCTCCGCATCACGGCGTCACAGAGCGTACTCGCCTAATGTGGTATCGACAAGGATGTTGAGGAAGTAGAAGGTGCACGCGTTTCCCGCCGATACATGTGAGCTGACGTCCGAAATGAGGACGTTTACGCCGTGTATGAACGCCTGGCCAAAGAGCTGCTTGGATACGTCGAATAGCCTGAAAGACGACGGGGTAAGCGGGGATGACGACGGTGCGAACGTTAGGGAGCCCCACCAGATTCGCCAGGGCCGCTTTGGGGACTCGCGATTGCGCTTGTAGAGGAGGGAGAGGAGGACGAGGACGGCCATGAGGGCCTGCACGATCTGCAAAGTGGCATTGAGGAGTTTTGATTGGGGCTAGGTAGGATGGTTGCGCACCAGAGCTGTGGGTCCCATGAGACGACATGATTTTTTGTCGAGGGGAATGTCGGGATACGGGCTTGTGCTGTTTCCATCGTCTTCAAATATGAGGATGGGGCCGTGCATGGTGGGGGAATGGGACAAAGGGGGACCGGGGAGGAGACGAGGTGCATGAGGTGAACCGAGTCGGGTCAGCTTTGGTGTGGAGCACTGTTAGCCGAGAACTGGACATACCCGATATGGAAACCCACGCGACAAGGGCACTGCTGCTGCTGCTGACGACGAAACACGTCTTCGACACCCATCTTGTCTTTCTCGCGGACATACATATATCCACCTAATCTGCAGGACAGAATCTGTCAAACATACCAGGAGACATGAGCGGCTTTTTCAGATCCAACAACCCCCAGCCACCTCCTCAGCAGCCATACTCGCGCTTGCCCCAGGATGGACGCGGCAGACCCTCACCAGGCGCGCACTACAACGACCCGTCTCGGGATCTCTTTGAGAAACGCTCGAACGAACAAAGGGGCTATGGCGATCGCAGGCCACCACCCCCATCACAGCAGCGCGGAGGGGACATGCGGTTCGTCTATGACGCATGCATATATGCACATACTGACGACTCTGGATAGTTATGCCATCGTCTCGATGCCTAACGAGGCCCTCGCCTTCTCCAACCGCGTCGTCGTGAACCCCTCCGATTTTCCCTCTGGCCAGCACGTCCTCGTCAAGCGGGACTTTCCCATGACCACCCTGTACGTCTCCTCTCCACCCCACATCCCACATCCCACAACTAACACACACCCCACCAGCCACGACAACACCGGCAAAATCGCCCCGGGCACAATCGCCGTCTCCCAAGGGCACCGCGAATGGATCGGCCTCTCCCTCGTCGGCGACAGCGCCCCCATCGACGCCCTCCCCGCCCCGCCACACTCCGCCGCCCCGCCCTTCCTCGAGTCGCTCGACCTCACCGTCGGCTTCATCCGCAAGAACTACGACGCGGGCGGCAAGCCCTTCAGCGCGGACGACATGACCAAGACCTTCCTCCGCGCGTACGCCGGCGTCGTCTTCGCGCCCGGCGAGATTCTGACGTTCGAGTTCCACGGCGAGAAGCTGCGGCTGCAGGTCGTGGGTGTGCGCGGGCTGGAGCTCGCGGATGAGCAGCAGCTCGGGAGGGGTGGGGGTGGGGGCGGTGGGGGTGGGGCGTCGGGAGCGGGAGGGCAGATGGGCATTTTGATGGAGAAGACGGATGTGACGATGATGAAGGCGGGGGACAGTCCGATTGTCATCAAGTCGAGCGCGAGGAAGTATGTGTTGTCCTTTTGGCGCCAGCCTAGATGTGTGAATGCTAACCGGAAGCTCCAAGGGCAGCGTCGAACGCGATCATCGCTCCCAACTTCAAGTTCGAGGAGATGGGCATCGGCGGTCTCGACGACGAGTTCGGCTCCATCTTCCGCCGCGCCTTCGCCTCGCGCGTCTTCCCCCCTGCACTCGTCGAGAAGCTCGGTATTCAGCATGTCAAGGGTACGTTACACCAGCTTATACGTGTAACTTGTAATACTCTGGGAAGCTCACATAGCCGTCGCCAGGTATCCTCCTGCACGGTCCCCCGGGAACCGGGAAGACGCTCATCGCGCGTCAGATCGGCAAGATGCTGAACGCGCGCGAGCCCAAGATCGTCAACGGCCCCGAGATTCTAAACAAGTACGTCGGTGCGTCGGAGGAGAACATCAGGAAGCTGTTCGCGGATGCCGAGAAAGAGGTGTGTGTGCCCGCCCTCCTTCCTTCCGTATGTTAGCGCAGAGCTGATGGCGGTGTGTGGGGTTGTAGTACAAGGAGAAGGGCGAGGAGAGCGGGCTGCATATTATCATATTCGACGAGATGGATGCTATATTCAAGCAGCGCGGCTCGACGAACAGCGGGACGGGTGTCGGGGACACCGTCGTCAACCAGCTTCTGTCCAAGGTAAGACACCTGCACCAGAATATATCCTAGCACGGATAGCTGACACACGATGACCACAGCTGGACGGTGTGGACCAGCTGAACAACATCCTCGTGATCGGCATGACGAACCGCATGGACATGATCGACGAGGCCGTGCTGCGCCCCGGGCGGCTCGAGGTGCACATGGAGATCTCCCTCCCCGACGCACGCGGGCGGCACCAGATCCTGCGCATCCACACGACGAAGATGCGCACGAACAGGGTCATGGCGGACGACGTCGACCTGCCCCTGCTCGCGGACAAGGCGAAGAACTTTTCGGGCGCGGAGATCGAGGGCCTCGTGAAGAGCGCGACGTCGTTTGCGTTTAATAGGCATATCAAGGTCGGGACGATGGCGGGGATCGGGGAGGACGTGGAGGATCTGAAGGTGTGTATGGCGGACTTTGAGTGTGCGCTGGAGGAGGTGCATCCGGCGTTTGGCGTGTCGGAGGAGGAGCTGGAGGAGGTGACGCAGAACGGGATGATTCCGTATGCGCCGATCGTGCAGGTGAGCCCGGCTCTCCGCGTTGTGTGAATGAACATGATGAACCCGTGTGCGACTTCAGGACCTGCTCGACAGGGGGCACCTGTTCGTGAAGCAGGTGAGCACGTCGACGCGCACGCCGCTCGTGAGCGTGCTGCTGCACGGGCCGCCCGGGTCGGGGAAGACGGTGCTGGCGGCGACGATCGCGCAGACGTCGGCGTACCCGTTCATCAAGCTCATCTCGCCCGACCGCATGGTCGGCTTCTCGGAGGCGCAGAAGATCCAGGCGATCAGCAAGACGTTTGCGGACAGCTATAAGAGCCCGCTCAGCGTGATTGTGGTGGATAATCTGGAGCGGCTGCTTGGTGAGCTTTTGGTTTTCTTGTTTCGTGAGGGGCGTGTTTTTTTTGATGGGTGGTGGTATGATCAGATTGGACGTCGATCGGGCCGCGGTTCTCGAACTCGGTGCTGCAGACGCTGCTCGTGCTCATCGCGCGCAAGCCGCCCAAGGTAAGACATTTCCTCTATATCATACTAACCGCACTCATAATCAACCCAGGGCCGCCGGCTGCTCGTCATCGCCACGACGTCGCTCCGACCGCTGCTCACCGAGCTCGGGCTCGCAGACGCGTTCGACACGGAGATGCGCGTGCCGCCGATCTCGAACCTCGCCGCGCTCGAGGCGGTGCTGCGGGATGTGCAGCTGTTCCCCGACGAGGAGGGTCTGCGGGGTCTGCTGGGGTGGCTTGCGGACGCGGGATTCGCACGGACGGAGGAGGGGGAGGAGGGGGCGCAGGTGAAGATGCAGGTGGGGATTAAGAAGCTGTTGAGTTTGGTGGAGATGGCGAGGCAGGAGCCGGATAGTGCGGGGGTGCGGTTGATGAATGGGCTTATGGGGCTGCAGTAGGCTGGGGCTTGGAGGGTTTGAGATGTGGTTGTGGGATTTGTATAATAGACGGCAACGATGATACATGTGTACTATGGATACGGATAGGTCGAGTGCTTGAGCTGGGGGCGTCACTGTAAAGCGAGTACTAGGATATGTCGAAATGGAGTGCGCCGGATTCGCACGCGGGTCCACATATGGGCTTGGGGTAATAAGACCAACATGAGTGACACCCTCGACGCTCCCCCTCCCCACCTGACCCCTTTCCACGACCACCGTCCACACCCGCCGCTTCTTGTACATACCTCTCGACAGCGCGATCATGTCAGACAGTACAGCCAACGACCACACCGACATCGCCATGACCGAGAGCCCGCCCCCTGTTCCGCCCCTGCCCCGCTCCGCATCGAACCCGAAACCGAAGGGCATCCTTAAGAACGCCTCTGTGCCGGGCCAGAATCAGCAGTGCGTTTCTCTGTATCTTGCATCGCATCGCTCCTTCACTGCGATGTTGTGATTGAACCGAGGCTTACGATGGACTGCGTTTGCTATTGGCACGTTTGCAGCAGCCTGCAGTGGGACGAGGAGAACCTCGCGCTGACGGAGATCCAGAAAGACAGTCTGATGAAGATCACGGAGCCCAAGACGCCGTTTGTGAGGTATAACGCGGAGCTGGATCAGGTCGAGGGCGGTGCGTCTATCGCTGTTATTTATCTCAGTCTGTTTCCTTGAGTCGTGCTGTCTCCTAGCCGCACGCATACATCCACTCTTCGCTCTCGCAACGTCATTTTACTGACATTGACCATGCCCTGCACAAACAGACATCCCAGAGCTCCACCTCGGGCACAACCGCGTCAGCTCGCCGACCAACTCGACCACATCTGTGGGTGCGCCTACGCCTGCGCCCGTCGCCGCCGTCGCCACCGCAGCAGCAGCAGCAGCAGCAGCGCGCTCGCCCTCGCCGACGGGCGCGGACACCTCGGGCCCGTCGTCGCGGCGCACGTCGCTCTCGAGTGTGCCCGCGAGCGCGGGCGGCCGTTCGGGCGGGAGCACGACGAGCAGCCGGAGCACGAGCTTCAGTCTGCCGCATGAGGCTAGGGGCGATATTCACGATCACGACCACGACGTGGGTGTGGTCGTGGGCGCGGGCGGGATGGATCCGGGGGAGGAGGTCGAGCTGGATGAGGAGATGGATGAGGAAGGTGGGTTGGGTTGCTTTGATTGATCTCGATTATGTGGCTGATCCGAGCGCTTTCTCTCTGATGCGTGCGACGTGTTATGTACAGCGGCTGCGAAGCACGCTGCGTTTGTGCGTGCGCGGGGGAGACACTATTCGAATGAGGCCGAGGCTATGAAGGTGCGTCCGAGTTGTCTTGCCCGTCTGCCTCAGCGATCTGACACAGACACTTTTTGTATTCTACGCTACAGCTGGCTGCGAAGCTGATGGAGATGGAGGACGACGTGGAGGAGACCAACGACGGCGCGTCGCAGGCGGGCGAGCCTGCCGTGATCAACGGTGTCGTGCACGGCGATTAGACGCTATTGGCGTTGTGCTTCCTCCCTCGCGGAGCGCGGTCTGTGATACTCATATACGTGATGACGGGTGCCGACGTTAGAATGGGTTACGGTGGGGTGACTTGATCGTGAATACGGAGGATTTCCAATCGATGTAATGTACATTGTATGTATGAGCCGATGTCGATGGTGATGATGGTGTCGAGGTTACTGCAGTGGGTACGGGTGTGCATTTTTGCCTGTCTAGTCGACTCTTACATTGTTGTAGTTGTGTAATACCTTTTTGAACTGTCAAGGACGTTGACCTTGCTCTTGAGGCGCTGAAGGGACCGTTATCCGGTGGCTACTTTCTTTCCTACATCTACACAAAACAGATGCTGACACCTTCGTCAACCCTTGCAATGAGGGTGCAAGTATTGGTTGGGTGGTGACAAGGTGTTATGTATGCTCGGACCGATGTGGCAATGATCGGCGTCGATCACTCCAAAATTTACAGGGGCAGGGAGCGCTTTGTCGCTCTTTGCTGCTGTCATTACACACCTCTGACTCGTTTCCCCCGGACACAGGACCACACAGCCTTTCTCTGCGATTCGCGATATCCTCAGTGCACAAGTACACAACACTATCACTGCAATGGCGGGCAACGCAGAAGGCAAAGGCATCCTCGTCAAAGCGGACAGCATCGCGCAGGCGTTCCGCGCCGAGGTGCAGACCGCGCTCGCTGGGGGGCGGCGCCCGCTCACGCTCGTGGGTGTGCTGGGGACTGCGTCTGCGCCGAGCGCGTTTTATGCCGAGTTCACGCGGCGCCAGTGCGAGGAGTTTGGGATCCGGTTTGAGCTGAGGAGGGTGGGGGCTGCGCTTGATTCGGAGGAGGGCAGGGGCGAGGGAGAAGGCGCCAAGGCGAGTGCGATTGGGGAGGGTGTGGAGGAGGCGATTGTTGAGGCGAATGAGGATGAGGGTGTGGATGGGATTATGGTGAGTCTCTCTGTTCTATGTTTATCGTCACTTGTTGTGGTCGTCCATGATTCTGATGTGCGATGCTGGATCGCAGGTGTATTACCCGATCTTTGGTGGACAGCAGGTCAGGACGAGCTATACGTGTTTCTGGAGGTGTCTTGACGATGCTTTTCGTGTTCGTGGGCGATGCAGGACCACTACTTGCAGCAGGTCAGTCCATCTTATCTTCAATTTTACTAGTCGGCCCGGTCGACCGAGAAATTGACCCCTGTCCTGTCCGCGCAGATCGTCTCCCCGCAGAAGGACGTCGAGGGCCTCAACTTCAAGTTCCACTACAACCTCTACCACAAGTACGCTTGTCCTCTTCCTCCACATACCCGTTTCTTCCAGCTCTTCGCCTGCTCACGAGGACATCAGCATCCGCTTCATCGACCCCAGCACCCTCGCGCCCCCGCCGAACGTCGTCCAGCCAAAGGACGACGTGCCGCCCGCAGGGACGGTCAAGTCCATACTCCCATGCACACCGCTCGCGGTCGTCAAGTGTCTCGAGAGCATCGGGGTGTATAATAAGCTACTGACGTACGGCGATCGCGCGTACGGGAAGACAATCACTGTTATTAACCGGTGCGTCTGGTTGTCCTCTTCCTTCCTTCCTTCCCTTCCCTTTTGCGTTGCAAACCCATGTTCATGGCGCATCGATGCACTTTGACTGACTGAACGACGCGCTGTCGAGCAGCTCAGAGGTCGTCGGCCGCCCGCTCGCGGCGCTCCTCGCGAACGACGGCGCGCGCGTGTTCTCCGTCGACATCGACTCCATCCAGGAGTACACCAAGCGGCCCTCGGCCGATGGAGCTGCCGGTGAGGCAGGGGCAGGGGCAGCCAAGAGGCAGTACCACCCGCGGCACACCGTGCACGCGTGCGCGATGTCGCTCGAGGAGTGTCTCCGCATCTCGGACGTGGTCGTTTCGGCGGTGCCGAGCGCTGCGTATAAGGTGTGTGTTTGTGTGTGTGGTTTCTGCTGTCTTTGGAGCCTGCGTGTGCTGTTGTAAGGTACATTCGGCCTCGGCCTCGGGCTTGGGACCGAGCCCGATCTATGATGGGCTGCGGGGAAGGCCTACGTGGGGAGGGGAGAAGGAGGATGATAAGGCTTTGAGAGCTGAGCTGACTGGTCTTGCAAGGTCCGCACCGACGCGCTCAAGGACGGCTGTATCTGCGTGAACGTGGCTGCTGAGAAGAACTTCGAGGTCAACATCCGGGACAAGGCGAGTGTTCACTCGGTGTAAAGAAATATCCTTGGATGGTCTTGCTGATACTGAGGAATTTCTCAATTGTACGCTGCACGGCACGGCGCACAGGCGTCGATGTACCTCCCCGCGGTCGGAAAGATCACGATCTTGATGCTGCTCAGGAATCTGTGCGTCCTTCCATGGCACAGTAAATTGTGCCTGTACAAAGGCTTCATCGTGTCTAACGCACTTTCTTAGGATCCGGCTCTCCCGGTACAACTCCTCGTCGTAAGCCCAGCTCCCGTATATCCGAACAATGTAGGAAGGGGCCACCGCGATATCAAAAATAGATGGAGCTTGCCATACATACATGGACTGACTCCCAGGAGCTGGAGTACTACATACCGATCCCACATAACTGGCTGATCTCGGGCTTCAACAGGCTTCGGGTGTATAAAATAGACACGCCTTGTGCGGTGTACGCACAGGGTGCCGATGTAATCGTACTTTCTTACTCGACGCGTCCGGGCGCTCCGGAGCCGCTGTCTCACGTTTCACCGCTATCTCTTGGGAGTTCGCGATGAAACACTCGCCAGCGCACTGCGTTTCGTTTTCGCATTTGCGTTGCGTTGTGTCGTTTGCGGCTTTGCGAATCGTCTGGACTGCTGCCAATGTTAAATCTACCATCTGAAATTCATGCGAGCTATACAAGGGAGAAGAACCGCATCCGCCGCGCACGCGTATTACATTTGAGATTGATTAAAGTTTTGAAAAAGAAGCTGTCTAAGACGAGTGGGGGTTTTATGCTGCTGCTGCGGTGGCGCGTGCGTATGTGTGTGTATGTATGTATGTGCAGAACTCCGTGCGCGGTGAACTTGTCCTTGGCTGATAAGCAGGCGAATACGATAGGTGGGCGAGACGAGGCAGATAGATGGATATGTCTGAGAGGGAACTCGACCGTGGCCCGCTGCTCCGAGAGTGTCTGTCTGTCTATGACGTGAGCACGCGCTGCAACCAGGTTGGGTTCGAAACCTCCCCAGAGCCAGCAGCCAGCAGCCAGGGCCGGCTACTGCTACTGCTACGACTGCTACTACCGTTTGAAGTAGTTCTGGCCGTCTTCGCCCGAGCCGTTGGGCGTGCCGATGTCGGAGAAGTTGGGCGTCACGGGGGTCTGCGCGCCAGAGGCAATGTCTTCGGCGAGGAAGCGGACGCGTTGGCGGTGCAGCTGTTGTGTTAATGGGGATCGGCGCAAGGAGGGAGGGGTGCGTCAGCGTTCGGCACGGTGTGAGAACGGCGGTTGGTTGAGTTGGTAAGAGAAGGGTACGTCAGCGTGCTGCGGATTGGAAAGAGACTGGAGATATGGGGGACGTGGAGGTATGGTGTGGCAAGTACCGGATGTACAAGCGCGCAGGGAGAAGGCGGAGGGAGCGGACACGTACCTGTGGCAGCTTGGGGATGATAGCGAGCACGATGAGCGCGGTGAGGTTGATAGCGAACGGCCATGGGTCATAGCTGGTGTAGTGCGTCGAGATGAGGAAGCTAAGATGGATTAGGTATGAGCACACGTTAACGAGGTTACACGAGCGCAAAGCAAAGGCCCGGCGGATTCCACCTCGGTCCGCTTTTTCGGATGCAGCGCTCGGATATCACGCTCGGGGGTGCAAAGAGTCGACAGAAGGGAAAGGAGGGGGGAAGGGAGACGCACAGCAATATTGGGGCGGTGAAGAGCCACTTGCGAGCAGGGGTGTACTGGGCGCCGTCGTCGATTTGCTCCCAGAGGGTGAGGTCGTCGTACGCGCCGCCGTGCAGCTCGCTGTCGAATGGCATACCGGTGACCCAGTGGAACATCAGGTATGAGAGCTGCATACATGAATCGCGTGTTAAATTCGCGAGTTTTGACAACGGGAACAAGGGGAGTGCGTACGGCGAGGTAGATGGTGTTGACGAGCGTCCAGCTTATCTGCTGGGTCATGCCTGGTACGGTGTCTACGACGATCTTGCCGAGCAGGATGAGGACGACGTGTATTAGCCAGGCGCCTATAGCATACAAGCTTGTTAGTATGGGCGTCTCTGCGTGTATGAAAGCGCAGCAGGGGGGAGAGAGCGCACCCTTGGCGTTGACCCAGTTGGCATTGATGTTGACGTAGGCATTGCGGTCGAGAAGCTCCTCTGTGCGTCCGCCGACCTCTTCTACCTTGACGATGCTTCCTCTGCGCTGACGACCCTTGAGGTTTGGAGGAGGGGGGATGGGTTTGAGGTCGATGTGTGGGAGCTTGATGGAGGTTGGACGATTCATGAACGTGTCCTGGTGGAGAGAGGGAGTGTGCTGCTGCAGAAAGAGGAGGAGGAGGAGGAGGAGTTTGTTGTCTTACGATAAATGTAAATGAGTCGTGTCGTCGCTCTAATGGTCTCCGTCCCGGGCGCTCCAGAACAAACAGCGCACAACAACGCGGTCTCCCCCATGCGGCTCGAGCTCGGGACTTTGAGCTTGAACTCACACTGCCCGCTGCCCGTGTCGGCGTCCAACTCCTCCGAGACAAATCTTACGATATCATGTTGCTGCAGTGGTGCACTCTCGAGGCCTCAGGTCCATCTGGTTTGGCTGCTGTCCGCTTTTCTGCCCCGTGCCGTGTCCAGTCCATCCGCATATATCCCTCAGGAGCTAAACCCTTTGCACAGAACCAGGACGTCGTCGCGTAAGTACCTCGTCTTTCTCTCCTACGCACATACTGATAAGACATGCGCGTCACAGAACAACATCGCCAGAAGCCTTCTTCTTAGATGTGTACTTCAATGCGCACCCTGTCCAACCACCCCCTACCCAAGCAGATCCCAAGCAGAAGCAGAAGGCACCTCCCAATGCTCTCGTGCCCACCACCATCCCATATGCAGGCGGAGAGGCAGAGTTCATCGTCAACATGAGCAACGTGAGTCCTCTGCTCCCCCTTCTCCTCTACGCGCTTTAAACCAATTGCAGTTCGCTACACGCCTCATGATAGTACGTGGAAGCTTTGAGACTGTCTCGATGGCGATATACGGCAACCTCGTTATAGATGACGCCCTCCAACTTCCGCCTCAGAGCGCTGCCTCTTCGTCGACCATCTTCCCTACTAAGCCAATACCGCTCGCAGCGGCGCTTGACCCCGCAAACGCGGATGACCCCACTGCTCTGGCTAGAGCCCTCCTCCAGCTCATTCCCGGATCACCGTCTCTGGAGCTCGCCATAAGGCTCATGTTCTGTCTGAAGCCCTCCAATGACGACTGGGACCTCCCAGAGTTCCCGTATTTGTATACGGATCTGTGCGAAGAAGACATTTCTGTCGAGCTAGATACGGCATTCAAAAGTTTGAGCAAGCCTGTTGCGCCAGATACGTCTGCCGAAGCTTTTCAGCGGTTTGCTGAGAAGATCAGAGATCCTGCTGGACCGAGGGTAAGAACTAGATAATCTCCAAACACGTACGTTCTAACGTATTTCTTTGTAGGACGACATGGCCTACGTTATTGCCGGCATCCTGAACAGAGCTGCACCACAGACATCCGTTTTTGCCGAAGCCTTGATGGTGCGAGACCCGGGCCCTCTCTTTCGACACTGCCTTACACATTCCTGTATTGTAGGAAGCACTGGACATCGAAGACATCTTCGACGCCGACAGCCTCGACGAAGACACCCTCCTGCGGCTGCTCAGCGCCGCAGCGAACCCAGTCATCGCTAAAGGCCTCCGCACGGAGCCGTTCCTCAACGTGCTGAAGAAGGTGCACTCGAGCCCAACAATCGAGCGCGAGACGAAGGCCGCCGCGCGGAAGCTGGAGACGCGAATACGCGCGTGGCGCGTCTGCGAAGGTGCGCTGTCAGGCGCAGACGGAGACGGGGATGGGGCGGGGCCCGACTACGCTGCGGCTGCGGGCTTTATGAAGGAGATCGCGGTGGACGAGCAGTCGTTTGGCGCGTGGATCGAGTATATGGTGACGAGCCCGGGGTTCTCTGCGAAGCGCGAGGGTCTTCACGATGTGGACGCCGCCGGTGCCGATAGGAGCAACGGCACCTCGGGCCCTCCGGTGCTCTGGGATGAGGGGGTCTGTTCCGAAATAACGCATTCGGAGTTTATGGCGTTTGTTAGGGCGTACGTGGGCGTGGCGTGCGTGCTCGCTGTGTATGCGTGGTCAGACAGTCTGCCGAACGACAGCTGTCGCGAGCGGACGCTCGGTGTGCTCAGGCTGTGGCAGCAGACGCCAGGCTATCGGGAGGTGTGTGTCCGATTCTTACACCTTGCAGTGCCTCCACGTATCTTTCTCGGCTTGACAAGCATTTATCATTATTATAAACATTAATATTCACATGGCTCATCCGACTCCACAGATCCTCAACCACTTCCTCCTCCTCCGGCAAATGTCCTTCCGCCTCGAATGCATGACATCAGACAACGACCCGCCCACGCGCGCGGGCATCCACGCGGAGCACATTCTCCTCGCCCTCGCGGAGGACCCGCGCGCGTTCCTCCGGGGCGACTTTCTCAAGTGCGTGTTTGGCCTGCGCCAGCCGCTCTCGTGCATCACGGAGGAGCAGCGGCTCGAGCTGCAGCGGCTCGCGGAGATCGTGGAGGACGGGCTGGACGGGGCGGTGTTTGAGATTGCGGACGCGGCGGCGCATCCGCAGGAGCTTGCGGGCGGGGGTTGGGGTGAGGACGAGGGGCAGTCGCAGCAGCAGGGCCAAGGCCTGGGGGCGAAGCAGAGGATACGACAGCTGAGGGTCGCAGGGGCTGTGGTGCGGGAGGTGTTCGAGACGCTTCTTCCGGACGAGAGCGTCCTGGAGCTGCGGGTGTGGCAGGACAACGCGTACGGGCTCGTGCACCACGTCGTGGACGTGCTCGGGCACATCGCGGCCCAGCTCAAAGCGCGAATGTTCAGCGCGCCTGGGTCCCGCCGCGCAGAGGACGCGGACGCGGGGACCGTGGACCAGCTCGCGCACCTGGCGATCGACATGCTGCGGCTGATTGAACATCTCGATCCGGTCTCGCAGACGGTGACGACGCGCACGGTGCGGCAGCTCGTCGTCGCCATCGCGGACATATCCTCGTGTGCGGCCGACGCCGCTGCGTCCGCCGAGCTCGGCGGGGTGCACACCGTGCTGCGCGGAACGTGCGAACGCGTCGTGCGGGTGCTCTCGCGACCGCCGTGGGAGGGCGGATCGACGAGCGCTAACGCGGCGCGCTCAGCTGTTATCCTGCAGACGCTGCTGCAGGCGGGTCTGCGCATCGACGTCGACGCTGGTGCGGCGGCTGATCCCGTGCGGCGGCTGCAAAGCGTGTATGCCCTGGTAAACCAAGCGCTGCCTCTACCTCCTTCCTCGCCCCCCGCCGGCCCCTCTGCGTCGCTGGCACTCAAAGGCATTACTTCCCCTTTTGCGCCGCCCGAGGACGACCTCGTCTACGGGGACGAGGACAGCCACGGGGGCTTCTTCTTCCTCCACGCTCACGACGACCCAGAGCAGCGGCTCGCGACGTGGCTCCTGAAGCTCGTCCCGCCCGTTCTCGCGCTGCTGCTGCGCTTCCTCCGCGCGCTCCCGGTGTGCGATAAGCCGGTGTTCTTTGTGCGGCTGGCGGCGCTGGACCGCTGGGGGGCGGGCGGGGCGCTCGCGTTGGGGGAGTATGTGCTTGAGGAGGAGGCGAGGAGGTTGCGGGAGACTGTGGGGATGCTGGAGGAGGGTGAAGGCGAGGGTGGGTTTGCAAGGACGCGTGTGGGGGAAAGGGGAGTGGGAGTGAGAGTGGGAGAAGGGGCGGGACCGGGGGTTCAGGACGAGCTGTATCGCGTGATGCAGTATGAAGCGAACGTGCTGTTTCGATTTTTCAGGGATGTCCTGGTTGGCCAGGCAGGGGCGGAGGTCAGGACGGGGGCTGAGGCGGAAGCGGAGGTAAAGATGGAGATAAAGGAAGAGGTGCTCGACGACGCGGCGGTGTCGGTAGGCGACGAAGACGAGGATCATCACGACGATACCAGGGCCAACGCCTCTGAGGAAGACCACAAGACCAAGCGCGAAACCGGGCCTGACACCTCGGCCTCTGAGGAAGACGAATGGATCCAAGCAGCGTGCACGAACGAAGAGCTGGGTCGTCTCCTGGGGGAAAGCATGCTCGCGTTCCTCGAGGTGCGCCTCTTTTCGGCGCACCAAGGTGTTCTCGCCAGCAGACTTTCGCGCGCCCCGTCGCTCGCACATGCGAGTCGGGCTCTGCAGCTCGGTGTTGCGGCAACGTGTTTGCGCGGGGTGCAGCTCTTCGAGGAGATCAAGGCCGACGGGGTCAGCCGGACGCCGTGGGCGGATGCGGCGCGGGTGGTGTCGATGCTTGATGGACATGGGGGTGTGGAAGATGCCACCGAGGAGGTGAGGAGGGAGGTAGGGCCGGCGCTGGCGTGCGCAGCGGTCACTGTGGCTAAGGGTCTAGACGTGGAGGTTCATGGGGTGGTTTCGATTCTAGAGTGGTTTGTTTCAACCGGAGAGAAGGGTGGCAAGGGCAAGGTAATGCTGAGCGGGCTCACACAGCCCGCGTGGACCGCGCTTCTCGCTGTGCTCGAGGCGAAACTCTCTACGCCCGAACGTGCCTCGCTAAGCAGCGCAAAGGCACGCCTAACAGTCCCCTCTCCGAACCAGCACCCTCAGCCGCCCAGCATACCCACCACCTTCCTCTCATCCGCCTCCTCCGAAGCCGACCTCGCACTCACGCCCGACGCGCTCATCCGCCTCCTCACCCCCCTGTCCTCATTTTCCTCTTCTTCCTCTCACCCCACCGGCACCTCACACGCCCCGCACGCACACCCGCACTCGCGGCCGAGCACCCCGCCGCCGCGCAAGACGCGCAGCAGCCCAGGGAAAGACGTCCTCGGGCTCGCGACGCTCTCCCCGCCAACGGCCGTGCTGCGCTCGCCCGCCGCCGCGCTCTCATACGCGGGGCTCACGAAGACGTACACCCGGAACGACTTCCGGGCGCTGAGGCAGCTGCCGAGCGCGCGCCAGAACACGAGTCGGCTGCCGAGCATGCATGTCGATGTGCGTGTCTTCTTTCTTTCTTTCTTTCTTTCTTTCTTTTGGTGGATCAGGATCATGGGCTGACGGGAGGGTCGTTTTTTTATTATTAGGACTTTGAGCAAAGCGCGAGCGTGGCGGGCTCGTCGCCCGTGCTGCAGCCGCAGCCTGTGGGCGGTGTCAGTGTTTCGCCAGAGGGTCCGTCGGGGTACGGGATCCTCGGGCCGCCGTTCAATATGCCTCAATGATAGCATTATTTCAGACTCTATGATCCCTTGTCATGTTTTTTTTGTGCACAGTATGTGTCTGCATACGTTCTTTACGATGTAGCTAAGCAATTTACCGTTGCATGGTATTTTAGGCATGGCATCGATTTCTCAGTGCGTGGCGGTATCGTTCGCTTGTGTACATTAAGCTTGCTGTGTGCGTGGATATATGTATATGTGTGATCGAGCTGAGGATAAGAGAAAAGACAAGAGAGATGTGGGAGTCGGACTCGGAGCGCTACCTACTAATAACCTTGAACAGACAAAAAAAACATGGAAGAGAGCGGAGGGATGGATGGAGGCGGAGGTTTTGAGAGTGATGAGGACAATGACATGCTCAAGAACGAGGTGGGGATGAAGGCGGAGGTGGGGATGCAGTATGCGCGTCTCCTGTCTAACGAATCATATACAACGAAAACTTAAGCGGAGGAACAAGTCTATCCAATAAACAAAACGGCAACGAAAGCGAACAAAAGACGGGAAAAGCCAAAAACAAGAAGGAACAAAATGCAACGACACTACGAATACCGCTGCCGCTGCCTCAGCGGCGAATGCGCATACACCCGCGCCGCGCCCACGCCCTGCTCAAGCGAAGACGGCGCATACGACGACGCCGACGACTTCCTCGTCGTCGTCGTCGCCGAGCCCGACCCCGTGCTATCCAGCGACCGATCCGGATCCGGATCACGCTCGTCCCGCGTCCGAAAATACATGTCGATGTCCGCCTGATCGAACTCGGGCGGCGGCGGCGGGCTCGGCGACGTGAGCATCGCCAACATCCGCTGCTGTTCCCGTTCCCGTTCCCGTTGCTGCTCCTGCTCCTGCTCGGCGTCGGCGTCGGCGTCGGCTTTGGCCTTGCCGCTGCCGCCGCCGCCCTTCTTCCCGCCCAAGCGATGCACACGCCTCCGTCTCGCCTTCGTCGGATGCCCCATCTCCCCGTCGTCCGCCGCGGCTTTACGACTCCTCCCCAGCCCGGCGCTCGCTGCGCCCACAAACGCCAGACTCCGCCCAGGCGTCGCCGCAGAGACGGACACAGAGGGCGCTGGCGGCCGCGGCGGACCGCTGCGCACCGCAAAGTGCGCGAGCGAGCGCGTGTAGGGCGAGAGCGTGTGGTTGGATTGGGAGAGCGTGGAGAGGTGGTGTAGGGTGCTGTTGTCCAGGTTTGGACGGAGCACCACTGGATCGCCCCCGCCCCCGCCCCCGCCGGCGATGCTGTAGTTCGGCGAGGTGGAGCGCATGATGAAGTCGGAGCGCGCGGATGTGGACGCGGAGGACATGCGTCGCGCGGAGAGGTGTGGTGGTTTTTGCGTCTGCGTCTGCGTCTGCGGTTGTATCGGCGAGCCGGGAATGTCGAGCGCAGGGAGGGATGGGGGAGGCAAAACAGGGCGCGGCGCGGGGATGTCGAAGAGCGAGGAGGAGCTCGGTGTCGCGAGCGACTGCGACTGCGTGAGGCTGCTCGCCTGCGTGTCCATGCTCTCGGGCGTCCGAGATCTGAATCTGGGTGTCACCGGCACAGACGCACCGTGCGCGTAGCCGTTGCCGAGGCCGTACGGGCGCTGCCGCTGCTGCTGCTGCTGGGCGTGATACTGGTGCTGCTGATACTGCGGGTGCATATGCGGAGGCACACCCGCCATATCGATATCAAACGCAGGCTCAGAGCGCGTGCGCGGGATCCTGCCCTCCTGCGCGAGCGCCCCAGGCGGCACTGCGAAATACGGATTCGAGCCGCCCATCACAGACGAAGCCGCCGTGCTCCGCGCCGGCGGACGCCGCGGGCTCGCCTGCGCGCTGCTCGTGCCCATATGAACGCGCGAAGGCGTTCCAGCGCGCGACGGCGGATGCGGATGCGGGAAGAACGGCTGCGCGAGGCCGATGCCGAGCGGGGACTCCGTGGGCGACGTGATGAGCGACTGCGAGTGGTACACCCGCGGGCGCGTGATCGTCCCGCCGCCGACTGCTGGTAGAGTTTCGTACTCCGGGGGGTGTAAGGGCGACGCCGTCATCCCTCCGCCGCCGCCTCTCCCTCCTCCAGATCCGAACCCGCCGAATCCGAGCCCGAGGCCCAGGATGCTGCCATTCCTCACGTCGGCGTCGTCTTCGTCGCCTGGCTCGTGCTCCTGGTGGTATGTAGAGTCCCAGTCCTGCATAGCGTCGAACGACTGGCTATCGTCAAAGAACTCATCCTCCTCCTCTTCCTCCTCATCTATCCCTTCGTCCTCCTCCTCGGACGGCTCCTCGGTGAGATCAGCAAGGCCCTTGTTCGGCGTGAACAGCCGCCCAAAGGACGAGAAGAGCGACTTGTTGGGCAGGCCTTCCGGGCGCAGCCCGTATGTCGGATCGAAGTTCTCGATGTCGGGGAACGTAGCCTGGGACGACGACCCTGCGTCCCCATTGGGCGGCGTTGAGCCCTTGGGCCTTGGCGATGCGCGAGGGGACGACGATGAAGCGAGAGGGGCGGAGGCGAGGGACGCGGGCGAGCGGCCGGTGTAGGAGGACGGGGCGTGGTACGAGTGTGGGCGGGCGCGCGAGGCTGAGCTCGCGGCGGCGGCGGAGCGGCTTGCGACGGATGCGGGCGAGCGCGGGACTGCACCGAGAGACTGTTGGCGCGCGAGGTGCTGTTGCAGGCCTACGGCGGATATTCCAAGGGGAAGCGCCTGTCCTGCTCCCAGTCCCATCCCTGCGATATCCGCCGTCAGCCCAAGCGGAGGTACGTCAGGGTTGCTCTTTGTCGCTCTGCGCACGCTCGCTTTCGCACTCGCCGCTGCCGACGCCGACGACGGTGGTGGCCGATTCGCCAAGTACGGCGCCTCGACCTTGGCCTTGATCCACTGCTGCGACAGTCTGTGTATAATGCCCGGCAGGTCCTCGCGGAACATCTGGCGGAGCTGGCCCTCGATCTCGCGCTGGATGAACTTTTGTATGACGGCGATGGAGTCAAAGGTGGAGTTGATGTCGACGTTCTGGAGCGGGTCTGTCTTGAAGACGAGGGTGATGCCCTTTTGGCGGGAGACGACGAGGACGACGTAGGAGTTGAGCTTGAAGTGGGAGAGGCGGAGGAGCATGGGGACGACGAGCGGCTCTTTGGCGGCGAGCATGCCACGGGAGCCGGCGAGGTTGTGGATGTCGGGCTGTTTGTGATTGAGGGGGTTTGCCTGCAGCGTATTGCATTAGAAAAGTAAGATGTTGAGATGGGATGTGGGTACGCACCTGAACTTTTGTCTTGAGGACGATATGTGCGTCGCCGGCATACGTGAGGCGAAATATGCCGCGGAAGTGGTCGACGGTGAGGTCGCCGATGTCGCGAATTTCGAGTTCTGGGGGGACTGTACCCATCTCGAGCTCGACGACCTCGATCTTGTCTGCTATGACTGGAGGTTTGTTGCCCTTGTTGAGGGCATTGTTGAGCATGTGTATTGCATCTGTGTGGAACTGGTCTGAGAAGCGAGGCCATTCGAAGGAGAAGGACATGGCCGTGAGTCGTCGTCGTCGTCGTCGATGCGCTACCTGAGTTCATGCAGAGGAGAGGGAATGAGGTTGAGGAGGTGAAGGGGACATGGCGTGTTGAAGGGAAGGTGTGTAATGAGCCGGCGCGTCGTCTCGGCTGTCTGACCCGGGCACGTTCTCACCAACTCTCACTCCCTTTTTCTTTCTTTTTTCTTTCTTTTTTGCTTATTTTTTTGCAGAGAAAGAGAGTGGACTAGTGCTGCAGTCTCATGAACGGCGTCCGCAGATTTCTTGGAGGCGGCTCAACTCCCACCCAGCCAGCACCGCCCACGCCCCCAAAGGCACAGGCACCTGTCCCTGGACCTGAACAAGCCGCCTTTGTCCACCCAGGAAAGCCGACATGGCCCCCGCAGCCAGACGAACCCGCCTCAAGCCCCAGAGCGATGCCCACAGCAGTCTCCTCACCCGCCACCCCCGCCCTCAGCATCCGCAACAAGACCCGCTCGCTCGTTCCAGACGACCGCGACCCTTACCGCTCTCCCCCTCCGATGAACACGCCCCCACGATCAACATACAATATTAATGGATCGCCCCTCAATGGCCTTACTCTCACCAGTAGCCCCAACGGCTCGCCTAGTCTCAGCTCGTCCCCTACCCGCATACCACCACCTAGCATGCTGCCCCCACTCAAGACCGGCAACTCAGACTCGGTAGCATGGAGACGCACGTCCGGCCTGCTCAACATCCGCGATGACCTCCTCGTGAGTCTCCTCTCCAGCGAAGCAGTCGTCGACAGCCGCGAATGCGAGATCCTAAGCGGAGAAGAGGTCGAAGAGCTCAAGAAGGTGCGCCCAGCCCCTGTGTACCTGACACCAGGATCTCATACAACCATGTCATCTCTACATTGTCAATATTGCCACACTCATAGGAACACCAAATGCTCTCAACCCGTCTCCTCGCAATGCAGAAAAAGCTCTCGCTCGAGACCAAGATCCGCGACGCCGCCCTCAACCTCTCGCGCGTCAACGCCCCGCACAAGACCGTCTCCCGCCAAACAGAAGAACAAGTCGCCGCCGCCGAGCGCAAGGTCGACGAGGCGCAGAAAGAGCTCTGGCGCGTCGCAGACCGCGCCAACGACGTCCAGCGCCGCCTGCTCGAGCACCGCGCGGGCGTGCTCGGGTACACCGTGTCCAAGATGGAGCGCACGATGGCCCCGCCCCAGCTGCCGCCGCATCTCCCGTTCGACGATGACTACGCCGCGAACGGGATCGGGTCCGGCGGGCCGAGCACGCCGAGTCGCGCGCTCAGTCCGGGCGCATCGTCTGTGGCTTCGGCGACGTCGGCGACGACGCACTCGTCCGCGGCACGGTTCGACGGCGCGCATCTCTTCGCGGGGCACGCGCAGGCACAGCTCCCGCGCGCTCCGCCGAGCGTCGTGGAAGTGCTTGCGCTCGAGGCGCGCCTGCGTAAGGCGACGGACGCGCTTGCGGATGCGAACAGGAGGCAGGCGGAGAGCGCGCGCGAGCTTGCGCATCTGCGGCTCGAGAAGGCGCAGGTGGAGGCGACGATGAGCATGGAGCTGCAGAGCGCCGAGGAGAACGCCGCTGCGCTGGAAACGGAGCTGCGGCCGCGCCTCGAGGGGCTTCTCGCTGAGCGCGAGGCGTGGGAGGCTGATCGTGCAAGGCTTGAGGAGCGCGAGGAGGAGGTGGAGAGGCTTGAGGGGAGGCTCGAGGCGCTCGAGGAGAGGAGCGGCGAGTCTGTCGAGAGTACACGTGTGCTCGAGACTGCGCTGGAGGAGGCGAGGGCAGAGCGCGATGCGGCGCAGCAGCGGGCGGAGGGGCTGGAGAGGGAGGTGGAGAGGGCGCGGCAGGAGAAGGACGAACAGCAGATCGCGCAGACACCCTATGAGGGCCCACCGATGGAATATACAGGCGACAGCGCAGCGCTCGTCGCACAGCTACAGCCCCTCTGGGACGCGCTGCCCGCGCCCGAGGCGCGCATGAGCAAGTTCCGCGCACAGCGCCACCTACGCGGGCCCAGCGGCGCCTCCTCCGCCAACGCGAGCTCGGCGCCACCGAGCCCCGCCCCGGGGAAGGCGACGACGCTATCGGACAACGACGTGCGCTCGCTGCGCACGCTGTACGACACCGCGGGCGTCCCCGGCGCGTCGAAGGCCGGGTTCTCGGTCGAGGCGCTCGTGGGCCGCGTGCAGGCGCTCGTCGCGGACGACCGGGCGCTCATCGATCGGCTGATACGGTCGGCGCAGGCGCACGAGATGTTGAAGCGCAATGCGGAGCGCGCGCAGAAGCTCGCGGAGGACGGGAACGCGGCGTTGCAGATGTATCAGGACCAGGTGAACGAGCTCGAGGACGAGAATATGCGGCTGGTCGCAAGGGGGGATGAACTGTGTGTTTTGTCTTTTTCTTGTTTGTGCGAGCCATGCTGATTGGGGTACACGCAGATCAACCGAAATCCGCCACCTCCGCGACACCCTCGACCAGGCGCGCGCGACGTCCAGCATCGGCGCCCCTGCTGTCAACGGCAACGGCAACGATGCTGGTGGGGCCACCGCAGCCGTCGAGGCTGCAGAGCGCGCCAAGGCGGCGGCGGAGGCACAGCTACGGCGGACAGAGGAGGAGCTCGATAGTGTGCGCGCGGCGCAGGGGCAGCTGCAGATGAGCCTGATGAACGAGATGACGGATCTGCAGACGGAGAACGATAATCTGCGGGCGCAGTTGCGAGCTAGGAAGTGAGCTTGAGAGCTCTCAGGTAGACCTGGCTGTGGGAGGTGTGATGTTGGCCATGGCGTTTTCTTGTGTCTATGTCCCCTTTTTTGTTTTGTTATGATACCCTCGTTTTTTATCTTCAGATTTCTTGATTTGACGGTCGACCCGTTGGGTAGTAGTATATAGTGATTCTTTGTTTCGAGTATCTTTATCTAACAGTCATGTTTCTAGCTTCGATAGATAGTTTGAATTTCTTGCGGTCTTTCTTGAAGCTGCTGCGATGGTAGTTGGTAGGGCAAAATTGCGACTGACATGAGCTTGTTCTGCCGATGACAGGTTACAGTATGCATTATGTTTGCCGCCGGCTGGTCGGTGTGCGTTTCTGAATCGCCGCACCGATTCCGCATGCAAAGTTCACATCCCTCGTTCAACGTCTACAGTACTGATGACGCATGGAAAAGTCTTTCTTCCAAGCCAGCCTTAACGAAAACAACGAGGCAGCGACAAGCCAAGCCCCACAGACTCGGAGCCGCCAGTGACTCGGACACGTGGATGGCGGACCCGAAGCTGTCCTGAGTCAAGCGTTCATTTTACACTTTTCAGAGCATAGGCATGTAGATCATCCCCAGGTCCAGCCATCTCCATTTACCACCTTGACATCTACGTACTACCCCGATCCACTCGCATATTTCGCCGACAATAACACCACCAACGTTCCTCGTTATGACCTCGCAGCCCACCGACCTCAGCGCCCAGTTCAAGCAGACGCTCGACGAGCAGCATGTCAAGCTCGAAGACATCTCGCTCAACTACCTCTCCAGCATGCTCGCGCGCATGTCGACTGATCCAACGTCCAGCGCCTCCGCGGGGGCGGGGGCGGGGCCAGACTTGGCGAGCGTGCGCGCCGAGACGGAGATGTTCCTCGAGGAGGCAGAGCTTTCCCCCAAGCAGATGAACGCGTTCTACGACGCGCTAGGTGAGAAGCTCGAGGCGAGCAGGCGGGCGCTGGGGGAGGCAGAGTCGGCTCGGAAGGCCGAGCAGGCGATATCGGGTGCGGGGGCGGGGTCATCGTCGCCTGCCCCTGTCTCGGAGCGCGCCAAAGCTGCTGAAGCGCGCAAGCAGAAACGGTTAGAGAAGAAGAAGGCTAAGGATGCAGTCGCCGCCGCCACGTCTTCCTCTGCCTCTGCCGCTGAGAAGGACAGCGCGAACGTAACAGCCAACGACGGTGCGGACCACACGGAGCCGGAGCCTCTGCCCACGATCGTCGCGACGTCGCAGCAGAGCCGGTTCCACAAGGAGACGCTCGTGACGAGCTCGCGCGAGGTCGACCTCGCGACGGTCAACATCTCGGTGAACCAGCTCGATCTGCTCGTCGATGCGCATCTGAGGCTCAAGGAGGGCGTGCGGTATGGGCTTGTTGGGCAGAATGGCGTGGGCAAGAGCAGTGTGTTTTCTTTTTCTTGTTGCATCGTTTGTGGAAGGGCTGACGTGATGGATCCGCATTGTAGTGCTTATGAGGTGCATGGCGGACGGCATCCTTGCGCTCCCGAACAACCTGAACGTGCTGCACGTTGCGCAGCTGGAAGCCTTCGACGAAGCTCTGATTGTCGTGGACGAGGTGTTGCATGCTGATAAGGCGTGTATGACTTCATTACAAGAGTACGAAGGTACTACCAACTCGAGCTACCCCTTCCTCACCATCTGACATACTATGTCCCTCGTCTAGACCTCCACCGCATCCTCGGCAACTCCCGCCAAAGCACCACGAAGAACAACGCCGAGCTCAACAAAGCCGTGCACAAAATCCTCCTCACGCGCCTCTTCGCGCGCGTCGCCGAGGCCCGCCAGATCGCGCTCAAACGCTCCGGCCAGCGTGGGCACGACGCGCGCCAGGAGCAGCTCAAGATCGAGAAGGAGTACGCCGAGCTCGAGCGCCAGGATCCGCAGAAGTATGTCACATCCGACATGGTGACCGACATGATTTCGGATGTGTTTGACAAGTACGAGCTCGTCGATATCGAGGGGCGGAGGGCGAGGGCGAAGAGGATATTGAAGGGTCTGGGGTTTTCGGAGGCGCAGGTTGACGAGCCGGTGAAGAAGCTTTCGGGCGGATGGCGGATGAAGGTTGCGTTGGCGAAGTCGTTGTTTATGAACCCTGATATTCTTCTCTTGGACGAACCCAGTACGTGGACAGAGCCCTCTCTTTGTTATCATAGCCGAGTCTGATGGTCGTACAGCGAATCATCTTGACCTGCCCGCGATATTCTGGCTGCAGGAGTATATCATCAACGAGACCGACGGAATTACCGTCGTCGTCGTCTCACATGACCGTTCCTTCCTCAACGCCGTCACCGACGAGACGATCATTCTGCGGGACAGAGTCCTCGCATACCACCAGGGCAACTTCGACGACTACGAGAAGAACACCGAAGAGCAGCGCGTGCGCAAGCAGACCTTGCTGGACACGCAGGAGAAGAAGCGCGCCAAGCTCGTCGCGAGCATCCAGCGCGACGTGCAGCACGCGCGCGCGACGGGCGACGACAAGCGCCTCGGGCAGGCCGCGTCGCGCAAGAAGAAGCTCGACCGGCTCGGGATGGAGAAGACCGAGGACGGCAAGCGCTTCAAGGTGTCGTACTGGGCCGGGTACCACGCCGGCGTGCGCGCGGACGTCGAGGTGCAGCAGGCGCTCAAGACCGCGCCGATCCGCGTGCCCGCGCCCGCGGGGCCGCTGCGCTACCACGGGCAGGTGTTCACGGCGAAGAGCGTGGCGTTTGCGTATCCCGGCTCGGCGCGGATGTATCTCCGGGACTTTTCGATCGACGTTAAGCCCGGTGCGCGCGTCGCTTTTCTGGGCCCGAACGGGTGCGGCAAGACGACGCTGCTGAACGTCATGACCGGTGTGCTTTCCCCCACGTCTGGCGAGGTGTACCGGCACCCGTCGTTGCGTGTCGGCTACTTCTCGCAGCACGCTGTCGACCAGCTCGATCACGCGTGCACGCCGCTGCAGGAGATGAAGAGGCGGCACCCGGCGATGAGCGAGCAGGAGTGCTGGGCGCAGTTTGGTGGCGTGGGCATTCTGGGCGCCGTGGCGAGCCGGCGGACGGCGAGTCTGAGCGGCGGGCAGCGCAGCCGCGTCGCGCTCGCGATGATCCTCGTGGAGGAGCCGCATGTGCTCGTGCTGGATGAGATCACGAATCATCTGGATATGGGTACGGTGGACAAGCTTGTGGATGCGTTGAGGGATTTCTCGGGCGCGCTTGTGCTTGTTAGTCACGATGTGTGGTTCTTGAGGGAGCTTATGGAGGGTGAAGAGGAGGGCGAGGACGGGGAGGAAGTCGAGGCTCCGAGAGAACGTGCGTTCTATGTTGTGAAGAACGGGCTGGTGAAGAAGTGGGAGAAAGACCTGGATGCGTATGTAGATACTGTTATGGCCAAGGTCCGTAAGAGCTTTTGAGTTTCAATACATGCGACTTGGCATGACCACCAACGCCGCACAATGAGCCACAAAATAAGGCAGCCGAAGGAAACAACTATCTGGTGTTGGCGGCACTGTTCGATGAATTTTCTGGAGTGTGAAGCTGGATCGGTGTTCTTGGTGGAACCCAAGCATGCGTGCTTAGCAAACAACGCGAATTTTACCTATAGCGTTGTCACTCCTTGCTATATTTGATGTGCTTGGGGCGCTCCGTCTCGTTCGTAGTAGGTACTAAACTAGTATGTTTACTCGGCTCGAGCATAGACTAGTGCAGGGAAAACAGCATGGCGCGGAGACTGCGCAACGAGCTAGTGTTATTCGACTCCACACCAGCCTGTTACTACTAGAACGACCAAATCACGACATTTCGGCAAAAGCCAAAGCTTTCATTCCTACTATCTCAGGATACAATGCATGTTGGTTCTAGCACGATGAACCAAGTAGACAGTCTTCTATGACGAATTTAGTACCTAGCGACTAAGCTCAGTGTATCAAAGCCTCGTAACGGCCCAGTCCAAACCCTCCACGGAGCCATCTGACGTCTCGAACGATTTCATCCGAGCGTCAACCCTGACTGTACCCTTCTTAAACACGTTCCCGTCCCACAGCTCAGTCCAACTCTCCGGGGAATGGCAAAACATGTCTACGGTGGTATTCAGCGAAGTGAACGCCCTCAATCCCTTTTCCTCGGCGCCTACATGTGCACCAAAGATCACGGAGCCTGGCTCGGGAGACAACAAGCCACCTAAAGCACGGGCAACCTGCGTCTGTTTCGCCTCGTCGAACACGTGGAAGAACTTTGAAGCGTAGATGACCGATACGCGGCCCCTCAGAGGATTCAAAGAGACGAGCGCATTGAGGTCGGGGTAGGGCGTGTCAGGAACCTCGTAGACAGGGGGATTGGCTTCGAGGATTTTCGGGTCGAGCGCATCACCCGGGACAATATGAGCTGGGAACGTGGCTGCGCTGGTCTTGAATAATTCGTGTCCCATTTCCATGAGCTCTGATAAATACTCTTAAGCGGAGGTGCGATCAGAGGCCAAGACACAGGTTCTCACCTCCCTTAATGTCAGAAAGAACCACCTGTGTGGCAGGAAAACCATCTGCAACCGCTTTCCTTGCCTCCTGACCGACTTCGCTAGTGTCAGGATAAAGTTGTGATAGGTTGAGTTTACATGGACTTACAGCAGCTTCCCATCTCGAGAAAGACAACATTCTTCCGCTCACGACCGATCTTCAACAGCTCCTTATACGCTGGATAGGCAGTTATACCGATCCTGCAAGAAGATAAGTTAGGGGTGGGTAGAATGAACCGTGATTCGCCTCACTCAGTGAATGTAAAGGTCCGGATGCAGGGGTAAGGCGCAATCTGTAGGTGCACTGCGATGAGCCAGATTGTGCACACAAGTGAATTTGTTCACATACGCTGTAAGCCTTTTTCTGAACCTCCATAATATGCTGTTTCAAGGCTTTATCAGCTTTCAACCCCAGCTGCTCCTTCAAGAACGCATGCGCTTGAGGTGTGGGGCGGTATAGAGTGGGGTCCAACGGGGGTACGCTATGGATGCCAATACTTCCCTCTGGAGCTGTAAAGTACGGATCGTCCGAGCGTGTCGTAGAAAGAGACATTGGTATTTTGTGCTCTGGGGCGCGTCAGTAAAAGCAGGAAGTGAGGGTGAGAGTTGACTTGGAGATGACCCGACATGTATGCCTTTTTATATCGGGAGCTGATATCAAGAGTGCTTATCGAGGTTTGGTCTAGAGATTTAGCGAGTTAAGTCTTCGCACTGCGTTAGTCCAAAAATTAGCAGGTTACGCAAAATTACCTTGCTGGGACTAACCGGTTTGCTGTAGATATGACAGGCTCCGAGTCCGTGACCACCGCAACCAATCTGCCAATAGGAGTGTCGAAGGCGGGTTGAAGAAAGGCGAGATCCGTACTGCTCTGAGCGCTTTAGGCGCAGCACTGAACGATAGATGGTCCGAGGCTCCAGCATAGTAGCACCTTAACCTTTCTGGCAGCTATCCGCCAATAAGTACTCGGAGGCTAAGGAGTGATTTTGGATCTAGTATTAGTAGTAGCGACAAAGATGGAAATGTACAAGATGCAGCGGCGGCAGCGAGTACAATTGGATTGAGTCGCCTGGAGCAAAACAGGACTGAAGGTCAAGCTTTCAAGGTGGGTAGCTGTGTTACGGTCTAGGAGACCGTAGGTCGATGGTATGGACCGCCATAAACTTGGCCTGCGCGATGAAATGTTATCAGGACTCAACCGGCATTTGCCGAAACATTTTCGGCAGTGCGAAGCTGGACCTACAAACGCACGGGCCCTCCGCTTGACGCGCGTTCGTCGTCTACGCCATGCACCACCATCAACGCTCTTCACACCTGAGACCGTTACTTCACTACTCTCAACCATGTCGGGCCTGGAAAGCTCACAGGAAAACTCAGACAAGGACCCTCTGCCCTTCAGGTTCGATGGTGGAGATGACCCCGAGCCACCGGTGATTGGGTGCATCGAGTACTCTCCCGACGGCCAATCGATCGCAACTGGTGCCCGCGATAGTACAGTGCGCCTATGGGACGCCAAGACAGGCTTGCAAACCCGAAAGCTCCTGGCCGGTCACCCAGTCCTTTGGCTTTCGTTCTCTCACTCGGGGCGCAAGCTAGCTGCCATAAGCTCAGATTCGGACGCCAAACGCGCGCACGTGGTCATTTGGGACGTGGAACAGGATAAAACGGAGCTATGCAAGCTCGAGACAAGCTACGAGAGTGATGGTACCCTTGTTGAAGGCGAGTACAGAGTCGTATTCTCGCCGGATGACAATCTCGTCGCCGTCATGACTCCTCTCTGCGTCGTTGTGCAGGGAGCAACATTGGGGACTCTAGTAGTGGACGTGGTCAAAATCAGTGGCGACGATCGTCTCGCATCCCTTCTTGGATTCTCGTCGGATGGCCGACGGCTCTTCTACGCATATCTCAAGGACAAGGTAGAAGTGCGCAGCTTTGACATGGAGCTTCGACAGCAGTTGTCCATTAACTTGTCACTGCCATATCCTTCGCTGTCTTTTCTCTACAGACTTCCATATACCTGCTCTCCCGACGGCCGTACCATTGCTGGGCCTACTCCGCAAGGTGGATTTCAGGTCCACGACACAGAGACAGGCGAGGCAATGCAAGCTGCACTTAGAGGGCATCTTGAGAACACGTCAAGTATCTGTTTCTCGCAGGATGGAGAGTGGGTCGTTGATGGTTCAGAAGCGGGTACCATATGCATCTGGGACGTCTCAACAGGAAAGAAGGTGATGGGGCCATTAAAAGCGAGCCATCGGTCGCGACAAGCTGTGACGGCGATCACCTGCTCTCCGTCAAAGGAGCGCGTTGCGTGTATTACTGCTAATAGAGAGGTTCACGTTTGGGACCTTCACACCCAAAAGATTACGCTGTCATCTGTATGTGCATATCATCACATGTGGACACTATTTGATTGTGTTCCCGCTCCAGGTGCCGATGGAGAAGGACGGCCCGTTAACCCCCCTACGTATTTCCTCGTACAGCGCGTCGGTCAGTGACATGCACGTTTTCCCAGATGGCCGTCACCTCGTCAGTAGCGCTCTCAATGATGACCAGATACGCATATGGGACCTTCAGACAGGCAATCAGGTCAGGGAGCTCTCGTTTCCGGGTGGTTGCCATGTAGCCCTGTCTGTGGATGGTTCACTGCTAGCGGTTGGATCGACTAAACCCTTCGGGTGCGTTATCCTGTTAGACGCACATTCAGGCCAGGAGTATACTCCGCCATTGATGGGGGCCGGCAGCCAAACGGAAAAGCTTGCATTCTCTCCGGACAGCTCTGCAGTTGCTGTTCTACTCGGCGATATGACTCTTTGGCTAGTGCACGATGTCCTAGGGGACCGCAAAACCAGCAAGATAGAAGACTCCGTCATGGATGTTGCCTTTTCGCCGGATGGCACACACTTTGCCCACGTATCTCTCACAGGAATGATAACACTTTGCAATGTGGGCACGACCGAAGTCATCACTCGACTACCCGGAGAACTTGCGCATAACCTCGCTTTCTTGCCGGATGGGAAAACACTTCTCCAGACAAACCAGAACAAGGTACTATTCTGGGACGTCACTACGGGTCAGAAGGTCTTTCAACACATGCTCTCGTTTCAACCGCGGGCGCGGATTGCAGCCTCCCCTGACGGGAAGGCTTTTGTCTGTGGGCGCGGGACGAGCGCAGACGAATACGGGCTTGAAATGGTCGACGTGGTCAAAGGAAAACAACTTTGGAGCATCACAAATCTCATTCGTAATCATACTGCGATCGCTTTCTCGCCGACCGGAGATAAGGTTGTCGTCGGATTTATAGGTGGAACATTGCAGGTCTTTGAAGCTAGTACGGGTCGGAGACTTATCCCAAGCGTCGATGATCGCTCGTCCATCGAGCTAGAGGTAAGCGAAACCCTATTGCTTTCCCCTTCGATCTGCTCAGGCGGTCCTTCGGGTTTTCTTTTTCATACAGATGACCTCGGTTCAAAAGAGATCGCAGAGAGTGAGGTCTGGTCTTGCGGATTGGGACGATGACTCGATAATGAACGTAAGTCTCCATAGATCCTTAATATATATTTTGAGGCCAACACGACAACTAGATGCCTGCGACTTCAAGCAGAGCTGCGCGCCGCGACATGCAGGGGTTAAATCGGGGTATAAATGACCAGCAGATGCACAGAGGGACGCAGAAGATCACAGATGGCGGCCGAGGCTCTGGGCTCATAGCGCGTCTTTCCTCTCGTATATCAAACTCCCTCAGTCCAGGCCAGGCGGCTGAGCCTCGTAACCAGCGCCGCCTTCCACACATTTTTCAGCTTGTGGGTCTTGGGCGTGCCAAAAATGTATGTTCGCTGTTTTGTCACTGGAATATAGTTGTTAACGGCGTTGACGGGGACAGCGCGTGCTCACAGCAGGCGAGCAAGGCAACCGCTACCGAGAAGACCGTCGAGTGCAACATGAAGATGACTCGTTCAGCCCTTCACCACCTGAATCAGACCGCGCACATTCCCCTATTACGCGTACGGGCGAAAGCGAGAGCAGTATGTCAAGCAGTAACTGGTTCACGGATTATGTGTGTTATTGTGTATGTTTGCCTTGTCGTAGCTCACGCGGGGTCAATCCCGAGTGAGCATCGTTTTACCGGTAATAATTGCTTGTTCAGTAGAATAAAAGCCTTGAACACTCAACTGTTTCGGACCTCCATAACGTGAAGTTCATATCCAGATTTGAGGCGGATACATCTGGTGGATTTCATGTTCAACGTCGAGTCAGACGCACTTCTCGTTTCCTTGCATCGATCTGATACAGCCAGGCGAAGCTATTGAACATCATGAATGTGGTACTGCCATCATCATCCAGAGAATTTTATCAATATCCGCTGCTGAGGATTAGCTACTCCGGCAGTAAGCTGTCGCTCGCGGCTTGGCCACTTGTCGTGCCGTCGAAACTACACCATTGTAACAACTCCACTGTATAGTTGATACCTAGGCATAGTTATCGCACAGTACACCCGTAGGGCTGTTGATGCTCCCTCGCTTTTGTGGGTTGACGTCAAAAAATCCCCATGTTAACATATGTCATCGAGTCTTAAACCCCAGCTATAACCATGCTTGAATAATCTTCTTTTCTCAGCGCCTCCGTCTCTAGAGAAACAGAGACTCCCCCCAGGACTGACTCCAGGTTGCCCTCATAAGATCTCCTCCCCAACAAGGGTGCAGTTGCGGGGCTGTTCGCGGAATAAAACCATACGGTTGTGCTACAGTAACTTTGTATAATTACGCCTCTGCTGGTGTGTTTCCCGCGAGGATATTGAGTTGTCTCTCGGGATATATCCGACACATAAAGCTCGGCGAGCGGACTGGACGGCCAGCCACATAACCCTCTGATGGCTTCACCAGGTATACGCGCTTTGTTGAAGCGATGCGCGGCTTGAGAGTTCGAGTTGACCATGTTCTTGCCTCTGATTATATCTTTTCACGGGAATCTGTTTAGTCTCACGAATGTTTAAAGTCAAAGCTGACGCACACGGTGAGATGAGCCGACAAGATAGCATAATTCGAAATGAAGGTGGATAATTACCTTAGGATGATTAGTTACTCTTGTAGGCGCCCATAGCTGTTCGTCGTCATGAGCAAACCATTGCGTTTGAATATAAAGATAGCTGGCCATGGCCAGCGTGGGGGTGAAAGGAATTGATATTTGAGGTCCATGCAGAAACAAAATGAGCTTGGTCAAAAAACCCCCGGCGGGATTCGAACCCGCAACCTCCAGATCCGCTCCATAGAAGTCTGACGTCATAACCATTAGACAACGAGGGCGTTCAAGCGAGTGTGCCTATAACACCATGTGAGCCCTATGAGTCCTTGAATTCATGAAAATGAGCCTGTAAATCACAAGTAAATCACGGACCGTTTCGGTCGAGACTTCTGCTGTTTGCGATACGAGATTGCCTAAGGTCATGTCTCCCAGAATAAAACTTATGGCTTTGAAGGTTTCATGTTTCGGTCTGGCTGGCTTAACCGACTCGCGTTGAGGCGTCGATCATCGACCATCCGTCAAGAATCTGTATTGGGGCTTTGACCCTGCAGAACGCACGTACACCGTGGCATTCGGTCCGACCAATATACTGTTGCCTGAAGATTTTGAGCAACCGTGGTTTTAGCAATGCGCTACTCAGCGCGCGATGGAATAGTTATGCATGTCACGCACGGAATTGTGATGGAAGAGACGATGTTCCCTATCTCCATGGACTGTCAGTCGTGCGTGTTTGCTGTGCGTCAACGGTGCCTGTTTGCCTGTACAAGGGAATGCAATCCTGCCTGTACACAAGCGGTCGCGTGGACAAAAGGCTCTAGCGCCAAAAATTTTACCAATGGATTCATAAGTACGCGAGAGCACGCGGCGTCGGAACTGTCACGATATGCGTTCGGATGCGAAGGTCGAGGCAAGGTGTGATTCAGGCGTCCATAACTCGTGCCGTTGGACTCGACATTTCAGTCCGTGGGCGCTCATGACAGTGCTAACCTGGTTTGGAAGGAATGGAAGCGTTATCCAACGCTTCGATGCGCAGGTTGGCGCCAAATGCGCATACATAGATAGTGTGAGGTGAGAACCTGCTGGTGAAAGCAAGAGGGATAGGAGGTCGGACTGCGCAAATGCAGCAAAGGGATCTCCAAATTGTGCCTGTGGCAAAGTGCGAAAGTCTAATTTGATATGGGTCCTTGCCTAAATATGCACGTGGGCGCTCAGAAAAGCCCAAGCTAGTCGAGCTAAAAATGACCGCAGTGAAACATGCTATCTTCACATTTTGTACGTTTCATGTCAGGTCATCCTTCTGCTGGAAAACTGAGTTAGAGACCATGGACGTTGCGATGGACGATCCGGCGTGGCAACGGGCGAGGTGCTGGGCGCCAATCGGGGCGTAATAAGTCTCGGGCCGAAGCGAGAAGAAGGGCCCAAGTTTCCGAATGCGGAAGGGAACGCGGAATCAATGATTGATTTGAGACTCAGCGAATACTGACATTTTTCCCACAGCGAAGGAGGGAGGGGAGGACATAAGGCTTTGCCATAAATTCAATGCCCGCTCCCACACTGTCCTGGCAGGACCCGCGAACGTTCTCTTACGCTTGTGTCTTCTCTACTCTCGACTCCGCTCTTTGTCTTGAAAAATCCTCCTCGAGCATATTCCGACCAGCCCCCAATGCAGGGCAACTCACCGCCCCCGTCGGCACGTGGGACCCCTGCACGCAGAGGCCGCCCGCCGAAGAACGCTAATCGCACGCCCGTGCGCAACCCAGATCCAGCCACGCCCGTCACCAGCCCCACAGACCAAGATACCTCTGTTGTACTCTCTTCCATGGACATCCGCGTAGCAGGAACAACCCCGATCGTATCCGCTGACGGATCCAACCAGAACACCAGCGGCGCAACAAACTCTTCGTCAGTCGCCTCAGCCCCCAATTCCAGGCGCGGTTCTCGCAAAGCCAAGACGGACGCTATCGCTGCCATGCAAGCTTCCTCCACCGGCGACGAGTCCGACGACCCTCAGTTGATGGGCGCCCTGCGCAACTCAATGCCTATCGAGGTCGCTCCCGTCTTGAATCTCGCTTCGGTAAAGACAATTAGCCCTAGGGAACTTCCGCCCAGGTCGACGCCACGGCCATTTGGCCTCGAGGACTGCCCAGCGTTCTACCCAACCCCAGAAGAGTTCAAGGACCCCATGGCATACATCCGCAAAATATCGGACAAGGCGACGGAGTACGGGATATGCAAGGTTGTTCCGCCTGTTGGATGGAAGATGCCGTTTGTCACGGACACTGAGGTGCGTCACCGAGTCACCCGCTTTTTTGGGTATTTTTGGAGCATTTTACACTGATTTTTTGGGCCCGCCGCTAGAGTTTCCGCTTCAAGACACGTCTTCAGCGGCTCAATTCCATCGAGGCCTCCTCGCGCGCTAAGGTCAACTTCCTCGAGCAGCTGTATCGCTTTCACAAGCAGCAAGGCAATCCTCGTGTCTCAGTACCCACCATCAACCATCGACCACTCGATCTGTGGCTGTTGCGCAAGGAGGTGCACAAGTTGGGTGGCTATGAAGCGGTGAGCTCATCCGCAGTCTGGCTCAACTTCTTGTGAACTTTTGACTGATGACCCACTGCTCGCAGGTGACCAAAATGAAGAAGTGGTCCGATCTGGGTGCTCTGTTGGGGTACCGTGGCATTCCGGGTCTATCGACGCAGATTCGGAACTCGTATACCCGTGTGATTCTGCCGTATGAACACTACTGCGAGCGGGTGCGCAACTCGACCACGTTGTCGCCAAGCGTGCAGCGCGACCCCTCGCGCGCCCCTGGTGACTTGTGGCTCGCTGACTTCGGCAAAATCGGGAAGAGCACGAGTAGCCCTCCGTCCAGTCCCCTCACTGCATCGTCTTCTAGCCCCTTATCCGAGCCGCCCGAAGATGGTAGGCGGGGCAGACGCAGCGCTCGGATGTCCACCGATCGGATGACCACTCGTAAGCACAGATTCTTGCACAGGGACGCACTCGCTGACCCATCCCAGCTGTGCGTCAGCTTTCAGAAGGCGGCACGACCCTGCCCTCGCCCGCCTTCCCATCTCCTTCGTTCCGCGAGGCAAAGCGAGAGCCGCCAAAGGATAAGCAAGAGGTTCGTTCCGCTCTTATTCGCTTCACCATCATCGCAGCGCTTATTCATCCCAAAGCAATCCTGCGAGATATGTCAGAAGAAGAATCGCGGTGAAGAGATGTTGCTCTGCGATGGCTGTGATTGCGGTGAGCAAATTGCTCACTTGGGCGAGAGGTGCATCTGACACCTATAAGGCTTTCACATGTTCTGCCTTGACCCGCCTTTGTCGTCCATTCCGAAGGGACAGTGGTTCTGCCATACTTGTCTTTTGGAGACAGGCGGTGATTTCGGGTTTGACGAGGGCGAGGAACACAGTCTGTCGACTCTGCAAGTACGAGACGCTGAATTCCGGAGGATGTGGTGGTCGAAGCATGCACCAAACGTAAGTCCACATTTCGCTTGATCGGATCTCCTTGTTGTTCTAACTGACGGGGATGCGTATCAGGCAAGTGTAAAGATGGATTATGAGCCGAACGATCCGACCGTTACTCGGGTCGGCGACACCGCGGTTTCTGAGGAGGAGGTGGAGCAGGAGTTTTGGCGCCTGGTCCAGTCACCCGACGAGACGGTTGAGGTTGAGTACGGAGCTGACGTCCATTCTACCACGCACGGAAGGTTTGTTTCGCCCATCTACTGATTTTTCTGGATTTTTTGACCGTTGGAAAAAATCGCAGCGCGATGCCCACCATGGAGACTCACCCCCTCGACCCCATGGCAAAGGATCCGTGGAACCTGAACAACATGCCAATCGTGTCCGATTCTCTTCTGCGCTATATCAAATCGGACATCTCCGGAATGACGGTGCCCTGGACCTATGTTGGGATGGTCTTCTCCACGTTTTGCTGGCATAATGAGGTACGGTGATGCGTGGATCTCCGTTGCCGCGAACGCTCACGTTTTTCACAGGATCACTACACGTACAGCATAAACTTTAGTCCGTGTCCTTTTCCTTCTGTCTGCGGTTTCATTTTATGATCTAATCATCTGTGGCTTCTCTTAGTGCATTGGGGTGAGACCAAGACCTGGTATGGTATTCCCGGCGACGACGCCGAGAAGTTTGAGGCGGCCATCAAGAGTGAAGCCCCCGATCTATTCGAGGCGCAGCCCGATCTCCTATTCCAGCTTGTGACCTTGATGAACCCCGCGCGTCTGACGGAGGCTGGTGTGCGCGTGTACGCGTGCAACCAGCGTGCAGGCGAGTTCGTTATTACGTTCCCCAAGGCTTATCACGCGGGGTTCAACCATGGGGTGCGTGTCTTTGGGCCTTCTATTTTCAATGTCCGCGTGGGCGCTTATTTACTTATTGTTCCATCTGCGTGTCACAACAGTTCAATTTCAACGAGGCGGTCAATTTTGCGTTGCCGGACTGGCTGAGGCTGGGACGGGACTGTGTGGAGCGGTATCGGGAGCACAGGAAACTTCCTGTGTTCTCTCATGACGAACTTCTCATCACTATCACCCAGCAATCGCAATCCATCAAGACGGCCATCTGGTAAGCGTTTTGGACCCTGGTTCTGTCGTACTATATCCGGCTGACCGTCAAAATCTAAATCAGGCTCGCGGATAGCCTGAGGGAGATGGTCGTCCGAGAGCTTGGAGAACGGGCGCGGGTCCGCAAGCTGGGGATGAAGGAGGTGCTCGAGGAGGCAGACAAGCCCGAGGACCAGTATCAGTGCGCGATCTGCAAGATGTTCTGCTACCTCTCGCAGGTCACATGCCAGTGCAAGAAGGAGGTCGTTTGCGCAGACCACGTTGACCTGCTGTGCGAGCACAACATGTCTCAGCTCACGCTGCGCCTCCGCTTCTCGGACGGAGAGCTGCAGGACACGCTCAGCAAGGTCGTCGAGCGCTCCGAGGTGCCCGGCGCGTGGAAGAAGAAGCTGCAGAAGGTGCTCGAGGAGAGCGCGCTCCCGCCCTTGCGATCGCTCCGCGCGCTGCTCGCCGAGGGCGAGCGCATCAACTATCCACTGCCGGAGCTGCCGACACTGCGCAAGTGCGTGCAGCGCGCGAACGAGTGGGTCGACTCCGCGAACGGGTTCATCATCCGCAAGCAGAGCCGCAAGCGGTCGCGCAAACGCGGTCGGCCATCGCACGCGGATATCGCGGCGAACGCTGCCGCCGCCGCCGCTGCTGCGCAGGACGAGCGCGATCCTGGTGATAGGCCTGATCGTACGCTGAGCGACCTGTATGCGCTCTTGCGGGAGGCGGAGAATCTGGGCTTCGATGCGCCCGAGCTTGGAGTGCTCGAGGCGCTGGCGAGGCAGGCGGAGGATATATCGGCCAATGCGCAGGTGCTGTGCAGGCAGTGGCAGATGCATATGACTTCTGGGGAGCGCGATGCGCTGATCAAGGATAGCGAGCGGCTGCTCCTCGATGCGTCGTCGCTGAATGTCTATCTGGACCCGGTGCTGGAGATCGAGAAGGTTGTGTCACGCGAGCGGCTGTTGGACGAACTGGGAAAGTCGGACGATGACTCGAAGGACCTGGATGAGGTGCGGCGGTTGCTGACGCGGGCCCGGGCGTGCGACCTCGCGCCGGACAACAAGTACGTTCAGCGCTTGGAGGCGCGGCACCGGGCGGGTGCGGACTGGGAGGAGAGGGCGAGGATGATGCTGGAGCAGCCTGGGAAGACCATCGAGGAGCTGCAGGAGCTGCTGGGTATGACGGAGTCGGTGCCTACCGACCCAACCATCCACGATCGGCTCAAGTCGGCGCTGGCCAAGGCGATGGATTTCGACAAGCAGGCAAAGGGCTGGGCGACAGCGGACGGGATGGTATCCAAGCCGACTCCGAGTCAGTTAAGCGGGTTCATCGCGCGCTGCGAGAAGGACTTCCACATTCCTTCGGTCAAGAATTTGAGCCATATTGCTCAGTATGGGCGCGAAGTCGAGGACAAGTGCGATGCTGTTTTGCGCAACCGCTACCCGCACACGGAGAAGGACGTGTTCAAGGAGATCGAGGAGTGGGGTCGCTACGCACGCCAACATCTGTCCATGCTTTCTCTTCCCTTTTTCCAACAGCTGGACAAGCAGTTGAACCTTCACTATCGCTGGCTTGAGGACCTGCCGTGGTACTGCAAGGACCATCCTTCTGGACACGGCTCGGAGATCCTTGATGATGTCATCGAGGCGACGCGTCCCGAGGACGATCTGCCTCCGACGGACGAGTACTTCACGTGCATCTGCCAGGACCCGGTTCGCCCGCCTCCCCCCGGTGGCCAGTCCGACGCGGTACAGTGCGACCATTGCTTTGCGCGCTTCCACGGCAAGTGCGCCGCCAACGGAGGCTCGTGCCCGTTCTGCGACCACAACCACTGGAATGGCAAGATCCACAAAGAACGCAATTGGCACTTTTGCTTCCTGCCCCTCATCCTCACTCGAGCGCCCGATCTCACCCACAATTACTCGGATACATGGAAGCAGCTCGAGATCATCGTGCACCGCGTCGACCGGCTTTCGTCCGTCATCGGCCACTTCCTCACCTTCGCGTCACAGGCCGGCAACCAGAAGACATCGCTGTTACCTCAGGTCAGACACTATATGCGCAAGCTGTATAAGATCCAATTCGCGGTGTCCCCAAGCCGCGAGATCTCGTTCGGTCTGGACCTCGCGGGCCTGCATCGTATTCTGGCGGGGTTGCCGACGGAGAAGCCGCACAAGAAGCGCAGAAAGCCTAAGCTCGTGTTCGGGCCGGATGCTGACGAGGATTGGTACGATGGCACGCGATGCGTTTGCCGGAGGAACGCGGATCCCAAGTTCTTGTATACGAAGATGGATTGCGACCACTGCAAGCGGCGATACCATGCACCATGTGTGCGCGTGACGTCGACACCGCTGCCGGACAAGTGGACGTGCCCATTGTGTTGCGTGCGGAAGAACAAGTCGTATCCGTTTGCGGAGGTTCGCGTTAAGAGGGCTGACGGTAAGTCTCTCAAAGCCAGCTCATGCTCAACTTGATAACTTACCTCTGGGGCTTGTGATAGACGATAGATTGACGGAGATGTGGGTCAACATGCCAAAGACGTACGAAATGCACGGTCAGGAGTTGATTGTCGAGAGAATGCCTCTTCCACGGCCAGACGCGATTGTTCTGGACCTCGTCTCTTTCACGCCATGGTCGCCTTCTGATAGTCGCGATCGCGATCGTACCAGTACTACAAACGGCACCTTCGCAACGCATGGGTTCCCTACCCCTGTGCCCACACACTCGCCACCAAACCAGCGCCCGTCATCATCGCACTCACATCATCAGCCTCCCTCACCAGCACCGACACCTCCGCGATATTGGAATGGTTATCTCCCCAACCGCGTCGGGCCGAACCCCTACCAAGCCATGAGCAGCGTCCCCCCACCACCGCCGTGGAACTCTAGCTGGCACAATCTCATGGCGACCACTGGGGCACGCCCATCAGGCGTTCCGCCTGAGGTCTCCGCTCCCTCCATGTCCGCAACGACGTCGTCCTCGTCGTACGCCGGGAAAAAGCGCAAGTTCATCGACGAGCCCGGCCCCGAGCGGCCCGAGAGCAGCGGGAGCACCAATGGCACCGCCGCCAACAACGGACGCGAGCCCTCGCCCAAGCAGCAGCGCCGCTCCGTCCCGCACACACCCGTACCGCCGCCCGCGACCGTGCCGAACAAGGTGCAGACGCTCTCGCCCTCGCTCGCGATGATCGTGTCGCCTGTCGATACGGAGCCGTCGCCGCGTCCTGCGCCCGTCCCGCGGCCGTCGTCGCCGCCGCCTCCTGCCAACACGTCTTACAATCCCAAGTACTACCGCGAAACGTCTTTGCGCGGGTAGATAGTAGGTAAGTACAGCGGTCGCCGTGCAGATGTGAAAGAATGTTTTCTGCGTTTGCATATGATGATGTCCACGTTACCATTGTATCACTAGCCAGCCATGCCAAGGATCTTTGCGTTTTTCTTCCTTTTCTATTTGTCGTTTACTTCGCTCAGTTTAGTTCTAGCCAGCTAGTGTATGCTCCGTCTCAATGCTTTCGTCACTGTTAGTCAAATATACTGCTATAATATGCTATAACCCTTGTCATGTGTGCGAAGTTGGATTAAGTGCGGGATGTGAGCGTACTAGCCAATTGTAGCTTGTTCTACCAAGTGAATAGAATGAAAGATAAAAAATGTAAGTGACGCTGAGAACGATAAGACTGCTCGTGGAAAAATAACCGAAGAAAGCCCCTGATAAGTATGTGTGAATAATTGCGTGCGTGCTGTGCGTGCGTGTCCGTCGTGAATGTGTCTAGTGCTCGTAAAAAATAATGATGTGCGTGTAGCCTGTGTTGCCCTTTTCGTAATCTAATTTTTACCTTCTGATCATGAACTTGTACGTCGTGTAGCCGCCGATGACAGCAAAGGTGGCGAGGGCGCCGACAATGGCGCTGAACCACGCGTAGCCAGGCTAAACATACACATATGCATCATAAGCGAGGGATGGAGACGTGAGAGGTGGGAGAAGACACGCACGACGTCCTGGCCGGGCACGTGCACGTTCATGCCCCACAGGCCGGTGACGAGGTTCATGGGGATGAGCACGGTGCCGAGCGCGGTCATCTTGGAGAGCACGTCGTTGATCTGGTTGTTCGCGTCCGTCATCTCGATCGAGATCTGGGCGAGGTAGTTGGAGTGCGAGCGCGAGAGGATCTTCTCGTAGTGGTTCAGGTTCTGCGTCATCGTGATCAAGTGGTCCTGGATGTCGGAGAGGTAGAGGCCCTGTCGCAATATGTTAGCGGAGGTCAGCGTATTGGAGGAGGATAAACGCACAATATCGCTCGTCGGCGCGACTCTCCAGTTTTCGTTGCATCGCTTCGCCAGACCCTTCACCACGTCCGCCTTGTTGCCCATCAGCCTCAGCAGGCCCATGACCTTCTTGCGGCACGTGCCGATGCGCCGGAGCATGTCGCTCTGCTCCGTCTCCTTGAGAATGAGCACGAGCTCGTCGATCGAGTCGACCTCGTACTCGATGCTCTGGATCAGCGGGCCAAAGGCATCGGTGATATCGTCGATAAGCGCGTACGAGATCCAGTCGGACGTGACGGAGATGTAGTCCTTGAGCTGCTTGATACGGCGGCGGACGTTTTGCGGGTGCGGGGTTGGGCGGAAGTGGAACTGGGGGCGGGGGCATCAGCTACAGATTGCGTGGAACGTTGAGATGAACAGGAAAAGCCGAGATGACCCACCGAAAGGATACCTTCGCGGAAGACGATGATGTACATGTTGAGCGGCTCGAGGTGCGTCGGGCTGTACGGGTCCTGGTCAAAGCTGCGGAAACAGACGAGGTAGTAGTTCCGGAAGAGCTCGATCTTCTCGCGCGCCTCTTCCATCTGGATATCTTCCGTCGTCAAAGGGTGGATCGCGAATACCTGCCGCACAGCAAACCACGCGTCAGTTATAATATAAGGCAGTGCTCGCAACAGTATGACATATGAATGGGACACAGCATAAGGGGGCGATGACATGGGAGTTGGAAACACACCTTGCTGAGAACCCTCATCTCCTCATCCGTCGGGCTGAGCACATCGAGCCACCACGTCTTCCCCTGGTACTCGTCTCCGCCGCCCACCAGCCTTGCAGGCCCACCAGCTCCGTTCTTCACATCCGGGCGGAAATATCCATTCCCATTACCAGCTTGCGCATCCTGCTTCTTGCCGTTCCTCGGCGTCGTGTCCCCATGTTCAAAGTGCTCCGACCTTGCATTCGCATTCGCTGTCGTCCCCCTGCTGTTCGACCCCGAACCTGAGCCCGGAGGCGGCGGGACCGGCGTCTGCATGCCCGAAAACAGGTCCTCGAACGTCTGCCCCTCGCTCGGAAGCTCAGAGAGCGAGCGCGCGTGGATCGTCTGCGAGAGCGCGTTCGAGTAGAACGAGAACCGGTACGGCCGATCGTGCCCCGTGTTGATGATCCCGCCCATCATCCCACCCATACTGCCCATCCCATTCGGGAAATACGAGTCGCCGCCCGGCGGCGCCGGCGGCAGGTCCTCGGACGAGGGCCCCGCGCGAAGGTGCTCGGGAAGTAGTCGGCTCGGGCTCCCGTTGGCCTGGTTCTCGAATAAAGCCATCTTGCCGCGGATGCCCTTGCGGTTCGGCCGTGGCGCGGGCTTGCTCTCGCTCAGCTTGCGGTGCGGGACCTGCTTCGCCGCGGTGGAAGACGCGACCGAGTCCGAGGACGGGTTGAACGGGGGTGCGCCCGACGGTGGGGACTGTATTATGGCAGACACGCCGTCGTCGTGGTGCCTGTGTACATGTGCATGCTCGGGGTCGTGCTCGTGGGTGTCGGCGGGTAGCCGCGTGCTGACCTGCCGCTGGCGCAGCTGCTGCACGGCCGTGCTTGACGAGGCGGCGAGCCCGAGCCGCGTGCGCTCCTGCGACGAGTAGTCCTCGAGCGGTCCAAAGTCATATACGCTTCCGGGTGCATTCGCCTGGTAGGTTGGCAGGCCTGTGAGCGACGCGGACGGATCTTCGTGTGCTGCATGTGGGATGCCTGCGAGCAGGGTAGGGTCGTGCGCGGCGCTGAGGTGCTGGAACGGCAGGCCGATAGGGGATGGAGAGTGCTCGAACTGGCGGGGCTCATCTGCAACTCCTAGATCAAGGTCGGCTTCGCTCACTTCTGCTATGCCTGGCTGTATCCTTGCCCCGCGTGCCATGTTCAAATCATGCTCCTCATTGCACGAGAGGGAAGGGAAGTTGAGGTCGTCCTGGGAGTGGGGGTGGACGGGGTGAGGATGGACGATGGGGCTGGGTTCGTATGGGGAGGTGGTGGGCGAAGCGACGGTGTTGGAGCGGGCACGAGAGAGATGGAGGGCCATATCGACGTCCATGGTGCGTTGGCGCTCACGAACCTCGGGGTCGTTGGGATCGTAGGAACGCATGAGGGTGGGAGACATGCGAGGGGCCCGAACAGATGAGTCGGCGGCATCATTGCTGTTGTCCCGCTCGTTCCTCCTGCGTACAGGGGAAGAGCCTCTGACAGAGATTGGGGAGCTGGAGAGGATGGGATTTTCCTGCGGAGGGGAGCTCATTGTGACCTGCTGTTCTTGAGCTTACTGACGGAGCTAGTGGGTTGATTAGCAACAATTGGTGCGCCGACTCACGCGGGCCTAACCTGCATGAAAGGGGACCACCTCCTGCTCGATGACTGGCGAGGAGGGGAGAGGACGTTTGAATATGACGAAGAGGATGGAGAGCAACCCGCGAAGAGGATCAATGTTGTGTCGGACGTCGGGTATCGGTAATGCGGCAAAATCCCATGGCCCAATCCGACGTCAGCTTCACTTCCACACCCAAACCCAAATCGTCGCATACTATGACATGGTTCCCCCAGGCAGACATCGTTCTGGCTGTAGCATGACTGTGCGTCTTTAGCGTCCTGAAACAATTGTCTAAGACACCCTGTCCATTCTCGTCGTGTACCCCGCCCTGTGCTTTACATTAATGTTTTGCAGGGCGCCAGCTATTGTGTCTGGCATGTTGACGAGATCTCGGTCAATTATTTGCAGCTGAAAGCAACCATGTAAGTCACTAGCTTGCTTCAAAGTGTACTCGCGTGGTTCGCTCCAGAATGTCGGTGCTAGTATCGATTTCATTGCATGCATGCATATCTCCGCGCACGCATTCATCCGGTCGCAGAAACCATCCAAACAATCAAAATTGGGGTTCGGCGATGCTCGTGAGGAGACCTGAGGGCTAAGTGCCTGCGCTTCAAAAGCTTCCAACGTGACAAGTTGTACCGGACGAAAGAAAATCCCGGAAAGCGCCAATATTAGACTCAAAGGCCACCAGAGCACCCATCCTTCATTATGATAACCAGCCCTCGCAGAAGAAGTACTCTTAATAGCTACAGAACCACGGTGGGACGACGATGATAGCTGAATATGGAACTTAAATATCACGCTACACGTAGGCATCTGCTTCTAGAGCTACAAACGGGTACGGTGTAAGCATCTACGCCATCGATACACTAGTGAGCCGCAACCTCAGGCGCGGCAGCCTCGACCCCATTCGTCGCTGCACCCTGCGCTGCGACGCCAGCGCCGGCGTTGGCGTTGGCTCCGCCATTTTGGTGCCGTGCGCTGGCGACCGTGCTGATCACGCTCGCGAGGCCGGCCTTCCACGCAAGAAGACGCTTCTCGAGCGCCTCCCACTGCTCGCGCTCGAATGTGCGCGCCGTAGCACGGTGCACGCGCAGCGTTTTGGTGGTTTGCGAGAGCTTGCCTGTCAGCAACCGTACACGGATGACTGGATGAGGAAGAGAATGCGGTCTGAGCCGCTGTGGGGAGGAGAGGAGAGGTATGCGCATACCGTCGATGGACCATTTCTCGACCTCAGACACATCGATCTGCAGATGCGATGCAATCTCGGAGTAAGGCAGCTCCTTCCCAACATACTGGAAGCCCAGCGACGAGAACGTGAGCAACCTTATTTTGTGCTCGAGTTGACTGGCGATGAGGCCTATCAATCCGTAGTGTAATTAGTATCCACACCCCCTTATGTAGTCCACAAGAAGAACTGCCTCACCATATTTTTCGATGACAGCGCCATTCGAAGATGCCCAGGCGGTGTACTCTTGCAGACCGCCACTCAGGAAGATTTGGAAGAGGGGAAAGATCTCGTGGTCTTTGGCAGCGACAACCGCATCAAGCTTGAACAGAGGGTCGAAATCGTATACAGTCGGCAAACCGAGCGCCATCACGATTGCGCTCACGGCTGCCTCCTGTCGTAGTGGTGAGGATGAAGGGAGGGACTGAACATAGCGGAGGTTGTATGCGTAGGCTGTTTCTCTGCGGTGACCAAGGCAATCAAACGCACGATGAGATCAGGTCTGAATATAGGGAGGAAGAGCAAGGAGAACGACGCACTGTTGACCCGATGTCTGATATGCGTCAACAAGCTGCTTCACGAATGCGCTCTTTTCCTCGTCAGAGATATCCCAGTCCACAAGCCACCGGTCGACGTCGTCTTTCGTTAGTCGGAGCGCATTCAGCTCGCCGTTGGCAGTCGCGGTCTTGAGGAGTTCAGTGTAGATGAGGGGGCGGATAGCGAAAGAATGAGGGCTGTGGTTGAAGGTGTTGGACATTCTAAGCAGACGATGTCAGTGCTTGGCGCGCATGACGGGAAAGCCCAAACTATTAGGAAGCGCATACATGCGGTACTTGAGCGCGTTGTTTTCAGACGGTGACTTGGAGACGATATCGAGGATGCGCTTGACCTCGCTGGTGGTTTCGTCATCCTGTATCAATCGATGTCCAAATACATGCGCAATGAGAAGATTGAAGAAACCCTCAATCTCTGAAACGATCGCATCACCTGTTCAGTAAGCGAAAACTAGAGAGTCGAATATATGCGCACCGAGGTCCGTACCCTCCCCAAGATCCTTCACTTGATCGATGACGAACGTGACCGCCTTCTGATACTTGACGTCTGACTCTTCTGGTGTCCCCTCCGGAAGCTTGCTGATCTCCTCATACGCGCTCTTGATCGAGGTCTGCTCCTCCTCAGGCCGGTTCCGTAGCGTGAAGTCGAGCAGCTCCTGGACCTGCGATTCGTCAGGCCAAGCAATGTCAGACAGCACAGTAGTCAGCTACCTGCTCAGCATGCGTTCCCTCCCCCCAGATGACAGCGGAGGCTCGTTCGACCGACATGATTGGCAGTTTTGAGAGTGGGTGGAATTTTGTAGTTGCGTCGGGCGACTGAATTGATCGGCTAACAAGATTCAAGCCTGTTGCCTAACATGTACAAATAAGTCATGGTCAGGGGCTTCGGAGATTTTGCCTGCTTTATCGTTTGTCTATCCACTCGAAGTCTCAACACGGGGCACGAGACCATGCTCCGTCCTATCTCAATAATATCCCGAGAGAAATTCATCTCATCCCCGTGTTGCAGAATACTAGCTCATATTGTTACATGTGTTATACTAAGCTTATTTCCATAGTGTGAACCTTTTTGACGCCTTCAAGCCACTTATCTGCATCCCGCATCCCGCCTTCGAAAAAGCCAACCCGATACCACGACTGCTCGCTCTCTCCATCTGCTTCAGAGTTAACAGGCTTCACCACGATGCCTTGCAGTATCCAATCGCCATCCATCGCAATAATCGCAACGAAAATGCTCTGCTTGCCTTGCTTAATCTCGACGTCACCACTGCTATCAAGCAGACACTCCCCAATTTCCTGCATCCATCGTCCAGTGTCTTCGTCGATGAAGTCTTCGTCGACCTTGGGCTCGATTCCCTTGTTGACTGCATCTTCACGAACTTTCTCCATATGGTCTGCATCCATAACCCAATATACCCTCCGATTAGCGCGCATGAAGCACGGTACTATCGGTGCTCGGAGCACAAGGCTTCCGGAAACAACCTCACCGAACGGGACCTGCGAGGTTTTGAGCTGGGTTTCGCACATAATAACCTCGGCCACAAGATCGCCGACGTCTTCGCCATCGCATAGATTTATCTTCCCGTCCACAGCAGCCCACGACCACGAAGGCCCACGATAAACCGAAGGGCGTGAGCGTGATACGGGATCGAAGCGGTAGCTCCTGCGCCACAGGAGGTCCTTCAGAAGAGTGCACCGCCAGAGTCCTGCCAGATAGTCGCTCTGAATCACGAGCGAGAAATCTTCCGCAAGCGCAGCGACTGCGACAAGCTTGTCCGCAGGTACAGATAGCTCCCGCCTAGTATAGTCCGAGATGACTCTTCTCCACATTCGATATACACCCTTCGCAAACTCTTCTGCGCTCATATCAGTGTCGCGGAAATGGTGTATGGTGCGAGGCACTCTCCCAACCCAGAACCGATTGTCTGCGCCGCCAATGTTTTGAACGGTATCCCAGCAGACATACTGGATGGTGTGCGACGCAAAGACTAGTATGCGCGACGAGAGGTAATATTCCTGCAAACACCACGCACGTGTGTGCGTCGGCTCTTCCCACCAAGCATAGTGCGTTTGATCATCTGCTGCGAGAGTGAAAGTGACGGAACCCGTACCGCTTCCATCTGGGAGTATGAATGGGAGAGTGAATGAATCCGTGCAGAGGATATCTGGACGAATCTGTAAGAAGCCTTCGCTAACCCGTTGTGCGCTTGCGGCCACGATGGTAAGGTAGGAGTGGCGGTAGATAGAATGCATCTTGGAGAGCTCGTTGATCTTGTCTTTTTCGTCGTCCTGAATGATACACAAAGAATCAGCCCATAAGTAGCGTATGCCCAACCTATGAGTTGTATCGATGGCATCAAGGAGAGTTTGCGGGAGGCTGGTGCGATCAATGTGGTCCAAATAAGAATCGAGGTTCTGCTTCGTGGCTCTGTGAGGTTGTGGCTCGCCCCAAACATAGCTCAGAGCGACGTATCGATCATGTTGCCCATCGGTGTAGAAAAGGCGAGGGTTTGAGGGATTTCCACAATCAATTACGCGGGTAGGAAGGCTCGGGGAAGGATCAGGGGGTAGACATGACTCGCAAGAGCGATTACTGGCACAGTCCTGGAACCGATCCATCGCGAGAGATATGGCAAGCTCGGTTCCGACATCACGATATATGTTTCGTCCGCGTATGTATCTTGCTGCGGGGTCGTCTATATTTGCGATGAGTCAGCTGCACCTTTCTAAAGGGAAATGTACATATGTTGAAATGCTCGCCTTCTCTTGTGTACATGTAGACACGGTGATTATTGACTTCCTTGTCCACCACAGCCACATAGGAATCCTCGGATGGGTCATCTAGAAGTGAGCAACGGGTCGACTATCTTTCGCCATATATGAATGATAGATAGTGCACACACCTGCATTCGGATAATACCTGTATATGGGCTTATCATCAGCCTCGACGGAGTTCACAGCCACGCAAAGCTCTGAATCTTCCATGCCCCCAGATTCGTACCCAACTCGAACCGCCACTGCTCTTTTAGGGTCCCTACCCTTCTCCACACCCGGGTCCAAACATCTGACCAGGAACTGGCACCAGCGACAGCCTTGATTGGCGCGGATGCGTATATCTTCTGGGGAAGTCGCGTATACAAATCCACCTGTCAGATCTTCCGTATTCATAGGGGGTAACAGAATGCCAAAATGGTTCTCCACGACGCCAGTTGTACATAATTGACATAGTTCAGAAGGTTTGAAGCTGTCAAAAGTTAACGATCCTCTTGTTGGTTACACTGGGAATTGTTGGTCATGTGGGTACGTACTTTTCTATTCCCGAAGGTGATTCCATACGTGAAGCAGGCGACAACTGCGAGGTACTCAAGATTATAATTTGAGGCAAGAACCGGAAGAGATCGATAGAAAGACAAGGGCGCAGCTACAAGGCTTCACACGTGGGTAAGCTGTGGGCGTTTATCGATGTCGGTTATCTTTGAGTTACCGGTGCTTTGTGTGGTATAGACGCCAAAGGCAACATGCATGACATTATGTCAGTATTTCCACTCGTACGAAACTGCAGCTATTGACCGTAGCAACCCCTTTACCCATCGCTCATGTCGCCCTCTCCACCCAGAAGAAACTGTCCATGTGCTCCTCGAACCACATTCTAAGCCCTCCATCCAGTACCGGGGCATCTTTGATGTCAATGTCCTCAATGCGAGCCACATCGTGCCTCATCTCGCACATGCGCTGGAAAGCGCTTGCAGAGAACGCAGTGCATCCGCCCAAAATCTCGATGCGCGACATGTATGGACATGCGAGGCCGTCTTCGTCCTTGTTGCAATACGCTAACGCTCCGAGCAGCCAATCGTCAAAACCAGGACAGTCCTTGACAATCAAGGCGCACCCCTCCCAGTCCTGTATCATGCGAAGGATGGTGCAGCTTGAGCGGATACCCGTGAGACGGAGTTCCTGGCCGGACATAGGGCTGCGTGACGATGATTCGCATCCCTCGACGTCGACGGTGCCGAGATGTGGGGAACGGATGGCATTGCAGAGTGAGGATACGAGTGAACCTCGGAGAGCATTTAGCCCTAGCCACATGAGCTGCTCAATGCGGGGGTAGGTCTGGTAGTCATCGTCGCCATCGTCCGTGTCAACTTCAACGTTGTCGATATCGAGGTCAACGAGGTTAACATCATCCAACACCTTGAGGGCGTTGACGACATTGCGCGCACCAAGAGCAAGGAAAGGGGTGTCTGGGCGGTATTTGGTGATTCGGAGGTCGAAGCGATCAGGAACCGTAGGCCAGCTGATTACGCAATGCGAAAGATCAACGAAGCTTTTGGCGTCTATTGCGAGTACGGAGATGGAAGGGCATTCGAAAGATGACATTTCAAGAGAGGAGGTATCGTCCGTCTCCTGAGAGACAAGCGCCAAATACACGAGCTTGGGAAGAACGGCGCCGTTCAAGAAACGACTGGCATGAACAACAGATGAACGGAAAACCGAGTTGATGGAGAGACTTAATAAGCGCCCGAAGTATGGAGGTAACAGTTGAACGACAGCGCTGAGCCTTTCACCCTCTTGAGAAGCCACCGGCGTGCGTGAATTCGCAGAACTCAGTGCTACGACGATCTCGATTTTGTCCAGAGAGGCTACCATTGAAAGGAATGTCGCGATGATATCGATGGAGAAGGTAGGACTGTCAATGATGATCTTGAAGTTCTTCCAGTAGAGCGGGTTCATCGCGAGAACCTCGAGCCATCTGCGACAGACGGGCGCCAGTGACTGAGCGATAGGTGCTGTGAACTTGTTTTCCTCCTCAACGGAGGCGACGACGTGATCTCGGATGCGGCTAGCCCAGAAAAAGATGTCGAGTAGAGTTTCAGTCGGCAGCTGCGTAATGGGGGAGGAGCTGTGATGAAGGGGAAACTCGCTGGCAGCTGGAGTCGCCATCGCAGGCTGTAATGTCCAAAGTTAAAGCAAGGCATGTTTTCCGCATATTCAGCTTGTGACTCACCCTCAGGGTTTGCTCTTTTGATCCGTACTACAAGCCAGACGCCTCTTAGTGCCGAATCTTTGCTCTCTAGACGGAACGGTATGGATGGTAGAAGAACCAGTGGAAACGGATGAAAGTGCGACAGACGAGAGGTGCACGCGGTGACCGCCGTCTCGCCAGGCAGAAGCTTATCGATTAACCTCTCCTGTTATAGCTGGCATGATCCGCATCATTGCATTTAAGTTGCGCCCAAGTCGTCTGGTAATATTGCGTTGTGCCCAAGATCATTGTTATGAGTTGTTACGTACGTTGCGTTGTGATTGATATTGGGCTGTCGCGACGGCGTGCGGCAAGTCGAATCGTCTGAATCTAAAGCGGAAGCGGAGTTCTAAATCCCTCAGCACAACGCAATTCGCACGGTTTGTATCTTAGACATATCGACTTCTATTCAATTACTGAGGTAACAAATTTCTGTGTAAAAAGTGAGATAAGAAAGCTCATCCGACGTTCCCTTCAAGGGCCAGCGAGGGACACCTTTAAAAGGTGCATCGAACACTTACTCCTGCATGCAACAACGAACATAGATCGCCATTTGTAAGGTCCTGGCAAGGTGGCATCTCTCTCATTGTTAGGCTTTCAATGCGAGCACCACTACCACCTATATCTTTATTCCTCTCCGTAATCATTCGACGTAGCGCGCTGGTGGTGTAGCTAGAGCATGCATCGATCTCGAGGCTTCTTAAATCAGGGCAGGCGAAGCGCTTGTCTACCCGACTGCGCAAAGCCAGGGAGCCAAGGAACCAGTCGTCAAGTCCCGCGCAGTCTTCAATTATCAACCCAGATCCTCTCCAGTCTTGAACCACATGGAGGAGTGAGCAGCTCGAGGATATGTCGATTAGGTGAAGCTTTGCGCTGAAGAAAGAGCTGCAGTGCTCTACTTCACACCTCGCAATGGTGACCATTCCAAGGGCAGACGATGAGATAGCCTTGCTCATTGCGGATACAACGGATCCATCCAGTTCACACAACGAGATGGTTTCCAGACTTGTCAGTTGCGGGACTACTTCCGTGGAAAACTCGTCGCAGTCAAAGGCTGCATCTTCGATTACGAGGCGAAGTCTGAACTGTTCATCGTAGGGCGCCAGCGCCTTGATAAAGTCCACAAAGCTCACAAAATCCGAGCTCTCCTGGGGCCGGTAACTTGTGACTATAAGGTCAAATTGGTGGTTGAGCAAGTCTTGGGAATTATTGGCTGCTTTGAGACTGAGAAAGCTTTTGGCGTCGATCCATGCCTCGGTAAGAGAAGGGACTTGAAGAGCACATAGCTGTAGAGGCGCGGCAGTGTCTGTGTGGTGTGAGACAAGACGTAATGAGCCCAGCTTGGACATTGTGGTACCGTCAAGAAAGCGACTCATGTTGACAAGAGACGAGCGATAGAAAGTGTTGATGTGGAGGAGCGATATCCGCTCGAGGTGCGGCAACATAAGGTGCATAATGAGACCTACGCGTTCGCGCTCCTGCGACTCTGTGAGGGAAAATGAGTCAGGATCCTCGTGAGCAATGGTGACCTCAATTTCGTTGTCTCGTGAGGCTTGAAAGAACGTTTTTATGACCGATGGAATAAAGAGATCGCTGTCAATAACAATTTCGAGGGATCGCCAGTACACTTTTTTCATTGCAAGTACGTCGCGCCAGTGACGACAGACAAAGGCGAGTTGCTGCGCGGTAGACTCAGTATACTCCTGGCTTCGGAGCTCTTTTTCTTCGCGGCTGTTTCGACCGTACTGGGCCCTGACACGAAAAAGAGTCTCGGAGTCAACGCGAAGTGGACGCTGACTAGCCCAATAGAAAATCATGAGTAGAACTTCTACCGGAAATAACATGAAGGGAGACGAGGACTGCCTCGTGTAGATGACACCTTTGTTGAAGAGCTTTGCGAGATTGACATTAGTAGGGTCTACAGCATCTGCATAAATCCATCTCTCACCATGGCTACCTGGGATTTGCGCCGCGTTATCTGGATCCTAGAAGAGGCTACGGTATTTTAGCGCGAGCGAGGGAGATATGTCGACAGAACAGCTTCAAGAGGGACGAGATTTCCAGAGCTCCATTTAAGCTTCTAACAAGTGTACGCATAGACCTTATCGTGATGGTCCAAGTGGGAGTCGCTTGGTCCCGCGCAACCCAAGCTCGCTGGTGACGGCTTTTGGGGTCTGACTTTCTCGGGCTCGGAGGTCTAAGCCAACTCCGAAGGTCCAAGCATGGGTCAATCTCCGATGATCGGCGGACTAATGGTGTTTGACTTCAAGGAAGTAGGAATTTTGAGCCATGGGGGCCTGTGCAACTTTAATCCATGACATACCCTGTTACCTTTTGGGTTGTTCGGTAGAGGGTCGCTGCGAAATCGGCAGGCAGCACAAATTAACATCATACTCTACTGTAATGACGGTCCATGCAGCACGCAACGCGCATGCCTAGGTAATCCCGACACATGAGACAGTTGGGTTATGCACCAGTTTTCCGTGAAGAAGCTCGTAGGTAGAAGGTTAACCTGACGCAAATCTGTGGATAGCACAATTAGGTATCGAGCTCTACTGTAGTTGCAACGATTAAAATGGACACCGTCCTACATCTGCTTTTCCTCCCATGTAAAAGTTTCGAGATTCTCTTCAAACCAGTGCCTCAGACCTTCGTCAAGCTTTGGACCATCAGACACTCCGACAGATGTGAGATGATCAAATTCATCTTCATCTGCGCCTCCCGTTCGCCAAAATTGTAGCCTCATTTCGCACATTCTCTGCAGCGCGCTTGCGGAAAACGTGCATCCAGTGATCTCGAGACAAGCCAGTTCTGGGCAAGCGAAACGCTGTGAATGCCGCTCGCTACAGAACGCCAGAGAGCCGAGAAACCAATCATCGAAACCTTCACAGTCTTCGATAATGAGCTTAATACCCTCCCAGTCTTGGACCATGCGAAGAAGCGAGCAGCTGGATCTAACACCGGCAACATGAAGTTCGCCACAGAAGATGAACCCGCATCGTTCAGCTTCACATCTGACGACACTGGCACCATCAACGTCGTGGGAGTCCAAGCTATTGCAGATCGCGGAGAATGCTGGACCTTCCAAGTCATAGACCTCGAGGCTGTATAAATTCGCGAGCAGCGGGCGTTGGGGGACGTAGTCCTCGCATGCAAGAGCTATGTCGTGAATCTCCAGATTAAGATGCCTTTGCGCGTCGACTAGACGTAGTGCCTCGAAAAGCTCAGTCGCGGTTGGGGCGGAGGAAGCTTCTTTGGGTCGGAACTTCGTGATGGAGAAGTTGAAAAAGTCATAATCGTCGGAGGACGTGAGGAGTTCGGACGTCGCAACGCCGGCCTTCATGAGGTCGACGAATGATCTCGCGTCGGTATGTAGCGAGCGAATGCGGGGGAACTGCAGAGCAGAGCAGTTCAAATGAGCAGTATCGTCTGTATCTTGGGAGACGAGGCGTAGTTCGGAGAGTTTGGACATGACCGCGGCATTGAAGAAGCGGCTTATATTCACAACAGTAGATCGGTAGAAGGTGTGGATGTTGAGTCGAAACAGCCGACCTAGATGCGGTGCCATATGCTTCATGATCAACACCAGTCGTTCTTGCTCTTCGTCCGGAGTGAGAGAGCGCGATGTGAGGTCTCGGGGAGCAACAGTGACGCGGATTGTGTTATCGCGTGATGCCGCAAAGAACGTTTTGATGATGGATGAAATGAAGGTTTCGCCGTCGATGGTGATGTTTAGGGACTTCCAGTAGACTTCCCTCATTGCGAGGACATCTCGCCATCTGCCACAGACGAAGGCAAGCTGCTGGGAGGTTGCCGCAGTGTACCACGAGTTTCGCGCCTCTTCGTTTTCACGGGTCGTCATAAGGGCAAACCTGCTGTGCTTGACTCGCCGTCGACTTGCCCAGTAGAAGATCATGAGCAGGATCTCGGCTGGTAGAAGCATGATCGGCGGGAGGGCTTGGTCGCGGGTCTGAGAGTTAGTGGTTTTGAGAAGAATTTCGCCTGTCACTTCAACGTGGAGACCCACCATCATAACTTGAATGAGATGGCTTTGGAGACTTGGGTGAAACGAGTGATTCTGTGCTTTGAAGATGTGAAGTCACTGTTGAAGCTAGCGTTGTACTGGACCTGGTAACACGTTAGAGAAAGCTGGACGCGTTGCCAGTGAACGCGAAAGGAGCGAGTTGGAGCGCGTCGTCGCGACAACCAAAACGTTGACCTCGGGCCGGACTGCCGCGGAGTTTCAATCCAACTTCGCGGTCGCAGTCGCATGTTCGAAGGCTCGCCTGGGCTCGACTTCATCGCGCTTCAATGCACTTCAGTCAACTTCACCGTTCGATGGCTTTAGCGCTATCGTCGTTTCCATATAGGAGCCTCGCTCTCGCAGCAATTGTGACATGAAGTCTCGCCCGCCAAGCACTTAACGGACTGCATGTGTTTTCGCATCGATATCGTTCTCATACAGGTCTTGTGAGCCAAGATTCTATCATCCTTCCACCTTGGTGTTAACGTGCAGGTTCTAGAGAAAGATTTTTGTGGAATGTTCTTACACGATCGTGGGCAGGAGGCAGCATGCGACGCAAGGCCGCCTTGTTCTAATCAAGGAGTCCGGTGGGAATATGATGACCTATGCGCCGCCTGTGCGCCGGTAGCTGGCCATGCAGCACACGACAAGACACTGATTTACAGCTTGATAAGGCGAGCAATTCTCGAGGCACTTCTTAGAATTAGTTCATTGATACACCTCCAATGTCCTGTACCTTTATGGCCAGGTACGCTCTTGCACTATATTTGGCCTGTACCATATGTGCGCCTCTACCCGTGACGTACTCGCGCAATCAGCAACTGGGGATACGCGACCCATAATACGCGGAAGCTGGGAACGGCTGGTACGCTTATAAGCTCCCTACCCTCGTCCAGGGGCGGCGTCGTAAGTCTCTCTTGTTGCCCACTTCAAGGTGAAGATGAGGTTCTTAGCTCGAACAGGTCTCTCCCTCGCTAGTGCCCTCTTGGCGAGCCAACTTGTTTATGCAGCACCGAAGTCGTTCAGAGGATGCTCACACAAGTTGAAAGAGAGTATTGCTGGCCCGCCCCACGGGTGGACGCCCGTCGCAGCTGCTCCCAAGGACCACGTCATCGACCTCAAGATCGCGCTGCCACAGCCTAACTTCGGCACCCTCGAGAAGCATCTATGGGAGGTCAGCGACCCATCTCACACTCGCTATGGTGCACATCTCTCCAAGGAGGAGGTCGACGAGCTGATGTCGCCGCACCCTGAGAGTCTTTCGATTGTGGATGAGTGGTTGGCAAGCCACGGGTTTGACGAAAGCCAGCTGGTGCGGTCGCCTGCGAAAGACTGGGTCACCATCCGCGTGCCGGTTGTCGTCGCGGAAGAGATGCTTGGTACCGTGAGTCGGTTTCTTACAGTTATCGGTATGTGTACTTACAGAGTCTTTGGTAGACGTACCATATCTACGAGCACAGCGCCTCCGGAGACAGCATTGTTCGCACGACGAGCTACAGTTTGCCCGAAGTTCTCCATGACCACATCGACCTTGTTCAGCCTACTACCATGTTTGCGCGGTTCAAGCCGATGAAGAGCTCGTTGCACTGGTCGACCCTCACTCCTGCTTCCCCATCGACGTCTACCGGCACAATCACTGGTCCCGCTGGTAACCAGGTTGACGCGAGCTGCAACGAAACGGTATGTGACGTCATTTTACGCTTCTTTTCGGATCTTTTATCATGGTTTGCACGCATACAGGTTACGGTCACCTGTTTGAAACAGCTCTACAACTCCGTGGACTACAACACTACCGCGACGAACGGAAATCAGATTGGTCTGACAGGATATCTCGGCCAGTACGCCAACTACGATGACCTCGAGCAGTTCTATGAACTCGAGGTTCCTGACGCGTACGGCTCCAACTTCACGTTCGTGTCTGTCAACGGTTCGTCTTTCCACTGATCTCGCATTTCTTGTGTCCTCATTTGTTTGAAAGGTGGTCAGAACGACCAAGACCCTGCAGATGCCGGTGTTGAGGCCAACCTTGACACTCAATTCGGTTTCGGTTTGACATACCCGACGCCTGGCACTTTCTGGTCTACCGCTGGCGAGCCGCCATTCATCCCTGATTCGCTAGAAGCAAATGACACGAACGAACCCTACTCTTACGTGAGTTTAGTAACTATCTTTGACTTGCGCGGGCTCACCTTTCTTGCTTAGTGGCTCTCGTACATCCTCGACCAGACTGACATCCCCCAGGCAATTTCTACCTCTTACGGAGATGATGAGCAGACTGGTACGCTACACCTCACACCTTGACTCTAAATCTTAGTTCTTGATGAGTTTGCTACATCTAGTTCCCTACAGCTATGCCTCTCGCGTGTGCAATGGCTTCGCTGCTTTGGGTGCTCGTGGTATCTCTATCATGTTCTCCTCTGGAGACGGCGGTGTCGGAGACGGAGACGCAGACCCGGCTACCCAAGAATGTTACTCCAACGATGGAACGAACCGCACTATATTCATCCCTGGATTCCCCGCTAGCTGTCCTTAGTAAGTGCCTTAGATTCATCATGGCCTCAATTGACGACTGACACTCCCAGCGTCACTGCTGTTGGCGGTACTGTGAACATCCCTGAGACGGCCGTTTTCTTCTCTGGTGGTGGTTTCAGTGACTACGTTCGTGATATTTGCTGCCATCATCGGGATGCTTACTTACGATAGCGTACAGTTTGCTCGCCCTTCGTATCAAGACTCTGCGGTGGAAGGCTATTTGGAGAAGCTGGTGCCTGGGACGTACGAAGGCCTCTATAATGCGTGAGTTCCAGTGGCATCACTTGTTCCGGCAACTCATCTCCTACCTCGATCAACAGCTCTGGTCGTGTATGTTCATCCGTCTTATTCATAACTGTATATGACCTCACGACTGAAATTCTACAGGGTTACCCTGACGTCGCAGCACAAGCGTACAACTTCCTGATCGTTTATCAAGGGCAAACTGGCTACGTTGCCGGAACGTCGTGCGCCTCGCCGACGTTTACGGCGTTCGTGTCCTTGCTCAACGATGCTCGCATTAACGCCGGTAAATCCTCGCTCGGGTTCCTGAACCCGTTCATCTACTCTGGAGGATACGCTGGACTGAATGATATCACGGAGGGCAACAACCCAGGATGTGGCACTGAGGGATTCAACGTGAGTGCCTCGTCTCTTTTCGCATGTTCAGCAACTTATATCACCGTTTGCAGGCTACGATTGGATGGGATCCTGGTACGTATTGTGTACCCGATCCAGCGCACAGGCAAAACTAACCTCGGCTTCAGTTACTGGGTATGGTACGCCCAACTTTGAGGCGCTCAAGGCATTAGTTCTCTAGAATATTACTAGGACATTGTGATTCACTTGTATATAACAGAGGATGTTGAGGCAATAACACCATCATGTGTCTTAATACTTTGCCTTGAGAGCGCAAACAGGTGTAACCCTTCCGAAGTCCATGTGTGTGACTTGTCGGCATTTGCCGATCTTTTTTCTACGCGCACGAAACTGGACCCACAACCGTCCTTGCTCAGCCGATCGGGCGCCTTGCAACTACTTATGTCGTGTACCACCATCAAGGTGCATCCCAGCGCTGAGGATGATCTCACCTCCCATCACGGATTGGATGCTCGAGTATGCATCCCGCAGCGCGAACCAAACCTCGGGAGACCTACCCTTCAGCGGACACGCGGGACGTATCCGCGCTATCGAGTACTCGCCAGACAACAGGTTTCTCGCAACAGCAGGTGAAGATGCCACAGTACGCCTCTGGAACCCCGATACCGGGAAGTTGATTCGATTGTTGAAGACGTCTTACCCAGCCTATTCACTCTCAATCTCTCGCTCGGGGCGTCGGCTCACCGCAATATGTTCAGCACAAGACGCCAAGACATCTCACGTCCTTGTATGGAACATGGAGAAGAACGCGGACACTCTCGGGGAGTTAGACGGGCTGGAGAGGGAATACGACAGCGGCGACCCACCGTTTGGAGTGCACATGGTCAAGTTCTCGCCAGATGAGAAATGCATCGCGGTTATGACCCCTGTCCAGCTCGTTTTGCAAGACGCACGGTCCGGCGACATGTTGCTGGAGGTCACCAAGCTGGATGACCATCGTCGATTTTCATCGCTGCTTGCTTTTTCTTCCCGATACCTTCTCTTTGTACGACGTGACCGCCTAATGCTGGAGCTGCTTCGTTATGACATGGGCATCAAGCAAGAAGCTGCATTCCACTTCTCTGGCTCAGCGCCTTCTCTAGATTCTTCGTCATTGTCATGCTCCCATGATGGAAGTATGGTAGCTGGAGCCGCGCCAGAGGGAGGGATCCAGGTCTGGGACACCGAGAGCGGCGACGTTCTACATGGCCCGCTTCTTGGACACGTAGACGTCATATCCAGCACCTGCTTCTCCTGGGACGGACAGTTGGTTCTTGACGGTTCTCACGCAAAAACGCTTTGCGTGTGGGATAGCTCGACAGGAGATCTCGTTCGTGGACCACTCGGTGACGGGTCGCAAGCAGAGGTCAGGCTCATTGCTTGTTCTCCTGCAAATGATCGCATTGCATGCGTCGATGATAATGACGCTGTTCACGTCTGGGACGTCGAAGCTGTAAAGGTCATCCTCTCGTCGGTGAGTGGATCTTGCCAGTGGTGGTCACTTTGACTAAGCATCAGACAACTCAGCGCGTAGACCCACCTGATGAAAACCGAATATTACTCTGCCGTTCCCGGCATGGTTGGATTAACTCCATTCAGTGGTTTCCAGATGGTCGTTACTTCATCAGCAGTAGCCCGCGTGACGACTACATACGCACTTGGGATGTCGAAACAGGCAGGCAGGTCGGCGAGCTCATGTATCACGGAGGCTCGTGCATTGCCCTGTCGGGAGACGGTGCCCTGTTAGCGGTAGGGTCCACTCGCGAGCTTGGTTCAGTCACTCTTTTCAATGCGACCTCCGGTAAGGAGTATGCCCCTCCCCTCATGGGCCCTGGTAGCCAGACCAACAAGCTGCAGTTTTCGCCCAATGGTTCAGTCTTGGCTGTCATTCTGAAGAAGAGCGGCACCCTCCATTTCATCTATGACGTTCTCGGCCGCCGTAAAGTCGAGATGATTCATACAACCGGTACGGCAGTCCTCGATGTTACCTTCTCCCCAGATGGAGAGCAATTTGCCTACGCAACAAAGGATGATCACAGTATCCGTGTTTGCAGCGTTCGTACTTTGAAGGTCTCTGCTGAGCTGAAAGCACAGAGGAGTAATACCCGTTCCGTATCTTTCTCACCCAATGGCCGGCATCTGCTCGTGGACGGCTACGCCGACGTGAAAGTCTGGGACCTTACGAGAGGACAGCCAAATCATGAAGTTCGTACACAGCAGAGCGATACTACGCTTGCTGAGTACTCTCCCGATGGGCGCACGTTTCTTACCAACTGGAACTCCCATGGCATGAACACACCCGATGCTGGAGTCGAGCTGTTTGATGCAGTTCGAGGAGATCGTCTTTGGTGCTTGCAGGAAAGAGAGAACATAACAGCACTGGCGTTTTCCCCTCGTGGTGATAAAATAGTTGTCAGCTCCTGGGATGGGCCAATGAAAGTTTTGGAGGCTTTTACGGGTAAGGTTCTTTTGGCAGGAGGCACAGAGGACCCCTCAATTCACCCAGAAGATGTGAGTGCCATTTCGTTCTGTTCATGACCCCGCTTCTTCGAGTTCTCATCAAGAAATATTGCAGATATCCATGTCATTGACACGGCCATATGCGACGAGACCCAAAGATATGCCCAAACAAACAGCTGCTCCGCCTGATGTAGACGATGACTCAATCCTTAATGTGAGTTCAAGTTGTCGCAGTGTATTGTTCACACGAGGAAACGACGTTTTGTTAGATACCTGCAACTCTAAGTCCTGCTGCTCGCGTACGCTATGATACCAGAGAACAGGAATCAGTCAGACGAACGCCTCCCATTGACACCCACGATGGCATCAGACGCAGCTCTCGCTCAAGTTTATTCACGAACCTAGCCTCGCGAATTGGGATTAGACCAGTTAACAATATGGCCAGGAATCATCATCGTCCACGGGTGTTCCGACTTGTCAGCATTGCACAATCCAAACCGGTGAGCATTCAATATTCAATCTTTGGCATGGACAAGTGATAGGCTTATAGCTCGTACTCACAGCGCGTGCTAGCTGGCGGTGCACCAGGGCCTCGACGGCGACACGGCGATCAATCGTCTCTCGATGACAACTCCGAGTCGTCAGACCCTTCTCCTCCTACATCGACCAGGACACATTCACCTCCTACCAACGGGGCGGAGAATAGGAGCAACACATCAAGTACCAATTGGTTCATAGACTACATGTGCTATTGCATTTGTTTATCTTGTCGTCGCGGGGGCGAGGAGACTCTCATCATCTAAAACTTGTGTAGGAATATTTTCTGGCCTGAATGGATTTTTCGCCATCAAATCAGAGTACATAGCATGCTGACCTGGGCTGCGCACACAATCGGCGATTTTATCTGGGATGAAATCAAGAAAAAGAGGCAGTGAGATGAAAGCCTTTACCAAGCCTTTACCTCCGAGTTTTGTGCCCCCTTTTGACACAGGAAAATGTATTCTTTTAGCCAACAATTATGAACATTTTGCGCTGTTAAAGGTGCGGCTTACCATATTTGGCGCCAAATTTCCAACTTTGGACATAATATTATCCATTCTCCGCCCCAAAATGCATACTCCGAGGCGAAAATTTAAACTTTTCAGCGACTTTTCTTGCAGAAAATACCGACCGGAAAAGGCTTTCATCGGTCCGCTCTTTTGAACCACTTTCTGTACTAAGAAAATCGCAATTTGTCTGCAGTGGCAAAAGGAAGTCGTAGCGCAGAACTTACTGAAGCGGAGTTGAAGCTGACGTGCCGGCGTTTGCCGAGTTTTTTAATGTCGTGCAAATGCGGACCCACTAGAGCTCCATTGAAGGATTACTTCGCTGCTAAGGTGTACCTCCATCACGCCCCTCCCCCGCAACTGAAACAGTCTCGATTGCCATCAGTGATTGGGTGCTCGCATCCATGCTTTGCGACGGAGCGAAAGAGCGCTTACGACCTTTCAAAGGACATTCGGGAAGTGTCACTTGCATCGAGTACTCGCCCGACAATCGATTTCTCGCTACAGGCGGCGATGATGGCACCATACAGCTCTGGAACCTGCGGACCGGCGAGCAAACCCAACTGATGACCCCTAATTACGCAGTCCGGACGCTCTCAATCTGTCGTTTCAGCCGACGTCTTGCTGCGATCTGCGCAGACATGCTTATTGACAACGCCCGTGTCTACGTCTATGATGTGGAGAAGCTACCACAGAGTAGTATGATCCCATTAGAGACCGGATATGACAATGGCCTACACGACCAGACATTCATGGTCAAGTTCTCTTCCGACGGAAAACTGCTCGCTGTGATGATGCCTCTGGAATTCGTGGTACAAGATGTAGAATCGGGCACTTTGGTAGCGCAAGTGCCTACACCAGTGCTCCACTTCTACAGCTTTATCTCCTTCTCTCCTGACGACCGGCATATCGTCTTTGCAATTGCTGATAGCGCCGACGCGAGGGACTTGCGTACTTTCAGCCTGGATTCGAATCAAGAGACGAATGTGAAGCCCAAGATAAGGGCCAGTGATCCGCTTTGCTGTTCTCCTACTGGAGATATGGTTGCTGGAAGTTTGCCAGATGGAGGTTTTCAGATCTGGGACACAGCGACAGGGGCCACTATACAGGGCCCGCTTCGGGGGCCTATCGACATGACTTTTAGCATATGCTTTTCATCAGACGCGAGTTGGGCGATCGACAGCGCAGAGAGCAGAACCATCTGTGTGTGGGATACATCTAGTGGAGCGCTAGTTACAGGACCTCTAAGGCACGACAGGTTACAAGGAGGCATTCGGGCGGTCGCGTGCTCACCGCTGAAGGATCGCATTGCATGCCTATCAGACAAAGATGAGGTGGTTGTCTGGGACGCAAAGACGAATGAAGTGGTCCTTTCATCTGCAAGTTTATTTTCTACTCTATATGCATGTGATCACCAACTAATATTCAATTTTACGTTATCTAGTGGCAAGATCCCATTCAGGAGACACGACCTAGCCTGCTTTACCACTCGAACCATGTTATGATCAACGCTATACAATGGCTTCCGGACGGTCTTCATTTTGTCAGTAGTTCCCAATCTGATGACTATATACGCACCTGGGATGCTCGTATAGGCAAGCACGCCGGGGAACTTTTGTTCCACGGTGGTTCCCTAATCGCGTTGTCCGGAGACGGTAGACTTCTGGCAGCCGGCTCAACTAGTGAATTCGGATCTATCGCTCTTCTTGACGCAAAGTCTGGGCAAGAACATGCTCCTCGAATGTGCATTGGTAGCAAGACTCGCAAACTGCAGTTCTCTCCCGATTCGTCAGCTCTCGCTATCGTGCTTCAGCAGGATGGCATTCTACATCTAGTGTATGACCTCATGGGAGGCCGCAACACTGTCGCAGTCCCCAACACGAGCAAGGTCATTGATATTGACTTTTCTCCGGATGGAAAATACCTGGCATACGCAAGCCAGAATTCCCCTAATGTACGTGTCTGCGATACACACACTCTGGATGTGGTCTTCGACCTGAAGGGGACTCAGCCAGCAGACAACTACACTTGGGTGTCCTTTTCGCCAAACGGTCGTCACCTGCTTGTATCTGGAACTTACGCACTTGCAATAGTCTGGGATATAACTACTAACAGTCGGTCCCTCACTGTACGTCGAGAACCGGGGCTCGTGTTCGCAGCAGCGTTTTCTCCAGATGGACGGACATTTGTCATATCTAGGTACAACGTTGGCCCGGGCGTCGTTGAAGTGGAGATGTTCGCCACAGTCAGTGGGGAGTCTATCTGGCTCTTATCAGGTACAAAGTATACCGTGTCGGCCTTCGCATTCTTCCCAGCGGGGGAGAAGATCGCAATCAGCTTCCTGAATGGTCCAATGCAGGTGTTGGAATCCTCAAGTGGTCGTGTACTTCTGTCAGGTGGCGTAGAGGAGCCATCATCCGATGAAGAAGAAGTACGTTGATTTGCGTGTGCTGCTTGATACCGGTACCTGAGCTAACCCCTTGTTCTCATCAGCCTCACAACAAGCGGACACAACGGGAAGTCAGAGGCTCTCGCCTTTCCGACATTGACGCCGAGTCCATCTTGAATGTGAGTCCTCTTCAAACCTCATAGTCCAACGCTCACTAGGTTATAGATACCTGCGACTCTAAGCCCTGCTGCGCGAGCGCGAGCGGGCTTGCAAAAGCAAGAATCGCAAGTCCAAGCTACGAGAAGCAAGCAACAGAATCCAGGAGAGGGACCCTCTCGCCAAGGGCTCGCTGCGCGTCTCCGGCTTACCTTTGCGTCTCGTGAGTCTGGCGAAGTACGTCAACCACCACCGGAGTCTTTCCGGCTCATACGCGCTGCTAAAGATAAAGCGGTAAGCCTATACCAACTGTAACAGGCACTCGAATTCTTATTGTTGACTTCGTCGTAGCGAGTGCTCGCTGCGGGCAGACTTGAAAATAATCGACGGCGGCGGGGTGACCAAACCTGGGATGAAGATAGCTTATCCATCGGCCCATCCCCGCCGGGTTCGGACCGGGCAAACTCGCCTCACGCAGCTGCGGCTGCATCAGGAGAAACCAAGAGCAATACGTCAGGTAGCAATTGGTTCACGGACTATCTGTGCTATTGTGTGTGTATTCCGCGTCGCCGGCGAGGTTAGGCTTCACTAGTCACTACCCATTACTGCTGTCCACCTTGAAGAACTTTATCGTCAGTCGAGTCGCTTTTTCACTCATATACCCCTTAAGTCTTTCAAAAGAAGATAAAACGTTAATTAAGGAGGGGAGAACACCACCCAAGCACCAGTGCGACGAAGTTTTGATATTTTACAGTTACTACCCTAAGCGACACTATACCCTTGAATTACTACATCTGCTACGAGTCCCAGTCCTCTAGCGCGAACGCCAAAATTCCCAACACAGACGATGGGTCCCCCGAACTACTAATCAATCCCTCAACTCCCCGCCTGATAAACCTCACAAGCCCATCCAGCTCCTTCGACATTCTGTCCAGTCTCATTGAAAGGTCCTCGTCACCATCTGCACCTTCAACGTGTGACGCATCAAACGTCCTTTCTGCGCCCTCGACATAGCTGTATGCCTCCCTCTCGTCTTCGGAATCTGTATCCTCGTCGGACGACGCAGATGGTGGCATTGGCGAAGGCGAGTCAAGCGAGAACCCGATAATGTTCCGGCGGGCACGGGCCTGCCTGCGCGAGCGGTGCTTGCGGATGTTGATGGAGAGGCGCGATGTGTCGTGCGTTGTATCCCCCGCGAAGGAGATAAACACGTCAGAGAAGTGGATGCACATGTCGAGGATGGAAATGACGGCTTTGTGCAGGGATACGGCCTATCAGAGGGATGACATAATGAGTTAGCATAATTGGATGCGAGCATGAAACGACGTACGTTAGGTTGTAGCAAGCAGAGGCTGTGTATTTTCTGCAGGCTGCACCCATGTCAGGATTGAGAGAAAGAAGACGGAGAAAGAGACGTACTGGTCACCATGAACACGAATCATCTGGTCCAAGGACCTCGCTTTTCGGAACTCCTCGCGAAACTTTCGAATCTGGGCTTGGATTACGTACGTTGTGAAGAAGTTCAGCAACGTGCTAGCAAGAAACCATGGTCAGCTCATGCCAGCACGTTCAAAGCGTGTGGCATTAGACCTACTTGATAAACCAAGACAACTTCCCCCGCATTGCATAAAATACCTTCAGCTCTGCCTGTAGCTGCTTCTCTCTGGCGCCAGCGTCTAGCACCGAGCTCCTGATGATGATCCTCTCCAGCAGGCGCTTTGCTCGGCGCACCTGCACGAGGAACACAAGGATGGATCCATACGTCTCGAGGACATTAGGCGTGAAAATGTAGGTGAGCGGGAACGGCACTGCGTACTCGACGAGCAGGCCCTCGAACACGCGTACGCTCCTGGGCACTGCGGAGGAGCTCCCGCGGAATGAGAGGCGGACGAGAGGGCTCTCGATCCACTTCGAGGAACCTGAGGAGCGCGCGGCGACGGTTTCGCTGAAGGCATTGTTAAGGAAATGGAAGTCGTTCCAGAGATGGGATGTATCCATCTACGATGTCGGGTCAGTACTGATAAGGGTCCCATGAGCAAAGATGAAAGTCGAACCTTCGAAAACAATACGTCTAAGAAACCCACCACATCATCTTCCACCATCAAGTACAGCCCCTGTAGCGCATGCATATGCTTGAACAAGTCGCAGTCCTCCGTGAGCACGCGCGTTAGCCGCACGTCCGACGCATCGCAATACCCGACGATGTCGTCCCGCACGAGATACGAGAGCATCTCCAGATCAAACGAGCCGCCAGTCCCAACCGTAAACGTCTCAAGAATCTCGTCAAACCTTCTCCATGCCAACAACACACTCAGCTGCTGCATCCCGTCCCCGTCCCCGTCTCCTTCTTGCTCCGCCGCCGCAGGCTGATACACCAGCGCCCTCAACAGCCCCACCGCCTTGCCCGCATTCAAAATCCTCTCAACCGAGTTCCTGAAGATTCCCGGAATCGGCGCGACAAACTCGCCGTTATCCGCAACCTCAGGCTCAGTCCTCGATATATAGCTATCCGACCAAAAATCCGGATCCAGCAACGGCAGCTCCTGGTCCTCGATGAAGAACTCCTCGTCCAGATTGCGCGGGTTTCCCGTGCTCCACAGCTCCCGCGTCGACATCCCGTCTTTCAACCAGCCGCCGACCATCGCCCAGAGCGGGCCGACGGTTGTACCGAAGATGTCGAGAAGCTTCTGTGCGGTCGCGTGTTCCCCCATCCCAGCTTGCTTCTGAACAGCGTCGAGGAGAGCGTCGAGGATCGTGGCTGTGATCACGGACGGCGGTGTACGGCTTCGCAGGTCTGCGAGAATCCAGACTGCGTGTGGCTCCGAGCGCGGGCTAGCGAGATGCAGGATACGTCGAAGGATAGAAAAGAGGACGTCGAAGAGGCTGGAGAAGTCGTCCCGAATGCTCTTTTCGAGGCTGAGCAGGCTGATGACCAGTGGATCGCCAAGGCCTGAAGTAGCACGAAAGATGGTTTCTTCCCTCGAGGCGCACCAAGCGTCAAACAGCCGGATTTGTGTGTCGATAGCGTCAGAGAACGCCTCGAGGGTGCGCGTTCGGGTGCTATGGGAAAGGAGCTGGGAACCTGATATAGGGATCGGCGAGAAGTCAGAGCTTTTGTAGACCACTTCAGACGTGAAACGTCGCAAAATTGACAGAGTCGATGCCGTACGCGCGAACGACGCGAGGATCGATTTTTGCGACGCCTCGGTATAGTGGAGGAGGCAGGGTGCATGAGGGTGAACCTGAAAACCAGGGTTTGGTCAAGACGAAAGGTAGGCGCGAAAGGATAACGCACCTCAAATGGGTATCGGCTTGTGTCCACCATGATATTCTTTCTATTCTGTAAGCACATCAAAACCTCTCTAACAACTTGTCGTTCCTCTATGTGCTGCTATTGAGTACTTGGTTATGAGCAAGAGCAATAAATTCGAAAGTGACGACCACCTGCCTTTGACGGGCTGGCTTTCGAGCCCTGTAAAGCATCAAATGTAGGCCCTGGAGTGTCTCCAAGTCAATTTTACAATCAACGCGGATTAGCAACGTACCTAATGTTGAAGCATCGCCCAAGTCAAAGGGACGGGAAATATTCGCATCAAGCTGCCATCCTTCCCTCCAATACTGCCGCGACCGGAGCTTCTCCGTATCTTGTAGGTGTTTGAACACGTCAACAGGCGCTTGAAAGACATTGCCAGGTGGTTTTGGTAGACGGAAAGACTCATGTGTTTCAAAAGCCTCGGCTTCAAAAGAGAAGCGAGAATCTTCGCGATCGTATTCGTCCGATTCCGAGTCATCCCAAGGCGAGAGTGATGGTGTGCTGCCTCCACTACGCGTTTCCCATTTCTCCACCGTGCTCCCTGGAGGAAGACCATACACGCCTTCCCAGTGCTGGCCTTCGAAAGGCTCTTCGGCGAGGATATCTTGCCATGTAAGTGTTGGGACGGCAGATGGTGGATTTTTGATTCGATCGATGTACTCTTCAGCAGCAAGGGTAGTTGATGATGTCACCGGAGCGGATAGCGCAAGCTGAGCAGGTAAGGTAAGTATAAGATCTATAGGTGGAATTATGTGCTTACAAGGAACTGGAGATGGTCGGGTAGGCGAGATAGCTGATGAATAGTAGTGAGCATATACCCCGGCAGCGAAGATCTCGACGGGGACTCACCTTGATATCCTCGTCTAGGTCCGTTAGTGCCTTGCTTTTGGCCTTTAGCTGGGAATAAGCATGGCTCAAAGCCTCAGCTACCCGATTCTGGTGATTGATCTGTGCCTTCTGAATGTACCTGGCGCGCTTTCAGAGGATATAGGCAAGAACGCTCGAGCGTGACAGTAAACCTACCCACGTATCTGCTTATCCGCGTTCGACATATCCGTGCTCGGTGCTTGCTTCAGTACCTGGTCGAGTTTCCTTGTCACAAGGTCTGTAACGGCATGAAATGCATCTGGGTCGCCACCGTCTGCAGTGAAGCCGGTAACTTGAGTCACAAGCTTGTGTATCTGGGGGAGGACGCGCATGGATTGCCTGGTTCCGGGACGGGATAGTCGAGATCCTGGCCTCTGAGAGAGACGGGACTGTGTTCGCAGAGATGCACTCGATGCAGATGGTCTTAGGGACGCGTTTGATGCAGATGGTCTCAAGGACGCGCTCGATGGTGGCCTCGGTAGAGTGGGAGATGGTCGATGCGACATGCTCGACGCCGGCCTCCTAGGATTCGCCGGAGTAGGTGTATGCAGATCTCTCCTGGACATGTTGATGATATGGAAGAATTGTGAATTGGAACGAGTGAACGCGACGCGTTTGGGTCGAGAGATTCAGGAGGACGGTCGTTGCGGAGTCCAGATTGAGGACGTGTTTGAGTCTCCGCTGGAGCAAATTGCCTCCGCGCGTCCCCTTTCCGTTGCACGCGTTCATCGCGTACCGCGTCCCCTCGCTCGTCACTTTTCCTCCATCATGTCCTCTATCGCCGTCCGAGCCTCGAGAGGCCTCTTACTTTCTTCCCGCACATTTATGCTCCAGCCCTCTTTCTCTCTGACCACTACAAGGACCGTCAGCGTCGCCTCCGGCTCCTCTGCTCCGCGCTCGTATAACCCAGGTCGGGCGACGAAAACCACCAAGGCTTCAGCAAGCACCGCAGCTCGCAGGGCCCCTGCTTCCGCTGACGACGTCCCCTCTGCTAAAGACGTCGCCGAGGCTGCGTCAGGGTCGAGCATCCCGGCCGAGAGCGTGCCTTCGTCTGCTGCTCTGGGCGTGGAGTCCCTCCTTAACGAGGATGCAGGCACGGACTGGTCAAAGAGCTACTACGGGCTCTCAACGCAGCCGTTCTCGAAGGAGATTCAGGAGATCTTGCTCGCGCCCGTCGACCCTTACGACATCGAAGTTAAACCTGGTGCGTATCTCCGGCTTCGCCTTCAGGAGTCGTGCCCCTAAATATTTCGCAGACGGCTTGATTTATCTTCCTGAAATCAAATACCGCCGTGTTTTGAACAAGGCTTTTGGACCCGGAGGATGGGGTCTGGCTCCCCGAAGCGAGACGAACGTCGGGCCAAAAGTAGTCAGCAGGGAATACGCGTTGGTTTGCCAGGGAAGGTACGCATACAACGCTATCATCCAATGGTTGAAAGCTTACGTCACGCTAGGCTCGTGGCCATTGCTCGCGGCGAGCAAGAATACTTTGATCCTTCCGGCATCGCCACCGCCACGGAAGCTTGCAAGAGTAATGCACTCATGAGATGCTGCAAGGACCTTGGCGTTGCAAGTGAACTTTGGTTCGAGTCCTTTTTTTAGGCGTAACGAGCCATGGCTAATGTCAACCTCAGGGACCCTCGTTTCATCCGTGAGTTCAAGGCGCAACATGCCGCAGAGGTCTTCGCGGAGCATGTCAACTCGAAACAGAAGTACGTAACCCTCATTCCACCCCAACCCTGTTGCTAAGCCGTATCCCAGGAAGAAGCTCTGGCGTCGCAAGGACCAGCCTAAGCTGACGTATCCCTGGAGGGAGTAATCCATGCAAATTCTTCTCAATATCTACGCAATTGTTATAGAAGCGCCCATAATCAACCAACGTCATCGTAAATATACTCCACTTTCTCTAATGCAAGGGCAGTAATATGGCAAAAGAACAAGGTCCTAAAGACAACAGGTAGCAATTAGGTCGTCATTGGTAAGGCAGCCGATAACGCGATAACGCCCAAGGTGTCCGAGTGAGTATGCATTTCATCACTTCGGTTTAGGGACCCAACCTGCGAAAATTTGTGACGCACGCACTGCCCACTAAGTGATGTGCGGGGGTTCAATCGTTTATTTCTATGTGTCTTTGAATGGTGATATACCAAAGCCTGACGCCCCGAGCACCACCCTCTCGACTGGGCTTGAGACGTTATTAGCCTCACTGGTGCCCACCTCAGCCATCTACGTCAACACCTACATTTACACCAACCCCTATAGCGATTCTTATATCTCTGCTACCTGTGCCATTGATCTTGCTTCAGGGGTACCTGACGGATAATTGATTTTGTAGTGCGAGGGCAGGATAGAAATCTCGCCTATGCCAACAAGCCACGATTTCTCTCACCTGGGCCCCAATCATTGATGCTCTAGACGCTGATGCAGATGGGTGCAGCGACTGGTACGATGGGTCCTGCTCCGGGTATAACCTGACAAGTAACGATACACTGCTGTGTAAGTGCGATAATTTAGGAAAGCCAGCTCTGGGCAATGTGAGTTTAGGTGAGTAACACTTCATCCTTAGGAGACAGTCTTTCCTGCAGACGACTGCATCAACGGTGACTTAATGAGAGTCCGATGGGTGTAAGTTAAGGGAAGATGGAATCATGGCTAGCGTTAGGCATGACTGAAAAGAGCCCCCATCAACTCATTTCCTCCAGCCTGGGTTCTCCCCTGGCCAAACGAAACGACATCTTTGATTAATGAAACCCCTTGTTGCTGTAAAGACAGAAATAAAACCCACCATGCTCCCAGACCTTTGCCCGTTTACCCCTCCCTCCCTCCTTGCCTCCCGTGATATATATCCGCCAGCGACATTTTCCCCATCCTAGGTGCGCTCGCCCTCGCGTCTGCTTTGTCCACGACGCGTGCTGCTTTTGTGAACTCTTGCGTGGACATCAGCCAACTTTACAATGTATCCTATATACGCGCCACCTGTTCCAATGGGCTTCCCGGACAAGCGTATACATCGTCAATCAACTTGAACGAATGTTTGACCAACTTGTACGGGGTTCTCACCTGCGAACACAAGTGAGTGTATGCTGTTTTCCACGGGCCTCTCCTCCAATCGTAGAACTGACATCGTAAAACTCGATTATCAGTGGTGATTATTCTACGTGGTGTTGCAACTGCATGATCTCAGCAAGTTACTAAGTATTTGGAATGTGTGTGCGGCTCGGATGGTAATAGTGGGAATGTCCCAACCAACGTCAGTTTAGGTGAGCAATTTGTAGCTCAACACCGGTTCAGTCTGCCATGTCTCACCTATGGCATGGACTGCTCAATCGCTAGACAGTTGCCTGTATCTCTCTGGTGGAGACTTGACGTGATAAGAGAACGCAGGTATATTAGTACGAACGTACCTTACACGGTTGATAAATCTCCCTTTACAAAATATCACTTTGGTTGTATGTCCCTTCGCTCCAAATACATACAACTTCTGTGAATCCGCTGGACATCTCAAGAACAACTTTTGCAACAAAAGCTACAATATGTTCTGTAAAAGCAACTGGGTACACTCGCATGCTAGCAATCTATGATAAAGTAAACTTTCTTTGTTATGCGCTCTCGTATTTGATGACGATGTTTCGCTCCAAATACATATGATTCTGACCGTAGTGAAGCAAAGGCTTATCTTCTGGATTGACGCATTTCCATCAAATCCAAAGCGAGGAGTCGTTTCCTAGATATTGCTTGTGTTCTCAAGCTGACTTGGTTCTCTTCCACTTTCCTGCAAACGAAACAGAATTCTACAGGATAAAACACCATGCACAGCAACCTGAGCTCTGATGGAGTTGTTCAGTACATAAAACGTAAAAACAACAAGTGCGCACGTTTCAAGCATATCACTATATTCCAGCTACCGAAAGGGTTTTTTAGTCTAAAAGGTTGACATCAGAGGCAATGGGGATCGTACCGGCAGGGTAAGGCCAATAATTATATTGGTAGTCGTAATTGCTGTAGCACGAACGAGGGCGTCAGTATGTGCCTTTACAGAACTCGAGCCAAGCATATAATCGGCTAGCTTACCGATGATGGCAGCCATGTAGAACAGTCCATCATTGTATAGCTGTGCGAGAAAACAACTTATAGGTCCACGGTATGAGCATCGCCTAGCTATCATCAGCGTCGCCAGCACTACCATCCAATCAGACACAGAACAAACTTTCGTCAGAAATATAACGAGTACCCAATTCAAAGAACAAGAGAGGAATGTATGGAATTGAGCTGCTCCGCGAGCCAGAAAAAGGGCAGCCGGATAATCCTTTAGCTTCATTAGATCTGCATAAGCCGTTTACGACGCATTTATCAGTACCCTAAAACTCAACTAAATCCGGATGTGACCCCGGTTGCACGTGGAACAAGACTCAGGATTAAAGACACACTGGTCATCATCTGGGATATCCGTATTGAATTAGCAGTGGACGCTAGGACGGCAAATACTACCGCTTACCAATCCCAAAATTATAGCGAGTAAAAGTAATCGCTTGCTCAAGTCGTAGCAAACGTAAACTCGGAAGATCAAGAGGCACTCTGCCGCTATGATTCCTAGGAAATGAAAGGCTGTTACCTTGGCGTCAACGTGTTAATCTAGGTGGGGTTAGGAGCATATGAGTGTACCGTCCTCAGTCTGCCATGAGCAGTGTAGCTGGTCTAGGTCAATACTGTCTAGTAAAGGGATTCAATGTAGACTCACAATGTTGATGTTTAAAGCCGCTGAATTCGGATGTCAACTGATCGGTTACATGACATTTTACCGACTAATCTCTGGGACGCACATGCTAAAGTCAACCCAGTTCCAATAAATGGCACATAACGAGCGACTGTGAAAATTACTCTTGGCAAACTCCAGCGCTTTCTTGCTGTCCAGCTAACCTGTGTGACGTGTATCTTCAGCATGGAGAGACACGAAACAAAGCCAACTTTGCACCTACTTCAGACTCTAAAGTGAGGAAGTAGTCTTGAAGCTAGTGTAAAGTTTGCTTCAAGGACGTTTAGAATTCAAAGTTTTACATACCAGAAATGCAGCTGCTGCAACTAGAGATACACAATAAATCAGGACCAAAGGTAGTTTAAGTATCCGACAAACCATTGCTGTACTGTTTTTGTGCCCATCTGTTGTTAAAATTGGCCCATTCGAAGTTACTCGACTTTTGCGCACCTTTGATGTCTGTAGGTAACGAATGTTAGCCATGACTAATAATGGCGGAATCAAACGAAGATAGAGGACTCAACCCAAGTTCCTTTCTCTATATGAGTAAATTGCCCATCATGAAGACTGTGTCTCGTACGATAATCAGAGGCATGGGCCTTGGATGTCTGTAGTTAACGCACTGGACTCGGGCCGCGTATGAGATGCACTGATGAAGGGGAGTTGCATCTCTCACCCTGTATAGAACCGATAGATGCATGCAAACTACAAGGGAAAGCATAAGACCGGAGCTATGCAGGCTGTCACCGGAAGTCAATAGGCCGAAGTTGCAGATGGTCGGTGTTGGGGTTGGTTGCCGGCCACATAAACCAAACATGAATCGTGAGATTACGGGAAAAGACGGATGAATGGGACCCTATATGTGGCAACTTGGGCCCGCGTGCTTCTGATCATGTATAGCTCGTACTTCGCTGAGGTAAGATTGATGCTCTTGGAAAAACACCTTTGACACACTCTCTTAGCATCGGTGCAGAGCCATCCGTAGCTGAAAGCAGGGCCTGACAGCGCCATCTACCGAACTACCACTTGATATCATGGTGAGTTTTCCCCTCAATTGGCAGGCAGTTTACTACAACCGGTTTTCATCAAGGAGGCATCAACTGCTGATGACGATTCCTATCTCGTTGTGATCCCTCCGATCATGTCGCTTCCGACCGAAATCCTCCTCAGAATCATCGAGTTAGCGAGTCAATGGTCGACAATGGGCTTCTTTAACGGCTGGCCCGAATATGTTGAATATACAGGTCCCAGTGCAGACAAGTTAGCTTTCGTCTGTCGGAGATGGCTCGATGTCCTCGCCATGAAGCCAGTGTTCTGGAAATCTCTGCATGTTGCACTTGATGGCGCTACCTTCGTCCCAAACATCATAGAAACATTCTTTGCTGCCTCTGGCGATAATCAGCTGGAGATCACCATCACTTCCGGCGATTCGGCCTCATGCATTCTCACGCCCTCCCAGGAGTGCGAACGCCTGGACTTTGTCATGAAACATATGGCGCCCCACTTCGGACGTATGTCCGAAATCTCCATCGAAGTGTTCTATCGCTCCACCATCGTCCACATCAGTTCATACTTCAATAATCGCACCATGTCGCACCTAAGCGACCTGAATCTTGTCTCATACGACACAAACGACGTATCCCCACTTCGTATCTCAACTTTGGAGACACCTTCTCTTTCACAGCTGAAAACTGACGCTGGTAGCTTTATGAACCTCATGAATGGCGGCATCGCTTGGCAGGCAGGACGTCGTCTATCTGGCCTCTGCGTCACGAAGTATCGGCCGGCATCTCACCTCGCCGTGATTAACTCCCGACGCTTCTTGGAAGGTTTAAAAGCGATGGCGAAGCTTATGGCAGGTGTTCCTGACGTATGGATCGAGGTCGAAGATGTGGCTCTGGACGGCGAAGATATCACTACCTTCACAATGGAGAGGCTGGAGGGACTCCGCCTCTCTGATATTAGGGGTAATGTTGCTTCCGCGATTTGCAACAGCATTACCTCTTCCACCGTTGCATACGCATGGATTACCCGGTGCGAGCCCATCTCACGTTGCACCGTCCCTGGCTTTGAACTCGAGGTCAAGGGGATCAGCTCGAGTCTTTCGCTACTTCGTCTTCTTCAGGACTGGCAGGGCTGGGAGTTAGCTATCACGAACTGTGGAGGGTTCGACGACTGGGTACTTGGAGCTCTAGCAGTCTCCAGCATGCGCAACGGGCGCACTTGCCCACAGCTGCGTACTCTCAAGATAATCGGTGGCACGTTCTCCGTAGCCGCGTTGCAGCGCATGTGTGAGATGAGGCTTGACGATGAAGAAGGTCGCATTCAACGACTGATGGTGGAAGGTGGGCCAGAACTGAAGGAAGATCTTCGGAAATGGTTCGAGGATAACACTGAACATTTTTCCTGGCGCGACATATGTCCTTGAAGCTGTCTGAGGAAGTTTAACTCACGGTCAGCAGGAGTCGACATTCGTACGGTTTCCCTTTCCTATGCATTCTGGCTTGATCAAACCAGTATGAATAAGTAGCTATACCAATGTGCTTTCTGACATATTAGTGAAGAAAATCTATGTATGTAATCTTCTGTCAACGATCAACGACTGCAATTAAAGCACATCCACATACTTCTCGTATATCCTGTAAGCAATTAATTACTGTAGTACATATGGTAAGATTTATCTATCTTACAATCTCATCACTCTTCGCTTAGCGTTAATTTTATGACAGCCGTTGCTTTTATCCCCTAAAGCATGACCTCCCCGCCCTTCATATCCACACGGCGGTTTATGCCTCCAAGCATGAGTTTTATAAGCTTGGGGGCAGTTACTACTCCGTTGTACGTTTCTGTATCTACTATGTCCTGTTTGTCAAGATTAGGGACAATTGCGCTCGGCTACTGAGCAGCGAGACGTACACGTGTGGTATATTTTGTTGCCAGAGTATTGTCAAGGTCCTTCAAGAACTGAGTGGCATGGAGATCGTCGCCAATCTGCACGAATTGAATGCCGATCTGAAAGTCGGGTCCCAGCTGGGTAAATACACCCCGTGGTTCAGGGATAGTAGTAGGCTTACCTGACTTAGCGGGTATTCGTGTTTGTCCAGAAACGTGGCACATTTGACGATCGCGTTCTCGAGCTCAATTTCGTCATCTGTCGGATTCGTGCATTTTTAGTTTAATTAGTTTATGGAAACTGCGAAACTAACCTGGCCTGCCGTCTGTGATGACGATATAATTGACAGGCTTGACTTCCTCGTCAGCATCTGAGTCCCTCTGTATCTCGCGCTCGAGCCTCTTCAGGTACCGTTTAAGCACTTTGTGAACGACGACACCCAACGGGGTGCCGAACGTCGGCTTCACGCGATTGAAGATGTCGCGAACTTCGTCGGCCTCCTATCCGTGGTTATTATCAAATCGTCGCTTGATATAGCAGGGTGCAGCCTACCTTTAGACCTTCGCCATGCTCCTTGCTGTTCAAGAAGCATATGTCAATCCCGTCGGTGTCGTACGTAGCAGCCGCCTTCGCAAGGTCCGCGAGAGCTTCGCGGGCCTGAATAATAAACATGATCCATCAGTGTCAAATTAATATGGAACGAATCAAAGGCGGGCCGGATACCTCATGCCATAAAGCGCCTCTCATAGAGGTGGAGTCATCCACGATCAAAACAGTGTCGTATCGACGCAGTATCTCGAGCGCGTTTTCTTGCCGGGGCCGCCGAGACCGCCGATCTTTCGGTGGTACCGACGGAGGTTTGTCCAGACTCTCGTCCGAGTCGGAGTAAGGGGGTGGTGCGCCGTATGGGTGTTGATAGCTACCGCCGGACTTGTTGTAGTTGCGACGGTCTGATTTCGATGAAGTGTGGCCCATTGTCGTTTTCTGCGATGTGTTACCACCAGTCGAAGGAATACTCCTTGGATTATTCGATCGCTTCAGTGACGTTTTTATACCCTTGCATTCTCTGCGTTTGCAAAATGGATTGCTGTTAGTCTCACAGCAAGCTTTGGTCACGATGAAGATCGCTGTAGAAAGTAGTCCATCACGGGTAAAAGAGTCACGCCTGGTGGACCGCAAGCATGAAGAACTCAAAGCCAGCTGATCCCTTCGAGGTACAATTCGGGCCTCGCGCAGCCTCGTATGGACTTCTGATGGCGGAAGCGCTGAAAGGCGTAGATAGGTTGCGGTGTGTGGATCAGATGAACGCGCTTATTATCAGGATGCTGTGAGTACAAGGGGCCCGTATTTGCACAGCCACCCACATATCTCATCCTTGGCTGTACACCTGAGCCAATCAAAAACCAGGGCCCGAGTACGGTCCCTTGGAGATGGACCACAACCTATAAGGATCCATGTGCGGACGAAGCACACTGGTTTGCGACACAGAGACCGTGGCCATCTCCATGGTCATGGACACAGACCGGGCCTCGATTAGGGGCACAAAGCAAGCCAGACAGCCACAAAAACCCGTATTATGCGTACCTAAAGAAAGCTACCTACGGCTACAGCTCACAGCAGCGCGAACGGATTCGGCCGGTCCACAACACGCGGGAAGGTATTCGTCGCAGCGAGAACGACCATCTGCTTTTCATGCGAGATGTATCCGCGCATGTACCCCTTGTAGATCATGTTCGCGACGAGGCACTCCGCCTCCTCCTCCGACACGTCCGCGTCGCCGCCGCGCAGCTTCAGAGCACAGTAAAACATCGAGATCGGGACGCGTGTGCTCTTTTCTGTTGCTATCCATCTAGAAAATAAGTAGCATAAGTTTTCCAACAGCGTCGGGGATATGTAAGATATAGGGAAGAGACGCCAGCGACGATGCCCATAACGGGGAACATAGAACGAATGCCAACGGGGCTAGAAGTGACCAGGGGTTAATAGAATGAACTCACGTTCTCCGGAACAATCCACGTATGCAGATCTCGCGCGCCCGCTCGAGTGTCAACCACAAGTTCAGCTCGACCAGCCTCCGCTCCCACTTGTCCAGCGCGGCATCGTAGGCGCCCAGATCTCCGTTGCGCATGCAGGCGATGAACGGCGAGAAGAGCTCGTCCAGTACCGGGAAGCGCTGTAGCAGCTCGGCAGTCGGCAGGTGCCCGCGGAGAATGCGGAGAGGGATGAGGTACGTTAGTATGCGCCTGTGTCAACGTGAGAGCGGTGAGCGATTGTGAGGATTCATCAGCCTGTAGTGCTAGACGCCGGCATGAGTAAAGGGCTGGTCTTTGACGTACTCTTGATTACTGTACGTCTCGAGATGGCAATGATAAAAAGCAAGGGTTAGCTCGCGTTCAGACTGTTGCAAAGCCGAGTCAGGTCGGGATATAGAGAGGTAAGGGGAAGCACGTACTTTTTCATAGTCTTCGTTCAAGAAACTCAGCATGCCAATGTAATACCGAAACGTGACCTTGGAGCGGTTAGAAGTCCTTCGTTGGGAAAGCAAGGAAGCGTACTTGATGGGACCGAGGGTATTGGGAAAGTGGTGGGACATCTTGATTTGCTTCTAGAGCGCGCAAGATGTTCTTGGAAAGTGATATACGTTTTACCTGTGCGATTCATGAGTGAGTGGGTGGTGCGGAAGCAGCATCGAAGTACATACGCGGAAGTATGATTTAAGTACAAGGCCAACAACGTAGTACACCCCCCATTTTCGTGATTCGGCGTAGGGTGATGATCTGGGAATGTCATTATACGGGGTGGAAAGGAATAGGATGAACACGCACCTGTCAGTCATACAATTACTAAACGCCTTTGCCAGGACACCTGCAGCGTTCTCCATACACTCGCTCTTCTGGCTGTTGTATTTGGCGTAGTTGTCTGCCTGAAATGGTCATGATGAGGGTTCAGCATGGATTGAGCGCAGGCAGAAGTCACATCGTGTGCGAGGTCGCGAAGATCCCGAAGTAGGGCAAAGAGGGTGGGCAATGTCCAGCCAGTGTTCGAGGTGAAGTAGCGGAAGAAGAGTCTAGACCATAGTAAGGGATAGGAAAGAGCTACAAAGTGTAAAGCACGCACGAGATGAGTTGTGACTGGTCCTTGTATGCTTCCTGGTAACGTTTCCGCGCAACATGCGAACACACCAACACGTATTGGATCGCGACCTCGTCCCATGGTGATTCAACGCTCCCCTTGTAGTATGAAAGTGACTGCGCCTGATGTTGTACATTGCGTGTGAGAGGAGGCCAAAGTGACAATGAGAGACGTACAGTTGGGTTCCGGGTCTCCTTCAGTAGGTCCTTGCCGTGCGGGCTGGTTGGTCGGAGAAGGTACGCGAGGTTGGGGCCGTCTTCGTTGTGCACGGCTTCCACTAGCTGCCCCAGGTATGTTGAGAAAGTTATGGACATGTTTGTGGAATCGAGTGAAGCGAAGAGATGAAGAAAGGCGCGAACGCGAAAGGTTGAGGTACGCTAGCGGCTAGGAGGCCAGAGCAGGCACCGGCAAACGAAAAGCCTCCGACGCGACGGAATGAAGGGAGGCTCGCTAAAAGTTTGTCAAACACCTCCATCATTGACTACTTTACATACATCGTCTAGCAAACACTTTCTCTTTGCAACCCCGATAACAACTTGATGGGCTTAAGGATGTTGCATGACTATGACTAACATGGCCAGAGGATTGCACAAGGCTTCCTCGCCAATGGTAGCGATGACGCGAGCGCCTGACCCGCTTGGATGATCAAGCGAACGATAATAACTGTCCCCCTCCCGCGACCTGCTCACTTGACCACAGACCGCCATGGCTCTCCAACCTTCTCTTCGTCCCCTCCTTATCGCTGGCACGTACGACGCGCCTCACACCCTCGACATCTTCTGTGAGTCACAGTCATCATAGGCACTGATGTCATAGTCTCATCCATCCTCTGCGCGCGACCCTCAGCGGACTATGTCTGCCCGTTCAGGTGTGTGCACAACGCTCCACGGCCCGCAGCCTTCCCATCTCACATTCTCATAGTGCCAAATTGTCGAAGGCCATCAATGAGGTAGTCAAGCCCTCCCTCGACCAAGGCGGACAGTACCATGGCAAGGTCAAGGCCATCTTGCGCCTTCAAGTACAGCCCTGGCATGCGACCTCGACGTACACGCACGAAGCAGCGTTGGCGGTATTCTCGCATGTCCTCAGCTATGTGACCTTTCTCACCCGTTCGTCAAGGTTGCGCGTGTCTCTCCCGAGCACTTCTGGCCATTCTCTCTGGCGGTACGTACCGTCGTGTACTTCTCGGTTAAAACTGTTTGGCTTATTTACCCATCTCAACAGCTCTTCCAGCAGCAAGAAGACTACTTCGACCAACAGGCATCCAATCTGACCCCAAACCAAATCCGCGAGAAGCTCGCTACTCTAGCAGCCTCGGTCATCCCCGCCGACAGGGTTCCCGCTTTCAAGCAACAGATTGCTGTGAAGGGTCCCGGTAACTCAGGTACTGCTGTCACGGATGATCTCAAGTACACCGGTAACGCCCTCTGCTGCATACATCCAGAGCAACAGCTGACTCAGGGCGCGATTTGTAGTCAAGTTCTCCAGGCAGAATGGCGTCCATGTTTCTCCCAGCGTACTGTGGGATGGTATCATAGATAACTCGATCTCAAGCTCGTGGGGAAAGGAGCAGTGGACCAAGTTTTTCTCTGAGAAGGTCGTTGTGTGAGCATCAGTCTGTGGTCGAGGAAAGATAAGTGCTGTAGGATACTTATGGATGATGTATAGCAATCGATGGTATTTCTCCGCACTGCTGTGACTCTGCATTGGAGGGGGTAGTCGACTTGTTTAGACTGGTAATATTTCAAAGAAGCGCAGGTTTAGTCTGCTGTGGTGAGCGGCCGGGGGTGGCTATGTAGATCATCGGACTTTCGAACGGCGGGCCGAGATCAATCTTTGCTTAGAACCACACTAGTTCACTTGTGGTCCAAGAGTCCATAAGCTGAACAGACAGCCTCCCGCTGTGGACTCAGTTTAGTCTGATTTTTCTCCCTGTGAGTTCACATCCTTGTCCACCCTAGTACGGCGATACGGAAAAATTTCCTTCTGACGGGTCTCTGGATGATCGACTTGCATATATGAACTCAGATCTATCTTTGAGCCCCAAACAGCACATGCTGTGCATGACGAGAAGCGAGTACAATCTTCTACTCGAACTCTGTGGGTCACCGGTCACTTTTCGTTTATCTCGTCCTTTATTAATCGACACCAATCATCTCATGCACATGGCAGAAGCCATGATACCAGTGTGGCTTGACGTAGATCCTGTAATTGCTCTGTCTGATTCTGATTCTCTTCTGTGAGGTTCTGACAGTGATCTCTGACAGGGCCACGACGATGCCACCGCGATTATGCTCGCGCTGCACAGCCCGAATATAAGGCTCCTGGGAGTCTCATCGGTGAGTCTCTCTCGATAATCTTATCATCAGGAAAAGCCGAAGCTGACAAAACACGGCATCATATGACTGTCCCAGGTACACGGCAACACGTCCGTGGACGATACAACGCGCAACGCAGCACGATGCCTGCACGCGTTCGGCGCGCCTCCGCATATCAGGGTGCACCGCGGGGCCGCGAAGCCGCTGCTGAGGCCCGTGAGGCACGATCCGGAGATCCACGGCGAGGACGGCCTGGGAGGCGTCGAGGGTTTAGCTTACGCCGAGAGTCCCGAGGTGCAAGCGTACCTGGCGAGGGATGAAGATGGGAATCCAGTCCCCGCGCTAGATGGGATGGTCGATGCTATCAAGAACACTTGGAGGAAAGGCGACGGGCAGAAGGTGACGGTAATCTCGTCTGGACCGATGACGAACATCGCGATGTTCGTGAGCCAATATCCGGATTTGCTCGTCGCTGTCGAGCAGTTCGTGTTTATGGGTGGCGGAGTAGGGCTAGGCAACAGATCAGCCGTCGCAGGTGACGTGCTTCTCCAGGAAACATGAGATCCATGATCCCGTTTACTGACTGATTTTTGACATCGGCAGAATTCAACATCCTGTGCGATCGTAAGTCTCTTGACCACCTCATACTTCAAAGCCTCCGATAACTTCATCCTGTATACAGCGGAAGCCACCCAAATCGTCCTCGACGCACCAGTGAAAACAGTCATGATCCCCATCAACGTAACGCACAAAGCGATCGCAACGCGCTACCAACACGCCCGCCTGCGCTCGTCATCTTTCCAGACTCCCGACAATATAACCACCTTTTGTTCGGATGACGCGCCGCTCCCTATACCATCCAACAACGTCCGCCACACGCTCTCGACGATCGTGAGCTTCTTCGCGGACACGTATAAATCCACATTTGGGTTCCACGATGGCCCGCCACTGCACGATCCGCTGACGATCGCGTATGTCTCTGCGCCAGAGCTGTTCAAGTGCACGCGCTACCGCGTGGACGTCGAGTTGCAGGGGGCACATACGACTGGCGAGACAGTTGTAGATCTGTGGAACTACAGGTCGTGCGACGATACGTGGGGCTCGATGGGGAAAAATTGTCTCGTTGCGGAGGGTCTCGATGTACGTCTCAACTCTCATTCTGGTTCTAATCAAGACACCAGACTAATTAACATCTGCTTTTCATACAAATAGGTTGACGCGTTCTGGGATCTGTTCATGCTCGCAGTTGAGAAGTGCGACGGGGCTTCGCCGTTGAACATGAACAAGGCGCACTGAATATAACTGGCGAACACACTGCACCCGAATTAAACATATAGACGTCCATAGATCGGTACATACATGCAAAATCGTGTAAGAAAATTCGTGACAAATGAGGTTTGTAATATGGATATAAATGCGCGTAAATCGTAAACGTGTCGTGAGCGTAAGCATGAGCATGAGCGCAGGCATGACAAGTACAGACACAAATAGGATGCGAAAGAAAAAGCGAAAAGATGAGGAATGAACGTGAGTAGAACAAAAAAAACAAAGCAACCAGATATAATAAGTCTTCAGGCGGTAGGGTCGAATATCCGGCTCTCAGGTCGTCCATCCAAAAATATCTTGCTGGCCCGCGGCTGCCCGCCCTGCCGTGGTGGACGTGATCTCCGCCTGCCCTCCTTGAGGGTGCGGATGGCAGCGTCGACGTCTCCTCGTCCGATAGATTGCGGAGTCTTGGGCCGTTCGGGACCAGATGGCGGAGCAAGCAAGTTGCCGTTCTGGTTAGACTGAAAGTGGGATTCGATATCTGAACGCGCAGACAACATGTGGGGACGTCTTACAGAGGATGGCAGGCCGTCTGGAGTAGGTGCTCCCGTGGTGACGAGCTTTGGTACCTTGCTCTTCGTCTTCTGCTCTGCTTCGTGTACCTCCAAAGCTGCTTTCTGCAAGCGAAATCAGATTCAGAGACTCGAGCGCGCTGGTTACTTCCAAACCCACCTGAAGCGTCGTAGAGAACGAACAAACGATCCCAAAGAAGTCCTCCGGCTTAATCCCATCTGACGGGTCGCCCGACTCGCCATAGTACGCGAGCAGAGATCGGAGATCGCCTTCGACAGCGTCCATCATCTTCTTCAGAGCGTCGATACTGGTAGACTGCCTTTCCACGAACGGTTGCATGATGGCAACGAACTGGTCCCCCGACGACGGGTGCCGCAGCTGCTTGAGGAGATGTACTTCTTCCTTCACCTTGGCCAGGGATGCGACCATCGTCTGAACAGATTGAGATAGCGTCTGTGTTGAGACTGGATCGTAGACCGTCAGCTCGTGCACACCGTCAGTCGGAATAGAGGCTTACTCCGAGCAGCAGGCTCGACGCTGGGCATCTCCTCGATGAAGAGCATCAACGACGGGTCGGTTCTGATAAGAACGCGAGCGACGTAATGCAACAACGTAGGACACTCTTTCCCTCCTTTAGCCGTCTTCGTCTCCTTCATCTACGAACGCGAGTAACGTTAAAGAAGAAAGACCGATGATGATCAAGTCGACAACAAACCTTAAGCAGCGCCTCCAGCTTAAACCCATGCGCTCCACCACGGAACGTCGACATGTTCAGTGCGTTGCCGATAGCAAGCACCGCCTTGAGCGTGCGCTTGAAGCGCTCAGATGCACGGAGCTCTTTGCTTGCGTCGCGCAGATACTTGAGGTCCGGACGCACTTCCTCGATGTCCAACTCAAGCTTGCGCCGATATATCATGCAGTCCAGACGTTCTTGCAAGCGCGGTATGACCATGATCTTCAATCATTCGTTCAAAGTCAGTTCTCCGATCATAAGTAGCAGGCTCACCTCAAAGAAGTACTGATCAGCTTTCGCGAGTTTGCTGATGTCATCGTAGTCTTTGATGCGGGAGATCTACGCAATATGTTGTCAGGAACCATCGACCATGGCTAACGAGGAAGCGGACAACGCACCTCCTCAGCCGTAGGTAACTGCTTGCTGATATACTTCAAATCATCCACCGATAGCTTATTATCGTCGAGATCCAACAACGCTCTCCGAATTTGCAGCGAGCTCAGCTTAATCCGGTTCAACATGATCCCTACGTCATTTTATCAGCGGCCTGCATCACATTCAGTAACAAAGAGAAACTCACCGATATTATTCGCCCTCGTAATATCCAACAACGTCGTAATCCCGCCCTTATTCGCCTGCTCCGTCTTCGCAGGCTTATCGCTCTGCGTGTTCTCAAGCGAAAAGGTCGTCTCCAGATCATCGATCGCGAACTCTCCTAACCCATCCACCACGCCCATGCCGGCGTCGTTCCAAACTGTGTGAGAACCGAGGTCCTTGGGCGTGAGCTTATTCCAGAAGAACGGCTTCAGCCGCTTGGCGGGGCGCATGGGCTTCGGGGCTGTGTAGCCCACAACGGGGGGAGGCGGTGGGGGAGGAGGCATGCCGGGCAGTCCGGGCGCGCCGGGCATGGGTGGAGGTGGCGGAGGCGGTCCGCCCCCTCCCCCTCCTCCTCCTCCACCGCCGCCGCCGCCTCCATTCGTGCCAGCCCTCGCAGGCTCGGCCCCACCCCACCCCACCGCCTCCGCCACCTCCGCCTCCCGCTCCTCCCGCTCCCGCTGTACCAGGTGGACCACCTCCGCCACCGGCAGAAGCAACCGGCGTCGAAGGTGTGGGAGTCGTGCTTCTCGAGCTAGCATCATCCGCGTCCTCCTGCACTGACGGCGCATTCGACGACCGGCGCTGTAGCGGTGGCGGTGGTGGCGGGGGAGGTGGCGCTGTAGCTCTAGACACACTTACAGGGGCCGGAGCGAGTGGCTTCGAACGCGCCGACTTCGCCTTGGACACGGGCGGCGGCGGGGGAGGTGGCGAGTTCTGCGACTTGAAGTCCGTCTCGGTTATGTACTTGGGCTTCTCGGCGAGCAGACGCTTGAGCTCGATGATGTCCTCCTCGAGTGAGGCAATCTCGTCGTCCTTCCTAGTCATGCTCTCGATGGCGCGTGACGCTAGCGTCTGCGCGTCGAGGTCTGCGCCGCTACGCTCCTCTTCGCGCGTCTGGAAGCGGGAGTAGACCGACTCAAGGGCACGTTTGAGGTATAGAATTTCCTTATCTTTCATAGATATCGTGGACTCCATTTCGGTTTGCTACAGGGTGAGTTAGCGCCGACTACAAACATCGCGATGGCAAGCGGCTTGCCTTCATCTTCAGCTTCGCAATCTCATCCATGAGCGTGTTCCACTTCGCCCTATCCCGGTCGCGCTTGGCGCGCTCATCCTGTAGAACTATGAGCAGCTTATTGAACGGAAAGTTGTTCTGATACGCACGGCCTCTTTGCTGTCGGCAGGGTTCAAAGCCTGCAGCCGATCAACATCCGCCTTGAGCTGCATCACCTGCTTCTCCTTCTGCACCAAACGCTGGACCAAGCCATGCATGTTCTATAAACAATCACAGCCCAATTAGCAACAGTCATCCGAAATAATACAATCAGGGAACGTACATCGCTCCCAGACTTCTTTGGCGTCGGACTCGGCGCGAGCGACTTGAGCGTCGCCAGCTCCGCCATATGCCCATCTCGTTCCGTTGTCAGCTGCAAGTTCTGCGTAATAATTCCAATAAGCCTTCCTTGCCAAATGCAAAAGAATGGATGGGATGAAATGTGCCCACCTCCTCGCTGAGCTCATCAATCTTCGCTCTTAGGTCTTCTAGCTCGACCTCAACGATGGAGACAGAATCGTAGTCCTTCGACTTGCGTATATCTAGCTCGTGTCCAGAGTAATGTTTCACAGAGTCGACGAATCTCTTGACGAAGTCTTGCCAGTTCTCGTGACTGCGCCAAGCCAAATCAGCTTTGTACTTCCACTGGGAAGGGAGAGGCGGAAGAAAACTCACAAATCACCCACGAGGACAATCTGCTGGACAAACGACTGGACGATCGCGAGCAGGTCGCTCTTGTATTGCCTACCAGCGCAACGCTCAGCACCCTTGCGCGGCGAAACGAAACACAGAAGAGACAACTCACGAATCCGCCTCAGACTCAAACACCCCCTCCAGCTGCCTCAGCAGCGCAACCATCCCCGCGCCCATCTGCTGCTCCTTCGCACTCTGCAGCACCTCCTCCAGCAACATCGCGCTCTCCGACGCCTCCTTCCCATGTCCTCCTCCGTGTCCTCCCCTCGCCGAAGAAGAATACGCCTTCCGCGCACGCTCCCGCATATCCTCCTCATCCTCAAACTTCTCCTCCGTATACACATCCAGCTGCGTCTGCAGCGCGTCCGGCGGCTTCGTATACCTTAACGCCACAATCACCTCGTTCAGCCCCCTCCTCCCAAACTCCTCCCGGAGCAGCACACGCTCCTCGAGCGCCTCGGGGCAGTTCGTGAGCGCGTTCACCAGCGCCATGTACGCCGTGCGCGCCTCCCACGTGCCCTCCTCCTCCTCGAAGGAGGATATGGACACGTCGTCGGGGATATCGGGCAGCTTGAGCGCGTCGACGAGCCCCTGGAAGCGGAAGGCCTCGTCGAACGCGATGCGGTAGTCCGAGAGCGCGGCGAGCACCGCGCGGTGTCCCTCGTGCAGCGAGAGCACGCAGATGGCGGCGAGGAGCTCCGCGACGAGCGTGCGCAGCTTGAGCGCGGAGCCGTGCAGCGCGTATGCGATGTGCGTGATGAGGATGGGCGAGGCGACGACGCTGTTGAACCCAGGCTGCAGCGTCCCAGATGTGAGCATAATCGTGAATGGACCAAGGGAACAGCGAGACATACCTGTGTATTCAACAGCACCCTCAAACACTTCACCACCTCCTGCAACACCGTCCCCTCCACATCGCTCAAGTTCCGCCTCTTCCCGCCCTTGCCCACCAGCCCACCCAACAAGTCCCCAATCGCACCCATCCCCTTCTCACCAATAAACTCCTCCACCCACGCGACCTTCGCCGTCGCCAGATGCACCCGCAGCGATATCAGGTGCTTCACGAGCTTCGCGTCCCCCGCGCGCAGCGCCTTCATCCCCTCCACATAGCGCCGCGCGCTCGTCGCGCTCTCGTCCTTCGCCGCACCAGCACCGGGGGTTCCGGAGGCCCCGGGTGCGGCGGTAGCAGCGGAAGAGCCAGACCCCGTCGCGCGCGAAACGGTCGCAGCGCTTCCGCCCGAAGACGTCCACCAGCTGCTCCACAGCCCGCCTGTGCCCGTCATCTGCGGCTGCAGCGCCTGCTGGGCCTGTTCTTGCTGACCGTGCCCGTTCCCATGCCCATGCCCATACCCCTGATTCTGATTCTGATTCTGACTTTGACTCTGACCCTGCGCCTGGAACATCGTCTGCGCCTGCGCCTGCGCCGCCAGCTGCTCCAACGACGTCTTCCGCGCATGCTTCACCGTCCCCGTCGTATCGAACTCCCCACTCCCCCTATTATCCTGGTCCGCAGACACGACGGGCGGCGCAGGCGCAGATGCCGCGCCCCACGTCGCCATCGAGAAGCGCTTCATGAGCCCGCCGTCGCCGCCGCCCGTGAGCTGCGGCACGATCCGCGGGAGTAGCGCGGCGGCCGTCGTAGGGCCGTATGTCGCAGCGGACGACGAGGAGGGGTGGGATGGGGATGGGAATGCGGAGGACGGCCCGCCTCTGATGGTGCCGTTCTCGGGCGTCGAGTCGCCCCCGGTGGTCGTCTTGCGGTTCTGCTGGAGGAGATAGCGCTTGTTCGTCGCGGGGAGATTGTACATCGCTGCGCGCTTGGCGCCTTTCAGGCCCATCTCGTCCTATCGTAACACGAGTCAGATGAGCGCGATTAATGAGATATGGGTTGGTAGACGCACGAGGAACTGCTCAAACTCGGAATCATCCACCTCCTCCGTGAGCGTATCCAGGTTTGTCGGCTGCGCCGCGCCCCCAACGCTGCCACCCGTATGCTGCTCCATGATCCGTGGCTCGCTGACGCTCTTCCTCCCGATCGTGCCCTGGGGCGTAGGGGTGACGACCGCCGTGGGGGTCGTAGGTGCTGCCGGCGCAGCAGGCGCAGCAGGCGTCTGCCACCCTGAGAACAAGCTCGTGAGCCGACTCTGGGAGAGCGACGCGCGCCAGTCGACCGAGGGCGACGTCGGGCGGGGCGGAGAAATGTCGGGGAGCTTGGCTGTGCCTTCTTCCTCTTCCTCTTCTTCCTCCTGCTCCGCCTTCTCGAGATCCGCGAGCCGCTTTATGGTATCCTCAGTGGGGTCGAACGATGTGGACGACAAACTGCGTGGCTTTGCTCGGCGATACCACTCGTCGGGGACGCAGAGGCGGAACGTGGAACCCTTGCGCTGGGAAGCTTCGATGATCTTGGACATGATCGATGAGAGCGAGAGACGGGTGCTCTCTATATTATGCATGGGTACATGCGTGCGTCAGTCAGTCGTGTGCCATGCTGCGTGGTGATGGGAAGAGGGGGAAAAGGGAAAGATGAGGACTCACTCTCGCCTTCCTTGGTATACCACACCTCCTCGAGTACGTACTCGAGGTTTCCGCCCCCGGGCACAGGCAGAGCCTTGCTGAGGCCGAGCTCATCCGCGATGAGGTCTATGACGGCGTCCACTGTTGTATTTCGCGAAAGAAAAACCCTCCATTTGAAGTCGTCGTGGATTTCGGGCACGCGGAGGAATGAGACAGAGACAGATAGGAAGGGGTGGAGCGAGACGAGCTTGAACACGGGAGTGTGGAGGTGAGACGTAAGCGGGAACGAGGAAAAGTGTCTTGCGGCGGGTTCGTCGGCGCGCTTGTCGGCGGTGTCGAGCAAGGGCGCGATCTTGTCAGTCGGAGCGAGGAGGCCTGGTGGTAAAGAGCGATCGCGTCAGCACCGGCGTTGCACCTATATGCACCGTTCGCGTAGATTACAGAGGGAGAAACGCACCATCACCAAGCACCTCCAGTTCATGTTCCTCCCACTGCCTCCCGCTCTGCTGCTTCCTAACCTGCTGCACGGCCCACTTGTGTAGAGCAAGATCACCGAGGACATCGTCTCTCACGTCGCGCTGGCCACCGAGAGCGCTGATGACGTCCTGGGCGGTTGCTCCGGCCGAGAGGGTCGCGTACTGGAGCGAGCCGCTGGGGAGGAGGGCGGGCACGATGAGCGGGTCTGAACTCATCGTTGTCGTCGCCGGCTCCGCCGAAGTGGATCGGGATCGGGTGCTGGTGGAGTGTTAGCAAGCGCGAGACAGGGTTTAATGAGATGAGACTTGCTTGCCGAACCAGGAAGCCAGCTTGACAACTCGTTCTGGTTATGATTATAGTCTGGGGTATACCACAACAACGATGGGTATAAAGGAAACAACGAGCAAATGCTCTTTGCCCCCGTCGACGACAGCGAGCAGAGTGTGAGTAAGCGCTACGGAGTGAATGACGCTAAGCCGCGCCGGACCCGCAAGCCAGACCACCTGAACACATGATGTAATCTCCTGTGCAGCCTCCCCAGCCCAGCTTCCTGCAACGAGCACACGCTGATACATTTACATTACTAGCTAGCATGAGTAAGACAAGATTAAGACATCGACGACCCCTCCGTGTCCACGCTCGGATGCACCATGTAGTACATCCGCACGTTCTCCCCATCCACCATGCTCGACGACACCGCCCCGCTCTCCTCCACGTCGCCCGACGGCAGCGACTCTGACACATCCCCTCTCACTGCAATCAGATAGTTGTCCTGAAAAACTCGCATAAGCAGCGTGCCTCACACCAAGAAACGACGACCCACCTTCACAAGCTTCCTCAGCAACTTCGAAATCAGCTCCTTCTCATACTCCAGATCCTCCACCGTCTGCAGCTCCGCCTCCCTCAGCTCCAAATACCAGTCAATCAGCTCGTCCCGGTCGATACCCCGGCCCGTCGCCCGCTCCGCCTCCGCGAGGTGCATCACCACCAGGCTCTGCAGCGTCACGTACTTGTCGTGCGTGATCACCATCCTCCGCTTCGGCGCCTGCGCAACCGCAGGCCCCGTCTCCGGCATCGAGCTCCCCGCCCGAGACGCGCTCGACGGCCCCGCGCCGCCGCTCGTCGACGTCTGCCCGGCAGCAGCAGCAACAGGAAAGCTCTCGTCCGTCGTATCCATCGGATACGTATCCGCGCTCATCTCCACATCCTGACTCTCCTCCCCCTCCCCACCACCCCCGTTCTCCTTGGCGCTCGCATTCGCCTGGTCCCGCGCACGATCATTCTCCCCCTCAAGCTCCTCCTCGTCGAAATCGACATCGTCCTGCTCGACATGGATAATCGACTGCCGCAGCAGCGCGTACGCCTCGCGCACGAACGCCGGCGTGATCTCGTGCGTGCAGTTCGCCCGCGCGATCGCCTCGCTCAGCCGGATCATGCTCTCCAGCTGCCGCACCGTGATCCGGTACGAGTTGCGCCCCGCACCCGACGCGTCGTCTTGCCGCAGGATGCGGTACTTGTCAACCAGCACGTCCGCCGCTTCGGGCGTCATCTACCAAGCCCGTCAACATTGTCTCGGCGGGGAGAAAGTAAAGAGGAATCATACCTTGGGGTTAAACGTCCGCGAATACCGAATATACCTCTGCAGCGCCTCCGTACTAAACTCCGGATTAATCGCCTCGTCCTGGAACCGATGCACATTCACAATATGCCGCGCAATGCTCAAATCCGTCTTCTCGTCGCACTCGTCCAGCACCACAAAAAACAGATCAAACCGGCTCATAATCGGCGCGCTCATCGCCACGTTCGCCCGCAGCGTCTTCTTGCGGTCGTACCGCCCCCCGATCGGGTTCGCCGCAGCGAGAATGGACGTGCGCGCGTTGAGCGTCGCGTGGATCCCCGCTTTTGCGATGGAGATGGTTTGCTGTTCCATCGCTTCGTGGATCGCGACCTGGTCGGATATGTCCATCTTGTCGAACTCGTCGATCGCGCAGATGCCGTTGTCGGCGAGCATGAGCGCGCCCGCTTCGATGGTAAAGTCGCCCGTTTCTTCGTCTCTGACGACTGCGGCGGTGAGACCGGCGGCCGAGGAGGCTTTGCCGGACGTGTAGACGGCGCGCGGGACGAGGGAGCAGACGTACCTACCATTCTAATTAGATTATGTTGTATATTTGACATCAATGGAGACACGTACTTGAGGAACTGCGACTTGCTCGTCGACGGATCACCCACGATACAGATATTGATATCCCCACGGAGATGCATGCCCTCGCCCGTCTGCTTGTGCACGCCGCCCATAAGCTGCAGGAGCAGACCCTTCTTCACGATCTCGTGCCCGTACACCGTCGGCGCGATACTCTCCACGAGGCGCGAGTATATGTGATCCGAGTCGATCATCGCCTTGAGCTCGTCGAACTCGGGCTCCGTCAGCGTGCGCAAGAACGCCTGCCCGTCCTCGTCGCCCTCCTCCTCCTCGCCACGGACATTCGTCCCGCCCTATCCACCACACATCATCAGCATCAACAAGAGAACTAGGAAAGCAACCGAATGAAACGCACCCGCCCATCAGCATCATGCACCATACACGCCAAAAACGCCGTCTTATACTGCAAATCCCTCACCCCCAGACTCTTCAGCCCCGTCACCCCACTCCCGCCCACCCCGCCCGTCGCCGCGTTCCCGCCCGCACCCGACCGGCTCGCCTCGCGCATCAGCTCCGCCTTGTTCCCGCCCGGCAGCCCGAGCTGGCTCACGTCGGGCACGACGATGAACGTGCCCGTGAACACGCACTTGTCTCCCGCCTTGGCGCGCTCGACGAGCTCCGAGCGCAGGATGACGTCGAGCGAGCGCGGCATCGACCCCGTCGGGATCTCGGATGGGTTTTCCTGGATGCGCACTTTTTGCCAGTCGGTGAATTTGGAGGTGTCGATTTGCAGCTGCCACGCGACCCGGTTGCCGCATGTTGGGTTCGGGCAGAGGCTGGGCTGTGTCGTTGAGTAGGATGAGCGAATCGCGTGTTTAGATAAGGAGCTGTGGGTAGACGCGCACGCACCTCGGTGTACTTGAACTGCTGCTCGACCTCGTTCACCAGCCCCCCGCACACCTCGCAGATAAAGCTCCCAAACAGCAGCTCCGGCCTGACCTCACTCGTCCTCGTCACCGTCCCGCCGATACTCATCAACGTCCCGATCTTATCCGTCTTAAGCTCCCGTATACCGCTCACAAGCGGCAGATGATAAAACGCGATATTAAACTCCCTCGTCTGGAGATTCGCGCTGTCCGTCGTCGCCGCCGTCGGATTGACCTTGAGGTACTCGGGCTCGTACTCGGCCACGAGGTTGTGCAGCGCGCGCCGGAGGTACGGGAGGAAGCGGTAATATTGCCGCTGGATCGCGTCCGCGAGCACGTCGTCTTTTTGGAGCAGGTGCGTGAAGTCGACGTAGAGCGTGGTGAGCTCGTATTCGCGCATCGTGTGGATCTGCTGCACATAGACGAGCTCGCCGTCTGGCAGCTCGGGGACGCCGCCGTCGGAGGCGGGCGTGGCTGCGAGGGCGACTTCTTCTGTGAATCTACATACACATTCTTCATGAGTGGCCTTGACTTGCGAGAATGAAAAGGAGTGACGCACGTTTTCAAGAACGTTTCGAAACTCTCCGCGACGCTCTCGCCCAGGGCGTCTCTAACCAGAGGCACATCACCGTTCTGCTGGGTATTGCGCGGCCGTCTCCTCCTGCTTGCTTGAGTGCCCTCCTCCTCTGCCGCTTCCTGCGGATCCACATCGTTTCCTAGCGCATCGGGCGCCCTTCGCGCTTGTGATCGCGGCGTGAGCCCGTTTGCAGACGGGGTGGGAAGAGGTGCGCTGCTCGGCGGCAGCGAAGACTGGGGTGCAGGCGGCGACGACAGCCCGTCAACATCCATGTCTTTTGGTATGAAGTAAAAATGAAACAGAAAAGGAAAACACGAGAGAGAACAAAAGGGTCAGGAGGAAAGGAAAGTGAGACGACGGGAATCGCGTCGCGCACAACACGAGACTGCCTGCCCTGAATCCAATTAGGCGCGTGCCCTCCTCGTGCTCGGCGCTTCAACGCATCGGCGCGTGTTCGCTTCCCTCCTCCTACCTTTTTCTTCCTCCAACTACTCCCCGAGCAGACAATGACGATGGACTCTACTGAACTCGAGGCCCTCGACCCAGTCTACGTCGCAGAGACACTCTCCAAACCACCCTTCGTCCAGATCTCGGGCGTCGCCAACGTGCGCGACCTCGGCTCCTATCCCTCTTCCACTCCCGGCAAGATGATCAAACCGGGATACGCATTTCGCGCGGCAGAAATATCCTCAGTCACGCCAGAAGGTACGTTTACTCCTACCATCCCGAAATGCATATGGCCCACTGACGAGGGACACCAGGCATTGAACAGATGAAAGCACTCGGTATCACCATCATCTTCGACCTCCGCTCCGACCCAGAGATGAAGAAATACAACACCCCAATACCAACCATCGATGGCATAGACGTGCTGCACAACCCCGTGTTCAAGACGGCGGACTACAGCCCAGAGACAATGGCCGAGTGCGTACGTGCTGCCGCATCAGCTGCTGGCGTCGCTGCTGCTTACTCACTCTGGCCATTTTCCTTACTTTGTGCGCTACCTGCCTGTACAGGCGGTATGATCTGTATGCCTTGGCGACCACAGATGTGAGTAGTGCAAACATCAAACCGACTTCACTCCAGGACTGACGAGAATCCAGGCATTCATGAAACTCTACTCCCAAATCCTCAACAAAGGCGGAGCCTCCTTCAACCGCATCTTCAGACACATCCTCTCAAACCCCGACTCCCCCTTCATATTCCACTGCACCGGTACGCTCGATCCCCACCACCTCACCCTCTCACCCATCCTCACAAAACCCATGCATTCATTAACAATCAGCTGGCAAAGACCGCACAGGCATCGTCGCAGCCCTCATACTAAAGGTACGCACAACCCCGAGGGTCTAGGGTATACCCCGAAACTGACTTATACACGCATCGATCAGCTATGCGGCGTGAGCGATGACGCCATAGCGCACGACTATGCCCTCACTCGCGTCGGCCGCGAACCGGACCGCGAAAAAGTCCTCAAGCGCCTGTCCAATGAACCGCGCTTCGCGTCAGACTCAAGGGCAGCTCTTCGTATGCTCTCGTCACGGTGCGTTCAGACATTCGAAATAGTTCCAATTGTTGATTGATGACCTGTCAATGACAGAGACGAGACGATGCGCGCGTTCCTCGCCATGTTAGAGCGCGACTACGGCGGCGTCGAGGCATACCTCGAGAAGACGGTCGGCCTCCCCCCAGACGAGATCAACACGATAAGGGAGAATCTGCTAGTCCAGGCAAGTCCTGAAAGCAGGCTATGAGAGAATGGTATCATGCAATATATAGTGCTCTGTTCGTTCAAGCCAGGTCGTACCATCGTCGTAACTGTCATCATAAGCCAATGTCCACCCATATCCCTCAACTCCAACAACAACCCAGCCAACTTCACCCCGCACACATTCCGCCTACATACATATCCCTTCCATCCACCGTAATTATAGTGCAATCTGTTCCGGCATGGTGTAATCATAATATAAATACAATCCACTTCCACCAAACCGCATCCCAGCGTCGTAGTCTTGATCATCTGAACACCCGACTTGAGCTTGAGTGTCGAGCCATGGCCAACAACGGAGTCACCAGATGCATTACCAGCACCTACTTCCTCGCAAGCCCAAGCGTCCCCCGCCTCGTCTGCGCCTGTGCCTGCCTCTGCTGCGCCTGCAACGACCCGCCCAGCGGACTCCCCTGCGGCGGCGGACTGCTCGACCCGCCCGACCCCGATCCCGTCACCGTGCCCGTTCCCGACACCGACCCGGTCTCTCTCATCAGCGTCGACGCCAACAACCCTGTCTGCCTCGCCCTCGGATTCAACGGGGACAACACCGACCTTCCCCCACCCCCACCCCCGCCTTGCTGCTGCTGCCCCTGGCCCTGCCCCTGCTGCCCAGCACCCTCCCCGCCAGCCGACATCTTCCTCCTCATCCCAGGCCTCGACCCACCACCATCACGATCGCGCTGCGCCCCCTCCGCCCTCCCACCACCGCCACTCGCATTGCTCTCCGACGACAACAGCCCGCCGAACGCAGCAGACGACGCGTCCGAGCCGAGCGCGAGGCGCCGCGCCTTCTCGTGGCGCAGCTGCACGGATCGGAAGTGCGAGAGCAGCTCCTGCCACTTGATCTCTTCCCGCCCGGACACCTTGGATCGCGAGGAGATCTGGCCGCCTACAGCCCTGTGCGTGTGCGTGTCCGAAACCAAGAACCAAAAGTGAAACAAAACAAAACAAAGGCATGTGTCAGCGCTCGTGCTCAGCATTTGTGATATCCCCATCTCCAAAATCCATCATCGGATGGATGGACGGAAGAATGGATAGATGGGGCAGAGTTCGTACAAGACACGTACCCTTTCGGCGCAATGTGCAAAAACCCAGCCGAGTTGACAGCGCTGAGGCGGTTCCGTAGCGACACGAACGCCGAGCTCTGCGGGAGCAGCATCAACAGGCCGTACAGACACTTGAACAGGTACGGGTATCGCTCCGGCTCGAGGAGCTGCAGGCGCAGATCTGTGCGTTTACCGCAAATGTAACATATCCGGCATCAGCATCAGCGCAGAACATCAAAACGTGTGTTGCTCGAGGGAAGTGGGATGGACGCGTGGATAGCAACGGGGAATGGAGGACTCACACGTGAAAATAGGCGACTCAATAAGCTGCACCAGCTTGTCGATTTGGACGAGCATGGCCACTGTAATCTCGAGATCCGCGCTACATGCATAACCCCAAGCCAGCCGCAAGTGAGAACACGATCAAAAAGAACACAGGCATATCGCACGCACAAGATGGATAGCAAATTAGAAGCATGCTCATACGCTTGGGCCAGCAGACACAGGGAGAAGACGGCCACCGCGTTGTGACACCACGAGCGGTACAGGGTCGTAAACAATGCTTGTCCATCAGACTGTTGTTGATGGAAGTGAGCACAGGTCCTTTTTTTTGCGAGATCAATGAAACAATATGGGCTTACCCGAGTCTCGAGGCTCTTCAGTCGCCTCCGGAACTCGGCGAGCTCGGGTGAGGTGATTAGGATCATGTTCAGCTTCTGCACGATATCGCTCGCAAACTCCAAATCCTATGTTCTACTGTCAGTTTGATGATATCGCAGCAGGTCCAAGTGCTCACCTCTTCCTTCTCCAATATCTCCGCAAACGTCTTGTATATGCGTTCAGTGTTCAGATTTAGACACAGCTGTCGAATAATGAGGCTCCCGCGCGCTTCCAAGAGCTTGCGATCCGTGCTGAAAAGCCCAAGAAGGTTCATCATGAACACCTTGAAGTAACCCTCCTCCGAGCTCGACGATATCTGAGCGAGAAGCTGCAGATCATGCTTAATGACCTCCTCGGAAGAATCCGAAAGCGTTTTGAGTAGCGCAGGAAAGGTTCCGTCGTCCATCGCCAAAATCTACACAACCAATCCACATCACTTCAGTCAGCACAAGCTCCCTTCACTTCCAAATCCTGGCAAACGCACCTTCTTCGGCGCCTTCTGATGCAACATTATCAGCCACTTGAGCGCAGCGACCCGCGTCTGCTCGTGCTCGCTCAAGAACTGTACCGTCAGCTCAGTGACCGTCGCCTGGTAATCAAACAAATCCGGCTCCTCGGGCGGCGGCGGTGGCATCGGTGGCGGCACACTCTGCGCATCGCGTTGCTGAGCGACGGGCGTCGGCGCGTTAGGCGGGTTCGCCGCGCCGCCTGGAGCACTCGCTGATGAAAGACGGGACTGGGGACGACTCGGGCTCGGCGCACCTGCACTTGCTGCGGGGGTGCCGTTAGGCATCTCGGATAAGCTCGACTGAGTTCCGACGCGGGATCGCTGCGTGAGCGGCGCGGTCGTCTTGTCCGACGACGCGTTCGACGACGTCGACTGCGACTGCGCGTCCGTCGTCGTCGTCTCAGGAGAGGTCGTCTCCCTCGGTGGTTGCAAGATGTTTGCTGACTGCTTCGATGGTGGCCCCGTCCCCTGGGTTGGCGAGCTCGCCTGATCGCGAGACACGGAGGGCGTGATCTTCTCCGCTGTCGCGCGGCGCGACGAAGCGTCAGCTGGAGAAGGGAGATTCTGGACTACGCTGGAGAGGAGCTTGTTCGTCCGGATGGCTGCTGTCTGAATCATGGGCGCATGGTGGGCGAGGTTGGGGAGGATGGCAGGGATAAGGCGCGGGGTGAAGGGGACCATGACTTCGGATGTGAAGTCGAGGAACTCGGCCAACCATGAAAGTGCGGTCGACTGTTGGATCTCGTCGTCTGGATGTTTGGCGGTATTAGATAAAGGTATGGATAGTGTACGCATCACCTACGTTGAACGTCTAGCTGCTCTATGAGAATCTCAACGATAGCGGCATAGTCGATATGGACGCCCTGTCCAGGTAACCAGGCTTGGGAGTGCGATGAGCGATAGGTATGCGGACAGGGAACCCCACTCACCCCCAGTCCTCTTGATCTCCTTCTCCACAAGCGGTTCCTCTTTAAATGGGTTGCCCCCATCCACCTCGCCCGACGTTGCGTTCTCTGGGATAAAAAGCGCACGTTCCGAATGCGACATGGTGATGTCCGGAAGCTTATCTTTCTCAGTCTCTCTTCGTCGCTGCTCATAAGGCTCATGATGCTCATCGATCTTCTGTTGGATCGCGCTGACCTCCCGTATCTCTTGGAGGAAACCAGCAAGGATGTTCTCGGTGGCAGTGCGCACGTCGGCGGTGGGGTCGGACATGTACTTACTAGAGATAGCCAGCGTCAGTATCATTCAGAGATGCGTAACGACAAGGAAAATTTTTGCTCACAAGAGACCATCTAGGAACTCGGGCAGATACGAAACCAGCTCCAGCTCAGGGACGGAGTCGAGAACGGTAATCCACGATACGAGGAAGCTTCTAGTGAATGGGCTAAGGACGTATATGCGATCCTGGAGGAGGGGGATGAAATGGGCAAGGGAGAACGCTCGTTTCTGCTTGTAGCTGTATCCATCTGCAGAAGGGTCGCCGGGGTATGGTACGAGTACGCTTTGCTCCTCCTGGGACATGCGATCGCGGACCTTCTCCGTCTCCGGGTACTGCGGAATGTACACTGACGCTGTCTCCGCCACGATGTCCTTCAAAAGCCGATCCAGCAGCTCGGCCCCGTTCTTGACAGACATTTCTGAGTCGGCAGCAAGCTGTTAATATGAGGATGAGAGAGCGGAGAAGCGTGATGTTGGGACGCACCTTGCTCAGCGCGTCAAATATGGGGTTGAAGAACACCAAGACCTCTCCCTTCGACACCTTCGCGATGTTATACAGACACTCCGCGGAGAAGTAGCGTATCCGGTTTTCGGGGTCGGTGAAGCAGGCGAGAACGGGTTCGATAAACTTGTCCATGAACGGTGCAATGTCGACCCCGAGCGCGATAGCCGTCCCAGCGAGACCGATGAGACCGCCGTTCCGAATGTGAAGGGGGTTGACTGCGTTGCTGAACATGTCAACGAGCTGCTCGATTATCTGGTTGATACGACGCTGGTCTCCTTGTAAATGGCATTCTCGAATCTGTCTGGGCGAAAGCGTTGGTGAACATGGAGGAGGCTACAGGATGAACACAAACTTCTCAAGTTCAAGTGCTGCTGCCTTCCGTTTCTCGTAGATCTTATCGACGAGCTGCTTTGAAACAGCAGAGTCTAATAGAAAGGCTGAGCATCGATCATAGAAACATGCTGGTCAGACTCACCCATGGTCGTGATCTACTCAACGTCGGCGAGTGACGCGCATGTACGAGCGGGGCGGGTCAGAGGTCAGCTCGGCAAATTCCGAACTGCACAGGCTTTTCGCAACTGGAGCATCGCAACGCGTCGTCATCCGTACATCCTTACACTCACCACATTCGTCTCCTGTTGACCAAACCAATATCCGGCTTTCGTTCACGCATGATACGCTGCAGGCTCAAATCTCAAGCTGGCTTAGATGGAGTGTACAAGCCAGGTCGCACGCGTATAGTCGGCTTTCGCTCTAAAACTCCTGAAGAAACCACTGAAGAAACCAGAACGTTCGAATGAATCATGTTCCAAGTTAGTATCCTCCACTGCTTATATTATTTCTGCCACTTCTGATACAAGGAGCTTGACTATCGTCTTAGATGATATACCCGTGGAACGATGCTGTCATTGCTCTGGGCCGTTACTGGGCTGTGGTCAAACTCTATGCATGAGCCTGCTGACTTTGTATCGCAGTCTTCCTCCGCACATGGACGCATGTTCAAAGTTCTAAAAGCGCTTGTAAAGCGTTACAACCCGCACATAGGTCAGGGGACCATAAATAAACGCCAAACGCATATTCGCCTTTGTGCGAGGGCTGCTCACATCCTAGATAGAGGTCAGCCCTTGTCACGGTGAAACACGGTCCGTTCCACTGCAGTCTACATTTTATGCGAAGTGCCAGCAAATGCTACCTAGCGCCATCTCCGATGCACACGCAATGCCTGGCGGTGAGTCTCGCGAGTGTCAAGCCCCACAGATGAGCCCGATATTGTCGGTCCGAGCGTAACCAGGGAGTCGGGGGCCGTCCGAGGCGTGGAATCCCGAACTTAGTTGCTTGCCGCCGGCCCATGATCACTCCACCATGACGATCGTCAGCGCTTCAGTACTAACCCAATTCCTGTCGTCCAGCCCATTGGGCATTTAGATGTCGCGTGCCGCATTGAGATGTTTTAGGCTCGTATGGACGAGTAGCCTATCGCGCCCTCGTGTTTACCGCGTAGCGCATCACCGGCAGCGCCGAAACTGCCATCGATCTGGCTGGCATCAGGATGGGGTTGCAAAGCCAAGCCCGAATGAACGGATTTTTTACGTACATACTTGCCGCCCAATTTTAGCGCACACCGCCGGGCGCTGATGTTGAAGTGGCAGAAAACAGGCAAGTTCAAGCCCTCTCGACGTCAATCTGACATTAATGAAGGAACCAACCCCACAGTAAACCTTGGTTCTTCTGGCGTGACCACAATCACCCAGCCCACGGGTTGGCCTAAATTCAGTCACAAACGGTGTTTTTATCAGGTTTCTGCCTCACAGGGACAATCGGCTTGGCAAAAGGGCCCGCGGCATGTGGGTAACATCAGCCACCGGGCCCTTGAAACACCACTCTTCCCGCCATCAAAAAGGAGAGCTGTGCTGACAATGACACGCTCCTCCCTGTGGCCCATCCCCTTTGGTTTCTCCACGGCGCACGCGGCGTTGATGCAGATCACTTAAGTAAAGCTTCTCGACCAGGCTCGTCCTGCCGACTTCCCCCCTCCGCCCCCGCCATGGGCGCTTCCAACATCATATTCTCCATCTTTTCACTTCTTGGTTTTGTATTAATAGCGCCTCAAGCTTTATGCCGTTATGAATGTACGTTTTCTCACTTCGTGTAGTGACCCTCGGCGCTGAGAAGGTCCCGCGATGCAGCATGGAACACTGGCTCGGTTTTGTACATTGGTTGGACGAGTGTGATGTGCATCACGCTCGGGATCAACGCCATCATATGGAATGGCAACTACACGGACTGGTCGCCGATCTGGTGTGATATCTGTACGTGTTCCACTTTCGTTCGTGTTTCACTGTGAAACTTAATTACGTATGTGGTAAAGCATCGCGAATCATCATAGCTGGTCTAGTCGGGATACCAGCCTCCACTCTCTGCATCAATCGCCGACTATACCAGATCCTATCCCTGCAGTATCGTCGGAGGGTGAGCTTTACGCACTCGGCATGTTGATCGCTATCCTGATGGAGGCGCAGCCGGCTCTGAACGTGGTGTGCGACCTGTGCATCGGCCTTGGACTTCCTGCTTTGGTCATCGTTCTATGTGAATCTCGTTTCCTCTTTGACATCCAAGCTAGAGTTGACAATGGAATAGACTATACGGTACAGGAGTACCGGTATCTACTCGTTGAGGACATCGGTTGCTGGTATGCCACGGTAGACTGGACTCTGGTGGTACCGCTAAACATCCTATGGGCACCCATGACTACTATCGCGTCCTTGTCGTACTCTTGTAAGCAAACAATACTCGGCGCTCGTATGCTGGTGACTCACTAGGGATCTGATTTCTAGGTCTCGCCATTCGTGAAGCTCGCTTCCGGAAGGCAGAGCTCGAGTTTGTCTTATCATCCGAAAGCCGAAGTCTGTGCTCGAGACGACTCACTAGGCTCATCCTCTTGTCGATCATCCAAGACGTCTATCAACTTCTCCTCACCATTATATGTTTCCTCTCTGCCATCCCCCAATTCGATCATACGCCTTGGCCAGGGTGGGACGCCGCGCATGAAAACGTTACTCAAGTGTACACTTACAACGCTTCTGCGTGGCAGGAGCTCTGCTGGGACGCTGTTGCACTCTACTCGGCACAATGGCTATGGGTTTTTCATGCTTTCGCTTTCGTCATACTGGTTGGCTCCGCACGGGAGGCGTACCGATCGTACGCTCTGCCATTCACAGTCGCCTTACGTCGTCTGGGCTTGGCTCCGCCGGAGCGCCCACCTGTGACTCCTACCATCGCCATCACGATGGACAAATTCCCGAAAGGTCAAAAGATGTACGTCTGGTGTACCTTCCTCTTTTGATCTTTCCTTGATCTGATTCTATGGGCACAATCAGACCCAGTTTCCAGGACCTCGCTGACGATGCTTACCACGACAACGGCGGGCTGACATGTGCAACGGAAATGACGGACATCGCATATCTTTCCTTCGGCTCCGTGCGACCACCACAGCAGCAGCCAGCCGAGAACGAGGAGGGGAATGGGAGGAGTAGTGCCTCGTTGCTTTCGGGTGGGACTGTGGTATCTGAGGATGATGACACGTTAGCTCATGCCTGATCAGGAATATAGATGTCGCCTTGATTACGCCATGATAGGTCAGGACAATTCGACGTTTGAACGTAAATGTATCAAACCTGACATCTCGTTGCAGGCACGTAGCACGCATGTACATTTAACACGCACATTACATTCAGTTATTACAAGCCTAGGAAGGCTATCCGCCCACGACTTACGCGCACGTGTGAATGTGATGCCTCGTGCAGATCGACCTGGCGTAACGTGCGACAGTGAGCTTTGCCATCTTGATGATCAGAGCCACACAGATGCGACAGTGAGAAGGTAGCACAGAGTGAAGGTGCCGGTATACTTTCTGACAGCCGACGAACGGCGCGGTCGACTCAATGGACAAGTTATGGGACATATGCAGAAATGTACGTTTCAGCACCTCATTGCAGTGGGACCCTCCTGGCGATAATGTCTTGTTCTACAAAACGTTGGCTGACATCGAGCATCTAAATTGCGGTGACGTATCGCTTTGACTATCCAAACGTGTTCTCCGAGCCTGAATTGGCGCTAACTCCATCTTTTCTTGTCATCAATCGAGATAGGAGGAGACGGCCTTCGATCCGACATGATCAGGAATAGGCAAGATGGTTTCGCATTCTCCAAGTTCCTCCACGTTTCTCTTCATGTGCACTTTATCCGCGCAGAGAAAGAATACATATCTGCGCTTACGCTCTTACAAGAACAGATAGACGATTTGCGGACAGCATAGAAGATACTTTGAGCCCCGTGAACCGTGCGCTATTTCTTTACTCGACCTAGTATATGATACGGCGGTACGTCAACCCACACGGGATCTTTGTGATGATCGACATATTGGTCTCATGAGCAAAACCGTCGACTGTGTACCAGATATTACCCCCGTCGTGTGTTCTTCAGGGCCTGCCGATATGTTTGAGATAAGGGGAACGCAGCCTCCTTGTTCCAACGCCACATGAAACCAACCACGCTGGGTGAGTGTCTTGTCCGGACCTTTTCTCCTAGGAATTTATAATTGACGGCTTGTATTCCCCGCTTGTTCCATGCTCACATTTCCTGATGGCTGTTCCTAACCTTGTGCTCTCAGCTTTCTGTTTCTTAGGATGCGTTCTTATGGCATCGCAGCTTTGCCAGAGGTATCAGGGTGAGTGATCCAATCATTGCTCGCAACTTCCATAACGCCGCGTGCGTTGTGTAGCATGGAACGCGGGGTCAGTTGCCTACATACTATGGACTGGGATCATGTGTTTCAGTCTCGCCGTCAATTCCATTGTATGGAACGGCAACATAGATGATTCGGCACCGGTCTGGTGTAACATTTGTGAGCTTTAGAATCGTTGTTTTATGGCATTAATATTCCTTACTTCAATCGCGCTGTCAACGATTGACAGCTTCGCGCCTCTTGGTTGCCGGCCCTGTGGCAATTCCGGCAGCAACATTGTGTATTAACCGTAGGTTGCACCAGATTTTGATACTGAAGTACAAACGAACTCAGGTAAGCAAACATTGTCGATGTCCCCTACAAAATCACACTATTGATCATTTACCTCGTTTTAGCTCATTGGCAATATGGCGACAGACATGTCGATTTGCATCGGGCTTCCGGGGATGTCTATATTAGCATGTGCGTCCGTCGAAAGGACCATTTAAGTCTACTGATATCTCAAGCAGACTACGTGGTTCAGACCAACCGATATGCGATACTACAGGATATTGGCTGCTATGCTGCCGTCGGACCCTACAACGCCAATGTGCCTTCCATCTATGCATTGCCACTAATGTTGACGATAGCATCCACAATATATTCTTGTGAGTGAGTGACGTAGTCTTTGACACGGGCTACTTCATCTGAGCTAATAACCTCTTAAGGTTTGGCAATACGAGCAGCCTGCAATCAGCGTCCTGTTCTTGCACAGGTCTTGGCATTGGACGGCAGTCGGTCGCTAACAGCGACACGCTTCCAAAAACTAATCATCCTATCCTTTACCCAAGCAATATTTCAGTCCTTCTTTTCGATCTCGACGCTCGTAGTGTCCATTCCGCAATCTCAGACAGGGTTTTGGCCTGGGTGGGCCTTAGTCCACGCCAATATGACACAAGTAGAGTTTGAGCCTCCGTCGGTTTGGGGAAACACCGCATGGTCTATAGCATCCGTATACCTCTTTCAGTGGACATACGTCGTGCATGCGTTTTGCTACTTTGTCTTATTAGGCTTTACACCAGAGGCAAAGGTTTCGTATTGGCAACTTTTTCACCATCTTGGAGCTCTACGTCCTTTCCAACGCGAGGAAGATGGCATGAAAGTTGCGATGCCCACGAATATCAACAAGCAAACCTTCAGGTACGTGCAGTGCATCTCTGACCGCACGAATCTAGTGTTCCATCTCAGCCCAGAACGAGGATTGGTGATACAACACTCACGAGCTTGGCTTCAATATTGTTCTGGTCCTTTGGCTCTGCCAGAGCACCATCGGTAAATGGACCAGGAGATAGCGATTCAGATCAACTCGAGCGGGCAGTTCACGCGGATGGCCTATCTCTCAGTTCATTCGACGAAACGAAGCTAACCCAAGAGAGAGAGACTGGTGCCAGCTTGGTATCAGGGGTGTCTGCTGTACGCTCAGATATGGTAGGCTGTGTCCTTGGCTCATCAGGAGAAGATGTAAATTAGATATGGTACAAGTGTTCGTTGATATAGTGGCTTTCGTTTATGTTCATTCGAGGATCCGTTACATGATGCGGGTATTGTAGATTTGAATATGCTTGGCTAGGAGTATTTCCCAATCCGAGAGTGGAACATTCTCATCCGTTGAGTCCATTCTGCTACCAAGAATATTACGTTCCAATGATGCAACCCTGAATGCTCCCCGATAATGCAGTGATAGAACGCAGTAGGAGATTGCACAGGATTCTGGTGGGCGGACTTTCGGCAACGGCCGCAACTGGTCCTGCACTGGCACATGCCGCGAAGAACATTTCCGCGAGCGATAACTTAGTAGTACATGTGTGCACTCCTCGACCAACCGTTCTACCGTCAGTAGCCAGGAGGAGACATGGAACGCCAGTCTACATTTACCTAGCTTACTATGAGTATCCATGCTCCTTAAGATACAGCCAACTCGGAGCACAGATCTCATCAGCGCCACCGAATCGGTCTTGTGGAGCTTGTGGAGGTACCGAGTTGCTGCGCTCTTCCACAGCCCAGACCACGCATACACCACACATCGACCCACCGCTTTCGGCTGTGGGATCTCAAACGAGGCGGTTTCCCCCGTATCCTCGGGCTTATAAATTCGAGGTTCGAGTACCGCAAAGCCTCTTTGTGATGCTTTCAACGCTCATATCGCGCGTACCCATATGCCGGCGCCTAACTTGGTCGTATCCGCATTTTCATTCTTGGGTTTTGTCCTTATGGTGTCTCAAGGCTGTCAGAGGTATCAAGGTTAGAATTTCATCTTTGATCTGTCTTCGTCACCATCTCACTCGCTGTGTTTCCAGCGTGGAACACCGGTTCAGTTCTGTACATCTTTTGGACAGGTGTTTTGTGCATTGTGGTGGCTGTTAATGCCGTCGGTTGGAACAACACCATCGCGAACTTTGCACCTGTATGGTGTGATTTAAGTAGGTTCTTGCATATAGATGCGTATCTCATCCCTGTCACTTGCCAAAGCTGACCGTATATCATGACTACTAAGCTTCTCGACTCATTATTGGAGGAGCTGTTGCAATTCCGGGAGCGACGCTATGCATCAATCGTCGATTGAATCAAATATTAAAGCTACAATATCAGAGAGACCGTGTAGGGACAGCCATCTCAATTCCGCGTGATGAACGAATAACCTTTTGGCAGAGTTTTCACAATGCATTTGTAGACGCTTGCATTGGTCTTGGCTTCCCCGCACTGGCCATACTGCTCTGTAACGGTTCACTCCAGTCTGTACGCACGGATATTGCTCATCTATAATCAGATTATGTGGTGCAACAATACCGTTTCGCGATAGTGGAGGACGTTGGCTGTTATCCGGCCATTTGAAATTGGAAAGCCAGCATCCTCTTATATGCTATATGGCCTCTGCTTGCCACAGCTGGCTCATTGTTTTATTCTGGTAGGAAAAGCCGATACCTTTGAGAGCGCTCATTGAAACCTTTTTAGCCGTGGCTATCCGAGAAGCTCGCGCACAACTCGGCGTGCTTCAGAACATCCTGACTTCTAGGTCCGATGATAAGCACCTAACATCTAGACGTTTCCACAACCTAGTCATCCTATGCCTCGTACAAAACGCATATCAACTACTAGTATCCACCTACAGGCTGGTTACTTTCGTTCCTCAAAGCGGCGCGTATGCGTTTTGGCCCGGTTGGCAAGCGGTTCACATGAATGTGACTCGAGCTGCTGTTTGGACAGCGACCAATGAAACGCGAAGCGACACTCCCTTCGGGGTGCAATATAATTGGGAAGATTCACCTTGGAGCGCTCTCAGCTTTTACTTTTTTCAATGGACATACGTGATCCACGCGCTCTTTTATTTTGCTTTGCTTGGGTTCACGGACGAAGCCAAAGAATCCTATCGTCGGGTGTTATTCCTGAATCCATTCTCCCACTCAAATTCATCTGCAGCAAATGTACATGTGACAAGCCCTGACTTTGACCAGATGTCTCTCAGGTGCGCTCTGATATTAATATTACATAGTTTTCGCGCAATGCACTCATAGATGATTCAGTGATCCCGCTCAGTTCCAAGCACGTACTACCAGTACTACGATCACTAGCTTAGCATCTATGCTCTTTTTATCGTTCGGCTCTGTACGACCGGCTACTGGAGCACCGGTACACAGAACGCCACACGAGCTTGAACAAGCAGCTGATTGTGACATCGACGCGGACGTTGTGTCACTTGATTCTTGTGATGGTGTCAAATCGGATCACCTATTACGCCAGGATGCTCATGCATCCTCGTTAAACTCAAAGCTACCTAAAGAGAAGGGAGGAAAGTCAGATTGGCTGTTGGGTAAATAAACAGTATATTGGGATGAACATGGCGACAAACAAATACTTTATTTCCAATATTTTCGATGTCTTATGATCCAATGATCGAATCTTAGATAACTTAGACTAGGTCCAATAATGTAGACCCTAATTCTCTCTTGGTTCTGTTCCTAAAGTTTTGATTTGACTACTCTCTTCTCAGTACGCAAACAGACTTGAACAGCGGAAGTACCCGCCACATGATAACACGAAGGGAGTGCGAGTACACTTGCCAAAGCAGAAACAATTATGTTTAATAATTGCGCATGCAACCTTCGACCCGACATTGACCTGACATAAGGAAAACAAATAGGTTGATCTTAGTATTAGAGTGGAAGTCGCTGGAGAGACTCAGTACGGACACTACTGTCAAATCCCATACTCCACAATTCACCATCAGCTAAAGGTAAAGGATATATGGACCTCTAATTATCAGGCGGCGTCTCACCCGCGCTAGATAAGACAGATATAGCTTTGCTGAATATTATTTTCGGTGATATCTAATCAAAGAGTCTGTGCTAAACATCATGTGTATGAATCCTTGTAGGCTTATATACACACCAAGATTCATATTAAGGTGATGTAAGTGTAGTTGTTACTTGCAAACTCGTGGTTCTATCTGTAGGTTTCTGATTACTGCCTGTGCTCAGATGTTTCATTGGGTACTCAGAGTATTTGCATAATTTACGTCGTATTTAAATGCTTTGTTGTTGTACACCGAGAAACCGTGATAATCCTCGTTATCAGATAAGTAGTCCATTCGCTTTGTTATACAGGTCTTTGGTCTATGAGCGTATATTAACACCAGAAGCCCTGCATTTCACGGTAGCACGCGAGTCACCACTGCTATGATGAGATTGGCACAGCTCTACCCAATGTCAAACAGATCTGGATTTCTAGTTTCAGTGGTCCATAGAGGTATATATCTCACCTTGACATGATATCAAGGCTGTGGCCAATGCCAATGCTCCACAGCTTCTCTCGTTGGATGTGCATGTGGCATCACACCGAGCTGAGAGAAACTCGGTGTTGATCGAAGCGTAAGCTTAGCTTGGAGCATGCGTCGGGGTCTTCCCGAATAAAAGGATACAGCACTGGCGAAAATCTGTCCGACAGCTTTCCGGGGAATGATCGAGGTGTTGTTCTTATATTATATGAATGAACGACTCCGACGAAGAATTGTATGTCGAATCGTACAGAATGCAGTGACTTCGTTCTATTTTCATATTGTGATGGCGGACCCTATGCAAGTTGCCGCTTTGGACCAAGCTTGGACTCATGGTTTCGGATCCTTCCGTTCGCCGAGCCGTATGGCCTGATGGACCCAAATAACGCAGGCGCAGTCTCTCTCTACTATCACATCAGGCGGAACATGTTATTACACATATTGCTATACTCACCCAGTGATATATAGCTTTGGTTCGTGAGTTCGAGTTACATCCTTGTGCATCTGCCTTCGCCAATGTACGTGACTGTCCATGGCGGCCCCTAGCCTTATCGCGTCTGTGTTCTCTTTTCTTGGTTTTATTCTCATTACGTCTCAGCTTGGCCAAAAATACCAAGGTTCATTTCAACTAATTTGCTGTCCTATTTTATCGCTGACATATTCTTTGCGGCACCACCTTCGTTAACAGCATGGAACATTGGATCAGTGTTGTACATAGTCTGGACTAGCATCATGTGCCTCACAGTGGCCATAAATGCAATTGTGTGGAATGACAACGTTGGAGACTGGGCACCCTTTTGGTGTGATATCTGTGCGCGTGTTATTCTGTGAGATGGGTGGCTATTAGTGCTAACCGCTGTTATTAGCTTCCCATCTTATGGTTGGTGGTACTGTTTCTGTTCCCGCTGCAACACTGTGCATAAATCAACGCCTGTATCAAATATTGACCCTGAAATATCAGCGAAAACATGTTTGAGTCCATCTCACTTCTATTTCTTGTCGCTTGTTGACTGACTATCACGAGAGGCCGTTTTCGTTGCAGCTACAGATATCTTCATAGGTCTTGGTGTTCCAGCATTGTTAATAATCTTTTGTATGTCATATGGTATATGTTATTCATATTCAGCTATTAAACCCGTCTTGTGTAGATTATGTTGCCCAAGCAAATCGATATTGGATTATAGAGAATATTGGCTGTTATCCAGCAGGCTCAAGTTACTGGATTAGCACCCTGCTGATAGGCTCATTGCCACTGGTGGCTACGATTGCATCATCGATATATTCTGGTCAGTGTCTCAGCGGCGACGTTGCCAGCCTTGTTCACCATCTCATTAGCTCTTGCAATTCGACTCGCAATCAAGCAGCGCCATGCACTAGAGCAGGTTTTGTCTTCTGACAATCGCCGTCTGACAGCAACACGTTTTCGGAATCTTATCGTACTCTCTTTGGTTCAAAACATTTATCAGTTGGCTGTTTCGCTCTTTAATCTCATCCCTAGCTCCATCGATATGAAGGACATAACGTTTTGGCCTGGTTGGAAAACTGTTCACCAAGAGATATCTTCCGTCGGGATATGGTATGCACGCAATGTAGACGTAGTCCAATCTCCCTTGATAGCAACAGATTGGCAAGGTAATTCTGACGCTGCCGTCGGTCTCTATATATCTCAATGGCAATATGCATTCCACGCACTCTTCTACTTTGCCTTACTCGGCTTTACCTACGAAGCCAAGGAGTCCTATTATCGCTTTCTCAGCTTCTTCTTTCCCAGCCTCCATTTTCATCGGGCTCCAAAGGAGTCTAGCTCGGCTTTGGTGAGCTCGGGTGAAAAGACCAAATCTGTTAGGTACGCTCTGCTTCTTGAAATCAACTGGATGTATCACTCACGAGCTGCTCAGCATTGCACTTACGAGCGTTCCGCAGTCACGGAGGACCAACATTACGTTAAGCAGTTTGGCTTCCATGGCGTTCCTATCGTTTGGGTCCACTCGTCCTCTGGCTCCGACAGCGTCCTCGAACAGAAGTCCCAGCGAGCTCGAGCAAGGTGCCAACAGCGACACGCATGCCGTTTCTCTGGATCCTGTTCGGGAGACAAAAATTACCAGAGCCAGCGATGAATCCTCCGATATCGCAGTGCCAACTGCAGCATGCTCTACCACGCGAAAGGAGAAAGCAGACAAAATACTAGGCCGAGAAGTACCGAGGTTCGTATGAACGGGTTATGGACGGTAGTGGTCATTGTCATTCGTCAAACTCTATTTCTGGCTATTATTACTTGTATCAAGGTCTATGTCTTAATCATTGTCTAGGTTAGCGCGTCGTACCTGCTGTATTTTATTTTCGTATAATTTAATCCCCGTATCTCTACCCACATCACATCCGTGCAGCTAGTAGCTGCACTGCATTCGGATAAAACCAAACGAACTCGAACAAGGAACTAGTACTTGTTCCCTCTCATTTCCCACTTCAATCGGCTCCCTTCAAGACATAGAGCTTTCGAGAGATAACTCGTCAAACACAATCGTATTGTAAGCCGTGATTACGTTAAGGATCTCGAAATTACGTACTCAGTACTGTACAGGACATTAGCCACGGTATATAGTCTGTGTACTTTGATATGTTAATGTTTACGCGATTGCCCTTCGGGCTACTCTCCTGCCCGGGACAAGCCGCGCTCGTACTGTGTCGGCGAGATCCAGCGACTCGAATTCCAACAAAACACCCGCGGGACGGGAAAAAAGGCATCCAGGGTTTTGGGTCGAAATGCCCCAGATTCGGGTAAGAGATATAGTGGTTACTGTCACTTTCAAAGCGTGTTATTTGCTGTATTATTTTAAAACCTTGAGGTCACGGTCAGAGCATCGCATCGGTTCTACTACGCTACCCCCCACTGTATTGCTAATGGTTTATTTACTTAAGCTTCCTGGCACCTGAATTCCTTTTCACTATCCACCATACAAGGCTATAACTTATTTACGCACGTGGAATGATATGGATGCTCACGGTATCTCGTTGGTTTAATATATTCCTTGACGTTTCAGTCTCCAATCACCGGTCCAGCCGTGCATCCCAACCTCACGTGAGGTACCACTGCCATAATCCTGGCGTAAACCTACTTGCTTTCACTCAAAGTCCGAATGTATGCCCTGCGTTAGTGACAAACAGCTCTCCCTGACTCGACTTCGAGGCTGCAGTCAATGCCGATGCTCCACAGCTGTTGTTGATGGACGTGTACGCAACATCAGCTTGATCTCCCATGCGTCGGGGTCTTTCCGAACAGAAGGGGATAGCACTGGCAAAAATCTGTCCAACACCTTTTCGGAGAATCCGTGACGAGCATGTGGTCGAGGTGTTCTTCTTCTTGTTATCGTATGTCAAAACGTTCGGAATGCAATGACACGTTCTATTTTCATATTGTGATGGCGGATCCTATGAAAATTGCCGCTTTGGACCAAGCTTGGACTCATGTTCTCGAGTCCTTCCGTTCACTGAGCTGTATGGAAGCCTGCCAAGCTACCAAGGCCTGATGGGCTCAAACAACGAAGGCGCAGCCTCCCTCTGCCATTACATCAGGCGGAACTTGTTATCGCGCGAATTGCTGTGCCAATCGAGTGGTATATAGCTTTGGTTCGTGAGTGCAAGTTACACCCTCGTGCATCTGCCTTCGCCAATGTACGTAATTGTCCATGGCAGCCCCTAGCATTATCGTGTCTGTATTCTCTTTCCTGGGTTTTTTTCTCATTACTTCCCAGCTTGGCCAAAACTACCAAGGTATGTCTGATTAGTATGCTGCCATGATACATCGCTCACGTATTCCTTTGCAATGTCAATACATCTCCCAGCATGGAACACTGGATCAGTTTTGTATATTATTTGGACTAGCGTCATGTGTCTAGCGGTAGCCGTCAATGCTCTTGTATGGAATGATAACACTGAAAACTGGGCACCTGTGTGGTGTGATATTTGTGAGTACTAGTGATATTCGGTACATTCGACTATCGGAGTTGAAACACTGGTGTTTAGCTTCCCGTCTCATTATTGCTAGCACGGTTGCCATTCCAGCCGCCACATTGTGCATAAATCGACGCCTATATCAGATATTGACCCTGAAATATCAGAGAAAATCTGTACGAACGCGCTCTCCTTCCTCTCCGTTGATTAGCTAAATTTCACACCAGACTGTGTATATTGTAACTGCAGATGTCTGCATGGGCGTTGTTGTCCCGATATTGTCTATAATTCTCTGTATGCCTCTTGGAGAGCCTTAATGTTGAACCCGTCATTGACTTTGCCTTGGCAGACTATGTTTCCCAAATAATCCGCTATGAAATCGTAGAAAATATTGGTTGTTATCCAGCAGCTGGAGATTTTCAGGCTGCGATCTTGTTGGTTTCCGCCTGTCCGCTGATTATTACAATTACCTCATCAGTTTACTCGGGTAAGCAATCCGCCATGACCTTGGCAGTATCATTGACCACCTCATTAGCTCTTGCGATCCGGATCGCCATCAAGCAACGCCAGATTCTGGAGCAGGTTTTATCTTCTGACAGTCGTCGACTGACAGCAAAACGTTTCCGAAACCTTATCATACTCTCTTTGATTCAAAATTTTTATCAGCTGGCTGTTTCTCTCTTCAATCTTGTCCCTACCGTGATCGGCATGAACGAAACACCATTTTGGCCTGGATGGCAAACTGTTCACCAAAATATGTCTTCTGTCTTGCTAGTGTATTCACGAAATGGGACCGCGGAACAGGCACAGTATCCTTGGGTGTTTATGGATTGGCAAGGAGATATCGAAAATGCCATTAGTTTTTATACGGTGCAATGGTCATATGTGTTTCACGCACTTATCTACTTTGCCTTACTCGGTTTTACCTACGAAGCCAAAGAGTCTTATTATCGTTTTCTCAGCTTCTTCTTCCCCATCTCCCCCTTCCATCACACTCTAAAGGAGTCTAGCCCGGCTTTGGTGAGCTCGGACGAAAATACAAAGTCGATCAGGTGAGCTCTGGTTCTTAAATTCGACTGGATGTATCATTCACGAGCTGCTCAGCATTGCACTTACAAGTGTTCCACGGTCTCGGAGGACCAACGTTACACTGAGCAGCTTGGCTTCCATGGCGTTCCTATCATTTGGATCCATTCGTCCTCCGGCTCCAACGTCCTCAAACAGAAGTCCCAGCGAACTTGAGCAAGGGGCTAATAGCGATACTCATGCTGTTTCCCTGCCAGTGGCTCCCGTTCAAGAAACAAAAACTACCAGCGCTAGCGACGAATCTTGCGATATTGGAGTGCCAGCTGCTGCATGCTCTACCACGCGAAAGGAGAAAGCGGACAAAGTATTGGGTCGGGAGGCACCGAGGTTCGTATGATCGGGATATGAACGGTAGCGGTCATTGTCATTTGTCAAATTCTACTTTTAGCTGTTATCATCTATCTAAAGGTCTATGTCTTACTTATTCTCTAGGCTATAGCGCGTCGTACCTTTTGTATTTTATTTTCGCATAATTATAGCACTTTGCAAAGCGCTGGCCAGCTATCTAATCCCCGCATCTCCACCCACATCACGGCCTACATCAATCCCCCATTCATCTATATCCCAACCCCACAGCATCGCGGGACCCAGTGGCCCAACGCTGTGCGCACTGCGAACTAAAATATCAAAAACCGCTTCTTCGATCACGTTCCTCCGACATCAATGGGGGGCTACGCTAACTGTGAGAAGTCATCTCCGCACGCAAGCGCCCGCGTTTCATCATCGCGATAAGTACACGTAAGTATATATATCTCGCAAGCGGCAGCGGCGAAACGTTTCCCCCTCCGTCAGGCTCTTTCCCTCTTGATGCCGTGTTCCTGGCCCTATTCCATATATACGCAATGCCAGCTTACAACCTGGCCGCGTCCGTGTTCTCTTTCCTCGGGTTTGTTCTGATTGCGTCCCAGCTGGGGCAGAGATATCAAGGTGAGGACTGATGCCCGTGCCTGTCTTTTCGGGGCTGTTGTTGTTGTTGTTGAGATTTAAACGCTGTGCCGCATCTAGCATGGAACACGGGTTCCGTCTTGTACATTGTATGGACGGGTGTGCTGTGCCTTACCGCCGCTATCAATGCTGCCGTATGGAACAAGAGCGTTTCCGTCCAAACGTCCTCTGCTGTGTGGTGTGATATTTGTGCGTGTCGGGATATGCCGTGCCGAGGACATCAGGCTGACGTGACGGTCCCCCCTAGCTTCCCGCCTCATTCTGGGGGGCAGCGTCGCCATTCCTGCGGCGACTCTGTGTATAAACCGGCGCCTGCACCAGATACTCACGCTGAGGTATCAAAGACATCGCGTATGCATATTCAATCTGCTATAATCCTCTGAGTCACGATCATCTCATAGCGCTTAACATCCTTATTAGTGTGTCCTGAATGTGGCCACAGATACTTGCATTGGGCTCGGTATCCCCGCTCTGGTGATAGGAACGTGTACGTACATTGGTTATGCACGCATTTAAACCTTTCTGAGCTCAGAATAGATTCTGTGATCCAGCACTATCGTTTCTTTCTTGTGGAAAACATTGGGTGCTACCCATCGGTCGGTCCATGGCTAGCCAGCATTCCGTTAAATCTGGTGTGGCCGTTGCTGGTCACGATTATTTCGGTGGTCTACTCTGGTGAGGGTTATTCCAACAGATGTTGAAAGCGTGTGTGTTGTGTCAACTTTCGCAATCAGTTTTTGCAATACGCGCGGCGATCAGGCAAAGAAACAAGTTTGAACACAACCTGACAGGGAACAATCGCCTACCAACAGCACATCGTTCCAGAAACCTAATGATCCTTTGCCTGATACAGAACGTCTATCAGCTAGTGGTCTCCATAATTAATCTGATAAGCATGGTACCTCAGGGCACAAGCGAAACGGGAAGCTTTTGGCCGGGGTGGACAACGGTGCACGCAAACTCAAGTCATGTCTCTTCGTGGCTAGCACGGCCGGTTCCTTCCACAATCGCTGCTCAGATTTCTCCCTGGACGCGCACGGATTGGCAAGGAAATCCATGGGTGGCTCTATCGATGTACTTGTTTGAATGGACTTATGTCGTCCATGCGCTGTTCTACTTTGCCTTGCTTGGCTTCACCCGCGAGGCCAAAACCTCGTACGCCCGGATGTTCCGATTATTCAGGTTGAGCCAGTCGCGTCAGTCCATGGAAGGGTCCAGCACGACAATCGTGCCCTCCGACGTCGACAAGCAAATAACCAGGTACGCTTCCAAGCGCCGAAGTTCGGATGCACGCTTCTAACAGTGAGAACAGTGACACGTCCCAGGGGCGTCCGCGCACCCGCACAGCGACGCGGACAGCGAGCAGCTTGGCGTCCATGCTGTTTCTGTCGTTTGGTTCCGTACGGCCAGCGCCTGGGGCAGCGGGGGACCGAAGTCCGAATGCACTCGAGCAGGCAGGTGACCGTGAGCCGGATGATGGAGATGGGATATCACTGGACACGCTTGGTGACGGCAGCAAGCTCTCCGGAGATAGCTGCGAGGGTCCGGAGGCGCTGGCGAGGCTGCCGGCGGTGTCGGTTGGAGAGCGGCGAGGGGGGAAGCTAGATAGAGTGCTGGGCAGATCGCCATCGGCAGCCGAGATAACATAAAGATAGCACGAAACATGGTTAAGATTGTGGGGGTCTCTTGCAAGATAGCAGCGTTGAGCTGGAGTGAGTGAGGTCGCGAGTTGAGTGAGCACGTTGTGAGAAGAAAAGAAGGAGGCAAGAGAGTCATGATGTTACTGGTGCCGAGGAGTGCCGACCCAAAAATCCGAGAATAGCAGACTGTCTAGGATTCGCCAAGGACTAGACGCGCTCGTCACTCGTTTACTTTATCACCAGCAGGCTCTTGGTCTCTCAGTCACTCCCTTTCCCTCCCATTCGCTTCTGTCTCACTGGAGACGCTGGTCTCACCTCCAGGTCCGCTTAAGACGCCCCGTTGACGACCATTCCACGCTTCTCTGTTTCCTTGTTGCTCTGAGCTTGACGCCAGCTGCCTTTCCTCTTTCCTGTAACTTCAATGGCTCCTGGTTTTCTAGAAAAGTGCGTAACACCTAAACGTGTTCTACCCTGCGACTTACACCACACGAAGGCGTCTCTCAAGATTTGTGGAACGAAGGTCGAGCTGTGTCAGCTCACAGCCCACCAACACCGTCACAGACCGCCTGAATGCGGTTTTCGCCTCCAACAAAACAGGCCAGGTCCTCTCCCTATGTCCCAACCAGCAGTATTACATCACGGAGCCCATCGCCTTCACCGCACCCAACCAGGAGATTAGTACGCAGGGGTACCCAACCGACAACTCGAGAGCGACCCTCGTCGTCAGCGGAGCAATCGTCAACCTGACAGGGCACACCGTCGCCGTCGAGGGAAGCTGCTTGAACTGCAACGGAGTCAAACTGCGAAACGTGCAGGTGCGTTCTCCCCCTGCCCACTTCCTGTGCAGCCCCTGTGCCTCAACCCGTGCCCTTCTCAACGCCTCTCACACGTTGCGCCTCTCCACCTCCAATCCCGTCTAGATCAACGGAACGCGGCTCGGCGGCCTCCCCGTCGCGGGCGGCGCCAACATCGAGATGGGCGGCCCGAACGCGAACCAGCTCATTGAGTACGTGCACTCGTACGACCCGCGCGGGTGGTCGTGTCTCCACGTCTCGGAGGGGTACGATAACTGCACCGGCGCCGTCGTGCAGTACAACGAGATCGGCCCCGCGGGCGCGGCGGAGTGGGACCAGTGGGCGGACGGCATCAGCGTCGCGTGCATGAACAGCCAGGTCAAGGGCAATCTCGTCAATAACCCCACGGACGGGGGGATCGTGCTGTTTGGGAGCCCTGGAACGCGGGTGGAGAATAATACGATTTGGGCGCAGACGGTGAGTGCTCCTTCAATCATTCATTTCGTGGCTTTCCTTGGTTTGCTTGGGTTCTTGGCCGGCGCTTTTGGTTGCGACAGTGTGTTTGTGCGTGTGCTCACGAAGTCGCCCTCTTTTTTTGTATTGTTTTGTATAGCAACCTCTGCTCGGTGGAATTAATCTCGTCGATGTGGTACCCTTTGGTGGGGACTTCAACGGCGTGGTCGTCACCAACAACACCATCGCGGGCGGCTTCGCGACCACGCCCAACAACGGCTCGTCGCGGTACGGCGAGAACCCGAACGATGTTCTCATCAAGTATGTCATTTCTTCCCGCAATGACGTATACACAGTCTGTTAGAATCGTCGCTGACACGCGCCCTCGCGCACTGGCAGAATCGGAATCGCGATCGGCCCGCGCGTGTGGTTCGGCGGCAAATACAACAACAACGTGAGCACCGGCGGAACCGTGATCAACAACGAGATCACCGGCGCGCTCACGTACGGCATCGCGATGGCGTCCGCGACGAACTTCACGGTCGAGAACAACTTCCTGCACACGAACTACTCGTTCATCGGCACGAAAGGGCCGAACTGCAGCACGAGCGTCGCCCCGCCGACACCGTTCCTCTTCGACCTGACGAACGTGAACACGAGCAGCGTACAAGGCGCGTTCGCGAATAACAGCGCGAGCTACCTCGTGTGTATGGTTCCCCCGCCGGTCTCGGACGCGATATGGCCGTTCGGCGGGGACCCGACCGCCACGGACGGGACGCCGCCGGTGCCGCCGCCCGAGCCGAATGTGGCGCGGCCGGCGGCGCATGGGATCAGGGAGAGCGGGGGCGATATTGCTGGGATTGTGGTGGGCACGTTGGGCGGGGTGGCGGTTGTTGCTGCTGCTGCGTATGTGATTCGGAGGTGGGCGATTAGGCGCGCGGTGCGGAACCAGAAGCTGCGGCCGATGTAATTGTCGTCTTCGTCGTCGTTGTTATGGTCTTCGGCTCAGTTGGATTTGGCGGGGTGGACGCGCCCCACGCTGCTCCACACGCGCGTGCCACTCGGTGATAGACGATTCTTATTCCCCGACCAACACAACGCTATGCTTATCGGAACAACCTCGTGGAACAGTGAAGGCGACGGGACGCGTAAAGGACGCATATACTTACGGTTTATCTCTGCTGGATTCTGGAATTTGCTCAACATACTATCTCCATAGAGTCGACCTTGTCGACCTCGCGAACGCGCCATATTACGCTCTACACACGCGCACTCCCCCGGTTACCCTTTTTTCCCGCTGTTTCAGTTCATCATGCCGCATTGACCTTACTTATCACCTTCATCGTCATCGTCATCTATCTCTTCCCTATCTAACCATCATCTGGCACAATCCATACCTGCGCCTCCTCATATCCCGTATCCCGCTAGCACCACGGCACGGAAGCCTTTACATTTTTTTTCCATCGATGTCGTGCGTACGCATGCACTGTACTTTTATCTCTTTATTGCGTTATCCTCGTTTTCTTGTTTTCTCGTTTGTTTCGTTGTTTATTGTAGGGTCTTGGGATAAGACTGCATCTCGCACGCGCATCGTAGAGCTGGAATGATTCGGCAATCACATCGCTATCCTAGACATGTTTCTTGCGTGAGCGTATGACCGTTGAAACGTTGAGGCTAAGTGGTTACTTTAGCATGTGGGTGACTGGTGCTGCACGCGCCGTGGCTGGCAGTGGCAGCTTTCTGCGACGGGCGAAGTGCAGCTTGAGCTTCCGGCACGTCGGCTCGTTGCGAAAGCCGAACTTCGGAAATTATAACGCGTCTTTGCCGACCCTGCATTGCTTTCGCTTGCGTCCGCTCCGTTCGCTGCCCCCTCCGCTGTTTGTGGACCATCCAGAGTCAGACCAGGGCTCATCTGAGCAGGTAGGATTTATGATTGTTCTGTGCATGACCAGCGTCTCCTCATGAACGAGGAACTTTGCAGGAGTTGGCCACGGACCAAGGATAACGAGGGCTATAAATATCTGCAGCGGCCGCGTACGCGTCAGGATCGGGGCAATAGATTCGCGGCGTTCTGCTGCAGGGATGCAACACAGCCACATATATTATCTTGCATCTCTCGGAAAGCAACTTCAACATAATTCAAACGTGATAAAGACGAGGGTCGCTTCAGCAGTCCAAGGTACAGAAGAAGACGGCGTTCGTGTAGTCTCGCTTTTCAGGTCGTCTGTTCGCGGCTTGGGATTATCGCATGACGATGGTGTGGTGGTCAGTCTTCAAAGAACGATCCGCCTCTGACATTTGCTGAAGCAAGAAAGCAGTTCGCGTTGGATGAAAAACAGATACTGTCATATGATTTCTGAGTTTACGTTATGTGCGCGTACCAAGAAGCATCCCTGCCTCCGCGGTATCGCCTACTTTTTAGTCATCCATTCGCGACTGTTCGCCAAGTCCTGGTTCAACTTGTTTCTCGTCTCCCTTCCCTCTGTCTGACTCTCTGAAACGATCGTCCTGACGCTGCTCTCGCCGTCAGGCTCTCTAGGCCTCGTGTTTCCCCTTCTGCTTCTCTACTAACATAAACAGAAAAACCTATAGCTATAGCTAGCTCACGCACCCTGACGCTCCTTCAAGACGGCACGAATCTAACGCCATTATGATTCCAGTCATCCCCACGATCGCACTTGCTTTTTTGTCGTTTATATGTTCTGCTTTCGTAATTCTCCGTATCATAATTCCTATTCTCCCTCCTCACCCGCTTAGCAGACGGGTCAGTCCTGTAAGCACTATCTTCACGTTCACTGTAGTACACTGATGAACCAACTACCCTTCTCTGCAGTCTGAGTTCGGACTGCCCAACTTCAACTTTCGGTCCCTCTCCGCGGCTGACAAGAGCCATCTATGGCTCGCATCCCTCGACCTCATCGCTCTCTCCGTATTCATCTGGCAGGCCGCGACGGAGTACTTCGGGGGTCCATCCAACTTTGGCGAGGCACAGAGCCCCGCAGCCGCCGCGCGGCTATGGTTCGCGATGACCATCCGCCAGACGTGTCTTTTAGTCCTCGCCGGTATCATGCTCGTCCACGTCCGCATGGGCCGCTCGGTCGCGTACGGCAAGGGCCAGTGGTCCATCTGGGCGCCCACCCTCTTCCTCGGCGTCGTATCGACCGCTACAGCCGGCGTGCTCGCCGCAACGGGCGCACACAGCTTCTTCATCGGCCTCGTCGCGTACTCGGGTGTCGTTGCTGCGCTCACGACCGTTGCGTTTGCCGGGCTCGCGGCAACGCTGTTTGTTATCAAGCGCAACCTCACGGCGCTGAACGAGCCGACGGATGACGCGTGGCCGCACGTCAAGGGGACGCAGAAAAGGTTCGCCACCCCGTCCATCGCCGCGCCGTCGGACGTCGACGCGCTCAAAGAGGGCTCGTCGTGGATCACGTCGGACGGCGGCGACGACTCGAGCCGGCACGATTCCGTGTCCGCGTGGTCGTTCTCCACGCAGGGCGCCGCGCACCACCGCCGCGCGTCGTCGACATGCCTCGTGTCGTCCACGAACGCCCTGGCGTCTACGAACTCGCTCGCGCCCAAGTCGCAGTTCTGGTTCAGCGCGCCAACGCCCACCGGCACCCGCCGCGACACGCTCGCGCCCCCCGTCCCGCCTCTGCCCGCGTCGCTCCGCGCGTCGACAGTCATGTCGTGCGCGACCGTCGGCGACGAGCACCCGGACCCGTTCCGCCGCGAGGGCCCGAACGAGCACCGCGAGCTGCGCTCGCGCCTCACGCTCGGGTCCGAGAACTCGTGGCTGAGCACGGAGAACAACCAGTCGACGGTGTCCGCGTGGTCGCTCCCCGAGTCGCGCGCGGGCAGCGCCGTCGATCTGCACTCGCAGGCTGGGCTTGTGTCATCCAGGTCCGCGCCGCCCACGCGCCCGTCTTCGCCTACTCCGCCATCGCCGACGCCGTCGACGCCTGGGTCGGATATTGCGCCGCAGGCGCTTGCGACGGCGCAGGTGCTTGGTGGGTATGGCTTCTCGGTTGACTCGGAGAAGGGGCTTTCGTCGCTTGCTGTGCCGAATACTGAGGTCGATATCTCGCCTTGGCGGTTTGCGGCTTGGATCGCTTCGGTTTGGGTTCCTGTGGTAAGTGCATGTCAGCTATGTCGGAACCAGCTGCTGAACACGAGACTAGATCCTATCCTTCCCTTACCTAGTCGCTGTAGCTTCACCCGGAAGCACTGTCTCTGCTGCCCTGCCGATTTTCATGGTCATTTCCGCTACCATCTCCTCGCCACTACTCGCCACCAACGTCATCTTCTCCCCCATACCCATCCCCGTCGGCCTCTTCGACGCGCACATTCAGGATAGCGCCTCCCGTGCGCCGACACCAGCCTCCACCAACACGCTCATATCCTCGCGCTACAAGCGCAGCGCGAGCACCACCGTCGTCGACGACCGGCGCAGCGGCGACGTCTGGCTCGCCAAAGGCGACGCCGTCGACAGGCGCAACAAGCTCGGGCGCGCCATGGGCATGATCGAGCCCCTCCCCCGCCTCTCCGTGATGCCGCCGCAGGAGGACCCCGAGCCGCGCTCGCCGCTCACCCCGCCCCTGCCGATGCAGGACCCGGACATGGAGCCGTCGTTCCCGAGCACGTATCTGAATAGCTTCCCGGCGGGGATGGACGAGGTCGGTGTGGGCCGGATGCGCCGCGAGTCGGAGATGTCGGAGGAGGTGTTTGATGATTCGCGGATTATGGTCGCGAGGAGGTTCTCGGCTGCTGTGGCGCAGTGCATCAATCTCCCGCCGTCGCCCTCGGCCGAGGGGAACGCATCACCATCGCTGTCGCTATCGCCGGCGTACGCAGCATCGCTGGCTGTGCCCGACGCCGTTGCGGCTGCGACGTCCTCGGGCGTGGACAGCCACGCGGCGAAGCGCAGCAACCGCAACTCGCACCTGCGCGTGCGCTCTGCGGGCTCTGCGAGGGACATGGTGCGCGTCCTTGCCGCGTCTGCGGCCACGACCCCGATCATGGCGTGCGATTTCATGAAGGCGAGCACCAGCACCAGCGACACCGGTGCCAGCGCCAGCGCCAGCAGCAGCAGCCCCAACGTCAGCATCATCAGCCGCCCGCCGACGACGCCGCTCCCGCCCACGCCGCCCTCCGTGCGCGCTGCCAAAGCGCGCTCGCAGGGTCTTGGCATCCGGCTCGTGCACCGCAAGTCGCGCTCAGATCTGAACCTGAGCTACTCGCCTGTCATGCCGGAGGGCTTCTCGTTCGGTGCTGTGGACAACGACGATACGAACGCGATCGACGAGCTGAGCGCGGGGATGCTGCCTATTCTCGTGCCCGGGCTCAAGGTCGGGAAAGACGTCAAGGTGAAGGAGTTTGATTTCGCGTTCGAGCCGCAGCGCAGTAGCACGGTTGCGAAGAAGCGGGCGTCGAAGAAGCAGGGGCACCAGAGGACGCAGGCGGCTGTGGTTCGCCGTGCGAAGGTGATCGATGGCAGTGGTGATGAGTTTGCCGCTGCTGTTGGGAAAGGGGGATTCAAGGAGGATGCGCCGCTGGCGCAGTCGACGCCGCCGGAGATGCAGAGGCGCGCGAGGAAGGTGTCGACGGGCACTGTCCACTCGAGGCATGCGAGTCTTCCAAGGTGAGCACCATTTTGCGCTTTCGTGATGGAAAGAAGGAAGAGGGGCTGACGCGACTCTACGTGAATAGTCTTACCATGTGCGATGACTGGCTTGAGGAGCTCCAGCAGCAGCTCACGGGTCCGCCTCCGAGCAAAGACGACGGCCTCGGTCACCTCCGGAACACCGTCTGGGGCGACGAGACTCATGCGAACGTCCGTGCGCGCTCCGAGGGCCTTGCCGAGCAACACTACGAACCCTCCAGTGCTGCTCCTGGTGCTACGGTCACCCGTAACTTCTCGACGCGAACCCTCGGACTCCGGCCCGAGGTCCCGCACAGCGTACGCGGCTCGTTCTTCTCGATCAGCGACTCGGAGCAGGCTGCCGGTAGCAGGACACTCGTACCATCGTCTGCTACCGGATCTGCCGTCACGCTCTTCGAGCCCGACGCGTCGTTTGCGCCGCCCGCTGAGAGCACGCCGCTCCAGACCCAGAAGGACAAGCATGAGAGCGTGTCTGCGTCGCTGAAGAAGCACCGCGATAACATCCGGAACCGCATCGTCGAGCGCACGAAGACGGTTACGACTACGACGACGCGTCGCTCGAGTATCAAGTATATCAAGTCGGATTCTGAAGAAGAGCGTGCGGGTAGCGACGATAAGCGTGTCGTTGACAACTACGTTCTTTCTTTGAGCCCCGAAACGAAGGTCAAGCCCGCGGGAGCGAAGTCGAGCACGAGCAGCACCCTGGCTCAGTGGTCTCCCAAAGCGGTGCGACCGCTTGTTCCTCGGGCTAGCAAGCGCGGAAGCCAGCAGTCGTCTCTTCTCTCTAACTCGGCCATCGCCAACTCTTCGTCGACTCCCGAAGTGACCTCAAGCCAAGCTCAGGCCTCCGACTCCCCTAAACTTGGCGGGCTCCGCCAGCTCTCGCTCCTCCAGGACCGCACCGGCAGCGCCAGCTCCCGTAGCAGCGGCGCACGCGCGCTCGTCCTCGGGCGGAAAAAGTCCAAGAAAGACGTGTCCTCGACATCGACGCCTTCGGACGAGAACTCGAATCCGAACTCGAGCTCTGGTACCCCGGCTTCTTCGACGTCGTCCCGGCGCAGCCTCAAGCCCCTGTCGCTCTACCGCTCCGGAACGGCCAAGGAGCGCGCGCGGCTGCGCCAGAACGAGGTGCTGCCCGCGATCGCCGTCCGTCCGCCGTCTGGCGTCACGATGGACGAGGGGTGCGGGTTTGCTTTCTGATCTGATGCACGACGCATGATACATAATGTCCCAACGAATTCTCATGTCCATACTAACGATGTCCATACTCTATCGCCTCCCTCCTCAACTCACGAGATGGCCAGGGCTCACGGCGTCGCCCTGCGCCATTGTCTAATACGCTCTCCTGCTATATAGTCGACAACAACATCTGGTCTAATACTGTTTTACATTGTAGATTTCACCTTTTACTACTAATCTCCGCAGTGCTTTTACGTCTCTGACGATCGTCTTACGTGGCTATTGCTTGCCCTTATGCTTATCACCACGCCTCGGCATCTCCGCCCATCTCGCATTGCATCCACGTCTTTTCACGCCCATCTTACGCCACCGCCTCGCCTATAGACGCATTTACGTAGTTCCTCTAGCCTCATCTCTGCAGGTTTCTTGCACATTGCACATATGGATTCTCATTAGCATTCGCATTCACAGCATGATATATAGCATTGTTGGGTTATTACTGTATTTACTTTCTATTGCACTGTTCTTCGGGTACAGTCATGTTTTCGGCTTTTGCAACGCGATTGGCGTCTGCTTTACAAATTGATAAAACATCGTGCCAGTTGTCTTGCTTCATCTCGGTGTTTTCGTGATCGATTGATGTGGTCTTAGTAGCTCTCCCAGTCCACTACATCGTGGGTGCCTTTTACAGTTGGTGTTGTAAGAGATACATCACTCTTTCGAGCTACCAATCACTGCTTGTGCCTGCGATCAGCTCGCAATGGGTTCCTCGTGTGGGAAGAATCAGGTTGTGGTGTTGGTTTGAACCCTGAGCTTGTGTAAGCTCTGCACGCCTAATGTAATCATTTGTAGGTTTCCATTAAGCCTATTGCGAAGTTGGATTAATGTGGATGATACTAGCCTAGCTCTCTGGAAGATCGTAGGGAGTCCATGGGCCGCGTATCTGGATCGGCTCCGGTGGACGTGTGTATCACCCACCGTGGAGATCAAGGAAGCCAGCTGAGGAGCTGAGGTTGTGGTTGTGCTTCGAGGCAAACTTTCGACCGCCGAGTCGACGTGGGGGCAAGGATGTGGCACCAGCTATGTGGTAGCATCGAGAGCCACGTCCGGGAGAGGCGGCGGGACCTCAGCACGATGGGAGCGTGGGCCCCGTGTCAACCGGACGCGACACGCGTGGTAAACTTGAACTGGCACATTGTTGTCTTATCCCGTCATCTCGTTTCTAGTAGTCTCCTGTCCTGCCTTTTACTCCATGGCTTTCATGCACTCCTCCTGGAACCCCACCTCACTACTTCGGGCATCGCAGGCGCTCCATCCTTGATCCGATCGACTCAGGCCTATTTGCGCCACCCTTGCGCTCACCTCGATGCGTTGGAAACTCTGCCCACGGCCCTTTGCTCTCTGCTACCTTCAAAGTAAGATCCATCGGCTTCTGCTTGCCAGCTCTATCTTCCGCAGCTTTCTACTTCAAGTAAGCAACATAGGTTGAACCCGTTCTTCCCAGCGTAATGCTGGCTCAGTAGTAGGTCACGATGATCTCGGATCACTGATCTTATCCTGTGTTATAGGCCGCCGGTTGAATGTTTACGCGTCCTCTGACTAGGTTTTGCTCACTGTACTCGTCGTTATGAAGAGGTCGCTGCTTAGAATGGACATTGTGGCTCTGCGATTGGTGAATCCATTGCCTCTCCTTGCCTATATCGGCGCCTAGACGCCCGTCTGTTAATCAATTTGCCCGAGTGGACTTCTCTCATTGGCTGCTCCGGGTGCCTCAACGTCAGCGACGTGATGTGCTCTTGCGTCCGCGTCGCCCGAGTTAGCCGCCCGGTAATCCTTCTGCTACTTTCAATCCATCCATTTTCCAAAATCTCCTCGCGGTTTGCGGCTCTCGGGGAATGTCTATGCATGTACGGACCTCGAGAACCCTCCGGGTCCGCTAATGTCGAGAAGGAGGCCTTTTCAGTTACCACATTCATTCAGTTTGTGACCATGTCTCGTCTTTCCCTGGACCCGAGCGAGGCGGACGCCCCGAGATGAGCGAATCTTGTCCTCTCGAGGCTATTCCTGTATACCTTTGCTTAGCAACTCGCTCTCCATCGCTCGTATCCGGATAACGCGCGTCACCTTCCGACTGGTTCTGGTCATCTTGTATCCGTCTGGCATACCCGACGTCGGAGGATAGGGTGTACTAATGAGAGCTCAATGCACAGCAGCGTTGCTTCATATTAATCACGCTGCTCTCCTGTTTGATCTCCCACATACCCCCTCTTCGGTTTCCATTCCCCCTTTTCTTTTCTTTTACCCTAGGGCCCTTTCAACAATTCGTTGCCCGCTTTTTTAGTTCTCTCCTTTTCTAATCTACTCTCTTCTTTTCTTCGTCTCGACAAACCTTTTCAACAAACCTTTTCCACACACCTTCTTAACCGCTCTCGTCTCGCTCGAGTTTTGCACATCCAACCTAGCCTCGTGCAGCTAGTACACAACATCAGCACCTCTCTCAACTCAAACCTCTCGTATATCGTATCGCAATGGCTACGCACTTGCCCACCCTCGGATACAACTACAACATGGAGTCGCAAGACACATTCCAGGACGTAGCCCTCGACGTAGAAGAAGAAGAGCCGGACTGGGACCCGGTCACCCTCTACATCGAGTCGCTCCCCTACAACACCAACAAGCAGTTCCGCCGCACCATCCAGCTCGACCGCAAGGTCGACTTCGGCCAGTACGAGGACGAGAAGGCCCCTGAGTACTATGAGGAGAAGATCGACCCCGAGAAGCTCGTGGTGGCCGCCGCGCAGCCGCCGGTCCCTGATTTCCCTGATGGTGGTCTTCGCGCCTACTCGGTCGCGGTCGGGGTGAGTGGCATGCACAGCTTTCGATTAGTTGGGAGAGGCTGACTGTTGTTATCAATGTAGGCCTCGTTGCTTTCGTTCTCCACGTACGTATGATTTATCGGCATTGCGGTGGATTCTGATGCTGAGGTGTAATCAAGGTTCGGCTGGATTAACGCCTTCGGGGTATGTTTGCGCTCGCATCACGCATGGACCATCAAAGCTTACTGTTCTGCACTAGGTTTTCCAAACGTACTATCAGACAAAGATGTTTACGGACCTCAGTCCGGATACCATTGCATGGATAGGTTCTGTTCAGTATGGCATGGTCTTGTTGCCGGTAAGTCTTGAGAAGATTCAGGTAGAAGCATGTTCCTGACGGAACGTAGTCTGCCCTAGTTGGCGGTATGATAGACCGTGGTCATTATAGACTACCTCTCGCCATCTCCAGTATAGGATACATCATCTCTTTGGTAATTGGCGCTATCTATGTTCCTGTTAACGAAGCTCATGAGATCTGTAGTTCTTGACCGCAGAGTGTAAAACATTCTGGGAGGTGATCTTGGGCCAGGGCGTGGCAACAGGAGTGAGTCCACCCTCCCTTCTTTTGCGAGCGATCACTCACGAATAATTCACGCAGCTATTTGCAGGCATGCTGTTCGGTGGCGCACCGCCGGTCGTTTCGCATTGGTGTAAGCAACTATGATCGATGTGCCTCTGACGTCATGAACTAATGGCATTTTAGTCAGGAAGAAGCGCGCTTTGGCCTTGGGAATCCTTGCTATGGGATCTTCTATCGGCGGCACGATCCTTCCTATCATCACGAACACGCTGCTCCCAAAAGTCGGCTACTCATGGACAATGCGAATCATGGCCTTCATCTTGTCCACGACGGTCATTGCCGCAAACCTGGTATGTACAAGCATCTCTTCATAGATTACTCAAACTAATGGCCCCTCACACTTAGTTGGTTCGCACTCGGCTTCCTCCCTCGAAAGTCAAGAAAAGCCTGCTCACCTTCTCAGCTTTCAAGAGACTCGACTTTGCTACTTGCGGTATGTTTCATGTCTATCCGAGCACAGAAACGCCCTTATATCTTACCCCCAGTTATTGGCTACAACGTTACTTTCCTGGGTCTCTATGTCCCACTCACCTACATGACCTTGGCTGCTTCACCCCCCTCCGAAGGTGGAAACGGTGGTCTTTCTGACACCCTTGCTTTCTACCTCATCCCTCTCGCCAACGGCGCGTCGCTTGTCGGCCGTCTGTCTTCCGGTGTCCTCGCGGACAAGTTCGGCACGCTCAACGTGCTCATCCCGTTCACCGTCGTCGGCGGTGTCATGTGCTTCGCGTGGCCCTTCGCAACGCACAGCATCGCCGGGTCTGTCATCGTCGCGCTGATCTATGGCTGTGCGACAGGCGCGCTCGTGAGCATGCTTCCCGGTGCGCCTGCGCGGATGGGTCCGCCTGAGACCATGGGCGGGCGGATCGGTATGGCAATCTCGTGTAGCGTGAGTAACATTGTCCGAATTGTCTTGTTTGATGTGTGGTGTGTCTAACGCTCTGTATGAAGGCATTCGGCATCGCATTCTCGCTGCCCATCGGCGGTGCCATTCTGTCCAGCAGCAACAACAGCTTCGAGGACGTCGGATACTACGCTGGCGCTATGGTGCTCGCGGGCTGCCTCCTCCTCGGTCTTTCTCGTCGCATCGGCCTCGGTCAATGGTCAGGGAAATACTAATTTTATAACCATGAACCCTATAAGATCATCTGCTTCATGGACTCGGCTTCGTTATCCATATCTCTTTCCCTCCGCACTGCAGTTCTCTTTCAGCGGGTTCCGTCGGACAGTGCTTCTTCTCCCTAATCACCGTAGCTCCTCATCTTTCAATCTTGCCCGTACATACATACACCTGCATACTCGTCTATAGCAAATAGCTTTTACCTTCGGAGGCGCAGTGCTGGTCACTCGCCTTCACCATCCGTCCTTGTACCGTGTAATATTCGATGCTCCTCATAACAGTAGCCGTCGATATATTTACTCTCTTGCATCTCCTTATTACCATTGTTTATCATTAGCGCTAGCGTTGGTAATACAAAGTCCTGAAACAAGCTGGACACGTTTTCACATACCTTTTGGACTCCGCTTGCCCTCCCGCAAGGGGTACACCAATCGACGGCGATTTAGCGCCACCCGTAAGCATCACCAGTGCTGCGAGTCCCTATGTTAACAGCCTGAGTGACACTACCCAATCGCATCTCCTTGGATACAACACGATGACGATGTGCTGGAGCGCGTACGGTCTGTGATCAAACCCTGCTCTCGTTATACATAATGACGAGGACTAATACCTACAATTCACCTTATAGTGACGGTTGTCTGATCCATTGCACTGGTCATGATCATGGCTGAGGCAGAGCCTGCTGCCTGACCACATACATAACAGATGATGGTAACTTTCTGGCGTGCCCCTTTATTACTTCCCCCTATACGGCAAGATGCCAGACACATATGGGCTCCAGACATCTCAGGTGCGTCTTCTAGTTTCTCAATGATCCATGGTACTCGCACTAATATGGGTCTTCAGTATTTCAACGGTATGTAGTAAATCAAGGCTGTGACTCATTTCCTGACGTTGAGCTGAAGTCGCCGCCGCATCACTGTTTGTGAGCTTGATTTTCATTCGACCTGCTTCTCGTGCTCAGTGCTATAAGGTCGCATCAGCAAAATCTTTTACAAGTTGCTACAACATGGCGGCGCGCGGTAACAGGATGAGCATGCTCACAACGCGTTGCCATGTACATAATCCATCACGACGGGTTGTCGCGCTCACTCGAAAGTTGCGCATGTACTCGCAATGGGATTACATGAACATAATATGAGCATGATATTGCTGAGCCCGAGACGTGACTGAGCCTAATTAATGTCGTCACAAAAGGTGTATCTCAACGGTATTAGGGCAGTATCTTGTCATAGCGCTGGTGTTGGATAGGCGATGAAACAACGAAGTCGTAGCCATATCATCGTGCAATTATGGGTGGACAACATTATTTCAAGCGCTTTGCCGTTACCTAACAGCGTATTTGCATATGCATTGGTTAGGTTATACAACAGTGGTATCATAGCTTTATCTTGATGTGGTCACAGTATCAGCATATTGTGTCATATGTGTTACCTTGGTGCTACTACAGTATGATAGTGTAGTCGTTAATGTATTGGAGAAACCACACAACAGTGAAGTTGTGTTGTCGTGTCGTCATAGTTGCTGCATGAGCAGTACTATGTGATGCGTTTAGAATACAGTGGCCCACTACAGCTCACAATAAAGCTTGCAGTCCCCGCTCACTAGTATCCCCCCACAATAACACTACAAAGCGTCGAACAAAACATTCTAAGATTCATGGCATATAGTAGAAGAACAGACCACCAGAATTGTAGTAATCTATGCTGTCTAGTCGTCATTGTGCTGCTCGCTGGCACGCTTCCGTGCCTCCTCCTGCTGTCGCCGCCTCTTAAGCCTTGCTTGATCCTTTAGCCTGGCAGCCATGCTGCGTGCCTTGGCTGGTCTGGCAGCTGACGAGCGTGACGGGAACAGTTTTCTACGTCTATTAGTATAATGTCGACATGAGGATCAACACAAGAGAGGACACTCACTGATTCCACCATTGTAGTAGAGACTCCATTTCCGTGGCCAGGATATCCTCGCCGGCACCCAAAAGCCTCTCGTAGAAATCCTGATGAGGAAAATCTCTCGGGTCACTCTCATTGCCGGCGCTAAAGTACGCTATGTCTGATAGCACATAATGCAACTAGTAATGTCAGTATATTGTCCTCCGTGAACAAGAATTAAATCATGAACGACTCACCACTGTAGCTGCATAACAGATAGATGGAAACGTGACGAAGGAGACGTCATGGAGGCACAAGATACCTTTTTTTGCAGACCTCCCTTCGCCTTTAGCTAGCTTGCGGCTAATGAAGATGTGCGTGTATACCTTAACACCAAGCATCAAATCAGTAACCATAGACATACATGATAGAGTGAAAGACTGACCGACAGAAGCACATCACCACGAAACATGTTCACAGACATATCATCCGGATCATACCCCCCCTCTGGCCATAAGAACGCAGGGAATTCATCGGAGCCAAGGATCCTCTCGCCTGTACGATACTCATCACGAACACTGAGAGTTTAGTGTATGAAGAAGTAAACGTAGTAGGGAACACGGTACTGTACCTTTCGTCACTCCAATCATCATCCGGGGAAGCTAGCAGCTGACCAGTCACCTGGTTGTTGAAACCAAGGTGTTGGCGGCCCCTAGGACAGGCCTCCGCGTCCCAATGAATGGACGGCCACTTGCTGAAGCATTCCTTTGTGCTGTGAGCGTCTTCTCGGCGTGCACTAGAACGTGCATCATTTAGCTAAGTATGTGTGAGTGACATAGTGAGTAGAATTATCTGAGAACATACTGTCGCGCTGAGATCTTGAAGTAGATCAGGGCCCAAAGAACCTCGTTCCCCTGCGGTGGTAAGATAGGTAGAGAGAGCAGGCGCTACCTGGAGCAGAAGCTTGAATGTTGCGTATCGTCGGTTTTGTCTATTAATCATCAGCGGCACCGTAGAATGAGGATTGGATGGAGTACTGACCCATCGGTGCACTCCTCACTAATATCCACATCGGGATCCCGTGTTAAGCCCTCCTCGATGATGTCTCGAAAGGAGTCATACATAACCGCTACTCGTCCAAGGCAACGGCCCTTAGAGCTCCAGAACTCAGTGGTGTAGATGTCCGTATTACGTTCCTCAGTCTCTTTGTCCTCGTTGTCACTAGACTCTCGCACTCGAGCTCTGAAAAGGCTAGGATTAGACGAGACTCAGACTCGGGAAACATGCTCACCGCCTGTGTTCTCTACCTTCGTCTTCGTGTGAGCAAGAACGACGCCTGTGTCTACGCCTATCTTGAGAATCTGGCTCTTCTGGAGAAGAGTCGATACGTCGAACAGGGGCGCGTCGAGACTTTTTGCCACGCTTGCCCCCACTGGCGGTTGCCCTCGGCTCCCTATTCGTGACACAGAACATGAGTGAAGGATAGAGGAAGCGGGAAACTCAGCGACCATCAAGAAGTGTGTCCCCGCCGTTTTTATCCTTCTGACTGATCAATATTCAGAAATGTTTTCGAGAAATTAGTGGAGTCGGTTCACGGGCGCTGTGTGAACACACTGGGATTGAATACAAACTGACATTGCAAACGGTGGATCTGGAGCTGTGACTGGCAACGAGAATGTGATCTTCGGAGGTTTGTCAGGACGTTGATGCGCTTCGGAACCGCTCAGGCTTGTTTCAAGAGCTGAGCTGAGCTGATTAAACTTTAAGCGAGCTCGGTGCGGCGGCGTCCAGAGCTCGAACTGTGGTGCATCGACGTCATTCTACGTCATATTGAATTGTTGGCGCGGCGACACGGGCGGTGCTGGGTAGGAACATTGACATAATCATTCTCGCAAAATACATCACCAGTTTGCTAGCTCCTTCTGAAACCTCGCGACTCATCCCTTGCCGTCTCATCCTCCTCGAGCGACGAGTGTGCGAGGCCGCGGCGGTAGAGTGCTTTGGCTGTGGCGATGACAATAAATGTTGGATGAAATATGTATACAATGGTCAAGCCTACCTTTGTCAGCGTTGCTCAACTGAATTTTCAGTGCATGCGTCGTGCTGTCAACGGCAACATGGGCATTTGAGGCTGACGGTAGTTGGGCGTGCAGGGCAGCCAGAGCCGAGTTGAGCAGGAGCGGTGTCAGGAGCGTGTTGAACGATGCCTTGAGCTCAGGCCCCAAGCCGTCCGGCGTGACCGAGAGCACATCAAGATAGTGCACCGATTCTGTTGTGCAAGAATGTCCGTGTCAGTGAGGGTTATGGACCGGCAAAGTAGATGTCCATACGGAGGTACTTCTGGAGAGCCTCCTCTGCATTTCCCTCCTTGAACAGCTTGATCTCAACCTCCCGCACATCCTGTGTGACCTTGAGTGCGACCTGAGGATCCTGCACGTCGCGATCGTCGCCCGGGTAGCCCTCATATAGGTCTTCGGCTCCCACGCTGGCGGAAGGGATCGCAGTCGGTAGTTGTGATTAGGAACGTGGGCACATCGCTGGCCGAGGTGGGGAGGTTCTCCATGGCACGGAAGGCGGATCTGCCTCGGACGACTTCACTGAAGGCGATGCGTTTGCTGCAGGACCAGTGATGCACTGCACCATACCGCTTGTTGGCGAGCAACAACATAGCGAGAGCGAGACGGGGAGGTGGGGAGATGACGAGGGGATAATGAAAGCGAGACCAAGGATCAAGTTACATGATGATAAAGGGAGCAGCAGTGAGGGAGGAGGACATGTAGGGGCTTGAGCACCACCATGTGCTCGCAGAGGCGTGATAAATAGAAGGGGAGGTTGGCATGCGGTTGGCGTGCCTACCTGTATATTGGAGGTGGTGTGAGCGGCCATACAGAGCAGACGTGGAAGGAAGAGGACACTGAGGGAAGAAGTGATATCAGGACTTACAGAAGACCCAATCCGCCTAGTGTACACGACTGGCAAACGGGTAAGCACATATCAACGCGTAATTAAACGGAACCCGGATGCAGCGGTACGTACAACTTGAAGGATCCGCTACAGGGTCTAAAACGAAAGCAGCCTCTTGTCGTCCCTCTACTCCTGGCCACCGGATGCTCGATCCAACGGAGCAAGTAGCACGTCGCCAACGCGTCCACATCCGAGTGCGCCTGCGAGTCAGGCGCAGCGCACACAAGATGCTGTGCTCATGCACACTCGATTGATAGCGAGTGCGTGTGAGGGCGCTGAGGGCGGGCAGAGCGCGCGCGCAAGGACAAGCAGAGAGCGTGCGAGAAGGTTTAGAGAATGTGCAAAGGGCAAGGAGGTGACGAGGGCAAGAAGGATTAAGTCAATGAGAGGAGGAATGTTTCGTCACCGTCGCTCGGCTAATTTCCGCATCTCAGATGCTCAGATGCGGAAATTAGCCGAGTGACGTGCACGGTGGATTGAATCGGACCGAGCTCTTCCTCGGCTAAAAGGAGTGACGCAATAGACATGTAGCCGAATGACTTGGACAACTGCGACGCACAATTTGTTTTGAACCAGGTCATCACCTTCCGAGTAACTCTGAGCAACTCGACGCCTCCCTGGGCAATATCACTCCTCTTTGGTCTACGTGCTTGTACTACATGTCCAGCAACAGATCTCACTTTTGCTGTAGTGCTCCAGGTTGCGGGCGCACATTTTCTCGACAGAATGAACTCACAAAACACCTGAAGACATGCTCCGAAAAGCGGGACCACACACGGCAAAGTTGGGGTACTGCGAACATGTCTTGTAACGTTAGGAAGCTTGGGACAATCCTCAGACACTCAAAAAGAAAGCGATCACGCAGCAGGGATAATGATGATAGCGATGATGAGGTCAAAAAGGTGCGTTTCTCAATGTTTACTAGTTACTGGTTATCACTCGCCTTATCCTGTGAGATAGAAGCTACAACATCGTGTTCCTTCTCGTAGTCATGCTGCGACTATTGAGCAATCCGAGGCGGGAGGGGCCCAGGATAGTGGGAGTCCAGCTGCGGAGGTATGGTCCAATGCCATGCCCACATCATTATATCCTAAGCTCCGTTGTTCCCAGTATGATGATTCCGTGCAGCATCGGAGTGTTGAGGGTCCAAGAGATGACTCAATGTCTATTGATGTCGTATGTCCATTTGCTGCTGCACGTGGATAACACTGAGGTGTTCTCGTCCCTTACAGCATCCAGCAATAATGAATCCCGGCACATCCTCCCCTCATCGTACTCGGCGTATCCGTAAGCTGAGCCGCAAATTGCGTGACGTTGAAGCCGGAAATGCAGTGTCAGACGTACTTCCGGAGGGACCTGAGCCCCTGGACCTGCCTGAAACCTCGCCTTCCTCTTCACCAGCTCCGTCTAGTAGACCTGTATTCTGGTCAATTCGTGAAGCAGTCTCTACTGCTTTCAATATATTTAGACTCTCTCGCAGATATAATAAGCGTCCCTCGGTTGTACCAGATGCAGAGGCGTCATGGAGGGAGCTCACCTCCGACAGGGACCCACCACCATCAGCGCACAAGAAGCGCGCAGTCTCAGACATCATCTATCCGTACCCAAACATCAGCTCCTTCCTATATAACAGGTTCTGGAAGTCTGGCTTGAACAAGTCCAATGCTGCTCGTGATGACATGACCTCGGTGCTCGGAGACCCTCTATTCGATATTGCTGATATTCAAGGAGTCAACTTTCCAGCTATTGAGCGAGAGGTTTCTGCAGATGTTCAGTCTCCTTGGGGCTCCAATGGGTGGCGGCGCTCAGGTGTTGCTATCGAGGTTCCGTCAAGTGCTAAATCCACAAACAAGCCCAGTTTTCTTCGGTTTGGGCAGCCAAGCCATACCAGAAGCCATGCAGAAAACAACTGTGTCATCAATGATGTCCGCACGCGTTCCCTTGTTCAAGTTCTTCAGGAAAGTGCTGCTGAGCATTCACTAGCGACTGAGTGCCACTGGCATGGCTACGAAGAAACCTGGCGTCCACCTTATCCTGATCACCCTGATGAACGTGTATATGGGGAACTATATACCTCCGACGCATTCCTCCAAGCTGAAAGAGAGATGTTGGCAACTCCTCCAGAGGATGAACATCCGCGTGCTGTCTGGGGCTACATGTTCTGGTCGGACTCGACTCACCTCGCTCAGTTTGGTCAAGCAAGTGCATGGCCAATCTACGCGCAGTGCGGTAATATGTCGAAGTATACTCGCTGTAAACCTTCGAGCGGCACCACTCATCATATAGGATTTATTCCACCTGCGGTGCACCTTATGTTCATTCATCTTCCTACTGCAGAACTAACATCCATTGTCCAGACGTCCATAATCCCAGAACTTCGGAAATGCGGGGTTGAAAACCCTAATCCAGCCCTACTAGCCCATTGCAAGCGTGAGCTTGTTCATGGCGTCTGGAGGCTTCTTCTCGATGACGAATTCCTCATGGCATACAAGCACGGTGTGCTGGTCAAGTGCAAAGATGGTATCATCCGCCGTTTTTACCCTCGCATTTTTACTTACTCTGCAGACTACCCCGAAAAGTAAGTACTGATACCGATTTATTTGTGAACGTGTATTTATTGCTTATACCTTTGTAAGGGTTCTCCTGGCTACGATACGTGATATGGGCCTGTGCCCTTGTCCCCGGTGCACAATGCCAAAAGGGAAATTCCGGAACCTTGGTACACACACAGATAGTAGAACTCGCACCGTGCTTACCCGCCCTGATAACCAATCATTTCGTGATAAGGTCAGCCGAGCGCGGAGGATGATATACCGCAATGGATATGTTGTCAACAGCACGGCAGTTGATGATGTTCTAAAGGCGGAGTCCTATGTACCGACTCAGGTGAGCAGTGTATACCACAAGTTTTATCTTTCCCTTGCTCTAATATCAATGAAACAGAATGCGTTCTCGCATGCACTCCAAGAGTTTGACTTCAGTGTCTTTCAAATGCTTACAGTTGATCTTTTGCATGAGTTTGAGCTCGGTGTATGGAAGTCGCTCCTTAGCCACCTTGTTCGGATGCTCTACTCGATGGGCGGTCAGAAAGTGCATGAATTCAACAATAGGTTTGTCTTAGATCTTAACAGCTGTATAATTGAGGGTTCAACGCATTGTAGATTTCGCCAGATCAGTCCTTTTGGTTGTCACGCCATTCGCAGGTTTCCAAATAATGTCTCTGAGCTTAAAAAACTTGCGGCGCGCGATTTTGAGGACATTCTCCAGGTGCGTACCAGTGAATCTCCGAGCCATGTACAGATCGTGCTTATTGAGACCCTCCAGTGCTGTATCCCATGCTTTGAGAACCTGTTTGGCGACGATGACAGCAACATACAAAAACTCTTGTTCTTAGCTGCATATTGGCATGCTTTGGCTAAACTTCGCCTCCATACTGATACAACTCTCCGCGTCTTAGATGACGCCACGGTGGTGTTCGCAAAGCAGCTTCGATTTTTTGCGGACAGTATCTGTCCCAAATACTGCACTGTTGAGACAGACCGTGAATATGAGGCTCGCAAGCGAGCCAATGCCCACCGAGCCGCCCAGTCAACCACATCATCACGCACTCATCAATTCCGATCTGCGGCAACGTCTACCATTACTGGTGGTAAAAAGCCCAAACACTTCAATCTTGACACCTTCAAGCTGCACTCCCTAGGAGACTATGTACGTATGATTAGGCTCTATGGAACTACTGACTCTCAGAGTTCGGAACGTGTAAGTCTTGACTCCAAATTATCAAACGTCCACTAAGTCACTTGCTATTGATTCATCACAGGGAGAGTTAGAGCACCGAATCATCAAGAGACGATATACTCGTGGTAACTGCCGGAACTTCATAGATCAGCTTGTCGATGTCGATGTCATGGAGACGATTCACGAACGCATGAATGACGAGCTTCAAGATGTGCTCTCAGGTCAAGAATCAAGCTCGGATGTTGCTGGCGAAAAACGGTTGGATAATGATTCTTCTGATAACACCAGCCAAGTTTCTGCAGAAGAACTTGCTGATCACCACCGCATTGCCAAGGATCAGTCTACATATCTACACCTTTCATCATGGCTACGTCAACCTGATATACAGAGTGATCCTGCATTCGAGGTACGTTGTTTGTGCCTCCTTCTTCAAGACAACTCATTGTTCTTCAGAATTTCGAGCGCAGGCTGAAGGGTCACTTGCTTGCACGATACCAAGACGAGGTCTTAGTCAGCGACGAGCCGGACTACGATGATACGGCGCTCAGAAACGTATACTTGCGCCGTGACACAATCTACTCTCACGCAACAGCATCGTTCAACTACACAACTTACGATGTTCGCAGAGATTCAGACACAATCAATGTTAACGGTCCCCGGCAATTTGTGCTTGTCAAAGCATATGAAGATGCTCCGGATGATGGCTCTCGTGCAAACCCCTTCTGGTATGCGCGGGTACTGGGAATCTATCATGCTAATGTCCTTTTCCGTGATGAAATCACGCCTACACGGATGGAGTTCTTATTCGTTCGCTGGCTAGGTGCTGATCCTGAATGGACGGGTGGACCGCGTACGCAGAGGCTTGATAGAGTGGGATATGTCCCAGAAGGCGATCCATCTGGAGCGTTTGGCTTCCTAGATCCTTCGCAGGTGGTCCGAGGTTGTCATCTTATCCCTGCCTTTTCTCTTGGGTACACAACCTCGTTGTTAAGGCCTAGCAAGATGAGGGATTCGGAGAGCAAAGGAGACTGGATAAACTACTATGTCAATCGGTATGGCATTTCCTTGCGCTTCTCTGTGTCCTCATTGGGCTCATTGCTCGCTTATAAATCCCAGTTTCGTTGATCGGGACATGATGATGCGATACCTTGGCTTTGGTGTCGGACATCTAAACCCGGGTGACTTTCCACATGAGGCGCGAGACTCCGAATCGATGGCAGCTGCCTATAGGTCGGAAGTCCTCGACTCAACTGTACCTAGTCGTTCGCGACGTGAGATCGAGGATGCCATAGATAAAACGGACCGATCAGAGGAAGAAGACGACGAAGAGCTGTTCCCAGAGTTTTTGTCATCTTATTGAACATTGTATATTATTAGTGAATCATATTACCATCCAGGAGGGCAGTGGCCCTATGGCGGACGAACATTGTATCTTATAGCTTGTCATAAGGCTGTACAGCCGTTATATTGAATTTCCGGCGTGGTTTCTGTATTGTAATCCCCACAATACATGGCTTGGATTGCCACTTGAGGCTAACGGGTTTTGTTTGTTACCATGCGTTGCGACGCCGTTGCGACATTTCCGTTTTTTCTGCGAAGTTGACAATACGTCACAATGCGTGGTAACGTTCGCGGGATTTTGCTGATGTCTATGACTATGCCTTAACCATGAATAAAGAGGCAAGGCTCCGCCAAGACAGGCAGACAGCTTGAACTGAGAGGGCCACAGATATTGTTGGTATCCAACAAGAAACGAGTCTCAATAACTCGGATCATTTTCACCACCGCAAGATATACACCTTTTGTCGCCATCTCGCTCACATTAATGTGTATGTTGATTTGGCACCCCCATCTATCAGTGAACAGTCTCACTATCCATCCTTCAAGCGGCATTCATACGTAATGACAAGGTAAGAGACGAATTCAGCGAGCGTATCCTAATGCCGACCTGCTAAACAGAAGCTGTGTTCACGCACTGATGGAGCAGATAGCAGTAAGCTTAAAGCCCTTTCACGCAACAATCTCCGCTAAAGTACTCCGTTTGCTACTTTTAGTTATTCATTTTATCAGCATAATCTCAGCCGAGTGTCAGCACACGCTGGATTTATTCTAATCATTCAATGGGCTAACCATTCATATTCACAGGCTTGTTGCTCATCCGTGTATACGTCCTCTGGGATTGCCGCAAGTTCGTGCTGATCAGCCTTACAATTCTAGCGATGGTCAGATAGAAAACAGGTGTCAATGAAGGCGCTATTTGTTGATATTTCTGCAGGCGTTGTCGGCCGTAGCATGCGTATTGAGTTTTGCTCCGGTTGAATTTAATGCATCAAGTAGTGAGTATCTATTTTGCAAAACCGCTTCCAATCCGCAGCTGATTGTCTTAAGACCGCGGCAATGCACCATGCAGTTTTAAGTCATCGACAGCGGGGGGAGTTGACTATGTTGCTCTGTTAGTTTTTGAGTCAAGTACGTACCCGCACGTATACAATATTATATAACTCGAGGTTGATACATTTTTCAGCCTTGCTATCCTTCATTATCACGAAGAGATACATGGATTCCCAACATCTCACGTCCTTTCAAACGAAACTCTACAGGGATGGGATTGCGTACATGATTTGCATCATGAGTAAGTCGAATTTTGATGACATTTTGAGGCAAGATAAGCTAAATATAAGCACACCAGTGATCAGTATCGCTAATATAATAATCATCTGGGGCGTTGAGGTATGCTCTTGCGAGTGTTTTCTCAGGAGGGGTAGCTAAATGTAAATCAGCAAAGCTATTCGGAGCTTCTAAACGCGTAAGCACTGTTTGACACACCTGATCTTAAAGTCGGATGCTGATAAAAAGTCTCATGAAGGTCGCAAGTAGCACTTCATTCCGTTTTGTCATGTCGTATTCTGTTCAGGTTGAAGGAAAGCGGGCGTAACCCAACCGGCTTTCAGAATGGAACGGCGGAGCCATCGAGTAGTGTGGAACCTGGAGGTTGAAACTACACTGTACCCTATGGGTGATCATGGGACGATTCGCAAGATCCATTTTAGCAATAGATATACGTACCAAAGTCAAGAAAACGCCTTGAAGAATTCTCAGAGCATCAGCAAGCTGTAATTACGTTGAGATTGCGTCTACAACACTGCAGACACACTGCGATTTTCCCGCTACAAAAAGTGATTGAAAAGGCGGACCGTTGAAAGCCTTTTACAGCAAAAGCTGATTGGAATTAAATACTCGCCTGTTTGCATTATAAGGCAGATATTGGATATTAGCATGTCCAAATTGGGAAAGTATGTGTCAATTTGGTAATCCGTGATTTTTACCAGCGCGAAATCTACATAATTATTGGCTAAAGAAACCCTTTTCCTGTGCCAAAAAGGAGCACAAAACTCGGAGGTAAAGGCTTTCATCTCGCCACTTCTTCTTGATTTCGCCCCAGATAACATGGTCGTTTTCCCTCAGTGATTACTTGCACAACCATGAACCTCACCGGTATCATGCATGTCGCATCCCAACCCGCTTCGATGCTAAGGCCATCTGGTGCTATAACGTGTTTCTCGTTATATGTAACGACGATCTCGGCCAAGAGATGGTGCACCATTATTGGCGTCGAGTGGCAGTCGCATCACATCGAAATCGCTCATGATCGAGGCAGAGCATTCTGCGTCGCCATGTACTTAAGGTCGTGCAGGGTAAATGTAAACTCCTGGTGTACCTCTCTTTCCCCCCGAATTTTAACTTACAAAACGAGATGGCACAGACATATGGATCACAAACTTCTCAGGTGCGCTTCTCTTCTACGCTCGCAGAACTGATGTTAATATTGACTGGCCCGGGCAGTATTTCAATGGTATGCCATCCGTTGGATATGTGATTCAGTGACTGAAACCGAGCTGAAGTAGCGGCCGCTTCGTTGCTGGTAAGCTGTCGTCCCCATCAAAAATCTTGTGCTTACTGCCCATGCAGGTTTATGATTACGCTCTCACGTTGAACGACGAGGTAGGGTTCTGTCCGAAACAAGAATATTCAGGTACTTATATGGCTGCCACAGCTATCATGGGTGTCCGGAAAACGGTGGTCCATGCCTCGGATCATCTTTACAGCCGCACGATACACACCTTTCCCGGCCACTGCACTCACATTAGCATGTATGTGACTTACTTTTTACTGTATGCTTTAGATAGTCTGATGATATTATGTTCAAGCGGCATTCATACGAAACAACGAGGTCAAACGCAATTTTTGTCATCCACGAGGACATCTTGATATTAATTTGTCTGTAGAAGTTGTGCTCGCATATTGATAGTGCAGATAGTGGTGAGCCTACTGTGCTTGCTTTCAAAACTTAATCTGACATGTATCCATTTGTACTGCTTTCAGGCATTCATTTTGTTAGCATAATCTCCGCGGAGGGTTTGTAATTGCTAGGGTCACCTTGACCATACACTTGATTAACCATGAAACTTACCAGGTTTGTTGCTCATGCGTGTGTATGTACTTTGGGGCTGCAGAAAACTCATTCTAATGAGTTTGGGAAGTATCGGAATGGTGAGACAGGAAAAACATTGATGAAGAGCTTGACTTACCTATTACAGGTGTTAACGGTTGTAGCTTGCGTGCTGTCTTTCGCTCCAACCGCCTTTGAGGAGCCACGGAGCAAGTGCCTAGTTTATCAAAGATCGCTAACTTATTGACACTGGAGGTTCGTGACGCTAGGCTCAGACTGGGTACACTCTCCGTGCAGCTTTGAAGCAAGCAACAGCGGGGGCCTTGACTACGTTGCTCTGTTGGTTTTTGAGCTTAGTATGTGCTCACGCCCATACGACAGTACCTGATCTGATATTTAAGTACCTCAGCTTTACTGTGTTTCATCATCAGGAAGCGGTATATAGATCGCGAACATCTCACTTCGTTTCAAATAAAGCTTTACCAGGACGGAATTGCATACATGATCTGCATCATGAGTGAGCACTGGGACCATTGATGAATCTCCGTCAAGCTGTAATAACTGTTGAACCAACAGCTTTCAGCGTCGCTAATATTATCGTGTCCTGGGCTGTTCCGGTGCGTCCTTGTCCAAATTTCTGCTTATAGGATCGACCCGATGATATACAGCATGGTTATTCCGAAGTCCTGGATGCGTTAGTACAGTTTGGTACCCTTCAGTCCAAACGTCAGCTAAAATGGACTTAACCTCAGTCCACAAATAGTGATGCATTCCCTCCTATCATGCCGTATTTTGTTTCGGTTGAAGGAAAGCGCACGCAACCCGACGGGGTTTGGAAATGGAATGACGGAGCCATCTTTGAACATGGGACCTTGAGGTTGTTGGCTAAGTTGGCCTTCTGCTTTACCTGCATATAGACCGGGACTAATTGGAAACTCCCTCTTAGTAGAAATCGCCACACCTGTATATATCGGGTCCAGAAACTACCTTAACTAGCCTTCAAAGTATTGGGAAGCCGTCACGTTGAAATGTACAGTGGTTGTCGCGTCCGCAAGATCCCATCAGAAGTTTTGAGTCCGCTCAACTCCGCTCAACTCCGATCGACGGCCAGATGGCGGTAACACTGCAGACAAACTGCGATTTTTCTGTTACAAAAAGTGATTGAAGAAGGCGGACAGATGAAAGCCTTTTTCACCCATCTTTTGCTTTGCGAAAAGTTACTGAAAAGTTAAATTTTTGCCTCGGAGTTTGCATTTCTGTGCGGAGATTAGATAGAAACACGTCCAAATCGGGAAGTTAAAGTCCAAATTCGGTAACCCGTCCATTTTACCAGCGCAAAATTGACGCAAATGTTGGCTAAAAGAATATCTTTCCCTGTGCAAAAGAGGGTTCCAAAGCTCGGTGGAAAAGGCTTTCATCTCGCCGCCTCTTTCTCTCGGTTTCAAATTTCATCCCGGGTGAAATCGCCGTTTGTCTGCAGTGTCGCGTCCGCAAGATCCCATCAGAAGTTTTGAGTCCGCTCAACTCCGCTCAACTCCGATCGACGGCCAGATGGCGGTAAAAGCCCAGAACCATGGTTTGTTTAGCTACACCTATCATATTCCTGGATCCGAAGGGAGACAGGTATAACGAAGAAGTTTTGCCTAAGCTACGTTCTTCCCGGTCCGATTGCCGCCGCGGCCCGTATCCCGTTTTTCCGTCATTGCTCCGTACCCCGTTTCGGGGAATAACCCCTGTCTCTGTCGTTCGTCTTTGTTGTTTGATCTCTTCTCTCGTACTTATACTTGCTTTATGCTACTTATGTGCCCCTGTCATTGGTGTTGCGTCCTAGTGGCTGGATAATGCTATTTTTTTTTCAGTGATATTATGCAAGGCATGGAGTTTGTGACTTCGCTCCGTTTCGACCTATCGTTTCCAAACCGTTTCGACTCGGACCTCTTTCCCTTTGCCATTATTCTCCCGTTACCTCTCGCCATCCAATGGGACATCAGTTCAGGTGATGCAGTTGCCTTCCTCTCGAGTCTCAACTTTCAGGGTGGTTGTCATATTCACAGTCATCTCTGCTGAGAATTCAAATATTCTGTCAGTAGTTATTGGTTTGATAAAGACACAACTGCATGCGATCGCACACCAAACCCCTGCATACCACTTATACACAAGCGAAACCACAATTAGAGCTGTTTGTTTATAAAAGGAATTGGCTCGCTGAGCCATGGACTTGCTGCATACTATAATTGTATGGATGGATTCTTTTGGCAAGTACTACTGGCAACTTAGGCATGGGACGTCGTAGACTTTATGCAACAAATAAAAGATGCCAGAACCACACTTACAAGGAGGCTACACTCTAGGGACTTCGGATCCAGGTGTGCCCGTGAGGGCCGTGTTTTATCAACGCTTGGCATGAAACAAGAAAAAGCCTGTCGATCGGTGTTTCCCGAAATCATGTTGGACCGCGTTTCGAAGTTCATGGGGGTTTGCTGATTCCTGACCCATCGGAGGATCGTGATAGGACTTCCTGGTCCTGCCGCTTCGATGCGTATCAAGCCCGAAGCACCAGTATAGATCGGGGACACGAGTGTATACGTTTCATTTCTCCACATGGTCTATGACTGAATGGACTGTCCAGATTGTTCGGAGGGTTATCATGGTCTCATCCAACATTGGATGTTCGGGACAAGTATTGCCAGCGGTGCGAGATGGACGACACATTTTTAGCCTGCCTTCAGATTTCAAAGGCCCTTCTTCCTCTTTAGTCGCGCTCCATCACCACTGCATCATACCTCCTTGCGTCTTCATCATACTTCGGTGAATGAGTGACGGACCATCCCACCATGAATGGATCCCCAAGGCAGTGGTTGTTGATCGGTCTCGTTCTTGTTCTCTCACGACTCCCATTGACGCAGAACCTTGTTAAGCCTTCATGCCCATACATAACGCTCTGCTTACATTTCCCTTTTCCCGCGTTTCTCCCCCCTCTAAAACAAATTTTCAGGCGATGCGATGATGCACGAGACGTATGGGCGGCACACATCTCAGGTGTGTGTATCAACTGTTTCAATGTGCCCCGAGCTGACAGAAACTGATACAGTTTTTCAATGGTGAGCGATTGAGGTGCTCTATCATTGGTGTTGGTTGAAACCGTGCGTCAAGTGGCAGCCGGAGCTCTTCTCGTGCGTAGTTATAGAATCCCTCCACAAGTCATAGGCTAATCCGGACCCAGGTCCACGACTACTTGCTGACCTTGAACAAAGAGGTGTGCCCGCCGGATGCTGCTACGATGTCCATTCGTTGAAAGGCTTCCTAGGTCTCATGCATGGTCGGAAAACGCTGGTCTTTCTCCCGAATGGTCTTTACCATCGCGAGATATACGCCTTTTGTTGGAACGGCTTTCACTTTAATATGTAAGTTCGATCCTCGTTGGTCCTAGTTTGCGTGATATCTGACATTCAGTTCTAGCGGCATTTCTCATGTCTAACAATGAGGTGATGGGCTTCATTGCTTCGAAGCTCAGCGATGTCACTGAATTGCTACGTGACGGATAGGGACTGTGCGAGGGAGCCGCTATTGCTGATAATAGTGAGAAATAATTAAGCTGATTCCCAAAAGCCACGAGAACTGACTCCCATATGTCTTCTGTGCAGGTATTCATATTGCTAGCATAGTTGCAGCGGAATGTAAGAGCGCCTTTGTTTCGCGATTGTGTGTTTGCTGACGAGACGTTGTTTCTGAAATGCTTAGGCCTAATTGTAGTGCGTGTTCATGCGTTGTGGGAGCGCAACAAGTTTGTCCTGTTTGGCCTGACGGCGCTTGGTGTAGTGAGTGGCGTACGGTGATTCATCCCAGGTTTACTTATGATCCCCGAAGGCCTTGGGCGCTGTGGTTTGTGTGCTGCTGTTCTCCCACGTTGAGTTACCCGGCACAGGTCGGTGTCTCGTTAATCGCTGGCTATGCAAAGTGATAAGAACTTCGGCAGTTGATGACTACAACCCATGTATCTTCGCGGCCTCCGCCGCCGGAGGATACACCTACAGCGCTTTGTTGATTTTTGAATATGGTAAACGTGTGGCAATTCATCCCTTCACGAGAGACTCATGCGGATAACAGCTTTGCTGTTTCTTATCGTCCTGAGACGCCATATGGACAGGAGCAATATGTGTGCTTTTCAGCGAAAGCTTTACAGGGATGGAATCATATACATGGCCTCTGTACTGGGTAAGGATTGCGACGGTCCATCTAGACTACGCTGTAAGCTGAAGGGTTTGACAGCGATAACCAGCACCAATGTCGTGGTGTCTTTTAAGGTAACTGTACGTACTTGAACACGCTAGCTCATCAGTTGAAGTGCCTCTAACCTCTTCCAGGAATCGTACAGCGAGGTTCTCAATGCGTAAGAGTAGTTCATCACACAGCGGGCTGGAGCTGAAACAAATATTCTGCCTCCCGCAGTCCACAGGTAGTGATGCATAGCGTTCTTTCATGCCGCATACTCTTCCGTATGAAGGAAAACAGCTGTATTCCCACAGGGGTCGAGGAGAGGACAGAGGAACAGTCCACAGGGGGGCAGGCTGTGACAGACCGAACAATATTTAGTAGTGTAGTGATGTTATCGCAGGAATCGTCATTAATATAGCACGTATAATCGCCAGTGTATTATTGAACAAACCCGTAGGATGCTTACAGGACTATCGAAAAACGGCCTGTTCATCTCGTCATCCGTCTCATTTGACAAGTAACGGGGAATAACTTCTCATAGGATAGATTATGGTAAGGGCTTAGCTTGATAAACTCTAGCTCGAAGCGAATCATGGGATATCAACGATTGTGATTCCTTCACACAGGTTGCACAGGCATCATCACGGGTCTCGAGCTATAGGAACACGAAGGTCACGCTTTCGGGGCGGACTCCCGGTATAGCTGTGATGATGAGAGCGGTAGTCAAGTAGAGCTATGTAGAGTAAGAAGTCAGAAGATGATAAATTGGCTGTCAGAGAAACCAATACATTTGCGCCGCACGGCGTTGTGCAATCGGCGTACCTCTGAGTTTCCGCATCGCGGGACCACTCAAGAACCGCCCCAAGTTGACTTACTGTGTGCGTTTGAGGCGCTTGCTTGTGGGCCAAGAAACCGATATATAGTAAGGAGCGCTCTTTACGGAGCGCCAGTGCGCTGAATGCATCAGCCATGAGGTGGGCGGATCAACCAGGAGGGCCGCCCTTCTGCAGTTTAGCGCTCATCTTTCGGTCGTGATACTAGTTGGCCTTGGTTAGCCTTGGTCTCTGCGGGTTACTAACCTCTTGTCACTGGGAAGAAGTTATTTTACTTGCCCCATGTTGGCGTAACGACAAGCATATCCGAGAAGGTTCTATTCTAATGACATGTCGATATGTTCCGACATTAGACGCCTGTTGAGATCCCAGGAACACGATATTGTAATCAGTTGCCTAACTAGGATTAAGGTTGCCGCTGCTGTCAAAAAGGCTGAAGAGACGCCTAAAGAAGGACAAGGCACAAACGCGCTTGTCTCTCCGCTACTACTTCAAGTTAGCTGTTAGCGCCTTGGGTAGGACATACGCTCCTAACGCTCTGAAACATATATAACTATCCAGAAACTCCAACTAGTAACCTTTGACGAAGCCAGGACCGGCGGCCGTGGCAGCTGTGCTGTGACGGTGTTCATTTTGATTCCGCGGAGGCAATTGACGAACCTCATTCGTGATGGCGCCACTGCTCTGGTTACCACGCTGTTGCCTAACGGCTCAACTCAAATGTCACTGTGTCCCTTCATAAGTGCTCGCCTAGTCATTCGGCTATATTCCCTTATTTTCCTCCCTTTCACGCCTTTCACGCTGCTCGATGTTACATGCCCTGTCCACGCATCTAAAAAGCCGGTAATTACTTCCAGCAAGCACAACTAAACATGCCTGTTATCCCCACCATTCTCGAGGGCGCCGCCCACTCAACCAGCAACCCCACCGTCGAGCTCCCTCTTGCCGACTCCGACTTCACTCTCGATGCATCTGGTGTCGCAGGTTTCTTCGGTGGCGACGTCGCCGTCTCCGCCATGGCCACCGTCCACGTATACAGGGGGAGAAGATGGTTAGGCTGGTACAACACCCCAGGTTCATATGAGATTGGGAAGCGTTACGGGATCCTTGCCAACTCGAGAGTATGGGATGGTATATTCCCTGGCGCCAACGTCGAGCCTGCAGAACTCTTCGGCCTCAACAACCTCAAAGGGCCCACGTATCGTGGCGCAAAGTCCGGTTCAGTCATCGACCAAACAGGGCACATCGCCGCGCTCTTCGTGGACGAATGCAAGGACCACAAGCCCAAGGAGATTGATGGACGCCAGTCGGCTCCCGTTGGCGTCACCGTTGTCAAGCTCAACCCGGTCGAAAAAGAGATGTACCCCACCCTCCTCCGCACATACTCCGGCATCCTGGCTCTCCTTCCCATCCTCGTCAGCGTCGGCGCTTGCGTCGGCTGCGCCCTCGTTGCCGACTGGATCACTTTCGTCATGATCCTCTACGGAATCTTTACGAGCGGCATCGCATGCTTCGTCATCGGCTCCGGCAAGCTCAAATACACGCACCCCGAGCCGGCTCCGGGCGCACCGTCGGGCGACGGCATCCTCACCGCCAGCAATGGTGAGATCATCGTCCTCAAGGGCGCGGAGGCGGACGTGAACGCGGTCACGCGCGGCCAGTTCTGCCTCAGCTTCTACGGCGAGCCCAAGTACAGCATGATCGGATGGGCAGGGCTCCTGCTCACTGTGCAGTTCGTCGCGCAGCTGCTGCTCATCCCACAGGGCACGCTCTTCGGGCAGATCCTGTTCATCGGCTCGCTCGCGGTGTCCTGGATGTACAACTCGTACCTGTCCTCGCTCGACTCGATGCTCATCCAGCGCAAGATCCTCATGGACTCCATCCTCCGCCACCCGCGCATGCGCAAGTACTCGCTCGGCACGCGCACGACTATGGCCGTGTTCGTCATGCTCATCCTCGAGCCCGTCGAGCCCCTCAAGTTCCTCAACGAGCTCATTCCCAACGACACGCTTGTGTGGCGCGTCTTCAAGCAGGCCGTCGTCGACCGCATGCAGAGCAAAGAGGGCTTTGGCTTCGATGCTGAGGTAGATGCGGTGATCCTAGGGAAGGATCTCAACGATCAGGAGAAGGAGCTGCTGTTGACGCTGTTTAAGGATGCGGAGTCGGGATACGAGGGCTGGCTGCAGCATAGTGCTTCATTCCACTCCGAAGCCGAAAAGAAGTCCGTTTGACATGGCCTTGCCTGCGTTTTCTACCCTACCTAGCCTATTTCCGAGTAGGCTCGCGCGACGCGTAGGCACATGGTGCTCACGCAGTCGCCACGACTTTTGATGTGCTATGACCCAGACTCGGATTGACACTCTTGCACAGTCCTCATGATGTAGCTGATGTATCGATTGACGTCTCATACCCACCTATCAGCATACTCATCTGATTCACGCATACCATATCATACAAGTAACCATTGCACAATCGTACCTATACCATGCATCTAAATGTAGAACTCTGTCTTCTATCCCCACATCATCAACATTGCTCAAGCATGAGAACGTAGCGAGGGAGCATCTCTAAGATTCTCAAGCACGAGGCACAATAGTCAAGGTGACGTTGATGATGAGAGCGGTTGCAAGTGATAGAAAGATATACAGCGAAGTTGGAGCGATAGAAGTGATGTTTGTAGCTAACACGACGAGAACGACTAAAGTTCAGCCGTATCGGACCTCCCTCCTTCCTTCTCTGGCGGCGGAGTGGGCGTCCTCGTCTTCAAGTTATGATTGTGTACACACGTCCTACACGCCTCATCAGAATCTCTATCACGTCTCTAGGCGCGATAGAAGACTCACAGAGAAACCAAGCTCGAAATAGCCCCTATTGGCACGCCGACGAGGAAGACCTGGTCGAGCGTTCGCACGTAGGCCTGGACGACGGCGCCCTGCTCGCTTGCGGGGAGAGTGAAAATGTACGTGATGCTCTGCTGGACGCTCACGGCTACGGACGATGGGAGCTCTGGCGCGTATTGGTGCAGGTTTGAGGTGAGTTGGTTGAGGAAGACTGCACCGGCGATGCTATATGCGTTATATGAGTGTCAGATGAATGCATGTCATAGATGGATGGGCGAAGCTTACGCAAGGCCGACGACACCGCCGAGTCCTTCGATGAAGGAGCACATGCCGGTAGCTTGGGGAATTAGCTCTTCTTCGTGCGCGAGCTCAGCCTATGTCGATGGACGTCAGCACATAGAGTTCGTTCGCCTGAGATCTCGGCCTACTTGAGTTGATATCTCCGGCATCTGGAGCGTGGAGCCTGCGATGGATGGATTCACATCAGTGGGGCGCTCTGCGCATGATGTGGATTCAACCAACCAATGCCAATACCGGCGATGATCTGGTAGCCAATGAGCTTGCCCTCAGGTGAACCGATATTCAGCGTGTACAGCAGCCCTGAACCTATCGAATAGAACAGAGGGCAGATGACCATGACACTATACACAAGTGTAAGAAACGACGTCAGGTCCGGCAAAGATGTAACTCACGGCCAGTACCGTCCTGTCGCGTTCGCGAAAGCACCAACCACAATTGAAGCTATAAGGTGCACATGAGTCCCACATCCTGAACTATGGAGAAATCCGTGCGTACCTCCAACGCATGATAGAAGGAGCGGCAGTATGTCGATGCCAGACTGTATCGCGTTACGCCCTTGTGACTGATACCACAGCGGAATGTAATACTACAAAGACGATCAGTCACCATCCGCATCGAAGCATAAGAAGCGCTGATATCCTTACAATTCCGACCATCAACCCATAGAAGTTACAGAACGCAACGAACGATGAGGCCACTAGGGGTCGCCGGATGACGTGCCAAGGCAACAGCGCCCGGTTACCCATGCGCCCCTGCCACCAAAGGAACAGGGCGAGTCCGACTACGGAGATCACAAGCGGCACGATGACGTTGGCAGAGTTCCATGGATAGGTGTTGCCTCCGAATTGCAGAGGGAAGAGGAATGCGACGACAGTGCCGAGGGAGATCAGGAAGCCGATCCAGTCAACCCTGTTATTGCAACATGTAAGACGAAACCCAAGGGTGGAGGATGAAACGCACTCGAGAAGCTTGCGACGCGTTGACATGGTGGCTGGTGAGTTCGGAGTGGCAGGCGCTTGCTTGTGGGGCATGAAGTAGGAAATGAACAGCGTGACGACGCCAATCTTCTCTGGGTCAGTTTCTTCATAGCACATTGGAGGAGAGTCAAACTACTGGAAGGTTCACTAATGATGGATGGTCGGCAACAGCTCAAGAATGCAGGTGAACGGTGTACTCACTGTAGAAACACCAACGCCAGGTTACTCGGGCTGGAATATGAAGTAAGACATGGGCATATAAGTTGCTTGCGCAAGTTTCACCTGTGAATGCGCCGCCAACGAGGGGTCCCAAGACAGACGAAAGCGCGTATATGACACCGATGCACCCAAACAACGCAGGTCGAGTCTCGAGTCTAGCTATCTAGAAAATCGCGGGTTCAGATGGATACACGAAGGACGCGTGCTGCAAAACACACCTGAGCAATGGCCCAAACGACGCATACATTGATGCTAGTCTTTGTGAGCGCTTTTGACACCGCGCATTGGACTCAACTGACTCACGCAGTGTTTCCGATTCCTGCCACAGCTCTACCAATGATCAAGAAGTTCATTGAAGTGGACACAGCGCAAAGCAGGCTCCCGAGCTCGAATATCACGATCGAGAGGATGTAAATGTATTTGGTGGGGTATAATGAGAGCAGCTGGCCCGTAGGAAGTGTGAAAGCGACCGTCGTGAGCAGGTCTGACCCGTTGTTCAGTGTTTCATCCTCGGAAGAAAATGCCATGCGTACATGCTGTTGGCACCCTTGTATCTTCTTTAGTCACGAGACCGGGAATGGACAGAGCACGCACCATGTTACCTGTCCTAACGCATCGAAGTCGGATACTATCGTAGGCAGAGCAGTGCCTACGATTGTCAAGTCTGACAAAAGGCGAGCGTTCAGTGTGATGTTAGTGACCATTGCTTGCTCTTATCGCGTACCTAAGGACGAAACTAGTAGCGCAAGTAACAGGCCGCTGAGATACGTCAACCTTCGATAGAGCGCTGCTTGACTATCACCCACGAGAAGGTTAACACCAGTTCCTTTCCTGTGAGATACCGCTCAGCTCCCTCCGACGCGTTCCCCTGACCTTCTTCCTCCTGTTTTATGGCCACGTCGCTCCCGAGACGCGTCGTGCTCAACTCGGCCTTCTCGGTGCCATCGACCAGTGTATCTGGCCCTGCACGTAGCTCGAGGGACATGGTGTCTAGAGGAAAGCGAGATGACCTGCAATGAGAGGCAAAACGCTGCAATTGACTTTTGGGCGCATAATTGCGGACCGCGCACCAATGCCGTTGAGGCCATGTTGATGAGGCGCTAGAAGCACCTTGACCTCGGAAGCAATTCCGGGGATCCTAACGTGTCCAAATATAGAGCAAGATCGCACAACCTATTACGTCATTGATTGCATTTCATTTTTGGTTTTGACAGTTCCCCGCCCAGGCTGACGGGCGCTAACCTCCGCTGAAGGCGGGAAGGGCGCATCATTTCGCTTTTGCGCACTGACGGAAGATGCAGAACAGATCAGCGCCCAATGCAACCTTCCACACACATTCACATCGGAAGAATGCCTCTTCCAGTCTATCTAAGCGCCTAACAGGCACGCAGTCGCACTGCGGAAACACCTCCCTTGTTTTCTGATCTACGATCAGTCCCATGCAACCTCATGGGACATCCATTGGGACAATGTTACGTAGACTTGTTGATCAGTATCTGATGGTAAAGCGTGTATTCAGCTTTTAGTCACCTCTATATTGTGCTCATATTCGGCCCCACTCTCCAACCACTCTCCGACTTTGTCGACTCATGGCGCTACCTACCATCCTAATTACTCCACTGCACTTCATCAAATAACAGATACCATCAGATTCCTTTGCTAGAATGTCCTTTCTTCGAAATCGTAGATGGTATAACTGAGACCAAAATCTCAACCGTAATCCTAAGTTGAATTTTACATGAATATGGCTTGGATATGAATCTAAGAGTCGGTAATGTTCAAGGCATGCAGCAACAGCAATAATATGTTGTTTAGTAGGCGTAGTCGATTTCGTGAGGGTCACTACGACGGTAGGCGTCGTCAGTGTCCACAGCGCGGCGGTAAGCATCGTCCGAGTCAGCGTCACGGCGATAGGCGTAATCAATATCGTGAGGAAGCTCCACATCACGGCGGTACGCATCATCGGTGTCAACAGCACGTCGGTAGGCGTCGTCGGTGTCAACCGCACGACGGTACGCATCGTCTGTGTCGACGGCGCGACGGTATGCATCATCGGTATCGACAGCACGGCGGTATGCGTCGTCAGTGTCCACAGCGCGGCGGTAGAAGCAATCGCTATCGTTAGTGTCAACCGCGCGACGATATTTATCGTCGGTGTCGACGGCACGACGGTATGCATCATCGGTATCGATGGCACGGCGGTAACCACAGTCGTCGATAATGGCACGGCGGTAAGCATCATCGGTGTCTACAGTAGGTAAAGTTAATCCATCAGTTTAGTCCATGATGGTGAATCAATGTGTCCCACTAACCAGAGCTACGGGCGGGGAGAACAGCTGCCTGAGCGAGAGCGCCAGCGAACACAGCGGCGAAGAGCACAGAGGTGCGCATGGTGATTTGGAGTGAGGGGATCGTAGACTTGTGGAGGTTGTGTGAGAGGCGTTAACGCAAGTTTGGGCGTAGATGCAGAATTAAATGCCTGGGCTTCAGTAGTGCGGGTTTGATGGTGCGGCAAGAGGAATCAGCACAAGGCGGACGCGCCCTTTTTATCCCGTAATGCACGCGCCCTCCGCGAGCATACGCAGCGTGACTCCGTGCCTCACAGCCATTGGATTCGGAGGCAGAGGCACTGCATGTACTGTGTCACTGGGTAAGTGTGGTGTGAGGACATGTCGAAATGACACCGATGAATGCACGCACCCCAAAGGCCAACGCAGCGCGGACCCTACTTTGCACGGCCACGCATCTTGCCCGATTTCCGTATCACATAGGCGAATTCATTTTGCGGCATGAGCGAGGCGATGTCCAGATCCTCATTCTCTGCCCCAATATGAGCCTGGAACATGATCGAAGTTGACTCTTAAATGTTGAATCTTGACAAAAGCGACCTGCCGCGGTCAATCATCACATGAGGAGTTGCGGCAGGACGGTGAATCGCAACTCCACCAGGCTAGGGAGTGACGAGCGCCTATCAGAACTTTTTTCGGTCCTGTTCCTCGGAGCCATGGTGCTCAGCGAGCACGATCTCTGGGTTGCTGTGCACGAAAGTGTCAAGTTACCCTCCGGGAAGTCCGGTTTCATGTCTCAGGTGTCATTTTGCGAGCAATCTACGCGAGGACACCGTGCACAGCCTGATAGTTGAGCCTAAAAAGGACGTTTTAGTCGTAGCTCGTATTGAGGATGGTACAGACATTTTGAGACAGGGCATGATGCGAGTATGATGCGACAAAGGTATGCTGATTTAAGTTGTGGTGGGCACAAGGTAGCTCGGAGATCTCACCAAGTGTGGCGAAATTAAGCATAACAGTGCAGTAGCCCACAGCGGCACTAGAGTGCAGGGTCTACGAGATATTCAGGTCAATGTTTTCTTTGGCTTCAGTAAAGAGTTTCAACCTCGTGGTACACATTATCAAGCTGGCTCAGGCTGCTGCTCGAAAAAAGTAAGCCGAAGATCTTTCCAGCATGCCGGGTAAACATACAGCACCCATTGTCATGACAGCACGCAGCAGCGTGGAGTGGTCAGCTGTTTCATTGCTATCGAGGTAGCCGCGTTATCTCTTCAAAGTTCAAAAATCTTTCCGACTGGGGTGGTCCTGGGCGATGGTAGGAGATCGAGACAGAGGTTCGAGTGTGTGCGGGGAACCTCGGGGTTTCAGATGCAACTTGGGATCATCGATTCATCTAGGATCACAGCCAAATCGAGGGTAAGGTTTGGCGAATCCGATCAGAAACACTGCCACAGGCGCGCGGAGATGTTGATCGAAAAGTCTATTTTTATCTCTTGCTTTGTTTCTTGAACCGATGGTTTCACTGAAGCAGCCATTTTCTGTGTTGCACAAGGGATGATTGACGTTACAGTGAAGCCCAGCCGAATAGTATTACAGCATGGCATGCCGAAACTGAGCAACTTGCAAGTCTTCTATGATTCTCGACGTTTGACTCCGAAATGAGTTCTGGCTTGTTTGGCGCCCCATAGCTTGACGGATGATGCAATGCCTGTTTGGCTCACACCCACAAGGTTCGTACGTCCTAGCCACCTGCGCAGCTAGAAGCACCTTCTTGTGATGCACGAGGCCTCGAGACGCTCAAATGAAACTGCTTACGACAGCATAATTGCACGCCCACTGCCTTGTTCTGGACCGGAAGCGACGAGATAAGTACGTGCCCCCTAAAGTAAACTCAGCGCAGCACACCATACTCATTGGTTGTCCTTTATAGAGGATCGCGACGATGACTGAAGACAAAGAGCGCTACATCGCCGAGCTTCGCAGTCAGGGTCTAGTCGTTCTTACCAAGGCGGAACACAGCGCGAACGAGGAGTACAAGGAGGCGATCGCTCACTGGTCCGATACCGCTCGGCGGGAGGCTCAGTACGTCTTTTGTCCGCGCGATGCCAACGAGGTCTCCAAAGCCGTGCGTCCCTATCCATTTTCTGGAATACCTCACCTCATCGCAAATATATCAACCCACAGATTGCGTTCGCCACGAAGTTCAGCCTCGAGATCGCCATCAAGGGCGGCGGACACTCGTGCTCGGGCGCGTCAGCCAGTAATGACGTGCTGATCGACCTTGGAAAGCACATCAACACGGTCGCGTATAACGAAAAGGAGCAGCTCGTCACAGTTGGTGGCGGGGCTGTCTGGCAGCAGGTCGACGAGGAGCTGAGCAAGCACGGCCGGGCGACGGTGGGCGGGACTGTGCAGAGTACGGGTGTTGGAGGCCTCACCGTTGGCGGAGGATACGGATTCCTCAGCGGCCAGTACGGACTCGCCATTGATAATCTCGTTAGGGCGCAAGTTGTGCTCGCCGACGGAACGATTGCGAACGCGGACGACAAAGGTGTTTACATGGACCTGTTTTGGGGCATCAGAGGTACGCGACTTTGAGAGCTCGTGCTATCAGGAGCACTCTGCTAACGGGTAGTGCGTCAGGCGGTGGATCGAACTTTGGCCCGGTCACTTCGTTTACGTTCAAGACACATCCAGTGGGCCAAGTATGGACTGGACTTGTAGGCACTTCTACCTTCGAGAGATGTTTGATTCACTGAAACGGCACACAGATGACGTTCCCTCCAATTCTACTCGAGCCGTTCTTCAATGCTGCCCAGAGCTGGTTCAGGCAGGCCAAGGACAACGAAGCAGCCAATATCTTCATAGGCTGCAGTCCACTAGGGGTCTGTCTCCGTCTCACTCTAGCACTGACCGCACCTCATATATCTTCCACAACAGCCCGGACTCGTTCTCCTGCCATTCTACAATGGAAGCGAAGAAGACGCAAAGAAGAGCTTTGGGGAGTTCCTCGCAATGAACCCAGGCAATGGTCCACCCGGGACCGAGATTGGGATGCACCCGTACATGTATGCGAATACACTGCAGGTGCGCCTATTTTACCAGCTTCTTTCACGACGCATGGATGATAATTGACTACGCCCGCGCTACGCAGAACTTGATGACAACCGCTGGAGACCACAAGGCGTTCAAGGCGACGAAGTTCAACCACTGGGATATTCCACGCTTCGAGAAGCTGTTCAAGGACTTTTCCCAGCTGGTTGGCGCGGAGCCTTCAGACGAGCAGGACGTCAAGGACCTTGCCGCAGACCCAGCTATCACGGGGTGCGCTATGTTTCTCCTGCTTTCACACCCTTTACCTTTGATTCATAACTCACCACCGCGCGATGGAACAGGTCGTCAGTCGTGATAGAGTTTTACCCACACAATCATATTGGAAAACTCAAGTCGGGGGATACAGCGTTTGCGAATCGTGCTGCCGGGTTCGGGATGCTGTTCGTCCCAAGGTGGAAAAATCCCGACCTGAATGAGAAGGTGCGTTATAGAGGACAAGCCAAGTTGTGCATGTAGCGCTCGGGGCTAAGATCCGTTCCTGTAGGCGCTGCAGTGGGCTCGTGCCAGAGCGGCTGAAGTTGATCAACGGGAGGAAAAGCTCGGCGGCAGCGTAAAAGGCAAGGGCGGGGAGGGCACGGAAGGGGTATGTTCCGTATTTCTTTCATTCTAGACTCAGCGATGCTCATCTCGGCTCGTTTGTGCAGTATTCTAACTACGGGAGCGGAAATGAGAGGTCACAAGATGTATTCGGAGGCAACTATGCGCGGCTTCAGGGGCTGAAGGCGAAGTATGATCCTGGAAAGGTGTTCAACAAGTGGTTCCCCATTGAGCCAACAAAGGCTTGAGAACTGGATGAAGTGTATAGGATTAAGATGCTGTAATATATGTACATAATAACATGAAGTGTTGCATCGCGCTGGCCATCGTACGAAGAACACACGCTCGCCGCATTTGATGCTTCACTCACGGAGCTTGACGAGAGAGAAGTCCGTATTAGTATGGGATTGTGATCAATACCCAGCGCGAACGCGCCCTTGATGCTTCATCAACATCTAGTGAAAGTCCGTATCCGTAAAGCGGCGACTTTGCAGCTAACGCCTCACGCGGAGCATGACCTGGCAAGACACAATCGATGATCAGGACCGGGTCTTGTAACAAGATCGTGTACGCCATTCCCAGACGACAGGCGAGAAACAAGGATGAGGCTGAGGCTCACCTTGAGCTCAGTTATGTGTTAACGAGGACGACATAGTTGTATCGTGTATGAGTCGATGATGATGTCGTCATGCCCCACAAAGTGTTTCTATTTAACATCGTACGATGACTTCACCGTCAATTAGCGACGTCTGGAACGAGTTCCTCGGAGTAGTCGGGCCTGTCATTTGATCGACAATCGTAAGTTTTGTTCCGAGCCTTGGGGCTGTCATGTGCCCCTAAGAGCACCGCTGTCCCCACTCCCCAGTCGGTGGTATGCGCCTGAGAAAGTGACTCGACTGGGGTATGGGGAACGATACGGTGGTGGGGTCAACATCGAGCGTAGAATATACTTGCTTGGGTCGGTGAAAGCGATGACCGAGACAGGATGGAAGAGGGATAACAAGGTCGTAAACACAAGAGAGATGGGCTCGGAGTACTGTCGGAGCTAACCCGCGGTGTCGGGGATGGAGAGCGAAAAACACATGGAACCTTCCCCAAATGTGCGCGTCACGGCCCCTGGGGACGCCTAATAATGGTGGCGCGGTCCGATAATACAGAGTCTTGTACCGACCGACAACAGCACTTTTATGTCCTCATCCTCCTCCCTCCTCCATCTTCTTTCCCTATAGAATCTCCACATCGACTAGCTAGATGAACTATCTTCGAGGCGCGGTCAACGCAATCAGCGCTCCGTATCAATACTATAGGGACCTGCCACCGATCAATCCCTCTACCCTTACCGGTGCCATCGACGTGATTGTCATCCGCCGAGCCAAGGACAATGGAGACTACGAGTTTGCATGCTCTCCATTTCACGTTAGATTTGGAAAGCTTCAGGTGCTGAGGCCGGGCGAAAAGCAGGTGCGTCCCGCGAACGTTGGATCACTTGCACTGGTTGTGGAGCGTCTGTCACACAGGTCAACGTATCCGTCAATGGCAAGGCAATCCCCTTCAGCATGAAGATCGGAGACGCCGGGGAAGCGTTCTTCGTGTTCGAGACGGACGAGGACATCCCAGAAGACCTCGTCACCTCCCCAATTCTCTCAGCAACCTCGAACGAGAACGTCGAAATCGAGACAGGTCGCTTTGGCGCCAAGCAATCCCCAGACGGCAGCCCGGACACTACAGAACGTGCGGATGACTCTATGCAAGAGCCCGATTTCCTCGACCTCGACGCACCCAAGACGTCTTCGCCGACAGGAAGTCCGCAACCTGTTTCATCTAATGACGGAGACCCCGCTGGTACACTACCCCATATACCCTTTCCAGGTGCCAACGACCCATCGGCGCACGCAGATGCTGCATCCGAGCCTTCACCCCCCGAAATCGAGCCACCAGATGTCATGTATACTGATGGTGAGCACATGCAGTTACTCCTAACGTCGGCTCAACCTGACGTCTGGTCGCAGGTGTTGCACTTGACATGGCTGGATATCACTCCCAACCACCACACGCCCGAGATTTGTCCGACGAGACAGTGACCTCCGAGTCGGTATCAACGGCTGCATCGAGTTCCTCCCATAGTGAGCCTTCAATCGTGACTACCGTATCCCTTTCTGACCCGCCGCAGGAGTCAGTGTACCTTTTCCCTCAAAAGTGGAAACATCCCACCTTCCCAGCATCGTTCGCCGCGCTGTCTCGGAATCCCCAGATGAACCCTCTCCGATCTCACACCATGACCTCCTGGAGAGCAACCGCACTCCAATGCAGGAGTACTCCTGGGAGTGGGGCGGGTTCCCGACACCGTCCGCGACGAAAACCCATTTCATGCAGCTCCCGCCGATCAAGCCAGGCCGCACAGATGCCAAAGGGAAGAGCAAGGCGCTTCCCGAAGATGATGGCGTCGACAACGAGCACGACGAAGCTACACATTTCCTCACGCGCTCTCGCAGTGTTCCGCCAGAGCTGGAGGGCAGCCCCCACACTATCCGTGCGCAACTACCTCCTGTCGACACGGACGATGTACCCGACCTTCATATCGACGACGACACGGCTAGCTCGGACGTTTACGGCGCAGGCGGACAGCTCACCGCACAGCAGGACGACCCCACGAAATTCCAAGTGTGGATTGAGAACAGGATCGTCAACTTCGAGCTCGCCGTCATCGACACGGCGGACCACCACCTGTTCGACGGACGGGACGAGCTAGGCGCTGCCCGCGCGTTCGACGAGAACAAGGTCGACTATGCACACCTGGTAGAGAGGGTCGAGATCGTGCAGGACGAGCGGCTCGTCATCCGCTGTGCGGGCGGGCAGTACATCACGCGCGACGACGGGTCCCCACTCATGGACGCGTTGCAGGTGTGGGTCGCTGCTGCGCCCAAGGGGTACCTCACAGAGCTCCCGCCGTCGTCCCCGGTGGATGAGCCGCTGTCGGAGCCCGAGTCGGATAGCTGGAAGCGCGCGACGAGTGAGCCGCCCGAGATGAATGGCAAGCCGACGTCGAGCAGTTGGACGCGGTGGTGGAGTCGGAGCCGGACGACGGATGTGGTGCCTGAGCCGGTCCGTCCTGAGCCAGTGCGCCCTGAACTGAGGAATGCGAATACAGTCGATGGGGTGAGTCCTAGACTTGATGATGATATGGCCGTCGACGTTAAGCTGGACGTCGTCTTAGGCACTACCAGCGAAGAGGCTTTCGTCAGGCAGCGCCGCCGGATCGATTGCCGCCTCACATGGTAGCTCGTCAGCACCACCAAGTACACCGAGTGCGCAGCACCGGAGCGCGACGATGAGTATGTTTGAAGACTCGGTGAGCAGGAAGGCAGCCATGGAAGCGGCAGCGGCAACAGCACGGGTGCAGGAGAAGCGGTTTGCAAAAACGCTTCGGCTGTCGTCGGATCAGTTGAAGAGCCTCGAGCTCAAGCAGGGCGCGAACTCGATTACATTTTCGCTGTCTGCGTCGGCTGCTCCTGCGTGCACCGCTCGCATCTTTGTCTGGGACTCGACGGACCAGGTGGTGGTGTCGGATATTGACGGGACGATCACCAAGTGCGTTTTTTCACCCCACTCTCATCCGCGCATATATTGATACTGGGGCGAATGCAGGTCGGACGGTTTAGGACACTTCTTCACTATGATTGGTCGGGATTGGACTCATCTCGGTGTCGCGAAGCTCTATACGGACATCACCAAGAATGGGTACAAGATCATGTACCTGACGTCACGAGCGATCGGTCAGGCGGATTCGACGCGGGACTACCTCAAAGGAGTCAAGCAGAATGACTATCAACTACCTGAAGGGCCCGTTATTATGAGTCCTGATCGGCTTATGGCTTCGCTTCATCGGTGAGTACCCTTTGAGAATGTGGGCGATGGTCGTGATCTGACGGGGGATCGAATAGGGAGGTGATCATGCGAAAGCCAGAGGTTTTCAAGATGGCTTGTCTGCGCGATATCCAGCGGCTCTTTGGAGAGATGTCGCGGACGCCTTTCTATGCCGGCTTTGGAAACCGTATCACGGACGCGCTGTCGTACCGGAGCGTGAACGTGCCAAGTTCGCGTATTTTCACGATCGACTCGACAGGTGAGGTGAAGATGGAGCTCCTCGAGCTTGCCGGGTACAAGTCTTCGTGAGTGCCCTCCCTTTTTCTTTGTTTCTGAAGAAAGCTGATGGGCGTATGGGATAGGTATATTCACATGACCGATCTCGTCGATCAGATGTTCCCGCCAATACACCGGAAGTGGGCGGCGGAGTTCACGGACTTCAACTACTGGAAGCCTGCCATACAAGACTTCCCGCTTCCTGACCTCGTCCTGGCGCCTCCGTCACCCGCACTGAGTGCCCGCTCCGACACTTCAAATCAGAGTACGCTCGCCCGCCTCCGGAACTTCAGTCTCGTCGGTACACGCAGCGCGAATAACGTGAGGCTGCCATCTCCAGCGGCTTCTGACGCCACCGCTGCAGCCCGCCACCCGAGGTACAAGTCGATTCACGACGGAGACGGATCGCAGGAAAGCGAAGTGGCGAGAACCGCAGCGCAGCACCTCCGACAAATGTCCTCGTTTGAGCGGCTAAGCTCGCGCCTCGCCGGTGCGCTCTCGACGAGCTCGTCCTCGACCGCCGCTGGAGCTGGCAGCGGCAGCAACGCGCCGTCGCCGTCCAGCCTCGCTTCGCTCCGCTCGAACTCGAGCGGGTCGAGGTCGAGCCATACGTTCCTCGACTCGGACGACGAGGCGGATATTGATCTGCGTAAGGAGAGGCATAGGCGTACGAGCATGACGAGTATGCCTGGGAGTCTTGATGATGAGATGCAGTTCGATATGGAGGATGAGGAGGACGCGGAGCGGGAGGGGTACGAGGGCGAGGAGGAGGGCGAGGGTGCGGAGGTCGACGAGGTTGCTGCGGAGGAAGCGTTCGACGAGGATTTCTTCGCTACTGGCGAGATGAAGAACGTACCGTTCCTGTGAGCGAGGGGACCTCCGTTCGCATTCTACCCTCGAACTCGCCGGCGACTGGCAGCACTGGTGGGTTCGAGTATTTGGGGTCATGTCTGCCTGCATCGAAGCATCGCATTCCGTGGCTTTCTAATTTGTCTTTTTCTTCTGCTTTCTTGTGTTTGTCAACTATTAATCTCGTTTGGTAGCATTTTCATTTGCATGTACGCATGGCATTCATACTTACGTGGTCGAACGGTCAGTTGTAGTTTTGGAGTATACTTAATCTTGCACTTTATACCACCGCACTCAATACACGCTCTGCATGGTCTCTGTTGTTGAATCTGTTGCTTGGAAAGAACACAAGAGGATTGCCTCTGGCCCATGAATAAGAGGATGGGACCGTGATGCATTGATGCAGCTCGAAGCTTTGAAACACAGATAAATGAAGTGCATAGTTGCTCAGCAAGTGGTGCGTATAAATAGTTCCAGCGTCATTGAGACTTACGGCTATATATTATACGCAAGCATACCGATGTTTTTTTGGAATAGGGCGAGGAGGCCACAGCGGCTTGCGCTGGTATTGCGGAATTAAAAGTGAGTCTCCGTCAGCATGTGCCACGTGCCGCGGCATGGCCCGATAAACAGCCACTTTGACATCCTGTTTCGACCACGGCGTGTGAGCCTGTGAGGGCGAGTCTCTGGTGAGTCATTCAACGCACCTCTTCAATCATCCAAAGGCACCCACCCTGCACTCACCTGCACTAGCTGACGCATAAACGCAAGCACGGATATCTCCTTATGTCAGACCAAATATCAATCAATGAATAGGGCCTGGGGTTCTTCATGGGACCAGACTCGACGTGTCCCAACGCATCGGAGACCGTGGGCGTGATGTGGCGTGCGTCTGAGACTCTCTCAAGTTCAGATATATAACAGCACTTCACTGAGCGTTTGATCTGCACTGTGCTCAAGATAGTGGCACTGACCCTCCGACGACATGGACGCTGAAAAGAGCTCGTCTAAGAACAGCTTGCGGTTTTACGAGATCCCTATCCTTGGAGCATCTCGCCGGAGGGGTCAGAACCTCGATGACATTGCGACGCAGCCTTCAGTGTTTGATGATCCAGTGACTCTAGAGGTGTATCGACCTCCCCTCGAGTACGAGAACGCCCACCGATTTGATCCCAATGCACGGTGGACGTGGAGAGAGGAGCGGGCGAGTTCTTCATCATGTCAAGCCTGTACCATCTAATTTGCAGAATTTCGTCGTCTGTTCTGTTACAGCGTGTCGTCCGCAAAATCGACGTTCGAATCATGATATGGGCTTGCCTCATGGTCTTCGCCCTTTCACTGGATCGCTCGAACGTCTCCCAGGCGAACACGGACAACTTCCTCCGCGACCTTCACATGACGACGGATGACTACAACCTTGGGAACACGCTTTACCGTTTCTCGTTCCTGTTTGCGGAGTTACCGTCTCAGCTAATATCAAAACGGGTGGGTCCCGATGTGTGGATTCCGGCGCAGGTGGGCTTCGCTCGGCTCCATTAGTACCCGTTCAGCTAAAACATACCCCAGATTACGCTGTGGAGTGCTGTTTCATTATCACAGTATTGGCTCTCAGGGCGAGCCTCATTCCTCGCTACAAGGTGAGCTGTCATCCATTTCTGCCTGCTGTGGAGAGGTCACGAATTGCGTCAGGTTCCTCATTGGCACGCTGGAGGGAGGCTTTATTCCAGATATTGTGCTGTATTTATCTTACTTTTACACGAAGACCGAATGTAAGCTGTTCGATTCTCACTCGTGTTCGATGCCTGACTCAATGGTATCCAGTGCCGATCCGGATGGCGTGGTTTTTCGTTTCTTCCAATTATCTGACGTTACTTGTGAGCGCGTTCCTCGCGACGGGGATCCTATCCATTCAAGACCCCAATCATCCGGAGGGCTGGAGATATTTGTTCCTCATCGAGGGCGCCATCACAGTTTGCGTAGGGGTCGGATCGTTTTTCATGATGCCGCCAGGGCCCACGCAAACTAAGGCGTGGTTCCGACCCAAAGGGTGGTTTACGGAAAGGTGACTAACGCAAATATCACGCATCTCTATATATCAAGGCTCAACTTCATATTGACGAATGTTAGAGAGGAGGTTATTATGGTCAATAGGTAATGCTGCGGATCCCTACCACTTTAGTGGTCTACTTACTGATAACGGCGCAGAGTCCTACGCGATGATCCCGGAAAGTCCTCCATGCACAATAGGGAGGGCCTGACTCTGCGGATGATCATGGATGCACTGGCAGATTGGCGATTGTGGCCTCTCTACTTGTTGGGTCTTGTCCATATGAGTACGTTCAACTGCCATTTTTCACACATGGACTCAATACTGAGTGCAAATGTCAGTTCCTGTTGGTCCACCACAGCTTTATCTGACTCTATCTCTTCGCCACCTCGGATTTGACACGATCCAATCCAACCTCCTCACCATCCCGTCCATTATCATCGGCTTACTCGCACTCTTGACGGCATCGTACCTCTCTGAGGTCATCAACTCGCGTGTGATCTCGTGTCTGCTGTTGCAAATTTGGGCGTTGCCACTCCTCATCGCTCTTTACACATTCAACACAGAGACCTCGCAATGGACATACTATGCCGTCGTCACGCTGATTACCGGATTTCCGTTCGTGCATCCCATCCAAGTCGCGTGGACGTCGCGCAACTCAGGAGGCGTGCGCACGCGGACGATCTCGGCAAGTGTGTACAACATGTTTGTCAATGCCGGCGCTATCATATATGTACGTTCACATCTCTATCTGTGCCATGCCGCTCTGAACTCAAGCTGTAGGCTAACATCTATCAAGCCAGCGATGCGGTAGGCCATATGTGATTATATGTTGACGTGAACTGATCTCTGTACAATGATCTTCGCAGCCACTCTGTACGTGTTTGTCTATGTCAACCTTATGTTCTCTGAATGTTTTCCCAGATAAGTATGGTAATCGCGCTTTGATTGGAATCTGTGCCATGAACATCGTGCTGTACGTTCTGACGTTTCTCTTCTACCAAACTGTCAACCGCCGCAGGCAGGACAAGTGGGACGCCATGACAGAAAAGGTACTGGCGCCCGCGCTGCTTTAGCATTAATACTGCGTCTTGCTCACTTGATGGTATCATTGCAGGAGCAACGGACATACATCGAGACGACTAGCGATGAAGGTAATCGGCGGCTCGACTTTAGGTTCGCTTACTAGTGTGTAGTATGCCAGACTCTTGGACTTGCGCGAAAAAACTGGGCAATATAGTCGTCTAATTGTAGGATGACTGCTGCATGGTATCGGATTTAGTACAAATACAAAAGGTTCATAGTACAAGCCGCTTGCGCTACGACTCAGGGGGATACGGACTATCGCTTATGAGCAAGATGCCATGTTTGGAGGGCAAAAATCAACTCACTATGTTGCATTGAACGCAAGCCACTCTTGCCAGTTAGCCTCAGTCGCATCCTCGAGCTTCATCCAATCCTGACACTGCCTTGTGTGACTAATCGTGCCCATAGCATGCTCACGCTCCAGGAAGTTTCCCGGCTCCAGCGTATCGTCCGCGTGACACAGGAAGAACTGCCTGAGGTAGTTCAAGCAGTGTTGAATGTGTCCCTTGGCCGCGTGTCGTCCGGTGTGCCCGTCGGGGTCCACGATGTTGTTTCGGATTTGATTGATGCAGTGCAATTGGTGGAACATCGACACGGCGAACCAGCGATGGTCTGGCCCCAGGTGCACGTAGCCGTTGTGCGAGTAGGAGGCGCGCATGGAGATGTAGAGTGCCTGCGCACGCTCGCCCGTCATTGGATAGGACGAGCTCTCGGCGAAGGTCATTTCGATGGGGTCGTCGATTCCGGGGACATCAAACCAGGCGGGGTAGTCATCCCCGATGTACGCTGGCAGGTCCAATGTCAGAGACGTTATTGCAACATTACGAACAGCGCGCGGCAGGAACGCACAGTAATCGACAGCTTTGGGTTTGAGTGCTTGGATTTTTGCCCGGTAAGAGATGAGGATGGACCAGTTGGCAGCGAGCAGAGCAACGATGGCGACGATGAGGCTCGTGCGATGTGGGCTACTGACCATGTCTTGACGCCTCAACCTCGAATCCAGGAGAACTGAAGGCGTGTAAGTGAATCTCAGGAGTCATGTCTTGAGAAATGATCGGGGTCTCTGGGTGGGTCCCCGATTAGTGCGGAAAAATCTCAAGGTGAATCCTGAGATCCCAAGGTTATCCCGGATCTCGCGGATTGGATCTCAACCCTTTTCATCCTCGACGGCCAACCAACGAATCGACGTTGAATGCAGTAGGGATCTGTAGGATGCCATCTATAGCGGCACCGGGACTGGTGTTCATGCACATGTTCGTGTCAATCTTCGCGCCCATCAATAATATTGACCAGGCGGTGCAGAGCACGCAGTGCTCTCGCTTCACGGAGAGGCTCGGACCACCGCGTAGAACGGCTCGTTTACACGGCCGTGCGAGGGGGAAATTGCTAGCATATGGTGGATGGGGCTAATCAGTCCGATATCGAAGCTGAATTGTGACCATTTCCGGTAGCAGGGGGGTGCAGGATCTAGGAGCACCTTTAGGTCGCTATATCATTGCTCGTAAATGATCACCATATTGTTTTCAACTCCCGGCGAAATTATTTTAATAACAGACCGAAATGACTCGACCATATTGCATCGGTCTCGCACCCCGGTATCTTGAGTATCTCCTTTGCTGATATGGGTACTACATCAGGATAGGGACATATACGAGACGTACAACTTGTGATATCGTGACTACACCGGGTTGGCTATATAAAAACGAGATGCGAGTAGGTTGTGGTCCGCATATCAAGCCAAGTATATAGGCTGCACATCCGGAGGACTATTCCACAACCATATGCTACACTCAACTTGGAACAAATTAGGCGTTATACAAACGCGCCATATGCTCATGCCAATATTCGGTCGCACTCAAAACAATACTGGAGCCATCAAGATGGATCAAAAGCACGACAATGATTATTAGTGAGATAGATAGTATAACGACAGCAATACGAAAATGCGATGCTTTGAGGGGTATATGATGCGACGGGGGCCACTCAGTCCCAGCGAAGGTCCTGCTGGACAATGCTCATCCATTGAGGGACAGCGATACTCATGCCAACCTCCATGACATCGGAAGCAGCAGCGATGTCTCGGATCGAGATATCGTCGCTGGTGCCCCGGAAGTCAGCCATGTCGGCCTGCATGAGGAGCCCCATAATCCTAGGAATATAGAATTTAGAAAGTGCCCGAATAGTGTAGAACAAACTCACCTCTTGAGCTCGGCATCACGAGCGCGTTCGATCGTCAAGCCCGGTGTCGGATTCTTATGCACATTCGTCAACGCGAGCTTGCGAAGGTGGTTGAAGGAGTGGTCGATGTAGTCCCAGTACTCCCTCATCACCCAGCGGGGCCTAATGACACGACCGTCGCCAGTCGTGAACTCAAAGAAGCCAGATGGAGCGACCGATGGAGTAGCCGCGGCGGGCGCATGTTCGTGATGGCCCCAGTCGGACGTGGTGTCGTCGTTGTCCACCGGTTGCTGGGACTCAAAGTCGTCGAGGAAGGCATCGTGCTGAGCCTGGGCCTCCTGTTCGATCTGGGATTCCGCCTCTGTTTGGGACTCGGGCTCGCGTTGAGCCTCGGGCTCGATTTCGGCAGGAAACTCGGGCGCAGTCTCGAACACGGACTCCGGCAGAGCTTGTGCCTCGGGCTCAGGGTCGTACTCGTCGGGCAGGTCGTCAGCAGTAACAGGCAACCGGTCATTATCTTCAAGGCCTTGGCCCAAGCCCGAGAGAGTCCCATCGCCACCGGCATCAGCGACATCCGCGCGGACGTCGATGCCAAGCTGGCGCTGAATGAGCGCGTACAGATCGGGGTGGAGGAAGGGGGCGATGTTTCTGGTGTAAAGCTGAGTTAGATGCGGAGACCGGGGCTTGTTGAAGTGGCCGACTCCAAGGTAGAATTGACGCGTGAAGAAGCGCTGGTGATAGCAGTTAGAACAGTGAGATAAAACCAAGAAAGTGAGACTTACGAGTGCAGCTATCCTCCTCCAGTGGGAGGAGTTCATTGGCATACGCTGAGCGGACGCGGCAAGCTGGTTGGATAGCTCGAGGAGGCTCCCTTCCCTCATGATGGAGTCAGTCACCTTCAGATTGAAAAGGTCAGCAGCGGAAACACGACTCGCAAAAGCTGAACCCTACCCGGTCTTTGATCGTCCCTCGGACAGATCCACTAGTGCTCGAGATCTGCTTGTAGAGCAGCTTCTCCAGCTGGTGGTCATTGAGGACGACGCTGTCGACACCAAAGATATCGGGATGCCGGCCTACGAAAGCCTGCCATGAATGATGGTGATCAGTGGTGTGCATTCAATTCGACATAAGTACTACTTACCATAACTTGAGCAGTAAATCTGACACGGAACGCTGTAAGATCCGGAGACAGAAGAGCCGCCGTCAGGCGCACAGTAACCATGCTCTGAGAACGTTTATTAGTATTGATAGCAAACAATGCGAATACTTACCTTGAAGTCCTTGGATTGGAGCTTCTTCTCCCACATGCGCTTGGCCTTGTCTTGCTCGGACACTGACCCCATTTCCTGGTGGGCGCGTATGTCAATGAGCATGGGAACAATGTTACCGAGCTTGAAGAAATATGAGTATAAGTACGTGAGCAGGATCTTGAGCGACACACCTCAATGAACTCGTAGAGAACGTTCTTGTCCACGTCTGTGGACTCGGCAATATTGTCGGCCATCACCTTGTAGCGTTTGATGTCTTGGCCAGTGAGCTCAAGCGGGTTCCAATCGGGGTCATTCTCCATGTCGTCCCTATTCCGGCGAAGACCAGCGGTGATGGACGCGGGGAGATCAACGTCGTCACGGACACGACGAGGTTGGCTTGAAGGGTAGGGTGTTGTGTTCGACTGGGCAAAGGCTACAGGCAGCGAGCGACCAGCGGAGCCCTGAGCCGCACCTGCGGACTGAGACAGTGAGCGCGAGAGGCTGTTGGTCCGCGACGGAGGGCGGGTGCCAGCACTGGACGGAGGGCGGTTGCCAGCGCTGGACGGAGGGCGGTTGCCGGTACTTGATGGTGGACGGGTTCCCGCGCTCGACGGCGGACGAGTACCCGCACTGGATGGTGGGCGGGAGCCCGCACTGGACGGCGGGCGGCTTGCGCCAGAGCCAGCAGCTCGGGGGGTTCGAGCAGGTGCGCCAGACGAGGGGCCCTGGTATGGGTAACGGCTGAGGAACATTGAGAGGGGGTCAGAAACAGAGAAAAACGAGAGGGAAGGAAAGGAAGGGGAGTGGAAAAAAAGAGAGACGAGGGGATGAGTGAACGAAGGAGAGACAGAGGGAGGAAGAAAAAGAAAAAAACACGCTGCCGTGAATTCTGAACGGGGCGCTCGCATGTGGTCACATGATGAAGGGTCGATGGACACACTGAATGGATGGAGCTGCCGCCAAGACGCCGTGCAGCAAGGTGAACGTGCGGCTTCTCGCTTCACCTGCAAAGATCAGAATCAGAAGTGATAAGGCTGCGCGAGACTGTGCGTGGACGCTGCATGTGAGTGGGATTGGCCAGAGGGATGCTGTGAGGATGGCTGTGAGGGTGAAGGGAATGGATGCTGCGGTTGCCGCTGGGAGTGCGCAAGCACAGGCTGTGGCTGTTGTTGTTGCTGCCACGGAAATTGCGGAGGTTGGAATGGGCGTGTGAGGTCATATGGAGGTTGGACGGCCAGCTGCTGTTGCTGAAAACGAGGCGGCGAGAAACGAGGTGGCAAGAAAGCAGGCTGTGGAGGAAGGGATGGTGGTGCACGAGGTTGAGGAGCAGCAACATGTGGCCAAGAAGGGGGCGGAAGATAAGATCCCAATGCTTGATTGAATTGATGACCTTGAGTCGGCGGTGGGTGAACGTCTTGATATCCATGATGTGTCCAGGGCTGGGCGGCCGAATGAGATGCTGATAATGTTGGGGATGCAAAATCGAAAGTGGGCGACATCTGCCAGACCACTGTCGGAAAACGTGCTGATAACAAGGTCAGGGACATACCATATTTACGGACTGAAGTGGAGGGCCCATGGGCTGATTTGTGAGCGGCTGTGAGAGATAATGAAACTGGGAAGACGATCGTCCAGGAACCACGAAAGAATCGTGTGGTGCCCTGAGCTGCGATTGCCAATCTGCGAACATGGGTTGGGGAGCAGAAGTCGGGGGAAAGGATGCAGAGCCAGAAGTATGAGGCACTTCGGCATTGAGGAGACTTGATGACATATTGGACTGTTGAACGGTGGGCTGACAAGCGTGAGCCTTCTTCTGGCGAGGTTTGGGTTTAGGCAGGGGCCTGGGTGCCGTTAGTTCGAAGGGGTGCACGGATGGAGGGCGTGGCGACAGCATGGCGACGCTGGGTGTTGCTGATTGACCTCGCTCAGTGCGAGTGTCATCATCCGGTGGCTGGTTAGTACGTCGTGACTTCTTGTTTTTACTTTTGAGCTTCGCAACTGCCTCAGCGCGAACTCGCTCAACGTCGCGGACGCGCAGAGGAGTGTCACGGAGGCTGGGAGGTATTACCTCCTTAATGTACCTGTAATTATGAAGAGAATATGTATTGAGCACATACAGACCGTTGGCCTCGTGCTGGATGACGAGCTTGCTACGCTCTGTAGCTTCTCGTTCCTGATAGATTGTCCTCGAGGTTATTCCGTTACAGACAGAATCTGCGCAATTGTGCTGCAGGTTGACAGCACAAACAATGTCCTAATGATTGTTATGAGATGACGCCAGCGAGAATGAAATCATACTTACCATCGGGCTGACCACTACTTCTCGGTCAATCTGTCGGAGGCGCGGAACGTGTAACAGAGGTTGAAGGCCCTCTTCGAAAGTCATTAGTTGTATAGCCACATGCCGCACAGAGTTCTCGTCGTCGGCTGAGATGAGGATCTCGCGAATTGTCCCAATGGTAAGGCCATCCCCTTCGTGGACGATTACGTGCTGTCCAACAGCAACGTTGTCCCCTTGTTGCGTGATGAGGCTTTCCCCTTGACAGAATGCCATGACTGTCTCGGAGAGAGCGCTCGAGATTGTGGAGCACCTTGTTTTGTGGGAAACAATGATGCTCACGGGACGCTTGGGCTTCCCCGAGCCTACGATAGCAATGTTAGAGTAATAAAGGCCATCTAATGAAGCGCGACACACCTAGTTTAGGGCCACGGGGCTCAAGGTTCCAATCCGTCAGACCAAGCAGACGGGCTTGCTCGGGATGATCTTTCAGATAAGTTCGAACAAATTGACCTGCCTGAATCCATTGCTTTCGGGGTTTGTCATAGAAGAAACCTCCCGTTGCCAAATGTTTGACAACATCTTGAAGTGCGAAAGCGGTACAGCTATCCCTACTTGGTGCCTGCCGATTGCTGAAAATACACGAGAGGCGAAAGACGTGGTTGAAGGACTCGTAACGCTCTGTCGAGAAAATGATCGCGGGTCCGAAACGACGTATGTATGCCGGAAGATGGACGAGGAAATGATACTTTCCCTTGCTTATTATAATACTAGGTGCGCACTTGCAGGTTATGTTGAGGAAGTCGTGTATAGAACGCGTCAAGTCAGCCTAGATTGAACAATTAGTCCGAATAATGCATATTTATAAACCAGAGACTAACCAAATACGTTTCCATGTCGTGGATCTCCGTGTGCCAGATAAGGACGACCAATTCACCAAGACGTGTCCACGCATCCAAAACGTCGCTAGGCACCAAGTCGTAGATAAGAAATGGCATCACTTGCGCGAGACTCTTGAAATGCTTGCCGATAAGGCTGCGGCGATGACGGATCATATATTCTGCATCGACACCTGCAACGTTAAGTCCGTCCGTACTGACGGAATCGAGTCGAGTCTGAAAGGCACCAAGTAGCTTCTTATTATCTAGAATGAAAACAGTCTGCCCCCACATATATTTGACGACGCCGAGTAAGATTGTGTGTAGAATCTCAGTCGGTGTATCCATGTGAATGTTTACACCTTAGACACACAGTAAGCATATGAGTAGTGAACTGCGTGAAAATAGAAATGACGAGGCTCACCGTCCATCCCGAGCAAGGGATTGATGGCGTCCTCAACAGTCCAACCTCGAAGGAGCTCTTCAAGTTCATCTTCGAGCTTCTTTCGAATATCGCGTTCGGATCGCGGGGCACCAGGAGTGTTAGTTTTTGCCCTCAGTTTCCTGCCGAGCTCGGCAATAGTGTTCAAGATAGATGATGTCGCCGTGTCACGGACTCCGGTCTTCTGCAGCACTTTCGAGAGCTTTGAGGCCGCACCCGGCTCAACAGCCAGTTTGAACTGCTCGACTATATGTTCCCGAGTTTCCTCGGGCTTGCGTTCGTTGCCGGGCTACCCAGCAGCCCGTTGTATCAGCCCTCGATATGACACAACTGAAATAATAAACTTACTGTAAATATTGAGTTATAGCCCTCAGAGCTCTCCTTGAACACGCCGGGTCCCCCAGCGTCGCACGTTCTGCAAAAGTGGTTACAGTTTACTCCTCCCTGACTGCACTCCTCCGCCTGCATCGGGTTATCGCCAGCAAAGAACAGCCCGTAGGGCTCGAGAATGACTTCTTCTTCATACTTGCAGTCCCAGGCTCGTACCCCGGAGGCAGCAGCTTCGCTTGAAGTCCACAGGCTATTAGTATACAGAACATTTAATCCACTGATTGGCTTACCTTACGGACTCTTTCATCGCGCGCATCAGCTCCATCGGGGCAGCATTCGGGGACGATGATACAAATCGGATACAAAATTCCTTTTCTACCATACGCCGAGGTAAGTTAGCATTAGACATGTAGACAGCGTGATGTTTGTTCCACTGCTTAGATATGTTACCCGAGACGTCGTCCATGAAGACGATGAGGGGGACGGGGTGAACCATTTTTCCTTTATACTTGATGCGAGATGGATGCTTCTCGAGTTTGGCTCGAGAGCGTGACGACGCTGTGGGGAAATAAGCATCTGATCATATGTAAGGAATATGAATACGTACCTTCAATCCCGCAGACAGTTTTCCCTTGCTTCTCCAGCTCGGGAAGTGAAAAGGCAAACGACGATATGGGCACGATCTCAGGCTCAGATGACACATCAAAGCCCGCCTGACAATCGATGCAATCAGGACTAAGACTCGGAAAGAAGATATACATGCTTACAGCGGTGTAACGGACTGGGAGACCAAGCGCCAGCAACTTTCGTTCACGCACGCCCTCAGAACTCTCAGGAGACCCATAGAAATATCTGCTCGGGATGAAATAATTACCACTCTTCAGCTGCAGAAGTTCATCGACGAAATAGACCGATTTGTTCCATCGAACGGCAGGAGGGGATGGGCGCTCGACAAGCATCTTCAAGCCATGGAATACCTCGGATATTGACTCTGGTCCATCTTCTGGGTAGTCCTGCATTGCATGCCGGGTCAGTGGATTCGAGTAATCCTACCAAACATCAGTATAACAAGGTTAGTGTGTAATGGAAACAGCATAGGGCAGCGCGCACCATGGCAATCGCTCGCGCAACGCTATTGATATAAAGAACATCGCCTGCAGGTGTTGTTTTTCTCTCGGTAGGATCTCCTACCATCTCCTTGATACGCAGATGGGTTTGCCGAAGGGAATAGAGGGAAGGGACGGATGGGGCACCAAGCTCCTTGGCCCAGTTGAGGACAGCAGTCTTCTGAGCCGTAGAGTACGGTACCCGGGGTGAGCTGAAAAGAACAGAAGTAATAAAGTGCTGGATCGACTCAGATCAGCATACGTACGTGAGCTGAGCATGGTTGGATCAGCTCACCTCCTTGGATGGCCAGGGATACGAGGGATTATCCGGCGACGCCTCATCGACGCCTTCGCTTTGTGTAGGGGGGAGTGTATCTTTCTATAACATTAGAGTCATATGGACCGAGGTGTAAGCACGTACCTGGCATTTGGATACCATAATCTGGCTCGACGTACATTCCGTCAAGCTCGTCGTCGAGTGGGACTCTCGACGCGTCTCGGAAGGCAAGGTCTTGCCTTAGCTTGTCCCAGAGTAATCCATCGATGTCAAGCTCGTTGTCAGTGTGATAGTGTAACATGTTGTGCGCGAGCTTAAAGAGAGGGACGCCTTCAGATTCTGTATTGTGGTGCTCCAGTGGCTCCTTGGCGTTTGATTCGGGGTGCTCGTGCATCGCGTCAGCAGGGAGATCGGGCGGACAAACGTCCATGGGCTCGAACTGGAGAGGATCATCATAGGGCTCTGAAAACACGGGATCTGCGTGTCTCTGGCCACCAAACCTTCTCGTCCTTGACGAACTTGCAACGAGGGGTTGTATATCGAGGGGGAGTGTGGTCGACTCTCTCTGCTGTAGAGCAGAAATGTGATTTCTAGAGTCGATATGCTTCCTGAGACTATCCTTGACTCTCATCGACAGCTGACAGATGCTGCAGTAGGCCTGCCGATGGCGGCCTTTCTCTGGCGCCTCTATGATAACTTGAAATAAATGTTTTATACTGAGATAATAACGTCTGAGTTAATTTGTGGATCTTACTGGCTCCGTCAATCAAGCTTGTATCGTCCTTCGGCATGGTAAGTGATCTCGGGAGGGTTTAAGGGGAGAAGACGCAGCAGTATATTCAAGTGCTCGAGGAGACTTGACGCACGAGCATAATGCCACTCACGAGAGCCCACGAGGCACCAGCGTGGGGGTCACGTGCATGGTTTTCCTCACCAGAGTCCAAGTCTCCGCGTCTTGTTTCGTTCCCCCCATCCCTCTCGTCGTTGACCCCAGCATCATGGAACTCAGCTCACCCATCAACGCTACCGTATATCCTGATATATTCGTCAACGACTCCGGGAGAGTCAGTATACACCCTTTCGAGATCACTGTCGTAGTCACAGGCGACATCCCTCCCCACCTCGTCCGTAGCAACGTCGTAAGTACTTTCCTGGTATTCAGGAAACCTCAGATTGCTGACTCTTGCTTACCAACAGCCTGTATCTGTCTCCATCTCTGTTGCTGAAGATCTCCGGCCATTTACGAACCTGTCTTTGCACGCGCATCCACTGAAGGACGAAGAGACGGACGAGTTTGGTTGTGACGTCTCAGTGGTGAGTATCGTCATTCTATGATGTGCTCTGAGCTCATCGAACATCCAGCAGTCTCTCCGTCAGGTGGTCACGGGGTTATCACCCGACATCTACCACCACAACCACAACCGCGACCATCATCATCCCCATGACCGCAACCGCGACCATGATCACGACCACGACCACGACCACGACCACAACCACGACCACGGCCACGATGACCACGACCACGGCCACGACCACGACCAAGACCACGACCATGACTACGGCTATGACCCGGCCCTCGACCGCGACGTCACATTCATCCCTCTTCCACCGACCTTCAATCGCTATAACCCAAGCCATTGGGCGCTCCTTTCGGATAACATCCGTGACTTCGTTGCCACGCTCCGGCCTGACAGCGACCTGAGGGCGTGGGGCACGGACGTTTTCTGGATTTCTTGGGTGGGCGCTCACATCAATTTCCCGCATGGAGACTGGCCGAAGTGGGATAGCGGCATTGCCCTCGAAGGCTCGTTCATCGAGTCTTGGGTCACGGAAGCGTATTCTCGCGGGCCAAGGGCTGTCACGGATAACACCTTTGACGTGGTCTGGTCTGAGTTTCTGAGATATGCGTCGCCATTCATCAACGGTCCAGTTATTTCTTAGCATCTCAATTAGATCCGCGAAAGCACCTCATTGTACATACCAAGCCTCATGTATAATTTTGTAATGCATCTGCTGTTTTCCTGCTCATTGTATGAACACCGGTAGCCTGCCCATGCAGTGGAAAAGCCATGCGGCGGTGATTATTTCCCAATAATACCCACCTCCAGCTTATCCTGACAAGATAGTTATTGGTATCCTTACGATATGTCCCACACCTCGCAGTGATATGGTGCAGTCAAATGGTGCCTTTATGGCCAATTCATTAATCGACAACTTCAGTCCCCCATTTCCTCTTCGTCCCGGCGGCATATCACTCCCACTTCGCTTCGAAGCGCGGTGGATATGACAGGTCGGTTCTTTGCGGATAGGCCACCCGGTCCATCCCACGATACTAAATAGAAATATCGCCATGAGCTTGGCACGATGTCGCGTTGAAGCGGATCTTAATATGGTAACGACATGCGGTAGCAAAAGCGGTTATCGTTTTCGGCTCGCTTGGCCGTGTACCTCCCGCAATGTCTCGGTCAGGGGTGGGTACGTACCGACAATACTTTTATCCTTGCATCAGGACATCATCGCGACAGTGGTCCTGCGTTGCGGTTGGTTGCATCACCGAAACCCCTCTCAGAGCCGAGTCGGATGCGTGGACCGGAGCGTGCAGAGGAAAAAAGAATCCGCGTGCTAAATTGCTCCGTTTCTGACATGCGCGCCCATGTTCCGAACAGCAATGATAAGGTTCACCTAGTGACGCTTAGGCTGAATTGGCAAATGACACATTCGACAGGAACACGAACATTGCTCCTGGAGCGCGGTCTCAATTACTTCAAAGGTTGGCGGTGCATCGAAAGCGCGAGGCGCCTCCCGTCAAGCTCTTTCAGAGTCCCCGTCTTGCCTCCACTCCATCTCGAGGGGCTTCTCTCGTTTTTCTGACTTAGGCGCCTTACACTCCAGGCGATTATTCATTGTGCCTGTAGCTTTTGGGCCCTCGCTCTTGGCACATTCCTGACCCAGGACAATCTTGTCGAAGGCACCTCTTTGCCCTGCCTCCCCAACAACTGGCTGTGTCAAACATGTCGGACGACACGACATTTCGCGTATCCCCGTATGCGCCTGCTAACGAAACGGCGTACGACATTTGGTATGAGAAGTGTAATCTAGACGGCGCCATCCTTGCGTCTGTTGCATACGGTGCGTCTCCATCCTTCATTTATCGGTCTGCCCCTTCCAATCAGGCACAGCCCACCTCCCCTGTCGATCTGTTACTGACACTGTGGCGCTCCATGCTCTCTGTTTGTAGGTGTACATGCAACACTTTTTTTCTCCGCAGCAACAGCGCTTTGGGAGCAGCGTCGCTCGACGCCGCGACGGACGTGGGCCCTGCTCGCGTACATAAGCGCTCACTTCATTATGGGCACCATCGCATTCGGCCTCAATGCCAAGTTCAACGAGATGACGTTCATCGACAATCGCGACTTTCCTGGAGGGCCGAATGGGTATTTCATTGCGGAGCAGGATAACTGGGTGCAATTTGTGAACTATGTTCTCTATATCGTCATTGCGTGGTTGCAAGACGCGCTGTTGGTGCGTCTATGTCTTCATGCGGAGTGATCTGTGATAATTGACTAATGATTTGCAGATTTACCGGTACTATGTCTTCTGGAACGAAAATCGCTGGATGCTCATCGTCCCTTGTTGCCTCTACCTCGTCTCCATCGGTGAGCGCGCCACTCTTCTATAAATACCCTCTACATCGCCTTGCTTACCCAAATTCAATCATTGATACCACTCCACCCCCAATCACACGACTATGCGGATACGCAGTGATGGGCAGTCTGACACTCGCGCAAATCAACACGCCCACGTCGGGCGTCTGGGCGGGGACGACGGTCAATTTCTTCACGGCGTTTTGGGCGGTCGAGATCACGACAACGATCTTCCTCACGGGCCTTATCATCGGGCGCCTACTCTGGATGCGCCGTCGCATCCGCCAAGTCGTCGGCACACGCCACCAGACGCCGTACCTCAGCGTCGCGGCGATGCTCGCCGAATCAGGGATTATGTTCTCGGTCGGAGGGCTTGTATTCGTGATCAGCTACGCGGCGAACAGTCCGTTCCAGAATATGGTGTTGAATATGGTCGGGCAGATTCAGGTGAGTTGCTCTGCTTCGCTTCCCTCTGCGAAACGAAACACCAAGTCTAAAGCTGACTCGCATTTGCTTCCCCAGTCGATCGCACCAGACCTGATCATCCTTCGCGTTGCCCGTGGGCAGGGTCTCACACGCGCGAAGCTCGACGACGCGTCGATGACGCTGAAGAACTCGTCGGCCGGCAGCGGTCGTCACAAGCCCATGCATAGCGGCGGTGGCGGTTCCCTCTCAGTGCCGATGAGCACGTTCCATGCTGCGTCGGGAAAGCGTCACAGCGACTCGTTTTTCACGGAGACAGCGAATTACGACACGACGCTCGACCCTGTAAGCGAGACTATGTTTATCCCGCCTACTATCGTGGAACAAGAGACGGACGGAAAGAGCTCAGTGATGCTAATTGGACATGCGGCATAAAGCTAGTGTGCTCGCGGTTGGCTGAGGTGCTGATACCCTCGAGAGATGCTGTTTTTGTGATATGGACAGAGTTGATGCGTTATCTCTTTTGCATTATTTATTGAATCAAGACCCGCTTCCTTCGTGGATACATAGGCTTCCAATGCTACGCCAGAATACTCATACTGTCGTTACCGTACTGCACAGTCCCCTGTGATGGAATGTTTACAGATCACGAATTTGCCTGTTGGTACTTCTCAGCAGCATCATACACTGCCGTCCAGTCTTTGCATACGTAGTCTGTTCTGAATTCGACCGTGCTGAGGTAGAAACGTTAGAGGGGGTCGATACTACGAAATGACGGGTCCTTACTGTGGCTGATCGAAGAAGGGTGTTATAGCAGGCTCCAGCTTTGAGTCCGCGAGGCACAATATCGACTGCCGTAGATAGTTTAGACAATGTCTGCCGAGAGGCGTTTCGCGCCGTCGCTCGGCGTAGTCCTCGCGAAGGACCTCAAGGCAGCGGAGCTGGTGGAAGAGCGTGACGGTGTATGGCACTTTCTCCATAGTACCGTTTGGTCCGTCAAGCGGCACGGACACAGTGTGCCCACCAGACGGGAGTAGTGAGAGAAACTCGGCCGATGACTGGGTCTCATTCATCTGCAGGCGGGCCGTGTTGTGCATCGTCATACCCACGGGGCGGCTGCGTGCGACACCGTCGGTGAGGCGGTAACAGGCAGGTTTGAATGGTGATACTAGAACAATGTCAGTACATGTCATGGACACACCGAGGGGCAAAGGCTAACAGTGACACTCATTAGCTGTCGCGATTTCATGCGATGCGCGCGTGTTGAGAGCGAGAAGGACGAAGAGCAGCGTGACAAGAGCAGCGGCGACCGAGATGAGGGGCCGCTTCGTCGCTAGCTCGGTAATGGTCATGCCAGAGACCTATCGGAACAATGGTGCATGAGTCTATAGAGCGTCAAATGAGCATAGCGCAAGGTGAAGATGCTCCGACGCCTAGGCTCGAGGCCGAATAGCGAGAGGCACTGCCATGAAACAACCAACACACCTTTTGTGACCAGGTGAGAACTTTGTGTGGGCAAGGACCCACGCAGCAGAGCGACCAGGTGCAATGGTGAGATGAGCGCGCTTTATGCGACAACCTGCTCAAAAGTTTGCCAGCTACTAGGAGGCCTATCGGCGTTGGTGGAAAGCGTGAGCACGAAACGCAACGATGAACATGGGCGAATGAAGGCCAAATGGTGGGATGGTCGATTTTTGGCTAGCAATGCTTCCGTGAAACCCGGGAGGAATCCCAGGTTACTCATCCATTTTCGGACAGAGCTGATCGAGATCTGAGTCTCTCCGCCTCTTAGTACCCACACACCCGCCTATGCTTACTTACTGAGATCACTGAGACCACTTGCACTACTTGGAAAGCGTATGCGAACATGGGTCCATCCTCAGCTGACTATGCTCGCTTGCCTAGTGCATCAGATGAAGACAGTGAGCAGGATATATTCATCTCATCCAGCGTTAAAGCTGAGGGACTGACCGCAAGCACAGTCGAGCTCGTGGAACAGCCCTATCGCAGGACAGAGAAATTCAAGCGCGTAGATAAACCGACTCTCTTCCTTGGCCTTGGCGTCGCGGCCTGCTTTCTCCTGACCCTCGTCAACACCATCTACTTCATTCGTACTCCCTCCTTTTCACCCAATCCATGGAGCACCGCCAACAACTTCGCAGGTGCCTCTCTCCCGCGACCCAACCAGTTCGTCGGACTGGATAAGGTCGACCGCAATCGCTCAGGCTTCGTGACACCACCTCCATTCATGAATCGTGTGTCCGTCCTCACGCAAGTGAGCAGCGAGCACCCGGACTATGTTTATCCAGATGGACAGCGGCAGTGGTACTCGTTCCGCGGGACAGTCAGTCCCAGCGACAAGCCATTCTTGGTCAATCAGACTGTGGGTGCACTGAACTGTCTCATACTCTTATGTACCCCACACCATGACCAGCACCTTGTGTCGCGATTTGGTTTCGTCTCATACACACTCTTACGAGCCGTGTTCGCTCATTTACCCCCACAGACATCCACAATCGCCCAGTTCCGCACTCTCGACTTTGGCATGGAAAATTGCGAAGTTGCCGTACGCGTTCTACCGCAGGACATTCTCGACGCTGAAACTGACCTGCGGCCGGGGTTCAACCGCACCTTCATCTCCTCACGTCCAAACGAACCCTTGCCGATCTCGGTATATGAGCTGCACATGGACAAGCCTCTCGACGTGCGGACGCTCTCATGGCGGACGAAGCCCGAGCGGGGCAAGTTCCTCGGTGTGTTGCTTGTGGGTGTAGGTGTGGAGGCGGAGTTACAGACGATAAGCTGTCCGCAGGACTCGTTGCAGACATTTGAGTTCATATGTGACGAGCAGCAAGAGGAGGCTTGTTCGTTGGAGTGGTGGCAGGACGAGCACGAGAGCCTAGGTAAGCAAACGCATCTCAACATGTGACTGCTCTCGCTGACCCATTACCCAGGTGTCTTCTTGAAGCAGAGCTCGTCGATACCGGACTGGAGTCCTTAGTGAAGGTATTTTGTTTTATTCTGCTGAATCTCTTCTACGATATAATTAGATCTTGTATGACCATCATTGGTGTACGTGTCCCGCATACAATACGTATCCCGTCACCACTGCGGGATGCAAAGACAATAAAAGCATCACAGCAAAACAGCCAATCTTGCCGGACGTGCCAGTAATTTGGATGCCCTCGCTCGCATTTGCGCAGGGAGAGCGTACACGCGCTGAAATGAGTGGAGCTAAACACGTAGAATCCTTGTCTTCAGCGCGACCAGTATGATGCGTCCGTATACTGTAGTATGTGAGGTTGTAGGACGGTCCAGCTCCGCGCAGAAAATGCTCGGCAAATAACGGCAAGCTAAGCCTCCTGTTGATGTCCATCTTAACCTCGATATCACATATCTGAGTGAGAAGAGTATTGGTATATAACAAACTAAACTGCCGTATTACACGTTAAATCTTAAAGAGATTGACTACAAAGGCACAGCACCCTGACCGAACACCTCCGCGTGAATGCGACTCGGCCCAATACCTTTCGCCTTCAGCTTGCTCCCTATCTCCACCATAAATCGCTCGGGTCCGCAGAGATAGTAATGCGCGTTATAGTTATCAAGGTGCAGCAGCGGCTCAACGCAGTCGAGATCCATGCGTCCTCGGAAGTCGTACTCCTCGCCCTCGACTTCTTCCGCCGAGGGCGCCGAGTAAAAGATCGCGCTGCGCACCTGCTCAGGGCGCGACTTGAGCAGACGACGGACCTCCTTGCGGAGCGGGTGGAGGGCGCGCGAGCGGACGACCTGGATCCAGCTCACGAGGCGGCGGGCTTCAGATTCGGTGGTGTGCTCGAGGATTGTGTGCAGCATTGAGGCTAGCGGAGTGACGCCGACGCCGGCTGAGATGAGGACGGCAGGGCCGTTGGTGTCGTCGAGGAAGAAGTCGCCGAAGGGAGCTGTGACCTCGATGGTGTCCCCCTCATTCAGCTTGTCGTGCAGCAGGTTCGACATCCAGCCGAGGTGGCCGGCCTGGGACACGTCGACTTCGCCTGTGGCAGGGTCAACGGCACGTACGCCTGCGTCGCGCTTGACAGATATGCGGAAGTAGTCCGGGTGGTGGGAGTCAGAGAGGGAGTATCTAGAAGGTTATGTTAGCGGCGTGAGATCCAATGTACAGAGATGGTACGCACTGTCGAGATTGTAGGACGCCAAGTTCGGTGATGTATTTCTGAACTGAGATGTACTGTCCAGGGCGATGAACGGGGAGTGGCGTGCGATCCTTCGGCGCGAGATAAAACGATGTGACATCATCTGCCTCCTTGATCTTCTTGTCGACAACGAACTCTTTCCATCCCTCCCAGCCAGCTTGTCGGTAAAGCGCAGACTCGCGATCAATAAGGAGGTGCGCGAGCTGCCAGTATGCGGCGACCCATGCCTCGTACAACTCGCCCTTGAAGACGTCCGCACCGAGAACGTCGGCAATTGCCTTCAAGAGGTTCGACCCAATGATCGCATACTGGTGCGGAACAACGTGTAAAGACGCGTGCTTGTTGCAAAGGCGATCGACTACAGGTATGATGGGCGTGAGGTCGTCGATGTTTGCTGCGTACGCATAGACCGCGCGTGCTAGGGCCTCAGCCTGGTCGCCCCGCTGTGAAGAATCGTGTCAACACCTATTGATGTGAATAGTAAACACGTAGTTACTTGCTGCTTGCTGTGGTTGAACACGTTCTTAAGCTCCGGGTTGCCGTCGAGCATCTGCTTGTAGAAGCGCTTCGTGATCGTAGTACCGTTCTCCTCGAGAATAGGGGCTGTGGCCTTGACCAGTTTTTTCTGAGACTCGGTCAAAGGGCCTGGGTTAGGGAGACCATCAATGCCGCTAGGGATACCCATGTTTTTTTCTGTAGAGCGATAAAGTTAGAGACGGGGTGGCGGAATGTGGGGTGGTAACACACGTTCAGGGTTAAAAGGCAAGTTCGTGTGAAAGAGAATCGTAGAAGAGTGCAGTTCCAGCTTCTGGCTTTGGGAGTTCAGCAACTATATGGCGTTCAAGATCGCGTCGTTAGAAGCCCGTCTTGTCGTTTGCCGTGCGCGAAGCGTAGTATGAACGGCTTTGAACCAATTCCCATCCGAATTTCTCCGAACGCGATACGGGGTTAACATGGCGCCCCGAAAATGTAACGTAATGCAGCGTCATGGGTTGGTCATCATAGAGGGTCGAGACGTCTAGAGGAAGGTGTCGTTGGCTGGATGGTCGTAGCTCATCGGATGACGGAGGAAAGCGGGTCGGATGGGTAGACTCAATGCGCGATTGATCGGCCGTCGGTGTCAGCTCGGTGAGGCCCACTCATCGTTCGGGGACAGACGGCAGCGAGTGTATTGCGAATGGCGACTGTAAATCGTATCACTTTCGCCCTGGAAGGCCGAAGGTCCTGCGATGTACCTGGAAGTTAGCTCTAACCCGCAAAAGCCGCGGTCAAAGGTGCATATACTTACTAAGAATTGTCCGTGTTTCAGAGAACACGGTGATCGGAGAGTCCGACAAGAAGCAAAGAGCTGGCTTCAGCTAGCCAGATCGCTGCTAAAGCGTATCTTTCACCGTTCAGCTTCGGTATCGGGAGGGCAAGCCAGCTGTCGGATCACCCAGTCCATGGAGGTTTGGAGGGCCATGTGAACGCAGATATTCAAGAAGAATCATTTCGATGTTGAAGTTGACATTATTCAATATGGCGATGGTAATGGTAAGTAGGAGGTTATCGACCCGAATGTGCTTATTCTCCGCCATGGGCAACGACATGGAAGACTCGGAGATTCCGGGGCCCCCGGCTACTCGCCGGCAAATTCAGCTCCGCTTCGGCTAACTCGCGTGCAACACCGCTGGCGTCACCAATCGATCTCCATCTTGAACTTCTTCTCCACCGGCTGTGCTTTTGTGAGCCCAGGTGAGCCCTCGTGCACTCGTGCACTCGTGCCTTGGCAACAACCTAAATTAAGGATCGACGCCTATCGACGCCTCGCGTTGTTATGCAGTTCATGCAGGTCCTGTCAGGGCGCAAGGAGGCGCATTGAAGGCAGGCAGCATTCTGCATCAGCGACGAGGCTGTACTGGCAACAAGTGAGGTCACAAGGGGTGGTTTGGACATCCCAGCCTTAAAGCACTACCATCAGCACACATATATAGAGGGCAGGTTTCAGCCCAGAGGTCTCCCATCTCGCTTGAGCGCATCCCACCACTGGCAGCCAGCATATCACTCATAACCTCAGACCACCCATACATCATGGAGATTGTCGAGACTGTCCTCGCTATCGCTGCTTCTCTCGTTCTCTTCTAGAGGAGATCGTCGCGTCCAAAACACCCCGAAGGTGTGTGGATTTACTTCCGTTGTGAAGTGTTGCTGAACACGGAGGTAGATTGTACGCGAGTGACAAACACTCGACAGAAAACCCACATTTGAATTCAGTTTCCCTTCTCCGTCATACTGTTATGTCTGCGACGACGCTTCTATGATTACAGGGAACGACGCCTTATCTTTATTGTAAGTCTACCTCGGCGTTGAGGTCCGTGCTGTTATTCACTAACATGATCCGTCTTGCAGTGTTTCATCTATCCCTTGGACCAACAAAACCGCGGACACTGAGCTGTACTAGTACTCATGCCACCCATATCATTTACATTTTTTTTTACTTCGCACCATCTCATTTGCACCACTTCGCTACTTCATTTCATATGTACGCATACAATATAACATGTTTTATAACATCGACGAGTGCCAATGTTAATCAAGTTCATCTGGGAAGACTCGCCGGTGCTATACTGACCTGATGATAAGGTGACCACAACCGTTGCTTCGAAGCATGTGCAACATAAGCTACTATGAAACAGCTAAATATGTACATGTCGTGAGAGCATGAAGACTTACTAGCGTCGCTCTGCTAAATGCGACTCGAGCGTTCACATCATCAATATATACGTGGCCGCAATAACAAAATAGCAATATATTCTTACATAGCTAACATACATCTCCCTTGATCCTGTTGAAAGATCTGAGCTCCCGTATCGTACATCGGTGGAACGAAAAATCGTTATCAAGCAGACGCCGCCTACAACCTCATAACAGACCACTTGAGAAGCCACCACGACTTCTTCCCCCAAAGCTGTTCATTTGCCAAGTCGGGACGAACATACGTGCTCGCATCCTCGAGCTCTGCCTTCACCTCCACCGTGCCTTTCGGGAACACCACACCGTCCCACAGCTCCTTCCATGTCTCGCGCGAGTGGCAGAACATCTGGACTTGCTCAGGCCCGGGCGGACCGTATGTCTGGAAGGACGCCTCAGGGAGACCAGCGTGCGCACCGAAGATGATCGAGCCTGGCTCGGCAGAGAGCAGGCCTGCGAGGCGGGAGGCGAGGTCGGCTTGTTTCTCCTTCGAGAAGAGGTGGAAGAAGGCGGACGCGTGGATCGCGGAGACATGCCCACGCAGAGGGTTCACGGAGGTGATCGAGGACAAGTCCTTCGGACGCGAAGAGGGCGGCGGCGTCGAGGTGTCTGGTAAAGAGAGCATGGCATCGTCGAATACATCGCCAGCGATGAACTTGGCTGGGAATGTTTGAGGGTTGGACTTGAAGAGCTCGTGTCCGAGGTCCCAGAACTCTGTAAGATATAAGTTTGAGAATTGGCTGAAGGGGAAAATCTGGGATAAGGCGCACCTTGATGCAGATCAAAGGCCACCACATTCTCTGCAGGGAAACCGTCCAAGACGGGCTTCCGCGCGTCATTTCCAACTAAAAGATGCGTTCACCAAGGGCTCTTCAATGGGACGATGAATACATACAACAGCAACCTGCATCGATGAGAATGGCTCCAGGACGTTCTCGGCCAAGCTTGAGAACATGCGCATATGCAGCAGGCGACTGCGACGATATCTTCAGCCTGAATAAGGAGAACCGTGGTCAATGACAGACTTGTTGGAGATGGAACGAACACCTGCTGGGTGAAAGCAAACCGGACAATGCACCAGTATGGGAAGACCTGGGAGCCTGATGAGCGAACTCAAGCAGAAAACGCGTGTGGGAGCTCACCTCATACGCCTTCTTCTGCACGGCAATGATTTGCTTCTTGAGCTCATTGTCGTCGGTGATCCCAGTTTGAGCCTTGAAGAACGCGCTCTCGTTCGGCTTGAGATTGTAGTACCTGTCGTCGAGAAGCTCCTTGTCCTTTATGACATAGTCTTTCTCGACGTTGGGAGTTGAGTTGGACATCGTCGTGTAATAGAGAGAAAGGAAGTTTGGCTGAGGTCGTTGTGCAATGTAGGATGGAGTGCAATGCCGTTTCGCTCCAGGCTTTATACTGAACCCTGGTGGACACAATAGAGGACAAGCAAGACCACACCGCGGCGTACGTGGCGATGGAACGATGGCGTAGAATACTAGTGAAGTCCCGCATCCGAGCGCAGGAAGCGAGCCGCAGCTCGAGCATTTGAAGTGACTCGACAAGAACTTTGTTTAATGGTAGGCACCCTTTTGTTAGTCAAGAGGCATAACGCGAATTGCCTACGAGTGTACGCGCGTCCTCGACTAAAAATTGTTTCACCAGGAAAGCCCGCGGTGAAGAAAGTGGTGTGTGAGCGTATCTAGAAGCGATTTATCTAGGCCCAGCATATTTATATCGTGCTGTGGCCATACATGAGGGCTAGACAGATTGCATAGAGAGGTCGTGGTGGACGTGAAGCACAGAGACGCGCTTCGCTCGAATACACTCCCAAGACTCAGGGGCTTACTGCCTAGATAAGGCGAAGGTGGCTGTGCCAAAATGTCATCCGTTTTCCTAATCGCAAGCTCGACGTTCTTCAGTGAACGTTTGAACAATCGTCAGCATGGACGTGTCTAATATCCTTGCAGCGCATGCTGCCAAATTGTGCGTAACCCTTTCGTTAAAGGTTGCTCCATGCTGAGGGTGCTTCAGTCAGTCAGTCACAGTCGAGAAGGAGATCCCGCTTGACATCGACGCCGGCTTTCTTACTGTGACGGACCTTAATCCCGTCGACGAGGAGAGCTACAAGTACGCTCGCTTCACTCTTTCAGAGCTCTGTTATATATTATGCCTATTGATCTTATTCCTTTTTAGCGCTAACCTCGAGGAATACCTCCAATCCACCGCCCGAGACGGCATCCAAGCCCTCATATCCTCCCTTTACTCCCTCCCCGCAAAACTCTCGCCCGACGGGCCCCTCGCACAGCTCCCCGCACCGACGACAGCGCTCCCACGAGCGAAACCTCTCCCAAAGCCGAAAGTGCCTACAAAGTGGGAGCGCTTCGCAGCTGCCAAGGGCATTCAACAGACTAAGCGGGACCGCAAGGTGTGGGACGAGGAGCGCCAGGAGTGGGTCAACCGCTGGGGGAAGGACGGGAAGAACAAGGACAAGGAGGAGCAGTGGATCCACGAGGTGCCTGCGAATGCCGGTGAGTTTCATTCTCTCAGCTCCGTCTCGTTTACCTCAAACCTATCCATGGCCCGCGTACTGAGTGTATGCGCATCGACTCTCCCCATTCATCATCTCATCATTTTCCTCGTGCGGATTCTCACTATGATATGTTGCATGCAGACGTGAACTTCGACCCCGTCAAAGACGCACGCGACAAGCGCAAGGCCCGCGTCGCCAAAAACGAGCGCCAGCAACTGCAAAATGCCGCCCGCTCGCAAACCACCCAGACCGATCGCGAAGAGCGGAAACGCGGTATCGAGCGCACGCTCGCCAGCACGCGGGCGAGCACCGCGAGCATGGGCCGCTTCGACAAGGAGCTTGAGGGCGAGAAGAAGCTGCGTGGAATTAAACGCAAGGTGCGTTCGCCCCATCCGTGCTTTGATGGCCGCACACTGACAACCGTTTGTGAGCACAGTTTGAGCCCAATGAAACCCCGGCTGGGCGAGAAAAAGAGGCATCGCTAGCCATTCTTGCCCGAATTGAGGGGGACACCAAGCGGGTCAGAAAAGAAAAAGGAGGTGGGGACAACGTCGTCAATGTGCGCAAGGCCATCCGCGGTGCCAGCAAGGGTAGGGGTGGGGTTGCTCTCGGACGAGACTCTGCAAAAGGGGCCAGGGGCGGCTCAAAACAAAAGAGGGGCGGCAAGAGATAGTTTTCACTCCCTCATGCTCGTACGTTGTTGTACTCGGCCTTACTGTAGCAATGCTATCATCGCACGTTATTGTTCCAAGTGGTTCATCGATTGCTTGTACGACCATATTACATAGCAAACCATAGTGCTACATAAGGATACTATACCCATAGACCTTGTTGTAAAATGACAGAATGTGCTAAGGCACCATCGTACCGCGCCACCGCGCTATACTCACCGATTTCCACCATCACTAGTACCTACTTCGAAGCCGTCTCGACAGGCAGCCGGCTCATGACCGCGCGCCCATCGTCAATCCAATCCTGCTTCACCAGCTTCTCCCTGTCCGTGTAATATAGCCTATAGACAAGCTTGATCGTGCCCTCGCTGACGCCCGCGACGCTGCTGATGTCGCGCGCCGACTTGGCCTTGCCAAGTAGATGACACGTGAAGTAGATCGCCCCGCCCGCGATCGAGACGGGGCTGCGTCCGTCCGCAATGCCGTGCTTGCGCGCGGCGACAATGATGTCGCCGCATATCGACTGCACGTTCGCGGGCAGGTCGAGGTGGTTGCAGTACCGCACGAGCAGATTCTCCGGGCCCGTCGACGGTGACGGATGGATCGACGCTCCGCCGCTCCCCGAGCCGGGGGTGAGGTTGAACGCCTGCTCGAGCGCCTTGTAGCACTGTCCGAGCGTCTTCTTCGAGACATTGGTGAGGTTGCAGATCTCGCGGAACGTCCGCGGCACGTGGGCCTGGCGGCACGCTATGAAGATGCACGCGGCGATGACGGCCTCGAGCGGCTTGCCGCGGAGGAGCTTTTCCTCGTCGGAGCGCTTGTAGAGCTGCTTGGCGATGTCGCTGATCGTTTTGGGGAGCGAGAACTGGTCGCACCAGCCACCAATGTCACGGAACGCAGTGAGGAGGTTGCGCTCGGAGCGCGAGCTCTGCGAGCGGGACGCGGCACGCTGCAGCTCGCGCGCTATGCCCGAGCCACCGTCGCGGAAGCTGATAACGGTGTCGAGCTGCTCCATGCCCTCGAGAAGTGGGTCTGACGCCGCACCGACACGAGACGGATCGTCTCCTTCGTCATTAGCGAACGTCTACTCCACGTTAGTAAGACGTCTTTCAAAAAAGAGGTTTGGGATAAAAACGGGAGGCTGTGTCTACATACCCTCCACTCGCTGCGCGTGTCGACGACCCGGTCTCCCAGCACCAAGCCACAGTTGCCACACACCAAGTCTCCACTCCCAAACTCTTCAACAATGTGCGGGTTTGGGTCCCTACAATCCGGACAGATAAGGCGGACAGCGAGGTCGGGCCCGTAAATGGGCTGCTGAGTCTTCGGCGTGTGCTGCGCAAGAGGAAAAGGCTGCGCAAATGCAGAAGCCATAGTTTTCAGACGTTTAAAGCGGGAGTATAGGGCGAGAAAGAGATGGGATGCAGGAGAAGCCTAGACGTGAAGCTGTTGAAGGCTAGAGGGGAGTAGGAACGTCTGCTCGAGAACTGGCTGGCCTGGGACTGGTTGGCATTATAAATCACAGCTTGTTGGAAAAGAGTGGCATTAGTGGCTCGCAAGAACATACCGAGGGTATCAGAGTCTATGCCTTGTCCAACAGAAAGTAGGTACTAACGGTTGTCTTCAGAAATGACAGCGGCTGGCGACGACGGTAGTGGTGGTTGAGGACAAAAGAGCCTAACGTCGTCCATGGCCAGCGGAGCTCTGAACAGTCCGAAACGCTGACTCAGCATGGAGCGGAGTGTGAATCTCTGTCCGCGGGTCTCGGCCCGGCCTCAACGTTTTCGCGGCAAACTCAGAGCGTAGACTGTTCCAGCACTTTCTGTCGGGCAGCAAAAGTCTGATCGTTGACCAGTTCATAGGCATGGTGTATCAAAGAAGAGCTACATCGATGTATCAAAAAGTCATAATTAGAATCAAGCAGTTTAGCCAAGAGAGTAAAAACGAAAAGAGCAAAGCACGACAAAAACGGGGGAAGATGATGAGAGCATGCAACGGAGTCAGTGGACAGAGCATCCATGGAGTTTGGTATGAGGTTGTATGTGTGTGTGTATGTAACGTATCGCGTGAGTCAAAGATAGCGAGCAATAAAGAAACAGGGGCCTAACGTGTGCCAAAAGTATGTAGAAGCCCCACCGTGGCAAGCAAGAAGCGAAACAATCAAAGAAACGAGTCAAGAAACGACAACAGAGCGACCAGCACCATGCTAGTAGTACACCGCGGAACCCGCATGCGGGTCGGCATTGTACATCTCGTACTGCGGCATCTGTCCAGCATCGTAGTACTGCGGGTAATGGTACTGCTCTGGATAATAGTATGGCTGCTGGTACGACCCGTAGTAACCCGGGTCTGTATGCTCACCGTTCGCCTCCAGAGCGGATACGCTGGGGTACGTCACATCCTCTCCTGTCTCGCCTGACTCCTGGTCGACGGAGTGGTACGCAGCACCGCCCTCTTCCGCAGCAGGTGTGGCAACAGCGCTCGTCGGCTCGAAAGCCGCTGCGCTTGTCCGAAGCGTGGATGGGCGGTGCTGGTGCATCTTGCTCGCGGACTTGCCTTCCATCGCTCCCGGTGGACGAATCTCGACGCGCGAGCTCTGGCGGGGGAAAGAAAATATCGGGGCTCCCGACATTGGATCCATATATCCGCTCATAGGAGGGGTATGGGATGGTGCATAGAACTCGCCAGAGGCGTTCGAATGGTGATGCATGTGGCCAGGCACAAAAGGAGGGGGAGGAGGCATCATGGGCGGAGGGGTGTAAACGGCGGAGGGGTGGTGATGGTGGTGAATATACACAGGACGGCCAGTAGCAAGTTCGTATGGCATGCCATGTTGGTTCATAGCAATACCAGGAGGAAGCATTGACGGCGGATAACCGTACGGTGATCCATACGGAGGAGATGGCTGGGGAGCAGGCGAGAAGACCGTTCGAAGGGGAGGGACTTGTGGGAGTATTCTGGTAGGCTCAGATGACTTGGCGGGCGCATTGTCTTCATCAACCTCGGGAGCGGGGGTTTCTAGCTTATCCTCGACAGGGGACTTGACCTGTAGCTGTGAGGTTTCGCGCATAATGTGATCCGCAATTTGAATCGATGGACGTGAGACATGTTCGTCGGATGGAGGGGTAGGGGCCACTGCGGGAAGTTCGACAATCGGGCTGTTGGAAGAATTGGCGCCAACAATGGGTGCTGCTTTGGGTGCCAACCCAGGTCGAACAGTGAAGACCTCTTCGAGCGGTGGCTCTACAACCGTCGTAGCGGGCTCGACAGGCACAGCAGGGTCTTCGCTCGCCTTCTCCTTGCCTGATCGCTTAGGAATACGAACGACGAATGCCTTCTCCCCACCTTCAGACGAAACCGTCTGAGCGACCGAGACCTGGCGCTCGTGCCGCTTGCTGCTGCTAGGGACGATGGGAGGTGCACGGATGACGGTGGCGTCGCGACTGGGAAGCCTGACAGCAAAGCCAGCGCCCTGGCCAGGTCGTGGCTTGAGAGCGGCGTCAAAGTAGAGGAACGCCTCGTGTTGTTTGGTCCAAACCCGCTCTGGCTTCATGGCGTACCAGATTCGCCCCGACATGGCGCTGGCATCCGGGCGAGACGAGGGAGTAGGAGAAGACACGAAGCCGCCACGCGCGAACCCACCACGACCACGACCCGTGACGACACCTCGCCCTCGGAACGGGCCGAGGCCGCGAGTAGGCCGAGGAGAACCACGCTGAGACTCGCGCTCTTGCTGTTGCTGCTGCTGAAGTACCCGGCGCTTATCGTCCCTTTTCTTCAGCTCCTCAAAGCCGTCGTGTCCCCACTGTTGGTCGACCTTCGGCGTCTCCGCAGCGAACTCGTCCTGCTCCACAGATTCCGACTCTGGCGCAGGATTGCGCATAGAATCTGATCCACCGAAGAAGCCACCTCTACCCCTGCCTCTACCCCTCTCAAATCCGCCCCTTCCATTCCCGCGGCCTCTCCATCGCCCTCTCCACCAGCCGCTCAGGCTTCGCAAACCCTTGTCCAGCAGCCGATCGTCATGGCCCCAGAACTCTCCCACAGTCGGCACGTAGGACGGATCCGCCTCCAGGCGCTGCTGGTAGGCTTGGCGCGCAGTCTGACCGGGCGGGCGCTTAACGTATGAACCGCCGCGTGTGCGCTGGCCATTATGAGGTCGAGGGGCACCATCGTCATCTTGATCAGCATCAGCCTCCTGTTGAGTGGCATCGGAGTCTGTAGGCGGCGGTGGAGGAACAGTTTTGGGAGGAGGGGCCCGCTTCTGCGACTTGGGCTGCTTGCGAACCGGAACGGCGTGCTTGTCGATGGCTTCGCTGTTCAGCTCGCCGAAATCGATAACGGGTAGGTCGGAAGAGCCATTGGCTGTCTCTTCGGAGGCGACCATCTCTGACCAGTTGCCACTGGGCTCGAAAAAGGGTGTCTGGTCGACCTTGACAGAATGAGCATCGCCGGAGCTCTGGGTGGTGTTGGGCGTCAAAAGGTGCGAGTGTGAGTTTGAATCAGACACAGGCTCTGTATCGGAGTCGGTGGCGGAGTCGACGGAGGATGCGTCGTCTTCAGACTCGGTATCGGTGGCCACCTCTCGCTCAATCTCTTCATCGCTCTCAATGTCCCCCCTGCCCCTGCCCCGCCTGCGAACAACACGGGTCTTGCGAGTGCGATGCGACGCACGAGGTTTGCCTTTATCGATGGTGCTGGTGACGTTTGGGAGAGAAGTGGTTGAAGTTACAGGTGCGGGCATGGCGAATGACTGTCGAAAGAGAAGAGGTGAGATGGGGAAGGAGGCAATGGAGAGATGTGACGTACCTGTCACTTGTTTGCGTTGTGTGATTGGTTTGGATTAAAAAGTGGAAATAAGAAGTTGCAGAAAAAACGAAAAGTACAGTAAAAAAGGGTCTGGTGAGGTGCGCAAGTAAAAGGAGAGAAAGAGGAGGTGAATATATGGCAGAAGACGCTGGATACAGCAACGGAGAGGCGTGTGGAGGTTACAAAGAAAGGCTCGTACGTGGGAATTGCCGAGATTTCACACCCAGACTCGGAACCGTCGGCCCAGATGGCGTCTGACTCTGACGCACAGTACTGCTTTCTCGTATCCAGCCCTCGAAAATACGTAACAACTCAGTAATGAATCCAGCAAACCCAGGCAGCTTCAATCACCGAACGGCCAAACTTTCGACTGGAAGGACGTACCACTTCATCGACCAATCTCCGGCGGATGTATCTCGGAATGCTCCGACAATTCTCTGTTTGCATGGCTTTCCCGATTTGTGGTATGGCTGGCGGTTTCAGATTGCGCCTTGGAACCGAGCAGGATATCGCGTAGTGGTCCCGGACTTGCTCGGTTATGGCGGGACAGACATGCCTGGCGAAGTAGAGGCCTACTCTTCCAAGAACATCTGCCGCGACCTCGCTGCTTTACTTGATTTCCTGGGTATTTCTAAAGCGGTTGGCATTCTTCTTCTCCTTCAATTCGGGAGAATGAATCGCGGTTCGCTTGCTTTTGTACTAGATTGTTGCAGGCCACGACTGGGGTGCCTTTACTGCCGCGCGCTTTGCTCTCTGGCATCCAGACAGACTTTCAGCGCTTGTGATGTACGTGTTCTCCCGACGACACGTGATAAACCAGGTGTTGACGTTCATCGACATCTTTGCCAGCGTCTCAGTTCCCTTCACTCCGCCAGCTCCTCACTACCGGGCCCCCGAAGAGGCTGCCAAGATCTACCCAGACTTTGGTTACCAAGTGTACTTTGCTGACCCGAGGTCAAGCTCTGAAATCGAGTCCGATGTATGTTTTAGTACAACTGCTATGTCGCGTAGGCTGAAACATCCTCGTATAGCTTTCCTTCTTCTTTCGCTTGCTCTTCCGCAACGGCAATCCAGTCGGTTGGTCTAAATTAGGCGAACTCAAGGGTTTGATGAGTAACATCCAAAAAGTGGATCTTCCGACGCAGGGCTTGATCCTCACTGAAGAGGTAACAAGAGTCGCATCGCCTCACCCAAATCTTCATCAAACTTACTTTTCTACAGGAACACAAGTACTATATCAGTCAGTTTCAGCGCGGTATCAATGGGCCCCTATCGTACTATCGCACCGGCAGGCATCGGTTCGAGGAGGAAAAAGGTAAGACAGCAGTCAAATCTGCACGTTCAGTCGCTCACAAGGCTATAGCGGGTCGTCTGCCTAGTAGCCTTCCGAAGGAACTTCCGGTGCTGTTCATCTATGGCACTGTCGATCAGACATGCCCTCCGCCTGCGGTCAAGAGCATGCACAAGTTTATTCCGAATCTCGATGACGTAGCGCTCCCCAACGTTGGCCACTGGGCTCTGCTAGAAGAGCCGAAGAAAGTCGCCGAAATTGTTGAACAATGGCTGAAGAAGAATGGTCAAGCACCTGAGGCTAGATCGCGCCTGTAGTTTCCAGAACATGATTATTTCTGTAATTGTACGTATAATCTGAACAACAGCAGTTTGGTACTTAATCAACATGGGTAGGACTACAAGAAGATATCTCTATGCGAAGACCATCGGTCGTGATATATGCAATGTGGAATAACTTTGAGGTGCTCGTGGAACGTCAAAATGTTCAACGCGATTCATTACTGTGCCGGATGATGCGGCCGTTACTGGGACGGGAGATGCAGCAATTACGGTTCTCTAATTTCTGGTACTCCACAAACGCACTGTCAATATCCGAGACAATATTGTCCAGCAGCTCCCTGTCAATATCATCGAGTGGCGGCTCGGTACTTTGCCTTCGCACAGAGTCTAGAGTGGATGGGTAGTGTCTCAGTCGCCTCTCCAAGATAACCTTCCATCTACGCCAAGCGGGGGTGGAGCTGTGGTTGGGCAGGATCTCGTCGAGCATCATCGTCCGGTCTGACGGCCGCAGGACCATCAGCGCGAATACGACCATCGCCGTTCTCGAGCCGAAGCGGAGTCGGTGGGTATGTGGGGTGCCGAGCTTCTGCCAGAGAAGCGCTTTTTGGACATCGATGTGCTCTTTAGCGGGAAAAAACGTGGTGTACACCCACGAGGCGGCTAGCGAGCCCATGAACAGGAGCTGGCCGATGAGAGTGCCTTGCGGGATAAGAAGCAGCTGGAGAAGAAACTGGAGGAGCAAGAGCAACGCGCAAAAGCCTGTCATTCGGCGGTGAAAATCGTTCTTCTCCGCGATGACGAAACGACCCTTGGTGACGATGTTCGCTGCTTCCTCTGGTCCCAGTATGATCGTTGTTTCTGACCCGACCAGCAGCCCGTCGGCGGCTGGTGCTCCCTTGGGTGGGGTCTGGTTGTACTTGATGTCTACGCGGCCTGAGCCAACCACCAGGTATGCAAATCCATGTGCAATCATGCCTAGTGCGATCATCGAGAAACAGTACCAGTCCCCCCAAACGACGCACATAATACATGTTCCGACGCTGACAGCGATGGGAACGAGAGCGAGCAGCATGACATGGAACGGGGTACGAGGCGTGACGACACCGTGATTGACCTTGTCCAGCGACACCATGTTCAACACCGTTTCCGTCCCTCGACGCCCAGGGACATCCCTCTCCTCCTCTCCCTTACACCTTTCCATGAGCAGATACGCGAGATGCCCAGTGGCCATCCTCGTCCCCGATAGCGCGCCCACATAGCGTGGCCCGGCCGTCCCATCAAGCTTGAACACCATCTCTGCGGAATCTCTGGGGCCGGGGAAGAGGCTGCGCCAGATGGCTGAGTCGGCGAGCTGACCATAGCACTTGCCAATGTTGTAGGACCCTGGGCAATTATACCAGCCCAACCACCTTCGTTCCTTCTCCAAGTGCACGGTGGACATTGCAGAGATGAACTCTTCGCCGCCGAAGAACCCGGAGACCCCCGCTGTATCGAGCTTGAAGCCGGATTGGCTTAGTGGTGGTGAAAGGATGGGTGGCATGCGCGTTTGAGACTAGGGACGTGTTGGGGTAGCTTGCGGTGAGAAGTGAAAGGACTGGAGTCGCTGCAGGTCGGCATTTTATCGACGTGCTTTGCCGACAATGGGCACTAACCGTTTGACAGGAAAACAACAGTCGCAGCTTGGCAGATCCTGCTGCTCCTCGGGAAACGATTACGTATTGGGACTGTTGAATTGGAGGCAGAAGCCACCGCTTTGGACCCCAGCCATGTGTCCCGGTCCGCCTCCGATCTTGATCGGGAACGACGTAGGATCTAAGTGTGCCTGTTTGTTATGGAGAACAATCAATGAACGAGCTAAAGATCGGTTTGCTCGTGGAATTCTTGCCTTGAAAACGTGTCGCGACGAGACTCGAGCCAGCCTCTCGAGTCTTTGGTGGAGTTTCGGAAGCTACTGGACTTAGGGTCAGGAACGAAAAGCGGAAGCAAATGGGATTGTGGTAAGGTGAAAACCCTCCGAGACCTGCTGTGGATCTCGTTCTTTACTAGGTTCTGATTGGAAGGGCCCAATTATCCCTCAACATCCAATACAAAGTGCATCGATTGCATGATCACATAGAATATACAGTTTTGAACCCATATTTACAAGGCCAATGAAATACAGTATTCTTGAGACGTTGATATACTACGGTAGACATATAGGCAAGCATGGTATGAATGATTTCAGCATTGCGACATGAGATTGATACATCGAAAGACTCCACCTCTGAGTAGAAGACCTAGTGTACGAGAGTCTGTTCACTATTGCTCGTGAGCGTATGCCGACTTCTAGCAGCGCTGGCATTGACAGGCAGTAGACCAGGCAGGGGAGGATTTAAACAACACCCGAGACCCATAAAATCCTCATACACCTTTATCCCAGTGCGAAGGTCATGTTTGAGGTTCTCGAGTAAAGTCTTATCGCCATCGCTCAGGCTGTGAAAAGCTACCTCTAGGTCAAAATCTACTGATTCGGTCTCTTTTTCCGACTCCTCATCACGGAGTCTGCTGAGCTCCGTCTTCAGGATCTGCCTCCATATCCTCCATACCGTGGTTTTGTTCGAAAGAAGCTCGTCTACCATTTCCATGGGACATGTCGGCTCCAGCGCCAGCACAGCGAATACGGCCATCGCCGTCCTAGAACCGAATTTGAACCTGTGAATGTGGGGATCGCCCAGTTTCTTCCAGAGGAATTTCTGCTGGACATCATCGTGCTCCTTAGAAGGGAAGAAGGATGTGTACGCCCACGAGGCCGCCAGCGACGTCAAGAACCAGACTTGGCCCATAAATGTACCTTGCGGGACGAGGAGAAGTTGGGCGAGGAACTGAAGGAGGAGTAGAAATGAACAAAACCCGGTGAGCCTGCGGTTGTAGACGTTCGCCGAATCAATGCGGAAACGACCTTTGGTGATGATGTTTGTGTCCATCTCTCTTCCTCTGATAATTGTTACCTCCGCCGAGCCAATCAGCAGCCCGTCACCCGGCGGTGATCCCTTGGCAGGGTTCTTGTTGTAGTCCACCTTGACCGCTCCAGCGCCTATGACTATATTGGAAATGCCTCCAGCGAGTATGCCGATCAAGATGATGGCGAAGCAAAACCAGTCGCCCCCTAAGGCGCACATGGCACAGCAGGCAAGGTTGACGATGATAGGGAGGATGGCAAAGGCGATGGTGAGACGTGGTGTACGAAGACGAATGTCGTCATGATCAACGTCGACCAGCGAGACGACGTTCAAGTAGCTCGTAGAACCCTGTCGACCGGGGGCTGACAGCTCCTTCGACTCTTGCTTGCATTTATCCATCAGCAAGCTGGCGAGGTGGCCCGTGTCTATGATACAGGTCCCTGAAAACGCTCCGACGTATCTGGGACCTTTGCTACCATCGAGCTTGAATACCACTTCCGGCTCTTCTCGGCGCCCAGGGAAAAGCCCTCTCCAGAACTTTGAGTCTGCCAGCTGACCGTACGTTCTGCCGATGTTATAGCTTCCGGGAGAATTGTACCACCCAAGCCACCTCCGTTCCGTTTCCAGATGCACAGTGGCCAGGGCAGAGATGACCTCCTCCCCGCCGAAGAAGCCAGACACTCCGACTGGATCGAGACTAAATCCACCCGACTTGGGGTCATCAGTGATGTTGTGAAGCGTAGGGATGGGAATGGGTGCCATGAGAAAGAGCTTATATCGGGCGAATAAGTCAATCAATGAGCTTTGAGTGAACAGAGTTATTCTCACCTGCTATGACGACCTGCGAGGAAGTGATTGCCTCAGACGGTACGCTCAGCAATCCTTAAATATAGTGAACCTCGTGGCCTTGAGAAAGAGTGAGCGTTCCAATCGTAGATGGAGTTTGCAGTGTGGGCGTGGCATGTTCATTTCACGCCATGGAAGTGTTCATGTCCATTCCCTCAAGCTGCTCTTGGCCGAGTGCTGGAAAGGTCCTTCGTGGCACGAGCAGCCCAGATGTACCGCAAGCCTTCGCGTGGTTGGGTTTGAGCGCTGGGCAGCTGGAGAACTAATGAGCTCCACACACGCGGCTCCGCTTCTGCATCACCGATTGCATGCACAGCAGCGCGTTCCGGTGTGACGTACCGTGGTTCATTGAGATTGTCGTATGCGTCGTGACAATTCTGATCAAGTGGGATTCCGTTTTTCGACAGAGTTCTTGTCAGCCAGCATGGGCATCTACGAACGTCCGAAGGGTGCCGACCTTTGCATCTCGTAATCTACTAAATCCAATGTTGCTCATCTGTCTTACATGTAACATATACAATGTCATCAATGATAAGGTCGTGAGGACGAACAATGGAGGTTTACTCATACGTATTGTACTGGATTTGAAAAGCCCACGCATACTCAACGAGATCGAGATCAACGTCTGAAACGTCGACAGTCAGATATCCCGTAGTCCGGTCGACAGACCAAGGTAGCCCGCATGCAAGGTCCGAATCAACACAGACCCTTGCTCCGTGAGGGCTCAGGAGATGAATGCGATCGCCTCGGGTAATGGGGACCCGCTTCTGCACCACCAACCGGCCGTTTGATGGGCGCTCGAAGGACACGATGCAGAACGTTGTAGGTGTCGTCAGGAACCTAATCGACCCCGTGGGGTCTTCTGAGCCCCTGAACCAGTACTCCTACAAGCCCCCGTGGCGAACAATCAGTGCGTGTACCGAGATAAGGAGGAGACTGACTCACGGTCGCGTACACGCAGTCGCCAGCATACTTCAACCACCGGCCGGCATCAAGAAGGTTCTGCTGCATGACGTCAGGGATCACTCCTTCAGCAGTCGGGCCAACATCCAGGAGGCTGTGGGGCGACATGAGGTCACGTTCAGAAGCTTCTTCATCTTGCCTCGAGGACTCACTAGTTTCCGTTCTTGGATACGATATCAACGAGCGTCTGGACGATAGCGGTGCCGTTCTTGTAAGCGCTGGCAGGTGTGGCCCGGTTGTACCCGTAACTGCTGGGATCCATGCCCTCGCTCGTCTCCCATTTGCGCGTCTGAATAGCGTTCAGTTTGGCGTACTCCGGCGTGTCGTGGTCGGGCAGGTCGCCGCATCCTGAAAACGCGTTGATTGCTATGATCTGCTACCGAACACCTAGAATACGCACTGTCGTTGATGACCACCTGTCTGCCCTGTGCCCAGGCATGAGTAAAGTAGTGCTGCGCGAATTGGCGCGTTAGATTGGCGCTGCTGATATCGCACCACTACAGGGCTTCTTCAGCATGGAATGCGTGAGGTTTAGGTTACACATTGAGCCTACCATGATTTCGGTGTCGTACTCTTCTGCGAGCGTAACCATTTGAGGTAGCTGAAGGTCGGCAAGATAATCCTTGATAGGCAATCTGCCAGTGTAAGGCTCAACCTCTGACTGATTGAACACGTTACGTGCCAGCCCTCCAGGCCATGTATCGAAACCATAGGGGGCGTAGTCAGGGCTGAACCTAAAATGTGACCGAATCAGCAATCTTGTACTTGCACGTTCTTCCCGTGAAGCTTACCATTCAGGCATGGAAAAATAAGTGCCTATGAGAGAAAAGAGGCGCGTATTAAACTAAGCACTGTCTCCGAGGACGATATGCGTTCCCACCTCGATGCAACTGCGGCTTCTCCGCCTTTGCTGTATCGAAGAGTTCTCTGAGGAAGTCGCGCTTCGGACCGAGATGAAGGCTGTTGCGGTGTGTCGTCGCGCCTGTGTCGAACATACCGAACCCATCGTGGTGTTTCTAAAGATACTCAGCATGCTTGCAATAACAATGAGGAACAAGCTCACCGTTGTGAAGACAAAGTATTTGGCGCCTGCGTCATCGAACAGGTTGACCCACTCGCTCGCATTGAACTTGGATCCTGTGAGATTCGCAAAGAAGTCGTCATAGACGACTTCCTGTGCATACAGGTTCATTTGGAACTGCTTTTGCTATTGATAATTGAGAACCGAACCTTGCCATATGTCTTCATTTGGTGTTCATAGAACGCATTATTCGGGCCTGGATTGCTGTGCAAATGCCAGCTAACAATGTACTCATCAATCACTGAATACAGGAAGAAGGTCGTTGTGCGATAACTTACTCATACCACTCAGCGTATGTGTAGCCGGGTCCCTATCATGCCATCAGTTGCTGCACGATTGATGAAGAAAAACTCGTACCCATCCAGGGACACTGTAGGGACCCCAGTGTATGCTATGAAATTTTTGTGTGAGACGCCTAAACGTTACAATGCCGGATAGAAGAACGTACAATATCCCAAATTTAGCTTCATTCCACTAAGGAAACGAGGAAACGAGGGCAAGGTCAGTCAACAGGAGCAATCATCCGCTCAATCAATCGACGTACCCAAGTCGGAGTCTCGTGGCTTTCCAAAGCACTAGTACTCAGCCCAAAGTTCTCGCGCAGAGGCGCCGCTGGCCAGCCTGGAGAAGTGGAAATAGGGTTCCCTCTGTTATCCGTCATGACCACCGTGAGCTCGCCACCCTCAACAACGGAGCTGGGGTTCTCGACCAGAACATCCACCACAACTTGATCGCCGGCGGTAAGACGATTTATCACTCCCGGCTTGACCGTGCGCACCGTTGCGCCGAACATCTCAATCTTAAGCGGGAACAAGACCGAGCCTGTCTCGAACGCAGTGTCAGGCACAAGGTTGGCCAGTGTGACTTCATACACCTGAGCGCGGATGCCGTCGACAGCTTCCCAGCGTGACGTGGGCCGCACGCGGCGATACGAGAGGGAGGGTCCGCTGATTTGGGGCAAGGCGGGCGTGACGGAGAGAGCAAAGAGGTGGGTGCGGTCGTTCGAGGTGCGAGGCGGCATCTGGATGCTCTTCAACTTCGAGTGGGAAGGGATTGAGGTCGACCATTGGAAGATGTTGGTTCGGTTCCCGTCGATGTGGTTGCCGTGCTGGTTGTAGTGGATAGGCCTGCACGAGACGTCAAGACGATTACTTGGCAGTCATGCTTTGAACATACGTCTCAATGGCAGCGGTGTTGACCGTGATGCGCGTCCACCAGTGTTTGGCGGAGACTACATATGAAGAGAGCTGATGAGGTTATGCAAGCTTAGCGTGGACTTACTCGGCAAAACTTGGATGCTGTTGTCCTCGAAGTGCAGCACAAAGTCGGCGTCGGTTGCGCCTGGGTTTTGTGAGTATGAGTTTCGCGCTGCTTAGATAGGGCGAGAGCAGCTCTACCTTGGATTCCGTCACCAGCATACAGCATGTGAAGTTCATGGGTCAGGACGGGCTCTGGGAATACGATTGTCTGGTTTTCCGCGAGAACATTGTCGTTGCCCGCGCCCCAGGACGACGGCAGTTGGTACTGGGGATGCAGATGAGGTCACGAACAAATGAGTCGCAGTAGCAAGCAGCCCGCATTCTACACGACACTCACCTTGATGAGATCATACACCCACGTCCCTACGGGCAAGAACTCTGCCGCATAGCTCCCTCCAAATCCATCGAAGTTGGCGATAGTCGGGTTGCTGTTGAGCGACGCGCCGTGGTTGTTGTAGTACTTCTCAAGAGGGATAGGGATGGACGAGAAGGGATATACATTGAAAGAGGCTGGTGAAGCCCACTGAGGGTTCAATAACGGCTGTTGAACCGACATGGTCGAGCTCAATCGTTGCAAGGCGAGCGTCACTGGATGAATCAAACAGGGCCAACGAGTTGGTCACTCCACTCGTCGGTTCCCCACGGGGTCAAGCGAGGTTCGATTTTGTAACTATGTACAAGCCCGTTGATAGGCGCTTTAACGACTTTATGAGGCTTTTGAGGCTCCCGATGACTTGGAAATAGCATATATTCACCCCAAGATGGTGAAGGGCCCTACGTACGAGACCGTTGCCTCCAACAGGGGCTGGTGTACATATTGCGCCCATGAGCCGAAGCCGGCAAATCCCGGCGTCGCGTTCATCCTGACATCGCGTCCTCTGGTGTCACGGCACCTTCACCTGGCACTTGCTCTTACCATTAACACCCTGTCAGCTCGCTCACCCAACCTCGATGGCAAGTTACACGGGCAGCAAGGACGAAGATGAAGTCCCGCCCCCTCAACGGCCACCCTCCCCACCAGCCCACACTACCTTCGCTGCTCGAGGCCTGCATGTACGCGTCGTATCTGGGAAGACATGTCCGACTTCATCTCATTGAACCTTTTTCCAACACGAAACTTCGCGGTCTCCTCTAGGCCATCAACTTCTCCCTCCACAAGCCTCGGGACGTTCGCATCCCTTCACAGCAAGCCATGACCCATGTCGCATGGAGCTGCGACGGAAAACGCCTCGCCGGAGTAGGCATAGACAAGATAGTGCGCGTGTGGACACCGGAAAAAAGCGTGAGCCCTCTTCCGAAACATCCTGTGTTGCTCTTCATTGAGCGGATTTTCCAGCTGGAATATCGCTCCTCAGCGACCTTCTCCGGCGGCCATTCCGACGACGTCGACTATGTGACCTGGAACCCCACCCATCCGGAACTATTTTGCACCTCGAGCCAGAAGGATCGACGCATAGTGTTCTGGGATGCCCGGCGTAAGCACATGCACTGGTGCCCGTTTCATTTACTAAGTGCTCCATTCTCATCAGAAAGTCGGCACATACAGCAAGTCCCGCTGAAAGTTGCGCCCGTTCAACTGAACTACTCCCCTGATGGTCGATCGCTGCTTTATACCTCGGCTGGGCATCAGTTGTTCTTTATGTCAAATGTGCAGGAGGTGGGATCGTCGAAGAGGCATTGGCAAACGTCTGACAAGGATGGGGCAAGTTTCTCTCACCTTCGTTGGAGTCAACAAGCGCTCACCGGCTGTAAATAGAACATCGTAGCGACGACGGCTATGTTCAACTTTGCAGGCGACGGAGTTGTCCTCACGCACCATTCCGAACATTCCCTTCGCATTCTAGATTATCCTTCTTTAACGCTTCGGGAGAACCCTGCAGCCCATGTAGGCGGGTGTGTAGCAGTGGCGCTTGATCCGCGCGGAAGGTACGTATTCTCTTGGAGCATGCTGTAGAGACCCTAAACCCACGACTTCCATTTCCTCCCAGATACCTTGCTTCGGGAGGCAATGACTCTATAGTAGACTTGTTCGATGTTAATGAGTGGATATGCGCTCGAACCATAACTTCCTGCGAGTACGTCATCATTTGCACTCATCCCATATCCTCTGGACCCGGCTGACCAGATATCCAGGTACGGGGTTAATGCACTGAGCTTCTCCTACGACGGAGAGTACATCGCTATTGCAAGCGGTGGGCAATACATCGACATCGTAGGTTCTCTCCTGCCCCATTGGGCACCACGCACTGATGTACTACATCGCTTTGCAGTGTGCGACCGAGACTGGGGTCCCGCTTCATCGAGTCCCCACCCTTGCGCCATCGCCAACGGTGACTTGGCATCCTTCGAAGTTTGTTTTTGCATACTGTGGTCAGACGAAGTTGAGGGAGGGTGGTCCACCTTCCACCGCAGTGATTAGTATGTTCGGAGCACTGTAGTCTCGTTTCGCTACACGAGGTCGTCGCAGTAGTCTAGCACATGAAGCAATATATGCGCTATACAATAACGAGTGTGTCAGGATCCTTAGTCTCTCTTAGACAGACAGTTACTTAGTAGTCCCATGAAAGTCAATCGAACTATGATCCTAGGTTTCGAAACCAAGACGATCTAACCAAGAGTCTTAATATAAAGCAGTGCTAGTTACCGGTAAGGTCGGCTGTGGCCGCATTGCTTCCACTTTGCCCTGAACTTTGCTTTGTGAGCGAGCCAATACAATGAGCCGTCCAGCCAGCTTCCACGGCTACATGCGCATCATCTACACCACCTTGTTCCCTTATATGCTTTCTCCAGGCAGCCTCTGGGCGCCTACCGTCCACCTGCGTCTTTCCCAGAACGAACCGTCATGGCGCCCATAACTGAGTCTTCCCTCAACCATTCGGGCTTCAACCTCGATGCTTCAGGAGTAGCCGGTTTCTTCGGAGGAGATGAGGCTATCTCAGCTATGGCTACCGTGCACCTCTTCAAGGGGCGACGGTGGCTAGGTTGGTACAACTCGCCTGGAAGTTACACCATCGGCAAATGCTACGGACGGCTCGCCAATAATCGCTGGTGGGATGGTCTCTTTCCCGGTGCCAACGATACGCCAGCACAGATGTTCAAGTTGGATGGGAGGAAGGGTCCACGGTACTTTGGTGCGTTTTCTCGTCTCTCGCATCACTGTGTACCGGGACTAACGCTAAGGCGGTGTACTTCGTCATCGTTGAAGGCACCCGCTCTGGCACCAAGATGAGGACAGGACATCTCGGATATCTGTTTCTCGAAAAATGCAAGGAAGAGAAAATCCACTCCTACCACGGCGGCGACCATACCACGACGCCGACTAACATATCCATCGTCCACCTTGACGAAGACCCTCACAATGACGTCCCCATCAGACCCATTGGCAATGCGTTGCTTGGCCTTATCCCCATATTCGTCAGCGGGCTTACAGCCCTCTTTTGCTTCCTCAGCGAAGATGGGTGGGGCGGAGCCATGATTGTCCTCGGTATGGTCGCAGGCGGGGTGTCCTGCTTCGTCATCGGCTCCGGCGAGGTGAAGCTACACTACGTCAAGAATCCTGCCCAGGGAGTACCCCCTGGCGACGGCCTCCTGATCGGCGATGGATCAGACATGGCGATAGTGAAGGGAGCCGAAAAGGTCGTGAACGTGCTCACCAAGGGGCGGTTCGAGATCGACATCGGGGGTGGGCCAGAGTATCGTGCCATTGGGTTCTCGGCAATGCTCCTCGTCGCACAGTTCCTCCTTCAGCTTCTCCTTATCCCCCAAGCGTCGTTGTTCGGACAGATTATGTTCGTCATCTCGCTCGCTGTCTCCTGGGGGTACACTTCCTTCCTCTCGTCTATCGAGAAGGAGAAGATCCAGAGCGAGATTCTCTGGAAAGCGCTGCATACGCCCAAGGTTCGCAAGTATTCTCTCAAGTCCCGGTCGGCAGCAGCGACTTTCGTCGCCCTCGTGTTGTCCCCACCGAAGCCGGAGAAGGTCCTTAAGGAGTTCATTCCGAACGACACCGCGGTGTGGAACAAGTGGAGAGACGTCGTTTCCGCCAAGATCAAGGCCAACGAAGCGCTCAAGTTTTCCGACACCGAGTCTTGCGGAGTAATCGAGGAGTTCGGCGACGATGACGAAAGGACCCTCTATAAGTCACTCTTGGCCATCGCAGCAGATGCTTATCAGGGCTACTTACTATACCAAGCAGATGTAGAGCTGGAGAAGGCGCGTCGTCCACCGCAACCGAAGAGAAAGTCAACTTTATGGTCCATCCTCTCGTTCAACGCGCATGACTCGAAAGAAGTATCTGACCCTGAAAAAGCTGATATGACATGAAACGTCTCAATTACGAAATAGTTTGCGAAGCGGAACGACAATGCATGTATCATACCACGACCTCTTGTACTAACACTATACGTACATGCTTAGAGTTATGCAATGTAACTCAGGGAAATGACATAAATGTGGCCTATCGTAGCATATCCGCGAGGCTGGTGTGATCCGTCGTAAAATGGGCGTTTTGGTTTGACGAGACTGGCCACAGTGAGTCCCCGCGCCCTCAAGTTACTACAGCATATAAACATAGGTAAACGCCACGCGGCTGCGCACCTTACGCGGCGGATATGCGCGCTCCGCGCTTGAACTTACTCCCTGTTATCAGTGTACTTTGTACTCAAGCTTACAAAGACTACATGTATCTGGGGGCTCCGACACATTTAAGGAAGCCTGATATGCCCTTAGAAGGTTTGGCTTATGTCTATGATTGAGTTTGAAGCTGCTTTTGGCTTACACGTTCACAGCGCTAAACATCCACAGGCCCATAGCCTTCAAGGCCTAGCGCTCAGGGTCCCTTTTCTTGCTAGTACTGCAATGTGTACTCCGTGCATTGCGTACCATTTATAGCAGACGGATGCACCAATGCGTCGCAGATCCCTCATACTAGGTTCATCTTTGTGGCAGTACATGCTTGTCTCCGAGACGCCCCAGCTCTTCTTGAAGCTTCATCATGATGCCTCGAGGCAAACGGCCACCCGAAGGGAGCATCTGTGTTCTGGCATATATACTCGAGTTTTCAGCTTCAATGATGAGGCCCACCGCTTGGCGAATGCCTCGGAACACCTCGCTATAGTAATCAACTTCTAGTCACTGACATGGCCCCCATCCTCCACGCTCCGCTACAACACTCGTCTTTCAGCCTCGATGCGTCTGGTGTAGCAGGCTTCTTCGGTGGCGATGAGGCCATCTCCGCCATGTCCACTGTTCATCTCTTCAAGGGTCGCCGGTGGGTTGGCTGGTTCAACTCGCCGGGTAGCTACACCATTGGGAAATGTTATGGCTGTCTCGCCAACTCGCGCTGGTGGGACGGTCTGTTCCCGGGCCCAAACCACTCTCCTGCAAAAACGTTCGGCCTGGATGGGAAGAAGGGTCCAAATTATGTTGGTGAGTCGCTCGTGCTAACGGTGGCCTTCCGGAATACCTGTTCTAATGTTAATTTGTCCGTAGGCACCTGTTCAGGTACCAGGATGAGGACTACCCACCTCGGTCACCTGTTCATGGATAAATGCAGGGAGAGGGAATGGAAAGTGGTCGAAGTGCGTGGCAGGCGCAGGACAACTCCAAGCACAGTTTCCGTCGTCGAGCTTGGCCACATTCCAAGCACCGAGCATGTATCCATCGGACCTATCGATTCTGCCCTCTATGCCCTCATTCCTATCTTCGTCAGCGTTACGACATGCGCTTTGTGTGCCCTCGTGGAGGATTGGTGGGCTTCCTCCATGATCCTGCTCGGTATCGTTGCAGGCGGCGTATCCTGCTTCGTGATTGGCTCTGGGAAAGTCACTCTTGACTGGCACAACAGGCCTTCTCCGGGTGTGCCTCCCGGTGATGGCTTCCTGACCAGTACCGAGAACAGCGACATAGCGGTCGTACTCGGCCGAGAAGAAGTGGTCAACGTGCTCACCAAAGGGCGGTTCAAGATCAACCTGCAGGGCGGTCCGGAGTATCGTCTCGTGGGCCTCGCCGCGTTGATTCTCGAGACCCAGTTCTTCTTTCAGCTACTTCTTATTCCCCAAGCGACGCTCTTCGGACAGATCATGTTCGTCGCCTCGCTCGCCGTCTCTTGGGTGTATACATCGTACCTTTCATCGAAGGAGAAGGAGAAGATACAGGCAGATATCCTGTGGGGCGCGTTTAAGAAACCACAGGTTCGGAGGTATTCGTTGGGCACGCGGGGCGAGTCTGCGACGTTCACCACCCTCGTTCTCAACCCTACGGATCCGGAGAAAGTGCTGGCAGAGTTCGTACCGAACGACACCAGGGTGTGGAAGAAGTGGAGGAAGACTGTCTCCGACGGGATCAAAGGTGGTGAACTCAGATTTGGCCCCGCCGACTGGAACCTCAATGATTTGGAAAAAGACGAGAAGCAGTTATACGAAGGCCTCCTAGGTTCTGCAGAGGATGCCTACCACGGATATCTAGGCTATCTCGACGATTTAAAGAGGGCAAAGGAGGAGGAAGCGAAGGAAAAGGAGAGGCAGGCGCCGCAGAGGAGCATGACGCAGGCAACGTCGATGTCGATGTCGACACTGGTTTCTTCAGGAAGAACGTCCATGGAGTCAATGGAAAAGAAGATAAGAAAGTTCACAAGATCGATGTCGACGTTGATCCCGCCGCGGAGACCATCCGAGTCGGACCTTGAGAAGGGGGAGGTCTCAGAGTCGGACACGGAGACGAAGCAGGCCTACGACTCCGAGAATAGTTTAGTCTCATCATGAGCTATCAGCTAACGCTCTTTACGAACTCATGACCATTGCTAGCTTTCTTGGATACTGCGCATCGCACTTGTACAACATATATATATTCGAATGAAGATCTGTATTTCACTTCGATTCACTTACAAACTGATCAGGCATCGCACTACACTACACAAAACAAAGCTGGATGTGCGCTCTTGCCATAACGTGTCTCCGCAACGAGAAAACCAAGACGCACCACATCTTTACCGATTGTTTTACAAGATTTGTATCGACTCCCTTGATCCTTTTCCAACCAACTCCGAGTGGTGCTCACTGGGCGTCTAAAATCCGTAAATAGAACTTGCCGGTTTATATGTAGGAGTGCCGAAAGCATAGCTCGACTCAAATTCGGAACATGGTTAAGCATCGCCATTGGAGGAGAAGCACTCAGCACATGTTAGCAGTGCGGAAGCGGGGCCGTTCTCCTGTGTATGGCAATGTGAACTCATAACCATACCCTGTGGTACATTAATGCACGGGATGCTGAATCATGCACGTTGGCTCCGTTTACGTCGCAAGACCAACTTAGTCCAGCCATGGCGCGCTTGATCTTGGACTGGGCGTAACACCGGCCTTCTAGAAGTTTCTGTGGAACGTATATAAGCGGTTCTTTGGATTCGATGAAAGTTTACGATAGTCAGGTGTCTTCATCAAGGTATGCTTTTGACACGTAAACGTTGTAAACGAGTCTGCCGTAGCCTGTATAGGAATCAAAATTCAGCCAGGGATAGTTAGCCTGTATATTGCAAACGTTGAAACACATCAGTAAGATACCTATATAACCTGCGCAGCTGCAACAGTCAACGAAGTCTCTCAGAATATCAGAACCCTCGGCTTCGACATGGCTCCGATTCACAATATTCCTCTCCAGAACTTGTCTTTCACTCTAGATGTTGCGGGGGTCGCAGGCTTCTTCGGTGGCGGGGAAGCCATCTCCGCAATGTCCACCGTACACCTTTTTAAGGGTCGCCGCTGGGTCGGCTGGTTCAACTCGCCCGGAAGTTATACCATTGGGAAATGCTACGGCCGTCTCGCCAACTCTCGTTGGCGGAATGGTTTGTTCCCTGGACAGAACAACACCCTAGCCGAGATGTTCGAGCTCGATGGGAAGAAAGGCCCGATGTATATCGGTGCGTTAGCAGCTCAGTTAGATGAAGGTATATGGGCGCTTACATTGTAGCGCGTTGTCGATAGGAACATGCTCAGGCACTAGGATGGCGTCCGGCCATCTTGGTCATCTTCTTTGCGCTAGATGTCAAGAAGCCTCTGTGATCACCGTGCCGGGGCGTCAGACCACAGGGGCGACGGTGTCCATCGTTGAGCTCAAAGACGCCGATGATTCGGGCTCAGCTATTTCCGCGAGATCCTGCCATATGTCACTTCTCGCCTTCGTTCCCATGTTCGCTAGCATTTCGGCCTGCGTTATTTGCGCACTTTCGGAGGACTGGTGGGCCTTCGCCATGATTCTTCTCGGTATCATCGCTGGTGGAGTCTCTTGCTTTGTGATTGGTTCAGGACAAGTCGTCCTGAAGTATCCCAGCAACCCAGCTGACGGCTGCCCACCCGGGGACGGAATTTTCATGGGGGAGGGACAGGACGTCGTAGTGGTGAAAGGTGCCGAGCGCCTTGTCAATGTCCTGACGAAAGGCAGGTTCGAGATCGAACTTGGAGGCGGCCCGGAATACCGCAAGATTGGGCTTGCGGCGATGCTTCTCGAAGTCCAGTTTCTTTTACAGCTCCTCCTCATTCCTCAGGCCACCCTCTTTGGCCAGATCCTGTTCGTTTCATCGCTCGCCATTTCCTGGATGTACACGTCCTATATCTCCTCCCTCGACGAAGAAAAGGCCCAGGCAGATATCCTCTGGAGCCTACTCGGCGAGCCAAAGATTCAGAAGTACTCCGTGGGCGGTCGGTCCGCTTCGGCGGTCCTGGCAGCCCTCGTGCTTCAGCCTGAGGAGCCGGAGGTGATGCTGAAAGATTTTGTGGGGAATGAAACTCGGGTATGGAAAAGGTGGAGAACAGTCGTGTCGGAGTGGATCAAGAGCGGCCAGTCGTTTGAGTTCGGTGTCGAATCAGACTCGAAGCTGGAGGAGTTCAACGATAGCGAACGGGCGCTGTACCAGACCATCCTAAACCAAAACGCGCGAAACGGATACAGCGCGTATCAGCTCTACGAGGCAGCTCAAGAGGAGGAGTATCAGGACGAAAAGCAAAGTCTCAGGATGATGCAACTGGGAGATTCAGTGCGAGGTATGTTCGATGTCGACTGCAAAGTCCTTGTGTGAAGCGCATTCGCCTATGGGACGGAAAAGATTGAATGACATAGCATAACAATCCATCATGTAGCTGTATATCCCTCCACTTACGGAAGATAAATAAATTAGTGTTTTCTCGGAAAGTAAAAAGCAACATAGAAGAACATACAAGTTCTTGTCTCCACTTCACTTTTGCTCGGTTTAGTTTGTGGCCTTTAGCAGTTATTGCACATGTCCATTGACTTCATTGAGAGAACTTTCCACTCAAAAGTGGATACGTAGTAAGATTATGTACGACGATGAATCGAACACAAGGGAAGAGACGAGCGTCTGGCAAGCGCGACCGAGCCGCTCCGAACTGCCCGAGTCAAAATCTCGGCTGCACTAGTGGCTGTGTCAGACCCAGACCCAATTTCATTGTGACACATTCCGTTGACTAAGCGCAGAGCGACAGTTTCGGCGTTGACCGCAAACCAACCCGCGCCACCCTCACTCATCCCGGTGCCTACCCAGCCTCAGTCCTACCTCAACCTTGTCTCAACCAACGCAGTCGTCGTATATCACCTTAAGCAGAGCAATATGACCACAGAAAAAGGGTAAACCACCCCCCGGAATGCGCTCAAGACTACGTTGTTCATCCTGTTGTGTCCCACAGGTACCTTGGCGTGACCCTCCCAATCTCGACCGCCGACTCGAGCGACCGCGAAAAGGAGCTGACCAAGACCTTGATGGAGGAGCTGAGGAGACAAGGGACGTTTGAGAATGTAGAGGAGTCGCGAACAAGGTGGGTGTTTCGTGCCTTCATGCTGGGCCCGAGTGCATATTGGCTGTTTTGTCGCTATTCGCACCACGAGCGTCAATCACAACATGGCTGTATTCCCATCTCATGCTTTCATTGCATGTAATAACCTAGCTGTCCTGGACAATATATGGCCCTCAAAATGGCTATTCGCTAGCTAAAGCTATCCACCTCGATTACTAACGATGTTCGTTGGGCAGGGAGCTCGTTTTGGGGCGCGTGGCAGCTGCCGTGAAGAAGTTTGTACGACAAGTCTCCCTCTCTCGAGGGCTCTCCGAGTCCGCGGCCACCGCCGCAGGGGGCAAGATATTCACATTTGGTTCTTATCGTCTTGGGGTGCACGGAGCAGGGTCAGATATCGATACGTTGTGTGTCGTCCCTAAACATGTACTCCGCGAAGACTTTTTCGAGACATTCGAACCTATCCTTCGTGAAGTAGAGGGTGCGTCGGAGGTTTCGGTACGTGATAAGCGCTCTGTTGTGGTGCAGCGAGCTGACTTTCAAGGACAGGGCGTTCCCGAAGCGTACGTTCCTATCATCAAGGCGAAGATATCCGGTATCCCTCTCGATTTCCTAATGGCTCGGTTAGCCTTGTCATCAATACCGGACGATCTGACGTTGCAAGACGACAATCTTCTGAGAAATCTCGACGAGCGATGTATACGAAGTTTAGGAGGTTTGTCCTGCAACACCCTGGGCGTCAACGTCATCTCCTAACCTCGCATTTAGGTTCACGCGTGAACGATGAAATCTTACGGTTGGTACCTAATGTTGAGGTGTATCGGGACTCGTTACGGTGTATCAAGTTATGGGCTCAACGTACGTCGTGCTTCTTTTTTAACAGCATTCCTTCTTAATGTTTCGCAGGGAGAGCCATCTACTCGAATGTCAACGGTTTTCTGGGAGGTGTCGCGTGGGCTATTCTTGTAGCCCGAATATGCCAACTTTACCCGAATGCCGTCGCAGGCGCGATTGTTAGTCGCTTTTTCATCATCATGTATCAGTGGTATGTCCCTACGGTACAGCCTCAGTTGCGCATACCCTCATTCCCCATAAAGGTCGTGGCCGCAGCCAGTGCTTCTCAAGCAGATTGAGGAAGGACCCTTGCAAGTCCGCGTCTGGAATCCTAAAGTCGGTGTCAACCCCTTGGAAGGCACAGATAAGAAGCTAACTTGAGAACGCAGCTATACCCCGGCGATCGTTCACACCGGATGCCGATAATAACGCCTGCGTATCCCGCCATGTGCTCAACGCACAATGTGACGCAGTCTACGCAGATGATTGTCACGGAGGAGTTCAAGAAAGGTCAGTCACTCATCCTACACTTTTTCGCGCTCAGTCTCTCAGATATTTTCGCTTTTAGGCGCCGATATAGTCGATAAGGTTATAGTAGGATCGGCTACGTGGGCTGACTTGTTCAGAAAGCACGACTTCTTCCACAAGTACCGATATTACCTTCAAGTTATCGCGTCGACAGACAATACCGAGACGCAAATCAAATGGTTCGTACCGAGCGCCGACTTCACCGCCCTCATTCAAGCTAACAAGACTGTTTAGGGCAGGGACGGTGGAGTCGCGGCTACGACAACTCGTCATGAAACTAGAATATGTTGACTCTCTCATCCTTGCTCATCCGTTCATAAAGGGATTTGATCAAGTTTGCCATTGCTCGACCGAGGATGAGATACGGTCAGTAGCGTGCGGCGAAATACCGGAGGCCGTCAGGAAGCGGAAAGCTGAAGACATTAAGAATGTCGAGGGGGCGCAGACGGTGTACTCAACGGCGTTCTATATTGGTCTCGAGATTGAACCCAAGCCAGGTGCGTGATCATGCTTCTGGATTTCCGTTTGCTTATATAAGTATCTCGCGTTGAAGCTGGCGCTACCGGTCCACGAAAACTCGACATATCGTACCCAACGACCGAGTTTACGAAATTGGTAAAGATGTGGGAGAAGTACAATGAGACGACAATGGGTATCTACGTTCGACATATGAAGAGGTAGGTTTTGATTGATGCCCATGTTTCGCATGTCTGGCTGATATGTTCGAAGTACATCACTACCGGACTACGTATTCGATGAAGGCGAACGTCAACCGCGGCAGAATCGCAAACGGCCCAAGAACAATGTGGGTCTCCCTGCTCTTTGGACTCCATGCCGCTCATTTCAAATTTCTCGTCAAGGCTGGCAAGTCTAGCAACGCCTCCCCCGACGGGCCCAACAAGCGGCCTCGGTAAGTAAACCCCACCCTCCCGTCCCTCCCCACTCAAAGCCTTCGTTGTAGTCCCGAGAGCTCCGCGCCAACTCCGGCACCCGTAGCTGCTGCGGCTGCAGCCGCCACCGCGAAGCAAAATGGCGATGACGGGATCCCTGGTCTCTCATCAGGTGCGCCTGCCAATGGTTCCAACGGGGTTTATCCTACTCCGACGGTTCCTCCTGTCAAAGTGCAGGACATCAAATCGCCAACGTTGCCATTTGGCGAGAGTGCAGCAGCAGCAGTGGTTACTGGAGCCGCCAACGCGCAATAGTCACCCTTTCTCTTGCCGATTCCCACAGGCAAGGGTGGTATGCCCCAGGTTGTTGTATAGATAGGTCACCTTCAGATTCGCGATGCCATGATCCGGGGGCGAACGACTCATCCACTCACGGGTCTACACGAAATCCGCTCTTGGGCTCCCGATCTTGGTTTCATTCATCCGTTTTCTAGGGAACAATCGGGGCTACGGCCGACAACCATGGCTTTGACTCGACGGTATGCCGACTAAATCAATAGAGGTGTTCGAATTAGGCGATATAAACGAATAGAGAATATCCGACATGGGCGACAGCGAACACATGGCGCGTCCGCGTTCTGGTCTTACACCCTCTAATCCAAAACCTTCTCTTTTATTTTCTGGTTTGCTTCGCTTGACATTCGATTTTTCGCTAATGGCATTTTCTCTCCCCCTCCCTTTTTCTTTGATTTCCTCGTCGCCCCGTATGGATTCCCACCTTGTTTCGGGTGCCGATTCGCTCGATTCTCGTTCCGTTTGGTTTTGGTTTGGCTGTAGCCCCTGAATTTCTGTCCTGCTTTTTCCAAGCTGGGCACTTCATTCTCTTACCTTTCGAGCACATAAGATGTATTGTAGCTTACATCGTATAAATATTTTTATGGCCGCCCCGTTGGAAGTTCATTTGAGGCCTTTCGAAAATCAAGTTGTGAGCGAGTGCTAGAGCAGCGGGCGAGGCGGACCTCACGAAATAATGGCACAATAGGGGCTAATTAGGCGCCCTCGGCGCGACGTCTCACCCTCTCTTAGCTTCACTTGATCTCCATGATCATGGCAACCTCTGCATTTGTGCCTTTACCTTCCGACAGCGCATCTCAAAAGTATGTCACTGTGTCGGCGATCAACACAGGTACCCTCATGCTCCGGCATGATGAGCTCTTCGCGGACGCCCAGCCGGAGGCAGACGGGAGGTATGCTGAATCCTTTGTTCCTTGCTTCTCGTTCCTAGTCGAGCATCCTACCCATGGGAAGCTATTATTTGACTTGGGGCTGCGGAAGGTCAGTAATTTCTAGGGCCAACCATGCGCCGCCTCGCGTGTCTTATCAGTATGAGAGACGACGGAACCCATGGTGTTGTAGGACAACGCGGGCTATCCGGCTCAAGTGCAGCGAAACGCTGACGAGTCAAAGACGGAGTGTGTCGGGGATGTCTTTGAGCAGCTGAGTAGAGGGATGGTCGGCGTCGACCCGAAGAAGATTCAGAGGATTGTGTATAGGTGCGTTTTCGAGCGACATCTTATGCAGCATCTTATAACGGGTATCGACATACAGTCATCTCCACTGGGATCACGTCGGCGACGTACGCCCATTCACAAACGCGAAGATTGTTCTCGGGGCTGACTCTTATGACGTGGTTGCGAGTGCATCCTCGGAGGGAAAACTTCATCCGTTCCCTCAGGATCGCAAGCTGGTCTACGTCAACTTTCATTCAGGAGGCCAGATCTCAACTACAAGCACCAACGAGAACACGTCTGTGCTAGATAGACGTGTCCTCCCACTTGGCGCGTTCGAACGCGCTATAGACCTCTATGACGACGGCTCGTTCTACCTGATCGACGCGCCCGGCCACATGGCTGGACACCTCGCTGCGCTTGCGCGCGTTGGTCCCGATGGCTCCTTCGTTCTCCTCGCTGGGGATGCGTGCCATGATCGGCAATGTTACCTTCGCAGTGCCAATGAGGACCAAGGTACCACGCGAAAGCTACCCAAGATCATCTATGTCGATTTAGGGGCCGCGCAGGAAACGGTTGGGCGGCTGACGCGGATGAGCGAGGAGCCCGGGGTGGTAGTCATTCTGACGCATGAGAAGGAGCATTTGGTAGAGGGGCCAAAGATGCCGTTGTTTCCAGATAGTCTGAATGGGTGGGCCATAAAGAAAATGGTGCGCCGTAACTCCACAAAGATCGACGAATGAAAGGTCCTTCCCTACGACAAATGGATGAAACATCTGCCATCGTTGACCCATATGTGCAGAGCATCGAATGCAATTTTAATAAATAGTTGTATCACCTAAGATCACATTCTCTATGATAATCGCCTTCCATCAATCCTCCGAGTCGAGCTCCGGTGTATTTGAATCCCTCTGCATGCGATCACCACTTTGGCGCGTGATCAATGACATGTGTCCAGCCTCCATGCGAGGCGGCTCGCTCGAGACTCCCATGACGAGCTTGCTCCCGAGCGCCTCGAAGTTGAGATATGCGCCTAGCCGAAAGCGGTCCGATTTCCAGATACGCTGATACACGTACGACTCGCGGCTCGACGAGGCCGATGGGGATGTGGACGGAGAAGGGCCTCTATATGGCGAACGGAGCCATACCCGCAGGCGGTGTGAGGCTCCTGACGGCGTGGAGGAGATAGGTATCGAGCTGTTCATCGCCCATGGTTAGCTTCGGGAGTGACAAAAAATAGGGGTGATAGAAGGGCTCACTAGATCATAAACGACACCTCCTTCGGCTCGCAGTCCAGCCTCAGCCTCAGATCTTCAAATAGCGGTCTCCCCGCGCCCGCTGCCTCATACTCGAGCGAGCACGCATACACGCCCTTTTCTAGCTCTCGCCAGCCCACGACGAACCACACGCGTGCGTTCCCAACCATCGCGTTGTATATGGTTTTGTCAGAATCTGAGTTGCGCAGAACAGCGAAGGAGGCGTCGCCGAGCAAGCGGAAGTCGGGGTCTCGCGCAAGCCAGAGTTCATTCTCGGCGAAGAGTTGGTGCGAGACATCGCCTGTTTGAAGCCAGACGCGGAGGGACCAGAGACAGCCTGGGGGGAGACTTGTGCGTGGAGGAAACATACTAAGGATCCGTTAGCTTTTATGAGCAACGAAGAGGGGTAGAAGGTGCGCACAAAACGGAGAACTGGAGCTGACGTGGATCGATAGTCAAGCGAACGGAGACAGGCTCGCAGAGTGCGCGCTCGACGAGTCCGGCCTTGATCGAGAGCGAGAATGTGTAATGGTGTTGTCGCTTGGGGTCAGGGTCTATCCTGCGGGAGAAGAACGACAGTTTCAGCTCGACTTTGGAGTCCAAGTCATTACATTCCCTACGCACATGATGAATGTTTCCGCCTGCACCGATGCGTTGTACAGAGTGTACGAATATACAATCGTCTCTTTGGGTGGTTCAATAGACATGTTTAGAAAGGATTCGTCGATGTTGGAGCTCTGTGGGCTTTGGTCTAACGTTAGCCCAGTGCAAGTCGGTTATAAAGAGTGAGCATCAACCGTTGAGCAAGTGACGAACGCCGCACACGGCGAGGATCCAAAGGGGCCCAGGGGTTGGTTGAAGGCGAAGCATTGGCAGGGGATAGCCTGTCGTCACTTCCGGTGATGGCGAACAGGGCAGAATCAGTCGAAGACTGTGTAAGACAGTTGATGGTACGCACGAAGACTTCCTAGCCGACTTGCTTCCCATCGGTGTCACTGATTTGGGACTGGTTTCGGTGTATGCTGGCAGGTCCTCGTCGCCCCTAGCTGGTTCTCTGTCTGGGCGAAGTACATTCCATGCTGACTCGGAGCCCTTCATGGTGAATCAGACAATTGATAGTGAGGGGAATGCAGGCAACTCCAAGGCGCTTGAGGAGGCATACCCCCTTTACGGAGAGGAGGTACTGATACCCGCGTCCTCGAGCACAGCACGTCAGGGGCACATGCACGCGTCGCGGCCATTTCCGTATGTCATACGCGCCTCCGCGAAAGGAAAGCCAGTCTCAATGCTTCTCCGTCACAGTCCATGGCAGTCCTTCAGCTTCAGCTTGCACCACCGATGTTCGCCTGTACGCTTTGCTCATAGCACAAAACAATCCAAAGACCGATGGCCGGGCTGGGAAGTCGTGGTGGGCATCGAAGTCCACGCTCAGATAAAGTCGCGTCGAAAACTCTTCTCAGGTGCGCGTTCCGTCCCAGTTTTCTGGCTTCAAGCACTCACGACTCTGCCCACTTGATGCTGGGTCATCTACAGAGACACTCACTTCTACTCTCAGCGAAGCACCCAATACTCATGTCTCCCCATACGATGCCGCCTTCCCTGGGACCCTTCCTGTACGCCGGCCCGCCCTTGTCACTTTTGCCTGCCCCAGCTAATATCCAAGGAAGCGTCTCAACCCCACATGTGTCAAACTTGCCTTGAGAACTGCTCTCGCCTTGCAGTCGGACATACATCTTCGTTCTGCGTTTGACAGGAAACATTACTTTTATGCAGACCTGCCGTCAGGATATCAAATCACGCAACAGTATTGTGAGTCACTTCTGTTCTTAACTCGTGTTGGCAAGGTCCATGTTAAACCATGGTCTTAAGCACCCTTGGCGACAGGAGGGGTACTCGAGCTACCTAACCTCGGTACATCCGTACGCGTCAAGCAAATACAACTCGAGCAGGTGCGCATATGTCCAATCCCCCAAGGACCACTGGCCAAACAAACATTATTCCTAGGATACCGCCAAATCGACATTTGACCGCAGGCGCAAGCTCTCCCACATTGACCTCAATCGAGCAGGGACCGGACTGATGGAAATTGTCTCCGAACCGGACATGAGGTACGTGTACTGTCCGCAGCGATGATGCTAGATGGCGAGTACTCACGTCGGCTTGTTCTTTTAAGGTCCCCAGAACAGGCAGCAGAGTACGTACGGACACTTCAGGCACTCCTGAGAGCGGTTGGATCGAGCGACGGGAATATGGAGCAGGTGCATACCTCGTTTACTACTATGTCCTCGATCCTAACTTCTAATTTCTTCATTGACTAGGGATCTATGCGGTGCGACGTGAACGTGTCAGTCAACCGCCAGGGTGAGCCGCCGGGAACTCGGTGTGAGATCAAGAACCTGAACAGTGTCAAGTTCATGATGATCGCTATCGGTGAGCCCCTACTTTTGTTTCCCGCCTCGGTTTCCTTGTCTCACCCTTTTTGGCTCACGCGATACGCAGCTTCTGAGGTTTATCGACATATTGACCTCATTGACGCCGGAGGCACGGTCTCACAGGAGACGCGTGGCTTTGACGAGGACAGGGCCGAGACGTTCCGGCTGCGAAGCAAAGAAGATGCGCCAGACTATCGGTATATGCCCGACCCGAATCTGCCCCCGCTGCTCCTCACGTCGGTGAGCTACACCTCCCTTCATTTGCAGTACGACTGAGGGCTAACAGTGGACCATAGAAATTTATAGACATCGCGAGGCAGTCCATGCCCGAACTGCCTAGGGCTACGCGGGCACGCCTTCTAGACGTCGGTTTGACAGAGAATAATGTCGACGTGCTCATGGCTGTTGACTCGGGGCGGGACATTGGCTTCGATGGCGAGATGAAGCAAGGTGCCGTCGCTTACTTTGACGCTCTCGCTGAGGGTCGAGACCCAAAGGTTGTCGTCAACTGGTATGTCCATACCCTTTCGAGTGCTTGTTAAGTTGCTCATTACCTCTACAGGATGACACACGAACTTCTTGGCCAGTTGATGTCTCGCAACCAGACCTTCAGCCATAACCCAATCTCGGTCGCGCAGATGGGCGAGCTCATCGACCTCGTACAAGCGGGCACCGTCACCGGTACGTTTCTTCCCTTACATTTGTATCACAAGGACTCGCTCACTGACAGCTACCCAGGTACCGGTGGAAAGTCCGTCCTCCGCCATCTCCTCGACAATCCATCTTCGACTTCCGTGCACACCATCGCAGAACAGCTCGGACTCCTTGCACTCGAAGCAGGCGAAGAAACGGACAAGGCCCTGAACGATTGGTGCAAGCAGGCGATCAGTGCGCTCCCGAAAGAGGCAGAGGCCGCGCGCAAGGGCAACGAGCGCGTGTTGAACAAGCTCGTCGGCCGCGTGATGAAGCTGAGTCAGGGACGCGTGGATGCTATAAGGACGAAGGAGGTGCTGTCTGGGATGTTGGTGCAAGGGAAGTGAGGGGCGTGGTTAAATGTGGCTGGTAAGGACACATGTGGAGGTGGCGCGCGGACGTGGAAGAGATCGTTTTTAGCTTGCAGCGCAGTTCTTTGCTCCGCAATAACTCCTGCTTCGTCGTGCCGGGGCAAGGTAGCGGGTGAGTTCGGGATGCTGTCGGAGACTTCAGAGTTTGTGTTATTATAGCGTCGGAATGACCCAGGGGGCGAGGCAATCAACGAGCCAGGGCAACGGCTAATGCTAAGGGTGACTTGATCAACGCAAACACCCTTGAGGTAGTTGGGTGACACAGCTGTTCCGAGCAAGGGGAAACGGTGCGCTTATTGCTGCAGCATCTTTTATACCAATGAAAGGGTTATGAGATGTATGAACAGTGGAAGTAAGGCATATTAGACGACAATAATATTGAGAGAAGTATGTCACTCACTGGCATGCGAGCAAGATTAATTGGGCACAGCCACATTTTGGCAAACGGTACCACACGCTCCTTGTCCGATGACCGTTACCATCCCAGCCAACTTTTCTTCCACCATGCTTATTGCTGAGACTACAATCATCAGTTGCGTTACACCGGACTTCCACCAGGCTATAGGTTTGTCTCATCATCTCACTGGCCGGCTTCGCGTGGTCCAAGTGTTGTTTCTTGGACGTGCCAAGTTCCTCCATGATGAAGTGGCACTCTTTGGACAAACGATTCACCCACATTGCCAGAAAGCCTCAACGCTTCGCTCTCACAAAGGTCTCTGGCATACTGGGCCCGATGTTAACACGGGCCGCTCGTTGAATGGGCTGGATGCGCTTTATCCGCCTCCAAACACTTCATCCCCAGCCATCGAAGTTGCTGTCACCGAGTCAGCCTCTGCATCTTTTCTCGTCGAATCCTTATCTTCCTCCTCAAAAGACTCCCACAGAATTTCGATCTTTCTGCGCGTACCACAGTCACTGTCGAAACCCTCCGAACGAAAAGTCTAAACTGAATTACAGGCTTTCCGCTAATTCCGTCGTTTCTCGTACGTTCTTCACAAAAACTCCCGAAGGAAAAGTCTAAACTGAATTGTAGATATTCCGCTCAACCCATCGCTCCTCGTACATTTGCCGAAGATCTGCCCCAAGCGAGCGCTTCTTGAGCCCCTTCTCCGCGCACGACTTGCAGCTGTGGGTGTGTATTCTTGTATGCGTCTGACCATATGGACAGCCTGAGTTCCAAGACGGTACGTTACATCATGGGACTTTTGGATAAGGCGAAGTTTCGGTGAAGGGTCTCGGGGAAAACGTACGCGCCCGGGCCGCCTGGAGAGGTTTGCACTTTGCGCGTCGTCCTCGCGGCCCCGCATGCTTGGTTCTCGACAATCTCGCACGGGATAAATAAAACTCACTACCATCGCCACTATTTACCCCGGTACTCTGGATATCTGGTGGCCGTCGCAGTTGGCTTCGGAATTGCGCACCAATGTTACCTTTCCAAGTTCCATGCCGTTTGGGGCGAAATTCATCTTTGATGGACCACGACGTACCGTTGGTTGGCCTCGACTCCTGTGGCCTCTTGTTCTCGCCTCGCGACCCTTCCCTCGGCTATAAAAAGGTCGCAAGCATGAATATCCCGGGCACGCACTTCGGTCGGGCATACTAGAGCATCAAAGCCCAACCCCCGGAACCCTCACACGACACGTCGTTCGGTGCGCACTCGGTGCGCACGGGTCGGCTTCCCAGACTCTCATCGTTGGGTTCGACCATAGAACAAACTCCCGCAGGATAAAAATCCTGCCCACCTAGAGAGCCTGGGGTACACAGCTGCTATATGAGCCCTCGCGTGCTCTGAACCGAGGGGCGGTCGTGTTTCCCGCACTCTCCCTCTGCACCCCCCACTCCCCGCGAGTCCGCTCGTTGTATTATACCCTGTCCCTTCCCCCTCGTCGGTGTGTGGGACTGGCCCTGAACCCCATCCCTATATTGTCGCTCAGAACAAACTACACTGGAGATGAATAGCTCGGGATATTCAGATACACCGAGCATCCTCCAGGCTCCGCTCATCTCTGCGTTCATTGCGTGCATACTGTACGGCGTTGTGTGCACGCAGACGTTCGCGTACTATAATCGCTTTCCCCGCGATTCCATGTTCATAAAAACCACGGTAAGCAACTGATCAATCGCACAGGACAAGCTGTAGTGCTCATACACCATGTGGTATCCTGCAGGTCTTTTCAGTTTGGTAGGAACTCGTGCTTGACTTTCAGTTGGGTGTAGCTGTACTGATTTACACCCAGTCTACTTGAAGGCGTCCACACGGGCCTGCTCATCTCTGTTCTTGATTTCTATGTTGTCAGAGAGGGTGGCGACGTGGACGTTCTGAATCTCATATACAAGTACGTATCTTGCAGATCATACAATGTCGAACTTCGCGTCTGATAGAAGTATTTCTAGGGGTGTCGGGGTAAGGGTTTCGTCTTCCTCCTCGATAGTGGTCTGACTAAAGACTCGGGGGGTAGATTTGTTATATCTTCGGAGTAGGTTTCTCAAGCTTTTGGAAGCTAAGCTACCAGGCAAGCGCTAAGTGCTGATACCACGCCTTCCCAGTATGTCTCCACCTACATAGTCAACATGTGAGTTTATTATGCGCCAAGTGCACCATACGTTCACATGGCTAATCATCGCACCCTTGATTTTCCAGGTTCTACATTTGGCGCATATGGATCAGTAAGCTCGTTTTCTGGCAACATGTGCGCTCTCCGAGGAGACTCCGACGGCTGACTACTTCACTTGCTCCAGTCAGCTCACGGTCAATACTCAGCCTCATCATCGTACGGCCTTCCTTTATTCCATGACCACTAAGGCTAAATGACCTTGGTTAGGCAACTTTGTCTACAGCGCGTGTTGGTGAGTGAAGCTTCATTTGTGCATGAGGTTAAACATACGCTAATGGAAATCTCAGCGGTTGAAATAACATTTTGCACCAAGAGGTGAGAAAACATTTCACCCGGGCAGTCATATGTCCATATTTGTCGAGATTCGTTTCTAAAACGTAAATCTCCCTTCTTGCTGTGTTCTCCGCCTCGGCTCCGGATGAGAAGCCTGTTCAACAACCAGTGGAACCTTTTCACCACATCACTTCGAGTAAGTCTTCGACCCTTCGGAATACTTATTCGCAACATCCACCGTACTCACGGTCGGGCCCCGCTCCACCTTTAAATTTAGCCTATCTTCCTCGCGTCAGCGATTCTGTGCGCTATCGAGGACTTATGGATTGCTCTCTCGATGTCCTACTTCCTGTACCAGGGAAGAACCTCGACGACGGTGTACGTGCTCACCTTCCTTGATACAAAAAGGCCTAGCTTACCATCGGGAAATATTCGAATAGGTGCCAGAGTGTGATCAGTCGGTGTATACGGTACACCGTTGGCACTGGTTCGTTGACGTTGTGAGCATTGATATGATGTCTTATCTCCCCCTTCTAATATGCCTCTTCGTGACCCAGCGTGCTTACGATCGTCATCATCGTTACGGTATGCATTTCTTCGAGCAATATTGATAGCGAGCTTTTGACGGCGACTTACCCTGTGTCAATGAAGATGTACACGGTCCCCAACATCACGTTCATTTGCCTCGTCTACGTCCAGTTCAAAAGTGCGCTCATCTCCCTTCTTGTGCTGGTCCAATGATCTTTACACGCCGATTCCAGTTTACTCAAACTCATTGCTTGTGTCGTAAGTATAAACTACCTCGTTATCTATAATCTACCCTTTGTATACCTGGCTCATGTACCATCCAGGCTCAACTCGCGCAACCCCAAGCGCCGGCGCGACCCCATGCGGCCCGACGCTCTGCCTGTGCTTCCCGAAACGCCCATATCCACATCATTCACCATAGTCTCCCCGCCATACTCGCCTCATCCACCACCTTCCTCCCGTGACCCTGTACGGCCGGGATGGCACTGGCAGACGGGAGACATGCATCCGTACAGCGTGGAATCTTTCGGGCATGGCGATGACACGGAGGGAGGAGGGATGATGCCTGCCTCGCCTGTGAGTTCGCGCTCGCCGCTCGCCGTATACGTGGTTAGTCAACATTAATCCCTTTCTTTTTTTCTTTCCCGTCGCTCATAGATGCCGGTTATCCTCGAACTTGGGCTCGGGCGTGGACAGATAACGGAGAGCTCGAAGGACATTTGAAAGTACAATTTGTCATACCCATATTTGCACAAGGCTTCACGGAATATGAAAATTGTGAGAAGTTCAGCTACGTCAATGCAATACCCATATGTTATCGTTTTCACATTCAATATTTGCATAATTTCTGCAGTTTTCCCTTTGCATGTTTGCATACAGCGAATAATAAAACACATTTTACATGGTATAAAATGTTCCACAATAATCACTTTCGATTAATTACCCCGAGGTTCTCGAGGCAGTCCAAAACTGCACCCAAGGCCAACCAGCCAAAGCTTTGTGTACCGAACAATTCCGTGCTATTCTCTGCTCGATGATTGATGCTTTGCTGCCATGCAGCCCACGCTTTATGTAGTCCGTTGCGTACCTCCTCACTCGGAGCTACTTCTAAATCTCCTATAAGGTCTCGTCGAGTTTCTTGTACGAGGTGGGTCGCGCATTCTCTCATTCTATGGAGACGATCTTTTCTCCATCCCTTCTGAGAGCACTTAGCAAGGATCGTGGATGCTATCACCTCCTCTTCTCTCAGGCAATCATCCGCGGCGTCAGTGAGTGAATGGGTCATGCAGATGTAGCGAAGCTCGTCTTGATACCTTTTGAAGATGGTCTCTACTATACGAAGGACGTTTCTCTGTTCTTGATGACTGGCTTGAGCTAGTGGGTATCCGTTGACTCGCTGCTGCACCACCTGAGAAATCGAGTCGCCGTAGGAGTCAACTTCGACGTGAGCCAGAGTTTCTCTGTCTTCATCCAGTTTTGTCCGATACATGTGACCGAGAGCTCGATTCGATCTGTAGTAATCACAGGGGTGGGAGGATTCGTCTTCAGCCTCATGCCAGTCGGGCTTAAAGGGTATCAGCCGACGAGGCATCCGTCGGATGTCTACAGGGATACCGTTCTTGAGGTAGTCGACAGCCTGACTGTGCATTTTCGCGAGCTCCAAGCAGCGGCGGTCAAGCGTCCCATCCTATCAAGGACGTTGGATTAGGTTGAGTTCTCTTAACTATCAAGGTCGAGTCGATATACCTTAACAGATTGGTCTGAAGGAGCTCGATATTAGTAGTTATTTTTAAACACTGCTGGCATCTGGTGCTAGCTTTACCTGCAATAATGATGTGGGTGTCGGCAACTAAACCCTAGGTGAAGTTCGTGTGTCAGAGAGTAAAATAATGTCACGTCAGCCGGCGGAGTGTCTCACGTACCACGACATCGGAATGTATGTATTCGACTACAAAGTCGCAAATGTCATCAAGTGTGACCGGCCTATCCAGAGTATATGGCTCCCGTGCGTCATATTCAGTCGGGTCCACCTGCTCCGTGATGAAAAGACGCTGTTCCATGATAACATCGTAAAGATCTCTGTTGATGAAAAGTTACTACATTCAAAGCAAAAGAATAACCACTGTGACATGCCCATCGCCCCCAAGGCAATTGGCTAGAGGAAGCGTTCCTGAAACAATGTTAGGTCATTACCGCCACGATAGAACTATGAGTGCCACCTCGAGAAGCGAAAACAACAACGTTTTTCAAACGCGCAAACGCGCATAGCTGGTTTTCTGGCGGTTTTCCTATGGCGTACACTCTCTGCACTAGTTCTGATCAATACCCCATGGGAGCTCGGATGGGTGTGTAATGGCTTACCATCTCCTGGATGAACTACAGGAGACCTAGAGATGACACAAGTTCCTTGAAGCCATTGTGGCTCCGCGTCACTTGGATCCTGGATGCAGGCTAACCAGAGGGTAGGTTAAATTAGTTGTCATGTTCGCTAATGTCTGAGAATTATTCAGACTACCATATATTTGGCCTTGACGTAAGGTGAAGACATTTTCTTTTCCTGCGTTGATATATGCTTGGCCTTCGTCAGCCACTCCAACCAGCTGGTAGCTTCCTGGGATGGGGATGCGAGCACTGTGCCTGATATCCCGCAGGATATGTTTTATTACACATAAGCGCACTCGAGCTAGAAAATCCGTGTCCAAGGACTCTTGGTCCTGTCCTGTCCTGAGCACCAGACCCAGGGCCTTGAGTTTGAGGAGTGTTTGGTCTAGCCTGTAGGGAATCCCCAATCTGTGCTTCTGAAGGACAGCAACAAATTGGTCAACAGAGTCATGTGCCGTTCTAGCATCAGCAACCGCATCGTTGAATAGCTCCAAAAAACCTTCCGTCTTAACACCGCGGTCCTCGAGGACCATGACGAGAGGTCTGGGGACAAATATGTTGTGTATGTTGCACTCTAGATGTGTAGACATACCTGTTGAGGAAGGAGCGGCCCGGCTTATCGAAGGCTCTAACGATTTCGATTTCTGCATCCTCCGACTCATCTAGAGGAAGGAACTTCTTCATTGATGGGCGAGGACACATAATTTTACCTTCAAGCTGATGGTCTACGACGAAGACACCTTTGAGGCCCGCACACCGAACCTGAAACTATACAACAACACGATAATTATAAATATTGCGAAAATAATTTGGAGCCTGACTTGTACTTACAGCGTCTGGCTTCGTCGATATACTAAGTGCTTCACATATTCTATCCCTCAGCTTCGGTGAGATAGTCCCGATGCCATCAGTGAACACATGGGGTGGTCGAGCTGGGTTGTTATGAGGGCCTGTAATGTCCGGGATTTCGACTATCTGGTCTTTAGAGACCTTGATTGAAGGCTGCGTGGCAGAGAATGCTTGCTGAAACGATGCTTTAGTACATTGAGGCACATAACAGGCGTTTGTACTCACCCCCATACGAGCCGCGCGCTTTGCGGGTTGGTTTGTTGTGGCTGAAAAGTTGCCGAGCTCCTTCAATATCTGTACCGGAGGTCTAAACCCTTCCTCGCAAACAAACCACAACGAGTGATTGCGGAGAGCGGAAGGCGAGTAGGCCACGAAGCTGAAACGCCTCCCCGCAACGTCGACTCCACCTTTGAGCTTCGCTCCAACCCTGCTCGTGAGAAATTCCAGCACATCAACCTCGCGCTCCCATCTGTATTTCTGGCGGTTCTCTTCTCTAAACTCAACTCGGATGAAATGATCCTTGAACTGATCGTATTTGCGAATTACTCTGTTGGACTGGGTGATATAGGGGCCTTCGAGCAACATGCGAGTTGGGGTGATGGTGACATGGGAGCAGAAGAAATGGCCAGCCGGAGGAGTACGACGAGGCTGATTGCTGGCTCTATAGTTCACAAGTTCGTCCAAAAGCTCGAGAGGCTGTCGAAAGGACGTTTGAGATCGCGTCTTCTCGGTAAAGAGACGTAGTGTATCGCCTGTATGCTCCGCTGACTTGTTCGAGAGCTGAGTGATAATGGGACGGATAGACTCTATTTCCTGAGTGTTCAAGAGCCCGTTGTGTAGCAGAGCAGCGACCTGGAATGCAACAGGCCAATCCAAGGATTTCATCCACCCCGTTAATCTGTCGACACGACGCTGAGCAAAAAATTTCTCAAGACCGGTGGCGTCAATCCTTCTGCCTCTGGTAGGAGCACGTAGGCCAACAACCCCGCAGAATTCCACAAACTTCTCCAGGTCGCCGGGTTCGGAGAGGAGAACGCGAATATGATGGGCGTAATCCGCCACGGCGCCATGACCTGAGCTCAACTCCCGTAATCGCCTGCGGGAGTTTCTCTCACGGGCGCGAGCATCTGGGCGGTATGTATCTTCCTCCTCCAGGACCGGTGGAATATAAAGATCAAAGTAGATATCTGTTCTATAGCGTAAGAGTCAGAGCAGGAGGGGGCTGTAGGGAGACGCACAATCGTTCCCAAAATCGTCTGCAATCATAACTTCCTTGATGGAAGAGAACTTGATGACGACGTGTTGCTCTACTCCACGGTTATCTCCAATCTGTCGTGATTGAGTTGAAATAGCACGAGTATGAAAGTCATCTACTACCTTCGCCATTATTGATTTGTGCTCATACACAAATTTCAGCCAGCCTATCTTCGGGGGTTCGAGGTTCATTGAATACTCTATGGAGAAAGACAGCGGGTTGGTAGGGGAAGTCTGGTAATAGACACCTTCATTCGCACGTACATCTTTAGCACAGCATGGACAAATGAGCTGATATTTGTACCCACCAAACTCCACAGTCTTTACACGCAACGACACATCAAGGTCATCCAACGTCGACTGATGTTTCCTCTCTATGGCAGGATCCACAAACACAGTTGTCTGCAGAATCATGGTGACGTCTTTCGGGACAGGATGATTGCTACGAAAGATCTTGAGCTCCCTGCCCCCGGCCCGAATCCGGTGAGAGGCGTCTTCGTGGAGCCAATCCAGAAACCGCCGACCGATCCTAGCTGAAGGGACTATCAGAGTTCCCCACCCGTTGTGACGCACACCAGGGCGTCCCTGGCGGTCCAGCTCGACGCGGAAGTTCATTGGTGGCTCTTGACAAGGATCGATGACGAATGGATAGGCGTGCAGAACCTCGGAGAGCGCATGTGTGACACCGACTTCGTCCTCCTGGAAATCGACGTTCCTGAGAGTGAACTCCATCAACACTGAGCTCTGAGAATGCACGGCAGAGGATGAGAAGAAGGTCTCAGCGCTCAGCGTTGACTGGTTCTGTGACCGAGCGACAAGTTTCAGTTCAAGCTGTTATCAAGCGCCGTCTATCGATGGTGTCGGTGGCTCGGAGCACATGATACAGCGCTGATCCTGGAAGACGAAAGTGTGTGAACGACACACAGACAAAAACGCCAAACCAAGCTCCTAAATCGGCGCGAAGTTAATCAAGTTGGCTGAGCGGTGCTGTTGCAGGTACCGGGGTACCGTGGACAAAGTCAAGGTCCCCGCCTGCAACGCGTGGCGGCATTATTGCCGGCCCGGCGTTTGCGAGTTTGCGAGATGAATTAGCCCCTGTCTTCTACAACTAACTTACCAGAACTTGCCTCGCTGTGTATTCTGACGGAGTGACCAGCCACCGGAGAAATGGTGGAACTTTATTTCTGACGTGCTCATTGCATGCTATTCGAACTTGCTTCTTGTGTCGTAAGCAAAACCATACTTGGCTCGTACACGAGCAGGTGACGGAGACTTGACGGAGAGCTCGAGGGACACTTACACCAGATTTGGGTTCTGGGTGACGTCACGCATCGTGTATGTAGTGAGCCCAGTGGAGACCCTCGATACAACTTGAGTCTTGAGGCGAGGAGGGGTTTGGGGTTTCAGGGCAGCGCGCTAGAGCGAGCTCGGCAATAGGCGGGGGGAAAACAAGGTTCCAGATAGGCGCTGGAGGTCATGCCCTGCCATGCCTGCCACGGAAGATGGACATCTCCGAACCGTAGACTTCCGGTGTCTTCCGAGAGCTGGTGTGAACCTCCCGCGGTGTCTTTGGATTTATTCCCAGTGAGGAGATCGCGAGAATCGTTTTGTTGATCATCACCGGGGGCAGCGGGCTTGGTTCCCGGCTTTCTCACAGGCATCTGTGCACCGCGTGCTCGGTCCGTTGGATACCACTGTAGCGCTGTCTGATACGTTTTGCGATGTGGAAGGGCGCTAGTTTTAAGTTATATGGGTTGAAGCGGCGTGTTGAGGGGAACATTCTATCAAGCGCCTCGACACGTTAGCGGGAGCTGTCTCTAACCATAACCGACGAGCTTGGAATTCTTACATACGTTCTGCAGACGGCGTGCGGCGTGCTGTAGACATGTGGCGGCGCTTTTGACTGAGCGTCTGTCGATAAGAACGTAACGGCGTGTTGCGGACCAATAGAATAGCCTGCAACTAGACTAGATGCCGACGAGGTCCATTCCGCCCCCACGGTCCTCGGATGGACGCGATGGTGCCTCGGTTGGGGTTTCGCTTGTCGACTCCGGCTGGCGAACGAGCATCAGCATCATGGGATATATTCCTGTTCACAGCTGTCCACTAGTGTCCACAATCCAATACATTTAAGGACGCCTTGAGCGCTCGATAAACGATCAGCAGCGATGCAGAGTATAAGTAGGACTGGCTGTGCAGCGTCGTCGTCCTCTACAGCATCCCACTAGCGCCATCTCTTGAGTCCTTACTTCGACGACGTTCACATTCGAGCCCTCAACATGGCCAGAGTTCGCCCGCAGAACAGGAAGCATACGCCCACAAGACCTACAACAAGGTTCACTACAAGGCCCGCGCCGAGACCAAGTCCAGGGGCAAACACCAGACGAGCCAGATCAGTCGTGTCGAGCTCGTCGACGTCACGATACAGTCCGCCGAGAGATTGGGAGGTCCGTCGCCCAGAAGGCCGTCCGCGCACTCCTGCGTGCTATGAGAGAGAGATGCCCCCATCGTACTCCCAGACGACCGTGAGCCCTCAAAGACCGCTGATACACGCCGCGGATCCGGTGTACCAGGGCGCAACACGTTCCGAGTACCGTTCCACCACGCCTGCAAGATACGATAGGGAGCCGCCTCCGTTGCGATCCCTCATGACGAGGGTGTCGAGTCGGAGCCCCCAGAGGCCTGTGCATATACCAGCCCCAATTTCACGCACCTCTTCCATGGCGAGTCACAACTCCATGTATTCCATTCGTCGTTCCATGTCCCCTACGAGGTAAGATAAGCCTGGGCTAGTCCTGTGCACACAATGCTGACATTGGACAGGAGCCTTCAAAGATACGGAAGTGCCCAAGAGTCGATGCCATACCCCACCCCTCCGAAGTATCGAGAAGCTCCCCGTTCTGTCATGCCTGCACGATATGAGAGAGAGCCATCTCCCCGGGGGCCATGTTTGCAGTATGTCATATCCAGCTGAATTATGAGGCTATTCGTTCTGACTATGGCCTCGACAGACCTGCGAGATATGATAGGGAGCCGCCGGTGGCACCGCGCAGGATGCGGACGCGGAGTAGGAGCCCTCAGAGGCGCGGGCCCGCACGCGGGTTGACGCAGCCTCCTACACAACCAAGGTATCACGATGCCGGTCGTCGCGCATATGGACCTCGCACGCCGCCAAGGCCCAACATGGGCCTGCCGCCGCCGCGGTCACGTACAGCACAGGAGTTGAACAGGACTCCGAACAGGCCATCAGAGCTTACCCAGTACCCGGCATCAGAACAGAAGTGGTCGTGGTCTCGAGAAGAACATCACCGCGCCAGCGTTGCAAAATACGAGGAAACCCTGCCTCAGCCGCGGTCGCAATTTGCACGGGAGTTTAGCAGAAGCCCCCGGAGGCCAGTACGCCCACAAGCATCCACGCCATCTAGAGGAGTGTCGCCTGACCGTCGGTCCGACTACCGTCATACTAGCGTTTCCAGTTACGATAGAGAGCCTTCTGTATCGCAGTCACGTTCAGAGCGGATGTTTAGCCGGAGCCTGGAAAGGCCCGAGCTCGAGCGTGGGCGAGAGGAAAGAAGGGATGAATGGAGTGGACAGGGGCTGCGGCGGCCGGGACTAGGGGACGATTTGACCCGAAGCAGAGGAGACTATCCAAGTCGGGCGGCATATGACCCAGACGATGGACCAGACGTCGACGACGCACACCACCACAACTATCGTTGCAAGGAGGAAAGAGCCGACTCTGTGATGGAGTGGACAGAGAGCAAGGAGGATGCGGGATCGGTACGTCGATGTTTTGTTTGCTTTGTGTTTTCCGCGTGAATCAGGTTTAACGTAATAATCCGCGCCCAGTCCCTCGCCAACAGCAACGGTAACGTTATCGCTGTCTCGCGTCCACACCCTTCCATCCTCACACCACCCTCAACTCCTCCAGAGTCCAGCCGTCCCTCCCCCACTTCGTCCACTGCCTCAGAGGCAGCCGTCCTCGATCTCCTTAGCGAAGACAACTCACCCTTGACCTATCACGCTGTTCCCTTCGACTCCCATTTCCAGCAAAACACCACGCCGCCTCCCACCATGACTTCTTCCGTCGACACGCGTTCGGCTCAGCTTCCTCCTGACAGCGCAAAATCTATCAACGGCAGTCGTCGATCCTCACGTGAATTCTGCCAAGGCAAGATTCTCCCGATCATCCGCCTCTCCTTCGAGAACAAGTTCCCTGGCAAGACGTTCGACGCCGAACGCGCGAGCGCACTCCTCACCGATGAACGCTGCGAGTTCTTCATACGCAAGGCGCGCGAGATGCGGGAGCAACTTCAGGCCATGCAAGAGGACGCTCCGGTGTCCAGCTCAGGGGTCGCTCGGGGTCAGGCGGAGGAGCGAGGCGTAAGAAAACGCACTTTGGAGGACTTGTACGCGGGTGAAGGCAACAGTGAAGGGAGAAGCGGCGGTTCGCCCGCGAAGATGCCACCCAACGCGCCACGGGCGATGCGTCTAACTGACCTGCAAGGACCGTGGTCTCCTGAACGTTCGGTATCGTCAAGCACAAGTGCGAACGCGTCAAGGAGATCGGCGCCCATGTCTGCGCCTGTTGGCTCTCCGTCTACGTCGTCTTCCTCAGCTGGCCGCTCGCAGAATATGGAGACCGTGCCGTCTAGCGCGGACCCGATGGGCTCTTCCAGGGGCCAAGCGTTCACGCTTCCCTCTGCTGCACAGCGCTCTCCATCGCCTTCATATGCATCGGCGCCCACACCATCGGGTTTCGACGGGTTCTCAGCGCCCACTCCTGGGGGACATGGATACGCGGCCCCAACACCTGGCGGGTGGTCAGCGCCCACTCCTAGCCCATATTCAGCACCCACGCCTGGCTCATATTCAGCACCAACGCCGTTCAGCGACGAATGGTCAGCCCCTACACCCTCTGGGCCATCTTGGGCCGACTTCGAGACCACGCCACAGTACGATGCTGCTGCAAGTGCTCCTGCGCCGGGCCCATACGTCGAAGATAGCCCTTCAAGAGAAAACTCTCCACGCCCTATGGACATCGACGGGTCGCAACTTCAGACCGCGAACGCGCCAACATCGACAGCAGCCCCCTCAGAACCCAAACCCTCCGTCCCCCTCGCCGCCCTCATGGACGCCCCACTAGAACCCTCAGGCTCAGCCCTCACATCCATCGACGCGCCTCATGGCGTCTGGCTCGCCGTGCGCGGCGCCGCCAGCGCAGGCGTGCACATCCTCGAATTCGACCTAAACCTGTCTCTGAACGTCAGCCCGCTCGCATTCCGCGTCCTCGCTCTCCCCATGCCCGACTTCTCCGACCTCCACTCCCGCCTCTCCAGCATCACCGACGCAGCAGCCGCGCGCTCTGCACTCGCCGCCGTCGTAGACGGCAGCACTGACGATGGCGCGTGCAAGTACAGGTGGCCAGGCAGACTCTTGATAAACCTGAACAAGGAACAGGGACACCGCGCGTGGACCGTGCGCGACTTTGTACGCCGTTTTCAGAGTTCTGGGCCTTTCTGAAGAACGCTAACAACCGTCGCTTACAGAAAAACGGACAGCCGCTGGACGTCGGCCCCGCGGTCCGCCCGGGCCGAAATTCTCTCCGCCTCGTGCAGCTGTGCGACCTGTCCAAGTGGGTGTTCCTCCTCTGCACCGCGCCCGCGTCCTCGCCCTCGTCCTCCCGCTCTACACCCAGCTATGAGAAGGAGGAGGAGGAGAAAGGCGCTACGTCGTCGTCAGGGACTGCCGCAGCGCCGAGCCTGAAGCGCGAGTTCGAGAACATCTCACGGACGGTCATCACGAGCGAAATGATGCGCGCGTGTTGGCCTGGTGCTGCTCGGCCACAGACCACCGCTTGTGAGATGTGAGGAGCTTGTGCGCTGTGTTTTCGGCTTGGGGTATATATATGTACATGTGCTTTGATTTCTCTCGCCTCATCTTTTCTGGCTGTTGCTGCATCTACCGCGCATTACTACTTTACCCTACCCGCTCTTAAACGTATTGCCTATGAGGAAGGAAGACTGGCATTGTATTCTATCTAGCATATCAACATCGTCGTAACGCCTGTGGGCGACGAATTAATTAGTAAAGAGCGCACATCTGCGCCTCTCGAAACCCCGATAGATCCATAAAAGCACGAGAAAAAAAGCAAGTATAAACTCAAACCCTCTTGAGAGGGCCAGCGGGACTGATGCTCATCCCGCCAAACGACTCGCCCAGCCCGTCCGCAACGCCCTCTCCGTCCCCATTCTCATGTGCACTAGCACCGTTGGGCAGTGGAACACCCGGGATGTTGATCGTCGGCACGCCAAGGCTGACACCGAGACTCATTGGCTCGCCACCTGGGATGGCGGCAAAATCATCATCATCGACGCTACTTGGATGGTGCGCTCGCTCCCCCGCGTCGGCTTCGTCATCCCCCTCCTCGTCTTCGTCCTCATCTTCATCTTCGTCGTCGATAGCCACGGACGCCCACTCGCGGTATACACTTGCGATGTACGGCGCCGAGCGGGGAAGCTTGTATGGGTCGAAGGGGAAGAACGAGTTGAGCTCTGCGTGGTGGTGCGACGTATTGAATGCGAGCCCGGGGATAGTGGTGATCATAGGCTGCGGCTGAGACGCGGGGTGCGCAGCGGAAGAGGACTGCGGTTGGGTGGGGGTCTGCTGGGAGGCGTACTCGGAGCGCTTGTTGGCTTCGAGGATGGAGTAGCAGTAGATGAAGTCGGTCGCCTGCGCGACGCGCGCGAATTGCTGGACGACGCCTGGGGAGCAGACCTATGCACGAGCATCGATCCTGGTGGTCAACGGATGTGATGATGTGAAGTGAGGGCTGTAACACACCTTGAGCGGGTTGAGCGGCGACGTAATCGCCCTCTGCACGATACCTAGCTCGGGCATCCAGCTCCCCTTCCATCGTGCTCCCGTTCCCCCTCTCCGCCCTTCTTCCCTCGCACTCTCACCCTCGCCTTCTCCTTCGATCCCATCCTCACGTAGATCCCGCCACCGGAAACAGAAGATAAGAAACACCGCTTGCGTAACCGCATAGAAAACCGTATGATGCGCCATCCCAGGCATCTCCCCTCCCGCCGCGATCGTCGCCTCCACCCACTCCAGATGCGCCGCCAAAAACCTGCACAGCACACCCGTCACCTCCCTCGCCCCGTCCCTGTCCACAAATGTCGCTCTCGAGACGAATGACGCGATGTAGCTCGCAGCTACAGCGCGTGTCACAGCTGGCACACTCGTCCCTGTGCCTGCGCCTGCGCCCGAAGCTCCAGCCCCAGCCCCGGAGGACGCGCCATAGAGCGCCTTCTCGACGAGCAGGCCCTGGAAGAGGTCCGCGAACTCGGGCGAGAGCGATGTGTACCAGAAGAGGAGGAACTGGGTGTAGCGGGACTTGAAGGTATGCAGGATCGTACGGTCGAAGATCCCCAGGAGGGTGTGGAACTGTGCGGTGCGGAGGGCATGGGAGTGTTCGGCGTCGAGCGGGGATGCGGGGCGGGGGGAGTCTGCTTCCTTTATTATGGTGTCTGGATTGTGGCCGTTGACGGTAGCGGTGGTAGCTACTATTGGAGTGGCGGTGATGGTGCTGCTGACACTGTTTGTTCGTGCGCGCGAATGGTGGGTGATGGGGGTATCAGGGAGGGACGGCAGAGGTGGTAGCGGAGAGGATTCGGGCGGAGAGGATGACGAAGGGGATGGCGGATGATCTGCGGCAGTGTGAATTTTGCTGAAGTGATCGAAGATGAGTTTGAGTATAGCGTCGAGCTTGCCAACCATGGCGTGGATGTGCGCGGCGTCCGTCGTGAGCTCCGGCCCATCCGAATCGGCGTCGTCCTCATCAGATGAGATGTCGTCGAAGTCGCCTGTATCCGAACCATCTTCTGAATCGGAGTCAGAAGCATCCTGCCCAACGATGGTGTCAAAGGGGTCCAACTCAAAAACGTCGCCGTAGCCTTGCTGGTCTTCGAGTTCTTCGAGCTCTTCAAGTTCGACCTGGATCTCTACCTGCGGTAACCTTGAGCCCTGTACAAGCGGACATGGCTATATGCGATATACGTACATCGACTTGAATTGCTCGTTCTATAATAGTGGCCAATATGCGGTCTGCGAGTTCAGCGCAGTACTCCATAATTCGTAAGATGTTGCGGATGTAGGTTACATGAGCAACCTGTGGTTGGCGCTTGTGAGGGAAGTTGCGGACGAGTATGGGTTGGAGTGTATTCGGGAGCGTAGGGATGAGATTGAGCAAATGGTTGAGCAGGTAATGGAGACGGTCGTACACGACCCTCCGAGTTATCGGACTTGCAGAAGAATTAGCGTCTGCGACGTTGATGGCTTGTAGACCAGACTCTGCGATGAGGAAGCGTCAGCCATGCGTTCGCAACGTCATAGCTCCTGGGAAGATACGCACGATGGGTGAAGCCCTGGGCGATCCTAGCGAGGACGAGGGAGAGGTATTCTGGCCTGGCGCTTAGGAGCATGCCAATGAACATGGTATATGACTTTACAAAGGCGGCATCCATCGTTGTCCAGGGCATGTTGACGATTGCTTCGACGAGCGGAGCGTGGCGTCGTTCGAGGCGCGAGAGAACATGGGAAAGGGCGACGAGCCAGAGACGAAGTTGAGAGGCGGGTACGGGTGCATTGCCTGAGAGGTTCTTAGGACTGAATTGGTCGATGAGGTCGTCGAAGCCTTTGCTGTCGCCCTGTGTATCGAGCATATATCCGTCGAGATCAATTTACTCGGTGATCGCGTGAGAGGATCGACGTACGTTGAGTCTGTCCTGAAGAGCCTTGTTGATGTATGCGAGGTACATATCTTTCTTGAATTGTTCATCCTGCTTTATCCGAGAGTTGGTAGCGATCGGACGGGAGGTGAAGAGCGGGGAGGAAGGGTCGGCGCCAGCAGACGGTGACTTGGCCTTTGGCTTTCCCGACGATGCTGATTTTGCGAACTTTTCGAGAGAAATTTTGGAGGGGGGTTCCATGTATCTCGTCGCTGAAGGAAGAGGACCAGCCTTTGGAGGGCGGCGGTTGAACTGGGATCTTGTCGAGTGCGGGTCCATCTTTGTCCCTGTCCAAGATGACTGCAGCTCGACAAATATTTACGGCATCAATTCTTGCCGGCTCTGCGGTTCCGAGTCCGCCTCTCATTCAGGCATTGTTTTCTCACGCTTCAACACCGCTGCCAACGGTGTCCTCGCGCGACGTCCCGACCCATCCACAAAGTCCACTCCACCCAACCATGTCGACGTCCCCGTTCACGTCGGCCCACCGACTCTACGTCAAGTCTCTCTACAGGCGCATGCTCAAGAATGAACTCGACTGGGTCATTCGCAGAGACATCTGGAGGGGTCGCGCCATGCTCGTCAGAGCCGAGTTCGAGAGAAACCGGTATGTGCTATACGCTGTCTTTCTCGTGCTAATGCCTCACAATCCTGTGCCTATAGGAACGTCCATAACCCCCGTGAGCTGGCCGAGATCCTCGAGAAGGCTGAGGCAAGCCTGGCCGACAAGCTGCACCCCGACCCTTTCATCCGTATGCATACAACCATCCCTACTTTTGCTTCACGCTCTCATGATCTTTCCAGCACCAATGATGCCCGGCGGCACAAAATGGTATGCACCTCCACATCTCCCTTCTGCTTTGTTCCTCACTGCTCTCATCTCGACGCAGGGAGCGGAACCTCCCGGTATGTGAACACTCTCGTGCTCCCAACCTGTGTGCTGACCTGTGCCTAGCCCACCATCGCCCCTCTCTACGACCACGAATCCGCAGCACACCATTAATGTACACTCGTTGTCCAGTTATTCGCAAAATAGAAGCTTCTCCGCTAGACTGTTTTGCGCATCATCGCTTTGATGAACGTTCATTTGCGTGGACAGTGGGCATACCCCGTTCCTTCGGGAGTCCATTACGCCTTGTGAGATGATGTCCAATGCACATCCCAAACCCAGAGCACCCTTGCGCTGTTCCCCGGGTCAATGAGCCCGCCAGCCCGGAATTATCAGTGTTTTGGGCACCACTTTGGGCACCACTCAAGTTCCCACATCACCGTCGTCACCTTTGGTTCCCAGTGATGATGCGAATTTCTCGCCTTTTGCACACGTTCGAACATTGTCATAGCATTCTCGTTTCAGATTGATAATGTATCATCACCATCAGGTCCACGACCTTTCCCTCTTAGGGTTTTAGAACGCAAAGACTCGATCATACTCTTCCCCCTTTCTCTCACGACTAGAAGCTCATAGAGACGGGACCCCATCCCAGTACGTTATGCTTTCATATCGCGCCCTCCACCCCTGCTCTTTAATTACTGCGGGATGTCGGGTTCTCAAGGTCTACAGACGTCAAAGGTTCGTGCTCATCGTCATCGAGAGCGGACATGATCCTGAAAGCAAGATGCGCAGTACTTTAACGGTGAACAATGCCATCTGCCTCGTTGATAGATGCTCACCTCTGCGAGTAAAGTCGCAGCGGCGGCTATTTTGGTGGGCATTCCCTTGAGAGACCATCAACGTCAACTTATGTAGACATTAGCTCCAGGATTATTGCCTCACATTAGACTCAGAAGTACGCGACGTTTTTAAGTGCATCATTTGTCCCCGTGACGCATATAGAGCGCACCAGGTTCGCTGGGCTGCAGAAAAACGGTGGTCATTCACTCGTGCTGCGTTCACGATCGCTCGCTATATTCCTTTCATTGGCGCGAGCCTAACTCTAGCAAGTTGGTGCTGTCTATACGTGTTCCATGGCCGTGATGCTCACCTTCGACAGAGGTGTTTGGTGTTATGGGTAATGTAAGTCATTGACGCTTATGCCCTCTTGAGTATTGTATCACATCTATTCCGTAAAGCAACCAGACTGCATCCTTTTGTGGAAGACAGAAGTTGGTTCGTTGTCTTTGTTCAAGACGGAGACGGTGGCGTTCGCGTGCTCATGCACAATTGTTACTCGCAGCTTTCCACTTCCTCGGCATTGTGTCTTCAGAGTGTCTACTTACTTTTAGGGTCTACGTCCTGTACGACTGCAACAGGCGTCTGATCTGCAGCCTCGCTGGTCTCGGGATAGTAGGAGCATTCCCATGAACTCTCCTTAAATACTAAACATCTATTCGTAGCTCATGCTGATTGCCGCGCTCATAGCGAGCCTTGCGCCGTTCGCCTCGATTCACGGCGCAGGTAGGGTCCCTTATGTAGTGTCCCATCCGATTAATGAGGCGTTCCCATCTATGTGGGAAATCAGACCAGCACAGCCCTACGTTGTGTGTTTTTGAGGGATCACGCAACAATGCCCTCCCATTCGCGGCTCTCTTAGTCTACGAATTAGGTATGGGTTTCTTTCGTTCAAGAGCGTGCGAAGGCTGATATAAAGCAGTACTTGCTCTGATCCTCATTGCTCGGAGGTGCACGTACAGCGGGCCTATCAGCAGATTTCTGGCGCAGCTGTACAACGATGGATTGTTGTATATGTTCCTCATTATATGTTAGTGGCTCTCTACGCTTCTTGTCATGCTGCCGTTTTATTAACAAGCGCATTTGGCACAGCAATCTCTACAGCTAATATCATCGTCGACCTGTGCATGCCGGTACGCCCACCCCCAAAGCTAATTTCAAACCGCAAGCTAAAGTAGACACCCAACGCTACCATCTGATATGTAGCTGGTGTACAGCGACCTGCTTGATGCGTGCGTAATTCTTCCCGAGGGATAGATTCATCTGATTCATATTCCTGATTAGCCCCCAGGTAGTCGTACACTGCATCCTGTCTTGCCGGATCTTGTTCCGTATGCAGGATAGTGGACGAGATGGAGCCTTTATTGGATACACGAGTAGCGTTCTATGACAAGGTCTCATTATCCACACGCCTCAAGGATGCGCCACTTCTGAACTTAGACTCAGATACTTGTTTATGTTCTCGAGATGTATGTAACGTGCACTTAGTCATCGGAATTAGGCACATTTCAGAAGGCTCGTCATGATAAATGGTTACAATGGGGGCGGGCAAAGCCCGCTCCCATATTGGACTAGCTCGGACCCTTTTCACTGACACAGTCCCAAAAAACGGTAATTCGGGATGCAGAACATATGATATAACAACTGTTGAAGTGCTCAAAGTGTAGCTGCTAAGCATTGCTATAGTTCTCAGAGAATGGATTTTCAATAAACGGTGTTGTAGGCTTCATATCAACCAAAAATGCTAAATCTTCCGCCAAACTTTGATGAATCACTGCGCTCTTAATTCCTCTTTATCGACTCACTCGATTGCTTTAAATTTCAGGATCTGAAATCCTTGGACAAATTTTAATAATTCACAGAATTAGATTTTGTATTTTCAATCTCCTTCAATGCTACTCGAGATCTTGTGTCCCATCTCTCAACGATAAGGGCTGGGTCGCCTTCACGTCGCCCAATACGGAAACATAGTCTAAGCGAGCGCACGCTTGGGGAGCGGGCTTTGCCCGTCCCCAGTTACAATAGCACTAGCGCCATCAGGCGAATCGTGGGCCATACATGATGTTCGGTATGATAGATTCTCCCACCCGTCCGCTCCAGGCTTTTCATACCTTTCAGTAGACCTAGGCCCGACTTTCCATAATGTCCACACCCCGAGAACACGTTGTATTCCCACACGTACAGGCATTCGGCATGACCAGTGTCGCCGAGGTCGCCGACGAATATGTATAGTACAAGAAAGCCATATTTTGTACCGGAGGCTTAGAGGTCATGATCATGATTCTGATGTGTCGAGTGGGCAGTATCGTGTAAAACCATCCTTGAAGTATTTGCGTTACCATGCTTGTCCATGGATTCGCAAACGGTCCAAAACGCATGAACTCAATCATGCCCGCGAATGTTTCTCTCACAGTCCAAAGGGTATATAGACAGGCCTTGTGCAAACACACCGCACATTTCACCGTCGTTGCCGTGCAGAAAGAGGATGATCAGCCTTCAAGGGTTACAAACGTCTAAAGTCCGTGTGTTTCCTCATTATCATGACCACCATGCTGATAATTAAGATACGCAGTACTTTAATGGTATGTGATATCGATGCTGTCTATTATCTTCATCAACATGAGCTTATATTTATGGGTGCAGTCGCAGCAACGACTATAATGGTACGTGCAGCCATAAGAAGTTACAACCACTAACCTAGACCGGTCTTAGCTGCACGACTATTGTCTTACATTAGATTCTGAGGTACAGTATCATCACTGACTGAACATCTACCATATTATTTATGCATAGCATAATCAAGATTAGATGGGTGGCGAAGAAAAGCTGGTCTCCAATTAGGATTCTATTCACCATCTCCCGCTATATACCTTTCGTGGGACTTGCTCTGACTCTTGGAAGTCAGTGCTCATTCCCTCCCATATACTTGCCGCTCACCCCAACACCACCCTCTAGAGGCATTTGACGTTGCAGCCAGTGTGAGTCATTATATTTCGTATTTACTGGAGGTGTGGTATCAAACTTGTTTTGAGAAGCACACAGGCTGTTCTGCTTTGTCACATGCCGAATACGGTTCGTTGTTTTCATGTAATAATAGGCCTCACACGAAAAACTGACGGATGTTTGCCATTCATAGCTTTTCACTTCGCAGGCATCGTGGCGTCAGAGCTTCTACTGATTTCTCGACTCTTCGTTCTATATAACTGCAATAGGCGCATACTTTTGGGTCTGCTAGGCTTCGGAGTGGTAGGGACTTTCTTATAAATATATCGGGATTTCTTGCGCGACTAAACATACCCTCTTAGGGAATGCTAGCAGTCGGGCTGATTGTGAGCCTTGCGCCATTTACCGTGCTTCCCGGTGCAGGTATGAGTTTCTACTCATTGAAAGTCTCAGGTCATAACATGCATGCTTATGTACTAAACAAGTCCAACCGAACGCTTCAATGTGTTTCTTTACACAGTCGCGTGATAACGCCCTGTTGTTTGCTCTTCTCTTATTATTTGAATCAGGTCTGTAGTTCCTGACAGCCGGAATGAGCGCTATCTGACATATTCAAAATGCAGTTTTGGCAGTGCTGCACATTGCTCGGCGGTGCACCGATCATAGACCTGTCGGTAGCCTCCTGGCAAGACTGTACAACGACGGGCTGTTCTACATTGCTCTAATAATGTGTGAGTCGTCCTTAGTTCTTTCCTTACTGAACTGATGCATGCATATCAGCAATATCCGCTGTCAATGTAGTCGTGGACCTGTGCACTCCCGTACGTCGCCATCTTGCTCGTAAATACGTGAGTGAGCTGCAGGCTAATCTAGGACGTTTGTCCGTACCCTCTGATATTCAGTTTGCATACAATGACTTGCTTGATGCGTGCGTTTTTCACCGCCTCGGAGGCATTAACAAGGGCCAGATAATTCTTATGCTTATTCCCTGACAGACCTCAGGTCGTCGTGCATTGCATTATGTCATGCCGGATCTTGTTTCGCCTGCAGGACAGCTCTTTGGAGGGGAGGGGCCGAATAGGTTGATCCTACAAACAGCGTGATATGACACAGGAACAGCTGTATCTCAGTTGGGGACACGAGCAAGCCTAAGGCCTAAGGGTCATATAACCATTCGCAGCTTTCAACCATACGTTGATTTCTTCTTATATGCCTTGCAGCCTGAACAGTATGTAACATATCCTGTAATTTGTAAGGGTACTCCTTTGACATATATCATCATTGTCAGGGGAAACAATAGATTACTGAGAGAGCTGTTGTTTGCAGTGCCAATGTCGAGGTTTAAGTAAGTCTGCAGGGACCACATTCTCTTTGTATGTATCGGCCCAACATGCGTACAACGATGCCATAGATGTGGTACATTGATTCCGGGCCTACCTGGCATAATTGCGGAACGACAAAATCGCGTATAAAATCTAGTGTTTTCCAACATGCGGTGGTGAACAGGATTCGGATTGACAACTCGGGTCTCAAATTTGAGGCACTGTCTAAATTAAGGCATGTGCTCTGACTGCAGGATACTATGAGATGTCACAAGGGCGAACATACACTGGACAATGCATGTGTAAGATGGCCTAGAGTGATATAACCAGACATGGTGCTCCCTTGGCAGTGTTTTGTGGGCACTTTCATCAGATCCTCGACAGGGAAGCTACAGCAAGAACTCGGAGTAATCGGAAGACGCGCCGAAAAGCAGGCTTCCTTTGGCCGCGTGGCACAACGCTAACCGTGCTGTCTCAGATCACAGAAGACGAAAAAGGAAAAAGGCGAGGCAAACAACGACAAATGACCTCGGGTCAAAAGGTTAGTTATGCGAATTATTAATTATCAGGGCCATCGCTCCTTCTCCGGTTCTTCATTTCGTAGGCAATCGCGTCTATCATCCTGTGAACATAACACAAAAGCCATCACCATCCAATTGTCATCGTATCCGGCAATCGCTGCTTTCAAAACATCCCTGACAGGGACGATTATTTCTCGGCTGGGTGTTGCATGGTCCCAGCGCATGGGCCCTGTCAAAATGCACAGCAGGCTGGTTATTGGTAGGTTGTGCTGGGACCTGCACACGAGTATTCAAACTCAAGCGTATAAAGCCCTGCCTGCTCCTCACGGGCCAGCAGTTTTAACCCAGCCTCTTCCTCCTCGTCTCTTGTTCTTTTACATTGCCACACACAAACCATCCACGCTCGTCGTCGTCAGGCGTAACTTGTAAGTGAGACATGTCGCTTAAATTCGACTCCGCTTTGAAACTCAACGGTCTAAACATCAGCATACAACATGGGCAACGGATTATCCAAATCTCACCGTCGTCGCTCCAAGGTTCTGCTTGCAGCTGTTCCGACTCAGAATTCCCCGCCGCCGCCTTACTCGAAGGATGTTCAGACCGCTTCTCCGACTCTGGTGTATGTGCCTCCGCCATGGATTACGGAAGATGCGCTAGAGACGTTGAGGATCTACGACACGGTGATCATTGTCGATGACTCTGGTTCCATGCAAGGAGAGCGATGGAAGGAGGTTTGTGTCTTTGTCTCATTCATATTTGAGTCTTCAAATACGGTTTCTGACTGTCTGTTCCTTAGGCTGGTAGCGCGTTGGCTGAACTCGCAGAGGTTGCTGCTTATTACGACGCGAACGGCATCGACATCTTCTTCATAAACAGCAAGACCCGCGGTGAGGGCCTCAAGGTTTGTCATTCCACACGCTTTCGATTATTGCTCAGCGGTGCAGACTGCTGAACTATGCATCTCGCAGGACCCCAACCAGGTCCGGAAGATCTTCGACCGGGTTGTGCCGACGTCTAATACCCTGCTCGGGATGGTTATGCATAGACACCTGAAAAATTATGTCAACAAAATCGAGTCAGATCTGCAGACAAGAAGATGTGCGCTCGATGATAGTGGAGTCAAGCCGGTAAACTACATCATCATCACCGATGGGATGCCAAGTGAGCAGACATGTCTAGTTATGCCCCAGCGATATTTCTGTATACTCATAGATTTTCTTCACTTGCCAGGTGATCCGGAGGAACTCGAAAACGCGATTGTCAAATGCGCCCAGTGGTTGGACAAACACGAGCAGCCGCTCAATCAGGTAGCCTCTACATCTTAAGGATTCACAAGTACACTAACGATACCCTCCAGCTCGGCATACAATTCGTGCAGGTAGGTAACAGCGGGTCTGCGGCAGAATACCTAGAACACCTGGACACTGCCCTCAAAACTGAGTACAACATACGCGTAAGCAGCACTTTTTAGAGCACGAATGTTCATTCTTCTAACCAGACTTTGATAGGATATGGTTGACACTGAGCCCTACAGAGATGGTAGCAAGGATAGCAAGCTGGGTGCTGAGCGGTTAATCAAGATTTTGCTTGGTGGTATTAACCGACGTGTGGACGTGAAAGGCGGGGCGGCTCTGTCAGAGCAAGATAATTGACGAGTGGAATAGAACTGTTGGGTGTTCGAAGAGAAACACGTAATAAATCGAACGTCGTCACCCTTTACAAGTGAGAGGGAATTATAGTCAACTTCTCGAGAATCGTGCTTCGTGACAGCTCATCGTGGTCTACGCTTGATGCTATGTGCCGCTGCATGTTGGTGACCACCAAGAAAATTGGAATCATCCGCGAGCGTCAAAGCGGCTGCGAATTTAAAATAGCGCTGGATGTGACCACGCCCAGATGTCGCGTCGATCGACGTGGTGATAGTTGGGCGCAAGTTGGGCGTTAGATAACACTTGCAATTTGCGCCAGAAAAAATGCGCTCGACGCGATAACGGAAAAAGTCCCGATATGCGGACTTGAAAACACGTCATCAGTTTTGCCATCAGAAGCCTTGAAACATAGAGATACTCTCCAAGTTGTGCGAGCGAGCTAGGAAAGTAAAGGTCAAAGTAAAGATGCTTGAACGCGAAACGCGAGATACGGGGCAAAGCGAGGTGTTTGAATGGCAAAGGTGCCGATCACTGATCGTGTCAAGCGCGATTGAATTGGAGGAGTCGAGACGCGCTTCCTTGTTCTTCTCCATGAATATCGGGAACCTGAGAACGGGTATATTTATCTCCCCGCTCTGGGGAGCGCAGCACGTTCTTTTCTCTCATCCCTTCCACCTCTCCCACTTTCGCCCTCATCATGAGGCCCTCCTCGCTCTTTACCATCGTTCTCGCAGCCGTCCTTGTGAGCGCTGACCGGCTCACGTTCCGTGGATGTCAAGACAAGGTCAAGGAGAGCCTCGTTTCGCCCCCGCGTGGATGGGTCCAGCACGCCCCGGCTCCACAGGACCAAATCATCCGCCTCAAGATTGCGCTCGCCCAACCCAGCTTTGGCGAGCTCGAGGAACACCTACTCGCCTCGAGCGACCCGGCTCACGAGCGCTATGGCATGCACTTGTCAAAGGAGGACGCTCACACGCTTATGGCGCCCAGCCAGGATAGCATCGACATCGTCAGCGAGTGGCTTTCAGAACATGGGATTGGGGAAGAGTATCTCCATCGGTCGGCTGCGAAGGACTGGATAACCATACATGTGCCTGTGAGCTTGGCGGAGGACATGTTTAACACGGTGCGTCGCCCTTTCGTCTACATTTGATGACGCGTCTTATGTCCCTGCGCAGCAATTCCATGTCTACAAACATGTCGAGTCTGGCGACACCTTCATCCGCACGACCCAGTATAGCCTTCCCTCCGTCTTGCACGATCATGTCGACCTCGTCCAACCCACGACAATGTACGCGCGTTTCAAGCCTATGAGCAACACGCTCCACTTCATGGGAGGAATCACCCAGGAATTTGAGTTCTCCGCGGTCACTGGCAGCATCACCGGGCCCGCAGGCAACGCGATAAACGCAACGTGCAACTACGAGATTACACTCGACTGTCTCCGCGAGCTGTACAACGTGGGTAGCTACACCCCGTCGGGTACAAGCGGGAACAAGCTCGGTATCACGGGGTACTTGGACGAGTACGCAAACTTTGAAGACTTCCAAAACTTCATGAAACTTGAAAACCCTGCCGCAGTTGGATCGAACTTCTCGGTCATTGCTATCAATGGTGCGTTATCCGGCTATTCGAGATCGCCTTGACGTAAAAGCTCATGTTATCGTAGGGGGACAGAATAACCAGACGCTTTCCGCAGCTGGTCTCGAAGCCAACCTGGACGTCCAGTTCGCGTTCGGCATGACACACCCTACACCAGGCACTTTCTACACCACCGGCGGAGCACCTCCTTACACCCCAGATAAGATGGAACCGACCAACACCAATGAGCCTTACCTTGACGTCTGTGTCTCTTGCCATCGTCTTCAGCGTGTACTAACATTTTGTAATTGGCACAGTGGCTCGACTACATCATGAACCAGACAGACATTCCTCAGACGATCTCTACTAGCTACGGTGATAACGAGCAGACCGTACCTCCAAGCTACGCGGACCGCGTGTGCAAAGGTTTCGCTGCTCTTGGTGCGTATCTCCGTCTTCATATATCATGTAGTACACCTCTGCTCACGATGAATTCGTTTCGTCAGGTTCCCGCGGCATCTCGATTCTTTTCTCCTCTGGCGACGGCGGTGTCGGAGACAACGACGAGGACCCCTCGACTACAAACTGCACTGCCAACAACGGCACCGATGCCACCACTTTCCTTCCTAGTTTCCCTGCTAGCTGTCCTTAGTACGTTCGTCTCCTCCTACACAATGCGGTTATTGGTTTACCTTGTCGGTGATAGCGTCACCTCTGTCGGCGCAACCGTGAACGTCCCAGAGGTTGCTGCCAACTTCTCGGGAGGCGGGTTCAGCAATTACGTAAGCTTTATGTTTAGAGATTATGCCGACGGGTTCAAGTGCTTATACTTCTCGCACCTAGTTTGCTCGCCCTTCATACCAGGATTCGGTCGTGAAGGGATACCTATCCTCCATCGGCTCCGAATATGCAGGGCTGTATAACTCGTTCGTCCCCTCCCTATATTCATGTTCACGAATACCGACATAAACCTTTATAGAACCGGCCGAGTACATTTCATACCCTTCCCTGTCATTTGAGACGCGCTAACTAACCCCTCCACAGGCCTACCCCGACGTTTCCGCCCAAGGCGTCAACTACGTTATCATGTACAGAGGCGCGCCGACCAACGTCTCCGGCACGTCCTGCTCGTCGCCCGCGTTTGCGAGCCTTGTGTCGATGCTCAACGACGCGCGCCTCCAGGCCAACATGTCCACGCTCGGGTTCCTCAACCCGCTCCTGTACTCCCGGGGTGTCGCTGCGCTCAATGATATCACCGAAGGGAGCAATCCTGGGTGCGGGACGAAGGGGTTCAAGGTGCGTATTTTTCTCTCTGTCTGACATGTGCACGTTTGCTCATGCGGTTTTGATTGGTAGGCGACGAAGGGATGGGACCCCGTCACGGGCCTCGGTACGCCGAACTTTGGCAAGCTGAAGGATCTTGTGCTGGGGAACTCGACGCAATGACTGCCCAGCGGGGCTCGTGCTCGCGAGCCCTACCTTTACCGGGTGATATACACCGGCTTGGCGGGTGTTGGTGTTCCTTTGTTGTTTCTCGGACTCGTGTTTTGAGTAAATGTATATACGTTATTTACCGATAATTCGACGGACAATTGGTTTTACTTCGGGTCACAAAATGCATGAATGTGGTGGCGAGTTATATTTCTGCAGTCATCAAGCCGTCGAGTATGCCTCAAACGTGAGTATCTTGAGCTACCTGGGTATTGGGGAATAACTGACATCTACTTCATTTCGGACCAATAAAACCTGTCAAAGTTATCCTCGAACCACATCCTCTGAACTTCATTGAGCTCCGGTCCATCAGATACTGTCAACTGTTCGATGTTATCGCGTATGTCGCATGTGTCTCTGAGCATCTCGGCAGAAAACGCAGTGCACCCTTCGACTTCAAGGCTCTCCATGTTAGAGCAAGTGACACCGCGACTGTGCTTTGATAAGGCATCAAGGAAATCGTCGTTGAACCCTGAGCAGTCCTTGACAGATAAGCTCAGACCTTCCCAGAATCCTACTAGGTACAGCAACGACGGGCCGGAGATGCCCACGAGACGCAGTTCCTCGCCTTTCATGACAGTGTGTTCCTTGACCTCGCATCTCTCGATTATTGTCGACTCGGGAGCCTCTGACATGCAATCAAAGAGCGTCGAGACAAAAGGGCCTTGAATGTTGACGAGCTTGACCGAAGCTATGTTTTCGATCCGTGGATATGAGGCTTTGTGCCCCCATCCTAAATCGTCTGGAGGGGTTGCAACGTCTTCAATCTCGAGGTCAAACGTGTTCACCGCCCTGCTCAGCTCGCTTAGAGCGTCAATGAGATCCAACATGTTCGCGCTCTCGTACTTAGAGTGGGTGTCTGCCGCCGCTCCGTACTTCGTGAGTCGCAATTTGAACTGGTTGCATGGATATTCCGTATCGCAGAGGTAGAGGTCGAAGAAGCTCCTCGCGTCGATCTGGAGCTCACGCAGTTCGGGGAACTCGGGGTGGGCAGTGCATTTCTCATAACGACTCATGTGGTCGTCGTCGTCGTCCACAAATGCGGACGTGTCATCCGTCTCTTGGGATACGAGGCCCAGGCGCGTGAGATTGGGGAGAACGGCACGGTTCAGAAAGCGGCGGCCGATCTCGACAATGGATGAGCGGTAAACTACGCTGATGGACAGAATGGTCACGCGGTCGAAGTGCTGCGACGCGTGTTGCATGATGAATGTCAGCCGTTCGCGCTCTTGCGGAGGAGTAAGAGCGCGAGATGCTGGGTTGCTGAGGGTGACTGGAGTTGGAAGTTCTTTTCAGACGAGTCTGAGAAGAAAGCCTCTATAACGGGAGGGACAAATGTGGACCAATCGATGGCTACATGTAGGTTCTTCCAATACGACCGGTTGTTGGAGAGGACCTCGAGCCATCGACGACAAACGAACGCCAGCGGCTGCGGGAAGGCCATTGTTGACTCACTCCCCGAGTCGGTATCGGAATCAACAACGAGATCGCACTGTTGGTTGACCCAGAAAAAGATACGAAGTAACATCTCTGGCGGAAGTTTCATGATTGGCGAGGACGGGTCGCAATATGTCAGACGGCTGCTGGAAGCTTGTGGCGCTATCCGTTACTTCAGCATGGAACTCATAGCTACTCGGATGTTCCAACTTACCCATTACCAGTTCTTTCAGCTACACCTTCCAGACCTATGAATGGTGACAACAGAGAGAAGAGTGGGTGATAGTCAGGCTCCTACACAGCCGTCACTGAGAGGAGAACAGCTTATCGTAGGGCACGGTAGACTTAGCAGAATCCGCAACAAGTCTTTTAAGTAGCGATTGAAACTCCTGAATCTGAGATTGAAAACACGTTATTGCAGACATATTGCGATTTTCCTAGTACAAAAGGTGGCCGAAAAAGGCGGACCGATGAAAGCCTTTTCTGGTCAGCTTTTGCTGTAAGAAAAGTCGCTGAAAAGTTTAAATTTTCGCCTCGGGGTTTACATTTTGGGGCGGAGGATGGATATTATGTAGTCCAAATTTGGAAATATAACGCCAAATATGATAAGCCGTACTTTTTACCAGCACAAAGTGTTCACAATTGTTGGCCAAAAGAACACCTTTTCCTGACAAAACTCGGAGGTAAAGGCTTTCATCTCACCGCCTCTTTGTCTGGATCTCGTCCCCGATGAAAACGCTGGTGGCCTGCAGTAAGGATTACTCGCCGAATCCGATGCTTGTTGGAGTCTGTCGGTGAACGGACTCAAATGGGATAGTAAATGTCTGCCTTTGACTGATTTGCCAGGGAGCAGCTACTTCGAGGATTTTTCCTTGTTAAGGGGGTCTTCCGTCATCACACGAACACAACAGCATGCCATCAAACAGTCGAATAAGCCTTCTACGTGATTATCATGAGCTACCTAGGTACTGGGAAATAACTGGTATTTACTCCTCCACTTCAGACCAGTAAAATTCGTCAACATTCTCCTCGAACCACACCCTCTGATCTTCATTGAGCTCCGGACCATCATATACTGTCAACTGCTCAATATCGTCGCGTGTCTCGCACATGTGTCTGAGCATCCCGGCAGAAAACCCGGAACACCCTTCGATTTCAAGGCTTTCCATGTTGGGGCAAATGACATCGTCCTCGCCCGTGTCCGTACCCGATAAGGCAGCAATGAACTCGTCATCAAAACCCGGGCAGTCCTTGACGAATAGCCTCAGGCCTTCCCAGCGTCGTACTATGTGAAGCATGGACGGGCCGGGAAAGCCGACAAGACGCAGTTCTTCGCCTTTCACGACAGTGTGTTCATCGACCTCGCATCTCTCGAGCACGGTCGACTCGGGAGCCTCTGACATGTAGTTGAAAAGCATCGAGATAAAGCCTGGGTCTTGAACGTTGACGAGCTTGACTGAAGTTACACCTTCGATTTCTGTATCACAATCGGAGTCTGGGTACATCCGTTCATCTGGAGAGGTTGCAATGTAGACGTCTTCAATCTCGAGGTCAAACGTGTCCACCGCCTCGCTCAACTTGCCCAGCGCGTTAACGAAATCCGATGTGTTCTCAGTCATGTTCTTGGAGCCCGTGTCCGCCGCCGCTCCGTACTTTGTGAGCCGCAATTTGAACTGGTTGCATGGCCATTCCGTATCGCAGAGGTAGAGGTCAAAGAAGCTACTCGCATCGATCTGGAGTTCACGCAGCTTGGGGAACTCGGGGTGGGCGTCGCATTCCCCATACCACCCGGTAGAGTCGGAGTCGTACTCCACGAATGCGGACGTGTCGTTCGTCTCTTGGGACACGAGGTCCAGGCGCGTGAGGTTGGGGAGGACGGCACGATTCAGAAAGCGGCCGATTTTGACGATGGACGAGCGATAGACTACGTTGATGGACAGAAGGGTGACGCGGTCGAAGTGCTGCGACGCGTGTTGCATGATGAACGTCAGCCGTTCGTGCTCTTGCGGGGGAGTAAGAGCACGAGACGTCGGGTTGCTGAGGGTGACGTGGAGTTGGAATTTGTTTTTAGATGAATCTGAGAAGAAAGTCTCTATTACGGGAGGGGCCAGGGTGGGCCAGTCGATAACGACGTGCAGGTTCTTCCAGTATGATCGGTTGTCGGAAAGGACCTCGAGCCATCGACGACAAACGAATGCCAGCGGCTGCGGGAGGGCCGTTTTTGACTCACTCCCCTCGGTATCAGAATCGACGACGAGTTCGTGCTGTCGATCGACCCAGAAAAAGATACGAAGTAACATCTCTGGAGGAAGTTTCATGATTGGCGAGGGCGGGTCACAATATGTCAACCGGCTGCTGCCAGTAGGTTGCGACGCTATCCATTACTTCAGCATGAAACTCATGTCTACTCGAGTTCCTACTTACCCATTACCGGCTCTCTCAGCTATACGTTGCAGACCTATGAATCGTGGCAGCAGAGAGAAGAACGAGTGGTAGTCGTCGAAGAACGAGTTATAGTCGTCGCCGCTCGTAAAATTTCAATGTTGCCAAAAACTTCCGTCCCACGGCATTTACGTACAATCTCTTCTTGCCGCACCCCCTTGAACGGAGTCACTGTCAAGACCGCTTGCTAATGTTGGACAAGTCATCTCAGTCAGCAAATTGGAATGACCAGCTGAAACATGTTGCGATTATTCCTAGCTTTAATGTACATAATAGATCAGGGCTTCCATCACATCAGTAAACTTGAAATTTACTTGTCGCGGCTTGTACAAGCTTGTGCAAGGTTGCTCAAGGCGCGACAAGCCGAAAAAACGGCAAGGTGACAATGCAAGTCAATTTCGGTCACAAGGAGGGCTAATTTTGGCAAGCTAACTACTAACAAGGTCGACAAGGCCGACAAGCGATGACAAGGTCCACTAATCGACATTATCTCTATATTAGATTAGGTTAGAAATCTAGTATGCAAAAGGTTATAAACGTGTAAATTTCGTCATTATTCTGGATGGGTCACTGAAGATGAGCAAAAAGGACCTCGGGGTCGAGGTCCTCTGGGCCGGGAGCTGGGCTGCTGCTCGGAAGGAAGAGTCGCCGACGAGAAGTCTCGAGAGCACCTCTCCTCGTGAACTTTGGCTTCAGAGGAGCCGGAACAGCCGGCAGCCTGGGGTCACCATACTCTTGGCGAATCGTGTACCACTGCTGGTCCGTTAGCTCGAGAATTGATACCTTATAATCATCTGTTGCCGTCTTGTACATATCCTGAGTGAATTCGGGGGGTGTGACTTTTGTCCCTGTCAACCAACTCCTGAACGCGCGCTCGAGCTGTCACTTTATTAGATAGATAAAACCCAGCTTTAAAATTATACGCACAGCGGTAGTTGCCAGGCAAAGAACTCCCTTGGGAGGTCCGAATTCTCCGCGAGTACCCCTAGTGAACCGAAAGAAGTACTGCATGAGGTCGATGAAGAAGCTTGACAGAAAGTGTCCTTCTGGTTGCTACGCAAAGGGGTTAGAGAACGAGAAGGAACAAGCATTTAAATATAGACCACTTACGACGTAGTCCGCTGCTCGTGACCTCATACTACTTTCGATGCAGTGTACAGGAGTGGGTTTGCGATACAGCATTGGGCCATGCTTATGCAGCGCCCAGAGAGCATGAGATCTGATGGCGTCCGGCTTGCCCAAGAACTCCGCAGAGGAATAGAACTTGTCGACGATGCCAAGGGCCTGTTTACCGATGTGCGTACGCTTCTCGTTCAGACGTGCATGACTCTATTCGCATGCAACATTATTGATAAACTATTAGCAAGTCTAAACGAAGACGCACCTTCTTAAAGAATGTGTCCCTGTGACGGACACGATATCCTGAGTTCGGGACGGCAACATCTATGATCTCCTGGACCTGAGCGATCGAAGCTGCACTGATGCAGCAAGTGCCCCATACGTCGATAGCGGCGCCGAAGAACGTGTACAGGGTGGGGATGCACTTCACCTTCCACTCTGCATCAACACGCTCGTAGGCTTCGCGTTGAGTCCGAGTCTCTGTAGTAGGAGCTGCCGGTTTGGACTCGGACTTGACGATAAGTGTAGCGTGTTCGGTGGTTTGCTGGGATTCTGCCTTAGTGCGGGTGCTGCGGTCCGAACGCTTGCGTGCGTTCTCCTTTGTTGTCTGGCCGCGCTTCCCCGCCATACGAGCGGTGTGAACGAGGGAAGTAGATGTCAGATTTACGTCTAGTATTCGACCCTTTACGGCTTTATTGGTTCATCCAGAAGCCTCCTATACGGCGATGTTCCTCCTAGAGGTCTACAAGTAAACATCGCCTTCATACGTCTATTCAGGCGCTTAGTATCCCAGCGGTACCTTAAGCGCTCACGCACTCGTGTGGCTCCGCGTTCATCGCATAGGGCCACGTTCTGCTTACGTAGCCGTTCCACATTACCGTGGGACTTGGACTGCACAGTAGTTACGAATACGGTAGTGACTTCACACGCTCCTGTCATATATATACAGTCGCTACCATGAATATCATCTAAGTCTTCTCTCTCCACCGAACGACTACCATCGTCAGCCTACCAGCTACCAAGCTACTAACTCAACCTTCAACTCTAACTGCCCGGTGAGTTCGCGCTCTTATAGACTTCTAGTGTATACTCGCGATCGTCCTTTGTCAGGTTATGAGCCCCGCGGGGCGCGGCGGAGCCTAGTACCTCAAGGCGGCTTAGT